CCCCCCCAATCCCCCACGCACGACCTCGTACCGCTTCAAATCACCAGAATACAATTTATCCACCAATCACAAAGCGCAGTTTAACACCACCACATACTCCTGCAAGCCACCTTTTCCATTTATAGCAAGTAATTTGACGATGACCTTCTAGAAAAAGGACGGAGCGCATGAACGGCCCTAGATAGGTCGTGGTCGGCGATAAGATGGCGAACGCCTGATGGACCTTCGGGCCGCGAGATCTTCAACAACCTTGGAACAAGATGTGGCACGCAACAGTTCCTGCGTCTCATGACTTGCATATCTGCAAAGACGGAGGAAAGTAGGGTTTGGGTAAGCGGTAATGGTGGATCAGGTTTTTGAGGATCAGCGAAGAGCAGAAGAGGCTGAAACCTTATCTCGACCACGAGCTCAGGACTTTAAGCTTGTTGGACACGTGTATTTTACGTCGGCGTCTTATGGTGTTTGAGGATTGTAAAATGGCTGCCGTGCACGGCATATACAAGGAAGTGTTGCGCTATGTGAATTATCGCTCTGGATAGACTTGGATAGTTCTAAAGATTTGACTCAACAAGAGGATTCGTGTATATTTGCTGAATGCACTCCGCGGAGATAACAATAGTGTCAGAGTACAAGACAATGAGTGGAAATAGGAAGTTCCTCTTATCTTTTTCACTTTGAATCACGTCCACAGTTCATAGCTAAATCCCCACTGTCACTTCGCCTCTCTTCTCCACTCTAGGCAGCACTCTCCACATGCATATGCCTAGCCTCCATCACCCTCCTCCAAACGCAAGTATACCCCCAAACCTATATCAATATGAACTAGAATAACAGCATTCAAGTATATATATTTTGTGGTTCGCAAAACTGCCAGGAAAGTAGCTCCAAGATCTTCAGGATTTTCTTCGAAAACTCTTCGAAATAAACACTATCTTTCCTTTTTGGGCTTTTGGCTGGTGCCTAGAGAACAAGGGAGGCCAGGAAGTCGGTGGTTCGAGGCTGCTATTTAGCATTTCCTTTCGCAATCTGGTTCTATTCTTTTTGTCGAGGGGGATTCCAATTTGCCCATACGTGACTTCAATAGTTCCTGACTATACTGCAACAAGTTTACTGCAACAAGCTGAGTCGAGATGAAATGAGTCTCAGGTTACTCATCACAATTGGTAAATTAAGGAATTCCTGGGAAGCTAAGTGTCTCATTGAAAGTCCAATCTTTAACCCAAGTTGAACTCGCTAGCCATGCCAGCATGCCTCATAAACTTCTCCCTCGCTCTAATCGCCTTTCTCATCTTCCCAGCTTCCTCGGTATCTTGAGTGTCTGGCAGATCCAGGTCGACGATCTTCTTCGGGGCACCTTCCTTATCCCTCTCCCGAACCGATTCCTTCGTCGCACCACGGATTTTCGCCGGCGTTCTATCCCCTCTCCCAGCACCCGTCCGCAGCCCGGGAACTTTCATACCACTCGGCCTCTCTCTCAGCGCAAAGGCCTTGGCCAAATGTCCGAGATGCAGTTGTTTGATATCGAAGTACTTTCGCTCATCAGCAACATGCGTGGCGTATGCGCGGATATGGCTTTGGAAAGCTCTCCGCGCTGCTTCAAGTCGGGATGGGGATGCTAGAGCCCACCGCTCAATCGCTAGTTGCAAATCTGTAGCTTTGTCCATGTACGCATTCTTATCTACCACACCGCTGGTAACAAGACCGCGATTGAGAATGTCGTCTGCATCCTGACGGGAGATGTGTACGCCAGTTTCGGTATCTTTGCGATCCGACTTGAGGATGTCGACGTAACCTTCTTCACAGCCTGGCATGAGGAAGATGCATGCTCGACCATCACGGCCGGCACGCGCTGTACGACCGATCCGATGCAAATGGTCTTCGCGGGCGAAGGCAGGGTCAAATTCTACAACTAGATCTACATTGGGAAGATCGAGACCACGGGATGCGACGTCGGTGGCTATAAGAACCGAGGGCTCTTTGTTCTTGGTAAAGTGCGCGAGGGTGGATGTGCGAAGGGATTGCTGAAGAGATCCGTGAAGCCGGTAGGCTGTTACTGTGTGTGTTTTGGTAGAGAGGATGGGGGATTCGGCGTTTGTTACGGAGAGTTTCGTGGGGTCTGCTTGCTGTAGGGCTTTCGGCTTCTTCTTCTTTTCTTGGGTATCGTCATCCTTCTCGTCCTCTTTGGCCTCCTCATCCTTCTTCTTTAACTTCTGTTCTATGTCGCCCGTAAGCATATCGAAGTGAAAATCGACTGAGTCGGCACACGAAATGAAAACAATAGCCTTCATCACCGAGCCTTTCCGCGCAAATGCGCGCTTCAAAAAGCTCATTAGTGAGACCAATCGTAGTTTTGGCGCCACTACAGCATACGACTGCTTCAACTGTGCTGGGGCGTAAAAGGATTGGTCGTCTTTGCCTTCGTTCTCCACCTGCCCTTTTTCCGAAGGATCGGCTCGAATATGTACCGCGTCTTTCAAACTGATCTGCCCTAGTCTTTCAACGTCCATCTTCATTGTTGCAGAACAAAGTACAGTCGTACGCTTCTCTGGCAGACCGGGTATCTTGAGCTTGTCGTCTTTCTTTGCGCGCATTCGGAGGTTAAGGGCACCCACGATCTTTTGGATCTCCTGTTCGAATCCAAGCTCCATCAGGCGATCTCCTTCGTCTAGGACAAGCCATCTAACGTTGCTCACATCCAAAGCCTCGGTATGTTCAAGATGATCGACTAATCGACCAGGCGTGGCGACCAGGATGTTGATGCCCTTCCGCAACCGGGCCTTCTCGGACTTTTTCTTTTCACCTCCAATAACTGTAGTAGCTACCAGCCAATGGGCACAGCCTAGCAGCTTCTCTAGAACCAGAGCAATCTGCTTGCTCAGCTCTCGTGTTGGCGCCATAATGATGGCGAATAGACCGGAGTTTCTTTGCACATTCTCGTCAACCTTGCGCTTCTTCATATTCGCCGATATTTCCATGAGTCGCTGCACAATGGGTAGCAGGTACGCCAGGGTTTTTCCAGAACCCGTCTCGGCCTGTATAAAGGCATCAGAGTCATCCTTGACGAGCTGTGCTATCGCTGCCTTCTGAATCGCCGTGGGCGCCTTTAGTTCCATCTTGTTGAGCATGTGCGCTGCAAGCGTCGTGGATATGCCGAGAGACGTGAAGGTATCGAGCTCACTGCTCAGCGGCGCGTTCGAGGGCTCTAGGGGCGCATCGTCTGGGCGTCGTTCGCTCGCTTTGGGTTTCGTCGTCGAAGCAGGATTGTAGGTGAAAAGCGAAGAAATGATCTGCTTCCCACCCTTGGGCACATCTTGCTTCTCCCCAGGTCTCCTCGTAACTGCCGGGTTGGATTGTGGTCTGAAGTCGCCTGAGTCCGTCTTCTCGGTGGCCTTTGGTCTGAAGTCTCCACTGACGCGTGCTCTCTTTACTGGCCGTTCGCCAGTTTCTGGCAGCTCTGGACTCTTGGATGTCCGCCTCGTTCTTTGGCCCAGCTCTGTGCGATTCACATCTGTAGCATTGTCTACAATCTTCTTGGGAACTGTCTCCCCGCTTAATCGAGCGGAAGCCTTGGTATGCCAGTTTTGCGCGGCTTTTTTGGCCGTAAGCCGGTCCTTCCAGTTCCCGCCCTTGAAGCTCGGCCGTGCCAGGATGCCGCTATCGGGTATGGAGAAGTTGAGGAGCATGCCATCGTCGGCCATTTTGCTCTGCGCCGCGTGTTGCGTTAAGTTATGGTGGGGGCTCTGAAGGTGGACGAGTGTCGAAATCTCGAACTCTGGAACTTTTTAGTGGGGCGCTAACGGCAACTCGGACATGCGGCGGCTTGCCATGATAGCAGCTTCAGCGCAGTTGCGAGTAGTCTTTGCCCTTCTCATCTCTTTGCGAGTATGGCTGTTCTCTCGCGCTTTCTCTGCTCATCTCTCCTAAAAGAGCGGTGCTGTTGTCTTAGCCTTCATCTACCTGCGATATGACATCGAGGGTGGGAGCCATGGCTCGCGCCTCCTCCGCAATGTCACACCTCCGCTATATAACTAGTGAATGGCACCACACCGACCCATTGAGTCACCAAGCTGATCGACCGTAGTACCTACAGCACGCTCATGTTCACCCTCGAGTTGGGACTGCCTGCCCCGGCCCTCCTTGAAGAACAATGGCATCCGCTGCCTCTCGACAAGTTCACCATTCCGCAGCCCATCTGTGCCCGCTTCTGAGACGCACGTCTTCCACCATGTAGCACCCCTGCGCGAGTTTCGGCGACATCTCCTCCTCAACAAGCGCACAGTAGGCCTCGTACCCACTATGGGTGCTCTCCACGAAGGACATGTCTCGCTCGTCCGACACGCAGCAGCCGAGAACACGGACGTTTTCGTCACAATCTACGTAAATCCCACACAGTTCGGCTTGAACGAGGACCTGGCATCATATCCGAAGACATGGGAGTCGGACCTACAAATACTGCATGACATAGACAAAGAGCTAGCGAGCGCAGGGCAGGGTCGAGTCACGGCGGTGTTTGCGCCAAATACTAAGACAATGTACCCCACACTGCCTCCAGACAGCGCTATCCCGGGTGTGGGCAGCTTCATTGAGATGCGCCCGTTAGGTCAGCTTCTCGAGGGCGCATCACGGCCTGTCTTTTTCCGTGGTGTAGCAACAGTATGCATGAAGTTATTCAATATTTGCACGCCTGACCGCGCCTACTTTGGCCAGAAAGACATTCAACAGACCTGCGTCATCAGGCAACTGATCAAGGACTTTCATCTGGACATGGACTTGCGCATCATCCCTACCTCGCGAGAACCAGACGGTCTGGCTCTTTCATCTCGCAATGTCTATCTAGGTGCCCGTCGTCGTAATGTTGGTATTGTGCTTAACCAAGCACTCCGCAAAGCAGAAGCGCAGTACAAAGCTGGAAAGCGGCTGCGGGGTGATATCCTCTGGCCTGCAGTGGATCACGGCGACAAGACAGTGCTCGAACAAGATACTCTGGAACCGAGCAAGCGCGCAAAGTTCCAAATCGATTATCTCAGCCTTGCCGATCCGGACACAATGGAAGAAGTCGATCACGTCGATGAGACAAGGGGCGCGATCCTCAGTGGTGCAGTGAAGATGCTGCCGGTAGAGGAGCCACAAGAGGGTGAAGAGCTGGGTGTTGGAGGTGGTCAGATTCCTGTGCGTTTGATTGATAACATTGTCTTAGATCCAATCAAATAAACAGAGTTATCGTGCAGCTACACCTTCTCTATCCTCACCTTGCTCACCAATAGCTTCATACTTATCTTTCGCTGGTAATAGACAGGCTTCTATGTCTACGTCATCAGTTGGGGTATTAGATTCACCCCCGAAGCTCGAACACAGCATGCATTCGGCGCATCTCCAGACGTCACATCTGATCATGAATGGTACACCTTTCCGCACGTCCATCTGTCTAACTTCCAATCTCCGTTTCCATCGTTGAGTGTGCTCTCTAACAGCAATGTGGTGAACTTCAATGGGTGGACCCGCATAATGCTATGGTTCTCGCATCACTTCCAAGTCAACAAAACCATGGGGCAGCTCTATTGAAACGACTAGACCCCTCCTTATTGTCTCCCAGTGTTCTCCAAACGGTCTTACTACCGCCACTTCAATTCCGAAAGAGCAATTGAAAATGCATCAGGACGCCGAACCATTCGTCCTCAGGTTCCCAGGCCACGCACTCTTCATCTGCTATGGTGAGTCCTCAGAAGCGCCCCCACAGGTGCAACGCCCCCACAACTCTCGTAATATCCTCACAACCGTCCATACCATTACATCCCGTTGACACGCCCGACGCCGCCACCAACAAGCTCAATCCTAACCCATACATCCTCTCCTCGACACGTTAGTCGCTAGGATAACTGAGCTAGATGCGGCGCGGGCTCCCCCTAGCTGCGCGACCGACTGTGCCTCTGCATTAGCCCTCTGAGTAAATAGGTTACGAATTAATTGGTTAACTATGGCTGCAGAGGCCTATTCTAACGTTTAAAGAGCTATCACGTGGTTATTAGACAGTGTATATATAGGTACCCCGCAGGAAGGCAGCAATTCGTCTATCCTCACCGAATACCTCGAGTTGTTTATACTGTAATCGTGGAACCTATCTACCTCACCAATCTACCTCACCAATCTACGGGGTATCATTCTAAGAGCAGTCACACAAAGCGTCTGTTCTAGTCCGCGTAGACTATGTCTCCACCTACCAGTCGTATGTCTTTCAGCCCCCAGTGCTATTATACTGCGCTGGTTCTCCGTGTAGAATACCTATCTAGTGCACAGAGGATCGCTGGCGATGACGAAGGAAAAGGCATTGGTGGAATCTAGGGTGCGAATCTCGTTTCGACCCTTGATTATGGCATAGTGAGACTAGGTGTTAGAAGTACCATTGCAGGTCATAGCAGGGAAAACCTATCTTAGGAGGGAAATAGCACTGATCGTAACATCGTATGCCGATACGCGTGAAGACAGCACACTTCTAAGCTCTACAATTTTACCAATTTTGATAATACTCTAGATGCGGGCGCTGTTGGATAAGTAACGCCGATACATTCCCGTGAATTGGCATGCTACCAGAGCTATATAATACACCATGGTAGCTTAGATTGGGTACTCGGAGGGCACTGGCATTGACAGAAGCTCTCACACTCGGTGTGTACCGAAAAGCTCCCACTGAAAGGGTGTAACGAAGTGTTAACCTAACGAGAGCTCTTGGTGTGGGCGGACACAATTTTTGGGAAGGAACGGCGCCGAGGTCCCCAGATTTCAGGGTATCTATCCATGTCCAACACAAACACTCCGATCTCAACACTTCGTGCCTGATGCGGAATAATATGACTCTGCTCTTGGTCGCAATGTAGCTCTACACAATCCATTCCCGGGTCGGGGTCCAAGTCTGAGCTACGATTTGCATACGGCTTCGACGGTTCCTTCGCAGCCCTAAATTAGGCGTACCCCCTCCCCGGTCAGTCTCCAAGCCTGCAATCCTGCCTCGTATCCAACCTTCCGCAACGCGCAAGTGATACGCTATGTTTGTTTTCCTAGCCCCAAGGCAGAAACCTTAGGTCCATACTCAACATGAGCTTCGGAGTCAGCATCGGCGACATATTCAAGGTGTGCGAGCTCGCTGGACGGGTGTATAAGAACTGTTCGCCTCCCAGCGGTTCCCTGGACGTGTCGTGCTGAAATCCTCCAGGTCGCGATTGTACAGGAGAATACAAGGCTTTAACTACCGAAGCGCGCAGTCTGTCGAACCTCCTCGAGGACATCCAGGATAAATACGACAAGATCCCCGAAAACAAGCGGCCGCAGCTTATAGACGCATACGAACCATGTACCGAAGTACTCGAGGAGCTCGACAAGCTTCTTTTACACTACAACAGTCTCGATACAAAGAGCAAGCGCGCATGGGATCGCCTGAAATGGGACCCAGAAAAGTCTAGAATGCTCCGCGAGCGCCTGACTTCGAGTGTATCGATGCTGAATATGTTCTACACCTCCTTGATACATGATAGCCAGGTCCTCATACTAGACGCTCTGGAGAGACTAGAGAATGACTACAGAGGCGGTCATCGAGAAGAGAGCATTGCGTCTATCGAGCGGATTACCTCTGGTACTCCGCAAGATGATGATGTAGACGACGATGCTGCATGGGCCCAAATCCTGCGCGACCTTCAAGACGTTGGTGTTTCTCAGCAGGAAGCTCTAAGCTATCGTGATGTCATCATCGATTGGCTTGTGACAGCTGTTAATGAGGGCAGACTCCTGGAACAACCTCCGCAACACCACCGTGCCTCCTCGATGCCGCAGAATCTCGGGCCCGCCCTTCCCTATCTTGGTCAAATCGAGGAACCAAAACCATATAGGCCGAAGACCTTAGCACCGAGCCCAGGAAAAATATCGTGTCCCGCACCATCATCCGCGTCGAGTCTACCACTATCACAAGACCAGAGAGGCTATCTGAGCGCGTCCGTGGTCTCTCTCTCTGTATCTGGACGATCGAGCGAGTCGGTTGACGCCAGATCACCTTCCTCTGATGCGGACGCCTCGTCTCTTTACGCTCAACCACAACCTTCACCTATCGCACGCCTAGCAAGCACGCGTGAGATCAGACGCGTTCCAGTACCTCTTCGGAACGTTCCCTCTACTCAAACTATACCTACTACAGCGGCTTTCCCACCGTCTATGCCTCCAGCATCTGTTGCACATCCAGCATATTTTGAGACGGGCACCTCGGCAACGATAGACCTTGAATGGAATGCACAACAGATAGTTGGTGCATGGAGTCGACGTGACTTCCATACCGCGGAACGACTCCTCGAAGACCATTTGGCGGCTGTCGAGCGCGGGCAATCTGGAACCGCTGGAACACAGCCTGACCGTCGCATACTACGACATCTTATCGGGGTGTGTGCTTCGTTTACCGGCAACTTTATGAAGGCTAAAGGCCTCTTTGATAGCGTCTTCAATGGTATCTACCTCAACCGTGGAAGCCTAGATGATGGAGATGTCGCCGCCGCCCGCTGGCTGGGTGATGTCTGCCTCCATCTTCGCGAGCATCACAATGCTGTACTCGCTTATAGTGTCGCTTTCGAGGGCTCCATCGGCCGTCTTGGGGTTGCACGTGATCGTACTCGGCGTGTGTCCGACGAGTTGCGCCTCCTTGATCACTGGCTATACGCTTTTAAACGGATGGAGCAATCTTTTCAACTCAATCATGATCCTACTGACATCTTCACTTCCACACACGGTGTGGAGAAGAGCAATTTGATCATTTCGGTCCAAGCACATTTATATGCGACCAATGGATTTGACGAAGATTACCCAAAACCACCAGGGCATCAGTTGATACGCCCCTCCTTTTTGATAGGCATTCGACCGAAGACAGAACTCGTGTTGTCAGAAAATTTCTTGTTAAGGCCCCTCATATCGCTGAGTGCATGGCCGTTTCCTTGGGATCCTACGTTCTCGCCCGCAGACGCTGTTCAGCTGGACCGGTATATGAACACGCTACGCATCGCCAAGGTGGTCAATTCGTTGGTCGAACGTCCTTTGCCGACGACCAAGCTTGGCGATTCAAAGAAATTACACTATGTGACCAAAAGGGGCAGCCCGTGGTTGATAGAAACGGTGAAGGCGGGTCTGCGAGAGATTGGCATTGAGCATGCAGAGCACGGCTATGAAGCGGCCATCGTCTGCTGCCTCAACCAGCATCGCGATGGATTCGCATTCTCCGAAGGCGTCAAGATCTGTTTTACGAAGCTGCAATTCCGTAATGTGTACGGCATAAAGATCACAGACGTGTATTGGGCCACGCGAAGGTTGGTCGCAACGACCGAGGGCTCAGCGCAGCTGCAGAGAGACACGAGTGATTTCAGGAACATGCTCAAAGGCATATTGGAAAGGGTTGAGGCCGACAGGGACAGTCCAGTGCCAGAGAGTGCCATGAAATTGAGGAGCACGAGCCTGTATCCGCAGTCGCCTCATACACCACGATTGAAGAAGCGGGCAACCTATGGATGAGTTTTAATTCAATATGTGGACTAGGTATCAAGGTTGGATCTGGTCTCGACTCATCATTCATTGTTTGGTAGTCTACGGCCACTCGCCGTCGCGAAGTGCTAGTTTCTGTGGGGCTGTCCGATGGGTCAAACATGCGGCTGGAGACCTAGACGCTGTCCCGAAATCTTAACATGTGCCTTTCTTCTTCGCAAGACATGGCTCAGGGACCAAGTGTGCCGCTGAAGTGGGCCACTCGACGCATCGTGTGCTGATTTATTGCCTCGACTTGCCGCTGAAGGATCGGAAAATTAATCGTTGCCCCTTGAGCGCTAGGGCCAATCCCGACCCTAAGCACTCTGTAATCTCCACGTGCAAGCCAGCTGTTGCAATTACGGCTGTTCCGACCTTTGAATCCTCATCATCCTATCGGCAAACGCAACCGTAATCGTAAATTTATTTTGATGATGCGGCTGTCCGTCCCGGAGAGTGGCGATCATCGGGAGAGGCTGATGCAGAGGCGAGGGGCGTGTCCTTGCCTCCCCAATGTAAACACAAAGCCAGCTGCAAGCCGTATGCTGAGCGACGTTTCGAAACCAGCTACCAGAAAGCCTCCCGACAACAACAGAAACCGTGTGTGGAAAGTCATCGAATGAGGCGGAAAGTCTTGGTATTAGGCCAAGCTGTGGAGGATTCATGAGATGAGGTAGCTAGTCAGCTCGAGCCGTGCTGAGCATGTCACCAACGCACGTCGGCAGGAATAGCAGCCTCCTTTTCTGTTTTCTTTGTCTTTGGCAATTGCTGATGCGTTCCAAGACATGAGGCGCCTATGAACGGAGTGGTCGTGCTGACTCGTAGATTGCTCTTCATATCCCACAACCCCGCTTTGGCTGCTGTAGCACGTAGATGGGCGCATCGTTTCGCCAAGCAGAAACAAACGAGATTAATCCAGGCACGGTACCTCGATTAGCTCCGTCTGAGAAAACGCCACCAGCGGCTTACCTTACCCAAGGTTTGGGTAGCGGCTCGCTACAAACGCTCGTTTGTGTGTTTCATGTTCCAAGAGGGAAGGTTACATGGTTTTGATTGGCCGCCGCTGACGGCACTCCCTAAGGCTGACTGCCCCTCGGGATCGGAGTGCCACTCCTAGCAGACTTTGGGCAAGACGCTGCGCATCACAAGAGGATCTGGCACAAGGAATTTATTTTCAATGGGTCAGCAAAGCGGAGGCTTGACACAGGGATGCCCCGGGATTAGCTTTCCGCACGGGGGATCCGCAGCACCTGGCCGGGCATCAAAACCTAGCCGCAGCCCCCCTCGGTGGTAGACATCTTCCTCCTTACCGTGGACCTTCGAGCACTGCCATATATCCAACTTCTGTCTTTCTTTCTGGCGTTCTACTGCCACTGTCATTCTTTACGTCGCCAGCCGACATCCATTCTTTCTGCGCAGCTTGCTCGCCCTCTGAGTCCTAGCGACCCTCCCCTTCGTGTGTCATATACTACAACTACTTGCTCCCCATCCACGACTCTTTTGATCCGCCAAAAAGTCGAACTCGACCAAGATGAAGACCCAATCTATGCTTCTTGCGGCTTTGGCTTCGGCCCCTGCTGCCCTTGCACACACCGTCTTCACTGACTTCTTCGTCAATGGCCAGCCTCAGGTACGCTTTATACATCTATAGCTTCATTCATGTACTAGACACTAACGAGAGCCAGGGTGACGGCGTTGCCATGCGTATGAGCCCCAACTCGGATACTGCCGGTAGCCCCATCAATGGCCTGGGCAGCGAAGACATGGCCTGCAACGTTGGCGGTACCAAGGGTGTCTCTCGCGTGCAATCGGTTCCTGACGGCGCACTTCTCTCCTTCGAGATCCGCTCATGGGCCGACGACCCCTCTAAGCCCCCGCTAGACCGTGGCCACAAGGGCCCTTGCGCGGTGTACCTGAAAAAGGTCTCCTCCGCCATCAACGACAAGGCTGCGGGCGACGGCTGGTTCAAGCTCTTCGACCATGGCTACGACAGCTCCACCCAACGCTGGTGCACAGATGAAATCATTGACAACAAAGGCCTGCTTTCTATCAACCTACCCAAGGGCCTCGAGGGTGGCTACTACCTCGCTCGTCCTGAGATTCTAGCTCTTCATGCTGCCAACAATGGAGATCCTCAGTTCTATACCGGTTGCGCACAAATCTTCCTTGAGAGCACCGGTAACCTTGTTCCTGAGTCGACTGTATCCATCCCCGGACATGTTCAGAATAACCAGCCCTCCACCAACTTTGACATCTACAACACGGACAACGCAAAATACACCGTTCCCGGACCAGCGGTCGCAAAGCTCACCGCCAAGGGTACGCAATCTGGATCCGATGCTCTGACCTCGCAAACCGAGGGCCAAAAGCCCGACGGCTGCCTCGTCGAAAACGCAAACTGGTGCGGGCATGAAGTCCCCTCGTACACGGACGAGACCGGCTGTTGGGCCGCTTCCAAAGACTGCTACGCACAGGGCGAGGTGTGCTGGAACACCTCGCCTCCTACAGGTAACGCGGGCTGCAAGATCTGGCAAACAAAGTGCCAGGGTATCCAAGCCGAGTGCACGGCCAAGAACTTCAACGGTCCCCCAAACAAGGGCAAGGTACTTACGCCTGAGAAAAGCGTGAGGGATGTTGGCAAGGTGATGGCGACGGTGGGTGGTGGCATTGCGGATGCGCCCGCGCCCAAGACCAGTGCGACGAACAAGGAGGCGTCCAAGACGGAGACTCCGGCCAAAGCCACGGACGCTCCCACGACCAAGGAGGCTGACAAGGAGGAGTCGAAGCCCCAGACGTCCGCAAAGCCTCGTCCCGCAAAGACTACCCCCGTTGAGGCCGCGGCGCCAAAGCCCACTCCTGTAGACTCGGATGACAGTGAGTCGGATTCGGATGATGAGCCAGCTACTCCCGCTCCTGCCTCGCCCGCCGCCTCATCCATTGTCGCCTCTGACGCGCCCCTCTACACCATCACCGTCGCACCATCGTCTGCTGGTGCGCCGGCGCCCACCGAGGCACCTCAGGTGTGCCCCAAGGGCTTCAAGTGCATTACCGAGACTGTAGTCGTTACGCAGACAGTGTACGTCACTGCTGCCTACGACTCCTACAAGAAGAGGAGTGGAAGCTTCCGTCAGCGAAGGCACCCTCACCGCCATTAGATGGGCGGTTGCTTTGGAAGATGAGCAGAGGAGTGGGAATATGGAAAAGGGGGGTATTACGTTCTGCGATGGAAAATGTCGCGAGCCTACGGGCTCTGTTTGCCTATTTTGGAATATGAATGAAACATGTCCTGCTTTTGAGGTAGCATTGTGAACGACTGTACTGTACTGTGCTGCATTTTTTGGTGCCATCTACCTACTTTCTACAACCGTTCGGGCCTTTGCTATGGCCAATAGAATCCTTTTACAACGAAGATTGATTTTGCGAGCTTGAATGTTGTGTGTGGTATGACGGACTCAAAATGATCAAGCATGCTCCAATTGTCGCCCCGATACATGGAGTCAATGTTTCTTCCGAAAGAGGATGCAAATATCCGGCGATATGTAGGCTTTTATCATGTGGCACCAAGTACATTGCAAGGATAGTTCGTGTTCGTGTTCGTGTGGATGGTGTCAATCAAAAAACATTATTCTTGCAACAAGTAACTCTGGTCTCAGTCTTCACTCGTTCAATCATCAATGCAATACACAGTTGAAGGCGACTAACGCTTTCCAGCAGTTTTTCACTGCTCTCCGTCCGCAGTCCGTAGCTTGACGCTGCCATCTGCCATTCCGAAATAGACGGCGATGGGTTTTTGTCCGCCGGTCACTGCACTTCGCGCTCCGTCTTTGGCCCGTAGTGCTTCCGCATGATTACCGTCCATACCCGAAAAGATGCCCACCTCTAGCACACCGGTCAAGGCTTTAATGGCCCTGCTTATGTTGTTGACCTCCCACGTCCCGTCGCTTCCGTCTCCTTTGCCCTTGCCAGCTGCAACATCGGCCGAGGTGAGCAGCGGGGGGAAGGGGGCATCGATGATGAAGAAGTGTTGGTCCGTCTTAAGGGGTCCTGACTTCTCCAGCAGCGTGGTCCTCAACTTTGGGTTGGTCGAGCCGAGGAGCCTGAGGGCAGTCGTGACCGTGTTCTGCGACAGCGGTGCGACCTCGATGGGTATTGTTGGCCAATTGGTGAGCAAGCGGTCCTGCCTCTTCCTGTAATCGGCCACGCACACAAATTTCTTGGCCCGCTCTGCGACCAGCTTCTCTTGGAACAAGCATGCGCCTCCTCCTTTTATACAGTTGAGTTCTGTATCCACCTCATCTGCGCCATCGAAGGCGACATCCAGCATGACGCGGTTTGGCAGACTGTCGAAGGAGATGGGCGTGAGGCCAGCGTTGATGACGAGTTGACGCGATTGGTAGCCGGTGGGTACGAAAAGGATGTTTGGGTTGGTAGAGCGCTCCTTGATGGCTTCGACGACGTAGACGATGGTGGTGCCAGAGCCAATGCCGACATAGGATGCGGATGGGTCGAAGTGGTCGGCCACTGCTTGCTGTGCAGCAGCTCGTTTGGCAGCCTCTACAGTGGTGTCTGCCATATTGGCCTTTGCTTCGCTGCGGAGTGGTGTGGTGGTGAAGAGGGCCCTGCGGGTGCAATGGAGAAATCGGACAGAGGGACTGGGAGTGTATAAGGGCTGTGAAGAGGGTCTAGATGAGGGTGGAGTGAGGAGGAGGGGCAGTCGAGGCTTCGGATGACTGATGCTGCGAATCTGCTGATATAGAGTGCCAGGCCGCAGGTCAATTGGGTTTATTAGCCGCATAAACCTAGTCACAGGATAATACTGAGACTTTCCAAATGCCGTAAGACAAGGGCAGCAATTTTTTCTGATATCGCAGCGAGACAAATTCTAAGCTTGACGATCTGATCGAGCCCCGCCATGGCTGCCCTCCCCCCTCCCCGCGTTGCGCTTGGCGAGGAATGACATGGTGTCTGTGCCTGAGAGCTATCAGTAGCAGGGGGGGCCATATGTCCGCGCTAAAGCCCCCGCGCCTACAAGAGCTTCCACCCTACAATATTCCCACTTTCTCACGTATCGACAGCCTGGTAGAGTCTCCTAGTCCGAGACCATGGCGGATCTCCCTCCTCCCGTCCAGGGACCGACCGCCAAAGAGAAGAAGTAGGCTCTCCCATGCTCCCGAGAGCTCTCAACTTGCCAAACGGCTACTAATCCAGCCAGGTACGACCGTCAGCTACGCCTCTGGGGAGCTACGGGTCAGATCGCGCTCGAAAAGTCGCACATCCTCCTCATCAACTCTGGCCCTGGCGTAGTTGGGCTGGAAACACTCAAGAACCTCGTCTTGCCCGGAGTCGGCAATTTCACGATACAGGATTCCGCCATAGTGAGCGAGGCAGATCTGGGTGTCAACTTCTTCTTGGAGGAGCAACATCTGGGAGGCTTTCGTGCGGAACATACATGCAACCTACTGAAGGAGCTTAACCCTGATGTAGAGGGCCAGTATGTCACAGAAGTAGGGTCAAGCTACACAACTATACTCTGCTGCCTATGGCTAATACCATGTCCAGCCCATCGAGTCATGGCTATTGCAGCCCGACGCTCTGCACCCATACACGCTCATCATCGTAACCGCACCTATCCGTACCGAGCTCCTCACCAAACTCTCCGACCACGCAAGCGCCGCGCTGACCCCACTCTTCTACGTTCACTCGGTCGGCTTCTACTCACACTTCTCCGTACACCTACCTCCCGCGTTCCCGGTTGTAGACACACATCCAAGCCCTGAAACAACGTCAGATCTTCGACTACTTCACCCATGGCCGGAGCTGCTACAGTACGCCGAAGAGAAGACGGCCAATCTAGACAGCATGAAGGCAGACGATCACGGACATGTTCCCTGGATAGCCCTGCTGTTGCACCATCTTGAGCAGTGGAAGAAGGAGCATAATGGAGAGGTACCGCAGAGCTACAAGGAGAAGACTGAGTTCAGGACTACCGTGTCGCAAGCGGCGCGGACTGACAACCCCGAAGGTGGTGAGGAGAACTTCGAAGAGGCAGTAGCGGCAGTGCTGAAGTCGCTCAACCCGCCACAACCAAGCAGCGCCGTCAAGGAGATATTTACCGCCCCCGAGTGTCTTCTCGTGCGTGAAGACTCACCTACCTTCTGGGTCATCGCGAATGCCATCGGCCTATTCTACACCAAGTACAATGTTCTTCCTGTACCTGGATCTGTACCGGATATGAAGGCGCGTTCAGCCGACTACATTCAACTGCAAAACGTTTACAAGTCGAAAGCGCGGAAAGATTTGGCAGAAGTGGTAGACAGCGTACGCTTTCTGGAGCGCAATGCGAACCGGAGTAACGCTATTGACGAGAAGGACATTGAAGCATTCTGCAAGAACGCAGCGCATATCAAGCTGGTGCGTGGCCGGCCATTGCATGTTGTACAGGCGGGCGAAAAGGTCAAATGGGGCGACCGGGCAAAATCCATCGGTAAGTGGGCAGATTGTGCTTGCGTTTGTCCAATATTGACATTCTACAGCTCAAACGCTCACCTTTCCCGACTCTTTGATTCCCTTGTATATTGCTTTCCTGGCTTGGGACGAGTTCGTCGCCACACATGCCAAGGATGGCTTAGGCGGCGCGCCCCAGGTTCCCGGTGAGACTGATCCAGACAAAGACTCAGAAAAGCTCACTGGTATTGCTTTTAAGATCGCAGACGATCTGGTCAAAGAGGCAAGTGCTTCGATCGATGAGGACGATTACGCCACCATCAAGACTCAGATCGGGAATTTCACAAGAGAGCTGTAAGTGCCACCCAAGCGTAATAGTGAACGGAAGAACTAACGTAATAAAAGCGTCCGAGCTGGTGGCGCTGAACTACACAACATTGGTGCATTGACTGGTGGCATCGTCTCGCAAGAGGTCATCAAGGTCATTACGGAACAGTACGTTCCTGTCGATAACACATGCATCTTCGACGGGATCAAGAGCAGAAGCACCGTCATCAAGGTATAGGGAGATGATACCCAGCAGTACTTGTAAGCAGAGTTGAGGCTATGGTGCCGCAGACGGGTCAGTTGGGAGCAAAATGGTGTCAACTAAGCTCACAACGCGGTGGCCAACTGGCCCGATGAGGAAGAACGAGTGAAGTTGCTTGAAGTGAGTTAACAGTGACTCATGCGGATAGTACATCAGACTGTCTAAAGCGAATCTGCGGGAAGGAATGGTTACATCACGACACCAACACGTCGCTAAGACCATCAAATACACTGTACTCATGTAACGAGAAGTGAATCTCTGAATGCTGTCTATTACATACGTGCTTTCATACCCAAGTGAGTGGCTGTAGGCGGTCGCTCCTTTTCTCTTGAACTCAACCTTTCACCTGACCACAATACTCTTACCATTTGCTTAAAAGCAGGCTTAGAAAACTTCTAACCAACAGCGATGCCAAAACAATCCAAACTAACGTTCTCTTCCTCTCCTCGCCCGCGGGACCCCTCTTATGCTGACAAAGCACTTGAACTTTGTCCACGTGACGGACGCGTTCTAGAGCGGCGCGTCAATGAATCGGAGGCTCCTTTCACGCCGACATCATCGCAACCCGCTCCGCCCATTCCTCTGCCCCAAGGCCCTATGGACGCATCATTCGACCTCCCAGACTCCACAGATTGGTTGTCAACGTCCCTCCCTGTATTCGAACCGCTTGAAGCTGCCTTGCGCTGCGAAGTCTGCAAAGAGTTCTACATCAACCCCGTCATCACGTCCTGCGCGCACACATTCTGCTCGATATGTATACGAAGATGCATAGCTACGGATGGGAAATGTCCAAGCTGCAAGACTGGCTGCTCGAGCGACAAGTTGGCGCCGAACATTGCTGTTCGGGAGGTGGTGTTGCGATTTCAAGAGGCGAGACCAAAGGCGCTGGAATTGGCACGTGCAGACAAAGAAGAGGAAGCCCCAATAAGTAGCGGAAGGAAGAGAAAGCTGGGCGAGACGGACGTGGAAGAGGGAGACAATATTAGGCACACACGGTCGCGACAAATGCGTGGTCAGAGCCGCCGCACTGAGGGAACGGACGATGCGCGTCTCGAAATTGCGGACAGTGAGGATGACGGCGACGACGAGTTTCTCCCCGAAGGCATGGCGAAGTGCCCGATCTGTCACAAGCAAATGAAAGCAGAGCAGGTTTTCAACCACCTGGATATATGTCCTGGCCAGAACGCATCGCAGGGCCGCAGTACCCGGTCAAAGTACGTATAGGCATAGGACGAACAATACGACGACTCAGCTGACATTACTCTGCTGCAGAACAAAGACCCCATTTCACACCGCCCTACAAAGAAGGCAAAAAGACCCGTCTCCTCCACCTAGCCGATTATCACAGTTCAATTATGCTATGATGAAAGAGGCGGCGCTACGCAAGAAATTACATGAAGTCGGGATACCGAATTGGGGTAACAAGGACCTATTGAAAAGACGCCATATTGAGTGGTTGAATATATACAATTCGAATTGCGACGCGGACGACAACGTGCGCAAGAGGAAGAAAGAGTTATTGAAAGATCTGGAAGAGTGGGAGCAAACTCAAGGTGGGAGGGCCGACAGTAAGGAGAGCAAAATCATGAGAAAGGACTTTGATGGGAACGGATATGCGAAGTCCCATAAAACGGACTTTGACGATTTGATAGCACAAGCACGGCAAAAGCGAGCTGTGCCAAAAGCGAATACTTCAGAGGCGACTGCAGCGCAGCCAAACACCGAGCTGCGAGACGTAACGCAAAATCCACGAGACGCCCATGCGAATTTGCACCATGGTACCGACCACCCCTTTCACCAACCCTACGAGCAAGTACCATACGCTTCACCCAATCCAATACCGCCAGTTAATACACAGCGACCCTATGAGAACAACGAATTAGCACTCGCATCCATCCGCGCAAAGGTACACGAGGCTAATAATAACGAGGCTACAGCACCAAAGTTGAGGTCTGAGAGCTCGATGGAGAGCGCGAGACGGCGCAGTTCAGCAAATGTAGAGGGTATGAGCAATCCGCTTGGGAGTCCAAGTAGGAAGGTACCGATGTTTGCTCTGTCGGAGGAGCCAGTTAGGGATGTTGAGAGCTCAACTGTGGTGCAATAAGTATTTAGGCCCATGGTCCCCATATTGGACGTATTGGAGTAAACCAATTTTATCCCCACACCCTATTTCTACTCGTATTTCTCATTCCATTTTTACTTGAAATCTTGCACCAGCCCAGAGACCCTCGCGACTTTTGTACTCTTTTCTCAAATACTTTTACACCAGCCTAAAGGTCTTCGCGGCATTTTACATTCGTCATAGTATCTGCATTTCCATTGCGAAACCTTCCAGCCTTCACTATGCCCTCACTACCTCCTCATCGTCTACGATACGACAATGCAGCACCCGAGGTGTCAGTGCCGCTGTCCCCGCTGGCGGCTACGATTCGGGGTCGTCGCACCCCCAAATTAATCAAAGCCCCGAGAGTAACATGGGCGACGACAAATGCGTCTTACGACGAAGAAGCTGAGCCTGGCTTGCGCGGTAAGTGTGTTTGCGAAGAACTCTATCCCTGTTGGACACAAAACTCTTAGAACGATCAATCTATCTTGCTGGGAAGATTTGACTAATCTGATGGATTTTCTCGAGTAGCCTCTTCGCCCTCCCCATCCCTACTGCTTGTACCAGGCATATACGAGCGCCAAATCCGCTCCATTCCACATAAACTCTCCACCCTGTCTGAAGCCTCTTCAACCTCAACCTCCGCCTCCGCCTCAGATGCCATTGTTTCTCCGGTCCATGGCCAACGCCAACGCCAACGCCAACGCCAACGCCGCTCCACCCCGTCGCTCACCACCCCTTCACCATCGCCAAATTCCCATGATGTCCTAGTGGGCAAGGGCCACAATGCGCAGCAGCAGCGTAGAAGTGTGCCGCATGTAAGATCGCGGTTTAGAGAGCGGGTTTCGCTTGATGGGCCGGCGCTTTTTGAGGGGAATCCTGACCCGGGGGTCAATGGTAGTGTAGATGGGGGGAAGGAGGCGGCTTCGGAAGAAGAGGAAGGGGTGGATGATGATGAGGAGGAGGAGGATGAAGAAGAAGATGGTGGTGAAATTGACGAAGAAGAGGAGAAGAAAAAGAGCGAGGATGAGTACGACGAGCTTGCTCGCAAGGTACTCGCACAAAGAGCTAGGAGAGCAAGTTGGAGGGGAAGTTTAGAGCGGGCGTGGAAGGCTGTCAAGAGGGTTTTTGGGGCACGGAGGCATGATGTCTGAAATAGACGTTACGTGGAAAAAAGACTTTTCGTTTGCAAGAGCGCAAGTAGAGCGATCCATCCATCCATATACCCATGGGCGAAATCAAAGCAAAGAAATGTACAGTGGTCAAGGTCTTGTTCAAAGAGTTCGTGATAAACCGTATAACATTGTGTGATGTATCCCATTCCGTCTTGACCCAGTCATGTCGTCCTAGCGCCTGTATCGCCCGGATCTGAATAACAGTGGTATCTTTTTTTCCTTACAACATTGCGAGAAGAGATCATAGACAAAAGAAACAAGTGATGATACAACAGACAGGCTTGGTGCCCGCGACAGCCAACATGAAACCCCGCGAGAAACAAAAAAAAGTTGTAGCGAAAATCACTGATAATCGTACCACTCACGCTCATTATATGTGAATCCCTGCATGCCCATACCACTAGCACCTCCTACCCCAGTTAAGTTGGGGTCACCATTGCCATTCAGATTCGGGTAGCCATTAGCAGTTTGTCCGCCTACGGGTCCACCGTTCATCTCCCCGCTCATGACAGGATTAGTCGGCGCATGGTATCCATTCGTCGGTGATGCCGTGCTAGCAAACCACGACGCAATGTCATCAATACTTTGAGGGTTCCAGTTGTCGAAGCCAGACGCCAGTTGAGTCTGGTCTCTGAAAATCCAGTCTTGCCCTTCTCTGATAAGCTGATCCACCCCACCAAATAACTGGCTCGGTGAATTTGCAGCAGTGCTTTGGCCATCGATAGAAAGACGGGCTTGGGTTGAGGCTGGCGTCGCTGGGTTGAGGGCTGAAGTTTGAGGTGTTGAATGGTCCCGTTGGTGCTGAGTGCGCGTGTAAGCCAGCGCGTTTGGGTCGGAAGGAGGCAGGGTGTTTGTGTCGAAGGAACGCGCAAAGGAGTCTATGCTTACGGAATTGTTGTTGTTCGGTATCCTATTGAGGTATTGCGGCGTTGCTACACTAGTCATGTTCATGCTGTAGGGTTGAAGAGATGGCGAGGCTTGATCTGCCGGGGACGGTTGTTGTTCCAGACTTGGCACAGGCTCACTGTGAGTGGCTTTTGGCGTACTGACTTCGTTCCAAGGACCGAATTTGACATCGGTGCGAGACAGTACTGCCGCAGCTTCCTCTGGGAGTTTGACTTTCCAGCGCTTGGCAAGTACACTCAGGATTACAAGGGTGCGACGTGCGCATATCCAGCCTTCGGCTATCTCTTCCAGGTGCTTCACACCATGGACGATGTCTCTGCTTGCGTTCTTCTCTGGAAGATTGAGAAGGTGTATCGTACACGCCGAGTGTGCTATGTAGACACAGATGTTACAAATCTGTCGCAGCCCATGTGATCGCTTGTAAAGTCGAAGTAGCTTCGATATCATGGCGGCAGCTTGGGTACAGAGCTTCCGAGGAGATACATGTGCGGGCAGTGGTGAGTTGTTCGGGTTGTACTTGAGGAACGGCCGGAACAGGTGGATGTAGAGTAGTTGGAAGAACATACTGTGTCTGGATTAGTAAGGGTAATCGAGGCCAAGAAGAATGACTTACTGCATGACCAGCATGTGCGGTAACCCACCCTCCTTGGGTTCCAGCTCTTTCGGTAGCTCTCGTCTCCACGTCTCCAATCGCACGTGTATCTCACTGAGCTTTTTCAGCTCAGCTTGCTTGCCCTTGGTTTTGTCCATATCGATTGGGTTGTAGAAGGAGTTCATTAGGTCGCTAGAGATCTCGCAGAGCTTCGAGATCTGAAGAGCAACGGCCCGTGTCCTGCTGGGCTGCGAATGCGCTTGGCTGATGCCCGAGTCTGTGACTCCGCTCCAAGTCTCCGCATCCTCGACCGGAAAGACGTCAAATTTGGAGACTGTCAGTATTGTATTTGGCAGTTGCGGCATACGTCCCAGATAGTTGCTCCAGCACTTGTCAAACAAGAAGCAGCCCCAAAAGGTGATCCTTCGAGCATCCTCTTCGTTTTCGTCGATGGTGTCTTTGCTATGCATGCCGAGGTTGAGGCCCAAGTCGCAGGCCATTCGAAACGACATACCGCTGTACACCCAACCTTTGGCTTCCCTTCCGCAGCCTGCTTCCCGCACGGACATTAGTGCTAGGGCTTGAACGGTGGCTAAAGCTGGTACTTCATGCAAGTCGCCTTCCATGATCAGTCTTTTCGCCTCTTTGAAGAAGTGATCTCCGGCCGTGGCAGAATCATCTCGTACAGCCCTTGCCCCAGGCCAAGACGTGAAATGACAGCCCAGTGCCAGCATTGCGTTGACTAGCAATGGTGTACAGTAATGCATCTTCCTCGCAGAACCTGGCGGTGGCTTGCCCAGTTTGAACTCCTGCAGGAACAGGTTCTTTGACAGGGTAGTGAAGAAGCTGTAATGCCAGCAAAAGTACATGCTGATCAGATGCTGCACGAGTTCCGGCTCCGACGTTACGGTTGTCCAAGAGCAGAATGGGTCTTCCATCTGCTGGTATGGGTCCTCGGGGTATGTGTCGGGAGAATCGGCAACGTCGTTGTCCTTGCCCAGGTATATGAGGTGTGATGTACCGCCAATGTACCTTGTGGAGCCATGCTCTAGACGCAGCTCTCCCATCTTCCCACTCAGCTGGTTCTCAAACGTCGGCTCTGTGGGCCCCATGGGCGGTGTCGATATGGGGCTGCCAGGTTCATCCTCGTCCTCTTCGCCATTCTCTTTTGCGAGGATCGTCTCGGCAACGGTATCCAGGCTCTCACAGGTCCGTATCTGATGGACGAGATCGGCAACTTCGTCTTCGGGGTAGTTGAGAATGGCCTGGATCAGCGTCTGGAGCGTTGAGTTGCGCGTCTTGAGATTGTCAATGTCCTTCTTGTAGACGCCCTTGCGGCGATGGTCTGAGTTTGGGTCGTAGATGCATTCGGTATTATATACGGCAGCACACGCGGAGCAGGCTGGAGTAGTTCCGTCACACTGTATCGCATGTCAGCTGCCGCTCTTTGCATAACACGAGCATCTCCGGTCGAGGTCGAGGAGGGTGTTGCCTACCTTTGACTTTCTCTTCCTGCACGGCACGCAGGCACTGGAGATGCAGCGTCTCTTCTTGGAGTCTTCGCTCCCAGCATCTCGCTTGCTCCGGCGTCCCTTCTTATTACTAGCAGGCGCGTCGGACAGCGCATGGGATTCGTCCATGGTAGACTGCGAGGCTCCCCGGAGATAGCGGTAGACAATAATGTGGGGTTGGATGGCGGGGCGCTTGGACAACAGCGCTCAATCTGCCAGACATTAATCATCAGCCGCCAGAGGGAATGGTCCGTCGACGACTTCAACCCTCAACATGGCGGGCCAGGGACAGGGACGTGGTAGATGGTTGCAATCGGCCAAGTCTGGAGTGAATTGATTCAGAGGAGGCGTGATTGGCTCCGGGCAGCCCTTATCGCATCGCTGCCTCTCTCGCCAAGCACACCGCAATCCAACCATGCTAGACCTCCACCAAGTCTGTAGTGATGCGGCAAGGTAGCCTGGAGGCATTCAACCATCTAGAACCTCGCGGTTCAGCTGGCGTTGGTCTCGCCAGGAGGGCCTCAGTGGCGCGAGAACATGCATAAAAGGAAGCCGGGTTAGGACACTGACGCTGAATTCGACTTTTATAACTAGATCAAACTGAATGGTGCTGGAGTAGCCTGGAGTATCTCACCACCATATGGCTAGAAAATACCAAGCCTGGTATCCAAGCCCCGTGAAGCGTCCACTTCATGTCGCTTGGCCGATTCCCACGCACCAAACCCCCAAACCAAAAGTCCCAGCACATTTGCAACTTTACCCACCGGAACGCCTGCCCTGAAGGCACTCGCATCCCTAAAACCAAATCCAACCCCAAACCAGCACCCCCCCACCTAGAGTTCGTCGGCATAGCCCTCGTCGTCACGGTCAGCCCTGAAACCACCACGAGAATCCGGGTTGTCGACCATAATGTACGTATTGCCATCATCGTCTTCTCGCAAATTGCCGAAGAGCCGCATCAGGTCGCGAATACTCATCCTAGAGCCCTGTTAGCTGTATCCGCACTAAAGAAAGCTGGTACCACGTACTTTTTGACCGTGGTGCCGTCATCATCCATAACGGCATCAATCTCCACCTGTTTGCGCTCCTGCATTTCGATCAGGTCCGCGTCGACCGTGTCCTTGACGCAAAGCCGGCTCATGAACGTCTGCTCCTTCTGCCCGATACGGAACACTCGACAGAAAGCCTGTTGCTCCGACGCTGAGTTCCACCAAGGATCGACCATGATGACTTTGGATGCCATGGTTAGGTTGAGGCCAACTAAAAGCTAGTCAGTGCCGATATCGAAGAGAAAGCAGCAAGTACCTACGACCACCACAGCGGAGAGAGGCCAACATGACCTTGATGTTGGGATTCTCAGCAAAAGAGCCGATGGCCTTGTCACGAGCGGGTAGGCTCATGTTGCCGTGGTACTGCAACAGTAGTCAGTATCTGTGCGTACTTTCAGTCGTTCCCAAAGTGTAGCCTGGATTTCTCCAGTGACATTTGTAGGATCTGAATCTTACAAACGTCGTTGAAAATCTCCAGGCCATACTTGGGAAAGGCCTCATACCTGTTCAACTTCCCAGCCCTCTTTCTGGCAAACTCGAGTCAAGATACGGATCCTGTCATACGGTTAGTCGACTGACATGCTAAAGGACCTACCAACTTACATGGCCAGAAACTGCGTGTAGATGATGATCTTGACGCCCGGGTTCTCCCTAGTCCAGTTGATGATTTGAGCTTTGACCGCAATCGTCTTTGCTGAAGGTAGAACATCATCACCCACTGATGCCAGCCAATCCTCAGCGATATCCTCCTTCTCGCGACGCTTGCGGTTATTGTCCTTCCTTCTCCTTGCTTGAGAGCGAGTGCCTTGCGCAACAGCCTCTGGGCTATCTTCATCATCGGGGTCGCACCGGTGTATGTAGCTGGGAATAACGCCGCACACTTTGCAAGATGCGTACTCTCTGCATTCCGCTGCTGCATCCACGTACGCATTATCCAAGCATGGGTCGCTACAGATGAGATGGCCGCAAGAAGTCATGAACGGGTTCCGCGGTTGCTCACCGCAACTACCACATTTCGCCTTCTGCTTGACCTTCTCCCAACTCTCGCCAGTCTTCAGGCTGCTCAGGAATGGTTTGAAGTTGTACTCCTTGCCAAACTGCCCACCAGAGCCTCCGCGGCCACCTGCCTGTTGTGTATGTTCTTCGGCTTCAGGCTCGTCTTCGTCATCAGTATCGTTGCCCTCCTCGTCCACGGGCATGTCAATATCGTTCACATCTCGGCCGGCTTTCTTTGCGGCTTTCTTAGCGGCGGCCTCCGCGGCACTCTTCTTCTTCTGGTCGGCTGCAAGTTTTTCGAGCTGTTTTCGAACTGCAAGAATCGTATGGCTGCCTTTGTTATTTTTGCTCGTTGCTTGTTCATTGACGATTTCCCTAATGCGTTCAATGTCCTCGCGCTCGAGAAGATCTCGCATAACGAACTGCAACATCAGAACGTGGGCTGTCAGTTGACGGAGTCGTAGAAGCATCCTACCACTAGTTAGTAATGTCGATCCACACTTATTCAAGTAACTTACACCAAGGCGTTGCTGTACGAATTCTCCAACTCTCCCTTCTTCGTCAACACGTTGATGCGCTTTGCGAATCGAACACGGACTATATCGTAAATGCATCGCTCGAGTGGGTTGAAGTCGCACCAGTATGTGGTCTGATCAGCCTGAGGAAGCTTAAGAATCGGCGCTCCAAACATCTCATCAGCATGAGTACGTCGAATCATGAACTGCGCCAGGCGAACGAGGAGGCGCTCAACATTCTCCGGGCTTCCTTTCTCACAGTAGTTGTGCTTGAAGATCTTGAAGCTACCCGTATGTGGAACACCGAGGAACTTGAAGTAAGCATAGAGCTCGGTAAGACTGTTGAGGACGGGAGTGCCGCTGAGAGCCCACTTGTGCTGTGCCATTAGCGCACGACAAGCAATCGAGGTACGTCCCATATGGTTCTTGATAGCCTGAGCCTCATCAAGCACGATGCGCAAGAACATGCCGCGATGCAGAAGACCTCGCTGCGTCTTATAGACTTCTTTCCACCAAGCAATCTTCTGTTCAGCGGTCTGGCACTCGATCGGTGGCTCGTTCTTCGGATAGGATTTCATGATCTCGCCATAGGTGGTAAGAATGATGTCGTGGGCGGCCAGGATGTGGAATGCATGATTTGAATCAATGCGTGTACCAGCACCGTATCGCATGATTCTGAAGTCGCGGTCGGTGTGTAGTTCGATCTCATTCTTCCATTGAGTGAGAATCGCGGGACTGGCAACGAGAAGGGTTGTCCTGGGCCCTTTGGCTCCTCTGGGAGGCTGTCCGTTGACTATGTTTACTGCCCTTAATTAGTACCATCCTGTTGCATGAGACCTCCAGGAACTTACCAAGCATCATGAGAGTCTTGCCCAATCCCATCTGGTCAGCCATCAACCCGCCCCTGGGCTCCTCGCTAGCGTTCTCGCGTCGACGCATGAATGCGGTACCGAGGACTTGATAGCCTTTCAAGGACGTCTTCATCCCCTTCACTATCCAGTGGCCATGCCCGTCAGACTTGACTGCACCTCTGCCATCGAAGTCCTTTGTTGCGGCCAACAGGATGGTCATATCGCCCTTAGCTACCTTTTGGTCCTCAATTGGCACACTGGCGATGAGCTCTTTCAATGCGTCTGCCTTTACCCTCGATTTGAAAGTAGGCTGTTCATTCGCGTCGGCACCGGCTTGTTGCTGGAAGACGTTCGAGTTAAAGAGGGATGTGGCCTGTCTGACAGCGAACTCTACTTCTCGCTTCTTCTTCGCCGCGTTCCGAACACCATTGGTGGATTTTTTGGGAGGTGCCTTCGCTTTGGGGGTCTTTGTGTTTTTTGTGTTTTTGGGCTTCGAGCCTCTACCCGGAGTAGATGAGGGGTCCGCATCTTGAGACTGGTCATCTGACGGTGCTGTTCTCTTCTTCTTGCGAGGTAGGTCGCCTGCAGCTTCTAGAGCCACCCGCATACTGCTCAGTTCAGCATCCTGGATAGAAATCTGCTTCGGCTCCTTTTGAGGCAACTGTCGACGACGTTTGCGCGGGTTAACGCCGTCGATGGTAAAAGCATTTTCGTCTGATTCAGCATCTTCGTCGTCATCGTCATTCGCCGCAGTTTGAACCTCTGGGAAGAGGTCTGGTTCCCCGTCCTCGTCTTCTTGGGCCATCGCAAGGTCACGCAGTCGCTTCTTCCGCCTGGCCTCTTCGGCACCCTTGATCTTCATCCACTCTACATCTTGCCTAAACGACAGCCGGCCGCCATTCTTGCGTTTGATATCATCGTAACAGCGCTTCTGTTGTGCATAGTCCGCCATAGCCTGCCGGTTCGCCATATCATCTTCGTCGACAGCAGGTACGGGTGTTGAGGATGAAGGTGTAATACTCGACATTATCGCTTGCAGGTAGGCTTCATTGTCAGGGTTAGCGTATGACGTAAAAGCGACATGCTTGGCCGCAGCGTTCTTCTTTTCCTGGTGCCTTTTCTGCATATTACGAATCTTGGCGAATGTTGAAAGCTTCGGTGTAGCCTGACGAGACTGTGCTGATGGTTGAGCAGGAGGAGGCATGTTCATGGAGTCTAATAGGCTTGCCGCGGTTGGGGATAAGGTTTCGCGTTCCGAGACAAAGAGGGACGAGGAGTCGTTATCTTGATCATGAGGCCCAGTTGAGGCAGTCTCTGTGTGATGCTGTTGCTCAGTCGGAATGTCAAGCATGGCAAAGTGAGCACCCTCTTGCGACTCGATAGACTCCAGGACCTCGGCTTGGCCATCACCGGCCATGCTGTCGTCAGTGGCAAGCTCCACTTCAGGGTATGGAAGTTGGGTATGGATCGCGTCGTCGTCAAAGCCATTTGGCTCGGCCATGTTGGACTCGTGGAGGGAGGAAGCGTAGTGTAAGAAGTGTAGTGTAAGAAGTGTAGTTTGAGAAGTGTAGTGTGAGAGGTGTGGTGTAAGAAGGACGGAGGAGAGGAGGCAACCAAAGGTTATATAGCTGGCGAGGAGCGATGGCCCAAGTAGCGAGCGGTGGAGCATCCAGCCAAGTGAGAGAATGTCAAGTGAGAAAACGAGAAGCACAGGGTGCAGAGACATGCCAACTGGTGAGTGTAGGCAGGGCATGGGGATTGGTCGAGGTGAAGGCAGCTCCCAGTGTGACCATTATTCCCGAGCATACAATACGCCTCACGAAAAATGCACAGAGGTGCTCCCGGCTCCTGCATGACGTTGCGAGGGAGCGAGCAGAAAGGCATTGTAGGCGCCAGACCACCTTGAAGAACGGCCCGGAAACCTATATACGTTAGCATCTATCGATAGGCAGGTTCCATACTAACGTTTGATCATTCTCCCTAGAAGCCCGGGAGGCAAGGTTTGTAGGAAAAAACTATTGGGGTATTGAACGGGTAGAGAAAATGGCACGTCACAGCGAAATCCTACTAATGGAGGTAGGCGCGCTGCTTCCGCAACGGCAGTTGCCCCGTGCTGCATCATGACAATGACAGCATCACAGAAGAAATCAAGAACTGCGCATTTTTGTAAAATCATTAAAGTTTAGGGAATACACCTGATGTACAGTTTGGGGTATCTGACAAACGCAGGAACAGACAGACTGGAGCCCGACCCGCTGCACTCTCTTCTCGGGCGGGAGTTCAGCTGGATCGAAAGACTCCACCGAGGCCTCGACTAGTTATAGAAATTACAACATATATGATTCCAAAAAGAGAAAGAGAATGGATTGTTCTAACACTGGTTCTCGTTGATATTCGGGTAGAACCAGGCAGCGAGAGCGATGATAATGTAACTTGCCATGAGCAGAATACCTTCGAGCCAATCTATATCATGTTAGCGTGAGTCCAAGAGCGCCATCGGAATGTATGTACTTACGAGATTTGCCATCCTGAATAAGGTAGTTGACAAGCAATACCGATACAAACAGAGTTGCAATTTGGAACGTGTCGAAGTAGAGCGTCATGCAGTCCTTGCCTAAGATCCAACCGAGAATGACAATAAGCGGGAAGACCAAAAGCGCAATCTGCATGCTGGAGCCGACAGCGACACCGATAGACAAGTCCATTTTGTCCTTGATAGCGACGGTAACGGCAGTAGCGTGCTCAGCGGCGTTACCGACAATGGGGAGTAAGATCAAACCGACGAAGGTTGTAGAGACCTTACCGGTAGCGGTAAGTCCATCGATACTGGAAACCATGAACTCAGAGCAGAAGGCGACGCAGGTGGTGGAGATGGCAAGCGTGACGAGAGCGCCAATGACTGAGAGAGAGGGCATTTCGAACTCCTCTTCCTCCTCCTCGTCCGAGCCGTCAGGGTTCTTGAAGAGCGATTTTACGTTGACGCCGCCACCTGAGGCGGCAGCAGTGCCGGCGCCAATTGCTGCGATGCCACGGTTTGCAGCACCTTCCTCTTTCCTACCAGACTTGCGCTTGGGAACTTTCTGACTCGGTTCATTATACATACTAGCATGAGTTTTGAGCTGAAAAGCCAAGTAACAGGCGTAGACAAAAAGAAGGATGACGGCAGTTCCTCGGGACTGTCTCACTGTCAGTCAAGGTAAGTGGGGAGTGATGGGGAAGACGTACTAGTTCTTGGTTCTTTGCCGCGTCGCCCTCTACAATGCTGTCCTCGGCAATCATGTTGTGGAATACGGTCGGAATGATGAGCGACGCAATACAGAGAGCGAGCAGAGACGCTGCAGTCTGCGCGACTGTCACGTTGAAGAATTGCTCCAGCCGGTTGATGCCTCCTAAGAAGAACGACATACCCAGGACGAGCAACAAGTTGGACAACATGCTGCCGATAAGGGAGGTCTTGACAATGGTAATCTCATTCTTGATCAGAGCCTGGACGGAGACGATCAGTTCAACGGCGTTTCCAAAAGTGGCGTTCAGCAATCCTCCTAGCGTCTCCCCTACCCTGATGGCCAATTCTTCCGTCGCACTGCTCAGCATAGCCGCGAGGGGAATGATGGCGACGAAGTTGATGATGAAGACCGGAACTGGGTCCAGACGGGCGTAGTAGACGGCGAAACCAACTGGAACCATGATGAGCAAGACATTGATCCAGGCTCCGAAAAGGACAAAGCGGATTTGTGCGCCGACTGGAATCTTCTTCTTATAGGCCTTCTTCTTCCTCTCTTCTAGCGATAGTTGCTCGGACTCTACTCGATCTAGTTCCGCGCCTTCGTCGTGGTCTGCATGGTCTTTTCGGAAGATGGTCTTGAACTTGGCTCGTTTTGTGGGACCGTTGCTGTTCTGGCGGGTTGAGCCGACAACTGTGCTGTCACTGGAGTCCTTGATGATTCCATTTGTCTCTGGGATCGTCTCCTTCTCCACTGATGACTCGGGAATGGTCGATGAAGTAGCAGCATAGGTTGGTGACGAAGCAGAAGGCTCAGTGTTATGATGGCCAGGCGCTCCAAACTCTTTGCCTGCCTCTCTGCTTTCTAGCCGCCTTTGTTCTTCGATAGCTGGCGTGACGTGGTTCTCCGAACGTGTTGATCTCGTTCGATATACCGGATTCTCTATATCGCCTTGCGAGTCCCTGGATCGCGTTCGAGCGAACGGATTGTAGTTGAGGGCGCCATCACCGGCACCTCTTGATGCGACGCGATGCGCCTGCCTTCGTACTGTGTCTAAGTTCATCGACGTATGTCAGTGACGGTTGCGCACGACGTAAGGTGACACTGAAGAGGGGATATGAGGCTCCCGAGTGGGTCGGAGACAACTCCACTTACGCATGGGTCTAAGTGGTGCGGCAGCTGCGCCGACTTGGTGATCCCGGGGGCGAAAAGGTACTTTTTGGCGAAGTGCGCGTCAATTGCGACTCTTTTGTCTAGGATTGTGCGTAGACGCCAGGAAGGAAGCGATGTTTTGGGGGCCAAAATCGTTGGAATGGGGGGCCGAGTTGGATTGTTTGGTTGTGCAAGCGCGCGTTGTTTGCACCTGGAGCAATTGTCGAACGGCAAACACAAGACGGCAGTAAACGCTCGAGGAACTGTGGGACTGGCCGGTGTGATTGAGAAAGGGATTTCGGGGCACTTGAGGTAATTAAGCCAGAGTTGTTGACACGGGATCGCCGTAGAGATTACCACGGGCAAAGTCAGGAGTGGCTTAATGCACGAATGAGCAGGGCGCGTCGACCTTTCAGCCACAGATTGGAGCCGACGGATCAAAGACTATAAGGAGGAGGATTGAGGCGCAGTTTCGAGCGCAGGCGATGTGCATTCGTATTAACACAAAGAAACGCAGCACAGGACCTGGAGTTATGTTATGACATGTGGATTGCATCGATTGTTCCTCGGGCGATCCAGCATGCGAAGCTCACACGTCACCATCAAGCCTAGCCAAGTGCCATTCTTGGAAGGCTTGAAGCAGGGTTTTGCCCCTTGGATGAAAGCTGGGCACCGATGGCAACGCTTGATTTATACGGCAGAAACGCTTAATTGGTCAACACTGAAACGATGCGCTGGTGCGACAGGGCAGCATAGTCAACTTTCCAGCCGGGGAATTATTAGACAAGTAGACCCGGCTTTCTAGTTTCTAGAATATTTTCCTTGCTTTCGGCTTGCGTCACCGTGCTATGGACACTTCAACTCCTGTTGACGCATCCTTATTGGGGCTTCAACCCGGTCGTGGATACGTAGCAGTCAGCTTATGCAGCTCTCAACGTAGCAGTGTCTCGTACAGACTTCAAGCCCGTGAGCTTGAGTTGGAACTCCCTGCATCTACACATCCGTTCTGCGAAGGGGAAACCTTGGAATAGGCCCGCGACATTTATTCACTAAGACACGGGAAGATTACCCAATCCGGCAACTACCAGAAACCGTGGATCACGGCGGGCACATGGTGATAGATTCGCCGGGACGGCCGCAGCACATTTCCCCGAAACAGGGCGAAGGATGTAGGGCTACAGCACTTGTAGTTGGTAGAACGCAGCTCGTCCCTCATCGCCTTGGGTAGCATCATGGCTTGACTAAAACTAGCCGTTTTGTTCCAGGCCCGTCTTATTCGACCTGACCCTGCAGCAGCCGGAATTTCAGACCATGACGAAGTGCACGTGATGAGCGCGTTTCATACAACATATCCATACAGGGTCAATCATGCTGGACTACTGCGTCGTATTCGATTGATGAAGCTGATATTATTTCTGCTGGGAACCAATCCTGCCTTTCAAAAACAGCCAAGCGGACCATGTCATCCCACAAACGCCATGCTGGAGTTATCTCCACAGCCAATACGCCAGCAACGACCTATGCCTTCATACTGTTCTTCCTAGTTTACATGCCACATAGCTCTAAAATACCCGTCTACGGGTCCTGTACTTTGTGGTCGCCCTTGATCACATCCGCATACGTAGGAGGAGGCCCTTCTGGCTGGCTCGACGAACCTCCACCGTCCTGCTGGCCCTGCGGCGCAGCAGGTGCGCTTCCCTTCGCTGACTTGTTCTGCTTAGGCTGCGAGAAACTGTTCACAACGCCGCTTTGCTGCCCAGGGAACTGTCCGTTGCTTGGCTGACTCCCAACAGTACCATAGTTAGCCTGCGCACCTCGTCCAGCCGGTTGTTCGTGCGATATAACATAGTACGTGGTGCGTCCATCGCTGCCTTGGGCACGCTCGCCGTCGGGTATTTGGTTGTATGCGTCGTATGCGTCCGGGTTCTGAAGGATGACGTACCAAGCGTGGAGAAGGCCGGGCAGGAAACCGAGACAGCAGAGGGCAAGATTGATGAGGGAGTCTGCGCTGCAGAGGCCTTTCTTGACCCACACTATAGTTTATGTTAGTTCCATGTTTGTGGATTGCAGATGGAAAACGAGAGCGGGCACTGGTGCCTAGAGGGGGCGGGGGCTTTACCTCCAACTGGTGGGAAGAGGACGCTCAAGAGCATCAAGAAGCAATCGGTGCCGCACATGATGACGGGATCGTTCGGATGCTGAGGTTTGATATCGGTAGAAGCAACGTGCTGTGGTGCGAAGATGTGGTGGTGTTGGAGTGATCGCCTGCGCGGTTATCGAAGTCACTAGGTCTTATGACGCGTTCTGATTGCGCCACACGACACAGCCACAGCCACAGCCACAAGCCGCCAGGAACCGAGGAACGAACGCATATCACGCACGCAGTTGGCGAGGCTACAGAATGTGCCAGAAGGCTTCATACTAGATCATTCTCAATTCATTCTTTGCCACCGAGGAATCTGTAGATGACAGAAAAGTCCTTGTCTTTGCAGTTCTCATCCCTCTCCGCCGCGTCGTAGACCGCTCTCGCTGATTCCCCCATCGCAAGCTTGACGTCTGCCTCTGCAGCAGCCTTCAGGGCAAGCTTAAGGTCCTTATTCGCAAGTGCAAGCCCGAAACCACCCTCATAATCTCTACTCGCGGGCGACCCTTCAACAACACCAGGTACAGGGTTGTTGACTTCGCTTGGCCAGCACTTGCCAGTCGCGGTGTTGATCATACCTGCGAGAGCCTTCGGGTCAAGTCCCCACTTGATACCCATACTCATAGCTTCTGCAGTGGCAACATTATTGAGTGCTAGCAGATAGTTGTTTGCGAGCTTGCCCTTGAGACCTGCGCCCTGCCCACCGAGATGCAAAACTCTTCGACCCATGAATGACAGCACTCCGGTGGCTTTCTGAACGACTTCAGGTGCAGCGCCGATCATAAAAGTAAGTGTACCAGCTTGGGCGCCAACGACACCGCCAGACATGGGAGCATCGATGAACTTTCCTTGACCGGTAGAATGAGCCATGTCTGCCACAGCGCCAGACGTCATGGGATCAATGGTAGAGCAGTCGATGAACAACCGCTCCGTATTAACGAAGCCGTCGGTCAGCAGCGTAGCAGGCTCGAGCATATCCTTATACACGCCCTTTACGTGTTGTGGTTCTGGTAAAGAGGTAATAATGGTTTCCTATTCAGGTCAGTCCACCGCACCCGTAACGCTGACAGTAATAGATTGAGGATTGAATGTGCATCAGAGGATTGGCTATAAATATGGTGTAATCAGAATAAGGGTCACAAGTGACCCCCAACTTAGATCATGGATAGAACAATTTAATCATCATTGTAAGAGCGAGATGGATAGGAAGAGAGGGGTACATACCGCTTTCTCAGCCACTTCTCGAACATTGTCGGCAACCCGAACACCGTGTGGGTTTTCCTCAAGAAACTTCTTTGTGGCAGCGGTATTTACATCGTGTACAAAGAGCGTGTCTTCTGCCGGTATCTTTGCCCTCAGGTTCCTCGCCATGGGGTATCCTACCAGCAACATTAGCACAACACGCAGTTATGTGGGCGCACGTGAGACTAACCCATTCGTCCTAGGCCGATGAAACCCCAGGTGGCTTGCAGATTCCTGGAGCTCGAGAAGCATCTCCGTGAACCGTGACGGATGGCAACTGGAAAACCCCTCCTCAGAGGAATAGTTATCGCCATGACTGTCCGCATCGTTTACTTTGACGACGTGAAACTGGTTGGGTAAAAACCAAGTCAAGCTGTACTGCGGGATGCGGGTGGAAGCGGTCTCCGCACTCGTGGGTCGGATTCGGTCAGCCGAGGTCGTGGTTGCTTGGAGAACAATAGTGAGCCGCGAAAGCATCGCCACTGGAGACTTCAAGGCGGACCGTCAGCGTCCTTGGAAGCATCCTGGGCAGATGTGCCGGTACCGGATCGCTGAGCCATTATACCGTGAGGCTGTCGGTAGAGCTGGTTGCTAGAGGAGGTTGCAGAGTTGCGAGCTCAGAGAAAAACACCGTCTGTGGGAAAAGTAATTCCGGCCGAAAGCACGGCCATTATACTAGTGCGAATTGGTCTCAGCAAGATCCATCCGGGCCTTGCACATCACCCAACAGAGCGGATGGCTCTTGGTTGTCTGCAGTTGCTACAGTACATTCGAAGTTGATATGCTACTTGCCAACCAAACTTGAGACAGCCATTTCTCATCATCTTCGCTGCGCCCCATAGGCAGTGGGAATCTCAATCATTACCAGACTTCCATCAGCGAACTACCTCCGCCGTCACTGGTCAATAGATTTAGAGTGACTGGTGTAGCAGGCCACTTGTACCTATGACAGGCGGTCCTCGTTACACTTTTTGTCTGGATGCTCTAACCAACGTCCTCCGGGCATCCTCCTGCTGCCAGTAACCTTCGGTCTCCATTCGCGCATGGGCACCCTCCGCCAGCCATTGCGTGTCAGTCGCAGTCTATACTCCACAGGCTCAGCCGGCCGTGGGGTGGGTTCAATACTGATATTCTCAGGTCCCTACCGTGAATTTTTGTCAGTGATCCGATGACATATTGTAATCAAAGATCAAGCTTATTTTGATAGCTTGAGCAATTACATAGTCATCTGTAGCTCTGATTCTCGAATGCTATTGCTGGGTATCTTGGTATATCAATGGGTATAAATGGGTATAAATAGCACCAGCTGGCCTCAAGCTGACTTGTGTTGTGGGCTGGCCACCTTATGTGTGCTCGAAAATTCATGTTACTAACTCACGGGTTGCTCCCCTCCATCCTCTTCTTCCGAGTCATCGGATATCTCGACCAGATCATCAGCACCGCGCCTAGTTATCATCTTCTTTTTGCCTCCTTTGCCGCTCGATGGAGCGCTAATAGTATCGAGGAACTGATGATTGTTCAGGTTGGAATGAAGTTTCGGGGCTGCTGAGATATCGGGGAGGAACAGGCGGTCGGTATATGAGTCGAAAGCTGCATCCGACTACAATATTCTTGTTAACATGGCTCTTGAGCAGAGCTAAGGAAGTTCGTACGTTTTCGTCAGAGTACTGCAGCTTGTTCCACGTCTCCTGACTTGTATTCTTCATGAAGGCCTGCGTCATCTCAGCCGCCGTGTCTCCACCGGTCTTCTTCACGGTAGGAAGGAACGCCTTGGGCTCAGCGGGCTTTGCGCCTTCTTGCGACTCTTTCTCGCGGCGCCGATGTACGGCTTCTAGCTGGGCAGAGGCATCGATGTGGTGGAACTGCGTCCGAAGCTGGACAAGTCCGTCGAGGCGCGTGAGGTGTAGTTGGTCTGCTGGCGGTCAGTGACAACTCCACCGTGCTTCAGCATACTTGTTGCCTACCGTCACGAAACGTCCCGAGCATGTAACTGGGTCCCTTGCCGTCGTCATCCATAATTTGGCCGCCAAATGTCTGCGTATTGAGGACGTGTCCTTTCTCGTTCGCATCTTCAAAGTGAGTCACGTATTCTTCGAAGTTGTCGTCGTCTTCAGTCGCAATGGGTGCCGGCGGTGCTCCTTCGCTGGCGCCAGGTCGGTTGGTCGTGCGCGGCATTGTTCGCTCGAAGCCTGATGCAATGCCGAACGCCCTCTGGCCAAAGCCTTTCGTCTTGCGCATGGCCTCGCCCCAGCGCACACCTGCAGTCCGGTTGTAGTGCTGGTGGATGCCAATGGGAACGTCGACTTCGATGAAGCCAGATTCCTTCTTGATGCGCAGTTCTGAGGGTTGACTCTCTGTAGCCTTGGTGAAGGGTTGATCTGGCGGACGATTCAGGTATTGTAGGACGTATAGTTGTTGTTGCTCTGTGTCGGGAGTGATGTAGACATTGTACTCGGCCACGACAGGATCGTCGTCTTCCATGTCCGCTGTTGCTGGATCGGTCATGATTATTAGCATACAAGGGCAAAACGTGCGGTTGATCGCAGGTTAGTCTTACAAGCCATGGTGGGTGGGAGACGTGAAGTTGGAAGGTAAAAGTGGCTCGGCTTCCAAAAAGTTACCAAAGTTCAAGCTCGCCGCCCCGCAACGCGAACTCGCGTGCAGTGGGCCCGTGTGCAGCGGCGACGGGGATAATGACGGAATACGTCCGACCAAGTCCACAACCCGAACTCGAACCTTTATCTTTGCTGCGCTTTCTTCTTCTCTAGTCTTTCAAGGAGCTGTAGAGGAGTCCAGGCTGCATCATGGCGTACATTGCACCCATACATCGACCTAGCAGCGTCCGCCATGCTCTCAAGCTCAACTTCCTAGCTCCAGACGAGGACTGCCTCGTCGTTGCGTAAGCATAACAAATGAATCAATCACTCGATGTTCTACTAATATCATTACAGTAAATCGAATAGACTCGAGTTCTACACGCAAAATGCCGATGGGTTGGCTCTCCAGCACTCAAAAGCCATATATGGCAAAGTCACTATGCTCCAGAAGATGCGCCCTGCACTATCGCCGACAGACCACCTTTTCGTAGGGACCGATCGGTTCATGTACTTTACACTATCTTGGAACCCCGAAAAGAAACAACTGCAAACCGAGAAATCATTCGCGAGCGTGGCCGATAATGCTGCAAGAGAGTCACAAACCGGGGAGAGGTGTCATGTCGATCCAACGGGACGCTTCATGACGGTGGAAGTCTACGAAGGAATCATAACAGTCATACCGCTAGTACAGAGGGGGAAGAAGAGAAAGCAAGAGGCAGACATTGCCCACCTTGGGGAGCCCCAGCCAGTCAGGCTATCAGAAATGTTCGTTCGCTCGTCTGCGTTCCTACAACCCAGATCCCACGATGACAAGCCGAAGCTGGCTTTACTGTACGAGGATACACATTCACAAGTAAAGTTGAAGCTGCGGGAATTGACATTTGCTGGCGGGGATCAGGTCGAGTTAGAGGAGGGAGAGAACTGCAGGGCAGAGCTAGAACTTGGGTCTAGCCACCTGATACCGATCGAGGAGCCTGTGCATGGCCTGGTTGTCATCGGTGAGACTTCAATTGGGTACTACGATGATGAAGCCGGGGAGCTACAGACCGAGCCATTGGACGAAGCCACCATCTTCGTTGCCTGGGAACGAATTGACGGGCAACGTTTTGTGTTAGCCGATGACTATGGGCGCCTATACCTTTTCATGCTCATTCGCGACGGACAGAGTAGGGTACAATCGTGGAAGCTAGATGTCATTGGCCAGACATCTCGAGCTTCAGTATTAGTCTATCTGGATGCCGGATTCGTCTTTGTCGGCTCACACCAAGGCGATTCCCAAGTCGTCAGGATCGCAGAGAAGTCAATGGAGATTGTCCAGACGTTTTCGAACATTGCGCCAATCCTCGACTTCACCATCATGGACATGGGTAATAGATCTGGCGAGGGGCAAACGAATGAATACTCTTCTGGTCAAGCTCGGATCGTCACTGGAAGTGGTGCCTACCAAGACGGTAGTCTTCGAAGTGTGCGCAGCGGAGTAGGACTCGAAGATCTTGGCGTGCTGGGTGAGATGGAGCTCATTTCAGACCTCTTCAGTCTGAAGTCGAACCCATCCGCCGAACATGTTGACACGCTCTTGGTGACATTCGTCAATGAGTCGCGCATATTCCGATTTGATGCTCAAGGGGAAGTGGAAGAAGTAGAAGAGTTTGCATCTCTGGCACTGGATGAGACTACACTTGCTGCCGCCAATATTTCACAAGACCGCGTAGTGCAGGTGACGAATGGACGAGTACGGATATGTGATCTTGACGGCGGCATGATCACGTCCGAGTGGATGCCGATGGGTGGCCAGACGATTACAGCTGCCTCGGTCAACGATACGCATGTCCTAGTATCACTCGGTGGTGTTACTATTGTTTCGCTCGGCATGGGTGACGGCTTGAAGGTGCTGAAAGATAAGACCTTCGGTGTCGAAAGCCAAGTAGCCTGCGTGGCTCTCCCATCTGGCTCAACCAACATATGCTTCATTGGATTTTGGAAGAACTCGCAGCTTTCAATCTCCTCTCTCGACACTTTAGAAGCTGTCAAGACTATCCAAATCTCTGACGAGTCCGTTCCGCGGTCCTTGTTACTTACTCAAATATTCCCAGAACAGTCACCGACGCTCTTCGCTGCTTTAGCAGACGGCAACGTCGTGACTTACGCCTTTGACCCATCTTCGTATGAACTATCAAGCAGAAAAAGCATTGTTCTAGGTACCCGCGAAGCAACCTTCCGGGCCCTGCCTCGGGGCCATGGCTTGTTTAACGTGTTCGCGACATGCGAACATCCTTCACTCATCTATGCTTCAGAAGGCCGCCTTGTCTACTCGGCCGTCACAGCGGAGAAAGCGACAACAGTCTGTCCCTTTGACTCGGAAGCCTACCCTGGCTCCGTAGCCATCGCAACATCAGAAGACCTCCGCATCGCAATCGTAGACACCGAACGAACCACACATGTACAAACCCTCAAGGTCGATGAGACTGTGCGGCGAATAGCGTACTCGCCGGGTTTAAAAGCCTTCGGGCTCGGTACGATAAAGAGAATACTCAAGGGCGGCGAGGAGATCATGATGAGCCACTTCAAGCTCGTGGATGAGATACAATTCAAAGAACTTGATACATACGCACTCAACGAAGAGGAACTCATCGAGTGCGTCATGCGCTGCGAACTTCCTGATGGCTCTGGTGGTCTCGCGGAACGCTTCGTTATCGGTACCGCATATCTGGATGATCAAAACACAACGGCGGAACGAGGTCGTATATTGCTCCTAGAGGTCACACCGGAGCGTATGTTCAAGCTTGTCACTGATATCGCTGTTAAGGGCGGTTGTAGATGTGTGGCAATGTGCGAGGGCAAGATCGTGGCAGCACTTATTAAAACGATTGTTGTATATGACGTCGAGTACAAAACGCAGAGTAAACCGGACTTAGTCAAAGCTGCGACGTTTAGATGCTCAACAGCGCCGATCGACGTCACGGTGAATGGCCCGCTCATTGCGATAGCAGACTTGATGAAGTCCCTCGTTGTCGTTGAATACCAACGTGGCGAAACGGGATTATCAGACAAGCTTGTCGAAGTCGCTCGACATTACCAAATCACATGGGCAACGGCGGTTGCTGAGGTGGATATGAACACTTACCTAGAAAGCGATGCAGAAGGCAACCTTGTTGTACTTTATCGGGATCCGAATGGTGTTACAGAAGATGATAAGAGGCGACTACACGTAAGCGCGGAGATGCTGCTCGGTGAAATGGTGAACAGGATACGTCGGATCGACGTCCTGACCGCGCCAGACGCCGCAGTCGTTCCACGAGCGTTCATAGGCACTGTAAGTCTGCACACCACAGCTAATATTTCATTTTACTAACGTCCCCTCAGGTCGAAGGCTCCATTTACCTTTTCGGCCTCATCTCGCCCGAACATCAGAATCTCCTCATGACTCTACAATCCAATCTCGGCAACCTCGTCGCCGCCCCGGGCGACGTCGACTTCGCCAAATACCGCGCTTTTAAGAACCAAGTTAGAGAAGAGGAGGAACCGATGCGGTTTGTTGACGGTGAGCTGATAGAAAGGTTCTTGGATATCGGCGAGGATGTGCAGAGCAAGGCGGTGGAGGGATTAGGGGAAGAGTGGGGTGTCGAAGCAGTAAGGGGGCTAGTTGAGGGATTGAGGAGATTACATTAGAGAGAAAACACCTGAATGTGAAGGAGATGTGGATATATTGCATGCATTTTTCAAGAGGTCGTGGCATGCTCGTCGCACGCTCGCTGAGGCCTTGGACACTACCACAAATGGAACTAGTGAATGCTGCGAGGACATGCCCGAAGACCCGCTTGCCAACTTATGACTGTGCAAGCTCAGCTCTTAACCCCATCGTCACCGGCGTAACTATAAGCCCTCACTTCTGGCCCTCATTCTCCCCGTTTTCCTCAGCCTTCTTCTCCTTCTTCTCTTTTTGGCTCCTCTTGCCCCTATTGTCCTTTTTCTCGTAGCTCTTGCGTGTCCTCGCTTTGCCGCTAGCATTTCCACCGACTCGCTTCTGATAGTAGTGATGGTGGTTGCTATTGAAATACTGTTCTCGGCGGCCCATCCGTACACCTTGTACCTGGTAGTGCTGGCTGGCGAAGGAATCCATCAAATGACTGTAGCTGGCGTTAGGTGGATACCAAGAAGCAGGAGCTTGTGGGTAGTAGAAGAGTCGGTGATCTGCGTAGTGAGCAGGATGATAGTTGGGTGGATGCCAGAGAGCAGGAGCTTGTGCATAGTATGAGGATCCATGATCTGTATAGTGACCGTGGGCGGCCGGGTAGCCGCCAAATCTAGGGAACTGGTGTTGAGCGTAGTTTTGTTGAGGCTGAAGCGCGTGGTTCCGCGGCATCTGGGACTCGTTGGAAAGCCGCACGACACTCTCGTGCCCATGCTGGCCCGGGATGAAGGTAGTAGCGTCACCCTTCAAGCTGCTTGTACTGTTGCTGGTCGACATTGAGCGGTATTTCCTGGTAGGGAGATTGTTGCGATGAGAGACTAAGACTGTGAGCGAGGGGAGCTTGTTGTGTAGTGGTGTTTTGATTGTCGCGGGGAAACGGTTTGTGTAATCCAATCTGCTCAAGCAGAACCGGGGTTTCCATACTGTTTATGCGTGGTGATGGGGAAACGGCGATGCGTTGCCGGCGCCATGCAGCATCCCGTGCATGGGTGTGTGAAAACGCGATCTCTGGTAGAGAAGTTTGCACTTGCACGTGCCCGACAGAATCACAAGGAGTTGAGATGGCCTCTTGTGCTGGATATTGAGGGCATCCTCGGTCCCCAGAGAGATAGGTAAGCGTGAAGAGTACACATGTAGTCGTCAGACACCACTTTGGATCCTGGAGCTTGTCATTGCGGAGGCCTTGTAGTTTCCTAGCTACTTCAACACCGCATCCTCATCACTACTATCTGCGTTGGTATTCCTCACGCTATTCAACTCCAGTCTTTCTTCCTCCTCATCCCGAAACCCTTCGCCGTCATTCGCATCTCCGTCTCTATCCAGCAGCGGTGCCTCGCCGGTAGTAGCAACCACGCTCGACTTCTCTGTCTCTTCTCTCATTCCAATTATCACACTCCCAGCAACTAGCAGGCTTGCACCGAGCCACCATAGCCCCGGTAGCGATTCGCTGAATATGATGAAGCTGAGTACGGCCGTGACGATAAAATTCGCGGAGGTGTTAATTATGGACACGCGCACGGTAGAGGACGCCAGTGTCAGGGCGCGGGTGAAGAGTCCCCACATTATGGCGTTGAACACGAGATTGAGGCCGAAGAAGAGCTATCCATGTGGTAAGCATTATATTGGAGGTGAGGAGGACCAGGAGTGGTGGGGAAACCTACACCTCGAATCGCAAATTCAACAACTTTGTTTGAAGCGCTGAGACCGAATGCGGTGGCTATTGAGCCTGACCAGGAGGCTGTGAGCTCTGTCGTTGTGCTGCGTGGTCGTTAACATGTACGCTTGTTCGCAGGGAGGACAGCGGGAGCTTACAGCTTTGCGAACACGCCATTGAAAGCTGCGCATGCACCGCTTGAGATGGCAAGCATAAGCCATGCAGATTTTGTTTTAGGCAGAGACATGGTGATCAACTCTTTGAAAGTGTTGCGCGGGGCAAAGAATGATGTTGATGTATAAGACTTCGGTGCGCGCGGTCTCTGCAGGTACTGGCCACACTTCCGAGCTTAGCTAAGAAGCATGATGTCGTTTGGTGACGGGCGCATTGGGAGCATTATATTATTTGAATCCATGCGCTTTTCAGAGAACGAAGCCTTGTAGTCTCAATTAGCATATGAAGCGTTGCACTGTTTACACGTGAAAGGTGTTTAGGCGTACACATTGGTAAGAACTCGCTCAGCATCACCTCCAAGCACTAAGCATCACATTTCATTTGTCTTGCAAGGCAGACGAGCGTTCTTATTTCATAGAAGCATTTCCCAAAAATATTACAGTCTATCAAGCACTGCGCTTAACGCATCTCTTTATTCCATACCTGAACTCCAGTTCATGCCAAAGGTATCGTGAGTGCCCCATCTGTCCCATAACGCCCATGAACATAATAAGCAAGAATTCTGTGAAACCCATTGACCTGAATTCGAATGTACTGATGAAGCAAGCCACCGCTTTGTGCTGCCAGAGCCGGGAGCTGGACCTTTTTTCCAACGTTGCGCGCCTTCTTTTTTGACGCCATCCAAGTCTCTTCTACCAGAGCTCTGGCCGCGCCTGATTTGCCTGAATATCTCTGTAGTAACTATGAAGGACATGCAAGGCTAAAGGCTTAGCTCTAGGCCTCGCCAGGGCGCTTCGCGTTACAGCTGACGATCTTGACACGGTCGGCGTGTACTTGGTTTGTATTGTCGAGTTTGAAGTTGATGTCCTTGATGATAAAGGTCCAGACATCGTCGCAGAAGCGGTATGTGTCGAGATGACCCTACAGAGACACACGTCAGTCCTCCATATTCCCCCGCCTTGATGCGCATCCCAAACCGACCTTGAACGTCAACCGCGACTTAACCCTATCCGAGAGTACGTCGGCAACCGCTTTGTCAAAGTTGATGAGGATCTTCATGGCGAGCTGGGGTTCAATCCGACGTTCGGTGATGAGGTTATCCAGCGTGTCTGTGAGGGCGCCGCCCAGACTGTACTGTCAGCCAAAGCGCTCACATAATCACCCAGAGGCGCATATGTACCTGCTTCGGCGGTAGAGCTCATAGTACTTGGTGTTGTCAGCCATGTTGACGAACAGGTAGTTGCGGCAGCGTTGGTGGTCTGGCGATGGTTGACTGCCTACGGTAGGAGCAATGACATGCAATGGTGGTTGACTAAGCGCGGCAGCGCTAGCGCAGCACGGCGGCTTGTTCCGCCTGCATCATCGTCGAGCTTCGCTGCGAGTTCATCACGAAGAAGCTCCAGCCCGCCACTTTATTTCACCATCTATCCACGCCTTTACCACTCATATCTCAGATATGTCTCTCACCTACGGCACAGGCGGTGCGACGGCTGCCCTGGGCGTGGTAGCGCTGTGTACGTATATTGTGGACGGGGCGCAGGCAATAGCTAATGGCAAACAGATATGCTCTTCAACAACGAGGGCGAAGCTTTCAACGTACGCGATTACGTGTCAGACGAGACGAACTGAGCTAAACAACAAAAAGGTCGGAGCCTTCCTCGAAAGCGTATCACCGTACACATGGGCCAGTCTGGGGATCGCCCTATGCATTGGTCTCTCTGTCGTAGGCTCAGCGTGGTATGTCCGTTCGCATAATAGCAGAAGGGTCGTGTCTAATGTTTGATAAGGGGCATTTGGACGACCGGAGTGTCCATTCTCGGTGGAGGTGTCAAGGCGCCGCGGATACGAACGAAGAACTTGATTTCGATCATTTTTTGTGAAGTCGTCGCCATTTACGGCGTCATCATGGCCATCATCTTTTCCTCCAAGATGAACCAACTCTCTGATCCAGAATTAATCTTCTCGGGATCAAACCAATTCACCGGATATGCACTGTTCTGGGCCGGAATAACCGTGGGCATGTGCAACTTGATCTGCGGTGTCTGTGTAGGCATCAATGGAAGTAGCGCGGCGCTGGCTGATGCTGCGGATCCCGCTTTGTAAGTCTGCGTCTCGTCTGGGACTCCTCCCAGTAGCTGACTAGATTACAGGTTCGTCAAGATCCTCACTATCGAGATTTTTGCGGCTATTCTTGGACTTTTCGGTCTCATCATTGGGTTGCTTATGCAAAGCAACGCAAAGGACTTCGAATGAACACGGTTTGAAACTTGGCCGTTATATTAGGCGACCACAATACAGTCGGAATCGACTTCAGACCACCACTTTAGAAGTGACCGACGGAAGTGCATGTCACGTACTAGTATATGAACTTGATTGGGGGGTTGTGGCTAGGGAATTACTGAAAGCTGTACTATATACATAGAGAAAGGCGCTTGTATAATGCATGTATCATGAGCGAGCATTGGCGTTAAATACCAAGAATCTTTTGAAAACATGCTCAGGAGTCTACTATGGAGTGATGTTCAACTGGACTTGTACAACTAAAGTCATCGAAATCAGATGGGTGGTCCAAGCGCCAATCTCTACATGGCGGGACATCATCTCCACTTTAACGTCACTACGATCACCAGACTTCACAATGAGTACAACAAGTCCGAAACTGAAGGCAGCTATTCTTATTGTCTCCGAGACTGCCTCGAAAGACCCGACCACAGACAAATGTGTACCCATTCTAAAGAAGGTCTTCGGTGACCTTGGAAACGACCACTGGGACGTCAGCGAGATCGAGATCGAAATCGTATCGGATAGTATCCTCGCGATTCAGAAGACAGTCAGAAAATGGACCGATGGCGAAGATCCTGTCAATTTGATCGTTACTAGTGGAGGAACAGGCTTTGCGACTAAAGATGTTACTCCCGAGGTATGCTTGATGGTACGACCTGACCGAAACATAGAGCACTGATAAAAGCAAGGCAATCACACAACTGATAGACCGACATGCTCCAGGTCTCGTGTAAGATATTCTCAGGCCTCCAGTGTTACAAATCTGACGCCCTCCTAGCCATGGTATGCTCACGACTTCGTACGCTGTCACACCCTGTATGCTTCCCAGATGTGGTCTAGTCATGCATTCGCTAAGTGGTAATAGTCGCTTTGATGGCAAGGCCGGTTGCTGGTGTTCGGAAACAAACACTCATATTGACTCTGCCTGGATCGCCAAAGGGTGCTAAGGAGAACCTCGAAGCAGTGATCAAACTGTTGCCACACGCTTGTATACAAGCAAGTGGTGCTGATTCTAGATCGCTCCATGCAGGAGGGGTGAAGAAGCTTGAGAAAGAAGCGGGAGTCTCAGCAGCTGGTTCACCCACAGGTACTTTATAATTTGCTGCCGTTCCTTTGGTCTTTACAATGAGTGGCTGATGACACTAGGTGCTGCAGGTGGACACCACCATCACCATCATCGTGGACACGGTCATGGGCATGGCCATTCAGGACCAAAGTCACACACAAAGCCAGAAGATCGACCTCAGTCGAATGATCCCGCTGCAGGGCCAAGTCGCAGATACCGATCTTCGCCATATCCTATGCTTGCTGTTGACGATGCTCTGAGACTCATCTCAGAGCAGACACCAGTTACCGTAGTCAAGAAAGTACCCGTAGACATGAAGCTAGGAGGCTCCGTTCTTGCAGACGATGTCAAAGCAGCCGAGTCCGTTCCGGCTTTCCGGGCTAGCATTGTTGATGGGTATGCGATCAAGATACCATCCTCGGGAAAGTTTCAAAAAGGCGTGTATCCTGTCACGATCATATCACATGCTCAAGCTGGTGAGGTTAAGGAGCTGAAGGAAGGAGAGATTGCGAGAATCACTACCGGTGCACCACTTCCTCCAGGTGCCGACGCTGTAATAATGGTCGAGGACACAGTGCTAAAGAGCCTAACAGATGATGGCCAGGAAGAGAAGGAGATCGAAATACTTACGGACGAAATCAAGGCCAACGAGAACGTGCGAGAAGTGGGCAGCGATGTCAAAGAAGGTGCAACAATTCTGAAGAAGGGTGAAGGTATCACAGTCGTAGGCGGCGAATTTGGTCTGCTTGCTTCTGTTGGAACTAAGGAGGTGTCTGTTTATAGACGACCTATAGTCGGTGTTTTGAGCACAGGAGATGAGATCATTCCGCATGATAGAGAAGGACCTTTGCGACTAGGCGAAGTGCGAGATACAAACCGCCCCACTCTTATCACTGCCGCTCGAAACCATAGATTCGAGGTCATCGATCTCGGTATTGTTTCAGACAAGTAAGTCGCGAGCCATTGCGAGTCATGGTGATGCGATATCACGACAATTAAAGCTAATCATAGACAGGCCTGGAAGCCTCGAACAAACCCTCCGCGACGCCCTACGCAAATGTGACGTTATAATCTCATCCGGCGGTGTCTCAATGGGCGAACTAGACCTCCTCAAGCCTACAATCGAGCGCTCTCTCGGCGGAACTATCCACTTCGGCCGGGTGAACATGAAGCCCGGTAAACCTACAACCTTTGCGACCATCCCCGTCAAAGATAACTCCGGAAACTACGTTAATAAAGTCATCTTCAGCCTTCCCGGTAATCCCGCGTCAGCAGTGGTCTGTTTCCACCTCTTCGTCCTACCGTCGCTACATCAGCAAGCTGGTATTACACCAGTGGGCTTACCTAAAGTGAAGGCGGTACTAGATGAGGATATCAGGATGGATAGAGGCAGGCCAGAATATCATCGTGCGCTTGTTGTCACGAAAAATGATGGGCTATTGTATGCGAGTTCTACGGGCGGGCAGAGGAGTAGCAGGATTGGCAGCTTTAAGGGTGCGAATGCGCTGCTTTGCATGCCGCAGGGTGAGGGGATGTTGAAGAAGGGGGAGAGAGTCGATGCACTGCTTATGGCGCAGTTGGGAGAAGTCGGTCGCTGATTTCGTCTAACTGCCCTAGCACTGAAAACAAGGAGAGAGATAGGTGAGCACCAAATCCGGTATGATCTCGATGTTGACTTACCAACTAGAAAGAACTTGTAGAGAGAGATATGCCACGGCGGCTACGAAAATGAATGTTTCCCTCAGCTTAAGACATGGTAACGATCGAGCATCCCCAGCACCAGGTCCATACGATCAATTGCCCCTTTCAGTAGCTAGGTGATTCCTATCGATTCTTATGTGGCACCTGTCACTGCCTCATCAAGCCATTTGTATTCCCCGTACCTTGCCGGTGGCATATCCCCTCATTTCCGGCCTCAACAAGGTGACAGCCTTGTGCAACTGTCAACAAAGACGAGACCGCATGACAGCCCGGTACCACAATGAAAATGGTGCCTGTGAAGGTAGGACAACGAAGCGCTGACATCATTCCTCTAGTTTTCTCATCTCCACATATTCTCATCCCGGCTCGATCCGCATGGAACGCACGGCTACGCCCATCGCTCTGGGTAGGTATGTGCAAAGACGCTATTTCGAGACTTTACGGCCTCCTGGTCTAGCCGGTGTTATCAATCTAGAGTGGGCGGGATGTTGTACCCGCTACCGGGTTTGGCTGAGCTATCCTTGTCAAAGATCAAGCCATTGGCTAAGCCAGCCTTCTACTACTTCCATAGGCACGACTGGCGGTATTAGTGTATGGAAGCGTGTTTTCAGAGATGTATCAGCGAGAGAGTTGAGTTGTTGATGAGCAGTGTTGCGCAGCGTTTGTGTGAATGTTGAGTTTCAGATGCGTTACAGGTCACAAGGGGGGCAAACTCAATTTTCAACGACGAACGTGTCTGAAAGTAATCATACTTCAACATGAGTTCAATACAATCTCTGGTCGCCTTACTAGGTCTCAGTATCTTTACCTCTTGTACCCAGGCCTCATTGCAATGTGCAACTTCGGATTACAATGCTCTAACTCAGCCCCAAGCACTGCTGTGTCTTGATGACGACAATGCTCCTGGAGGGCCGCCGTCATTACGAGTCAAAAATGGAAAATGGTCCCAGGAACCATTTTGTGTCGCGGGGCAGGCGAAGACGTACTGTACGCATACAACATCCGATTTTCGCAATGGTCATGGCGTGAGTGTCATCGCCAGCAGAGAGGCCGCCAACGCGATATCGTCAGCCTTCCCAGCATCAAAGGCAGCCCGCTATATATCTGAAGAACGTCTCGAAGTTAGCCGCATCCCTGGGAAAGGCAAAGGTCTCATTACTAGACATTCCATTCAGCGAGGGGATACGATACTGCTGGATTCTCCCCGAATCATCGCAAGCGCACAGTTTCCCTCGCACGTAAGCCCTTCCCAAGGCGCTTCGCTCTTTTCAACCATTCTAGATCAACTACCAGGCACAGATCGAGATCTACTTTTATCCCTCGACAAGAGCATAAGCGGCACCGACATCGAAAATGTCATGAAAACCAACGCTTTCGCGTGTCAGCCTGATGATGGGGAAGTCGGGGATGGATACATGTGTTTGTTTCCTTCTGTGAGCAGGATAAACCATGCATGTCGTCCGAATGCGCATGCAAGATTCATCCCAAAGAGCTTGTTGATGGAGATCAAGGCCGTGCGGGACATTGAAGCTGGGGAGGAAATAAGTATAAGTTATGGGAGGATTGACTTGAAGCACGCCGAACGACAGAGACTATACAAAGAGGGATGGAATTTCACGTGTACGTGCAATTCGTGCACGAGTACGGCGTATGAGATTGCGGGAAGTGATCAGCGGCGCGCGAGGTTCGAGCAGCTCCGGAAATTGCTCGAAAATATAACGAGTGAAACCTACGACGCGCAGCAGATTGTGGCGTGGGAGAAAGAGGTGATGGAGATTAGTGCGAGGGAAGGATTGGATATGCTCCTGGCAGGAGACTATGAGAGGTTGGCGTATGTCTATGCGGGACATGGCATGAACAGAGATGCGAAGATTTGGGCAACCAAGGCAAAGGAGAGCTTAATGGAGTGGACGGTTGTGGATGGGGGCCCAGGGAATGAGATCAGGAGAGTAGAGGACTTTCTGGGAGAATTGGGAGGGTGAAGCTTGGAGCTGGCCTCGAAGCTGGGTCAGGACGTTGTAGACCGGATTCAGGGTAAACAAACGGGGGTTCGAAGAGTATCTAATCATGTCTTTGCTCTGCGTAAACCCTTCAGCGAGCAAAGGTGCTATGCACAGGTTTCCACGAGTTATCAATGGTGAAAGGAGACGCCAAATAAAAGGATCGGATTCGACTCCGAAAGTGCCTGGACAGGTAGCAGACACATGCGAGACAACGGCAGTTCAAGACTTGACTAGGCATCCTCGTATAACGTGCAGGACAAGCAACAGTTCTCGAAGACGTCTCCACCTCGGTAATGAAGAAGCGGCGAATCTCTATGAAGCGAGACCTCGCACTAGAGCCGATAAAGGCCCAAGGACAACTGGAAAGAGACGTGAACGCAAATCTCTTCAAGCGACGACAAGGCGCAATGTTCTTTGTATGTCCAAGAATGATAATGATAAGCCAACTGCTCAAAGTGACCATGGTGGAAGTGGCTTGAGGCCCAAGCGTCGAATCATGCGCCTCTCTCGGCCTGCTTCGACCGCATCTCAAACCGACCTTAACCCTTGGCGCATCATCATCCCTTTAGACTCTCGTCGTGTTGTCGTTTTCATTTGCTGCGAGCTCTCTATCTTCCCTTCCTTCCCTTCCTTATGCGGCTGAATAGTTCGCAAAAGCACAATCAAGCAAACCCTTCATCAACAAAGCACAGCGCCCAGAGCATCAAGCGCTGGAGGATTCGCTCGCCCTTTCATCCGGACAGCGCAATTCCCATCCGTTGCCTCGTCAAAGCGTAGCGCTTGTCCCCTCAGACCCGTCGCCTCCGTACCACCTCAACCAAAGTCGAGGCTGCATGTCTGTGTCAAACCATGATTAGCTGCGTTACCCCAGCCTACCATATACGGGCATCTTGGGCCTTCCATTGACTAGGTTTGATTGTCCTGTTTCAACTAGTCGCGGGGAGAGCCCTGTCGCAACCCTCGAAAGCTGAGGAGGGTCGCACAAAGGCGTTCGACGCATAACACTGCAAATGATCCCTAGGCCAAAGACTGAACATGGGTCGCGTAGTTCTTACGGGGTTGATAATGATCAGAGTTCGCCCTAGATGTCCGTTCTCAAGTCCGCTCCTTTTGCTTTCGAACGAGTCACGTCCATTACTTTCTTCTAGTCACTCATTTACATCAATCACGTCTTGATTGACTGCTGTTCTAATTTTAATATGCTGTCGCGTCTATCCCTTCTTTCAGTCTTCGCGACTTTGTTCGCTATCACCATCAGTCAGAAGTGTTACGGCCTCGACGGCACAGCACTTGACGATACCTTTGCTCCATGCAATCCCAGCGCAAAACATAGCGGTTGTTGCGCGACCAAGCGAACTGTTGGCTCTGCCGATCTATGCCTGGATAACGGATTGTGTATGGCTACAAACAATGAGTTGATGGGAACAATATGGCAGAGTGGATGTACGGATGCCACTGGGAAGGATGCGGCATGTCCAAAAATGTGTCCTGGCGGTACGTGCATGTTGTGGTGCAAATGTGTGTGATGTGAAGCTAATGCCATCACAGCAAGTGACAACTTCGATGGTTTGAACCCAGTCACCGCATGGAATATACAGATGTGTGATTACGGGAAATACTGCTGTCGCGCCATCAACGACCGGCGGAGCTGTTGCAACAATGCGACCGCACCACGGGCCAGCACCACCTTCATCGGCGCGTTGAAAGTATTGGCAACGCCCATCTCCGTCACCAGCGAACCGACGCGCGTAGTCGGTACCGCGACCTCGACTGGCTTGCCCTTTGACGCAACCGCTGCACAAAATGGAGATATTTGCCAGAAGGAGAAGCGGAAGACTGCGGTTGTTGGCGGCACAGTCGGGGGTCTGTTTGGTGCCATCATTGTAGCGTTGGTTGGTACCATACTATTGATGTATAGGAAAGAAAAACGACAGCGGAAGCTGAAGGAACATTACGAGGAGCAGTTTTCACAGACCAATGCATACCGCAAGGCATTGGCTTCCAGCGCAGGGTCGATTAGAGAAAGCGTCTTCATGGAAGAGCTCCTGGTCAAGTCAAGTGGACCAGACTGAACACGCGAAGAGTGTCGGACGATCCCGATTTTTGGTGTTGGTACGATGGATATGATAATGGCTGATGATAGGACGATGTATAAGGTTGGGTAGGAGTGTTTTGGCTTTGGTCTGCTTATATGTCCTTGAGCGGATACCCTACTAGCAAGCACATGTACTTGTTTATGTATAACACTGTAACTTTCTTTTCTATAGTCCAAGAACCAATTAATTCAACCTCACGTCCCACTAGTTTCAAATGAGCAGCCATGACTATGCTTCCATCCATGCAAAGGCCGACCTTTGAGTGTTTGCAGCAACTACTATCCTGAAACTGCGAAAAGATGGCTATCGACTACAATATTTTTTTGTACTAGTTCAAATTATGTCAGTCTCCAACTTCTTAGAGCGTTCTTCGGAATTTGAGTGGTCGAGCGAGCGATGTGGTGTCACTCTCTGACAGAAAAATGCACATAGCCGCCTAGCACAGCAAACTCGATACCTGGTTAAGCATGGAGCAAAAAGAATGTCATAATAGTCAGGGCCGAGATTCGACTCTGCGGTATTCACCACCACCATTGAGCAGTCAGTTTAGTAGAGCGTAATAATTGCGCCTGCAATACAATTCGACAAAAGGAAAGATGGCACAGACGCAAAGCGACCATGCCACTTAGGATCTCTGTTTCACTTTAGCTACTTTCCTGATTGTGAGCTGGCTTGCACTGATATATATAGTCAGAAATGTAAAAGGAGCTCCTAGAAGAGGGACAGCCAGTGGTACATCATCGCCTCCACGAGTTACCTGATAGATTGTGTTTTCGTAGTTTCCTTGTTTTGATTCCACCTATGCACCTTCCCGTGTCCCAAGTTAAAAAGAGCAAATAGAGTAGAGTCGCGGATTCGAACACGCGGAAGTTTCATAGCCTCGTTGCGAAGGAATGGGTCAATATGAGCAGATTAGGGCAAAAAGGAAAGGACCCGTCCTAATGTGGGGGGCGGACGGGTGGCAAATAATAGTTTGGTACTAGCTACTTTCCTGGTGTAATGCAGGAAGAAGTAATTATATATACTGCCTCAAATGGTCGAGGTGATAACTGTAACAGTGTGGGTTATGGGCCTCAATACTGTGACATGGGATCGAAAGCATTTGACACAGAGGGGAAAGCGCGCACCACTCCTTCCTTCTTGACAACCATCCACCCCAACTGGAAAGGGAAGCGTATACCAGCCCCATAGCACTAGCTTTCGTTATTTGGCATGAATTTCATCAATGTCAAAGGACTACACGGATGACTCGGTTAAGGCTATCCCCAGCGTGTATAAAGCTCGATGCGCCATGCAAATAAAAGATTCTACCTTAAATATGACTATTACATAAACAAACCCGATTTAACAATGTCGGAATAGTAATAGTTCTGAACACTTTGGGAATTAGCAATGTCGGAATAGTAATAGTTCTGAACACTTTGGGAATTAGCAAACTATGCACTAAGATATCGCATGAAGCAAAATATGTCAGCTAACTAATATACAGCCCAGGGAAAACACTCACTTAGATAAGTCGGGTATTGTCCCTCCTCGAAGGGAAGGATACCATAGCCTTCATCCATTTACACATTTACGCACTCCATACTGAACAGTAAATCTTGTCCTTATGTAGCTAGAATAACAAAAGACATTCTTTACAAACCTCAAGAACTGGAAATAGGGCAGAAGGTATTCCAATATCCAAAAGAACGTGAAGGCAACATGAGCTTATGTTTACTACGGGAAATCGAACTCAAGCCCTATGTGCAACATGGCAAAAGCGTGAGTAAGGAGCAAAAAGGAAAGTAGCCAGCATGTGCTGGCTGTACTGTTCTGAGTTTGATGTAGCGACTTTCCTGAGAATGAGACCAGAATACAAAATATATATACTCTCTTTGAAACAGCATGCGGGCTTTGAAATCGTCCAAGCCATTAAATTTATAGTAGGGTCACTCAAGAAAAAGGCTGCTGCCTACAGATCAGGCTGAGGCGACATGCACCCGACAAATCCGCGGCACTATCACTAAATAGGGTAAGACCACACCCTCACCACGTGCACATGCATATTACATCACAGATTAAGACCTTTAACAGCCAAAAAGTAATCGTAAAGAGACAGATTCGAACGTGCGAACACGTTCAAGCTTAAGGGCAAAAAGGAAAGATTCTGCCGCCCCGCAAAGCGTCACAGCAGACAATGTTCCTCAACTACCGCAAGGGTGGTTGAAGAGATAGGCATTGGCTTGCTCTTTGTATTGAAAGCTACTTTCCTGGTTGGCTGCTGGATTTAAATAATTATATACTCATCAAGAAGAGTATAACACACTACGCGCGGTGTTGGGTTAGAAGGGTCTTGGAAAGGTGGGCGTGTAGGTTGGGTGAGTCAGATCAATTTCTGTGGCGCTGACCGCAGTCTTGGGGGGGAGTCAGTTCAAAGTTGGCGGCCTATCGCGTATTTCAACCACGCCGTGGATAGCCTTAGCATGATGGAAAAGCGGACGCTCTCAAAAGGTCTGCGGAAAATAACACATGATTTACGGACTAGCTCGCGAAAGACTGCAAAATGATACTTTAATTCTGAGGCTGTCTGTAAGGCAGCCCTACTTGAGCAATAGCTTCATTCTCCTTGACTACTCCTTGCCAACATCGCTTTCCAACCCTTCCTTTTCTTCCTATCTTGACACAAACTCTGGCGCGATCTCCCCTCTCTACGTCCTCGTCTTCCGAGTTCCGCGTCAAATAATTGAGGTACTATATCTTGAGCATGTCTCAAAGCCGCTGTTCACCCAACCTCGCAGCATCAGTACTCGCCAATAGATACAACTACAAGATCCCGTTGAACATCGGTGTTTGACAGACGCAAATCTGACATTACATCAGGATTCAGGTGTTTCGAACAGCTTACCCACATGCAAAGTACAGTAAAGGGAGGGTGTTGCCCAGTGGTCCGCGGTGAGCATTCATTGGCCGGGGTCCATGTCCCACCTCGCTCGTCTCCAGAGTTCGGTGAAACAGTTGATGGGAGAAGAACGAAGACGGGCCTGTGGACTCCTTGGTGAGACAGCCGCCATCGCATTTGACATATTGCATATGTATGATCTGCTCATCGAAAGAGGGAAAATAGCGCAAGTGTGGTGTGTGTGTGACTGTGCACATGACACTTGAAACACATACTCGGACTTCGAATGCAGCTACGGAGGGCGCAGTGCTTACATTATGCTGTTTTTAGCAAGGCACGACTGGTAGCGCCACTATGCAATGAGTATGGATACATAGTGAATCCGTAGTGCGTTTCAGTTTTAAATTCGGCTGACGGAGGAGGATTCGTGAGCTAGCTGTTTGAGAGTCGCGGAAAATCAAGGAATGTGTAGTGCAGCTCGAGGAAGAAGTTTCCAGGCTGAAGGGTAAAATGAGGTTATTTTTGACTAATGTTTGTATCTTTATATCTGTGATGATGAATGAAGTTGAGAAGATATTGACTAGAGAACCGGCAGATTGTGCCTTCGATATCCCCATTCTCTGTCGAACAAAGGGAAGTCCATCGACTACTAATCGACAGCAGTGTTGCGCATTTTGTTCCATGAGATTTACAACGCCGAGTATGCAAAAGAGGACTGCCTAGGTATCCATCGAATCTCAAAAGACATATCAAACTAGAAGTGAGGAAAGTCGAAAGCTGAAGGGCCGCGGAATGGGGCCAACGTTTAACACAAGCAAGAAAATTCCCAAGTCTGGAGTTGATAAGCCCATATAGAACGCCACAAAAATGCACACCTTCTTATCCTACCCGCCCACCGATCGTTCGTGAATCATAGATCATCGTCGTCGAGATCAATCGCGTCCGGATTTGCTGCTGTCTCTTCAGTGGGCTTGATATTGCCAGCAAGCCCTGTGCTAGCAGCCACAAAGCCCACAGGAGCTCGTGCTTGCCGCTCGAGTGCAGCCATTGCGTCTTCACCAGCATCTGATGCGTCATCCTCGGCAAGAGCGCCGTTGCCGTTTTGTTGGCCTCGCGCGACGGCCTGGGAGGCGATGAAGTTGACATCGGTACTGTTGACTGTTAGTTCTACAAGTCTTCCAATCACTGTACGAAGAGAGGTTACGTACTTGTACTGAGCCTGAACACTCCGTTTGATCCTCAGCATCTCCTTGTATGTATCCTCATTTCCATGCTGCACCTCAAACGACTCCCACTTTTTCCAGAACTCCGGACTTGTCCTGGGATCGCAGAACTGGCTTGCATGGCCATAAATGGCTCTTGCCCGATCTATTTCGCCTAGTCGTCGCTCCATTTCGGCGAACTTGAGACACATTTCTTTGGCTTCGGCGTCGGGTAAGGCGGCGATGGCGCGCTCATAGATTGGTCGGGTGGATGTGAGACCGAAATTTGATGCGGACTTGGTAATGTAAAAGTTGAACATATCTAGTCGATCTTCATCCGCGACGGCGCGGGTAGCGCGCTCGTATATTCGCATGGCGTGGCGGGCCAGGCCTCGGTCTTCTTCCAGGGCACCGTACATGAGGTACAGCACTTTGGCGAACTTTGGCGGGCAGTCTTCGACGGCTTGCTCGAACAGATCTCGTAACCGCTCCATTCCGATCTTTCGGTCTACGGCCTTGGTTAGGTAGAGGTTCCATATCTCAAAGGCAACAGGATAGCTGAAGAGGTCCAGTCCACGCTCATAGACCTTGAAGCAGTCCTCGAAGTACTTGTTTTCTTCCAGGAGATTGGCAAAGTTGACGATTGTCTGCGGTGTTGCGATACGAAGCTCGAATATTCTTTCATAGACCTTCTTTGTCTCTTCGAGTGTGCTGACACTCTCCACAAGATCGACGTAGAAGCTCCACAATTTCCAGCTCTTGTGAACACGCTGTTGTGGTGATAACGATTCGTCGAAATAATCGACGTTGGATCGCTTTGGTGCTTGCGTGGCCTTCGCCATGATATCGACGGCCCTGTCAAAGTTTTCGTTGCGGAGCTCCATCTCGGCCCACTCACACCACATCTCAGCCAATTCAGCCACGGATTTGTAAGGGACTTTGACAGCTTTCTCCATGATGACGCGAGCATTTTGAAGGTCACCGCCAGCCTCATACAACTTTGCGTAATTGGTCCACAGCTCATGGAACTTGCCCACTGCCTTCTTCGGATTGATAGCGGAGATGGCGTCTGTGTAGGTCTGCACAATCTCCTTCTTGTTATCACCCCAGAGAGCGACGCGCTTTTCCCATTCGATAACGTTGTGCGGGTTCTGCCGCAGCATGACATCGTTGAGTAAGAAGGGTCTTCTTTGCATCAGTGACTCAAAGCGGACCATTCGGATGTCGAGGTCGGCGTCGGCGGCTTCGTCCAGCCTGACCTTTTCGGACCGGGCAGCAGCCTCGTTGAGTTTGATACCGATCATGGCCTCTTCGGCCTCGACGTAGGTATCAAAAACTACCGAGAAGTCGCGAACGGTCATGACGGTGGTGACGCCCTCCTCGAAGACGTCGCGCGCCTTTTCGTATTCGCCCTTGTGCATCCAGTATCGGGCTAGGCCGACCCAGAGTATGCCGCGCTGGTCGGGAAACTTGATGATACCGCTCTGAACGATCTTCTCCACGTCAATGCCACTGTCGTCGCTAGTGTCAATTTCTTTGGCGTGGTCGATCATGAGGTCGATCATCTCGGTCCAAAACTGGAACGGGCCCTTGGCCTCCTTGCTCTTGAAGCGCGGGTTGTTGAGAATCTCCATGTATTTCTTGACCGCCTCGGTATACTTGCGCATGTCCTTCAGCAGCTCGATGAAGTCCTCGGCGTCCTCGGGATGGATCTGCATATAGCGGCGCCATATCTTGACGGCTGTTTCACCAGACGCAGACGTTGCAAATGGCCGGTAGAGGGCCCATATGCGGTTGTGTTGTGTGAGGGGCAGGGCGCGCAAGGCTCGATCAAAGGTGCGGCGGGTTGTGGTAACGAGGGGCTGCTGCATGAGGAAGTGCAGGTACATCTCCCATATGCGCGGCATCTTGTTGAGCAGCACGAGTGCGCGCTCGAAGAGGGCGTTGACCTTGACATAGTGTGGCGCGTACTTGGCGGGATTCTTCTTGGTGAGGTGCTTGGTGCGGAGCTCGAGGTAGAGCTTCCAGAGCTTGTACGAGCGCGGGAGCGTGGTGACGGCGCGCTCGAGGACGAAGGCCTGCTCCAGAATGCTGCCGCGGCTCTTCTTGAAGCCGTAGTAGTCCAGCCAGGGCTTGACGCTGCCTGCATTGCGCTGAATGTCCTGCTCGTACGCGACGTCCTGGTCGGTGATGAGGAAAAGGTCGGACGAGCGCTCCATCTTCCGCTTGGTGGGCCGCGAGAGGCTCGCCGTCACGGTTCGAAGGAGTTCGCCAGGCATGATTGCGCCAGAGCGGGCGTGGGGGGACAGCCCGTCGTAGGCAGGGAACGCGATGGAGTCGTGCTGGATGGCTGCTGAGGGCGTCGTCGTCTCGCGGCGGTAAAGTTCTGAGGGAAAGAACGATGGATGGGGCGGCGGTCAAGTCGCAGCCAATGGGGCCTTTGCAGCATGGGCGGCCCACTTCAGATTGTTGGCAGGCGCAACGCACGGCCCCCGCGTCTCACGAAAGCTACCCGGCCCATAGCTGCGTCACGTACCGCCGTCTTCACTACTGCTATTCCGAGCAGCCCACTCTTACTGGCCCCACGACGACTGTCTGACTACCTTCGGAGCACCGTCAGCGTCTGTCCCGTGTTCGTATACATTATACTCCCCGACCCGTCGATTATCTGAGCCATGTCTGGCAGCGGGGTATGTAGCAGCTGTGAGCTATTGCTATGCGGCAGATTGCCCATACTGACACGCCCCCCATTAGGCGAGAGAGGCAGTCTTCGCGACGCGGCAATCGCTGGGGTTGATGAAGAGCAAGCTGAAGGGCGCCCAGACAGGTCACGACCTGCTGAAGCGAAAGAGCGAGGCATTGACAAAGTAGGCATCGCCCATCTACGCCATTCTCTTGAGCCGCTGCTGACGCTTGACAGACGCTTCCGAGGTGCGGGCCACGCCATGCCATGCTTCGCCCCATCGTGTCAACATATGGCTGATTCCCCGAGCAGAGATAACGCGCCGCATCGATGAAGCGAAGCGCAAGATGGGCAGGGTCATGCAAGTCGCAGCCTTCTCCCTCGCCGAAGTAACCTACGCCGTCGGCGGCGACATTGGCTACCAGATCCAAGAATCCGCAAAACAAGCACGGTTCCGCGTACGCACCAAGCAAGAAAACGTCTCCGGTGTCTTTCTCCCACAGTTCGAGAGCTTCACGGCAGAGAACAACAACGATTTCGCCCTGACGGGCCTGGGCAAGGGCGGGCAACAAGTGCAGAGGTGTAGAGAGACGTATGCAAGAGCCGTCGAGACATTAGTCGAACTGGCTAGTCTGCAAACTGCCTTTGTAATATTGGACGAGGTTATCAAGGTAGTCAATCGCCGTGTCAACGCCATGTGGGTATCCTTCGCTCCTGTCATATCTGCCCAAGCTCACAAGTAACAGCGAGCATGTCATCATTCCTCGAACCGAAAACACAATCAAGTACATCAACTCTGAGTTAGACGAGCTAGACCGAGAGGAGTTCTACCGCTTGAAGAAGGTGTCCAACAAAAAGCAAAAGGATGCCGCTGTCGAGGAAGCAGCCAGGCAGGAGAGGAAAAAGGCTGAAGAGAATGCAAATGCACAGAGTCCAGATGTGGAGAGTGCCGCACAGGACGCCAAGGAGACCAAGGACCTGTTCGGAGACGAAGATAACGAGGATGTCATCTTCTGAGCACTTCGGAGCCGGTCAGAATGGGCCATTGTTCGATCCGAAGTTGCGAGGGTGGAACGCTCTGCCCCTCCTAGCGTCGGCAGCCAAACGCTCGAAATACTTGAAGTCTTCGGCTGACCTGTAAGCGACTTCTGCATGAATCGGCCAGGAATTGGGGACTGCGACAAGGGGCGCAAATGGGGTTTCCCTATATATGAAGATGAGTACTGTGCCATAGTCAATGTGAACATAGCGATTAGACAACAAGGCTCTCCATTGTAATGGCTTGGAGCTAACAAAAGGTATCATAAACTCATAAATCCATTCGCAATAACCTACTGTCGCTGGTAAGTGACCTTCATGGGCTTGCCTTCTGCGCCAATCGGTGTATTCGCCGTCGCCTCCTTCGCCGTAATCGCAAACTGCTCGTTCTCGAACTCGGCAAAGGCGACGGACCTGACTGAAACCAAACGCACTTCCTTGAAGCCTTCGAAGCGCTCGAATATCGTTGTGAGATCGTCTTCGTCGACGTCGCGGGGAATGTTCTGTAGGAAGAGCGTCTTGTTCGGTCGCACATATTCGTCGGGGACAGCAGCAGCTCCTGTCTTGGCTGCGCGAGGCTTCTCGGCCGTGACTGCGGGATTCGCTTGCGCTTTGGCGTCCTCTTCCGCTCGCTTGAAATCTAGAAGCAGTCAGTGCATGGTCGTAATCGAGCAAAATGCATGTGCATACCCTTCAGCATCAGTCGCTTCCGCTTGTGGTCGTCGAACATATCCGTAGCTTTTCGCTTGACCGTCTCGTCGCTGTGTGTTTTTGCCCTAGACACCTTCATGACCTTTCCGTACATCTCGAAGCCATTCATCTCCTCCACAGCTTCCAGTGCAGACTTCTCGCTGTCGAAGACGATGAACGCCTGTCCCTTCCGCTTCAAGCTGCTCTTAGCAATGACATCGAGAATTGGGCCGTAGTATTGGAAGACTCGAGTCAGGGCTTGCTTAATCGTGTCGATCTTGACGCGCTCCTCGAGGTTGTTGACCTAGTGCTGTCAGCATCGCGCCACAGAGTGCAATGCGAGTGCGTGCTGCGCGCTCGGGTTCAACTCACGTAAATTCTGCGGTCACTATTAGCATCTGGAACCTACCTTGAGATCTCTACAAACTTACGTTTCGATGGGCACCGGGTATTTGCTCGGATCTACAAGACCTCCGCCCATTACTACGCCCTCCATCTTATCCGCCATATTGGGCGACTGTCAAGTTGGGTTGGTGTTGAGGTGCGCAGTGGTGAAGTCGGAAGCTCTCGAGAGCTCGAATTCCGATCGCGCCAAGGCACGCTAGATAGCGATCACACGTGACGTAGGCTGCAGCTGGAATAGGACGTTGCTCAAGGATTTCTCATACACCGAAATATAAACCTATATACTGACATAACAGGGTTCAATCGATTATATGGATGTCTTTCGGTGTTTTGTCAAGAGCTGTAGTAACCCGAGGAGCCAGTCACGATATTGGCGCCAGGTCAGCCATGCTCAAACACATAGACCTCGACGGCTTATGCCACACTCTTTATCGGGAAATGGAGGAAAATAATGGTTATCGTATTGAGTAAGGATGGAAAGAGTTCTTAAAAGGTGGTAACACAATGGCAACGCCACTGCCCTAACGACCTTTGCAACGTTCCCAATAAAAGTTTATACATGAAGCCTCCAGGAGCCTACCAAAGCACATCGTCCCCTGGAGTTTAGAACGCTAACTTTTGACCAGCCTCTGCGGTAACAGCAGCTTTGACATTCGCAGAAGCCAATGCCGTATACTTATAAGGGAAACTGTTCGCGTTAAGCTTTCCGACAGGTGCCGTGTTGGCACTCTGACCACCGAATATAGTGTCAACGACGACCGCAAACCTATCACCCGATCAGTTAGCGTTCAAAGGTCTAATGGAAGATCCCAAGGGCCATAGTCACTCACCCTTGCTCTTTGCTTGACTCGGTATAGACTGCCTTCTTGCCGCTGTTTTCGAAGACGGTGCCTTGAACTAAGGCCTGAGCACCCATGCGCGAGTTTACACCTGTGTCTTGTTCGTTGTAGTAGTTGTTGAGGATGTGTGCTGTCCCAAACCGAAGCAGTGGGCCGCGGCTGGCCACTTTGTAGAAGTGGTTGTTTGCGTATGTCACGCGTAGGTGGCCGGTGTCTTCGGCTGCGTTCTTGTCGGAGTGGCCGACGAGCGTTCCCTTGGACTATAGTCATGGGTCAGCTGTGACTCTTTCACCATGATATGCTAATCTGCTTCCAAACTCAAATGTTGTAAGACGTACATGGTTGTGGAAGTAAGTGTGGGAGATTGTCACAAAGTCAGCCGCATGTGACAAATCTACCAACCCATCGTAGGTATCCTTGCCCACCGTGTCATCTCCGGACACGTCGAGATGGTCAACCCATACATTGGTCGACTTGTTGATAGTGACACCATCCCCGTATGCGGCGAGCACCTTGGAAATCTTCAAGTTCCTGATGATTACGTTCTTTTGACCCAGGATGGTGAGACCGATACCTGTCAAAGCTAGAAGGTTTCAGCAGGAATTCGAAACAGGAGGCAATCTAGCGGTTTGACAAGTACATACAGCTCCCGGATTTCCCTACAATAGTTTTGTCGGATCCAACGTGAACCTTTGCTGCACCGCTGATGGCGCCTTGCACAACAATGATAAGAGGTCCCGTTGAATTGGCTGCAGCAGAGAGCTGGGGAAGAGTGCTAACAGTGGTGGTAGGTCCACCGGCACCTCCTTTGGTGCTAAACAAGATGTGTGAATGTGAGTCCTGGGACGGGTCAGTGTTGGCAGACTCACCCGCCATTCTGCGTCGCGTAGCCGATATTGGCAGCGTCGGTAATGCTCGCCCTCTTTTCTAGGACTCTTGCCACACCTTCTTTGTAGGAAGGAGTGGGCGTTGCGGACACTATTGATGCCGCGAGGAGGACCAAGGAAGTAGAGAGCTTCATGTTTGATGAAGTTTCAAAATCTAGAACTATGATACTGAAAGAGCAGAATTGATGAACGATGTGCTTGCGATAGGCTGCTGAGGAGGCGACATGGAGCTCAGTTCAAATACTAAATATATTTAGTCCACCTCCTGGAAGCAAATCACGGTCACGCAATTCTAGTCAATAATTTAACAAACGGAACGAATATAGCCAGCAAAGATGGAGTCGAACGTACCCACTATAGGCAGGTCAGCGTTTGATTCGAGGTAAGACTACATGCTCCAAGCACTTGGTGTTCTGATGTGCTTCATTGACGAGCTAGTTTGCGCCGATCTCATCTATGCGACAGGCTTTCTTAGGTGGAATTCTGCTGAAAACACTATACCAGTCACACCAGATGTTTGATGAAACGCCTTGTGGGGGTCTACCTTGACTGTAATATGATTGTATTATGTAGTTGTCTAAGCCTTTAAGATGATATAGGGGGTCTTGGCCACCGGAAGTGAGACGGTGGTTGCACGGAAAAATCCGTCGTTGGCGGAACATCACATTGAGATGGTCCGGATTGCTGTTCGTGCGGACATCAAAGGTCAAGATTGGGAAACCTCAGTAGACCCAAAAGAAGTATTGCCGGGGAGGTGACTCTAGTACTAAGAATTAGAGAAGATATAGATTCGAGCGATGTATCCATGTGAAAGTTTGTAGATGAAATAGGTAGCTCATTGCTTGGGAAGAAGTTACTAGCTGCCAGAAACACTGACGGAAGAATCGAAGTCCTGTTGTGAGATCTTGGAAGTGAAGAGAGGAGTATTGTGCCTTGACTCGGCTTTCTTTCTCAGTAGTTCAGTCTCAGCAATTACTGTACCTCGGCTGAAATCCGCCAGTGGTCATCACCCGTGCTCAAGTCAGGGTGATTACCGGTGAAGCCTGGCATAAGAACCGACAGCAGGTCATCATATCAATATCATAATCCTCTTATGACTTGGTGGCCTGGCCTGTATGCGCCTTGTGCGGGGGATGCCACGTGACGGCCCGCTCCTCGCGGCAAACGCCCGACCGCGATGAACCCGCAGCCACGGAATGCAGTCCATCTTAGATTCTCACGTCAATTGAGAGAAAATTCCGCTTGAGAGTCCAAACAATGAGATATCTACATCTTGCACTGTTTTATTGATATTTGGTACCATGAGAGAACGATGATGAGGTTTAGAACCATAGTTGGCGACCGTCTTGAATGCAGCCTATCCTGGAAGAATTAATGTACTTACATAAAGTACGTTCACAGAACCAGCAATAGCTTAACTAGGGCGTAGGCGCTTTGGGAATCCTCTTATTACGATTCAACGACGTCAATTTTCATACCACCCTTGTATGGAACATCTTCAAAGTCTAAGGGCTTAGAATGAGAATACGGTGCCCGAGTATCTCCATCACACTTGATTAGGCAAGAGCCTTACATCCGTTATTAAGAGTAAGCGCTAGAAAACAGCGCCTCTGGATTAGTATTAACCCCCTCACGCCTCTTCGAATAGCTAGTGGAACTAACGAAACAAAAGGTAGCTTTAAATCTACCTGTTTGGACAATACGGTGATTATGAAAAACGGACACCGAACAAGGCCTTAATCAAAACAGTCCATTTCTCATTTCCAGCATAGCATCTTACGGTGCCAAGAGCCTAGGGCAGAGTAATAATGAAGTTGGGGGCGCAAAACCAAAGGACCGAAAATATAGCGAGAAGCATTATTGCTTATCTGCACTGTAATATACAAATTGGCCTAACCGAAATTCCGTGGTGCTGACAATGCGTTTATTTATACCTAAGGTTACCAAAGAGTCCATTGCCGTCGAGAAGACTCGGCCACGAACAGCGGAACGTGACGAAAGAAAATGAGAAGGATAGCCTATGGTTTACTCGACGGAGTCTGCGAGACACAGCATGTGTGAGCTATGAAGTACCACTGTCGACTGCTACAAACTCTACAGAATCGTAGATGGAACTACCGAACTAGAAGAGCAAACTTGACGAGAACGCCTGGGAAGATCACGGGGCGACGATAATTCAATGGTTGCACAACTTCAAAAGAGGCTTGTTTGTTTCACGCACAAGGAATTGATATGCGGTCAGATCTGAAGTGGTTTACACTGACTTCGTACCTTCTGTTTGTAGCTAATGAACTTAGCCGCTTCATCAAACAAAGTTATTAGAGTAAGCTTTACGAGCGTACTGACGATAATCTACCTAGAAACCCTTCAGCCTACTCGGGACAAGCTTCTCAGGCTGCCTGGAGGTGATCTATAAAGAGGGAGTCGTTTCTTCATCAACTCATCACCAACAATTCCAACTCAACTCTACAGCTTCAGCCTTAAACATTCAAAATGCTTTCCGCTAAATTCATCTCCTCCCTCCTCTTCTCGCTCGCCTCTCTCCAGGCTGTCTCTGCGACTCCTATCGTCGAGGCCCGCGAAAAGTACCCCGATGTGATTCCTGGTCCAGGACTCCCTTCTCTTGAGTCTCTTGGCCTCACCACGGCGAAGCTCTACGAAATGCCTCGCCCTGAGCCCCGTATGCGAATCCTTTCATTTTCCAATATCCTGTTGTGGAATTCCAGTTAACACCTTCTCTAGCCGAGATGACCGCCATGTTTGACCCACGCTGCGGTAAGTAAAGTTGATCCCTCAGTTATAGGTGCTCTCACAGATCTGATACTAATTCCGCGGTTCCAGGTCCCTCGGAGGCCGCTTATACATCTGTGGGTGGTGTTATTGCATGCTATCAATATTTGAGGAACCTTGGCACCACCCGTTGCGGCGTGCCCGGTAGTGGTAGGGTCACTGAATTCTGCCGCTCTGGCGACGCCCACGCATCTGGTCAGAGCTTGACTGGCCGTGACGAGAGTAGCTACTGGTACGCTTACCTCAATACTACTGTTCACATTGTTTGGAAAGTTAAAGGAGGCTAACAGCGAGGCAGTTCCGATGTGGCAATTGGTCTGCTCTGGGTTATCGATCATTGTACGCGAGCTGACCAGTCCGTTGCGGGCTTTGCTGCTCCAAATGGTAACGGGAATTTCTTTGTTGGTGGAACGAACATTAGGTGGTAAGAACAGAGCCCATCAGGGGCAGTTATGGATGATGATCGAGACTGCAATAAGTTCAAACGCAATATGTGCTTGTAAAGATTGTTGGTTGGATTATCAGAGTTGATGTACTTCAAACAAAATTGAGTCAGCTTTGTACAGGCCAATAATACTATGTAGGGGGTTGAGTGCTCCATACAGTGACAAGACTATCCCTTGATACTGTCTCGTAAACCTTTTCCCATGCAACTCCATACTGATACTACAAGTCCTTTACCTCCGAGGATACCCAGGCTCTTCCATGTCCGCCTCAACTGTGAAGTTGGACAACGAATGGATAGGAGGAGTACTTGATATGTGAGCTGCCTGTGAGTAAGTAGCGCCTGGTCACTATAGCTAGAGGCGGTATTTTCCTCCGTCTTGTACCGTCACGATGTTCGTAAATACTGCGTCGGGACAGTGCAAATATCATCTGAGTATCATTACGTTATCTATCTATCTCTTCCCAGTCGCTCTTCGTAGTCGTCTTCTAGCTCGTAAGCTGGCCGGAATATCGGCTTAGGTGTGCCGTTCACTGCCCCGTTCACTGCCCCTAGTTGTGTTGTTTGACTGGAAGATGGTTGACGCGCGAGGGCGGGATTCGGCTGAGTGTCGGTAGTGCCACCTAAAGAGGTGTACCCGCGATCGTAAAGCGTACAGTACGGTATGTTTAGGTGTCGTATGAACTACAAGGCGTCAATGGACCTCCCTACAGCCGCTACGTTTAGTACGTACTGTCCAAATCTCGACATAATGCCAGTCTATAACCGGATGCACACGCACAAACTTGGGCCAGCCTGAATCTGTTGGGTCGAAATGCTTCAAGTACTCGCCGTGGGGATCTGTCCTTCGCGTGCCTACGAGGATCGCTTTCACCGACGGGGTATCGCGTAGATAATCGGCAAAGGCAGCTTTCATAGGTTTTGCATATTCCAGAAGCGCCAGCGAGTATGTCTTGATACATTGCGTCACGAACTCCTCGACTTCGGAGAAGGGATGTGCGTCCTGGATATAAACGCACTGTACGGCGGTCTCGATGTTGGACGATGGATTCGAGGTGTTGGTCAAGCCTCGTTTGTGCAGTGCACAGAGATACAGAATCAAAAGAACAAGGCAGTCCTTGCCTCCATTGTATGCTAACGAGAGCTCTGGGAGACTACAGCAGCTGTCAGCCTTCGCGCAGCCCTCACCATGTGCCCCGCAATCAGCACCCACCTATATTGCGCCAATGCCCTGTCTATGATGTCTAGAGAAAGCCTCGTCTGCGCTTGCACACTCTTCACGCGGTCCGAGACATCCTTCGCGTCCAGAAAGGCAGCTATGCGGTCATGTATCCTCGCGCATAGCTCGCGGAATGGCAGCGGGGTATCGGTGGTGACGAGGGGATCTGAAAATCCAGCGGCTGTGTTCATTGCAAGTGCTGCGCTAGCCCCGACATGAGATGCAGAGGTCTGCCGTTACGGAGGGCTGGTGTCGACTACTGGTCGTAGGGGGAACGGTTCCAAGACATGATGCATGTGTCTCCTCTGGTAGAAGCCCGAGTGGGTTGGCCCAGGGGTGGAGGGGGAGGCTGAGCCTCTATCGATATCGGCACCTCGGCACATCCTATTACGGCAAAGCGCGCCTTGGAGCAGACTGTCCACCACTCAGGCCTCGCACAGTAAGCACAAAACACCTTGAAGCCGCCTCATGGCCCCAACATGCCCTGGGCTGGATTGAGGAATGCCTACTAGCCTCGTCTCGAGCAGTTGTCAACGAAATGGCATCCAGCCATGGCGATTACGGGCTTGGCTGACCTCTATGACCATTTCATGAGTCGCTACTGGGTCATCGGAGCCGCAGACCCTGAGGCAGGCTAAAATGACGCGATCTGTTCGCGGCTTGTATGGTCGCTCCCATTAAAAATTGTGCCATGGCCGCTGCCGCTACAATGATGTGATGGTCTGTCGCCGACGACCCGAATTATCATTACATCGTGTCTTCCCCATAGTCCTCCCCCATTGTCCTCACTCTTCAAGTCGTCCGCCGCAGTCACCATGGCGTCCATCTCGACTGCTGGAGAGGCCGGTACGTCCCCGCGAGCCACACCCCCGCCATTGCTCCCCTACCCCGGCCCTGCGAACATCGGACGTGGGAGCTTCATGACCAACAGACGAGTGCTAATTTGTCCTGTGTGTTGCAGTCGCCCGAATTGCCTATTTGGCATCCGATGTGGTAGTCTCTGTTGTGCCCTCTCTTGCAACCGATTCAGAGTTCTCGGAGCCTCTACGCAAGCTTCAGAAGGACAATGCGCCCAGTGTGGTCGCGAAGACGCAGCCAGAGGTACAACTCCGTTCACAGCCCAGAATTGAAGAGCCACTACTAACAGTCGCCTCCAGGTGCTTGCAGTCCGCCAGAATGCAGACCCGCTCCTCTCCGTCTTCCAGCCCATTCGCGCGGGTAAACTCACCAGTGTCACCACCACCTCCTCCATCCTCGTCAGGTCGATACCGCACCTCTACAAGCTTGCACAATATCCCGTCGTCCTGCACGTCTCGGTCCACCCCTCGGGCTTTCCCGACTTCTCCGACATTACATCCATCAGGCAGTCCGGCTTCACATTCATCCAGTCTGAGACTCTGCAAGAAGCCCAGGATCTCGCACTGACTGCCCATGCTTTGGCTGTCAAGTCTGGCAAGGGTGTGATCCACTTCTTTGACTCTGGAGCATACGCCTTCAAGAAGTCTGTTCCGCTGGAAGATGTGGAATTGGTCCGTAGCGTCCTTGACTTGGACGCTGTGGCGACATATCAGAACACGAGGTCAGAGGAGACTACCTTGTACGCAGACGATGGAAGGAGTTCGACCTTGTCTTTCGCCCGTAGCCAGGCTGCGAACGCCACTGCCGTACCAGCAGCACCTTTGAGCTCTACAGCGGATGGACGGTCATTGCCTGTATCAGAGAGGAACAGCCAGCGAGCTGATTCTTCATCTGGCTCATCACATCGTGACACCAGCACAAGCGCCGCATCGGTATCATCAGCGACTACGGTAGAGTCGTTGGTCTCGAAGCCGGTTTCATCAGACGACATCTACCGGTTCGCCACACAGATCTGGATGACCATCAAGGACGCGACCGGTCGAGCATACGATGCCTTCGCGTACACCGGTACAGGTAACGAAGAGGCCGCCATCTTCTTATTTGGTGCTGACACGGGCGTCTTCGCCACTGAGCTTGACACTGTTGAAGACTCCGAGACCTATGCGAATACAGGCATCATCACAGCTCGATTATACCGCCCTTGGTTAGGCGCATCGCTCGCGCCATTACTCCCTCGCTCGCTCAAACGGATTGCTGTCCTGGAACAAGTTCGACGAAAGACTACCAAGTGGGGACCTGTGCTCCTGGACTTGTTGATGTCCTTGAAGTCGACTGGCGGCGCCTCACCAATTGTTGTCGGGTACCAACTAGGATATATCGATGAGAAGACCGTCCAACAGGCACTGCGGGGCGTCTACCAGAATCTCATGAGCGAGTCGCCTGTTCAGAACCTTCAGGTTGGAAACGCCGATGGACCTGGACCACAGCCCGCCAAAGTCCAACAGCCTGCGCTAGAGAATGCCTATATGAAGATCCTGAACCAGGTCTTTGGAGATAAGCTCCACATTGCCAATCAGCTCGACGCTCAGCATGCTGGTATCTCCAATGAGATCTCCTCGACCCCAGAATACGGTTTCGGATCACTCGTGGCTCGCAAGGAACACCGCAAGCGATTTGTTGATGAGGCTGCGACTGTCTCGAAGAGCAATGCATTCATTACACAGGCTCCTCAGCAGTGGCTATCAAAGTGGGCGCTTAGCGCTGAAGATACTCAAAAGGCGAACGAGCTAGCGCCTGAGGTCATCGCTCGTTTGAGCACCGACGGCTCTTCTGCCGCTACTCAATTACTCGAGTCTAAGAAGCTGTTTTACAAGGAGTCACCTTGGTTGGTTGGATCGGATGCTTGGGCATATGACCTTGGAAACTCTGGTGTACACCACGTGCTGGCATCCGGCGAAAACATCAATATGCTCATCGTCGACTCTACTCCATATTCTGAGCGTGCAGCTGCTGACGCTGCGAGGCGGAAGAAAGACATCGGTCTCTACGCAATGAACTTTGGAAACGCTTACGTAGCATCTGTCGCAGTATACAGCTCATACACCCAGGTCCTGGAAGCCATGATCGAAGCTGACAAGTTTGACGGTCCCTCAGTCGTTCTTGCATATCTGCCTTACGAAAAGGAGACTGACTCACCTTTGACCGTGTTGCAGGAGACGAAGAAGGCTGTTGACCTCGGGTACTGGCCGCTGTACAGGTGGGATCCTAAAGGCGACGACAAGGGCGAGGCCAACTTCAAGCTTGATTCAGAGAGGATCAAGAAGGAACTGGAAGAGTTCTTGTCTCGCGACAATTACATGTCTCAGGTCATGAAAAGACATCCTGAATTCTCTTCCAACATCTCTGGTTCTTACGGCACAGAGGTCAGGCAGCTACAGAAGAGGAAAGCCAAAGACGCATATAGCAAACTCCTCGAGGGTCTTGCTGGTGATCCGATGACCGTCTTGTTCGCGTCCGACAACGGCAACGCAGAGAACCTCGCCAAGCGCCTAGGAAACCGGGGCAAGGCCCGAGGCCTCAAGACTATGGTCATGGCCATGGACGATTTCCCACTTGAGGACTTGGCCAACGAGCAAAACGTCATTCTGCTCACCAGTGTCGCTGGCCAAGGAGAGTTGCCTCAGAATGGTAGAACTTTCTGGGAGGCTGTCAAGGACTCGACGGACTTGGACCTTGCAACAGTGAATTTTGCAGTCTTCGGTCTTGGTGACAGTCATTACTGGCCACGCAAGGAGGACAAAATATATTACAACAAGCCTGCCAAGGATCTCCACGCTCGTATACTCACCCTCGGCGGCAAAGCTCTCGTCGACGTTGGTCTTGGAGACGATCAAGATCCGGATGCTTATCAGACGGCATATGCCGAGTGGGAACCCAAGCTCTGGCAAGCACTTGGTGTCGATAACGTCGAGGGTCTGCCTGAAGAACCGCCGCCAATTACCAACGAGGACATGAAAGCTGCTTCGAACTTCCTCCGAGGTACCATTGAGGAGGGTCTCGCCGACACCAGCACTGGTGCTATTTCGGCAAGCGACCAGCAGCTCACCAAGTTCCACGGGACATATATGCAGGATGACCGTGATCTCCGTGATGAACGCAAGGCACAGGGTCTTGAGCCTGCGTACTCATTCATGATCAGATGCAGACTGGCAGGAGGAGTCTCCACTCCTAAGCAATGGTTGCAGATGGACGAAATCAGCAACACGCTCGGTAACGAGACCATGAAGTTGACTACGCGACAAACCTTCCAATTCCACGGTATCGTAAAGGGAAAGCTCAAGCCAGCGATGCAAGCCATCAACAAGGCTTTGATGACCACCATCGCTGCTTGTGGTGATGTCAACAGAAATGTCATGTGCAGTTCCCTCCCCACGCAATCTAAGTACCACGCCCAGGTCCAGGTCGTCGCTCAGAAGGTCAGCGACCACCTTCTTCCATCCACAACCGCTTACCACGAGATCTGGCTCGAAGATGATGAGACAAAGGAGAAGCGAAAGGTTGCTGGTGAAGCTATCCAGGATCATGAGCCTTTGTACGGCCCCCTCTACCTTCCCCGAAAGTTCAAGATCACCATCGCCATCCCGCCGCATAACGATACCGATGTCTACGCTCACGATATCGGTCTTATTGCCATCAAGGGTGCAGACGACAACCTCGTAGGCTTCAACCTTCTCGCTGGTGGTGGTATGGGTGTCACACACAACAATAAAAAGACCTACCCACGGACTGGAAGCATGTTTGGTTTCGTCTCGACCGATCAAGTTCACATCGCTTGCGAAAAGATCATGCTTGTCCAGCGCGATCATGGTGACCGCAAGAACAGGAAACACGCTCGTCTCAAGTACACCATCGACGATATGGGCGTCGACGTCTTCCGCGGCAAGGTCGAAGAGCTTTGGGGTCAGAAATTTGCCGACCCGAGGCCATTCAAGTTCCAGAGCAACGTCGACACTTTTGGCTGGCAAAAGGATGAAAATGGCTTGAATCACTTCACCTTCTTCATAGAAAACGGCCGTATTGAGGATACAGCTGACTTCCCAATGAAGACGGGTCTAGTTGAAGTTGCCAAGGCACATAAGGGCGAGTTCCGGTTGACTGGTAACCAACATCTGATCCTCTCTAACGTCGCAGACGAGGATCTGCCTGCGATGAAGGAGCTTCTCAAGAAGTGGAAGCTCGACAACACAAACTTTTCTGCATTGAGGCTTTCCAGCTCGGCATGCGTTGCCTTCCCTACCTGTGGTCTTGCAATGGCTGAGTCAGAACGCTATCTACCCGTTCTTATCTCCAAGCTCGAATCAACAATTGAAGAAGCCGGACTCAGACAAGACAGTATCGTGATGCGTATGACCGGTTGTCCGAACGGCTGCGCTCGCCCATGGCTTGCTGAAATTGCTTTTGTCGGCAAGGCCTACGGCGCGTACAACATGTACCTTGGCGGTGGATACCATGGTCAGAGGCTGAACAAGCTTTACAGGAGCTCGATCAAAGAAGATGAGATCCTGGAGATCCTGCAACCAATGATCAAGCAATACGCCAAGGAGAGGAATGAGGGCGAGCGCTTTGGTGACTTTGTCATAAGGAAGGGTTACATTAATGAGACGACACATGGAACGAACTTCCATGATAACGTAAGTCTTCCCGATCTTAACAGTGCTTAGGGAGATTAGCTAACAGGCATGCAGACTGCGGAAGAGGAGTCTGATGGAGAGTAGATACGAATGGGTTTCGAATGCGGAGATGGAGAGGGTTGGATGTCTCACTAGTTTATTGCATCTGTTCGCTATACCGACGGCTTAAGATCATTTGACGGCGTTATATCGGAAAAGGGAAGCGTGCTACGCTTTGTATGTAATGTTTCTCCCAAACAATCGAACTTGACGCAACATGCGCTTGAATCTCCCACCTCGAAAGTGAAATAATGAATGCTTTCAAGATTATCATGACTTAAGTATTTAAAGAACCTTCACATAACTGGCGATAGCTTAACTAGGGCGTATGCGCTTTGGATATCTTCTTATCGTGTCTTAGGTTAGGTAGGTGAACCTCTCCCATGAGTGGAGCGGAAATGCGCTAAAATGCATTACGTCACCCCACTTAGCTGCACTCACGCGACTCATATCTTTTATGAACACTCGAGAGTCACACCACGCGTACCTTGAGGCTCGTAATTAGATGATATCAGCGCACCATTGCCCATGCTGTTACAGAGAGTCACGAAAAGCAGCTTTGGGAGAACAGTGAAAATACTCAAATCCGCCACCACAATTACTCACACTTCAACACAAGCACACCGGTCGAGCTCATTCATCTCACGTCAAATTCCAAAGATGCTACACACCGCCAATCAAACCGCAAAGAAAATATTTGCGCCTACAAGCAACTCCGATGATCCCGGCCATGCAACGCAGTACACAAAAGGCGCCCTCGACCATGCCGCCCTGCTGCCTTTGCCGACCGATCAGTTCCACAAATGGTTCCAAGAGGCACAAGACGCGAAAGTCTACCAGCCCGAGACTGTTACCTTTTCAACAGCATCGCTACCAGATGGCAAAGTATCGTCACGTGTGGTATTTATGAAAGAGTTAGATTCGAAGGGGTTTGTCATCTACAGCAACTGGGATACGTCACGGAAGGCGAAAGACGTACGCAGTAATCCGTATGCGGCATTGACGTTCTGGTGGCATGAACTGGAGAGGCAAGTTCGGGTCGAGGGGCGCATTGAGCGGCTAACATCAGCGGAGAGCCAAGTTTATTACGACACGAGGATTCGGGGGAGCAGGATCGGGGCCTGGGCAAGCCAGCAGAGCAAGGTGCTCGAGGGCAGGGAGGAGCTGGAGAAGAGAGTTGAAGATGTAGAGAAGCGGTTTGAGGGCAAGGAGGAGATTCCTGTCCCGGAGTTCTGGGGCGGAGTGAGAGTTGTGCCGGAGAAAGTGGAATTCTGGCAAGGGAGGCCGAGTAGACTGCACGACCGGTTTCAGTACACGAAGGGTGATGGAGAGGAGGGATGGAAGGTTGAGAGACTGAGTCCGTAGATTTACTGGAGGTTTAGGGGTCGCATGTTTAGAACTTAGTTGTGAAATTCTGGGCGAGCAATCATACCCTCCACAACAGCACAGCACAGCATCCACTACCCACAGGTATCCTGCACTCGGAGACTATCGGATCGACTATACTTGGAAGCCCCCCTGAGCATTGGCCTGGTCAGGAAGATACGAAGACCGAGGTTAATAACTTCCTTCATATCAGGTGGAGTGAGGGTGGCCTGATCCCTCTCAGAATCGTAGGATTTTCTCGAAGGTTTCACGAATTAATCTTGACTCGACGATAATTCATGGGCCTCATAACGAGTCAAAGGGAGACAGCATTGCGATAGTTTCGTAACCAGGCCGACGAACTGTGTGACATCTCCCTTATCCTCTCGTTCCACCGCCGCATATCCTTCGAGCCCGACATCTTCTCGAATTTCTTTCATAGCTGGTACATTAAATATAGGATAGCGGCCTCGCCTCCATATTCGTCTATGAACTCTGGGTCGGCCAGGATGGCATAACCTTGGAGAGACTGAAGCACTCTACCAATGACGTGATGTGCAACATATAATTGCCACGTTATACGCATCACGATGTCTATTGTCATCCTTCGACTCTGAAGCTCGGACGGATCTACCAGGCTACGGTATATCCTATGAAGCATTGACTGCCGCTAAGTCCTAGGTCTGTGCATGATCACTATTTAGACAAGGTGATGCTTGTTAGGTAATTAAGGAACTTTATATCGTGCTACTATCGCGAGAGAGTGAGCTAACCTTGATGAATGGGGATCTTCGTGGACTTTGGTAGTTCGAAATCTGCCCCGCTTGAGGCTGCCAAGGCGGGAAGGCACCATATCACGTTGTCGGTAAGCATGCTGTCTCCTGAACATCTCCGTGACTCTTCTATCGCAATTCACACAATGAGCGTTGATAATAACTCATACAAATATGACCTGGGCTCGTTTCACCGAGACATCACCACGTCGAGTTCGATCACACAGACGTGGTTCGATCGTGGCTTAACCTGGAGTTATGCATTTCATCATGAGGAGTCAGCTCGATGTTTTGAGAGGGCGATCAGGGAAGATCCAGACTGCGCGATGGCTTATTGGGGAGTACGTATCTGGTTAATATGTCTCTTGTATATTGCGAAACGGTAGCTGATCGTCGTAGCTTGCCTTTGCCCTCGGACCGAATTACAACAAGCCCTGGGACCTTTTCGATGAGAACGAGCTTAAGTCGACGCTGGAGAAGATCAACGAAGCGAACGATAGTGCTAGCAACAAAATTTCAGGGTCGACGGAACTGGAAAGGGCTCTAATCAATGCGATACGAGTCCGTGTACCTAAAGGGTTGGATGAAGCTGCGTTTCGCGCATGTAACGAAGAATATGCGGAAGCTATGAGCAGCGTCTACAAGCAATTTGGAGACGACCTCGACGTTGCATCTCTATATGCTGACTCGATCATGAATTTATCTGCATGGGATCTCTGGGACCTCAAAACGGGAGAGCCTACTCCCGGAGCACGGTCCCTGGAGGTTAAGGCCATCCTAGATAAGGCCTTGGGGCAACAAGGCGTATACAAGCATCCGGGAATTCTTCATCTATACATCCACCTCATGGAGATGTCGAAGACCCCGGAAGTAGCTTTAGTTGCCGCGGATCATTTACGCAAACTGATTCCCGATGCGGGCCATCTGGTCCACATGCCTTCACACCTTGACATTCTTATTGGCGACTATCGGCGCGCTATCGACTCCAATGCTGATGCATGCCTTACAGATGAGAAGTATCTCGCTGAATATGGAGGCGACAATTTCTACTCTTTTTACAGATTGCACAACTACCACTCGCTCATCTACGCTGCAATGTTTGCAGGCCAGTCGAGAGTCGCTCTGGATGCAGTCAGTCGCATGGAGGCTTCAGTTCCAGAATCGCTTCTCCGTATCGAGAGTCCGCCTATGGCAGATTGGCTCGAAAACTTCGCGTCAGTCCGTGTACATGTCTTAGTTCGTTTTGGGCGCTGGAAGGACCTGATTGCTCTCGACATGCCGCATGATAAAGATCTGCACTGCGTGACGACCGCAATGTTGCATTATGGGAAAGGGGTGGCGTTTGCGGCTACTGGCGATATTGAGAAGGCACAGAAAGAGCATGATGCACTGAATGAAGCCGTAGACCGGATCCCGTCTTCCCGCATTTGCGGAGACTTCCCGAACCGCTCCAACGTAGTCCTCCGCGTCGGCGTAGCTATGCTGGACGGCGAACTCGAGTACCGCAAAGGCAATTACGAACTTGCCTTTGAACATCTCGAGAAAGCCATTGAGCTCGATGATGCACTCACTTATGCGGAGCCATGGCCCTGGATGCAACCCACTCGGCATGCGTATGCCGCTTTACTGATGGAGCAGGGTAGGGTAGAAGACGCCGCCGCTGCGTATAAAGCAGACTTGGGATTCGACGATACTTTGCCAAGGGCGAGGCAACATCCAAACAATATTTGGGCTCTGCATGGATACCATGAGTGTCTTGTTACGTTGGGCAAGAAAGATGAGGCAGCAATTGTGGGCCAGCAGCTGAAGGTAGCTCAAGCGGTAGCAGATGTAACAGTCAAGGCAAGCTGCTACTGCCGGGGAGCCGGAAAGGCATAATAGAGAAGAGCCACTGTTGAGCATGATGTGCTATCCGTCCATGTTGCCCGACGGAGCTGATACTATTGCCGAATGATCATCGGTGGTCTAGAATCATTAGCATTATTGAGCCAGCCGGTGGGCTCCTATAGGTTGTCTGATATCATGTCGGAGTAGTTCACCGCAGTAGTTCGCCGCTGGGAACAAGGAACAAGGAAGGTATTTCATGCTTACTGTGTCTTAGATAATCGGATTGCAGTGCTCTCTTTTCGGTTGCATGACTCCGACCTAAGGGGTGCTAACAATGATGGACTGTCTGCGTCGACTAGCCGTCTTTTCCTCCTTTGTCGTAGCTTAGCTTAACCCAGCCCTAGGAACCCCGCGGAGTTCACTCCTCTGACGTTCAAGGGCAAACCTCGCCTCGACTAACGTTCCCCATTGCATTTCCCCGGTTCACGGCCTTTTCTACAAACTTTGTGAGTTAAGCTTAACTACCTGGTTACGCACCCCCCAATGCCTCGGTACTTCCCATGCCGAAGCTGTAAGGCTTCACGATCTACAGGAGACTCCACGTGGTGGTCGCCGACTTCTCCCTATCCTTGCCGTTTTCACTATACTTGCCGTTTGCATACTAGTGGGCCTCGCTTAAACTACTGCAACGGAGACATTGTCCCAATTCGGAACGGACATCGGACGCCAGGACGAAAAGAACTATATCGGCAGCGACGGTTCCTGAATTCTAGTGGTTTAGGGCGTCTTCTCGCCTCTGTGTTGCGCGATCAGCAAAAACGTGGCATTGCCGATCTGGCGCCGTCTCACACCCATGCGAAGCGATGCGCGTTCGTGGCCCATAGGCAGACACGGCAAGTCGATGGTGCGACCAGAGTCTGGGACCGAAATTTCTTCGCGGTGTTTTGGGCCACTTGAAGCAATGGAAGAGCCATTTCATTGTGGTTCACGGGCGGGAGGACGGCGTCGCGGACGCTTCACAGCGCGGAGTGTTAGTGATATTGGGATCACCTGCGTCCCGTGAGGTTCAACGGCCCCCAACTCAAGATCGTCAACATATCAACATATACCCCGGCCCCATTCGCAAAGCACGAGCTTTAGATAACCCTGACTTGAGGCGTAGCCGAGCTTTCCTTTTCGCCCTGAAGCCGCTTTTGCCCCTGCCCCTGGCATGAGCAGGTGCATGTTCCAATCGAGACTCGCGAATCTGCTGACGTGCATGCATGCTGGCACCCAATGTTCTGGTTATAATTCCCCGAACTCGCCTGCTTCTCGAAGGAACCTGTGGTGAACCAAAGACCCGCCATTTGTAGTCAACACTCTCAATATGGTAGACAACCGGGGACCAAAGCTGCAGGCTGTATGTTACTCATCTAATACTGAAAACTCATATGCAAAGCTAGTATGCTGATGTCTGCAGGTCTGCTCAACATTCGTTTCATTTGCCTTCGTGGCCGTCGTCCTTCGTGTCTATGTTCGTGCTCGTATCGTGAAGGCTTTTGGGTACGATGATGCGTTTATGGTGTTCGCTCTTGTGAGTCTACTATGAATACTATCAATCAACGGCTGAGATGCTAACACAGCATAGCTTTCACACATAATGTTCGCCGGTTGCGCAATCGGCGGTATCCGCTGGGGGACTGGCAGACATATGGACACTCTTTCGAATGAAGAAATCTTGAAGGCCTTGAGAGTAAGCGTCGAAAGTCTACAACTCAGCTCCCAGTGACTGATAACATGTACAGTACTGGTGGCTATGCTACATTGCTTACTGCTGGGCTATGATAGCGTCCAAAATCTCAATCGGCCTGTTTCTACTCCGCGTTACAGTCAGTCGCATACACCGCTATATCATCTACACGGCCATGGGTTTAACAGTCTTAACTGGCCTCCTCTTCTTCTTCGTCACGTTGCTACAATGTTCCCCGATTAGCTTCTTCTGGAACAAGGGCATAAAGGGCCACTGTCTTTCGATCGATGTCATAATCGCTCTTACATTCCTCTACAGCGGAATCTCCGTTATCTGCGACTTCACATTTGCAATCCTGCCAATGTTCCTAGTCTGGGGGCTGAACATGTCCGTAAGGACTCGAGTTGTGCTCATCCCGGTTTTGGGGATGGCCTGCGTGTTAGTTCTACCAGCTCTACCTATCCTTTTTTGTCGTTACTAATAAGTCTGTTTATAGTGCCAGTGTAGCTGTTGTCGTCCGTCTCGGCTATGTAATGGACTTCAAAAACCCCGATTTCCTCTATGCCACCGTCAACATCGCGATTTGGAGCGACATCGAACAAGGCCTAGCCATAACAGCTGGTAGTCTTGCAACCCTCCGACCCCTTTTCCGTCTAATCGCGTCCAAATTCGGGTTCACCTCGACCAGTAATCCGTCTGGGCCGACGAAGCCCTCCGTCATACGGAACCCACAGTGGAACAGTGTTCCCGACAACGATGGTCGAAAGAAGCCCTTTTTTTCAAACCTCACCAACCCAATGCGAAGATCAGAGAAGGGATCGACGCGGGATAACGAGGAGGAGTATGGGATGGGAGATCTGCAACCTATGAGGTTGAGGGATGATCTGGTTGATGAAGCGTCGAGTGAGAAGAGCGATAAGGGATTCAACACATGGCGGGTACACACCGGCAAGGTCTCGGATGAAGAGCACCGGGTAGGAACAATCACCATGCAGAGCGAGATCTTCCAAAAAACGGACAGGCGATAGACTGAATGTTGATAAGGATCTACATTAACGCAATTACACGACGAAGAAGCGGTGCCATGCTGGAAAAGGTTCCATTGCAGGCGATACATTATTTCACGATACCCTAATCTAGTAGCGAACGGATATGGTTGGAATTAACCAACCCATTGTCATATTAGACTCATAATATACTCTATTATAAAGCAGCGTCCGCGCCTGGTGGTGGTGGCACTTACTCACCCTCGATTAACATTACTGTGCTTCGCCCGGAGAAAAGCCTCGATTTGCGCGTCCGATATTTCTTGTGAGCTACTAGTTACGCTCCCAGGTTGCTTCTCTTGTTGCGCAGTGCCATTGTTCATCTCCTGTCTTGATGCGCCGTTTTTGTTTCGTTGTTCTCCTGGATCCCCGCTCGTCATTTCTGCTGCCGTCGTGATCTGCGCCTTATCTTGAAAATCGTTCCCATTCCTGGAATCTTCTCTCTGCTTCAAATTTGTCTTATCATTTGATGGCAGTAAATTACCATGATATGGCGTCTTTGCAGTCTTGGCCATTTCCTGGTCGACCTTCCAGATGCCTCCTTCTCGGTCCACTGTATAAGACCCATTATCATGAGCGACCAATTTCTCAAAAACAGGGTCATGTTTAACGCTATGGAAAAAGATGCTCTTCCACTGTTTTCCCTCCGCTTCCTCATCTTTCCTCATCTTCCGCTGGCCTTCCTCGATCACGGACTTGGAATTCGTCGTGCCCTTCATGTCACCACTGCGCAAAGCAGCAATAGTATCTCCCCATGCTCTACGTGACTCCCATGGATCTTGATGTGATAAGTCGGCTACTTCCATCTTCTGCGACTGAAGAGCCATGACATCGAAAATCTCGATTTGCTTTCCGCTTCTTGAGTCTAGAATGAGAGATCCTCCACTCCATGCTCCCTTGGCCGTGTATATGTCTTCGTTCGGTTGATTTACGTGGGAAATCCGCGCTTCGAAGCTGTTCTTCTGACCTGAACCAAAAAAGCCCTTGCCTTCAAATTTAACGTGTGATACGTATCCGTTTGAGGAGATGAGGGAGTACTGTCCATGTAACTCGGGGTAGGGTGCTCCGCTCAAAATGCCCTTCACCTTGACGTTTGGTACAGGGATTAGATAGTCTTCATCATACTTATCGATATGCAAGACAGCATATCCTTTCTGCTTAATACTAACGCTCCCAGAGAACGTGATCTCTTGTTGCGTAAACCCTTCCGCTCGAATGCCGTGCTTATCGTTCCACAAATAGCATGCTGTTATGGGCGGGTGGTGGCTAACTTGTTCGGATACCAAACTTGTTTCTCCGAGCTCTTCATCCTGCCAGCTTCCAACAAATAGCTCCCCAAGGAAAGCGTTCAACGGCTTCTTCACGCCCTCTTCTTCTTTCCTTCCAGCATACTGCTGATTTCTCAACGAACCGAGGAACCACTTTAGCACAAGCAATGCCCTTTTCTCGGGATTTTGCTCTGCAGCTGGTGCAACAAACAGTAGTGGGTGATCTGCCCAGTACTGTGGTATCTCGACTGTTGAGTACTCTGCTAGAACGAAGGGCGGTGCCGTTATATTGCTGAGATCTCCAGAGATTGTTGCTATGGAAGCGAGGAATTCCTTGAGCGTAGAACGGTTAGAAGCGATATCATTTGACATGATGATGAATTGGTGGCTTTAGTTTGTATTGTCTCAATTGGAATCTGCTACAGGTAGTTGCGCTGGCTGATACTAACGCCAAGACTGTTCCTTAAAGTCATGACGTCGTTGGTACCAACCTCGAGTTGTTTCACGTCTACAGCCACGACTTGAGCTCGTCAGATATAGCATTTAGGGCAAAAAGGCTATCATTGAATTCCCTTCCCCTTCTTTACGACTCATTCGTCCGACATACATTAGTACCGAGCGTCTCGTTCATAGGCCAGCTGTGCGCCTGCTTTGCTGGGAGAACCTCGGCAGACATTCTTTGTTGTTTCTCAGACTAACTATACTGCTACCGTAGAACTGGTAATTTACCCAGATGTAGAAGAGCTTGCACTCGTAGTTCCCGTTGTTGGTGTCTGGCCTGGCCAACGGCGTGACTACTTGGCGCATAGCGATACCGGCCTCCGAACAGATGACACGCACACCACGTTTTCCAATGTCAAGCATTCGTATCGGCCTCCACTAACCTGGCAACGTCTATCTCTACGCGAGCCTTGCTGGTATGAATCCTGGTTAGCACCCTGCTTACGGTCTTTCTGGACAGTTGCTAGTGGCCCGAGAACGTGGGTTATCGCTTGCAAGGCTACTGATAAGGATCAACACCATCAACCATCCGACCTTACATAACGAGTAGACCCTGCAATAGCTTGGCAATATGTTCCTCCAGGCTCTTTGCGGAAATACCAAGACAAGATGACGAGAGCGTGTGGAGTTAGTACCAGTGGTAGCTAAAGACGGGGAGAGATAAGGGCTGTTGGAGATAGCCTGCGATATGCGCCGAGCAGAAGTTTGACAAGATGAATCTCGAAGTAATCTTGAAGCTATGTATAAAAAGCAGTGGTGTTCTGCTCCAGAGGGTAGAGACGTCGAACAGATCCTGTCCCAATCCGACCTGTTCATACCCACACATCGGTTGTCAACATGAAGTTCTCCGCCCAACTCCTTGCTCTTCTCCCGCCTCTGGCAGTAGCCTCGCCCGTTAATCTTACTCGTGCCGGCCTCCACAAACTCTTTGTACGCCAGGATGTTCAAACAGCTATAAACGCTTCGCTACCCAATGTCACCATATTCGCAACAGGGGGCACAATAGCCTCGCAAGGAACCAGCAATACACAAACAACCGGTTACTCCGTTGGTCTTGGCGTCCAACAGCTTGTCGATGCCGTCCCCGAACTGCTGAACATCTCCAACATTGCAGGCTACCAAATCTCCAATGTTGGCTCCGGCAGCATCAATGAGACCATTAGCTTGAAGTTGGCTAAGATGATCAACGAAGAGCTAGCAAAAGACACCGTCTCTGGTGTCGTGGTTACGCATGGCACAGATACGCTTGAAGAGACTGCATTCTTCCTCGAGAGCACTGTTAATTCTACCAAACCGGTCATTCTCGTTGGTGCTATGAGGCCAGCCACAGCGCTCTCAGCCGATGGACCGTTGAACCTTTATCAGGCTGTGACTTTGGCTGGTTCGCCCGCTGGCCGTGACCGCGGGACTATGAGTAAGTATCCACGCTTACAGTGCATGTCAGACATACACTAACTTGGAATCTCAAAGTTGTACTGAACGACCGCATCGGCTCCGCTTTCTACACCACGAAGAACAACGCCAATACTCTCGACACATTCTTCAGTACCGAAGCCGGCCAACTGGGCGTCTGTACGTACTATCCTCGTTCAGAAGTCATTTGAGAAAGCCAAGAATACTGACTTAGGTACCTAGTCATCAATCAGGTTCCATTCTTCTTCTTCGCCCCCTCTGAACCCGTAGGTCGGGTAGTCTTTGATGTAACCAACGTCACGGACCTTGCACAGGTTGACATTGTCTACTCACACCAAGACATGGATCCCGCGCTTTTCAACGCTTCCTACAGCTCTGGTGCTAAGGGTATCGTATTCGCAGGTGTCGGCGCTGGAGGTATGTCGGATAAGGCTAGTCTGGCTGCTGAGGAACTTTACAACGCCACTGGCATACCCATCGTTGCTAGTCATAGAAGTACAGATGGATTTGTGCCCGATGGTGGTGATTTCACGATTGCAAGTGGCTTTTACAACCCCCAGAAAGCGAGAATCGTTTTGCAATTAGGATTGACTGCTGGGTGGGGTGAGGATAAGATCAAGGAGGCTTTTGCGAAGAGTTATCCAAAACCGTGAGTGGCTAGCATGAGGAATGATAATGAATAATAAATTAAAATATCTCAAACATGATGAGTTTTGAATTATCATAGGCTTCTCCGACGATCGCATCATTGATCCATCTCCTACTTGCAGGGTTATAAGGGGCCAATATGACCAATCGCTTATACCTTCCTAATCGGGCCAGTTGTACAAGAGGGCGCGTTGGAGAAAACCACATAAAAGTGTGACAATATGAAGTCTTTCGTGAAGTTCTCAAATCTCTCAACAGATATTCCTCTTATTATTCGGGTTCCTGCTTCAACCTTGCTTTGTCTAATCGTCAAAATAATAATCGCTATCAAACAGCCAGCCATGTGTCCACCATCCGACCTCGTAGCTTCCCATAGTGCGGCGAAGCCACCACATCATAGCATATCCACGATAATCCCACAGTCGCAGACCTCAAAAGCCGCCTACGAGCACGCCGCGAGTATCCTTGCCCCCTCAATCCTCAACCATAGCATACGAGTCTACTTGTACGCCAAAGCCCTAGCTGAGCATAGCACGTCAACTTACTTCACGGACTCCCGGAAACATGACCTCCTCTTCACAGCCTGCCTCTTCCACGACATCGGTACAACAAACACCTACGACACTGGCCCGCAGCGCTTTGAAGTTGAAGGTGCCGATGCAGCTGTCAAGCATCTTTCCAAGTTCGGAATCGGAAGGGAAGATAGGCACGACGTCTGGACGGCTATTGCCATTCACACTAGCCCCGACATTGCAGAGAGAATTGGAGAGCTGTCCAGATTGGTGAGAATTGCGGTGATCACGGACTTTGGAAGGAGTACTGCGGAGTCGGAGACGCTTGTTCCGTTGAGGGAGGAGCTGGAAGCCAAGTTTGAGAGAGGGGGGATTGAGAAAGTGCTTGGCGATGCGGTTGTTAAACAGGCGAAGCAGAGGCCAGAGAAAGCGCCGATGGTGAGTTGGCCGGGTGTACTGTATCGTGCACATCTGGAGGAGCCAGAGTGGGATGGTGTGAACAAAGGTTTTTGAGAAATAGCAAGACTGCCGTATTCGTACAATGTAACCATACAGTCTTCACACGAAAACCTTCTTTTCAGCCCATCGAGTCACTCTAGCCCTTTTCAGCGCTTGAGTAGGACCAGGCACACGATTAGGTATCGGATTGCCGCGGCGAATTATATGATGTACCATCCTTCAACCGCCATCGCTCCGCTCCAAAAAGCTAGGATCCCGCTCAATCTTGTTTTCGAACTTGGTCCACCACGCCTGGAACGCTTTCAACGGCACCGTATCTCCCGTTCCCCAACTCGTGAGGAAATCGTAGCAATTCTTGATAATCCGCTGTGCAAGCACTTTCGTCGTGACTGTGTCCTGACCTCGCAGTACCAACTCGTTTCCTTGTCCCATATTTGGCTTTGCTGATGCAGCAGCATCCTGGGCTTTCTTCTGCTCCAAAGCCGCAGCAACCTGATGCGCCGGCTCGACCGATATACCCAATGCTAGCGGCGCTGCAGCACCATTTATAGACATGCCCTCGTCTACCATAGCATCATCATCGCCTAGCCCCCCGCCTGCTGGTCCACCGGCTTTGTTGTTGACCTTGAAGATTGCGCTAGGCTTCTCGTTCGCGATTGCGCCGAGCAGCTTGAAGTCGGATGCGCCGGGCAGTTGCGCGTACACAGCAGCGGCGGTACCGTCCGGCAATGTGACTCCGGGTAATAAGAAGACAACTATGTGTGAGAAGGAGGGTTGCGAGGGGATCTGGAACGCGAATTGCGTCTGCGATATGACTTGTGCGTCCGCGAGGATAGGGCGTCCAGAGACGATTACGCCAAAGGAGGCCATAACGGGTTGTTCAGGTGTGGAGAGGTAGCCAATAAATGATTAAAGGTTTCCTGGTTACATTAGAGCTGCAGTCCAAACTGCGGAACTTGTCGCGTATAAAAAGAGTCGGTTCAAAATAGTAGCTTCGAGACTTTTCGAAGCGTTTCTGCGTCATTGCGGCCCAAGCTCATCACCCCACATTCACCCTTCCACGATACAATTGCTCTTCATTCTTCAACTGTTAGCATGCCACATCTTCGAGAATGCTAGGCTTGACTAGGCTCGCTCCAAAGTATGCCTAAATTCGGGCTTTCTCTCTGTGACTGTTACCAAAAGCACGTGTCGCAACTGATGCCTAGCTGCTGTAGCTGCAGACTCCTCCAGTCACATCAACCGCCCTTTACATTCAAGCATTCGCTCTTAGTCCTTTGCTTCTCTTCTACACCCAGAGCATGCTCCACGTACATGATTAGCGCCGGTATCGCCGGATATGCCACCCGCACACGGATAAATCCGATCATGAGTGTGTGGGTTTAATATCTGGTATGCGCCGTGACCACAAGGTCCTTCCTATTCCTCCCTTGAAGGATCACCGATATATTAAGAAGGATCAGCAAACCCAAATTCCGAAAGAGAAAGGATTAGAACATATTAAGAAGGATCAAGTAACTCAAGCCCCGAGAGATAGAGGAATAGACCATATTGATTTGAGACGGCAACCTTGTGTTCAGGAAGAGTACAAGACGAACGCGATGGTAGCCGTATTTGCTGTAGTACAGCCATCGAAGCTAGCGCTCTCATCATGCACTTCACCACCAGCTTTCTCCTCCTAGCCTCCGCTACCTTCGTTTACACTAACCCCATTGAACCCCGGCAACAGTCCATATGGAATCCCTACAGTCCTTGCACATCTTGCTTGAGAAGGTCGTGGACCCAGGGGCCAGAGTGCACCACTCATCAATACCTGAAGTCAACTATCAGTCGCCTTTTGAATCCGTAAGCGCTCCTTATCTTTGTTGTACGCAAGGCCTAATGCTTCACATAGACCAGCTTCAGAAACAGCCACGTATACTCCATCACAATGGTGCTCTGCATACCTCCGACAAACCGACTGGTCTACGCAATGGAAGACTACTTCGTTGGTCAGTACATACACGTCGTGGTCTGTTGTGCATCTCTTTGTCACAAAAACGGACTATGAGTAAGTCATCAAATCTCCATTCCAATCCTTAGCCTCTAATGTAGGCCAGTCACCCAACCTCCACTAAGTTCTGTCCATCGCCTTCGCCAGCAATGGAATGCGGATGGGACAGCAATACAATTGCACCATTAGATCAACAAGAAGACCACTCTATCGAACACTTCCAGACTCCAGAAGAATGTCAACAATTGTGTCTCGAGCGCAAAGCATGCAAAGCGTATCGTATAGATGGAAAGACGAACACATACTGCGAGATCTTCAACGTAGGGCTCGGGAAAAACGCCAGCAACGTCATCAATCCCACGCCAAATGGCAATCAATGGTGGGATCGTAACTGCGGAGAACATGTACCGACACCCTGTCGTTTAGGAGGAACTGCATCTCGACGTACGCCTCCTCCGAACTTGAACCCGGGTGTGCCGGTTACACCTTCATTGGTCGTCCTTACAACGGACGCCCATCCTGCCACAGCCTCGATTACCCCTGGTCCTGCCCTCGCAAAACGCGACACCCCTTTCCCACCCTACCTCAAAGATTTGAGCTACCCTTGGTCGAGCATGTATATGATTCCTGCGTGTAGCTGTATTGTTAGCTCAGCAGGTGAGCCAGTTGCCAGCACGACGGTAATGACGGCTACAAAGTGGACATCTTCTACAGTAAGTTGTCTCGAGGATATTTGAAATACGTGTGGGCTAATGTGCGAAAAGAGTGTGACGGTGACGAACGAGGATTGGTTTACGGTGACAGAGACGCCGAGACAGACGACTGTCTATGTGAGTGTGGAGTAAGGAGTTGGTCGTGAAGGGTGCTGGGAGGAAGCGATGTGATTACTAGTTGTTGTTTAGTTACATGACCTAGAATATCAATTCTTTTCACATTAACACATTGCTCTTTGGCTTAAATTTCACAATGTAAAAACTCGCCTGTCTATGATGAAACTACACCGGAGAGGGCCGGAGAAAGAACAGTTTCGGAGATGCCTGCCAGTATATCGTCAGTGATGAGGACCTTCGAGGAAGACAGCTCCAAGGCTGACTAATAACTCTATTAACCTATGTTGCGGCTTTGAAAGTCGGCTCGATAGACGCGCCTCCTGAGCGACTGACTTGACTTGTGCTGGTCACGAAACACTCAACAAAACAACAACCTAATACCCCGATACTCTATAAGCATGAGCAGAGTAGACACAGTCGGTTGAGTTTGATTGATGACGCTATTACTGGTGACGCTGCTTGCATAGACGTCGAGATTTGTGCAGACGCGATTATCGCTTACTTTTAGTTCTCGAGGGACTTCGAAAATTCGACTGCGGGTCAACGAATCCTTACATCCTGAATCCATGCGCCGCGCTCACCCACTCCTGGTCCAACACCATACTCACCCTTCTCAGTATTCGGCTTCCACCCATAAGGGCCTGGAAGTACTTGACCCTCTCTTCCTCGTCCATCATCAAGAAAGCTGGCATACCAGATACGGAGACAGCCCTAGGATATTTGGAGGACGAAAGAAAACCGGAGGATGTAGGAAGCTGCACGTCAAATGGTTGCTTGAGTGAGGCGACGAGTACTTGGGCGGCAAAAGGGTTGAGGCCGACCCGGCGGAGGAAGACTTCCCACTGGTCATCTGTTAAGCCATATATTGAAGAAAGAAAAAGAACTTCTTACGCTTGTTTCAACTGCCAGGGGTTTGATGTCGCCGATGTCCACTGAACCATGTGGTAGACCATAGTTCGCCATCTCCACGACAATAGAATGAGCGAAAGCTTGCTCGCCTCCGTGAACATACTTGACGAGCACTTCCCCTTCTAGTTGAGAAGCAAATGATTCGAAGGTTAGCATTGCGTCCTTATCACGCGGGTCATCTGGACGACTGGAGCCGAGCGCTTCCATTTCGCGGCTGAGCCCTTCGCTGACCATGACTACTAGCCTTTCATACCGTAGTTGTAGGACAGTCATTAGTTCTTTGACAGGCGAGTGGTCAGGCTGTCCGGGTAGTGCTCGCTGTTTGACTTGCTGAAGCGTAGTAAAGAGCAACCCTGAAGACGGTGAAAGGAGGATATCCGCTTCCTTGAATGCTGAGTGCGGCAAGTTGTAATCCCGATACAAAAACTCAGCTCCAGGATACAGTTGCTCAACTTGTTTCATCAAACTTCGCTGCTGTAGGAGGGATGAAGAGACAATGAAGGAACAAGGTGCAAGGCTCCCTGGAATAGTAGGAAGGTCTGGTAGCAGCCGTAGTAGTTGCTCTCCCTTCGGTTTCGCCACTTGTACCTTTGTTTGTGCAAGTTGACCTCCGATCACAGGCGGATCAGATGGCGGCTCCCTCGAAAGGATTCTGCTAGCCCGAGTTCCCCTTATAGAGTTGTGAGTAGTAAGAGTTTGTTTTCTTGTCCCATTATATACAGGCTCTGGAGGCTTTCCACGAGTCTCCATGAACTTATGAAGCGCCGTAGTTGCCGAAAAGCCACCAAACATAAGCTCATTACCAGTGTCTGTTGGTGATTGTCTAGCTTTTTTTCGAGACGCTGGCGCTGGCGTCCTTTGCTGATGGCACTTGAATGTTTTTGATCGAGCATTTAGAGGTGATTGTGAATGTGGCGTTCTGACTCCTTGAGGCGCTGATCGCTTGCGCGTGGTCTCCGCAACTTCGTCATCCATCTCTAGCTTTCGCTTCTGAACCAAAGCCTCAACATCCATCCTCTCTTCCTTTCCTGCTAGTTCCAATTCCTCCTCATCTTCGTCGTCATCCAACAGTCTTAAACCGTCTCGTTTCCACACCTGTGCAGAGCTGGTGGCAATATCGCACCTCGTGAGCTCAATGAGCATTTTGTTGAGTTCTGTCTCACCGTGGATTTTCTCGTCAAGATTCACTGATGAAATCCTAGTTGTGAAAATGCCCCACTGCAAGTCTCGTTCCAAAGCAGAAAGCCCATGCCATGATGTCGTCGTTTTGAGATCTTCGCGCTTAGATCTCAGAAGGAACTTCATCTGCGCATCTAACTCGGTGCTACTGTGTTTATGTCTATCACCCTTCTTTAGACTATACTCATTCCAAGGAGCCATGGGTAGGGTGAAGTCGAGATCCGGAACATCGACTCGTGCTGTTGTATCTGCTCCCGAAAGCTGCTCGTTCTCGATCTTTCTCTTCGCTTGCTTGGCAAGTGGCTCTATGTCTCTGAAGAGTTTATCAAAGTCGATGCTTGCGTTGCTATCATCTTCGCTCGAGTCACCCGCCCAAGGTGGATATGGGATGAATTCAAGCAAAGTCTCTGAGAACGAAACAGATTTCAGCTTCCTCATAGGCGAGGACGAGAACATTGAGGGTGTGAGCGGCCCCTCTACCTTCAGATCCTCGGTTGTGTGCTTTAAGTTGGATGACATTTGGTCCTCAACGAGCGGACTGAATTGTGGTGGGTGAGTGACGTCGAGCAACATAGAATCACTACTATCCGAGCTCTTGCGTACTAGCGAGTCTGCTGCCATGATCTGATTTTCTAACGTTATTGTTTCTCTAGCAAAAGAGTCGCTGCTATCTGGGACACGCGGTAGCCGGTTCGCAGGTGACGATGGTATGTACGGTGTCAATGGAGGTGACAGCGGAAGTAAAGGCGGGGTGAGAGGTAGAACCGCAGTAGTCTGTAGCTTTCAGCGCATTGTCCTGTGCGAAGTTGTTGTACATACTGGCTTGTAGATCAAGCTTTCAGCTTTGACCGTCTCAGAATCCTCGGCGACATACTCATCGCGAATCGCATCCTGCAGATAGACAAGGGCTCCTCTTGAAACAGTAATCTTCTCTGCTTTGACTTTCTCTTCGCATTGTGCAATGTATGCGAAGTACTTAGCTGGCCATTCAAAGCTCTCATCACTCTCCTCGTTAGTGGCCTCGAACGGAATTCTCAGATTTCTCAAGTTGGGCATAGCCGCGCTTCCGAAATTTAGCAGGTCGAGCTGGTAGTCCGATTGCAAGACAGGGAGTTCATGTTTCAAGCCCAGGATCTGTTTTCGCCCATCGATCGCAAGTAGATCAGTTGCAGGTGGTTCTTGAAATGAGTATACCCCCTTTAGCAACAACACGGCATCCTTGTTAATTGCAAGTCGTTCCTTTGTCAGTTCTTCCAGCGCATTAGTGATGAAAACTTCTGGAGGATCCCTAAGATCCTGATAAAAACCGATGTCTGACGGTACGTTTACATTTCCCACTCGCAGTCGCTCGGTTGTGTAGTCTACACACAGACCGTATGTTCGTGCATACTCGATGCCGCTCGGTTCCTTTTCGTCGACCTCCATGGATAGAAGGTCGAACCTGGTGAACTGATCGTCGGGCAAACGTCAGTGACTCGGATGGCTATCGATATAGTAGCGGAACCTATTGAGTCCTGGCACTTCGCGAAGCTTGTGATGCAACAGGAATGCCAGAATTATAATATGGCAATACTCAGCGCTGCGGGTGGTTCTGTGTGATGGCTCAGAAAGTGGGCAAAGACCGAGGATCGCGCTTTCCTTATGTCAGCTAGTGTCATCACGTGCGTACATGTTCACACCTTCGCACAATGCCTTATCACAGATATCAGCAACAATAGCTTCAAGATAGAGTGATTTTCCCTTTTAGATCCATATTGACGAAGCTTGTGCAATTTTTGGCTGTAGCTAGATGGTTGCAATGAAGTCTCGTCTGAATAGTGGTGACAGATATTTATTCTATATCATTCTAGCAAAGTTGCTATACTATGCTTTTTGAGCCGTTACTCGTATCCCGTATGTCACTCAGTAGCATGACAAAAGAGATATAGCCATGTACTATCCAAAATACACATATATCTCCTAAGCAAATGAAATTCATGATAGGCCCCTTTACTAAGGCTTCTGGCCAAACCCGAGGGACTGATTGCCGCCATTGAAAGCAACAAGCTGCGCCTTGAACATCGTATCACCAAATATTTGACGCCCTGCGCCCTGGTTACCCTGCACACCACCGAAACAAGTTGTGTTGGCCTTGTCGACTGTCGCAAAATTGACCCGGTTCCCAGGAATTTTAGCCATGTAGCTATCGCCAATAGCAACACTTATATCCGGAAGCTTAGCCTTACATGGATAAACAAATCCGCCAACCTGAGCATTGAGCTGCGCGCCCTGAACTTGCGCATAGTACGCATCAGCGACCATCTGGTCGACAAGGAGGAGCGAGGTTCCGGTGTCGGCAATAGCGTCGGAGCCTTGCGGGTTTTCGAACACTTTGTCGCCGATGGCGAACTTGGTAGAGGGGAACTGCCAGAAACCTGATTCGGCTTTCACTGGAATCCAAGTCATCTCGCCCACAAACTTGGTGGTATCGATCTTGCCGAACTCGTAGACGCCAGTGCCGTCAGGGTCTAGATCTGCAGTGAAGACGGGCATGTCGAGGTCGTTCATGACGTTGTCGAAGAAGGTCTTCTGGGGGGTCTTCTTGGTGCCGTCGTTGACTGTATGGGTCAGCATCAACTTCTGAGCCCGAACAGCTTTATACTACCTACCAGTGTTGAGTTTCGAGAAAGCAAGACCAACGAGGCCATCCGTGTTGGTGTCTTCAACAAAAGATTGTGAAACCTGGTTGGCAAGTTCGACAGTCTGGTTCGCGACCTTCACGCCTCCAATAGTAACCGTGTCGGTGCCAACAGTGCCAGCAGCACCGGAGCCATCACCGTAGCTAATCTTCCATTGAGCCCTTTCCGTCTTCTTAAAGGTGCTCGACTTTGAAGCATCAAAAGCCGCATGTTGGCCAATAGCCCGAGCAGGTAGGTCGGTGCTGAACACCCAGCTTTGCAGAGCGCATTAGCACATACTTCTTCAGCTCGTGGAGTAGTCTTACAGATCCGAGGAGCCAGAATCAAAATCCAGGTTTAGTGTCTGACCACCAACAACAACGGGCGAGAGAAAGACTGCAGCATTTTGCCCTGGGTTGGCGGCAACAATTCCGGTCTTATTTCCGCCCGCCGTAGCTGCCGCCGTAGCATTCTGGTCCTGTTTCGACAGCCCAATGAATCCTTCCTTTTGGGCGACCATGAAGTCTGCCTTGACCTGGAAGTTGTATTTCCTAAAAACTTTCCTCATGGCAGCGGCGCCATCAGGGCCAGTAGGGTGTGCTTTATTTAACTGCCTTGGAACCTTGAATGATCGTTTCTGAAGACCTCTCTTGCGACTTGGGGTGGGTACAGCAAGCACTACGGCGGCCAAAAGAGCGACGAGGAAAAAAAGTCGTAATGAAGGCATGTTGAGTTATGCTGACCGGCAGCCGGACGATGATACGTATCGATTTGAGAAGAAAGTATGTACTGAGAAGAAACCAGGAAAAGGAAAGAGTACCACTTCCGCGAAAAGAATAGAATGAAGGCTCGGCCTGATGGGAAATTCCACGGCGACGAAAGAGTGTGCGCGGAGGGTTCTCTTAAAGAAAGAATGTCGATGCGACCGACGTGGTAGACAAGGAGAGACTGGAAACGAGATGAAACTTATGACCTGGTCCAACAGTGATGCATGAAGAGATGTGTGAGGGCGCTAAGCGTGCACTCAAGACTAGATCGTAGATCTACGCGGACCCCAAGAAGAAACCGCGCGTGCTGCATCGTTGAGGGATCCATGCCAGGATCATGCTTAACCTGCTGAAGCGTGAGGTCCAGAAGCTGATCAAGTGTGGTTACTAAACTACTACAACGGGAATGACAGATCCACTAGGGGTAGAGGTATTGGATGGGAGCGTGTAAAACTTCGTCGGGGGAATATCGCTAAGGTTTGTGGACCTCTTACGCGTACTGCTTGAGCGTTCCCGATGCTGTTGAGGAAATGTGGAGAGGGCTAGCGGAAACGGCTCCTTGGCTGCGATGTTAAGTGGGAACGTTTCAGCAACGCGGCGCTCGAAAGAGTGGTTATAGTTCCGCCAAATCGATTTCTGAAGCGCTACGTTTTCGGGTTGCATTAGCCGACCAAAGTAACTACTCTTTGTCAGCATAGCTCGCTAAAACCGACTGTCGCTCCCAAGCTGCCATTCCTTGAAGTTGACCTTCATCGTCTGTACCATTCCGAAGCTGAGGGCCTCCGTCTTCAAGCATAAACATGCGGGCTGACGAAGCCTAATGAGAGGTGTTTCAAAATGCCAAGGCCAGACAAGCTAAATGTGCGACGCCGCAACGCTGAAACGAAGGTCGTGCCAACCCGCAACCTGAGAGGAACCACCACGCGGAACGCCTCTCTCCCTCTTCAGGACGTTCAAACAAGCAACCTGGGAAAGCTTAGCTGTCATATTGTCTCTAGGCTCCTCATGGCCGGTCGACCCATCCTTTCCGCTTAAAACACGTCTCAGGTGCAATGCGCACCATTGCTAGGCGCCGGAGCAGATAGATAAGCTGTGGCGCTGTAGAGCAATACCGTGGCGACGTTCACGTTTCGAAGCCCTAGGGTAGGTGTCTGGAAGTGCGTTTCGGCGGAAGTACAGACCGGACGGTAAAGTCATAATGCCGGAGGTGACAAATTGCAGTGTGGCCAGTCGTTGTACGATGGTGGACTAATAGGCGGAGCTGAGATGGATCACTTTGCACTGTGACTATGGCGATCTTTCGTGCAACGATGTTGGCTCTCGTGTCGGAGATAGAGAGTTGGCGGGCGTGGAAATGTGAGAGGTGGTCGTTTGAAGGTTGGAGTATGCGAAAGCGCACGGGCGTTGCTTCTGAAGGCACAGCTGAACAACATCACGAATGAGGCGGCAAGATGGCAAATATTGCATAACGTATGTTTGAAATCGAGTACTAAAATAACAGCGCTTTTAGTGTTTCTCACTGTGACGACCCTCCATTATACACGGACCAACCACCAGTGTCTCTTTCATTAATATGAGAATGGTGGATGGCGCGAACACGCTTCCCCTGTCGCCTGCAGCCGCCCATGCCTTACGACCTCCTGACACGTGCCTCTAAGCTGTACAACGAGCAGAGAAGGATTCTGCAATGACTGCGGGAGAAATCCTTTTCCAGACTCCAACAGCTTCAGGCAATGCCAACTTGTAGGCGAATCTTCTAACGCCGGCTCATCTAGGCTGACTGTCGGTAGTGTTCGCATAACCAGATCCAAAATTAGCATCTTTTGGCTAAGCTCATCCAAGCAGCTCTACATCCAATCCAATAGCCCTCATGAAGAGATTCACATTGGCCAACCGGGCGCTCGCCATGTCAGCTGGCAGGGCCTTGCTCACGGAGACCGTCTCCATCACACGGTCCTTGACGCCGAGGACGAGTCTCTGTTGCTGCTCGGGACTGGCGCCCACACCCATGGCAGCCAAAAATTGCCAGATGTATATATCATCTGTGTCATTGATGGTTCCTGGAAAGAGGACCGCAAGCACAGGTTCGATTGTGTCAAACAACCGGTTGTAGAGCTCAGTCCATTGCTCCCAGTCGGTTACCATTTCAGGAGCTGATTGCTTGAGAAGTTCGGCACGAGAAATGAGAATCGTGAGCAGGGACAGGCCGATTCTGCTTCTAGCAGCAACATGGAGATTAGTGCGGTCTAGGATAAGACCAAGGAGGCCAATAACAATATTGAGAGGCGCCTCGGAAATGTGCGCGGAGAGCGGTGGCAGCACCGTTTGCGTGAAAAGTTCGACTTCTTCGCGAATAGCCGCGCTCAGAGGCTCTTCAGGTGTAGCGATGGCGTGACCGACCACAGAGAGGCCGTCGAGGTGAACTGCAATCATGGTTACGACCGTGATGCGTTCTTGCTCGTCAATGTGGCGGAAGAGACGAGGGATAGCCTTCTTTCCCTTGGCATGCGCAAGGATGGAGACAAACGGATGGGGGGTCGTTGCACTGATTTCAGTTAGTAAAGGTAACTTATTTATTCGTGACAACTTACTGTGGATTGATCGGCTCCATAATCTTAGTGTTTTGCCAGAGCTGCTTGTGAAGAGCCTCAATTTTCGATCTCCATTCCATGTGTGCCTGTATGGCCTCTGGGGGGCTGTTTTCACGAATTGGTGGTGGCAGAGCTCGCTCGTGGTCCTCCATTTGCATCAAAGTTACGTATACAGCCTCAATATTCCGTAAAGCCTCCTTACGGTCTGCGATAGAAGATTTGTGATGCTTTGGAAGTTTATCGTTAGTCTCCGGTCGCTTGAGGTTGAGCAATGGCCGCGGTGTCTTGGAGTTGCTAAAGGCGATCTTTCCTAGGCTCCCTTCAACAACAAGCTGCCTTGCTTTTGGCCTCGCTTTAGCAGCCTCAACCGCTCGCTGAATCTGCTGCTCCATACGTTGCATATGGTTGTCGCCTCCTCGTCCATGCCTACGAGTTCCGAATCTATTGTTGGTCTGGAAGAGATAAGTTTGAGCGAATTGGTTGGCTGGTTGCTGGGGATTCTGACGAGGAGCGCCGCGGATCTGACTGAAGACTTGATAGTAGAAATCTTCAGCAATGGCAGCCTCGGGACCTTTCTCATCCAAATTACCAGTTGCGGTCATCAGTTGCTGCAGTTGAATCCGAGTGATGAAATTCTTATCTTGGGGCGTCATCAGACCATTGTCCTTCGCTAAGAGCGCAATCTTATGATTTCGTTTAGCTCGCTTGGCATCTTCTTCAAGAAACGCCGCACGTTCTGCCTCGGAAAGCTGGAGTAGCTGCTCAGGATGGGTGATGACCATTCCGGGGTATGAGGGCCCCCTGCTATGTCCAGGAACTTGACCGCGATTACTTTGCGGGGCAGGCTGAGCCATTGGCTGACCCTGTCCAGAAAGCCGATTGGGGTTCTGCAAGATCTGGCGAGGCTGAGAAGGTGGACCCTGCCCCTGCCCCTGCCCCTGGGCCTGCGGTGGCGGCTGTCGTTGCTGCTGAGCACTTGGCTCATTTGACTGGGGCCTCTGCCGCTGCAAGATGGTAGGGTGCTGAGGTGGTTGATTTGGGATGGATTGCCCTGGAAGCTCGGCTCGAACCTGTTGTTGTTGTTGTTGTCGTTGTTGTTGTCTCGGTGGACCTTGCTGCTGCTGCTGCTGGGGTCTTTGCAGGATTTGAGGCGCAAATGGGCCGGGCGGCCCACCTGGCATGCCAGGATACGGAGGCTGGCCATGAGGAAACTGCTGTTGTTGTTGGCGGAACTGAGCAGGAAGCCCCGGAGGTAGTGTTTGCTGGGCTGGGGGAGTTCCAATGCTTTGAGCACGCATCATGGCCTCGACCTCGTCTAAGCTCATCATCTTCCTCGATTGTGCAGGCTGCGGAGCAATCGCAGGAGGCCAAGGCTCCGGTTGCCTTTGGGCAGCAGGCTGCTTAGGCTTGAGACCCCAGATATCCGCGCGCGCCTCCAGTTGAGGGATATACTCGGGATCTTTATAGCTCTCATAGCCACTTCTATTCGGCTTCGAGGCATGAGGCACGGGAGGCCTCTGTTGAAAGGGCTGTTGGCGGGCCTGATAAAGCATCTGCTCCTCCTGCAGCGTGTTCGAGATCATCGATGTCTGGCCGGCGAAATCGAAGTCCTTGCCAATGGACTGCTGGGTAGCAGGACCGTCGCCAAAGGTGTCGTCATTGAGGACATCGTCGATGTCGTCGAGCTGATTGCCTAGGCCGTCGTAGGTCTCCTCGAAGTCAATGCTGTAGATGCTGTCAGTAAAGGTTACAGATGTGTATGAGCGCAACGTACGCATCGTCATCGGCTGCCCCGCCTCCAAGTCCAGCAAAGGCGTCATGTTGTCCAAAGCCTGGAGCGTTCCTCGAGTGCCCGCTGTCCCTAGGCAGGGTAGCATCGAAGCCAAAGAACGACATGGTGGGCGATGCCCGTTGTGGTGGACTGTAGTCGAATCTGGTTCGAGAGCGTGTGGTGGTGATATCAGAAATGTGGGAGGTAGCGGCTTTGAACCAAGGGCGAGGTGATGAACAAACGAGGCGGTGGTCGCATGGACACAGTGAGGGTCAAAGAGGCCAACAGGCAGTCTACCAAACTTCAATGCGACGGCGAGCGATGAGGTTTGCGCGGTGATGGGCCGGGTGGTAAAGGTGAGGTCTGGTCGCGCCTTCTGGCCCAATTTGGCGGCAAGTCCCGCACTTGCCCAAAAAGTACGGCAAGTACGGCGCCCTTGTACCTTGGGGCTGGCTGGGCACCTGAACTTAGCCACACTTATACGAGAGGTGGACAACGACGCTTCGTTCTTCTCCTTTTCCAATACATGTTCGAGCTACTTCTCTAGAGCCCACTCCCCTTCTTCTCCTCCTTTGACCACCTGTCCTCTGGCTGACGCGCATGCTTCACGCCTGGCATCCGCTCGTTTCCTCCGACTCCATCCCTCGCAATACCACCCGTTTTGAGTCTTCGGCAGCGACACCCCCAGCATCCGCCTCGGACCGATCCACGCTCGAATAATCGCCCACAGCACTCGCGTGCAGGCGAAGAGGAGGGCTCCACGATACCAGAGAAGAGCCAACGGTCTGCGCAGCAGTCTCAAGGCCTCTTCACCATGGCAGGCTCCCAGCGCTATCTCCGCTACATTGTCTTTGCCCTATTCGTATGACCCATGCTCAGATGCCTGTTAGCATACATTGACCTCTCCAGGCTCTTGTTCTCCTCTACTTCATCGGCTCCTCATCGTCTGTCCCCACCACAAGCTGGCCCGGCTACAAAGATACGGCCACGCCCGGCAACCCCAATGCCCCCGTTGCACCCGTCGTGCCTGTTGTCAGCCAGGACAGTGCCCCCGTCGCCAGCCATGACGCATTGCATGCGGCCCCATCGACCACACCCAACGACAAAAAGCTTCCCCCGGCGACAGCGGCCGGAGAGCGCATGAACGCGACCTTTGTCACCCTCGCCCGCAATTCCGATGTCTGGGAGATTGCCAAGTCGATTCGCCACGTTGAGGACCGCTTCAACCGCAAGTTCAACTACGACTGGGTCTTCCTCAATGACGATGAATTCGATGATGAATTCAAGAAGATCACAAGTGCACTTGTATCTGGCAAAACCAAATACGGCAAGATTCCCAAGGAGCATTGGTCGTTCCCCGAGTGGATTGACCAGGAGAAGGCTGCTAAGGTCCGCGAGGAGATGAAGGAGAAGAAGATCATCTACGGTGACTCCGTCAGCTACAGGCACATGTGCCGCTACGAGTCTGGATTCTTCTTCCGCCACCCGTTGATGCTCGATTACGAATGGTACTGGCGTGTCGAGCCCAGCGTAGAGCTCTACTGTGACATCAACTACGACACCTTCAAGTTCATGGCCGAGAACAAGAAGAAGTACAGCTTCACTCTCAGTCTGTACGAATACGTCGAGACCATTCCTACGCTCTGGGCCGCTACCAAGAACTTCACAAAGCACTTCCCTCAGCATGTTGTCAAGGATAATTCGATGAAGTTCCTCAGCGACGACGGTGGCGAGACCTACAACCACTGCCACTTCTGGTCCAACTTCGAGATCGGCAACCTGAACTGGCTCCGCTCTGACGCCTACATTGACTTCTTCACCTCCCTCGACCATGCGGGCGGTTTCTTCTACGAGCGATGGGGCGATGCTCCTGTCCACTCCATTGCCGCTGGCCTGTTGTTGCAAAAGGATGAGCTTCATTTCTTCAACGACATTGCATACTATCACGTTCCGTTTACACATTGCCCGACCGGTCAGCAGTATCGTCTTGACCACAAGTGCTCTTGCAACCCGAAGGACAACTTTGACTGGAATGGTTACAGTTGTGAGTAATGTGCTTATTCCAAGTTGATATGAAAATACTAATTATTGCTAGGTACGTCTCGCTTTTACGAGATCAATGGCATGGAGAAGCCTGCAGGGTACGAAAAGGAGCAATAAGCTCTTCCTTCCAATTACCTCCCGCAATCCGAATTGAACAATTCGTTTCCCCGTCTGCACATCATCTGACTTTGGTCAAGTGCTCCACGCTCGACTGCGCAGTGGACATGGCTTGCGCTGAAAATCATCTTCATCTTCATTATCCTTGTAGTTGCATTAGGGATCTGCATTGGCAGAGGGCGTAGTGCTGGTTACTAGAACTGGATAAAAAAAGAAAGAACCTTGGTTGCCAGGCCCCTGCTTTGGCTGTACTACGGTTCTTAGTTTTTTCTTACTCGATCTTTGCGGCTCGAAAACAATAGGGTGTAGAGGCTGGGCTGGCGTTATCTGGTTGAGTACGCCATTTGGGGCAGATGTTATGGGATCGTGGAGGGAAAGAGAAGCGGTCATTCGTATGTATTGCTAATGTTATTGTAACTATATCAGATTGACTGGATAGAGCAATGAGCATGCTTACGACCTACGACTAACTTTCGACGTCAGTACCTAGGTAGTACGAATGTGAATTGCACCATGGACCCGCTAAAAAATCAACATGAATATCAACAACATCACCATGACAGTCTATAGCTGACATGCCAATTTTGACAAGCGTGACGGCGGTGGCGGTCACCTCTTTATGAAAAGAACACATCACCAAAAATTTATTAGTATACAGTTAAAAGTAAAGACGGAAGTGATTATAATCGTATATATTCATGATGTAGGTGTGTGTACCTAAGAACTCGCTCGCTAAATACGCAGGACCAAACACGTGGTCAGGTCAAATCATGAGTCTGAACAAAACAAACAAAGGTGAAGTTGCCATTCCATATGCTGAGCAAGGAAAAGGCATGCAGTTGCTCACTCAATCGTTGTAGTTTACTACTCCACTGCCGTCCTTGTTTGCCTTGGGGAGGCTATACTTCTCACTCAACTCAGCCTCTTGCGACTTGCTGTTGGGGTCGAAGTATGGTTTCTCAGCCTGGACGGCAACTCGGACAGCGTGGCGTCGGTGTGGTGCGAAGCCGTATGATGCAGAATGGTTCTATTGAGCATTAGCACGCGGTCATTATGTAGATGATGAAGGGGTTAGTGAGTGAGCTTACGGTTGATCTGTTATCCCAGAAGGCTACATCTCCTGCTTGCCATTGGAAGCGTGCATGTATTTCAGGAGACGTAGCGACAATCTCGTTGAGGAGCGAGATGATATGATCCGACTCTGTCTTGGGGACGCCTACGATCTTTGTGACGAATCCGGGGTTGAAGAAGATGCCCTTCCACCCAGTAACGGGGTTTGTGCGAACCAAAGGGTGTTCGGTAGTGATAGGCTCACGCCTGACAGTGCGGCCAAGATCTCGTGTGCCTTGAGCTTGCAATTCGGCGGAATGAAGTGCTGTGAGGGACTCGAGATACTTCTGCATGTACGGCGAGAGCATATCATAGGCTGCGTATTGCGAGGACCAGATGGTGTCGCCACCTCCGCCACGGGGTGGGCCAGTGAGCACTTTGAGGGAGGTGTACGAGGGAGGCTGCTTCTCATATGTCACCTTTATTGCGTTAGCACACTGAATCTCAAACGTTTCGTATAGATGGAGGACTCACATCGGAGTGCCAAAGGAACGTAGGCGTGAACAAGGCCCGCATATCCGGGCTTCCTTCTCCTGTGAAGATAACATGGACATCCTCTAGACCCTCACGTTTCGGCACTGCTGTTGTTGCGTGCTTGTGTAGACTGCCGAAGTACTTGCCAAGCTCCTTCTGCTCATCAATGCCCAAGTTCTTCTGATTTCTGAAGAAGACGACGCCACGCGTAGAGATGAGCCGCGCTAGGTCATTCTTCTGCAGGTCGGTAAGGTTGGCGAGGTCGACGCCATGTACTTCGGTACCGATCTTGGGATTGTAGTCGAAGACATCGGTTGCCGAAGCAAGCAGGTGCTTGAAGTTTGGATCACCTAGCTTGCCCTTTTCGACGTAAGGGACATCTTGGTATGCTGGCCAGGTGATGTCAGGGTAACGTGGTCGTAGATCCTCGTACTCGTATGTCTCATCATGCTTCTGAACAGTGGTTCGTCCGGGGACATAGCCATGCACATTGTTGGACTTGACGGTTTGCTTGAGGGTGAGGGTGGAGGTGGGGGCGTCCACGGATTGGAATTGGGGTTCGACAAGTCCTGGGGCCATGGTGGCTGTAGTTGACGTGATGGAGGTGGAGGATTTCAATGTAAAAGCAGTGTCTTGCAGTGTTCTGCGTGGATGTCGTGGTAGCTTAAGGTTGGGTAGAAGCTAGTGGTTGAAAGGGAAGGAAAGTATTTGAACTGCTGGATAAGAAAGTAAAAGAACAAAGAGGGAAGGTCCTATTACTTAAAGGAATCCTTTGGAAGCGGCACTCAGTGATTCATGCCAGTGCGAGGATACGCTTACCTCACCCGAGCAATTGCGCCATCGCACACAATCTGATAAACAGCCGACATAGTCCGGCCAATCTCTCTATGCGCTTACAGGCGCATGATATCAATCTGAGACTGCAACCGTAGTCGCTCCGATGCGGCGGGGGTGAGATCCGGGGAAAACGAGCACGTCAATGTCCCGTTCCAGGCTTGCGTGATTATAGTGGAGCAGAGATCAAGTCTAAGGGTCGTAGCACCAGCCTTGAAAGGACACGAAATTGTCCTCCCAAGGTACTACGTCGCCTTCCAAAGCTATGGAAGCCTGTTGATGCTGGTCCATATCCAATTTTTCTACCCCAGTGACGTCCTGCCTCTCTTGTCTCGGGTTGTATCTTCAAACGTGGGCACAGGGAGCCCGAGGTGGGCCTCCAAATCCACCTATATCTATTACCAGTCAGTGCTGAAGTCGGTGTAAAAGTCGGCGCTAACCCGATTTGGTAGCGTGAGAGATGGCATCATATTGCACCATCTTGCCTTTGCCCGCCTCAAACACAACACCACGGCGCATTGGCCACCCACCCCATTATAAACCTGTTCAGCGCAGCATGTCGTCCTCCAAGACTAGAAAGCAACATGATATTCGCCTCTCTGCAATCATGCTGTCCGAGCCTTGGATTCTTTTCGAAGAGCTGAAGTCGGATGAAATAGCGCTGCTTTGAAGTGCCCACACTACAGAGTCAACAGGCCCCTGCTCATGATGCAAGCTTCGTAGATATCTATGGGTATCGCCTTGGTACTTATGCGGGGTTGGTGGATGCTGATTGTGTATCAGCCATCATGCAGGCCTGAAGTAACCACGGTGGAAGATGAGAGCATATTATGAGCAGTGACCCTGGTTGTTGCAGCCGATGCCGCACGAATTCTATTCCTATGCAACTCTTGTTCGAATGTAAACCAACGCTATGCTGTAACGCGCTGATACCCAGCGCCCAAAAACTCCTTGCAATATACACTGTAAGGATCAAGTGTCCATGTACATGACGAATCTAGCTCTTCGAGACTTTGGATTCTTGATAATGCCGCGAATCGCTTCAGCGAGAGAACTTGCTCGTTGGTAATGTCATAGTAGCGGGTTCGTATGCGACATGACATATAGAGAAACAAATCTTAGTCTTTGCGGAATGGCCGCATGAGCCCCTCGAGGGTAGGCAGAAGGATCGGTATGCCGTTGAGGCTGGTCCATCTGATTGCGGCTTCGCCCGCGTCACCTCCAGCTTCCACCTTGTCCGCTACGGCACGACTGTCTGATGGCTCTGGGGTTGTTTTGTGTTGCCTCGTCACAATTCCCGCCGCCTCCAGCTTTGGTGTCCAGTACGGGTGTATGCCCTTGTGTATGCGCCATAACTCGTAATTGCCAAAGATAAGGACGAGGGTGGATGTAATTGGGATCTTGGAGATGTTATGATAGATTCGCGTAGAACTCATTTCGTCGGGTGCACTAGTAGGTAAGGACGCGTGCCGGCGCGATGGATAGTAGAGGCTTAAGGGCGACTGATATCTCGTGAGTGAGATGGCTGCGTCGTTGTGCGGTGATGCGGCGCCTGTGAGTGGCTGCAACGCGGGGATGGCCTTGGCGGGAGCCTGGCGCAGGAACCGTGGTTGAACAACTTTGCGAACTTTGAATACTTCGACCACGCGCAAAGTAAGGCCTGCATGTCCTCGAACACATAACTACTTGCTAACAATAGTGCATTTAGATGTCTTAGAGCACCTAAGCAGTTGCTAACCCAAATTTTCATAGTGTGCCTGAAGGCGTTCAGGCTACCCTGTGTAGAAGTAAGTCTAGGTGTTTTCTAGCAGCTCGACAGAACACGACCGCAGCCATGGACGACCTCGCCAACCTCGAATTCCTGTCGCTCGTCTCGAAGGTCACATCAGAAATCCAGAATCACGTTGGCGTCTCCGACAAAACACTCGCCGAGTTCGTAATCGACCAACATGCGAAATGCAAAGGCGTCGCCGACTTCAAGGACCAGCTCGAGGCCATGGGTGCCGAATTCCCGCAGAGCTTGGTGGAGAGCATCGATCGTTTAGTCCTGACCCTGCATCCAAAATACAAGACGCAAGATTCCAAGGGAAATCAGGCAGGCGCAAATAATGGCCACGATACCGATCGGAAGACGCGAGTCTTCAAGGGCCTCGCCATCCCAGATAAAGAGGTTGATTACAACGTAGCAGACGAAGAGCCCGCGACTGGTGCGCTGGACGATACATTCGCAATGCTCGAGGGCTTGGCCGGGAGCGCACCAGGCAAGCCCAAGGAGCGGTCGCGGAAGAGGAGCATGAGCCCATATGACAGCGACGACGATGCAAGTAGGAGCAAGCGGCATAGGCACAGAGACGCATCATCATCTCGCTCACGGTCGCGAAGTCCAAAACGTCACGAGCGGAACGATGAGCTGGTCTTCCAGGATGAATTCGGACGAACTCGCACTGTAAAACCGACCAGCAAACAACGAAGCCGAAAAAAGTACCGCGACGAAGACCTCGATGAGTTCCGACGCCCACCAACGCCCGAGCTTGACGATGAACCCGTCCTCTACAAGGTCTACGACGGCAAGGTCACAGGCGTCAAGGACTTTGGTGTCTTCGTCAATCTACAAGGTGTCAAGGGCAAGGTTGACGGGCTGGTGCACGTCACACAGATGGCAGAGGGAAGAGTCAACCACCCCTCCGATCTGGCCTCCAGATGGCAAGAAGTCAAAGTCAAAGTCACGAAGATGGAAGGAGGCAGGATATCGCTGTCCATGAAAGAGGTGGACCAGCGGACAGGTCGCGACCTTGCCCCTGGAAAACGTATAGCATCACTAGCATCAGGCGCAAACTCACAAGGATTGGGAGGCATTCCTGGCCTTGATAGTACGGTGCCCGTGGTCGAAGAGGGCTACAGTGGTCGCAAGAATGGCATGCGGAAGCGCATGACTTCCCCTGAGAGATGGGAAATCAAGCAGCTGATTGCATCCGGCGTAATACCCAAGTCAGATTATCCGGATATCGACGAAGACTTTAATGCTCACATAAATGGCGAGGGTGGCTTCGATGAAGAGGAGGATGTGGACATCGAAGTCCGCGAAGAAGAGCCTCCTTTCTTGGCTGGCCAGACCAAACAGTCCTTGGAACTCTCGCCAATTCGAGTTGTCAAAGCGCCTGATGGGTCACTTAATCGCGCAGCCATGGCTGGAGACACACTAGCAAAGGAAAGGCGTGACCTCAGGCAGCAAGAAGCCCAGGAGAAGGCAGCCAAGGAGGCAGCCAACGTTGACTTGAGTAGTCAGTGGAACGACCCCATGGCTCAGCAACGACAATTTGCGAGCGATCTCCGCAATACACGAACGAACCAGCCTAGCGAGGCGCTGCCTGAATGGAAGAAGATCTCAACCGGAAGTAGAGACACATCGTTCGGCAAACGCACCAACATGAGCATCAAAGACCAGCGAGAATCTCTACCGGTGTACAAGTTTAGGAAACAACTGCTCGAAGCCGTTGCGGCCCATCAGATCTTGATCGTCATTGGTGACACTGGATCCGGCAAGACCACGCAGCTGACCCAGTACTTGGCGGAAGCTGGATATGCCAACGAACTTGTAATCGGCTGCACGCAGCCTAGGCGTGTCGCAGCTATGAGTGTCGCCAAGCGTGTTGCAGAAGAAGTTGGCTGCAAGCTTGGGGATGAGGTCGGCTACACAATTCGATTCGAAGACTGCACATCACCTGACACAAGGATCAAATACATGACGGACGGTATCTTACAACGTGAGATTCTACTAGATCCCCTGTTGAACAAGTACAGCTGTATTATGCTGGACGAAGCCCACGAACGTACCATCGCCACAGACGTATTGTTTGGACTGTTGAAGAAGACTCTCAAGCGACGGCCTGACATGAAGCTCATTGTCACTAGTGCCACACTTGATGCCGACAAGTTCTCCGAGTACTTCTACAATTCACCGATCTTCTCGATCCCTGGCCGTACTTTCCCCGTCGAGGTCATGTACAGCCGAGAACCTGAATCGGACTACCTGGACGCCGCGCTAGTGACGGTTATGCAAATCCATCTCACAGAGCCAGCAGGTGATATATTGTTGTTCTTGACGGGTAAAGAGGAGATCGATTCATCTTGCGAAATCATATCCGAGCGTATGAAAGCTCTGGGGCCGAATGTTCCTGAGCTGATGATACTGCCTATCTACGGAGCACTACCTTCAGAGGTTGCATCGCGTATCTTTGAGCCCGCCCCTGATGGTAACCGCAAAGTCGTCATCGCTACGAATATTGCCGAGACGAGTTTGACTATTGACGGCATCTACTACGTCGTGGACCCCGGTTTCGTCAAGCAGAGTTCGTATGATGGCAAGCTGGGCATGGACCGTCTTCAAATCACACCCATCTCGCAGGCCCAAGCTCGTCAGCGAAGTGGTAGAGCAGGCAGAACAGGTCCAGGAAAGTGCTTCCGCCTGTACACTGAGGCCGCTTTCCAGAACGAGATGCTACCCACTACTATCCCCGAAATCCAGCGGCAGAATTTGTCAAATACCATTCTAATGCTCAAAGCCATGGGTATCAACGATCTCCTCCATTTCGACTTCATGGACCCACCGCCAACTAACACCATGCTGACTGCCCTGGAAGAATTATACCAACTTGGTGCTCTAGATGACGAAGGCTTACTCACACGGCTTGGTCGTCAGATGGCCGATTTCCCCATGGATCCGTCATTATCAAAGTCTCTAATCAGATCGGTTGATCTTCAATGCTCGGATGAAATTCTCACCATTGTCGCCATGATCAGCGCCACACAATCAGTCTTCCATCGCCCACGAGACAAGCAACAACAGGCCGACCAGAAGAAGCAGAAGTTCAACGATCCTTCCGGGGATCATATCACGCTGCTAAACGTGTACAACGGCTGGAAAGCAGGCGGTTTCAGCACGCCGTGGTGCCACGAAAACTTCGTCATGCCCAGAAACATGTTGAGAGTAAAGGATGTGCGAAACCAACTCCTTCAGATCATGGCCCGGCACAAACACCAAGTCGTTTCCTGTGGCCGCAACACGATCAAAGTCCGACAGGCCCTCTGTAGCGGCTTCTTCCGCAACTCTGCACGCAAAGACCCTTCGGAAGGCTACAAGACGCTCGTTGAAGACACACCCGTATACTTGCACCCGTCCTCTTCCCTTTTCGGCAAGCCGGCCGAACACGTCATCTACCACTCTCTCATCGAGACGACCAAAGAGTACATGCACGTTTGCTCCGCTATCGAACCTAAATGGCTCGTTGAAGCCGCGCCGACTTTCTTCAAGGTCGCGCCTACGGACCGGTTGAGTAAGAGGAAGAAGGCTGAAAGAATTCAGCCGCTGCACAACAAGTTTGCAGGTGAAGACGATTGGAGATTGTCTGCACAAAGACGGGCTGGCAGGGGTGGTGGTGGAACATGGGGATAGTTTGAATAATTGAGGCTTGTACCGATGTGCAAGGGATATTTTAATTTTTAGTAGCGTCAGATAGTCATTGATTCCCCAATCTACATCCGTAAAAGCATGTAGTTGCGAGATGCTGACAAGAAGATTGGGACATGTCAGTAAAAGAGAAATCCGATTGAGGGCGATAGAATGCAAGAAGAAGTGGGTATAACATTATGCAAAATCTACATAACGCGGATGCGAACTCCAGGCTCCAGATCTCTGTATCTTGCCTTTCTCAAATGCCCAAATGTGCAAATCATGCCCACTTATGCTGAATGCTCATCATGTTTACCGTCAAATTCGTCCGCTCATGTTGGTCGTCTTGATCGTCGACAGCTAGACAATATCCTCGATCGGGCAGTTAGGATGTAGCACATACACGACCTTGTCGTTGCTCTCAGCCTGGCCCTGGTCATCCGCGAGACCCTCACCACGAATCAACATGAGATATTGTTCCTGTTAATCTCGTTAGTATATTTGCACACTCTCGTGAAAGGCATCGACCATACCTTGACCACCTTCTTCAACACCTTCTTAGCAAGCGCCCTTTCCCTTTCCAAGTCCTCCTGCGTCTCCATCTCGTTCTCCTTCTGTTCGAGATACCAAATCAACAATTCTTCTTCATCCACACCGTCCTGAGTCTCCTCTTGATCTTCATTGACGCGCTTGACAAACATGTTGCGCATCGCGACATACTTGTCATGCGTGATCTTCGTCTTCTCTCGAGGAATGACGGCAGGAGTTGCGGTTCGGTCGCGCGATGTGTCTTGCTGGGTTTCATCCATCACTGCGTCACCTTCTTCTTGTTCTGCGGCGGCGGCGGCTGCGAGGAGCGCTTCGTCATCTTCATCTTCGACTTCAACGTCGTCTTTTTCAACGGATATGATCGATTGGCGGAGAAGGTTGTATGCCTCTTTGACGAACTCGGGCGTGATGTCACTGACGCAATTGGCCTTCGCAATGGCTTCGGAAAGCCGGATCATACTCTCAAGCTGTCGAACAGTGATACGGTAGCTGTTGCGACCGATACCACCTTGAGCGTCGTCTGCTCGTAGTTCTTTGTACTTCTCAACTAGTGTCTCCCTGGCCTCGTCCGTGAACTCGGGGCGGAATGTCCGTGCAAAGCGGATATAGCGCTGTAGTTGTTCGGTGTTGAATTCCGGATTCACAGCCTCGTCTCGATGCTGGTGGATACCGACAATGTGCTCAGCGAGATGACGATCGACGGATTCATCACACTCATCCAGAACAACGAAGAACAGATCAAAACGAGACATGATGGGGGCTGACATATTAACATTGGCACGCAATGTTGTCTTGCGGTTGTAGCGACCTCCAACCGGGTTGGCTGCTGCCAGAATCGAAGTGCGAGCGTTGAGTGTCGCTTGAATACCTGCTTTCGCGATTGAGATAGTCTGCTGTTCCATGGCTTCGTGGATGGCGACTTGATCGGCGATGTCCATCTTGTCAAACTCGTCGATGGCGCAGATGCCGTTGTCCGCAAGCATGAGCGCTCCAGCCTCAATTGTGAACTCGCCAGTCTCCTCATCCTTGACCACAGCAGCGGTAAGACCAGCAGCCGATGAGGCCTTGCCAGAGGTGTAGACAGCGCGGGGGAGGAAGCTGCAAATGTACTTCAAGAATTGGGATTTTGATGTCGAGGGATCACCGACAATGCAGATATTAATGTCGCCACGCAATGCCATGCCTTCTGGTGTCTCCTTGGACACACCGCTCATAAGCTGGAGTAGGAGCCCTTTCTTGATGACCTGGTGGCCGTAGACCATCGGCGCGATCGAGTCGACCAGTCGCATGAAGATGTTTGGTTTATGCACCATGTCTTTCAGATCCTGAATCTCGGCCGCGGTAAGGGTTCCAAGATACTCCTCCTGTGCTTCCTCTCCGCTTGTTGCGTTCGACTCAATCTGGCCCTGACCAAGAGAAGCGAGGATGTTACTAGCCTGGCCAGTCAAGTGATGGTTTGACGATTGCCCTGGAGTCGAGTGATCCGGCGATACCATACATGCGAGAAAAGACATTCTGTAAGTAAGATCGCGAACGCCCAAGGCTTTGAGACCGCTCACGCCAGACCCGCCGACGTCGTTGCCGCGCGTAGCATTTGACGTGTCCCTCATCGCTTGTGGTCGCACACCGGGAACACGAAACTGGCTCACGTCTGGAATGACAATGACCGTGCCTGTGAAGATACACTTCTCTCCGGCCTTTGCGCGGTCTACCATCTCTCCTCGCAAAATCACGTCCATTGTCCGAGGCATGCTGCCTGTGGGGATCTCTGAACTGTTCTCCTGGATGCGCACCTTCTGCCAGTCGACGAAGGTAGACTGTCGAATGTCTAAACGCCAGCCTTCCCTATTCATACATGTGATATTTGGGCACTGCGTTGGCTCCGTATACTTGAAGGTCTGCTCGATGTTCGGCACCACTGTATTGCAAATCTCACAGACAAATGTGGCCATGGAAAGCTCGGGGCGCACTTCAGAAGTGCGAGTGACGGTTCCGGAGATGGATAGCAGGCTGCCAATCGAGGTAGTGCGCAGCTGGCGGATGCGGGACACTAGAGGGAGATTGTAGAAGGCTAGCGTAAACAGCTTATCAGTCTGTTGATTCGAAGTCTTCTCGTTGAGGCTTTCGTTGTGGCTTATAGCATTACCGGCGTTGGAGGTGGCTGCCGCGGACGCAGTCGAGGCTGGCTGTCGATGCTGGCGGAAGTACTTGGGCTCGTATTTTGCAATGAGATTGTGGAGGGATCGGACCATGTAGGGGAGAAACCGGTAGTATTCGCTGGCAATGGCTGCGGCAAGGACGCCATCTTCGTGTCTGAGAAGGTGTGTGTAGTCGACGTAGAGGGTGGAGAGACCGTAGAGCCTCATTCCCCTGATCTGCGCAATGTAGTATTTGTCTGTTGTGGGGACAGCGCTCGAAGTTGGTAGGGCCGACGACGATGGGTCTTCTGTATAGCTGGCTTTAATCAGCAGCGCTCGGGGTGTTGTGCGTTAAAGTGCTCACTTTTCTAGGAACTCCTGAAAGCGTAGCGAAAGTGTCTCTCCAGTGACATCTACTACCTTGGGGATATCTGTCCGGGGCTCATTAGTTCGCCTGCCTGGTACTCGGGCTCCGATAATTTCGTCGTCTGCGAATTCCACGTCGCTATTTGCGCCAGCGCTTTCAGATGGAGGTCCGCGGGGTCTTGCAGACGAGGAGCGCATCTGTTGCGACCGCCTCGGGTTACCTGCATCACTTGACGGTGTGGGTGCCGCGTCCGAATTGAGGACGGCATCTAGGAGGGAAGACATTGTCAGAGTTTGGGTTGTGTAGAGGAGAGTGTCGTGAGTAGGACTTTGGCTTCTGGCGCGGGGGGCTTGTCAACGACGCGCGAAAACGCGCCCCGTCGCGCGGTCCACATTGGGATGTAAGTGGTGGTCTGTGCTAAATCTCATCCACCACTGCCCAGGTGAAGCTACCACGCTACTAACAAGCAATACCCGATGCCCCCAACAGATTCCTTCAAAGTGTAGTCTGTGTGCTCACTGCGCCGAGAGGCTTCCTCTGATGACAGTCTTGAATACTGCCTGAGATACATCACGAGCAGTCTAGTGGGATGTGACATTCTATCAAATAAGTATTCATTGAGCAAGCTGAGATAGGCTATGAAGTATGAATGACTACGGGGTGTCTCAAGACAGGGTATACAACTTATCCGCTCTATCCAGATCTCTCCGGAGAGGTGAGACGAAATCAAAAGCAAGGCCACAAACGCCCAAGAAATGCAATCATATCCCAGTCCATCATCGTGCGTTCCAAAGTAAGCATCCTAAATAGGGTCATTGAGACCAACGCCGTACTCATGGTCTTCTACAGCGTCATCACCGTGTAGTCGCACCTGGTAGAGGCACGTATGGTCCGCGCCCCAGTTGGTTCTGACGCGTACCATGGCCTTAGTGATTGGTACTGAAGGCTCGCTGTCGAGATCGAATGTCTGTAGATGGTTGGAGGCGTGGATGTTGTACTTGAAAGTCCCGAGGCATTGCCAGCCCGGCGGTCCTCCTTGGTATTCGGACTGGCCATAGCTGTACCGAACTTTCACCGGTGCGTCTGTCTGAACCCAGAGCTCCACATCGCGCGGTGCATCGCTGATGTCGCCGGCAGGAACCATGCTCATAGGCACGTGCTCGATTGTAACTTGCTTTGGGGTCATAGGACGACTAAGTGAGACAACGAGCTGCGCTTGACCCTTGCCGGCGTTGGGGGCCGAGCACCAACAGTCTCCAAGATTCTTCCAATCGGAAAGCGCAGCTGCCGGCGGGTTGCGTTGTGGATCGGGAGCTAACCAACGAAGAAATTTGACGTAGCGACTCGGAATGTTGGTGAAGGTGGCTGAGGTCATGGTAGGTTCGACCACGGCGCCAAGGCCGAGCGAGAAGTAGTTCGGTTTTCTCAAATGAAGCTCGTAGTTGGCGAGGAGGTTGGCCTGAGCGAGGGACTGGAGGCGAATATTGTCCAACATAGTCTTCCTCGCTTCTGCTTGAGCTACTGCTGTGATCTGATCGGTCTGGGCCCGGATAGCCTTGGATATCTTCTCGTCGACGCCTGTATGAAAGGTGTTGCGGAGTTCCGCCATAGTCGCGACAAACTCCTCGCGCGAGACTATTTGGTCCCAAGATGTGGTGCTGTCACCCGGTACAACACCAGAAATGCCCTTGACCTTCAAAGTGATTTGCTTCATGAGTTCGTTCCACTCAACACTGTCTCCGTTGGAGCGTGTCTTGCTGACTAGGGCATGCCAGAACTGATCGGTGATTTCGAGATGACCGTCCTTGTGCTTTCGAACGATCATGAACGGAGGAAGCTCATTCTTAAGCCCCTCGATGGCGCTCTGCACGTCATTGATACGCGTGTCGAATTTGTTGTTTAGCTTGGACATGCGTTCCCACATCACATCATCATCTCCACCAGTAAACTTACGGAACTGTTCCTCCTCGGAGAGTTCAGGTGGCGGACCAGGGGGGCTGATGAACTCTGCGAGCTTACCCCATTGATACGAGATGCGAGAGGCCAGGGCCATGGTCATCCCAGGAGCCTGAGGCGCAGACTCAGGGGACTTGGATGGGAAGAGTGTGGTTGACAACATGCCGAGTACCAAGGAAGCCATGATTACCCAGAATGCCCACATCAGATACTTCTTCCAGGGCCATTCAGCGTCGTCCACTTGAGGCGGTTCGACGTTGCCAAGCCACTGATCGACAACGCGTGGGCGAGTAGGACTTTTCTGATATCCCCCAGATCGTTGCCAAGGCTGGAGCTGTGGGTGTCGCTCCTTTTGCATACGTGCTTGCTCTTCTGCAATCAAATCATCAACTGACTGTTCGATTTCGTTTCTGTCGTTCCGGATGACCGGAGTAGGAGGTTGTTGTGGAGTCGCTCGAGCCTGAGACTGAGACTGAGACTGAGCCCGAGGTTGAGCTGGGGCTTTTGCTTGAGTATGGATCCGGCTCTGGAACGTTCGGCGAGCTGCAGATTTCTCCAACAGGGGCGTGAGCTCTGAGTCGCGTTGAGGTGAAAAGCGCATTTCTTGTCGATCATACTGAAACAACATGCCGCCCTCATGATCCATGCCGAATGACTTCGAGGTGTTGCCGACAGAGGCTGCAAGTTCATCTTCGCTAGGCGTGATGTCGTCACTGTCGACGAAAGAGAGGCCAGGCGCCGCTCTTGATGGTACCACGGGGGCCGGAGAGGATAAATGACGGTGCGTGTTGCCGTTGAGCGCGCCACTCATGAGATGGCCTTCTTCGCCGAGCTCATCGATGTCGTCGTCTTCTTCTTCCTCCTCTTCATCGCGAGCGAAGGCATCACCACGCTGGTTCTGAAATGCTTGCGCGAAGCCGGTCGCAGAAACAGAAAGTTCTTCAGCAGCGCCAACACGTCCACTAGCGCCGTAGGCGTTGGACTTGCGAGCCTTGACCTTGGTGAGGGGACCTTTGCGACGTAGCCTGGTGCCGCCGCTTGTCATTTGGGTGACAGCAGATTCCGCGGCAACAGAGCTGGCCTTCGTACTGAGGCGATTAGAGCGGCGGGGCGTTGGCCCGCCCGTATTACCGATTTGCGACATGGTAGGTGGATTCGGTGATAACACAAAGTAGTAAGGTCGAGGTTGGAATGTGCTTTGTGTGGCTGAAGGAAAGTAAGTTGTTGTTCAGTCGAAGAATTGTCAGACGCTGAAGGGGGGACTATATAGGGGAGACAGGATGGTTGCGCCAGATGATTGTAGTATAGTGACAATAGCACCAATAGAGAGCATGAAGCTGCTTGTTGGAAGGACAATAGCAAAGAGAATAAGAAACAAAAGCGGGGCAGAAGAAGCTGCGACTAAGTGAAACCAAAAAAATTGCGCGGTGAAAGTGAAGCGCAGGGCGACATGTATACATGGGTTTAGGAGAAGTGAATGTAGATGCGATGTCTGCACTTGGAGACGAGAGGAGTTGCACGTGAGAACTTTGCCTGGACTTACAGTTTTACCTGAGATGTCGCTTTACGGGGGTTTGGGGTTTCTTGACTCGGGCGCGTCTTCAAAACCCAACTTTTTCTCTTTGATACTGCTGCGAATAACGATGTCGTGATGTCGTAAAGTCGTGGATGTCGTGGGGAGCTTGCAACAAGGTCTCGTAAACACGTGGAACAATCTTTTACGCGTCGAGGATAGCAGCGCAACTCTGCTAACGTGTTCTTAAAGGAATCTTTTGGCGCCTGTAGTTCCTCGAGATGCAGCTCGCGAACATGTTCCTGAGCTCTCGCGCGGCGCTCGGGATGGGTGCTGATGGGTGCTGACGGGGTTTGATGGATTGTTTGGGCGTGACGGGGCGTGTTTGCAAGGATTCACCTTGAGGGCTGGGCACTTGAGCTTCTTTCGCCCGAGGCCCGGAAATGGCTAGCGAGGTCGCGTGGCATGGCAGCAACTCGAGCTGGAGAACACAATCAAGCCTGAACAATGATGGCACAAAGAAGTGCCAGAGGTTGTCAATAGACTACAGACTAGAGTTTCGCTTGCAGGGACATGGATGATGATGATGATGATGATGATGATGCATGAGAGAAAGCCGGACCCTCCGATACGGCGTACAAGACCCTGAGATAGCAGACGCTTGTCGCGACGGCTTTGCGCATGTACCTGCATCACTGGGATCGACGTTGCCGCGTTACCCAACGTCTTCGTGCTCCTTTGTGGTAAGGTGAAGACATTACTACTTCGATGATAGTAGTCTATACACAAAGCACCAACAGGGGCTTTGTGAAAAGTTTCGTGGCGTTGGCAGGATGCTTGAGAAACGAACGTCCTGAAGAAGCGATACATGTTCCCTCTGGATCAAGCTGCCGGTACAGAGGAATGCAGTGTTGGGTAAATGCACCCGAAAGGCAAGTAAATATCCAGAGCATGAGACCATCGTACCATCCGAATACCTGCCATGCGTGACTCTGGATAATAACATGTCCACAAAGAGAAGGGCGTTTGGGCAATCCATCGGAGCTTGCGTGTTTCCCAATGAGGCAATCTTTCCGCTACACTGCTGCTCAGTCAGCAAGAATGGCTCGATAGCTTCGTGTTCATGGTTCTATAACTAGCTCTGCAACCCTCCCATTGAACGCCACAGCCACGTTTTAGAAGCCATATATACTCTATTTCCAAACACACCTTCACGCACACCAAGTCTCAACATCACTCAGCTTCAAGATGGTCGTAGGATCTGTTCTCGTCACTGGGTAAGCTACCCCTCCACCCCACCATCACCGTGTGCTTGAAAAAGTCTGTAGAACAACATCACCAAATTGATACTGACAATGGCTCAGTGGCACGGGCTACATTGGCTCATTCACGACTGTCGCCCTCCTCGAAGCTGACTACAAGGTCGTCATTGTCGACAGCCTTTACAATTCCGACGCCGAGGTCGTCAACCGCATTGAGCTCCTCACCGGCAAACGCCCTGCCTTCTACCAATGCGATGTCACAGATGAGGCTGCGCTCGACAAGGTGTTCGAGGATCATCCTGACATTGACAATGTCATTCACTTCGCTGCTCTGAAGGCACGTCCTATTCCCAAAGATACGGCATCTCCTCCTTTATACGCATACTAACACTCCTCCAGGCCGTTGGTGAATCCGGCGAGATCCCCCTGGAATACTACCGTGTTAACGTCGGGGGCTCCATCTCCCTCCTCACCTCAATGGTCAAACACAACGTAACAAACATCGTCTTCTCCAGCTCCGCAACCGTCTACGGCGATGCCACACGTGTGCCCAACATGATTCCTATTCCCGAACATTGCCCCATTGGCCCAACCAACACTTACGGTCGCACAAAGTCCACTATTGAAGGCGCCATCACTGACACCATCGACGCTCAACGCAACAATGCTAAGAAGGCAGGCAAGCCTGAGGCTGAGATCAAAAAGTGGAATGCGGCGCTGTTGCGGTACTTCAACCCGGCGGGTGCACATCCGAGTGGCATTCTAGGTGAAAACCCCCTAGGGGTACCGTACAATCTTCTCCCACTGCTGGCGCAAGTCGCAATCGGAAAGCGCGATAAGCTCCTCGTATTCGGCGACGACTACAAGTCAAAGGACGGCACCGCCATCCGCGACTATATCCACGTCCTAGATCTCGCTCGCGGCCATTTACAAGCCCTCAACTACCTGCGCGAGCAGCAGCCCGGCGTCAAGGCGTGGAACTTGGGCTCTGGCAAGGGATCAACCGTGTTTGAGATGATCAAGGCGTTCAGCAACGTTGTGGGCAGGGATCTGCCGTATGAGGTTGCGCCGAGACGGCAGGGCGATGTGTTGGATTTGACGGCAAATCCTACGCTGGCGAACAAGGAACTGAACTGGAAGACTGAGCTTACGCTAGAAGATGCGTGTGCCGATCTTTGGAAGTGGACAAAGAATAACCCTGAGGGCTATGGACAGCAGCCACCAAAGGAGTTTTTGGATGCGTTGAAGAACAAGAAGGCTTGATTGGAGACTGCGAGAGCAAAATGAGCAGAGCCGGTGATGAATGATGCAAGGTAACGATATGGCAGGCAACACGATAATAATAATAGAGTACTTGAGTTTCATAAAACATCAAGAATAAAATAAAAGGGCCACTAAAGCACTAAACTTGGAAGAGAGGCGTAAATGTTTGTCTTCATCCTATCTAGCACTCGAGGTGACCTATTATGTTTTGTTCGCGGCTTCTTCATGCCTGCTGGACTTGGTGGACGCCGTCGACGCCTGCTTTTCCACTCTTCTAATTTGACGCAGCATTGACTTGACTCTAAACAACACAAACTTTTCTGTGTCTATCGCACAATCGCACCCTTCAGGGTGGGAATACTGCACAGTCCCGTCGCTGTCCTCAACTTCGCAACACCCGTCTTTTTATCCGCGCCCTCGCCCGCCAATTGTGGAACGACACCAACATCGAACCCAACCTCAAGACCCTCTGTTGTTGTGAAACCCGGTTGAATTGCCTCCCAAATCTTCTTCTTCGGGTTGAGCACACCCTCTGGCTCACCCTCCCAGCCTTCAAAGTACACTCGGTCTCCAGCTTTTGAATCAGCAGGTGGATTCACCAGCTCAACCGGTCCCTTGTGGCTATCTACCTCACCCTCCGCAATCCTTGGCGACGCCGCAAGCACCATAGCGCAGGACTTGACGCCACGCATAGTGACAGGCTTCAAGTTGCATACAGCAATGATTTTGCGGTTTTGCATTTCAGCGAGGGGAATAAGGCCGTTGAGGCCAGAGCAGACGGTTCGTACCACCTGGCCTTCGTACTCGGATGTATTATCGGTGCCGGGGGCGTCGCCACATGCGATTGTAGACACGAAGAGGGAGTCGGCATTGGGGTGGGTTTCGGCCTTGAGGATGTGGCCAACACGCAGGTCGATGAGGGCGGGTGAAAGGGGTTTCTCGACTGGCGCTCTACGTGGGTTGTTAGCTTTAGGGGGTTACCGAAAGGTGGGAATAACTTACGCTTTTTGAGGCTTGGGCTGCTTCTCCTTCTTCTCCTTCTTCTTGGTTGGTGCACCCTCAGGTGGTCCTGTAGGCTTGCCGACGACCGTCGATGCTATGGCCTCACCAGCCGCTTGTGCCGTATCCTTGGCCTTGTCCTTCTTGCTCTTCCCGCCTTGACCTCCCTGCTCCCCTGTCAAGGTGGTTGGTGTAGCGCCTGATGCAGCAGCACTTGCGGCGGCAGCCTCCTTCTCCTTCTTCTTGCGCTCCTTCTCAGCCTTTGCGTCTACCGGCTTGATCTTGAAGACGACATTGTCTAGATCAACATTGACCTTGTCGTCCAGCTTCAGGCCAAAGACGGGCGAATTCTGGACAAAGTCGACATGTCGGACAATGTGATGGTATCCTTGCTCTCCAGTCCTCTGCTCTGGAGTCCACTTGGAGATGACAGGCGCAAGCTTCTGGTAGATGGCAATGTCGGCGACGGAAGGCTTCGCGCCGAGGAGGGTGGTTCGGCTCGAAAGGTGTGTGTTCAGGGCTGACAGGCGCTCGGCGGACTTTGCGGCGTCCTCGGTACTGGAGGCAATGTGGGAGGCAGTGATGAGCCACTGGTTAAGCTCGGCTTTCTCCGCGTCGGTGTACGTGACTTGGGGGAGGAGGGCCTGCGAAGCCTTGACGGCGTCGGTCTCGTCTGCGGCGTTGTTTGGGGCGTGGGTCTTGAGGTAGGTGAGTAAGCCCTCGTCTAGTGTTGATGTGGCCATGGTGGGCACAAAGGTTCGCTGGAAAAAGCTGATGGCAAGCGGGTGTAGTGGGGTAAAGAAACTGAGCGTGAAGCGGGGTGCAGCTTGTGCTGTAAAGGAGCGAGGGCGTCGTCGAGCTGCAATGGGGAATTGAGCGAGCGGGAAAGGCCTGGGGCGTGCGATTTGGAGCGGTCTGGCGTGGAGGAGGCGAAGGGAGGGTGTAGCGGAGGAACAGATGCGGAAGTGCATAATACACGTGAGTCAAGCCAGACGCTCTCAAGGTCGGTCCACCAAAATTCACCGCGGGGCTCTCAGAAAGCTTCCATGTCGACCGCACAGGCCATTGCATTGGCGTATGAACCTCGAACGCGTCCAGGGTAGCCCATCTCTATTCTATCTCCATGGCCACCCCGTGTGGCTGTACGCGACGACCCAGGTGTTAGACAGGCCTAAAGTGATTCCATCATCTCTACGACTGTGTAGCGGCAGGAGTTATAGATTCTCCCAGTCGCAAGTTACGTGATGAGACTGTGTAAGCCTACGACATGACAGCTTGGTGTGGAGGCTACATGTTCGTTTGTCAACGTCTGTCTATACTCCCAAGGAAGGCTGTCCCTGGGGTTTATACGACGCCTTGTGTTGCCTGTAGATGCGAGCGCATATGACGCATCTTGTTTGCTGCCTGCAGGCCCCCGCGTCTATAAAGCTTTCAGGTATGGAACTCTGTGCCCCGCAACCACAACACCACAACCACATACCAATACCATGGCTTCTGAACCGTCGCCAGATGTGCCGCCGGGCAAGAAGAGATTCATCCCGCTGGAGAACAATCCGGACGTCATGTCGTCACTTGTCCACAAGCTCGGCCTGTCCCCGAAGCTCGCATTCCACGACGTCTTCAGCATCGACGAGCCCGAACTTCTTGCCTTTGTACCTCGCCCGGCCCACGCCCTACTCCTAGTCTTCCCGGTTAGTGAGACATACGAGAAGTTCCGCATCCAGGAAGACCAAAGCCAGCCCGAATATGAGGGCCACGGCCCAGGAGAAGAGGTCATTTGGTACAAGCAGACAATAGGCAATGCCTGTGGTCTTATCGGCCTGCTCCACGCTGTCTCTAATGGTGCAGCGCGATCCAATATTGGTCAGTCATCCCACTCGTCTCGACGCACTCCCTCGGACAAACTGACAAAGACTGAAGAACCAAACTCGAACCTGGCTAAGCTATTGGACGACGCTATCCCACTCAAGCCTGTCGAGCGAGCCCACCTCCTCTACGAATCCGAAGCACTTGAGAGTGCGCACCAGGCTGCCGCCTCCGGTGGTGACACATCTGCCCCTGCTGCCGAAGACAATGTCGATCTGCACTACGTCTGCTTTGTCAAGTCCGAGAACAACCACCTCTGGGAGATGGATGGCCGACGCAAGGCTCCTCTTGATCGTGGCGCACTCGGCCCGGATGAAGATGTCCTCAGCGAGAAGGCGCTCGATCTTGGAGTGCGCAGCTTCCTTAAACGCGAGGTAGCAGGCGAACGTGGCGACTTGCGATTCAGTCTCATCACTTTGGCCGAGTCGCTAGACTAGGCTTTCCGGAGCACTTGACGCTCCTCGCTACATTAGCCTATGCGAGCTATACCGGAAGTCGTTTCAGGTACGATTCTTAGGTGATTGCATGCAAAGCCTTCATGTCTCAGTGGTATGTTTTCTATGCTGCGAATCATTTGTGTCTTACCTGTTTTCAGATGACTCTCTTAATGTTTAAACAATCCATCAAAAGCAGCAAGTATATACGCTGGCTACCGTACTCCTATCTCTTTGCTTCTGTGAATCTTCTTTTGACCACTTTGCATCCAACCGTGGCTACTCCCGCTAGGCAGCTACCAAACACCTAATACTACGGATTGAACGAGAATAGCAATTGGTGTATGGGGTTTCCAGAAAGCATCGTTATTGCTTGTCCTAGTCATGGCCCGCGCTCTCGCGCTCCTTGTTTTCCTTCCTTGCGTTTTAGCTTCATCCGCAAGATCACTTGTGGACTCGGACTGGACCTCTATCGAAGCCAGTAACCTACAGCGAACACTGAGGGTTCGGGTAGCGGCAGTAATATGCTCCAGTTTTAGCGTAGTGGCCTCTTTGGTCGCCTTTTACTGGTTCTGTCGGATGGAGAAACGGTTTCGCCATCGGTCAGTCTCGAAACCTACGCCTCTTTATATGCTAATACGAAGTCAAAGGCTGATCATGCTGCTGATATACGGCGACCTGATGAGAGCAACGTGGTTTTTTATCTTTGCGGTTGTAGCAGTAGTGCGAGGTGCAGTCAGGACAGAATCTGCTTTTTGCCAGTCGAGTGGCTTCTTCATACAGTATGGAACGGAGACAAGTGGTAAGTACGAAAGAGGCATGTTGCGCACTTTCTGACGCGTACTCAGATTATGCTGTCCTTGTCATAGCCGTCAACAGTGCTTTACAAGTGTTTCGGCCCAGCACACAAACTACCTCAGGGGGGCTCTACCCCTATCAGCGCTACGTATACGTTGGCGCGCTCCTCATCCCGGTTTTGATGTCAGGTCTGGCTTTTATTGGCACACGCCAGGGTTATCTGTCACAGGGAGCTTTCTGCACGCTTCCGATTCGACCCATCTGGTACAGACTGGCTCTTGCTTGGATCCCACGATATCTGATTGCACTTGTCATCATTTGCCTTGCGATCGCCATCTACGCTTATGTTGGCTTTGAGTTTCGCGCTTATTCGACCCTCAGTCAGAGCGTCGGAACCTCGATGTCGTTGACTGCGACGAGTGTCCAACAGAGTGAGAAAGACCCAGACGTACATGCCGATGCATCTATGATGGCAGAAGGAGAATCGTTCCACGGGCGCAGAGTCTCATCCATTGCCAAAGATATAGTCTCATCCCAACGCCGAGCGTCATCCGTCTCATTCACCTGTGAAGGACCCAGCTCAAATCACGCATCGTTCAAGCCCGGCGGTCGGACGCAATCGCTCCCCAACAATTCCATCAACATCTCGACGAGGTGTAATGATAGCACCTTACGCCCTCCACTTGCGGCAATTCTATCCGGCTCTACTTTTCAATCGCCCGATTCGATCACAGAAGGACGCGTCGTACCCGCTCCTGGCGCCGTCATCGACGCCAACCGCAGCCCTGTCCTTCAAGACCTCAACCCTCTTGAAGACAGGCAGTCGCGTTCTCCCTCTCCCTCTTCGCCCCCGGGTCAACGCCATATGAGTCGTCAGCTTGTAAACACCAAGAAATTACACGCACGCGTCTACCGGCAACTACGGCTTATGTTCATCTACCCGCTTGCTTACACTCTCATGTGGCTTGTGCCATTCGCTCAGCAATGTACATTGTATAAATATAAGTATGCACAGCATCCACTATGGTTCCTAAGGTTGGGGGCCACGATATGCTTGTCAAGCATGGGCTTTGTGGACTGCCTTATTTTCTCGCTGAAGGAAAAGCCGTGGCGCAAGATCCAAAATAGTGATGGCACGTTTTGGGGGAGCTTCGCCATCTTTGCGCCTTGGCTAATGAAAAACAAGCCGGTTAGTAAAGATGTAGAGCACGGCGGTGGCGGCCCATCGAATGAAGGCAGCGGACGCCGAGGCATAAGACTGAGAAGTAGTATCCACACGAATTCGACTAGTAATGATTATGCACAGGTCGCAGCGGAGCAGGCTAGAGTGCGGCTGGATCTTGAGAGAGACGAGAGGCTTGTGGCGCTGAGGGCCAGGATAGCTAAGCGACGCGCTGAGAGTGCATGGAGAGCAGACGACGATGATGATGATAGCGGGTCGAACTACGAGGACGGGAGTGGCAACCAGCATCAACCAACGCCCAAGGATGAGGATCAACAGGGGAAAGGAAAGGCTGTGAAAGTTTGATGTAGCTTCTAATTCGTTAGCGGTGGTTACGCATGTGCGATGTCTTTGTGGCCTTCATGTATCATCACATAGTCTTGATTGAGTATCGTTCGGGAGCTATCTAATCTCACCCCACTGCATAACTGCATTCAAAACTCTTCTACCCTAACCTCCAGTCCCCCTTTCAGTGGCAGATGCACCTTTTCCCATAGCTCACTCCTCTCGCCGAGATGATATGTCAGGCTAACGTCTTGCATACCTGCATCAGGCTTTCCGGCCATGGTCTCTAGTTGGGAGATAATATTTTCTAAACCGAGGGCTTTGCCGGTGGCTTGAGTGCTGCCTGCCTCGAGTGAGACATGCACGATGTGGATGTGAAAGTGGTAGTATGTTGGTTGGTCTATGAAGTAGGTTAGTCGGCGGGACCTATCAGAAGAATCTTTACGGGCAATGGATTGTGTGGGGGGCAAATCGAAAGGGGCAGCTGGAGATATTTCGAGATTTGATCTGCCAGTGTACGATGAAGGTGCATGAGAAGTCAGTAAAGCAGACTTACAATGTACGTAGAGCTTCAGTTGATCTTTCTCGATTTCAGGATACAGCTTGACAGTCGCTTCGATCATTTTCCCCCGCATGTGCTCCACCCAATCCACCATGCTCTTCTTGAGATCGCGCACGCTCCAGATGTCTCGCCGTTCGACTAGGCCAAGTAAATGTAGACCCCCGATGGTCTTGCGGTCCCAGTTCAGATCCGGCAATAGTAAGAAACCCTCATCGCCATGTTCGCGATACATGACGTCTTCTTGCTCAGTTCGCCCTTCGATGATATTGAACACCCAGTTCAGCGCACCCTTTTCCCTCTGGCGCTGCATATACGGCCGTACATACTTTGCATAAATCTCCGGCGTCTCTGTTACTACGCGCAGGCCTTGTTTTTCATACTTCTTGACATGTTTCTCTGTGCATGGGTGGATCAAGTTCAGCTTAAAGTCTGGTGGTGGCTGTCCGTCTTCGCCGGTGAAATTTGGGTTGGAGTTTGCGAGAAACCAAGCGTAGATGTCGTTTGCGCCCAAGTTCTTGATGTTGCGGAGAGAGGTAGAGAAGGATTCGAGGTTGGAAGTGGAAGTGTCAAAGGCGGCGCGTTCGGCGATCAATAAGGCCGGCTGAGAAGATATAGTGCCAAGGAGGGAGATGCGGCGGCCGGCTTGGTCGGAGTTGAGTAGGCGGGTCAATTGGAACTGGGGGATCAGGGATTCAACGTGGGCTGCGACATCTGGGGGCGTTGTTGAAGTCATTGCTGTACTCCTGGCTGATACTTTGCAGGAGGGTGGATGAGTGGAGACCTAGGGACGTCAGTTGATACAAGAGAAAAGACGGCAATAAGCGAGAAAATAATTTGGGTAGCATGAGATATTTCGAAGCCAGGCAAGAAAGGTCTAAAGTTGGAATGATCATTCTTGATAGAATTTACACAGAACATGGAGCGAAATTCTTCAGGCTCCACGAAGAAGCTGTGCATTGTCTCTAGCTACGAGATAGCGTAGGAATTGACAGTCGAGATGTTATAATGGCAGCAAGGGCATTTTTTATGAGAGATGAGCTGAGATATTACTAACCTGATGCGCAGCGAATCCCTCACTAATGATGGCAAAACGTGGAGGAAATGGTGAATTATTCTGATCACATGGTGCGCGTGTCTAGCGCGTCTCCGTGACAACGGGGCAAGGCACGGCCGATCTACGCCAAGGCAATTGCCCTGCCAAATGAGGTCACTCGCTCAGCTACGTTCGACGACCACCATCACCGCGCACGACCATCAATCACAACCTTGGATACACAAAACTTAGCAAAAGCATCTATTTAGCAGTCTTCACGATGCCTCCGAAACGGCGCGCTTCCGGCCCTGCGACCAAAGCGCAGCAGTCCACCCTCGCTTTCCATGGAGTGTCTAATAAGGTCACGAAGGCAGGCGCAAGAGCACAGAGCGCAAAGAATATCCTCGACGACTCGAACACGAAAGATCCCAAGCCGGAGATTGTCGAGATCGAAGACAGTGAGCCCACCACGGCGGAAGCAGCCGTCGTCGCCCCGACAGAGCGAAAGATCAAAGCGCAACGTGTGGAGAGCACACCAGAAGAAGTCAAAGCTAGGCGGATAACGGATGCAGCGATCAGAAAGTACTGGGCTGCGAAAGAGAAGCAGAGAATGGCGCCCAGGGTGCACCAACAGGGCTTAAGTCTGCATGAGAAGGTCCTGCGGGAATTCGACGTGAGCGCGCATTACGGTGTAAGTTTCCCACTCCCGCTCGGGCGGTTTTATGTTATGCTGGAATTTTCTAACAAGATTTGTGATACACAGCCCTGCACTGGCATTACTCGACCAAAGCGTTGGAAGCGTGCACATGGACTAGGTCTCGAACCACCGATGGAAGTTCTTGCCGTGCTTCTGAAGGAGCAAGAGGGCAAGGATGATGCGACGGTTCAAAGATCACGCGTGGATGAATTGTTGAATTCGAAAACTGATGTTGAGGTGTAAGAAGGAACAATTCAGGCCGGGAATGTATCACGATGATACGTGGATGGAGCAAGCGCGGTCGCGCTACGAAAGCAATGAAGGACGTGGACGGAGTCATGTTTTTGATAAGTTTGAATTTTGGTATGTGAGCTGGAGTTGGGGGGTCGTGTTGGTGGCACGGCAGGGGACGACTGCAGCGAGCACAGTCAGATGAGCTCCCTGTTAGGTCTTTAGAAATGTCGTTGTCACTTTGCGGCAAAATACACCAAGCATTCAAATCCTCACCCTGCTCCCATGTTTGAGGATTCATCAGCACGCATTGCAGCCAACCAAGACAGCTAGCCCTGGGCTTCTTTCAGTCATTGAAGGTGGACACTTTGGGGATGCGGGGTTACGCAAGGCCAACAGATGATTGCGCCTTTCCGGTAGCGCCATGACCCAGTTATATTCTTGACGTGAAAGCTAGGCGCATGGACGCTTTCGTGCCTGTCAGGCCTCCCTGGAGTCGTCCAGCCCTCAAAGCGGCTCCAACGGGTGCAGAGGCGGGGTTGACGGACAATGGTTCGATGAAACCTGTGGGCTCTTTGGGGTGTGGTGGAGGGGGGCGAATGCCTCTGGCTGGGCTGCAGCTAGCGGGGCAAACGAGTCCACTGTGATGCTGGGCCCGCTCCATGGTGGAGTCGTCGTGATGGTGGAGTCGTCTTGGCCTCTCCTCGACGCGCGCTTGTGTCTCCAGACGGATCCTGGCGGTATCACTTGGACCCACTCTTTGGCTTCCTTATCGCATCTTGGAGAGCGCCTGTTCTCGAGCAGAAGCCACAAAGTTTGGCCATCGGTGCTGCTGCGTTGTTCGAAGGAGCCAACCGCGCCGCGCTGGCTGGCCTGGCGTGCATGTGCGTACAGGAGGGCTTGCAGCAGACGACGCACATTGGATGCATTGAAACGGCGCCTTGTCGTCGTGCTGGGACTGGACTGGACTGGACTGGGACGGGGACTGGTGAGCGAGATAGCGGGGGAGCCACACTAGCGACCACCGCCCATAGCATTCCGCTGCTCTACTGTGCTACCACCATCAAACGTCTCTCGCCCCCTCGATGCTTTCTCCTTTCTTCCACAAACCACATCAATTCACTTCACACATGCTTCTCAACTTCATTCAACTGTAACCATGCCGAGCGCACCTGTTGTCCCGCTTTAGACTCGCACTTGCCGCAAAGGGCCCTTGCCCTTGCCCTCCTTCGATACTCGTGCTGTTGATCAACTCAACAACCGACTCCGTGGCGGCCTTCTCTAAACCTTGATCGAGGTAGGTTCAGAAACTCCAATGCATACTCTGTTGTTTGGCCGCAAAGACTCATCCATTGCTCGACAGAGCATCGCTCGCTGCTGCCATCCCACCTGCCAGTGAAACGTACCCTCGCCAACCCCGCATATCCGTGCCCATTCGACACCTTTCCAGTACTCAGACTTCCTTCCACCTTTGGACCCGCTTGATTAGGAAGGATAGATCGATTCTTGTCCAGCCCATTGCTGCCGTCGAACCTCCACACTGTCCAATTGACACTTCGCCTTCTACATAAAGCGTAGGATCCCCACGTTGCGTGCCTCGAACCGCACCCTGTCGACCATCCGAATCGCAAGAATGGCCGCCGCTGTAGCCAGGCCATTGCCCATCGCCCGCTCGTCAACACCTCCACCGCACCTGTCACTTAATACTTCATCTCGTGGTACACCATCTGCCATCCCCAACAAGCACATCCCAGTATGTTCGCCTGGTGGCATGCCCGCAACGCCCCCCGCATCTCCTCCACGCCAAGATAGTCTCATCGAAACTTCGTCCATCACTTATCCGCCTGACACGTATTGCTCCCAGTACTCCGACGATCCATCTGTGTACACAATCACTGCCGATCGCATGGCAGAGGCGTTGGAGCACATCGCGACTCAGCCCCTTCCAAACCCAGAGCAAGTGTTCCCCTGGATGCACGGCCTTCATGCTGAGAACCAAATCCAACTCGCCTTCTTCTCGTCTCGTCGCAAGAGCATTCGGAAAGTCCCCAGGTGCATTCGCAGCATTACCCTTGTCAAGACTGGCGGGAAGCTGTCCACTTCGAAGCTCAAGGGGGCAATTGCACCAGAAGAACTACTCGATCCAACTTCCGAGGACTCTTCTACCTTTATCGAGTGTGACCCAAAGGATGGCTTCTCAGTACGCAACTTTCAAATACAAGCATGCAAGTTAGCCATGGTTTCGGACATCATCGTGTATGGCGACCACAAAACTCATCCCAATGAGACGATATCACTCGCAAAGAAGATATCAACAGCGCAGAGGCAGTACGAGGCAAGGAATGGGTTTCCACGTTGCTTGTTCAACACATTCATGCTCTCAGGTATTTCCCACAACCTAAAGATACTTTCGATGAGACACTGACACGCTTAGATTCCTTCAGTTGCGTACAGGAGAGATACCCGAAGCTGGTTGCAATAGACTCGACTGGAGGCATGACAGGCAGCATCGTTGACTTTTGTGAGCGGCGAGCCCGAACCTACGCTCAAATGCGGTTAACTGACCTCTGAGTAGCTTATTGGGAAAGATACGAGATGTGCACAATGTCAAAGACATCCGAGATCAGCAACAACGTCTTCTTGGGACCTACGCCTGATCCGAGTTTTCCTTCAGAGTGCCTGGGAGAGGAATCGTACGACATGTTGATTGAAGCTACCGATCTTGCCCATGTGCCGGAATCGCGCTCATTACGAGCTCTGCGCATGGGGCTGGAGAAGATCCAGCGTAAGACTGCATTGCACATGGAATTTCCTTCTTCGGGGAGCATTATGCCTCCAAATTGGTCCCATGGAGAGGTTGACGGTTTGATGGACACGTGCAAGTGGATCTTCGAACTTGCAAATCCACAGGAAGTCAAGCGATCGAAACGGAGACGGGATGATGATGATGAGGCTATCGAAATGGACGACATTGCAACGCCTCGCAAGTTTTTGATTCACTGCACTGATGGCTACACCGAGACTACGCTTCTTGCTCTTGCCTACTTCATGTATGCGGAAGGCCTGCCTGTGCATGATGCATGGATCCAAATGCACCGTGGCAAGGGACGCAATTTCTTTGCGTATCCATCCGATGTTGCGCTTTTGACGACAATCCAGCCTCGCATTCTTCAAGAATCACCCCGATTTAAACAGAGCATCTTCAACATCCCTGAGCCACAATGGCTCTCGAAGATTGACGGCAGCTTGCCCAGCAGAATTTTACCGTATATGTACCTTGGCAATCTTGGACACGCCAACAACCCCGAACTCCTCCGCGAACTTGGAATTACCCGGATTTTGAGCGTCGGTGAATCCCTCTCTTGGCCGGAAGATCTCAAGAGAAAGCTCAATTGGCCTAGCGACAAGTTCCTGATGGTAGATCGAGTTCAGGACAATGGTGTTGATCCTCTTTGGGCCGAATTTGAACGATGCTTGAAATTTATTGGTAAAACTCCCTTCTCCTCTCCGTTCCCCCGCAGAAGTGCTAACTTGGAGCAGAGGCTGGAAAGTTGGATGGTGGTGCCACCCTCGTCCATTGTCGAGTCGGCGTATCTCGCTCGGCAACCATCTGCATTGCGGAAGTTATGAATGAGCTGGGCTTGTCCTTTCCTCGTGCCTAGTAAGTCCCTTACTGTGCTAATTAAGATACACCCATCTGACTTGATACTTTAGCTGCTTTGTGCGGGCGCGGCGACTGAATGTCATTATCCAACCACACCTTCGATTCACCTACGAACTTCTAAAGTGGGAAGAGTACCAGCGTCAGCGACGCAACGAACCTCTTCGCCGCGAACTAGAGTGGGCTACCGTCGCGCGCGAGATCGCGCTGATGAATAAGCCTTACTCTAGATAATCATTCTTAACGATTCTCTACGACTTAGCAAACTACACGATACGATTTACGATGATACGAAGTGGGGTCATGTACGACTACGAACACTGCCTCACTGGACCTTTCGGCCTAGGCACGAATGCCCTTCCCTTGCTACATTAGCAGTTTTCCGGCGTTTTGCGGTCTTTCTTTGTGACCATTTGTAGGCTACTGTCAAGCCTAGGGTTTCTTCTGGTTGTCCTGTAACTGTCGATTTTGCAGCCTTGATTTTGTTCGCTTGTTTCCGGGATTGCACCTCGTTATTCTTTGGGTCATTCCCGCAAGACTTCAGCCACACGGCTTGGTTGGCTGTACTGGATGTTTGCCATTCTGTTCACCATCTGGATGTCGACGACGTGTCGGAACGAAGATTATGGGTGGGCACATCTATCATCCATCTTCTCGATACGTGTATTACTGCCTCGATCTACGTTCATGGAATTAGCGTTGCTATGTTCCTTTGTCGATGGGACTTAAGGCTGAGGTACCAAGCGTTACAGGGCGCTAGGGGTATCTGGTTATTATTCCTAGCGTACACATATAATGACGGGCGTTTGAATTGAACACTTTCCTCTCCCCTGCTTTCATCTTCACGTCCTCGAAGCCTCAGTCGCACTGAAGTCGCCTGGTAGTGGGCAGTGATGGCGGGTGGCTCTGACCACGCTAACAGGATTTGCAATTCAGTTTACCTCCTCGATCTTACTACTTCCTCGCAAAGGTCACGCTGGCCTCAATGGCCATCTAGCATGATGAGATCTCCTCGATACAGCCTATCCGTCCCTGCCTCGTAGTATGACATGTCGTCTACAAGATGAGGTATAGTTGGAAATAATGCCGCAGATCTTACGACCTGGACTTTGCCGTGGCAATTAATAGCATGTCACTTACTGTATAAGGATAGCCAATACGACGCGCTCGAAATGCTCTGCAATATACTATCGAAGCATATGCACTGGAACACGAGGGATTCTTTCTTGACATGGAAGGCGAGAATAGACCCATAAATTCCTCAAAAAGGACGCAGAGAAGTCGGAAGTGACACGAAGACGTGATGGGGGCAGAAGGCGCAGTGACAGACAATGGTAAGAGGTGAGGCAAACGCATGATGGTAATGGACAATCCATCGAGTAGAGGAAAATGGTATGAGATTAAATATTGATATTGTTGAAATGATAAGAACGCTGGGAGTCGAATGGTGAAAGGAAAAACGACATTATGTGAAACATAACGCAATGTTTGAAACGCTAGAGAGAGCGGCGCACAAATGCAAAAACGTAGCGGCGTACCCGCACCAAAGACATACAAAAGTGGTTGTTGGTATCAATTGAGCTCAAGCGGTCCTCGCTGTCTCAAGGTGTCGTGAAATCTGCCCCTCTATGCTGGAAGATAATATGACTAGGAAAGAAAATATGGAAACTACAACGAGCTCTTACGGAAAAGCTCTGGATGATCTTGAGAAACCTCTTTTGGAAACAACAGGTAGGAAATTAACACCGTGTTGGGAAAGTTGAAGGGGATGTTGCCGCTGGGATCCTAGAATACGGCGGAAAGAGAAATGCCAGAACTATGCAGTAAGGTAAGGAGAGAAGCGATGGGAGGATCAACGACGACTATGACTTGTCAGCCTGTGCTTGACAGATATCGGTAGGAAGCGAGCAAACTCGAAATCTTACCTATAGGCGGCATTGGCTTGAGTACGCCTCTTCCGCTTTGTGTTGTCATCTTGTTGCTGCGGCCTCTCGCTGTCGTGATCCGTATCTTCATAGCTTCTCTTTCTCGCGAAAGAACTGTCGCTTCGCGTAAGGGAAGGAACGGCGGCCTCTTGCTCATTCCCGTTACTTGGCCTCTCGGAATCAAAGTCTGAGCCGGCCATAGTCCGATTGCTCCCTTCAGAGAGTGCAGGGCTCCCCCTGGGGCCGTCAAAGCTAGGTCCGCTATATTGGGGTGCATTCCAGGGATCGTACCGCTGGTTTTCCGAAGGCGGCGGAGGAGGAGGGATTAGATTAGATGAAGATGACATAGAGCCATATGGTCTTTGAGGCGCAAATCCGTGCCCGGCGTTCCGATCCCCACCATAAGACTGCGCTCTCTGGGTGGGTAACGGAGCATTGGGCTGTGTGTCAGAAGGTGAGCCAACCGGTGGCTTTTCAGGGAGCGATGCCGGTGGCTTCTCCCCAGGCGCGGGAAAGGACAACGACGTTGTCTGATCTGATGGTGGCTTTGGAGCACCAGTCACACCTAGCATTGCAAGGACATCCTCTTGGGTTTGTCTTGGTGAAGAAAACGCTTCCTGCTTCAATCTCGTGGGTTTGGAATCCCCATTGCGACCAGATAAAGCCTGATCAAGGTTGTCCATAATGTCCCATGTTGCGTCATGCATCTCGTGATCCTCGTCTTGTCCTGTCTCATCATCGAGGCGGTCTCGTTGAGCAATGCAATCTTCTAGCGATACGAGATTACGCTGCATTTCCTCGTCTGTAAAGACCACAAAGACTGGGTCACCCCGAATCTGCTCCCACTCATCCGTCTGTCTCACATCGAGGAAGGCCTCGTGCGAATTCTCAGCCATGAAGTACACCGATACAGACTCCCCGTTGTCTAGCTTCTCCGGTGAGGGTTTCAAAGCCTGTTCCTCGGCTTCGCCAAACGTTGAAGGCAAGGCACGGGTCATTTGCTTGGCAGGATGCCAGACGATGACACCGAGACTTAGAGCGGGGTCCACAGGCTCGTTGCTCTTAGGCCAGATTGCACCCTCAAAGTCAAAGTCCCAGTCATCCCAGGCAAGGAACAATTGTGATTTACCGCTTGACCCGTTCTCACTTACGCTACTAGTCGGTTGATTAGGCGGTTGAGTGGGTTGAGACATGGCAAGATGTGCGGTAGCCGGCGTTGGCGTAGCATTAGGATCTTGCATCGGCGGGGCATTCATAGGCGGACCACCGTGTGGGTTATACTGAGTACTCGGTGGGTACAGTGGTGGTCCATTTTGTGACGACCACCCGGGATTTTGGCCGTAGAACTGCTGGTTTTGGTCGATTGGAGCGGGTTGAGGTTGATAATCCTGATAGCTACTCTGCGGCTGTGGAGGTACGTATGCCTGTACAGGAGGGCGAATTTGAGGCTGCGAGTAACCTTGGTTCGGCGTGTAGCCCGGTTGCGGCCATTGGTAGTTTGGACCTTGAGGATATGGTTGTTGAGGATAGGTCGCAGGCTGCGATTGACCGTAGCCTTGCGGAGGATAGCTTTGAATGACAGGAGGGGCATTGTAACTTTGCTGAGGGTAAGTAGGAGGCGCTGGACGCGCTTGGGGGTATCCAGGCTGGGGTGGTTGATGTTGGTTAGGATACTGGCTAGTACCAAAAGAACCCTGAGGTTGCGCAGGTCCGCGGTAGCCGGGTGGAGGAGGATACCGTGTGATTATTGGGTTGCCTTTCTTTTTTGGCAGTCTAGGTACTAATTAGTATGTGGTGGTTTCGTCGCACCAAGCCTTCAAGAGTCGCCTAGAGCAATAGGTGGCTCGAAACATGTAAAGAGAGCTTACCGATTTTCTGGTGGTCGTTGAGGTGGACCAACTTGGGGATATGCCGGCCCTGCCTGATGCTGTCCGTAGGCTGGCTGTTGTCCATGTTGATAGGGCTGCTGTTGGCCATATCCAGGTTGAAAATTGCCATACGGTTGTGGTTGGAAAGGTCCAGCGCCTGCTACAGGCCCGCTACTCCACGACATTACACCCCTGGCCTAGTCTCGATTGATAGCCAGATCAAGGACAATAATGGGCTTGGAAGACCAGACAAGGGAGATTAGGGGTTTGGCTCTGAAGAAGGATGGAAGTTGACTCCAGCGTGGGAAATGGTTTGTTGCAGAGGTGCGCGTTCTCAAATTTGGTCCAGGTTTGGCGCACGTGCCCAGACAATAGGAAAGACCACCTCTCCAGGGGAAAGTGTTGTTAGTTCGTCTCCTAGGTGATAGATGGTTGACCGACAGGTCGGTTGGACGCTATGGTGAAGTGAGAGAGAAATTGAGACTGGAGAGAGAAGGTGAAGCAGGTAAGGCTGCGGATGTGAGGAGGGAGCTGTCACAGAGGCACGACGGACAGATATTGTTGAACTGATGGCGAGATTTAGAGGGCGGACGATGGCATCTTGGCGGCATTCAGAATACGGAGACCACAGAAGAGGGGGGGAAGGTGAAAGGTAGGAAAAGCGCGCTTGACGACAGATGTGAGGCATGGCAAACGAAGGTCGCGTTGAGATGAAGTCTGAAGCGTAGTCACGTTTCCCACGCTTGGGCCTCATACGGCGGGCGCGGTATACCGCCGCAACTCAGACCAAGCAACTGCACCTTGCCCCCCATGCTACTCGCTTTTGCGCCATCACCCGTCTCTCAAGCCTCGATGCGCCTCCGAGGATGATTGTACGATACAGACATCTGTTAGCGACCAGTATAGACTCGATACCCTGAGCGAGTCGTGCACACTGCACCTCCCACATCCACCTTACAAATACTACCATGCCAGGACTTCCGTGTACGTCAGTGGCCGGCGCCCCTCACATACCCCTGCCTGCACTCTTACTCACTTCCTGCAGCTACCGTAGACCTCGACGAGTGTATATCGCGCCTCTCCAAGAAGGAGCTGCTGGCCGAGTCCGTGGTCGAAGCAATATGCGCCAAGACCAAGGAGCTTCTCATGAAGGAGAGCAATGTCGTGCATATCAGGGCACCTGTTACCGTCGTCGGTGACATTCACGGCCAGTTCTTTGACATGATGGAGATATTCAAGATTGGCGGGCCGTGTCCAGACACCAACTACTTGTTCCTAGGTACGCTGACACCCTCGACTTGCGATAGAGCAACAAGGCTGACTTGGTATAGGCGACTATGTCGATCGCGGCCTTTTTTCAGTCGAAACTATATCGCTGCTCGTATGCCTCAAACTGCGGTATCCGCACCGAGTACACCTCATCCGCGGGAACCACGAGTCTCGCGGCGTTACACAATCGTACGGCTTCTACACCGAGTGCTTACGCAAGTACGGCAACGCCAATGTATGGCACTACTTCACCGACATGTTCGATTTTCTTACGCTATCTGTCGTCATCAATGACCAAATATTTTGTGTACATGGCGGCTTGTCACCCTCGATACACTCGATCGACCAAATCAAAATCATCGACCGCTTCCGAGAGATTCCCCACGAGGGCCCAATGGCAGATCTAGTCTGGAGCGACCCCGATCCCGAAAGGGACGAATTCTCGCTTAGCCCAAGAGGAGCAGGATATACCTTTGGAGCTCAGGTGGTCAAGAAGTTTTTAGAGGTCAACGCAATGTCCCATATACTGCGAGCCCATCAGCTCTGCCAAGAGGGTTTCCAGGTCCTCTATGATGACCGGCTCAGCACCGTCTGGAGCGCACCAAACTACTGCTATCGATGCGGAAACATGGCAAGCGTTCTGGAAGTTAGTGACACTGGCGAACGCTTCTTCAATGTATTTGATGCAAGTCCAGACAACGACGTGCATCGAGCTGAGCAGCAACAACAACAAGGGAAGGAGGTGACGACGGAATACTTCCTGTGATACCCACTGTACATAGCGATGCATTATGTCTTGAACGCGGGGGTTGCATTTGAGGGCGTTGGTCATATGGGGTTCAGTGGCACGGCGTTCTGGACATGATGTTGCTATATACATGCTAGCATGGCATGAAGTCATGTACAGTTGCAAGTAGTAATAGGCATGCATGCACAGCAGGCTCACCCCATTGCACTCCGGCATCTACCGCTGAGATCCAAACCCTAAACAACATTTTTCAGCAACCCAAATACTTTGATTCCACCCACCGATTCTCCATGTCGTCGCCTAATCTTGCAATCACAACCTTGGTATCTGGAAAGACGCTCAACACCCTATTGACGCCAATGCGACCCGCCGTATATGTTACGAATACAATCCTGTCTTCGGATACACCATGGTCTACTAGCACCCTGACTGCCATCAAAGCCGCCGCACCCGATGAAAACTGCGGATCCAGAACTAGTACAAGCCCATGCTGCGCAATGTCTGTCGGCAAGGCTCGATAATGCAATTCCGGCTCACCCGTCCTGTAGTTCGTTTGGATGAGTACCCTTCCCGTCCTGCAATCCGGAATTGTACGCCGAAGGCCTGTCTCAAACGCACTGCCACCACGCAGAACCACCACGGCACTGACATCTGCATTTTTCTGGAGCCCTTGGTAGCTGTATTTCTGCGATGTGGTGACAGTGTGAGAGGCGAAAGGGAGGAAGTCGCAAGCTGTTTCGACTAGTAGAGAAACCATGCGGTCGAAGTAGAATATGAAGTCTTCTCGCGATGTGCTTGGGTCTAAGAGGAGGGTGTGCATTCCTTTAACCTGATTCGTCTGCTTCAACACAATTGCATTCGAACTCAGCTCTCTAACCTCAGCAATCTTTCCCAGTCGCTGCAACTCCGCCTGGTGGAGCGCACTCTTCTGATTAAGCGTTTGGCGAACTTGGTTGCTGACCATGGAGATGGCGACTTTGTTCTCGATGCCACGGGGAATGATGAGGTCAGCGATCTCGCGCTGCGGTGCGACATATTTGTAAAAGTTCGGCTTCACAAAGCCGAACCATTGTTTGATACAGCCCTCTATATCTCGACCTCGTTCTTTGACGTCGCGCACGAGACGTCGAGAAAGACAGAGATCGGCATCCGCTTCTGCGAAAATCTGAAGATCAAGTAGGTCTAGCACTCGCTGATCGTGTAAGGCGAAGATGCCTTCTAAAATTAGAACATGTGGCGAATAGATTGTAGTTGTCTTCTCGAGTCGGGAATGCTTCTGAAACGAGTATATGGGTACCTCGGCAACCTTGCTGATATGTCATCAGCAGTCATCTGTAATGTCGACATATCAGAGTAACCTACCCAGCTTTAATCTCTTGTAACCGGTCGACCAAGTTGTCGAAGTCTATGGCCTCCGGCGAGTCAAAATCAAATTCGTTCCTGAAAGCAGCCGCAGATTGCTCAGGTGTTAGTGGCTTGTAGAACGAGTCCTACACGACTTGTTCTTAGTGTGCAGCACGTGAGCGTAAAAGGTAGGACGAAACGCACCATAGACAGAATGACAACCCATGGCAAGTTCAGAGATGCCACTATAGCCAATGCCAAAGACGTCTTGCCAGATCCAGAGCTACCAGCTACTCCAATAATGCTCGCATTGCCCCATGGTGGCTCGTAGTGCGTCCTTCGGCCTGCCGATGACATGATGGTGCCTAGTGTAGCGAATTCTGAAGGTAGCAGCGATTACCGTTACCTCATGGCGTATAAGCAATATTTCCCCCAAAATAAGTGACCGTTGGAGATTATAACGTGTCGATTATCATGCTAGTTTCCTTGAATGACGGATATCCGCAGTGGGAAGTCCTCGAGCCGCGGGCTTACATAAGGACCGGCATATAGCGCGTGCCAAGACCGCACTAGCGAGCAAGCTCAGTCTTTCTCTTCCATCGACCTCTCTCCTCCAAACTTCCTCTCACATCGCCCGCTGCAAACTTTGCGTGGCTCCAAGCACACTCGACCCACGGTCGAGCAGCTCAACCATTTTACTGATGGACGTCGGATGAGGGTGCTGAGTGCCTCCAGGCTTCACTATGGTAAGTAAGCTCAACAAGCATGGAGCTGCTCCCCGCGTTACTGACTCTGAAATGCAGAGCTCATCCACCGTTTCTGTTTCGGCTGCAACGCCAACGCAACATCCTTTCCAGAGGAAGATCGATGATGTCAAGCCGTCCAAGACGTAAGTGCACGAATTATCCTACCGCTACTCTTACATGATGATTTCAAAATAAGTTGGGAATCTCTCCTAAACCACGTGTGGAGAACATGTTAACTTGTATCTCTGATCCCAAGCAGCTTTTGTTGCTTCGCATTATCGCTCCCTTGATACCAAAGGTTACAATAACAGCCTTGCTGACAAGCGCCTCACAGGGACATCAACTTTGTCATCATGGACTATTTGGTCAGCGAGGGCTATCCGAGTGCTGCTGAAAAGTTCGCCAAGGAAGCAAACATTCAGCTACCTCTCGATGAGGAGTCCATCCAGTCCCGCGTAGAGATACGACGGGCTATTCATGCTGGAGATATTGATTCCGCTATCACTAAGATCAACGATCTTAACCCCCAGGTACGTTATGAGCACCTTACTTCTCGATACCTTGCAGGATTAAATTCAGTTTCATGCACCACGCATAATTTTCTTTGATGATAATCAAACCTTCAGTCCTCAGTATGATTGCAAGCAGCCAAGTCTTTTTTAATACGCACATCTGTTGCCGAACCCTGCTGACAGCTAAATAAGATCCTCGATACCGATCCAGCCCTACACTTTGCACTGCTCCGTCTACAGCTCATCGAGCTTATTCGGACATGCACCTCGTCGGTCACCTCTGACATCACACCTGCGCTCAACTTTGCCTCGTCACAACTCGCGCCGCGTGCGGCCACAAACCCCGACTTTTTAAGGGATCTCGAGCTCACCATGTCTCTGCTCATCTTTCTTCCTGCGACGACTGGTACGCTGCAAAGGGAGCTAGTTGAACTTCTAGAACCTTCGCTCCGGCGAAACGTTGCGAGTAAGGTGAATGAGGCAATACTCACCAGTATGGGTGCTCGTGGAGAGGCGCGGATGAGGAGTCTGGTTCGGTTACGACAGTGGGCTGAGACAAAGGCCCGTGCTGCCGGAAAGGATCTTCCCCTCTTACCACATGGCCTAGATGCTGAGCGGCCTGCTGAGAATGGGAATAATGGCGAGGCAGCTGACGTCATGGTCCAGTAGTGTAGCCCGCTGTGGTAGGCATCCCTAGATTGGACGCCATCCTGCGGCTATCTGTAGGCACATAGCATTATGATGTGCAATTTTATGACTATGTTATCATGCACTGAAGATGTTTTGGGTGCGCCAATCATGTGCTTTTTCTCGTCTTAATTATGGCTCTTGGAGGGATACAGTGCATCAACTATGATTAACTCTTCTCGTCTTGATAGTATGCCTTGGATGTATACAGTGTATTAACCATGAATGACTCTTCTTATCTTGTCAGTGTGCCTTGGAGGGATACAGTGCATTATTATACCACGTGCTCTCATGTTGTTGTAAATGTAGTGAGGTCCCCCTCGACGTGGCCGGAGCAGGTTAAGCTTGATGAATCACAATGAGTATGGTTTGGAAGTTTTCATGTCTTTGATGTTGTTGAAGTGTTGTTTTGAATTTCATTTGCAGTCATTATTTACAGTTGAAGCAAGCCATGCTTTTTTTCTTTCCTTTGGTATCATTCCATTGCCTATTTCGACGTGTCCAGAACATAGCGTCCGGCAATCTCGCCCTTCTTCATCTTGTCGAAGACGGACTGGAGCTCTGAGAGACCGACAACCTTGTAGGGAGCCTTGATCAGGCCACGAGAGAAGAACTCAATGGCCTCGGCGCCGTCCTGTCGGTTTCCGACGTATGAACCCTGGATCCGGATCATGCGGACGACGGACGAGAAGACGGGTGCCTTTACAAAGGCACCGGCGGGAAGACCGATCAAGATGATGGTGCCGCGAGGGCGGATGTACTCGGCAGCCTGTTGGAAGGGCTTCTCGTTGACGGCGAGGAGGATGACGGCGTGAGGACCACGGCCATCGGGAGTCGCCTTTTGTACGTCGGCGACGAGGTCCTTGGAGGTAGCAAAGTCGATGAACGTCTCGGCACCGAGTTCGTTGCACATCTTCTTCTTCTCCTCGCCGCTGTCAATGGCAATGGTGCGGAGACCCATGGCCTTTGCGTACTGGCAGGCAAGCGATCCGAGACCACCTCCCGCACCGATGATGACGACCCATTGGCCAGGCTTGATGCCAGACTCCTTGATGCCCTTGTAGACGGTGATACCGGCGCAGAGGACGGGGGCCACGGCAGCGAGATCGGTGTCCTTGGGAAGGCGGGCGACGTGGGCGGCTTTGGCAATGGCGTATTGCTGGAAGGTGCCGTCGACGGTGTACCCGGAGAGCTGTGCATCGGCGCACAGTGGCTCGTCGGCAGTCTGGCAGAACTCGCAGTGGAGGCAGGAGCCGTTTAGCCACTTGATACCGACACGGTCGTCAAGCTTGACGTCGTTGACAAGCTCGCCAACGGCAACGACAATACCGGCACCCTCGTGGCCACCGACGAGAGGGAGCTTTCGGTCCTGGAGATGGTCAGGGCCTACAGTGGGGGTTGGTGGGGGGGTGGGATAGGCTTACCAGCGGCCAGTCGCCGTTGAGGGCGTGGAGATCAGTGTGGCAGACACCAGTGTACTTGACGTTGACGAGAACCTCATCAGGGCCGGGCTTCTGGACGGGAATCTTCTTGTACTCGATGGGGCCACCAGACTTCTCGAATATCTGCGCCCATTGCTCGGTAGGAACGGAAGCCATGTTGACTGTGGTGGAGGAAGGTGGAATGTAGTGGTGGTGATAGTAGTGGTAGTAGTAGTGGTAGTAGTAGTAGAGAGTCAATTGAGGAGTGACTGTAGGCTGATGGAAGGACACAGGAGCAGGAGAAGACGACTTATATACCTACCCACTGCTGAGGGAGCTCGAATCCGTAACCCCACCTGTATCCAATGACAGCATTCCAACAATACAATACCTAACCAGGGTCTCCTCGAATGTCTAGCGCGGCCTGCCCTATGGGAAGCCAGAGGCATCTCACGCCGAGATAGCAACGCTCTCTGCTCCTCTCACCCAGACAGCACGCACGTCTCCTGTCCGGCGAGCCGGGCGCGCATGCCAAAGACGACTATGCTCGAGTTCCATTGGCCTAGCACGTCTATTCACCATGGCGCAGTGGGCCTATGGAGGGGCACATGGTGGCCAGTATGGGCGGCCTGGACGATCGGATGATACGTCGGCTGAGCGCGAAGGTTTCCGTTCAGAGGCATGAACTGCAGCAGAATACGCGCAATCCAAAAGGTGGCCTGACATGAAAAGGTCTGTAAAGAAATGTGCTAAAGGCCTCGTAGCCTAGCTGTTCCGTTTTTCGCTGTGGTGTGAGGGGCACTTGGAGGGGCACTGACGTAAAGCCGCTTGCCTGTTTAGGGCCCAGATATCTCCTGATGTTGGGTTTTTTTCTCCTCTTCTCTCACCACGACTGCGTCCACGGCCGTGTGGCAGCTAAAAGGATGATTCCAATTTCAATTCTGCCTGACATCGACATCTCGTTTCACTCCATCGTCATCTTGAAAGATAACAGCGCCTCGATGACCCATTGTTAGACCACCCGGGTCCGTGCACAGTCGCTTCGACGTGTCTTGACTCTTGAGCTGTTCGCAACCCACCAACCATTCCCTCAACCCAGCCCATGTGAAGTTGGACAAACCCCCCTCAGTTCGACTCTCGGAAGCCAGGGCAAACTACAACTGCCAGTCAGTGGGTCGGTCGGTCGAACGCGTATCGTAACCATGACTTCACTACTCTTGTGCAAGTCATCCAGCCACAGCCTTCGTCACCTCAATCTGGCAACTCCATTGACCAATAGAACACCCCATGTCAGATCGGCTGCATGCGGCTCCTGGTGTTTCATGCGGGGATCCTTAACGCCGAGAGGTCCAGGTGCCTTTGCTTCCGCAGAGGGGTAGTCTCGTAGACGACTTCGACAACGGTATCCTTGAGACTGCGGAGCAAAGGGCTCTAGGGTAGTGTGTGCACCGGTAATACCCCAGACTCCCTCCACGCCTGGTTGTCCCATGAACGTGCAAGACGCATTCCGAGAGCGCCGAGTAGGCGTTGTGGTTGGGTGGCATGGTTTCCCCATTCGGCGGTCGAGAACTGAGGCGCGGGTGCGGGGAACCTAGAGCAGCTAGTGTAGCGCGGGGCAGAGGGAGCTTCGTGAAGTCTCGGGCTTTAAAACTCAAAGCTACGGGTCGGACCCGGCAAGGTATGACAGCGGCAGCTCGCTTTATATCCACGTCCCCTTGAGAACCCTGATATCCTGCGACTTTGAGCACCTGTATGAGCTCCCTCCGCCTTGAAGGCCCCTAGTGGCAAGTACAAGAGGTGAAGTCATGGTTGATCTTTCGTGATTGGGTCACAGGAACACCTTGTATGGAAAGGTTAAATCCTAAAGACGCAAAACAGGGATCCAAATTACATCACAGCTTCAATGGCCACAATTAGGTAACTAATACTCTACTGTCTCATATTACACGTCAAACTAAACTGGGTACAATCGTACAACAGCTGATGATAGAACTAAGCTTGTCCCAATACTTCAGGCCCCAGTTAGCGAGATCGTCTTGAGCCCAGACAGCCTGTACAAGTAACTTGACATGATTGAATGACCGCGAGGAATCTCTGCTCTCCGTCCTAGCGATGAGATCGAGGATGATGGTCCGCTGATCATCCGTGCGAGCTTCACAGCCCAACACGAAGACAGGGAACTGCCGCTCACAAGACGCTAGCTGGGATAAAAGGGCGAAGCCTTTCTCGATCTGCTGTTGGGTTCTGACTGACTGGTCTAGCAAGTTTTCAGTCGCCCGATTGAGGTACACAAGCATAGCTAGCTGAAATAGTTGTGTGACGGTTGTCATCTCTGAGATTTCATCGTCCGTGGTGGAGGCTGCAAGGTTCCTGATTCTCCAGTCGAGTACTTCGAGGAAGCCTTTGTATTCTTCCAGTTTTTGGCCAGACATGTTGTCGTCTGGTCTAGCCGATACCGCGTCGCAGACCTCAGACAGTAGCTGCAGAGTAGCGTTGATAGGCGGTGCCGCAAGCGAAAGACAAAACAAAAGGTCGATACAGCGTCTACGCCCCTGGGAAGCGCCATCGTCAGCCTGTAGAGGTCTACTTTGAGTGATGGAGAGATGAATACGACCATCTGGTAGGAGATGTGCCCTATTGGGTAGCACCGATGGACCAATATCTTTACGGTTGCTTGTTTGAACCAACAGCAGATTTTTGGCGGTTGTTGCCCAGTGCCGTACTGTGAAATGGGCTAAAACATCGTGATAATATACCCATTCCTTCAAGGCGGCAAGATCATCATCGTACAGAGACACTTGGAGACAGTCAGTGTTGAGGATTTCCTTGATCCCGGTGAGATAGCACATCCATTGGCCAGAAGTGCAAGTTGACTGGTAGGCCTAATAGACTACTAGTTAGCAGATGGTGAAAATTGGCAGCGAACTGGACACTTGCCTCGAAAGAACACAACAGCATGCCCGTAGCAATATGCTGGATCATCTCATTTGCACCCAAGTTGGGCTTTGAGGCGGCCGCCACCAAGGCACCGAGACTCGCAATCTTGAGTGTGATGGCTTGACTCTGAACGCCATGGCGATGCAGTGACGACAAGGCAAGTAGCGACTTGAGAAGCGCTGTAGCAGACGATGTGTTGCTCGATAGCGCCATGCGCATGAGAATATTACCCAAATGCATATTATTCTGGCCAAAGGTAGGCAAGGACTGGTAAGCGACACATTGGACTTGGAGGTTGTAGTTAGTCTCCAAATGATACCAAGTAACGGACGGGTAAACACACAATACTGTAGCAGATCCGCATCCCCGACTTCCAACGTGGACGGGTTCCATAGTATGGGTATGCGTAGGACTGGCTGGAAATTTCCTGATAAGACGTCTTAGTTGCCTATGCCTGATTTCAAATCGGGAGCAAACATGCGGGTGGCTTACCAGAAGATGACGGCGCTGTCATGTGATAATGCATTTGAATATCCCAAGTAGACATGTGGATGACTTGTGCATGGAAGTTGGAGCGAGTTCCGCTCCATAGCAACGCTTGCTTTGCTACAACAGCGCGCCTACTGTCGCCTGCGATCGGCCATGACAACCGGAGTCCGTAACCTTTGCAGGTCCGCTTCGAACGAGAGCACCGCAGGCAAACAGGAATGGCGCGATCACAGAGGAGTCTACGGTCTGGTAAAAGATGGTTAAGTTGTGATTTTCTTTCAGTGATCGATGGCTACCGCTCGTACCTCTGCATGTTCCACAGCTTCTCTTTGCAGACTTCATCTCCTGGGCTCCGTAAGCTTTGCGTAGGTAGACAATCCTTTCAAACGCAATACGATTTTTGATTTATCTCAATGTATGTACACAAGGACGGGAACGGACGGAGATCATATGCAAGTATGATTGTTAAGCATACATTTGGAAACTAAGCGCGAACTTTCCGTCCGGATGCTAGCGTCCATCGGGTATCGTGGCCTAACTAGCGTGCGTACTTGATCATGCGGACAGGGGTCTGGAGGATTATTTGGGCAACTATGCGCGCGCCTTCATTCTACGTATAATCGCAACCTGCACATGGAATTTGAAACCATTATTTTGGCAAGTTCGCGCGGGCACTGCCTTTGAGTCGCCCCCGTGGATCCTGCTTACTTTGGTCTACTGCACAAGCACCTAAGCCTCAGGGCAAAGACTGCGACAACTATGCGCGGCGCTAGACCTGAATGGTGTCTTCCCAATATGTCCAACCATTATGCGTAATGTGATTTTAGGGCAACCTCGACTATAAAATCCAAGAAGCCCGTCATCTACCTACGTACATCTCAAACAAGTTCTGTCCAGTTCAATATCCTGTCAAAATGCCCTCTTACGTTATCACCGGAGTTGCACGAGGTCTAGGTGTGAGTATTACAATCAAATCACCACTTCATGGTTCCTACAAGTCTAATTGTGCCAAATAGTGGGAGTTCCTAACCCAGACTTCCAGTGACGCGAATAATATCGTCATTGGAATTGTTCGAAACAAGGCGGCAACCGAGAAAAGGGTTGCCGAAGAATTGAGTGGACGGTCCAACATTACCATCTTGGAGGCCGATGTGACCAAGTATGACGCTGTAAAGGTGAGCAACCCAAGGTCCTCCTGAGAGGAATGATCCACTGACACTACTGTTTTTCTAGAAAGCTGCAGCAGATACTGCTACCATTACTGGCGGGAGACTTGACTACCTCATAGCCAATGCGGCTTACCTTTCGGAAGCGGATAACTATACTAGCATCGGCGTCTTGTGAGTCTCTAGTCCATGTCTCTTTGTGGAACGGCATGTCTGACATGGAGAATCTCTACTAGAGGAAAAGAGCCTGAGCAGCTTACGGAAGAGTTCAACAAGTTAATGGGCACCAATGTCCTCGCCAACATCCACCTGTACAACTTGTTCATGCCGCAAATTCTCAACGGAAAGGTCAAGAAGGTAGTTCTTATCTCCAGTGGCATGGGTGACATTGAAATGATGCGCAACTACGACATTGACAATTCTCCGCTATATGCTACGAGCAAGGCGGCCATGAATATGATAACCGCAAAGTTCAGCGCTCAGTACAAGAAAGATGGTGTGCTCTTCTTGAGCATTTGCCCCGGCATGGTTGAAGTGGGCCATTACAACGACAGTATGATGAGACGCCCAGTGCATGTCAAGTCTCGAACCATCTAGCTGACCTTCGCACAGTGACACCAGAGCAGGCGCAGAGTGTGGGACAAATGGTGGAGAAGTTCAAAGCGTATGCGCCAGATTTCAAGGGCCCAGATTTCCCACCCGAGGCCATCAAAGCTGTTTTGTCTGTTGTGGAAAAGAGCAGCGTCGAGAATGGTGATGGTGGCGCTTACCTCTCCCACTTTGGTACCAAACGCTGGATCTGAGCTAGTTGAGACGGTATTTCCTCGAAACTACGTCGTGGGAATGATAAATATCGGATCATAAATTAAATCACTTCGCCCCTGTTTACGTTCCCTATCACCGTATGTACACCGGAACAAGCGCTGAATCTGACGCACATCTCTGATAAGGGTCAGAAGTAGCAGATTGATAAAAGGGCAATATGCATGATTTCCCATTCCAGCCCAGGGGTATATACCTACAACAATCAGGCAGGCCGCACCAGTTCGACGCAGCACTTGTTCCACCTAACCCAGCCCAGCTGACTGTGCGAAGTACATAAAATATCTACTCATAACATCGTAAAGATAGCCATCGCTCAGAGATTTTAATGAAGAAATAAATGCGAAGGGCTCCCATATGCTCGCCTTTTGTGTACGCTAAATTTGAAATAGATGGATAAGGCTCCTGAAGCAACACATACCAAACAAGGTATCTGCAAACACAAAGGCTCGGAGAACAAATGATGAATTAATACATATGCGAAAACAGAAGTTGAAGGGATGCCGAAGCAACAGAGGGTGCACCTAAAAGAAGTTGTGACCACCGTATCCATTGACCCCATTCAAGGGTGGCTGGAGTAGTGTTGGCGGCTGCTGTTGCTGGATAATATTGGCAGGAACATAGTGTGTTTGGTATGGATGTTGCGGCATACTGAAATCCGCTACAAGAAGGGGATTTCCAAAACCCGTCTGCCTTCTCTGTACTGTAATTGGCGCGGGAAGTGTTGCTAGCGGCAGCTGTTGCTGGACTACAATCTGAGGTTGTGGTTGATAAATGAGATTTCCATCTTGATGGTGGCCGTTGACTTGCTGTTGCTGCTGCTGCTGTAGTTGTTGCTGCTGTTGCTGCTGCTGTTGCTGTTCTTGTTGTTGCTGCTGCTCTTGGGCCTGGGGCGTGTCCCAGCCCCACCTCTGCTTGAGTTCGGTATTGACAAAGCCTACTCGCCATCCTGTTTCTTGGCGGATTTTGTCGAAAATTTGTAGGACTTCCTCTTGCTCTCGTCGATCAGTAAGACACTCAGCAGCAATGGCAAGCGACCGAAGAGCTACGCTTGCAACGCCGCGATCTTTGACGTGGGCACTGATACCACAGATGAATTTCGAGTTTTGCTCAAGCATGGCCCACATCTCGGGTTCGCTAGGGCCCTGGATAGGGTTGATCTGTGCCAGCAAGACGACTGAGGTGTGATAGAAGAGCCTCGCTATTATTGAAGCCCTCTTGATCAACCAGACTTCGGGAAAGGCAGATCCAGAAATTGTTTGTCCTGGATACAAGTATGCCATAGGATGCATGGTACGAGGGATGTTCTCGTTCCACCGATCTGTCATCTCTTTCAAACGAAGCCATTCGTTGTGGCGTTCGTGCAATGTTTGTCTAGCGATGTCTTGATTCCGGGGTATTGACGCGCGGAAATTGCATATCTTCGCAACCACGTACAAGATCCGATGTGTCCAGACTTCTTCCTTGCCTGATTCAGTTTCAGGGGTAAAGTCCAACTCAATGCCCCAATCGTCCGGATCCCAAGCAACCTGCCAGTTGAAGTGCAAACAACTGAGGATCTCCATACCGACATTGAGCCAGAAGCATGCCGCGCCGACACCTATCGACCTCGCGTTCCAGCGGCATTCCTTGATCAGAGCACGAGCACCTGCGATGTGATTCATCCGTTGTAAGGCACGCTCACCCATAATTTCGTACACGTTTAGAATGACTGCGGTGGTCGCGCAGAGGATAGTATCTCGGTCAGGGTCCTGCAACGAGTGCAACAAGTCCCGCGTGGCAACATCGTAATAGTGGAGCGCTTTCTCCTCACTGTATTTTGGGTTCACAAGGGCCAGATGCCGTGCACCGCATGCGAGGAAGGCGTGGAGGAGCATAGGCTCATTCAAGGCATGGAATGGTAGTAGGCGCGAAAAGTGCTTGTGTGCGTCCATGCTATCCATCCATATACCAATCTCTTCAACAAAGACTTGCATGTATAGCACCTCCTCCTGGCTCTTGAGATAATCGCGGGTAGGAAGGGGCGCAGGGCTTGCGGAATGCTCCATCGTGTATGATGACGGCGTTGGATTCGAATAGTTGGACGCTACCATGGTCAGCGAGTTTCTAGCGTCTTTGAATAAGTGCGGAAGCAGTGGTATGTATGCAGGCCCTTGAAATGGCCTCGAGATAGCCCGGCAGGGTGTCTTCTCAAAAGCCACACCCAAGACCGTGCCATATATACACTACTAGTTGCACCTTGGTATTGACTTACATGCACGTGCATGCTGCTGCTGCTGCGGGGCTCGCGAGTGATCGAAGTTGTAGTTGTGTTGCGCTTGCGGGTACGGGTCTTGAGCCATGCCCTGCATTGGCGGAAGATGGTGTTGTCGGGTGGATGCTGAAGGAGCGAGTCCCCCTGGTGGACCCATACCGAAGCCGTTACTGCCTAGTGACATTGACTCCAAGTCTTCAATTGGGTACTTCTCCCGTCCGCCCACGTACTCTGCGGCAATGATCCTCGATTCATCCTGGAAGGCGATTTGGTAGTCTGTTCCTTTTGGTATTAGGTACGCGCCCTTCTCACAAGTGGTGTCGAGGAAGTTCAGCTTCTTGCCCCAGTTGCAGTCGCGCTGGGATTTGGAACAATTGTTACAAGTTGGCTTCGTCTCGTCGCACTTGAGATGACGTTCTCTACATGTTAAGCAGCCAGTGCGCGTTCTTTTAGGTTTGCCGTCTGGCGTAGCGTCACTTTCTCTCTTCTTGGATGGCACTGGCCTACTCCCAGGCGAGACATTCTGCGGCGGAGGTGTAACGGTGTCGGCCATGGTGTCGTCCTCTCACGGCATGCACCTTGTTCGCAGACCGTCGCTGTGCTGCCACTCCAGCCGACGTAGGGTAGGCCACGGCCCTATGATAGGGCGCGGAACGAGTTGTCTTTTGTAGTCCTCCACTTTGTCGTATTGAAGCCTAGGTTCTGACGCAGTCGCAGTCGGAAAGCGTGAAGTCCGCCCAGGGTCGCGGGACGATTGCGACGACGGGGCGCGGTAGCGAGTACAAGTGGTACGTGGTGATGCGAGCGTGGGGTATCGTTGGGGGAGTAAGAATAACGGCTATATCGGAGGAGGGCGCAGGCAAATCTCAAGCGTCTCTACCCAAGTGTCAAATGAATCCGAGAAGACCGTGCTACGGCGGTAGGCAGGAAATGCTTGGAGAAGTGAGCAGGCGCCGGCGTACAGACGCGGTGGGACAGGGGATTGTCGTAGAAGTGAAGATGATAGCTATGTCTGGGGCGATAGCTGGTAAAGTACCGGAGCGTGTCGCAAAAAAGCTGGAATATTGAATTATGCCTGAGCGGGCTGGCGCGAATGCAGGCGATGACGAAGGATGGGGATGCTCCGCGATGTGCTGAGATGCTGGATCGTCGTGTCAGAGGGGCAGGAATAGGCGAACCCAAGGACCGAGGCGTCGTGACGTTGACCCGCGCTGCGACCGACTGCAACAATCGACGGAAGACGGAAATCTGCTTCTTGCTGTGGTGGACTGCACCAATGGCTTCCTCCGTTTATCGAGTCGGCAAAGGAGGGGAGTAGAGAGAGGGGGAGAGAGAGCGAGAGGGAGCGCGCGAGAGTGAATGAGAGGCCGAGGGTGTGCTTCAGCAGAGAAGCAAAAGGCCAATGGCATGGGCGCGTTCCGTCCTGGCAATGATATGCACTCGGCGACTGCAGATGGAAACAGACCATTCTTTGTATATCACTTTGTATATCACTGCTGAAGCGGTGCTTTCAAAACGCCACCTGTTGACGGTGCTCAAGTCTCAGAGGAGCCCACCATCTGAGGCCGCCACTGGCAGCCAGGGACGACAACACGCTGCTGAAGCCGAGAAACTCGCAGACAGCATGCCGGGCTGCTGTAGTATCCGTCGCGTCGTGTTAGATAATGCTTGCTGGCATACGCTTTTGGCCCCACTTATCGTAGTCTTGCTCAACCATCTTCTCGCTCCGGGTTGCCCAAACCTTCGACCTCAGCTCACACATGGCCATTGAGCGCCAGACCTCGTCACTCCCACCGGCTCAGCCCAGCTATATCCTCCGTGGCCATGCCTCGCAGATTCACAGCGCCCAGTTTGTGCGGCAGAACAGTCGTCTGCTAACCGGCGATGCTGACGGCTGGGTCGTGTACTGGAAGCTGGAAACCAAACGCGCGCTAGCGGTTTGGAAAGCCCACGATGGAGCAATACTAGGGACTGCAGAGTGGGGGCGCGAGAAGATCATAACGTGAGTATCATCGCTGCAACATCATTTCTTTTACTTCGCTTTGCCATTTATTTGAATGCTCTACGTGCATGCTCGCATATTCCTTTCTTCCCGTACCATCCTGTCTTTGTCGTGTCAAGCCAAGCGTGCATAGTATCACCATCCCAACAGTACTCCAGACAACTAACAGGACTATGCTGCGTATAGCCACGGCCGTGACAACAATCTGAGGATATGGCAGCTACGCGCCGCAGACGAAGACACGTTATCGACTATACTGCCTACAGAACAAGCAACAGAACAACGACCAAAGCCATGGTTATTACATACGCTTCCTGTCAACACTCTAAACTTCTGCGCCTTCTCCATGTGCTACGAGCATAGAAGAAACAGGCAACAGCTAGACAAGGCGAACTTGACAGATGGCTGTGCACCACTAAATCTGTCCAACGAATCCATTCTTACGGCTGTACCAGCCAGAGACGATAAGAAGATTGAAGTATATCGATTCCCCGACGAGAAGCTCAAGTTTATTGTCCCAAGGGCACAGTCGACAGATACAGGTATGTGACTACATTGAGTATATTATATATATATATCAATCGTAAATGTCGCTAACATCGATAGGAATGGTCATGGCCGTGAAGCTCGTATACCATCCGACTTCGAATAGCATTCTAGTACTCGCTGGATACGAAGGAGGTCTCACCGCAGTACATAGGTTGCCCCAAAACCAAAGTGGCTCAGCCATAGAGCTGGCACAACTCGTATACTTGAGCCGACCCCACACCCAGCCTGTCCTATCACTGGATGCTTCACCAGATGCCACCAAGTACTTTACCTCATCTGCTGATGCCATCATCTCTGCACATCGTATACCGGAGCTGACGAATGAGCTTGAGGAACAGGATGATCTTTCGGCATTCGAGCAAGGAAAGATTACTGATGAGGATCAAGCAGCAATTGTTGGCAACGAGCCTGGATCTGAAACACCTTCGCTCGCGCTGCAATCGAACCAGCCGCCTTTATTGGCAGCACACGATGGGCAAGCCCAAGAAGACCCATCCGCACCCTTGAACTTCTCAAAGAAACCAGTTGCCACAGCCTCACAGAGTTCGTCGCTGTCCTTCGCCAAACAGTCCGTTTCCTCCTCTCAAGCGCAACTGTCCAAGCCCGCAGGTCTCTCCTCGCTTCTGTCGCCCACCTCACCACAAGACAAATACAAACCTCCTCCACCGGCTGCACCTACAGTGACCATACAGCCAGCATACAAGACCATTGACACCAAACATGCCGGTCAACAGTCCCTAGTTGTCCGCTCAGACGGTCGACTACTCATGACGGGAGGCTGGGACACTCGCATTCGTATCTACAGCGCCAAGTCGCTAAAGGAGGTCGCACAGCTGAAGTGGCACAAAGAGGGCGTGTACGCAGTAGGGTTTGGCGAGATGCTACAAGTGCAACATCTCACGAGGGAAAAAGAAACGGATGATCAAGCAGAAGAGATTGTGAAGCGAGAAACTGGACTCGGAAAGCTACAACGACAGCGAGAAGAACAAATGCAGCTGAAGCACTGGGTCGTTGCTGGAGCCAAGGACGGCAAGGCCAGTCTTTGGGAAGTCTTCTAGCATGCTCCTATGTGGAATACTTGTCAATCTACTACTACTACAAGTACGTCACGCTTGTTTTCATGGGCGCTCAATTCTTGAAATGGAGAGATCGTCAGTCCACAACATGATTTGACTGCTTTTTATGGCGGCAGGATTTGCCGAGTCATGTCGATCAATGCAGATAGGCGTATGCAGCGTTACGCTTACATGCAGCACGAAGGATCGTGGCTTATCTACCCCAGTCGTAGTGGAACCGACAAGGTATGATGAATGAGGACACTGATAGCCTGCGGCGAAGATGGTGAATAAACAAAATGTGCAAAAGGCTGAGCGCACATATAGCATCATTGCAGTGTATTCCAGGATATCATTTCAATACATGTACATAAGTACAAGCTCAGGCTAGCACATGACTACCAGATGCCTAGAGTCTTGCCATACTCCCTCGCTTCCTCCTCGCTTTAGCTTTACTCTTCGCATCGCCCACATCTGCCTTGTCCAGCTTACTCGCCACAAATACAGCATCTTCCCACAACTCGTTACCAACTTTATCCGCCAATTCCAGCACCCTCGTCTGAACCGTCGCTCCATCTCTTCTATTCTTCCCCTCCCTTCGACTCGAACTAATTCGCTCCGCAAACCGCCATAGAGGTCCCTCGGCTATTATACCTTTCGTCCCTCGTTGCGGCACCCACTCCTCCGCCAACCTAATTGTGGCAGGAGTGTTCTTGTCTTTGGACTTGGTGACGATGATCATGCCCTCCTCTTCGAATCCTGTATACGCATTCTTCAACGTCTCTTTATTCACAGCTTCAAAGTAACTGAGATCGCCCTGATGATATAGTGTTTTTCCGAAGAGCTGTGCGCGGTCTTGCACTTGCTTCAGCCCGAGCCAGTTCTCCGCACCGCCGAGGGTGCGTGTGAGGGGCGGCGTCAGCATCATGAGTGACATTGCGCCGAGCCATGCGGCTTCGATGAACGGCCAGATGAGGAAGCAGTAAAAGTCGAAGTTTTCTCTCCCTGTTTCTCTCTCCGCATCTGACAACTCCACATATTCCACTCTCTCCAGACCTTCTTCGTTCTTTACTCGATGGACCTTTATAACGTTATCCGCTTCCAACCCCTCAACTGTCTTGGCAAGATTATGATCTAGGCCTTCTGTCGGGAAAATGAATTCACCGCGGAAGAGCTGGGAGAGGAAATGCACTTGCGCGTGCAAATCGGTGTACGACATACGTTGATACTCGGGTCCGCCGCCTTGCTTGACATGCGTATATAGGGCCGCGCTCACAAGGGATTGAAGGATGAAGAGGTGAATGGTCATGTTGCGGTAGAAGGAAAGTTGGAATCTGCATTGGTGTTAGCCAGCCCATGAGAAAAAACAATGAGGTGCAGAGAGTTTACCGGTCGACGGCGTAGAACGTGTCCTCGGGCAAGCCAGGCACAAGTCCAACCAGTCCAGGACCTAGCACTTCCAGCGCTCGATCTACGACGACACTGGTAGGTAGGTTGCCAAAATGGGCGACTCTACCGCCCTGTGCTCTTACGCGGTCGCTGAGCCACTCTACTCTCCTAATGAGCTCTGCTTTGCCAACACCTCTTCCTCTTAGCGTAAGCAGTACTGTGCCGACAAGAGCGGTTGGCATTACCACCGACACATCGTTGATCTCTGATAGCACTTTGTAACCTAGCGTTCGTAGTAATCGTACGCGGTCTTCCTTCGTATCTAGCTGTTGCGGAAGTTTGCTGAAGCGCGATCGCTGTTGATCGATGAATGTGCGCAATGACCATGGTTCGTGGAAGCGGACGTCTACTCGACCCAACTTGAGCGATAGAACCGAGGAAGCGGACAGAAAATCCACGAGGTTCTCCTTTGGCTTCGGTTGGCCGAGGAGTTCGCTGATGTATGAGCTGTCTAATGTCAGCCTCCAAATGTAATAGAAACTTAAGCAAGAGTGCATACTCGACTTCAATAACCTTGTCATACTGCGTGCTCACTGGACAAATAATGGCATCTTCTACCCTCCCGCTGGCAACGCTATCCAGCATGTAGCTCAATATTCCAAATTTCGGCGGCAGCAGCTTGCCCGTACGACTCCTACCCCCCTCGACAAAGCATTCCAAATTATAACCACACTGCAGCAAGGTATCGATATATGCCTGCACCAGCGTAACATATAGCTGGTCTTCTCCAAAGCTCCTCCGTATCCACATAGCGCCCGCATGCTGCAAGAAGGAGCCCACCACAGGGAAATTGAGGTTATCGCCTGCGATGACGGTAGGGAGGGCAAGGCCGAGCCGGTAGCAGATGATTTGGAGGGAGACGTAGTCGACGTGTGAGCGATGGCATGGCAGGAAGATGATGGAATGTTTGTCCTTTGCAGCCTTTTCGGCAACAGCGCGTAGACGCAGGACTTCCTCGCTAGAGACGTGTACGCCTTGGTGGTATGCTCTTGTCAGGAGCTGTGTAGCCAAATAGTATGCGCCGCGTATGAAGCCTTTGCTCTCCATCTTGCATATCATGCCATCCGTCCATGTCTCGCTGACTTCCATCAGCGACTCCTCGATTTGTACTCTTCTCTTCAGCTTCCTGTCCTGCTCGCCCACACCTCCACTCCCATTCTGCGCTTCCTCTCCCAGTAGCCCTTCTTTCGCTTCAACTTCTACTCTCTTCGTCGCAAGCTCTCGCACCTTAGCGACAAGCATTGGACTACTCAGCACCCGCCCCTTCATGTCTTCGCTAAAACCCGAGTAGAACTCGGGCTGCCCAATGTGATCATCAAACGACCGCCATCCTGAGCCCGAGAAGTGTAGCGAGACTTCGCGTATGAAGTCGAGGGGCGAAGACCGGAAGCGCGCCATGCTTTGAATGAGACCGCGTTCTGGGGACTCATTGTAACCGGCCGCATGCAGGTACACTTGGTCGTCGGCAGTTATGCTGAGGTCTGGCGCCTGTTCAGGCGACGAAGAGGGCGACGACGAGCGCTTGCGGTTCTTATTCGAGGACGCCATATCGGGCTGCAGACGTCTTACAGCCGCAACGGTCAGGGATCTCGCATTCGGGTCGCAAAGGTACGGTCGAAGGCGAAGGTTTTATGGGCTGGAGGTCTAGAGGCGCATCAATTGCCCAGTTCAATCTGTCAAGTCACCCGCGTATGATTATCTCTTGCATGGAGGAAGACGACAGCGTCGTACAGCAAGCCGTTTGGAGTGTTTTGTCCAAGTAGGGAATCCCAGCTCTGAAGAACGACCCACTTCCCCGGCTCGTCACCCGTCACATGCCTCGGCTTGTGGGGAAGTCGGGGACCACCGCCACGGACAGGGGCCTAAACTCACGAAGATACTAAAACCAACAGAGCAATTGCATTGAATGCGCGATGGGAGAGTCACTTGAGTACATGGTTCTTGAGAATATGTCTGATATAGGCAACACGCCCATCAGGTAAACATGTATTTCAGCACTGCTACTATCTTTATCATCATGTGTCTTTGACAAGTCTATCTCCCTCATCCCCACTCTCACTCTCTGTCTCATATTCGCTCTCTTCCTCTTCTGTTTCTCCCTCTTCTTCGTCTTCATCATCTTCCTCCTCATCCGTCTCCTCACTCCCGCTCTCCTCTGCCAACCAGTCATCAAGCGTCTTCTCTTTCTGCTTCTCCTTACTAACACCTGCACCAATACCCGAATGTCCACCCATGCCGTTCAAACTGCGGGGAGATAGCATACTGTCAGGTGTCATCCTGCTACTACCCCCCGCCGCAGCATCCAGCCTCTCGGCCGCAGACATGTTCTTAGCAGCCTCATACGTCGAAACATATGTCGACGAAGCCGTCGAATTAGTCTGATCTCTCAATGCTGGATCTGGTTCGTGGCCATCCTTGACCCACCTTGGAAGGTCCTCATATCCCTTTAAACCGCCAACGCCGCCTTCATCGCCAATGACAAGGCTCGCGCTACCGAGGACGTAGTCTTTTCGAGTTTCACTAGGGCTAGGAGTGTGTGGAACGGGTTTTGGTGCAAGTAAAAGGAGGGATGCGAGTTGCGTGGAGGTCGGTGTTGCGAGTAGGGCCTTGTAGACGCGTGCGCGATCGCGGAGGTCGTAGGACGTGTCGTACCGAACCAAAAGAAGAACGTAGTTATACAATGCTTCAATTATGTGGGGCTTTTCTTGCTGTTGAGACTCCATGGCTTGCGGAGGTGACTCAAGGTGTTCATCTCTGAAACCTCCTTCTTCCTGGTAGTCATCAAGGAGTGACGGGCTCGGTTTCGGCTCTTCTACCTTAGGCAGCTCTGGTGGCGGGTTTGCGTTCAGATGGTGTACGTAGACCTTTGCTGCCAACAGTACGATCTGAAGCTTTGCAGGCTCGGCTTCGTCGGCAAAGCCCTTCACTAAGATACGGAGGACGTCCGCGGCCATGTTGTTTTCCGGATCAATACCGGCAAACTCGCCTACTAGCCATATTATGCTCGCGCGTGCTTGTGGGCTTGTGGCTGCGTCTAGGTGCTTCGCTAATCGGACTACAGTTGTACGATGGGCATTTGGATCGCGCTGAATAAGGTGTCGAATTACTTCGAGAGACTCGGCTACAAGATGGGTGTCCGCTGAACCGATGTGCTTCAGTAGCAGCTTTAAGCACCTCGCTGAGGTCTGGGGGCTTGTGGCAGGGCTTTGCGAACAGCGTCCGATCGCTCGCACTGATTCCTTGACCAACGCCGGGTCCAGACTACCAGAATGTGAGAAATGGCTGAGCTCGGCCAAGATCAGACTTTGTAGCCTTGGTTGAGCATGAGGAAATATTAAGGTGAGTAGCTCTAGCTTCAGCCGCCATATGTGTGGAGCGTCCGTTGATCGTACCAAGAAGTGCGTATAATATTTGACGAATGCTTCCGGGTGTGCCAGGCAGACTTGAACGATGTTGTATAGCGCAATATGTTGAATGCCTCCAGCGGATCGCAGAAGCGATATTAGAGGACCTATAGCCTGGGAGAGATAGTCCAGGGTGCCTAGATAAAGATATGTCCGTGCTACCGCTATCACCACGGCCGCATTCCGAGATTGAAGAAGCGATTGGCAGCTCTTCAATAGCAACTCGAGATCCGGATCTAATACCACAATTTCCTCCATGTCTTGCTCTTGTTCCTCTTCTGACTCGCTTTCCGACTCGTAGAATCCCTTTGTGCTCTTGATCGGCTTTGCGTTCGTATAGGTGCTACTCGCAGCTTTTTTGACCTTCCTCGTCCGTCGCGGAAAGCATTTCCGAGCATATACCACCATAAGCCGTAAAGTAGCCAGTTGTCCCCACTCATCCATGTCAACCAGCTTGGGCACCAATGAACGATAGTGCGGGTGAATCAAGTCCAGGCGATCCGGACACAGCTCCAAGAACGAAGCTACCGCTGCTCCAGTTACGAAGTATTGCTTGTCTCCCAGCAACGTCGACAGATACTCCAGCAATTGCGGCTCTGTATTCGGATCCAGCCTATAGCATTTCGGGATAGCCAGCGCTGCTGCCCTCCTCACATATGGTGACATGTCCCCTGCTCCGCGCTTAATGCCCAAGCTTACGATTTGACTGATTACAGGGACTCTTATGCTGGACATGACCCGTAACGCAAGTGCGCGGAGCTGAGGATTCGTATCCGTGAGTGACTTTTGAATCGTATTAATCGAAAGGAGGGCGGTATCGGGTTCATGTTCGGCGTGCTGAAGGAGGTATATGTACACGAGCTTCTTGACCGGGAGAGACGGTGACGCGACGTTCTTGATGACGTGAGAGAAGAAGGGGAGGGTTTGCGAGGGCGGTTGTCGATAGGACATCTAGATGCTCTATAGTCAGTCACTAGACGTCCAACTCCAATGTGTCTCTGCTGGACATTGAGACATGATAGTGGGGTAGCTCCTACAGTGATGACTCTCCGTAGTCCCTCCAAGACATCGCGCTCCGACCTGCTATCCAGTAGCTTCTTGAGCTGACCCGACGGCAGTTCTTTTGTCGACGTGCGGCGGACTTGGCTGGCATCGCGGGCGGCTTCGAGGGTAAGGTCGCGAGCTGTAGAAAGAGACCAGTGAGCGAAGTTCGACGGATGCATAATGTCCACCGCTACATGGATTACTTGCTTCAAGCTTCCCTACAGTTGAAGCAAATAGTACATAGGGCAGGAAGCAAACTCTGCGCAAAGGAGTGGGCACGGTAGCCTACCTGTCTCTAACAAGCTCGAAATGCGACTGATAGACTCCATGGCCGCGGACCCGCTCGAGCAACGCTTCAGTCCGCAGCGTGCGCACACGTCCGAATGGCTTCGGCTTTGCTTGACCAATCTCGACTATGCAGAGTTGGGCCAGGGATTCGGGGCGAGCAGGTTCTGGCTTCGTTGAAGTGTGTGGATTGTGCCAGGCGTGCATGCGCTTGGGCACTTTAACAATGTAGCATGGTGGGGGACGGAACGCGGAGACGGAGCCCTCGCCGAATGGCCTGTGTAGATATCCGAACCACCACCATTACAGCTGCCGTGCCGACCAACCTACCGACAGCAGATTGAACACACACACACACACACGCACATGGCGGTTGAGACCTTTCTACTCTGGTCGCGTTTGTAGCATGTCTCTCGCGCCGACTGTACTCTACCCGCTAACGCTGCCTGAACTACTAAACTACATCCTCACAAGTCAGTCTAACGTAGCTCCTACGATACTCGTCATATGCTCCAGTCGGGATGCCTTTGTCCAAGACCTTTCGGCTGCACTACGGGTAGAGCACGGCGAGGATGCTGCAGGCGGGTTAGAACAGCTGGTCACGCCTACGCTTCACAACCTGTTCACTGCACGACTTGTCAAACTTGCCTTTTGTGCGTCCGTGCAAGCATTGCTAGCCTACCTGACTGCATATGGCGGGTCTGGATCTAAGCCTGATGGTGTTCTCGGGAGAAAGGAAAGGCTGGTGCTGGTGAATCCACTCGCTCTGCATGCACCAACCCCATCATTCTCCGCCCAGGGACTATCAAGGACCTTTGCAGCAGCGGCAGAGACTGCATTAAAGACCGATGCTGTGCTCCACGTTGTCGAATGCCAAGGGAAACAGAGAGCTGCTGAGGAGCACGAGGAGCACGAGGAAGAAGGTACCGGGATATTCAACGAGGACGAGGAATGCCACGCCAAGGTCGGGGAGGACGACCCATGGGAACAGCAGGTGTCAGTTCTAAACGTGTCGGCCCGGAGGTTTGGATCCGACGCGGGCGGGAAAGCTTGGGTGGGTCGGACTGTCAGGGCGAAGAGGATTGCCGGAAGATGGTTCCATTTTCACATGCTTGAAGACTACCAAAAATCTGAGAGTCGGCAGTGATTGGGCCATGGGTGCAACGGAGGGCATGTATGAAGAGGGTTCGAACGTTCGAACGCTTCGATTTGACTATGCTACGGACACCCATATCGAAGTGGACACAAGTCAACAGTTTCAGTTCATCGAATCGTCAGCCATGGCATCGTAATTTTGGCAGAAGCCGCTGCTCTCTGGATATTCACCACCTCGAGCCAAGATGGAACCACTGTGGAATCCGACCATATCACAAACATAACCTTTTTAAGCTCCAACTCGTCGAGTGCTCATTTCCAGTCCTTCTTGATATCGAAAGACCACTTGAATTGCAGATGCGTCTGGTTGTCATCGTCGACGAACTTGGAGACGGCCGTATAGTGGCCGCGGCCGAGCATGCCAGAAGGAGCGGTCTCAGGCTCGACTGCAAGATGTGTCAGCGGGTGGGTGGGGGATAAGGTTGGGCAAAGTTCGTACACTTCTTTTCGTAGAAGGGCTTCTCTTCAGTGCTGGGACCGTATGAGCCCTGCGAGCATTGTCAGCACTTGCAGCCAGATTATCGAGTGTGCATAGGATACCTACCATCATCTCCTGTAGCTTGTCGCTCACTCCCAGGCGCGTAACCTTCTGAAGGTACTTCAAACCTGCCAAAATCTCGTGCTGGACCTTGAACTGGGCCTTCATGCGGAAGCTAGCACCCTCCTTGATTGTAAAGGGCTTGTCGTTGAGAGCTTCGAGAGCACCGGGTGACCGCAAATCGATGATAATGTCGGGACGGCCTTCGACTTCCAGGCCGAGAGAGAGGATGATACATTTGCGAGGGTCGGCAGGGTCAGAGATGTCCTTGCCCTGACCGAGGCCGAGGGAGGCTTTCCACTTCTGGAGGGACTCGTCGTTCTGGTCTGTTGTGTGATGAGCGGTTAGTACTTGTCTGACATGAATTGATTGCTCTGGGTAGTGGGCAGAAGAAGCCACGCACCTAGCTTCTGGTACTCGTCGATGGTCTTCTTCTCGCCGACCTTGAAGCCCTCGGTCTGTTCAGCGTGCAGGTCGTCATGGTCGGCCATGGTCGCGTCTGTAGGTGACTGGGAAGCAGAGAATGGAGAAATGGGGGACTGTGGGGAAGGGGGAATAAGAAGGGTCAAAAGTGAGGACGAGGAAAGAACAGCGGCTTCGTCTTGAACCTCAACGTTTGGCGGGGCACATTCACCGCATCAACTAGCTCATTATAGCCTACTGGCCAGGTTCCTGGCGGGGCCTGCCGCGGCCGACGGACTATGTGTGGACCCTTTGATACCTTTTGTCTGGCCAATTTCCAGACTGTTGCTACAGCACATATGTTTAATAGTGCAATAATGCCTTTGTCCTATCAATTTACGACGTGGAACCTCTCACCACCATCCATATCTATCGAGCTTTGACCCAGCCCCGCGTGTTCCCTCCTGATCTTGATTTCTGCCCAACACCCCTGTGAGATGAGATGAGAAGACCTTGACTTGATACTCTCCAGCTCCTCCAGCTCAAGCTGCAACGACCAGCGCAGTGTGTGTGTGTGTGTGTGTGTGTGTGTGTGTGTGTGTGTGTGACGTGTTTAGCGCCCTAGACGGGCGCATAAATGTCTGCTCGCAAGGCCTGGGCGCCATGATCTACAAGTGGCCTCCTATACGAGTGAAGTAAAGTAAAGTAAAGTAAAGTAAGATATTTCACCTGGTCCAGGACCATTCATGGTGCCAGCCATTCACAATGGTAACAAAGCATGTAAATACAACTCATCAACAGGAGGAACTGTTGGTGAGAAGCGCGGCGCGCTGCATGAGCGGGAACGCGCGACTTGCCATGGCGCCATATCCCGATTCATTCGTGTCGCATCCAAACAAAGACGACGCTTCTTCGGGCGCTGTTGTATTACCAGTTCACCCTCCCCCATGGCCAATCGGTACCTGAAGAATGCACTGAAAAGGGTCTCGCCAGCACGGTTTGGGTTCGCGAAGAGGCATGGTGGCATGGTGGTCTGGGGAAGGGCTGGTTAGCCACAACGCCCAGCCATTTAGTGCACAGGGATAGGAGCGACACACCATCGCGCTCCTCCTCTCTCGGTCTTTCGTCGCTTTGAATCGCCATCCATCTCGTCGCAACGCGCGCTCTGCCCGTACCGTCGCCCAAGTCACTTGCAGCTCAGTCACCGCCTGAAGCTTGCTCGTGTTGCGCCTTCCATTCTCTTACGCCAGCACATCTTCGTCTCAGCGGTTGCGCGCCTTGTTATACGTCGTCTACTTGCCTCGACAGTACAAAGGAAACCCCTGCGCGCCGTCCTTCACACCTACCTATACATATTGTAATATCATTCATACTTTGCAAACATGGTCTCCAAGCGCGGTTTGCCAGAGAGGAAAAATCCTCTTCTGGAGCCCACCGAGTCCACGGCCAGTACGTATCGCACCACACCCGCAGCGCATCGCGCATCATCAGGGATCCCTCACTCTAACCATGATGCGCAGCTGAGATACTTGTCGAGAGGCGCCGACTAGGACAAACCAATCTGGGCACGAAGCCCGGCGTCACCGGTGTCACAAACGCGACAAAGGTGGAAAATATAGGCATCTTGGACTACGCGCATCTGAGGGTCCCGCTCCCCAAGGACCTGACTGGAACCGGCATCTTCAATATGAACACGACTTCGGCTTACCCAGAGTCATACTTCTTGATGGTACGGCGATGAAAATCTTTCGCCATTGGCGCAACCGGACTGACAAGACGTACAGCGCCGCAGCAGTGATGGATACATCAGCGCAACGGGAATGTTCAAGGCCGCGTTTCCGTGGGCTTCTTTGGCAGAGGAGGAAGAGGAACGGAAGTACCAAAAGACCTTTCCCTCAGCCGGCCCAGACGAGGTGGCTGGGAGTGTTTGGATCGCGCCAGAAGAGGGTGAGTAATTGTCTCGGATAGCTAATTTGCATCGCTGACACGTGCCCACTACAGCGCTCACACTGTCTGATGAATACTCAATGCGCCACTGGATTGAGGCCCTGCTCGACCCCGCACCGATTGAGAAGGGCAACAAGGACAAAACAAAGTCTCAACACATTCGCATGCCTCCCAAATTCGACGTTGAGAACGCAACACCAGCCCTACTGCCGCCTCACTCAGCCATTCGCTCAGCTCGCGCACGATCAACGCGTTCTGCCTCTCCAAGCAAGCTTGCCACTCCTAGCCGCAAGATGGCGACCCCGCGAAAGGCACGAACAACGCGCAACGCAACCAAATCAGACACAACCAAGGCCGAGGAGATTTTCGGTGCGTCCAAGGTGGTTACTCCGTCAAGCGCGCTGCAAAACTTCATCGCGAACGGCGCGACACCATCCGAGTCGCTTGCATCTGAATCGCTCAATGGCGATGCCAAGGAGGCGGATGCGAAAGCAGAAGAGGTCAAGGAAGGAACCGTACGCATCGAGGTGCAAGAGACGGTCGAGACACATGGCAACGTCGAGACGACCACCACCAATGTCAAGATCGACGTGCCGCATAATCATGCCGAGCTTCCAGAACCCGAAGACCCTGCGAGGATGATTGAGGAAGCGAAGCGCATGGTAGAAGAGGCACAGAAGTTAGAAGCCGGGTCATCGTCTGACGTGATCAAGGTCTCCAAGCGCAAGGTCGAGGAGGTCATTGACGAGGCGGAGCTGGCAGGAGAGCGCGCGTCAAAGGCAGCAAAGGTCGCATACACGACTGAGCAAAAGTTGACAAAGGAAAAGGTTACACGGCGCGCACTCGTCGGACTAGGTGTCATGGCTGCTATTGGGTATGTCTCCACCTCTTTTGTAGTACGAAACACGCCAAGCTAACTCAACCACAGCACCGCCTTCCAGTACTTCGTATAGCCAGGCCTCCTTGCCTAGGCCTTCCTTTACTTGCTGTATGTGCTTTGGTACGTTTTGGGTTCTTGGAGGACGTACCTTCGTGCCTACATGTTCTTGCCCTTCTTCCCTTCTATTTGTCGCAGATACCACACCACATTTTCCGATCTTTTGTTCATCTGGCGCACGGATCTCTACGCTATCGCACGAAAAGAAGGAGGCTCTTGGGAGGAGGGATTGGTATGGAGCGGCACACATTCGTTCTGCAGCCTGGACAGTCTTGGTCAATGTGTGGTGAAGTAGCGTAGTTTAATCTGATATCCCCTTTTCCTTCACATCAGACGACGCGTCCCGTGGCAGTCAGTCTTCACACCATCAGGAGGGAATCGTTAATCAGATAAGGAAGCTTTAAAACATAATACTATCTATATGCAAAACTATCCCCACCCCTTCTAAACAACATGGAGCTATCAACATGACAATATATCACCCACTCACTCAATTTCTCAACTCCCTACTTCCCCCATTAGCAAGCTCCCCCACCTTCTTAACCGCCTCCTCAAAATCATCAAACGCATGAATAGGCAACTTGGCCTCGCCCAACACCTTTTGTCCCAACTCCTCATTCGTGCCCCTGAGCCGCACAACCACCGGCTTATCCACACCCACCTCCTTGAACGCCATTATAATACCCTCAGCAATCATATCACACAGCGTCAGCCCACCGAAAATGTTCACGAAGACGACGGAGACCCGCGGGTCAGAGAGTATCAGTTTAAACGACGTCTTGATGGTAGCGGACGTAGCTTTGCCGCCCGTGTCGAGGAAATTGGCTGCTGTAGTAGAGAAGGGAGGGGAAGAGAGGCGCGTGTGTAGCACGTCGTTTGTGTTCAATGCTAGGCCCGCGCCATTTACGAGGGTGCCTACTAGGTTTCTGGGTTCCTCGGCGGCGGAAGAAGGGGGCGTTTGGGTTTCTTTCTGCGTGGTGCCGTTGGAGAAGGTTGGCGAGGCGAGGGGGATGTAGACGATGCCTGCTTGCTCGGCTTCTGCGTCTGTGGCTGAGATGCTGGTTTTGTCGCGCAGCTCATGGAGGTCGGCTTGTCGTTTGTTCGACTTGAAAGCTGCGTCGTCGAAGAAGAGGAACGGGTTGTAGACTTGAATCTCATCTTGGCTCTCAGAAACTGCTAACGAGACATGAGCGTCAATAGCCTCCTTCTCGCGGTACAACTTCCAGAGATTTTGTATCAGCTCTGCTGTCTGTGCTTTGGCTTTTGGTGGAGCGGCATCAAGCTGCATGTGGGCGATAGCGTTGTTGATGACCTCAGGGGTGGGACCTTGCTGGTAGTCAAAAGGAAACCTCTTGACTCGTTGATGTAAGTGATCCGGGTTGGCTGTTGGAGCGGCGATGATGGAGGGAGAGCGAGCAGCTCGGGCTGGCGAGATGCCCACATAGTGACTTGATGGCGCACTTTCAGGGGCCGATGTCAAGTTGATGTTATATGATTTCAGAAGGTCAGAGGACTGATCTGCTGTGAGGTGGAGAGATCGCCTTTGCTGGATAGGTTGGGAAGCAATTGGAGTTGCAAAAGGTCGGCGTAACGAGTGTAACGAGTGATATGAGCGGCGCTGCTGTGCTTGAGCTGCCGATTGTTCCTAGGGAATTCTGTCAGAAATTCCGGAAAGAAAAGTATAGAACGGAGACTTGCAATCTTCTTAACGTTGCGACCTGATTTCGCAAGGAGGTCCTTCATAACACCACCAAACTTCGCTGGATGGTCCACCATAGTCACACCAGCGCTTTCTAGCGCCCTATACTTCGACTCTGATGTTCCTTCTCCTAAGCCTGTCCATGCGCCTGCGTGTCCCATGACTTTGCCTGGAGGTGCTTGGAAACCTCCAATAACGGCAGCAATGGGTTTCGGGTTCTTGACACGCCTGTTGTAGTCTTTGATCCAGTCTGCAGCCTCCTCCTCGGTCGTACCACCAAGTTCACCCACAATGATGATCGCTTCTGTATCCTCGTCTTGCTCGAAGACCTTCAGTGCGTCTACGAAGTTGGTGCCGGCAATGACATCGCCGCCCACACCAATACATAGACTTTGTCCGACACCAGCTCTTGTCAAAGATCCTACAGTCTCGTATGAAAGGGTGCCTGACTTCGCTACGATACCAATGTGACCGGGAGAAAAGGTCGGCAAAGGCTGGAATCCGATTCTACACCGGCCAATCGCTGAGATAATTCCTGGAGCATTAGCACCAACGAGTCGCGACTTCGATTGGGTCTGAAGCATGGAGTGTATCTGATTTCATCAGCAACATCGCGTAAGTTTAGTTCATCTACATACCCTCATGATATCATGCAGCGGAATATGCTCTGCGACCGCCACAATAAGGGGCACCTCCGCTTCGATTGCCTCCTCAATAGCTGCGGTGGCCTGATGGGCCGCAACATAGATGCCAGTCGCATCAGGCTTCAATTGTTCCATTGCCGCCCTAACTGACGGCAAGACGGGCTTCCCGAGATGCTCGCCTGACCCATTGGGCTTCACGCCGCCAACAACATTGGTTCCCCATTCCATAGACTCTTTTGCATTGGCGGTGGCTAGTTTTCCAGTAAAGCCCTGGAAGATGACGCGGGTGTGGGTGCCGATCTTGAGATTCTGGATCGTGTCATCGTAGCCATTGCGTCTCGTCGTGGTGGAAAAAGTGGCTTGAGGTATGCGGAAATGAGCACTCTGGTATTTGAAAGCCTTGCTAGCGAGACAACGCGTATGTTGAGGAAGCATGATGGAAGTAAAATGCTCTTGACTCTAGATGAGATATGTCATGGGGTAGACACCGAGAAATAACCATGTATGCGTGTTGCTCACACACTGGCAAGCTCACAATTGCGACCTGTTAAGTCAATAGAGCTTCTGCTATGCGCTTCTATCCTCTATAAAGTCTATACAGGCTGAGAAGTTTGAGGAATGGGAGTACTCTTGTGTGCTGTCGAACATAGCTGTAAATACCCGACTTGCACCACGGCTACTTGCAAGTAACCGAATCTACCCCTCAAGTGCGATCCTCGGGAGAGTCCGCCATATGCAGGGTCCCAAAGCATCCTCTTTGTGAAGTAGCCATGTGTTCGCAGTCTTCGTGCGTTGACGATTGACAGCGAGAAGGTAGCTTCGTCAAACACATGTGTTCTGTAGACGAAGATGGGCTATTGAAGAGGAATATGCGACTGACTCGTACACATTTCGGGATACCCAGTTTGATGACTTCAACACCTTCTCTTATCCATTTCCAAGGTCCAGCTTGTCCAATGTATAGGGAAAAGCTTAAACTATACTCGAGCAACGTTGTGACAATAGAAACTGAGCTCTAAAAATGTGAATATGTGTCGGTGGCACTTCCGGTTACGGTCGGCGTTTCCCTTCACGGTCGGCCCACTCCCATCTGTTGACCTTCAGGAACGCGCAACTGCACGCAAGCAAATCTTCGATGCTGTTCCCACAAAGCCGCTCAAAGTAGCAACAGCTCCACCAGAGTCTCTAATTTTGTCTCAGGGGGCTTGAGCGTGGATTCTAGATGCAGGCGGAGAATTATCGAAAACAGTGGACCGTTCCAAAAAGGCCTCGATTTGACGTTGTTGTTCCCTGAGACGGGGATGACGCGCGCCTTCCCCACAGTATTCGCTGCAGGGGAATCGCAGCACCCACAGCGTTGCACTGTCTCGTGTCTTTGCTACAAACATAGCATTCAACTCGGGTAGCCCCTTGCATGCACATTTATACCTGAGGCATTCTGCTCAAATCCCTCAGCTGCCTTCGCTCGCTGATACCACACCGATCATACCCTCTTATTGGACCCCGCGTTCCCTGATATCCAAGACAAAAGACAGACGCTTACCCCGCAAAACGAGCCGCCCCAAACACACGACCTAGTTGTAACATGGCATCAATGAACAAGACACCCAGCGAGGAAGGTATTTGACCCCTTTAGCCCGCACCGTTTCTCGCCCCAGATTCAATTGCTGACAAGTTGCCATGTAGAAATCGCATCAACCCTCACCCATCTCAAAATCTCCACAAAATTCCCAGAGAAACCCGCCCACAAGCCGAAATCCAAACCCGTAGCTGACAGCTGGGACGAGGAACCCTCAGGCTCAGATACAGAGACAGAAGAAGCACCAAAAGCTTCGTCAGCATCGGCCCATGGCCCACTAGAGCCTTTATCCGCCGTCGCATCACTCGACTTCCCACCCAATCCGCCGCCTCCCACGCCGGCTTCTCCTCCATCCTTTGACTTTCCAGACAACGCACCATTTAATGCAAGGGGTCGAGGAGATAGCGGTGTAGGCAGGAGCTTGGACAGGAGACCAGATAAGACGACTGCTGTTGCAGGACGACTAATTGCTGGAGCGTTGGGCGTGAGAGCGCCGAAAAGGACGGACGAGGAGAGGGAGTATGATCGCGTAACAAAGGAAAAGGAGCGCAAGAGGAGGGCAGAAGAGAAGGAACGGGAGAGTAGGGAAGCTGAGGAGAGGGAGGCGAGGAAAAAGGCTATCTGGGATGCATAGAGGATTCACTTGAGGTTACAGTGCTGTCTCTGACTTTCTAAAATGTAAATATAGCTTGCGAAAATGTACAATTCAAAATGCCAAAGAGCGAAGTTCAAGATCCATTATAACGTCTTGCATAGCGACGCTACCAAAATGCTCTGTTATGAGAGATTAGGAATTCATAGATATCTCAACTTAAGCTCAAAGTCCCGAGACGAGAGTGGCGGGCATCCACTCGTCTCTTGGCAGGCCTAATACCTTGACGGTTCTGTCTTGAAAGTAGTAGGGCATTCGGCCAGTCCGCTGTTACTAGATGATGATTAGACATGTCAAGACTTTATGGGCAGCGTATTGAGTAAAATGCAGATGAAATTTGATCCTCTTCACATTGGCGTGTCCCCAGAAAGTATAGGAAACCAAGAACTGCATCGCTCGAAGCGAGCCCAAGTACCCATAGACGCCAAAAACCGTGATATTCATCTCGTTAATCGAGGAACCTCCTCTTGTCCACCTTCGCCGGCGCTAAAGCAATCCGTTGTTCTCGTCATCTCGCCAAGCCGAGTAGTGAAGGGTGTAAAAGCTGCGCGCTGTGAACACCTGATGCTGGGAGCAGTCGCAGTGAGAGACAGCTCGAAGTTTTCACTTCGCAAGGTGATTAGCAGCCGCCGATCTGCTCTTGGTGCACTTCAAGAGTATCGCCATCTTGCATGTCGAGCTACACAATGTTAGTCTTGTTTGAAAGAGATGGCGTAGTATTTGCAAGGCCTGCGCTCGAGGCTGCCGCTGCTGCTACGTACCAAATCTGGGTTGTCTTGTGCCGTTACACGCTGTCCATCGAACAGGAACCGCACACTCGAAATGTTTTTGCCCTGACGATCACAGAAAGCATTCATGAGCTTTCCGAGCGCCGTCGTTCGCTTGATCTTGAAGAACACTTCGTTGTTGTTGTCGGTAACCTTGATGTTCAAGTGTTCGCTCTGGCCGCCGTCCTCGGGCTTCTGCGCGACGTTCGGTGATCCGTTGTCAGACATTTTTGGTTGTGCGTAGTGGGTTGCGTGGAAGATGGAGATGTCGATAGCGGTAGAGGCTGCTTGGAGTTGTCAGTCGATTGCCGAAGACGGTAGAATGGTGGCGAGCGGAACAGAGGGCTGGTTTGATATGTTGCGGAGGTATAAGTACCTTAAAGCCGATAGATGGGTTGCGAAGTATTGTGTAGGGGTAAAACTCTCGCAAGGTCGCGCAGACGTTGGGCTTCGTATACAAGTCGGTGGCGGGCGCGTGAAAGGTGAACGGGAAGGAAAGTCGCAAGAGGTGAGGTGGGAGCACTGGAGAATAGTGGGGTCTCAAAAGCATTGGCCAGTTCGAGCCAACCATTTTCACTTTCACCACCAGCTTTACCTACAGGACTACCGTGTCTTACTTCCGAAGTTTTCGCTATATTGTTGCCTAGGCGATCCCGTACTGGACTCGGAGACAGTCATCTGAGGCATTGCCCCTGTCCACGTGATTCACCATGGTATGGCGGCTTATGATGTCACTTCAATTTGGCTTCTAGAATAATATTCATCTAACAATCAAATAGGGAGAATTAAATATGGATGTCAAGACGGACCCTCCATGTCATCCGCGAGCATGTGCAATTCAGAGTACGTGAGTGCTTTCTTAGCCTGACGACTTGGAACTGAGAGGTACAGACTGTATTCAAAGGAACAACTACAACGAAGAGAAGTGCAGGAAAGAAGTAAGTGCCACCGAGAATGATTTTATTGAGGGTGTTGCACAGCATAGCTTAATAGATAACACTATTGCCTCTACTCAAGTGGTCCCGTTGTGCCTCAGTGCCTTGACTGACTCTTCAAAGGTGGATGCATTATATGAATGCTGCAACGCCTTTTATGAACAGAAAGGAGAAGACGCAAGTACCGTGAGCTGTCCGAAATACACACTCCTCAAGTACGTTTCGCCCAGTTCAGACGGCTCATGTCCTGACCATCATAGACTGAAGATGAAGCAAAGAGCCCAAGGATCTTCGTAAAACCTCGATAGCCCATATGAACAGCGAACTCCGTTTCGGAGCTGTGCTTTGAGCACCTTGCACACCATTCTCATATCATAATGGGGGTTGAAGGAGGCTAGTAATGCACAGTTGGAAGCAGGACCGGACAAGCGCCTTGTCTCAAAGCTACACAGGCGTCCTTAATCATAATATGTAACACTTCCTTTCTCATCCGCACTGTCAAGCTCCCGAAGGAAATCCAGCCAGGTCACCAGGAAGTGTATTGCTCTGAGGTGGACAGTAGCGCGTAAAGAGGCCACAATGGACCTGTTCCAGCAACGAAATCTGGCAACGTGACTCTAACATACCACCTGTGGTATGTCAATGAAGGGACGGGGCAACAAGCCCTCTTATAGAAAATTCTGTTGCTATTAGTCATCAAATTAGATAGCGCGACGGATGCTTGGCGACGCGCTAGCTACGCTTTGGCGCGCCTGCCTCATTGTTTTGCGACGTGCATTAGAGCTGTTGATGCAACATTGAAGCGATCCTGGGTGCATTCAGATTAAGATTTCCCCAAGCGTCTGCTCTGTCTTTGTAATCGGGCTTCGCGATCCGCTGCCTAGAGCGACATGGCTTCGTTTTCGTTCGCACGCCAGTCGCAGCCCACTGCAGCTCAGGTAGGTCATCAAAGAACTCCCACTGCTCGCATAACGACATGAAAGAATCCTGCTAACTTTGGGTACCCTTCTCAGCCCATCAATGGCCATACTCTCGCTTTTGGAACCCCACGCGCTACGAACGGCCTTTCTCCAAGTGATCCCCTTCAACCATTGCGCGCAATGGCCGACAGAGTTGGGAAAGAGGTGGAGAAGTTCGCAGAGCGAGTCGACCACTGGCATACACACGGAAATGATACCAGGCGAACCAAGTACCAGACGACAGTAAAGATGGTGGGAAAGTTCAAAGACCTTGCGGAATCGCATGTCAAGGAGCTGAAGAAAGTCAATGATGCAGAGAACAAGGGTGACTTGACCAAGAGCGTGCGACGGCGGATTCAGAACATGGCAGAGGCTCCCGATAATAGTAGCCAAGGCGGTTTCGGACAGTCTCTCACTTCATCCGTCGATCAACATGCCGAATCTGACTCTGCGAACCTGCGAGAACTACGGCAATGGCAAGCGGAGCTCGCGACATGGGAACTTCTGCGACTCATCATTGATCACTACCACTCTGAGCCTGGCACCGATCCTACGGCGGAAAAGAAGGAGCATTTGGCGAAGGTTGGGGGAACTGCGCGGTATTGCAAGAATAGCGAGATCTGGGATCGCTTCCTCCTCGAGGACGATCAGGCTAAAGAAAAGGCGATCATTCTACGCTGGTTGGAACAGACGGCGCAGAACAGCGAGAGCGACATTGAGTCTATCACTGCAGAGCTGGAAGCGGCGTCAGGGAAGGGCGCGCATACCTGGACTAGTGGCTGGCTGGACACCAAATCGAAGATCAAGCAGGCGAAGCGCTTAGAAGGTACAGATCAGCCCCTGAAACCAACCACCGCAAACCTCAAGACTGCCGACAGGACTGCAAACCTCGTTACTCAACTGGATCCAGATGCTTCGGCCAGACAAAAGCGTGCCCTAGAGAAGTCGGACGAGTACTACGAGCGCGCTCTGTGGATGGCCTGCTACGAAATGATGCGGCGCGGCGTACCATGGAAGCAGATCATTCAATGGTGCCATGAGAGGAATGAGGCCTGGCGTGGTGTCAGCGTAGGAGCTGCATACGAGGCTCACTCGAAAGGTGGACCAAATGTTGCCGGTCCGACTGTCGGTTACCTGTTTCGTCGCATGTGCTTCTACGCCGCTAGAGGAGCCCGAATTCCCTACGAAGGCGCCGTTTACGGCCTGCTGAGCGGAGACCTGAAGCAGGTTCAGGCAGTCAGCCGATCTTGGGACGACCATCTTTATGCGCACTACAACGCTCTACTTCTTTCGCGGTTCGACTCCTACTTGCAACAAAACTATCCAAATCGAGTCACTGAGAGCTTGACTCAGAAGTTCGTCTTTCAGGACGCGGTGGCTAATATTGGCAGCTGGGAGGAGTCCTCGCAGAAGGTGATTGGTCTTCTGAAGCAACAAAAAGCTACAGCAAACCAATCAGTCTCCCCAATCAAGCTCATCCAAGGCGCTCTCATAAGCAGGAACGTAGACGAGCTGATGCTCAAAGTCGGAGTAGCCATCGCCGACATGTTGCAGAACGATGAGCGACCTCAAAACTTGATCGTTCACCCGGACTCCGACCTGGCCGACCCAGGCGCAAAGGCAGCGGGTGAGCAGCGGACCTTCACAGCAGAGCGATGGTATCAGAATCTCGCAAGTGACCCACATGCCTTCAGGATTCTAGTGCACCTCTTTATCGTATTCCGGAACGGGTTAAAGATTCTCAGTACAAGTGACGAGCAACGGTGGTTAGCCATGGACAATGTCGTTGCGGCATACATTGAATTTCTACGGACCAGCAAACGTATACAGCTCATACCACTATACGCGGCGCAGCTTCTGCCAGAGCGAGCAGCTCATTGCCTCGCGCGTGTGTTACCCGACATCAAGAACAGCGAGGAGCAGCGACGTTGCGTTGCACTTTTGGAACAATACCGCATCGATGTCATCGAGGTTGTTGCTCAGAGCTTCACGTTCGCTTTTAGAAACAGCGGTTTCACACATTTCGACGCACAAGGCTACTCGGTGATTACCAAACCTATCAAGCGGTTCAAGATCTTGGAGCGAGTCACAACTGCCCAAGAGCAGGTGTTGTGGCCTGGCGTTCGCATAAAGCGGGACTTCGACGGGTCTGTGATCGAGCCGAAGGAAGAAGCTATCATCGAGGCGCTGCAGTGGTATCATTATATCGGCAAAGACTACAAGCAAACATTTGAGCATTTGAGGAACGCTCTAATCATTTTTCTGCGTAAGTAGACAGGAAAACAGTACCCTTTCACACGCTAATATTTCACAAATAGTCAATGGCCGCCTCGGCGCCGCAGAGAAGGTCGTCAGCGACCTCAGCGTCGAGTCCCTGTCGCTCTCACGGACGGAAGCTCTTTGTGGCTACCCATTCGACATCACTACACCAGGAGCGGATGAGCAGAACGAGCGTGAACTACACAACCACCGCGACTCCCTCTCAAGCGTTGCGCGCGCTGCCGCCATTCCACTGGCTAAACTCCCCACGGCAGACGAGCACACGAACATTGTCAACTACCTGCGCGAAAAGAGCTCAGCATACTACGACCTCCAGCAAATCGTGCGCTTACTCGTCCTCTTCCGCGAGTGGCGTGACGAAGAAGAGGCGCTTATAAAGTCAGTGAACAAGTACCACTTCTCCTTTGTTCCCCCCGTCATACTCTCCCAGATCCACGCAAGGCTAACGAGAGATGTTGACAGACTTCGCACTGAGCGCCAAAGGAATCCAGAAGCTCCCAAAGGGCCCTCGAAACCAGATACGAAGCGCACCAAGGAGCTCTTGGATGCCATCACAGCCATCTTCGACTCGCTCATCCAGTCGATTTCAGATTCGACCCACCGCGGTATTCAAGACACGACTGATGGCTGGAACCTGAAGAAGGCGTATATCCCCGACATGGTCATTGCGTATCTCTCGGTGCTCCAGTCGGCTTCGTACTTTCTACACCGCGAGCCAGCCGTGCAGGCGATGGAGGTCGCCGTGCTGATAGCCGATGAGCAGAACGAGTGGCTCCAGAAGGTTTTCCTACAGACGGGTCGTATGAGTGAATTGGTCGACTCTTTGGCGTGTGTCAGCAAAGCTATGCTGAGGCTTACAGAGCATGAGTCCAAGAAGGTAGAAAAGAAGAAGCGGGGGAGCAAGGGGGAGACATTGAGGATCTGGGATCTCGAGGCTCGGGATAGGATTTAGGGTATGGCAATCGGTTCTAGCGTCGGCAATACGGAAGAAGATATCACAGCATTGGAAGCATCGTAGACCTAAAACGTATATGAATAGTATGCAAGTCTTCCATTCGTATAACTTGCTCCCCTTCAAGACTGCCAGCTCCTGTGCAGTATGCACCCAATGCAATGATGTACAGAATCGAACAAAAGAAAATGCAGGCTGATTTGATGCGCTATAAAACTCAAGATCCCAAACGCCAATAGTGCTGTCATGACTCATACACGTCAAGGCAGGCTATCCAAACATGCTTCGCTTCCAACGCAAGAAATGAGGCAGAATCAATAGAACCAAACTGATGTGACTGGAAAAGTGATAGGGAAAGGAAGGAAAAAAAGCGGGTTGCGCGATGCGTGTGATGTGAAGATGGGCAAGTACTCATGTTGAGTGATGATGCTTGGAGCATACAAGAAGAGAAATCCACAATCCGAGTCTGTGAGGTTAAAAGTCGACGCTCCATCTCAGTCTCGGGTCGCGATGCGGGGGTCCCAAGTTATCAAACGGTACTCTGATCTGCTCATTCGCCTGACCCGCGTCCCAACCGCGTGAAACGCCAAATCTACTGCCATTCCACACTTGATCTCGTTTCAAATTCTCCGCAGAAGGTGGCAGCCGGATTTTGGCTTCCACCAACGGCGCCGACACAAATCTTGAGTTTAGAAGAGCGCGGGGGGAGACGAGATCTTGGAGTACGTTGAGAGAGGAGATATCCGAGGAGGAGAGGGGGGCGTCATGATTCATAAGGTAGGGTGTTGAGTCTGATGATGGTGTTGATGTAACTCGGTGATGTACGGGCGTGGGTAGCTCGAGGAGGGCGTTTTGGTCACTACTACCGAGTCTATCGTACCCGTGTACTGAGGATAGTGAGAGGTCGTTGGCTCCTGAGCCGCTGGAGACTATAGTCGAGAGACAAGGGCGGTTCTGGCGAACTCGTGTGACTTCGATGTCAGGAATGGGAGCGGTTCGTGGTACGGGCCTCCCTCGTACAATGGTGTCGCTCGAATCGCCGGATGAATGATGTGTGCTCATGGTATCTGTTCGCGTCATGGCCGTGTCTGTCCGCGAGACAGTAGTGTCCCTCTTCTTCTTCCTTCTCTTGGAGCCATTGGAGCTCGGCGGTCGTGCCTGCGGCGTATGGGACTTATCATGCCGCTGTCCAGCCACCAGATTACTGTACGAGCTCATAGGCGATATCGAAGGCAGCTCCGGAGTCTCTCCGCGTTCGAGCCTCTGCTGCACCTGCTTTGTGTTGAGTTGGCGCTGCAAGCTGAGCTCTACGCGGCTGCTTGCGCCGCTACCACTCCGACTTCGATTCGAAGCTCGCTCTTTGCCCGACATGACACTAGCCTTGGGCGGCGGCTGGAGCATCCAGCGGTTGTCGGCCGGGTCTGGGGACGGAAGACTGACGACTGGTGGATGGAGTTCGTTGACAGGAGGGGCGCGGGCCGAGTAGTAGCTTCCTGTTGTGGAAGTGGCTGGTCTTCGCAGTGGGAAGCCTGCCACGCCTACCGACGAGCCAGAGAGGGTATGCTGGAGGGGAATTGGCGGGTCCTCGTGGCCCCATAGGTCCTCGTCTTCCCTCTGGTAGCGTTTGCGGTTCCAATTGTCGTCCTCGAGCGTATCGTCGCTGAGTCGCATATCGCCCGGCCTCGCGACATCCAAGCTGCTTCCACCCTTGCTCATAGCTGAGCTCCGTGTCTCCGCTGTGGTGATGCCTCGTGTGCTACTCGTATTGCCCGTATTCGTCCTCCGTGCTCTTCGAGGCGGCGGACCCGGGCCCATGGCGATCTCTTCCCCCCAGTATGGATTGGTACCAGTGGGCTCTGGATGGTAATACGACTCTGGGTCTTCCAGCTGCAGTTTCTCTCGTACTTTTTTGGCCTGCTTTGCGGCTTTCCGTCTCTTCCTGCCATCGGTGTAGCCGGTGCAGGGGGCACACGACGCGTAGTGGAAGACGGCACTCTGGACACCCCTCATGAACCACGCCATGGTGTCGAGACGGACGTGTGCGAGGGATTGCTATGCGTGGACGCTGCGGGAGTCGAGGTAGACGCAGGGGTGGACTCGGCCAGAACGGGGCAGCGTGCCAGGCGGGAAGGTGGTAGGCACTCGAGCACTCGGGTCGACAAGGTGGTGTAGAGAGTCATTGCCGCTCTCCGCGTGGAGTCTTTGGTTGTTGTCAATTGCGCGCGAGTGTTTCGTGGAAGCGGCGTCCACGGATCCGGGGCCCGGCCGGTGGTGGGTGGGAGGGATGATGACGAAAGAGGATGCACAACAGTACACAGTACACAAACTACGCTTCTCTGCTGGCCGTCACTTGGTCCCGGGGGTAATGATGATGATGCAGAGTAGTAGCAAGCAGGTAAGAGGAGGGTTCGTATCGCTAGCTGTCATGTGAGCCTGCACCAGCTGCCGTTTCTGGTTTCGTTCCTGCAGTTGCCGAAGCCGACGTGCCGTCCGATTGCACGTCCAACAACAAACGGCGGAGGATGCAACAGGGCCTCCTTTAATTAGCGACCACGAGTGGCTACGCGGACAGACAAGTGTTTCAAACAATGTCTCGCCCGAGTCTTGGTACCTGCTCCCGCCATGCTCGACACCTTTGTGTACAAACATCATGCGAGATATCACGCACTTTTGGATGCGAGGCCTGGACCGCGCGGCGCGGCGCAGAATCCCGGCCATGTCATGCATGTAATAATTAATGTGTTGGCAACCTCATGCACGACACTAGCGGGGCGAGGCTACAGAAGAAGACTTGCTTGACAAACGCTTGCTGTAGCAATCATCCACGTCCTTGTCCCATATCAAGTGCTAGATAGACCTACATGTTGAAACTTTGCCATCACAGTCACAGGTACACATGGAGGGTTGTAGCTTTTAGTAAAATATGCACGTGGTATATTGCCCAGTAAACCCTAATACTCCAGTTCATGTCGTCGTTGTGCAGTTCTGTTTGCCTTGCTTCACTCTCCAAACCTCCAGCGCAACCAGAACCATGCTAATAGGTACCAAGACGGGGAAAAAAGCCGAGAAGCCGGCTATAATGAGCATATCCACCATGAAGCGCCTGATCCGAATCATGCTCCTAGTAAGCACCCAAATCATCCAACTCAAACAAATGCTTGCTAAAACGACAAAATGAACAAGCAAGCCGCTTTCCCGCAACCTGCAACGCCATGTTAATGCTCTGCTCAGCTCTCACATGGACTGAAGGGAAACCAAAGGCCTGTAAGCAGGTGCCATGACCTACTCACTCCCTGATCTGTGCTTTCAAGCCTGCAACCTCCCGCTTCAGTCGCGCATTTTCTTTCCTTAGCCGTGCTGCTTCCTCCTCACTCGCCTTCAGACGTCGCTCCACCTCCTCACTGGCCTTGCCCTTGCGCGCACTGCTAGTCGCCTTTTCAAGCTCCTCGTTGAATCGCGCGTACAATGCTTCATTCTCCGCGTTCATGTCGCGATACAGTTGGTCCAAGTGCTTGCATCGAGCCTCAGACACTTGGAGCGAGCTGCTAACGTCGTTGGCAATGCTTGTGGTACGTGTTGACAGCCCACCCAGGCTGCTCTTGAGCTGCTTTTCGAGTGTAGCGATACGCACTTCCAAAGACTTCGGCGGGCCGGGCCCTGGCGTCGAAGGAGGAGCTGGACTTTGCGTGGTTAGACGGGGGATGCTTCTAGCATTCAGCTCCTGACCGATAGCGCTCAGCTCATTCTGCAGGTCCTCCGACGCCGTGTCAATGTCTCGTTGTTGATTCTGCAGCCGCTCACGCAACTTCTGAGGGGATTGCATCCTGAGCCGCTTTGGTGGGTTCGCTGAAGGCGTGCTTGGCTTGGGGGGAGATCGAGAACCGGGGGGTGGCATCTTGATAGTATTCCCGGATCCTGGGCGTTCTGACAATCCCGAACTTGTCGTGGGCTTGAACGAAGGAATCCCCGTGACCGACTGGCCTCTCCTCTTTGTGTGAATATACGATTTGATGGTAACTTCATCTTTCGACTCCGGTTTTGCGGCAATCGACTTGGGACGCACACTGCCAGCACGCTCGAGCGCATTCGCTGGTGAGTTTTCTTTTCGCATTGGCGAGCCTAAGCGCGTCGGCGTCGGGATGGATGACGTGTTTTTCAAAAGCGACGGTGGGATGCGTGAAGGTGTTCGCGGTGAAATGCTGGCTTCTCGGTCATCCCGCAATACAGAGTCAGGCCTACGAGGAGTCTGCGAAGACCACAAGGGCGCATCGTTAGCATCCTGCAACATCTTTAGGTCGCTCAACGAAGAGCGGCGCTTCTTGCGGGGAGGCCCAGCAGTAGGCGGTACCTCTCCGATTGTCCCCAGGGCACCCATGAAAGCCCGGCCACTAGTGCTCGAATTCTCAAAGGTGAACGCGCCTAGTACGGTCGGACGATCACGAGAGGAAGGCCGTTTTGGCGAAAGCCGAGCATTGTCTGTAGAGTTAGAGCGGCCGAGGGAAGCAGGCCCAGCTTTTGACACACTGGAAGGCTGACTATCTGTCCCATGACTATTCTTGCTCAACGAACGCCACAACGATCCCACTTTGGAATCGCTTTCGGATTTGCTGTTCTCCCTTGTCAGGGTACCGAAGCCAAAGCGTTTCCTCAACGACGTGTTGGAGTTGATCGAGCCGGCAGCGGTAATACGGCCCTTGGAATCGATGGAGCCATAATTCGGTGTATTGAATCCCGGAGTCGGACTCGGGAAAAGTGCCTCTATGTCTTGCACAAGCCGGTCCATTAGCGAGATGAAGTCATTCGCATTACCGGCAGGCACGAGCATCTCTGCGAACGCTGCCGTGAGAATCCCTCGATCGCCATCATTACTAGTGCCGTCAAGCAACTCGGCGAGAAGATGGACAATGGCCCGGAGAGCTCGTTGGTTATGTGGGGTAAGATCGATGAATGTGGTTCGGAAAAACTCTTCAAATTCGCCCGGATACATGCTGTCTGATCTCATTTGTAGTGAAACAAACATTGCGTGAGACAGCACCGGTCCCATCCTTTCCTTCCAAGCCACGTCGAGAAATTTCTCGAAAACCGCGAAGAGGACGTCAACCGAGGACTGACCAGCAAGATCCATGTTCGAAGGGTTCTCTAGGAGGGAGTTGTATAGCTCATTAACTATGAGCTCGTCTGCAGCCGCTCTTGCTCGAACAGAGCGACCCACGATATTGCCCTTTCGCGCATGTAAAGCCATGGTAAGGTTTGCTAGAGATTCTTCTAGCTTTACAGGAGAGTCTGTGGGTGTAGAGGCATTGAAGCCAGCGCTCTTGTTAGATGATGTGGGCCGGGACAGGTCACCGTCACAACTGCGGGTTCGGGAGAAGGCAGGGAGAAGAGGGGGCGCCATCCGAGGTATCTCTCCTAGAGTGTGTGGGCTGCGCTGGAGCCTGCGAGAACCGCCTTCTCTGCTCACACTGCTGCCGAAGATGCTTGACAGCATCTTCACGGGAGAGTGTGGGCGGCTCTTACCTTCCTGCTCTTCTTCAAGCTCATGCAGCTGGATACTAAGCGATTTGAGGATTCGCCGATTTCGGAAGAGGTACGCTTCAGACAACATGGGGTTTCTGACACTGTTGCGCAGCTGGAAATAGTTCGCCAGGCGTTTGGTCAACACAGGGAGGAACTCAAGGCTGGTCAACTTATCGCGTGCCGCATAGCCGTTCGCACCACTGGTGTCCAAAAGGAAGAATCCGTCTCCCAATATAGAAATGGACACCGTGAGTTCGATGCCTTCATCTCCCACTTGCATAGGCTGCGAGTGTTTCGATGCTTCCACAAGGATCTGAACCTTTGCGGGCTCTTTTCGGCCTTCTGTCTTTGGGCATTCCGTTTCCTCGGACACGGACGAGAAAAAGGATAGATCGCCAGCTAGGCTTCGCACCTCCCATTTGAAACCCTCTCGCTCCGTTTCGGGGAAACGGCCTTCTACACGGGCCTTTGTGAACTCCTCCACAACCTTTTGCCCTTTGCCCTCATAGACGCCCTTCAGGTAGAACATTCGAATGCCAACATATTGTCGGTCTCGGCTTCGTGGTCGTCCTGGCTGACTTGAATGAGGTACAGGAGACAGTACTTGGAGGATGCTCCCCTCAGAGTGCTCACTAATGAAGAGGTCGCAGAGCTGCAAGTGCTGATGGAAAACAAGCTCTGTAGCACCGCTGAATGACTCGGCGAATTTTGGATTGTCCAAATCTGAAAGCAAGCTTCGGGCACTTGTCACGCAACCACTCGGTATGCTGAGAAGCACCAGGGAGTCGGTGAAAAGGACAAAGATTCCAGACGATGTTGATGGCCCGGACAGATCTCCATGATAGGGCGGAGAAAGCTCCACGTAGTCAACGGCTGTGATGAGTCTTCCTTGTGGGTTGAAGGTTGATGGCCACCCAGAGACCATTTTGCGCAGGCGGTCAAACACTCTGATCTGTTGTGCCGTTGGACTTTCCCTTGAGCAAATCTCAGAAATGATGTCCCTTGCCTTGAGGAACGTCTTGATCGCGGGATGGCGGACTGGAAGTTGTTTAATGATGTTGTCGATGTAGAGATTGTACCGCGGAAGGCGTTGGACAGGCTCAATCAGCATAGACATCAATCGCTGCTCGCCTGTGTCGTATACTCGTTTCGAGAAGCTAGAAGTGGTATCTTTTGTGAAGACCTTTAGCAGCTGTGAGAAGTCGCCATGTGCAGCCATGTAGTCCGTGTAGCAGTCGCCGAACTGGGGAAACCACTCAACAAGCGTCTTCGCAAATGCTGCAGCTCCAGTCACGTCTGGGGGATCCTTTTGTCCTCGTAGCGGCGCGATGAAGATGTCGTCTGTGGCCTGTTCAATGTCTTCGATGGCTCCATTTTCTGTCTCTTCCAAGATGATGCGTATGGTGTCCAGGAATTTAGCGTTGATGTCGAGTATGCTATCGAGACTCGGAGGGAACAGGGCCTGTAGGGCCTCCTCGTTGGGGCTGGAGCTTGACTGCGATTTGTGCTTCGCCTTCTCACGGAACTCGACTGCGACAGTATGCACCAAGTCATGGAGTTTGCTCACGTAGTTCTCCTCTGTGTCCAACAGCTCGCACATTTCTCGTCGTAGTGTCTCCTTTTGCTTTCTTGAGAAGGACTGTGATCGGTTCAGGGCAGTTGGCTTCGAGGGCGCTCGGCGAAGTCTCGAGGTGGGAAGGAACGCCGACTCTCCAAACAACTTTACGATGGGCGCGTATTGGCCGTAGCGTTGCAGGCTGATGTCGTCTTCGGATTCATCAAACTGGGCCGACTCGCGTGACTCGAGCTTTTGGATGCTCCCCTGTGGCAGGACAACATCCAAGTCGACCCACGACAGCGTCTGCTCTCCTAATGCATGGCGTACGTCTACTATGACATCTGCCACGTTCTCGACCTTGACCATCTTTGCCGCGACCATTGCAGCATGTGACTCTGAGAACAGCTTCGGGGCCGAGGGCAAGTGCCCCAGCGTGCTGTACCTCTTCTCCCACGCATTCTTAATCTCCTGCGGCAGCTCGGCGAAGTACTTGTACAAACTAAAAGCCAAGCCACGACATATCTCGTCTCCTTGTTCTTCTCGGGGTAGGCATGTGACCGCGTTGTAGAAGGTGGCTGTGGGTGAGATGATCAGACGCGCGAAACTCTGGAAGCCGGCTGGCGTGAAGACGTGGGTTTGGATGCGCGAATGCGTCGCCTGGGTCGAAGTGGCCGTCGGTCCGTAGAAGATGAGGACAGGGGATTTGGAAAGAAGCTCGTCTGTGGTGTAGAAGAGCGACAAGTCGTCTGCGGAGAGGGCCGCGGGCTCAGAGTTGATGGCGACCATTTTGCCCAATTGCGCGGGAACGAGCGACGACAGTTGGATGGGGGAGACAACGAGCGAGGGTAGGAGGGAAATCAGAATAGCATGGCGGAGCTGCGACAACGAGTAAGAGCCTGGCGTGGGGTGGTGGTGTGTTTATGAGGCCATGCAGGAGGAGAAAGAGAGAGAGAGAGAGAGGGTGGGCGTCTCGAAGGTGTTGGGCGGTGTTGTCGCTACAGGTAAACAAGGAAGACGAGGCAAGCACAACAGACGAGGCTCCGTTGCTACCAATACCAACCCCGAGTCCGAAACAGGTGGGCCGGCTGCGGCCAAGTGCGGAAACTACAGCGCGATAAGTTAAGGTGCAGATGGTGCGACGAGGAAATGCTAGGGTTCCCGGGAATTGGCGTAAGATGACGGGGTATTTTTGGTGCAAAAGAGGTCGATGCCCTTGCAGCCCATCGTGATCGCGTCCGTATCGACCTGGGCGCCGATCAGCGGCAGCCCCCCACAAACAAAACATTGCCAAAGCTCCATCGCCAAAGCTCATCATTCACTTCACCAAGACTAGACTAGACACCATGGCAACACAACAGGACGCGGGCGGTGTTCCCTTCTCCATAGCACACGAGCTGCAGCATTTCCGCCTGCTCGAGCTCCCACCAGAACTCGTCGAGGCCATGGATGCGCCAACCCCCCCACAGTAGGTACGCTGCCGTCTCGTCTCTCCGTGGATACCCTTTCTCACCCCGCACGCTTGTTAGGCTTTCCATTAAATCGCTGGCTCCCTCCGCCGCCTCTGGTACGCCGAATGCGCAGCCTGCATATGCAGTGCTTTGTACGCCGAGCAAAACTTTCCAGCTACGCCAGGTCCAGACGTCAAACTCGCTCTTCATCACCCAGCCCGCGCTCGACTCCCATGGCAACGGGATCCCGATCCCTGTTACATGTGCAATTGCAGCGTGCACTGCAACGCTCGAACTCCATCCATCGGCTGCCGCTGCTGTCACACTGTTGAAGGAGGCGCTGCCCGTGTATGATATCGTTGCAGGCGACGTCGAGGCAACCGGCAATGGCAGGCCCAAGGCTAGCATATTCGACGACGTCCCAATGTCGAGCGGAGAGTGTCAGTCAGCATGGCTGGAGCTAATGGCATTCGAGTTTGAAGAGAGCTCCTACCAGCCATCTACAAACGCCCTTTCGCAGGTGTGGAGGTCCATCAATGCCGCTGCTCTGGCCGAAGGCGTCAAACTCGACAGCCAATTCCTGACCCACGACATCACGGGAGCCGTGGCTGAAGAAGGCCACCCCCCAGGACTTGTTGAAGCTGTTCTTGCACACCTGTCTACTGAAGATTCAGACAGCAATGGACCGTGGTCCTGTCTTGACCGTGCCAAGACAGTCATATTCGCTGGCAAAACCCTCCTCGAAGCCAAGCGTGGCAACGACTTCCTCATCGCCGACTTCACCGACACATGGGAGGACCGACTGCCAGAAGCATGGCGGAAAGACGCGCAATTGAGTGCAATTGAAGGCGTGTACGAGTTCCCGTCAGAAACGACTATTAGTGTAAAGGGCAAGGTCGCAGCAAGCACAAAAGGTAATAGCACAGCTGCTCCCATGAAGCCATCCGCGCGAAAATGGCACGAAAAGTTTGGCAAAACCAGGAATAAGTAAACGCATCGGTAAGCGCAGCACCTCCTAACATGACGGTTGTGATGCGCGACACGTGACCGCGTCACGGACGCGTTTCGGATCGGAACGTCGGGAGCTACACCTTCCGTTCCGTGGGTTAGTAATGACGAGATTTTGGTAAGCCGTTGCCATCAATGACGGACTATCCCAAACAGGCACCACAGGATCGCATAAACTACCATATATTCTCTCAACTTCTGAGTGTTCGACCTGTGTCTGGCGCATGAAAAATATTCGCCGCTTAGCGACTGTTGTCCGAGCTCTACCTCGACCATCACAAGCACCGATTCCCAAGAGGCCCTTCTCCACAGACTTCATCTTGCAAACACCGACTCCTCGAGTAGAAATGACATCGGAAAACCCAGAAGTAGGGCCAGTGACGTCGGAGCCATCGCGTCCTACAGCCACGGGCACGCCCTCACAGCCTCTTGCCCAAGAAGAAACGCCACTACCTAAGCTCACCCCCTTCGAATTCCGCCAGTATAATCGCATGGCTGAACATATGGACTACTATCACAATCACTTCCGCGCTACTTGGAACACCCTTTACTCAGCCTGCGAATCACGTAAGCGACCAAAAGGAATGTCAATCAGGCAATTTCTTTCCCTCGGCCAACAGTTCTGCCACCACCTTACTGCACATCATACCATTGAAGAGCAACACATTTTCCCCAACCTATCGAGAAAGATGCCCGCGTTTAAGAAGGAGCTCGAGCTTTTGACTCAGCATAAGCAAATCCACAAAGGCTTGGATAAACTTGAGATATATCTGGACGAGTGTAGTAGTGGCGAGAGGGAATTACAGATGGGTGAGCTGAAAGTGATTCTTGATGGGTTTGGCAAGGTGCTGTGGCAGCACTTGGACGATGAAGTCAAGGAGCTTGGCGCGGAGAATATGCGCAAGTATTGGACCTTGGACGAGATGCGCCGGATGGTCATGTAAGTAGAAATAGTGACGTCAGATTCATTGTGCATGTCCCATATATGGTGTGCGCTGAGGAAGCCTTGAGGTGACAGGCTGAAGTCGGTAACTGAGCGAGAAGATGTCTAGTATATATACGGCCACCCTAATGCAGTCTTGCAATATATCATACAAATATCTGCTACAAGTGTATTAGACATATAAAAAGGGAAACACCCGTCCTAACACCATCGCTGGTGATGTGGACTTTTTGACACTGCCAATTAGTTCGTCTCGCCGTATACCGCTAACTTCAGCCAAATCGTACTCGTCATCTTCGCACCCAGCACACCCTCAATCAGCTTTCAGCGTCCATTTTCCATACTATCCTACGTATTCGGAGGGTTTGGTGCCGCCCGTGTCTCTACCCAACGCTGTTCCCGTGGCACAGCGAGGCGTCGCCTGTTTTGTGAAGAGGAGAACTGAGCGATTTGGAGCCTTATTGGGAGGATTATCCGTGTCGTTGAGAGACTTTGGTGGGAGGGGTCATACCTACGCCTTCTCAACATCAATGTCTCTACCAGAAGGCGTGGTCGTGCCATCGTTTCGGGTAGCATCAGATATAGCGTCAGGTGTCTGCTCTTCTGGCCGAGAATTACACATCTTCACTTCGTCCAACTGCTGTGAGCCAGAGTAGGAGCCTGGCCCTTTCGCGCCGTTGGGGATATGCCACTGCAAATCTACCCGCGCGATAGCGTACATGTACACAGTTATAATCTCGACTAGGAAGTTGAAGACGTAAAACGGAGCTTTGCTCAGAAATCCAGGGAGTGGGTGGGATCGTGGTACGGGGGAATGCCACAAGGCACCACAGCGGTACCATGCGCCGAGGGAAAGAAGCGTTGTGCTCACGAGTAGGACGGTGACTTTTGTGCGTAGACGACCGGCTCCAAAGCGCTCATGAGGTGGGTGGCGGACGACGAGCGAGAGCAGCGTTATTGGAAGTGGTAGCGTGGCGATGATGGCGAAGAATGTTGTGCCGTACAGTTGGAAATCGCGGTCCAAAGATCTCGTATTGGTGTCGAGGGTGTAGAAGCTTTGCACCGTGCCGACAATGACGATGACAAGTGTCCCAGCAATGATGACGCAAATAACCACAAAAGCCATAGAAAATATAGGATGCCAGCCGACCGACGGATGTGTGGACCGGACCAGTCGCATTGTAAAGATGAGGTTGATGATGAAGAGGATAAGAACACCTGCCGCGACGAAGATCTGTGCTGCAATGGCAAGTCGGAGATTATGAGGGAGGCATACTGATGCGATTCGCAGAATTGATGTTACATTGCGTGCCATGCAGAAACCTAGTAGCATGTCAGCGAACTGTCCATGTGCTGAACCAAAGGTAAACCTACCGAATATGAACAGGCTTGGCAGGAACTTGTGGCCTCTTGCCTTATTCTTTTGGAATATGCTCATGTGGATGGCTGCTCCGACCAGGAAGAGGAAGAAGAAGGCTGATTGAACGGGGACGTCGACGCCCTTTATTGGAGGCCCACCTAATGGCCATGTTGTAGGCGGGTATGGTGGCCCTTGTTTTACCTATAACTTTGTTAGTTATGTAGATACTGAGCAACGATGGTTGGGCAGTGTGCTTAAACAGTGGTCCAGATGGGGCGTAAATCTTACCATTGGCGAAGACATGCTGCTTCGAAACACTATATACTCAACTTGCAGGTACACAAAACTCTTAACTCTTTTCAACGATTGTATGGTATATATCTCGTTATTTTGACGTAACAGATGTGATGGTTGGTGTGATCAGAGGCATGCAACAGCAATGGAGGCAAACCTTGTTCAAGACCACGATTATATATGTACCGTCGCACTACGGCGCCGACACTGTCGACACCAGAACCCTCCAGACGGCATAGTGAGGACGCCGACAAACATAGCTCGAACATGATGTCGGTGCCTGAGCAGCGGACCCTCCGAGCCGCCGGTCGCGAGCTACTCTTAGTTTTGCAACGCGACACCAGAGTAATTTTGAAATCTCGAATATGCTCAAATTAAAGCAGCTTGCCCAGACACATTTCGCATCTTTCTATATGCTGGCAAGAAATCGACATACATTGCTGTTGAATTAATGCGTAGATGGTTTTGAGATGGAATCGCAGTGGTCGGTGAATGCGAAGGACGAGTGCCGATATAGCGAGGACGCTGAATGCGCGACCGCCCCGACCTCGGCCTAATGTCACCGCTCGTGATCTTGTTGCCACCGCTGAGGTATAGTCAAGACGAGGTGATTTTCGGTCTGTGGGTACTGCCCTTTCACATGTTTCGGTGTGTTCGAAGGAAAGTAAAGATAGATGTACCACCTAGAAGCTTGAAACTAGTCTTTCTGTTTCTTCAAGCTTAGTTCACTTTGAGCTGCACCAAGAAGATTAGTCCTGGCAGGACTTCCAATAGGTTAGTGATACTAAGGAGACTAGCACATACATAACCATGCACTGTCCCCTGAAAGTATTCCTGAACAGCCTCCGCTTGGCGTATTACTCGACGCTCCCCAAATTTCACATCAGGTTGAAAGGAAGCAAACCCCTCGGAAACGGACTGAGACAGTCACATTTCGCGTGTCGCCTGAAAAGACACAGGTAAAGCCCTCAGTCAGTCATATTGTACTGCGACCAGGATTTTTCATATACACCTTCTGCAAAGCCCAGATGGTGCATTGCGTGCTCGAAATAACTTGTGTCGTCTGCGAAACTGGGAGTGCGGCCTAAGTGTAGAAATCGTGCTCCGTTGACGCCATTATTGGTGTCTATGTCGCTGTCATCTTCGCTGCACCAACAGTTCTCTTCGGCTGGGGACACTGATTCAGAGCTCTCGGAGAAACGCCTCACAGGGGCAGTAATGCTGGAAAGTTGATTGTAGACTGTCTTATCCCACTGCTGTGAGCGCTGTTTTGTAGTTGATTCAACTTCCACACCGCTTTGGCGCCTTGCCATGGGGAGTTGTCCCGATCTTTCCCTTTCTTGAAAGTGCTCGAGCACAACTGGAACATGTGATTGATCGAGACATGGTGAGTTAATGCGCTCCATGGATACCAGTGCAGGCACAGGAAGGAAACCGCTTGCCAAGGTGAGCCCTCCAACTTGGGCGAGTCTCTTCCCTACTGGGGCAGCCTTTCGGCGTGGACGAGGCCTTTTTTTCATAACGAAACCACGCTCAGATCCGATAAACCCATCAGAAGCACGTGCGAAGCATAGTTGTGATTTCTGCTTGCTGTTGCTGTTGCTAAGTACGGGAAGCCTCTGATAGATGCGAGTTGGACTGTTTGTCGGGCGAATACTAGTGAAACGGCCTTCGGTGGGCTTCCGAGCCTTACAAGGCGACGGGTCAGTTCTCTGCTTCGATATCGCCTTGTCCTCAAGTACCTTGGGAGCTGTCAATATCCCGAAGACCTTTAGGCTGCCTTAGGCGCACCCGTCGAATTGATTTACTAACTATCAATGAAGTCTTGACTTGGCTGTCTTCTATGGGATCAACATCTGTAATGGGCGCGGCAAAGACAGTGTTTGCATCCTGGAGCGGGAAGTGTTAGTCCGGTCTGAACTGTGGCAGCATCTTCAATGGAAACTCCTACGCTCGGCTCAGGCAAGCCATCTGAAGTTGTCGTTCGCAGTAGAGCAAGTTCTTGTACAGGAAGGTGCCTTTTCCGAGCGCTGGAAACCCCACGAGGTTTGCTGGATGCCGGAGATCGCGGGTTGCCGTGGACAATATCGCCATTTACAACAAGCATCTGATTGTCGTCAACCTGAAAGGCTTCAGTACCCTTTGCAATGGCCGCTTCTTCGACGGTATTAGTAAGACCGAGAGAGCCAGGAGAAAATGGGCGAGATGTATCAGGCTGATCAACACCCTGAAGGCGTTGCTTGAACCGTGAGGGACGCTGTGGCATGCCCTTCTCCATGACTCGCAGGAACGAGGCCAGTCGAAGGCGGTCGCCCGCGAAATTAGCATCATGAGGCATGGTTAGTAAATTAGGTAAAGTTCGGATCAAGGCGCTGTTAGGCCATGGTACGCCTCGTAAGACTGAAGAGTTTGTGGAGTGTTAGATATCGTGGAGGTTTGCATGAGGGAGCGATGCTGCCAAGGAAGCTATGACGCCATTTCGGAGCTCAGCGACACCTCCGCTCAACCATTACGCGCTACCATGCCGCCCCACGCGTCGCGAGTTTTTCCAAGGCTTCATGGCTGCAATTGAGCCGCAATTCATCAAAGCGAAGCTTCAATCATGTCGCTACCGGTCACTCCAAAGTGGCCTTCAGACGAGATTGGAGTCCCCAAGATAATCGGGGACGAGTGCTTCGGGGACTTGGTCGACAAATTGAGCCAGTATTCATGCCCATTCCTCATCTACAGTTGTTCAGCTACCTAACTATGCAACAGGTGTTTCGAACATACAATTAGGCTCCCTCACACATTCGAAGACCTGCGTAGAAGCCAGGAAGGTCGGGCACTGCAACCCCTCATAGCATACCTCTCGTCCGAAGTTCACCATCCCGCCCTCGTATCGGCCCTCTTGTACGTACTCGACCTCGAACGTCCTCGATTATTTGGATATAGTAAAGGGGGTACAAGATGCTGACTCGGGCTAGAGCGCTTAAAGGACACTTCTCTGCATTGGAGGAAGCTAGCGACGAACCAGGTGTCAATGAAGGAAGAGGATATGCGTGCGAATTCGTCGCTTGGCAATTCGTGGGCAATCTGACGGACAGAGACATCATCGACTTTTTACTGGTGGAGCTGCCTTCGGTAACAACTCCGAGTAGTCAAGATGCGGAAGCTGGGTATACCACCCGTGAGACCGGCCGCACCGTCACCCAGACAGACGAACAGACACCCCTTCTGAGCCCCGCCAACAGCGATTATTTCGGCTATGGGAATGAAACCGCCGCAGATGCTCGGTTTCGTTCGCTAACAACTCAGTGTGAAAATCTCAGCGCCCTCGAAATTGCGTCCGTCTCTGGGGCAAAAAAGTTTCTCGGTCAACGACCAGTTCAGAAGATCATCAACGGACTCTGGCGCGGCGACATCGTGTTCTGGGAAACACTGAGTGTCAACTCCGTCAAGAAACCCCAAAAGTACAACCGAAGACTAACTGATCCATTCTCACGTCTGCGGGTCCCTCTGTACCTAAAGGTGTTCGAAACGCTTTTCTTTGCGGTGTTTCTTGCATTGTACTATACAGTACTCGTGCACCGTGACTTTACTAGAGTTACTACTGCAGAGATTTTCCTCTACGTCTGGATTGCTAGTTTCGCTTACGACGAGTTCGCGGGTTGGGTCGATGCAGGCCAGACAAGCTTTTACGCGTCGGACTTTTGGTAATAGAGTAGGCGTTGATACCATATGTCTGGAAAAGCTAATAGATGACAGGTGGATGTGGGACATTAGTATCGTTGTCGTTGGCATGATATTTTGCATATTGAGTAAGTCATATTTGGGCCGTTGCGATTGCCAGCTCTCATATGCTTGTAGGAATCGTGGGATTGACGACGTCATCTGCCGACACAATTGACCTCGCATACGATGTGCTTGGACTGGAAGCCCTCTTCCTCGTGCCCCGAATCTTTGCTCTTCTAAGCTTGAATCGTTACTTTGGCACGTTGATACCCTGCCTCAAGGAGATGGTGAGCTTGGACGTTCAAACAGCATCGGAGGAAGCTTACCAGAAATTAGACCAAGGACTTCGTCAAGTTTTTATCGCTTGTTGTCATTCTTTACTTGGGTAAATTACTGTCCACTCGATTTGGTAGCTTTCGCTGACGATCTGTGCGTTCAAGGCTTCCTTACTACCTTCGTGCTATTAGCCCGTGACAAGTTCAAACCAAAAGAAATGGTAATTGGCGCATCCGGAATTTCGCCTCATTTGCTGATTATCTCCACATTAGAGTTGGATTCTGATCAAGGTCTTCTTCGGGTGAGTGAGGCTATGATACGCTTTTAATAATACTTGACCAGCTAATTGTGTTTCCAACAGGTCTAGTTACCTTGGTTTCGGTAAGTAAACCCACCAGATAGGGGCGGAAACACTGCCTCCATAAAGACTAACAAGAACACTCTGTAGATATCGCTAAAGAGATGTATGAACGTTTCCATTAACAGCGTAAACGCTTCACTAATACGTGGATAGCTCCCCTTTCTTCGGTCCGCCGGTGATGGTAGGCAGCCTCGAGCATGCATTGATGTGCGGTCTGCTGATCAGAACCACAGTTGTTATTCGTTAGTTTGACCAACATACTGCTCATTACCAGCCTGATATCGCTCTTGAGCAACTCGCTGAGCAAGGTATGTGGATTTCGTTGAGTCAAGTTCGTTGGCTCATAACACCCCGTCTTTTCCCGGCGCCTGCATGTGTATGCACGCCAGGCGCAGCAACGCTACGGCTCGCGCGTCCTACGCCGCCGCGTTTCTAGTCACAGCCTCCAGTGTTGGTTCATCTCGGGTACACTGTTTACAGTGCTTCCGATTGTTGCTCTTGTTGTTTCGGGGTTGTATTGCGGCGCACTTGGACAAGCGATGCACAGCAATCTCTTTCCTTCTCTGTCACTCCGCCGATTGTGACTAGTAGCCGAAGTCTCGTTGCTCCCTGTTACCTCGGCCCTGCTAGGATTGTGACTGACCACGAATTAGATTCTGGATCACGCACGTGATGAATATCTGTTCATGTTAGTCACCTATAAGGCATTCTGGCAAAATCACTGACCGCAGCAGCTATTCAGTCTACGTTCTCGAAGCGTCCAGCTCCAATCGTCTAACATACTTTCTACCACCATTTGTGAGTTCGCCTTTCGCTGCTATTTTCGTGGAGTGGAGACGGGCATTAAGCGCCGGGCCGTCAAATTGGCCGGCCGACATAGCCTCCAGTGATTCGGAGAAATGCTCTCAGAGCCAACCGCTAAAGACTTTACGTTATGAGAGCAGCTCGCGGGGTTGCCGTTGTCACAGTACATCGAGCAAGCCTTGTTCTGCCGCTCAGGCTCTCTCGATAGCAGAAATGTTGCCTGGCACATGGGTCCCCAATCGAGCAAGCTCAGAAAGATTGCCGCGCTCACCATTGCAAGGCTGACAGGCTTCCAGAACCTCATTCCGCTTTGCCTTCGACCGTTCCGGCTCATAGTACCATCCGAGCGGCTAAGGAGCGCCCGCATCGTGCTACTGAAAGCAACACATGTTCCCTTCGTGGGTGCTATCTGGGCATACGAGCAGCTTGCCCAAGCCCATGATTGCCAAAAGGACACAATGTTCTTCAGCGGACCTCGGACGCCTGTGCCGCGGAAGAAACTTCCCCGGCTGCCAATTAATTCACCACGCCTTCTAATGGCAGATGCGCAGGCGGCACCGAACACGCCAGGTAGGGGGCAGCATGCGAGTTGGCCTCACACCACAGCAGGGTTGACAGAGTCCGATGCCCAGTTGAAAACACTAGTTCTCAAGCTCATGACGCAGGTCGAGGAGCTCACGGCTATGGTGTCGCAGCTTCAAGAGCAGCGCGAAGCGAGCACGGCCGCTTGAGGGCCGGCGCTTCCAGCCGTCCGTGGCACATACTGCCATGGATGAGCAGTGTGCAAGGTCGGGTAAAACTAGGGACGATCCTCTGTATTCATTTCCAAAGCAAACTCGAATAGGCGCACGTGCGAATCGAGTGTTGGTGTCTCACATGCTCGACAGCATGTGGACTAGCACAGCAGCTGGATGGTGGACGGCATTTAAGTGATAGATCCAGGCAAAACGTCTTTTTTCCCAGACTGGGCATAGTCTCCATCGGCACGTCCATGGCGACAGGGGTATAGCCGCTGGCCATGTTCTTGCGCCTCGAGCTGCGGTGGCCGCAAATCTGCGTGGTGTCTTCGGCCCGCTTAGGCCTTACCCGAGAGCGTGGTTGAGTCGAACTCCCCCGGCCCAAGCCCCCATCCACCTGTACAGGGGAGAGGGTCGTCTGCACAAGCCATGCACTGCTACTCTTGCGTACCCTCTCCCCCCTCCTCTTTCATCCCTCCGTGACACACGGCCCCAGCCCCATACCCCATGCAGCTAACAGGCGCCTGCCGCCTACGCGGCTCGAGCCCACCATGTTATGCTCTCCCTGTCTAGCACAATTTCGGAGTCTGCCTCACGCTCAAAAGCTCACTGTTCCAACGTACGCTTCGAGAAGGCACTGCCGCAGCACTGCTAATCGAAATCTGATCGTGCATCTTGTGAGGCTGCTCACGCACTGCATTGTCCAGATATATTTCCGTCTCGAACGCCCTGCAGCTTCACTCGTTATTCATCGTCATCTCTTTCTCCCTGCCTACTTCGCTAACATAGTCGTCACCTGCGAGTCTTTGTGCTTCGTTTCCAGATACCCCTTCAAACTTGCTTCTTTCATCATGTTGTTGTATGCGGACCAGCCAACGCCTCCTTTCAACTCACCCTACCAACAACACGCAACGAGAACATCATCGCTGCTCGAGTCACCTTACCCTTCGCCAGTTCGACACGAATCTCGACCCAAATATCCACACGGTCTTGGGCTTTACGAATACCAGCAACCTTTGCCTACTGGTCTACCTCCGTCTCCCCAGCCATCCGAAGCCTGGGGTGGTCAATTCTCTGCTGGCGCCTCTCCTCTTATGCCCGAAGCCATTGCAGACCCCTGGACTTCAGGAGCATTCGATCATCCGGTGTCGCGGTCGCCGCTGCCCTGGAATTCTGCTCAGACATCTCCGCGCTCTTCGCTATCATCCTACACCCGCGAAATGTCCGTCTTTTCGCACGAAGACTCAGAGCAGGCGTTCCCTGGAGTAAAGCTTGAAGGCTCAGCATGGGGCTCAGAAGTACAGTTTAGTGCAGACGCATCAACAGCAGAGATGAACGGCATCTCAAACTCAAGAGCGACTCCGCTCACTGTCGCTCCTGAGCGGCTCAAAGCTGGTCTCTACCCCTATGAGACTGCCTATCCTCCTTCACCAATGCCCAGATACGTATCCACGGCCCTATATGACTATGGAGGCCCGAAATTCGAACGGGCACCGTCAGAAGAGAGTCTCGGCAGCATCCGCTCTAGGGACAATTCCAGCTATACCGCTGGAGGCGTAGCCCGAGAGCGAACGCGGAATCGACGACACACGAATCCTGCCCATGCCGCATATCGCTGCCAACTTTGCCCTGATAAAGGTTTTGCGCGGAGATACAACTACAATCAACACATGTTGACACACGATACCTATCGCAAGAAGGATAACATATGCAATTATCCCGGCTGCGGCAAGGAATTCGTCCGCAAAACCGATTTGGCGCGTCACGATCAGAGCGTACACCAAAGGGCGAAACCCTTCAAGTGCGCAAAGTGTCCTTCTGCGTTTTCACGCAAAGATACGCTGCGCCGGTAAGCACCCGTCCATCCATCTCCCGTCCGCTCATACTAATTTCCACCCAGACATGAGGAAGATGGCTGTCCTCGTCGTAATCAAGTACCGGTCACTGGCCCTCACATGCTTCAACAGTTGCGAAACGACGGATATTAAGCCAACCAGAGCAACACTTTCATCACTTTTAGGCTCGTACGATTAAGCACTGCGGTTTTAACATTGATTTCAAGGGGCTGGATTTTTGTTTATGTGGGCGGATGTCTGCATACTTTGGCGTTTTGGGGCGCCCAAGGGCAACTGGGTGCGATAGATGGGGTCTGTGGCGTCATAGAAAGGCTGCCTGGCTTCGTTGCGAATAGGCTCCCTCAATCTCTTCACCAATACAACTACGTTGATTCCTTCTACTGTCTGATACTATCAACCGTGTGACGCATTAGCATCCGGGGTGGCTTGCAAGGTGCAACCTAGATTGGCACCCTGTCTTGCGTTCACCGGCACTGCCAACAACGTCTTCTGTACAGCCGCGCCTCACACGGGGATCACCCGGAGATCTTTACCGTTTACCACAAATCGCAACCCGTGCCAGACAGTCTAAGAAACGACCAGGGTGGCACTGCGCGAATTTGCCCAACGCTGGCGCTTAACCATGCACGATGCTTGCCCCTTCACATACGGGCCGCATCTGAGTGGCCAACGACACGCTGGGGCTGCGGCACAGGGGTCCACCTTTCGAACGGGCCACTCTACAGTAATTAGACGCAGGATGCTCTTTTGCTGGTTATATTAACTGCCTTTTTTTGCGCCAGGGTCAGTCCTGCAGCTGCCTTCACGGAGGGACGGACGGCGGTTGTTGCAAATTTAACCTGGGGCATCTGGCCATGTCATGCATCGCCGCAGGCCCACCCCTCAAGCATGTCGACGCCAACTAGGTTCTTTCTGCAACTTACCCGTCCCGCATGCTACCAACACATAGCGTCCTGGCCGGCGCTTAATGCTTGGACATGTGCGCTCCTCTTATCTTGCTCCAGCCCATGTTCGGCTCGTTTGCGGCAGCGATCAGGTGTACTAGTCCTACCACGTCACGGCACCATGGCCTCATCCCCCTCCCCCCTCCCAGTAGCCTCCCGCTGCTGTCTCCATCATCTCGACGCGTCTCTTCGTCTAGCGGGGCTCAGTCCAGCACGAGCCACGGCAATAACGGCCATTTGCTGCCTAACCCGGGATTTTGGACCAAATCACATTTCCCACCTCATGCCATTTCAGCCCCCCAGCCCAGTACGCTGCCCACTCCTTCCGCGGCGTGTAGCCGACTCAATCAGTGCCCTTGCGATGGACCGTTCCTTGATTGATAATCCAAGTCCTTCTGCCGCCACTCAGGTGACATCAATCAGATGCGAGTGCCAGCCCTCGCATCAACGGGAGGATACCATCACTCCGCTCGGGCGTATTGCTAGCCCCTCGGCGTTATAGGTCACTGCTCCTCCCGCGGCATCAAATAACGAGTCTATCGCGCGGCCCGAATATCATCATCAGCCAAGATGGCTAACTGAGACAGTCTGCAGTCAATAGTAGTGCTATGGCTAGGACTGGTGAGTACCTCCGCTGCTGCATCTGTTGTAGGACAGCGGTATTTCAATGGCAATCACGGCCTCGCTCTACGAATGCCATTCCGGTCCATCATTGGACCGTAGTTTGGGCCAGCCCCTGCAATACGATGAGCGAGTTCGAACCTGTCGCCGTGCAGTGCCTGCAGCGGGTCGTTCCTACCGCTGTCGACGGCTTGCCGCGAAATGGCTCCGGGCTCCCTGCTCACCCTTATGCAGTTCTGATTCGCGTGTAGCCCCAAACTCAACAATCTACAACTGCATCTACCATGACTCTACTATGTGGTCAACTCACCGGAAAGTCGACATGCAATCTACGCAGTCAGCAATCTACCTGACGATCAACAACCCCGGAGGGAAACGTGCAGCAGTTGGAACTTTGTATGCGATTAAGCGAAGTTGACTAGCTGCATTCGCTCTCCAACTGGGCATGCATTGAACAATATACTTTTATCCATTTTCGTCCGGCGCAGCTGAGTTTGAGAACGATCAGTTTTGAGGAATCTGGACCATCTACTGTAACGTGTGAAATCTCTAGTTGATGCTCATTCTCGGTTAGCTGATGTAGACAAACAATCACTGTCAAGCAAAATTCTCGGAAGAATTCCCGGCACCAAATTATGTTCATGTAACGTCTGACATTTGTGTTACCGTACCTTCAAACGTGTAGCTTTTCAAGTAGCACATCAAAAGGACCTCGTCCGCCAAAGGCACATACACCTATGTTGCAGCCCTGTTTCAACAACGCTTTTGCACCTCTTCATCTGCTAGTTACGAAGATAATCCTAATGATGGCTCCGTGCACTTTGTTGGTGGCAGGCGGATGCGACAACTTCGTTGTACTTCTTGGCCGATACACATACCGACTTTGGTCAGCAACTTACCCTGTGAACCAGCTTTTACAATGGCTCTGTCGAAATCGGACTCGACTACTGGACGATACACTGCACTTCCATCTCTCCATGTCAAGTTTCCTGGAAAAACACGTGCATAGCCCCAGACCTCGCGTTCCAGCAAACACCACGCGAAAGCCATGTAGGTTTTGTCGAAAATGGTCCGACGAGCAAATCGCAAAAGGCGCCAAAGCGCGTCTGTAGATCTCGAGGCGATCGGGAATGTCGCCAACGCGCCTTGCGCATCCGCAGTGCATCCACCACGAAGCGATAGCCGCCGATTCCCTGCAAGCGAGCTGCATTGACGCGCTCACATAAACTCGATAAGCGCAATCTACGCCGGTCGCTTACCCCGTGTGTGACGCAGCTAAAAGCAACGTCACGTCTTGGCAACCCTGCAGGCGCTCACCCACCCGATTCTGGCTCGTTGTCCCTTGTTCAGCATCACGGTATCCGAGAAAACTTCGTTTCCCTATTCACGAGCGGTTACAAATTATAGGAGTGTATGGCAGCGTGCGTTGTTGCATAGATCGCGTTTATTAATGTGGCCTCTAGCCTTAACTGGTCGGCGATTTTGGCACCCCTACTCCAACCGCATGAGGCTGAAGACGGTAGTCAGCTATGGACATCAGACGCGTCGAATGTAGAAATGCGGGGCGTCGCATCCTAATAGCTAGGGTGCCTGTCATGGAGATGGAGCGAATTCGTATAGGATGATTCGACACGCCCCACGCAATATTCAGAGCAACTCTTCTAAATTTCTTCGATCGGCAGTGATAATTGGGCCGAATCGCGCGGACGGCTCTTCACCATTGTCCGAATTCGTCACTTCTCCAGCTAGCCATACGACCGGTACCTTGAACACCAGGTTGCGTGTGTTGGTCTTCACCCGGACTTAAGTCACCTTTTCGTTCTAGCATTACGAGGAGACGAACAACAAAGGCCCGAAGGCTACTCGGAAGCTAAGCATCTTCCCCGACCAATCGTTCAGACGTCGCACGGATGAATATCCGAATGAAGACGAACGCCGACGGTTTACGGCATCACGAACGTGCCGAGATCAAGAAACTCGCTTACCCGGGACTTGGGTGTGCTTTTACCATGGTTGTTCAGCTAGTCCTTCTTCGTTTGTGCTGGTGTAGCGACGCTACAGCTATTCTAGGACAGAATAGGAAGGCGCCGGCCGGGTTTCATATCGCTTCGAACTAGTTCGTGTCCCATTACCAGCTCTACGGGTGGGGATTCCAAACGATGGCGGTGACCACCCGTAAGCGCGGCTGAACAATGCTCGTAGTTCAGGCGTGCTGGCGTCACTTATGATCACTTGGGAGAGGAAGGACATCAGTGCAGATTGCATGATGCCCCGCTAGCGTAACTTAGTGATGAGTGGCATGTTTAGAGATGCTCGGGCTTTTCCCATCTCGTCCAAGAAAGATGCCATCAGCATGATAAGATCTAGCGCGACATTCGAGAAGCAGCGGGCGCTTTTTTTCGTGGCCCCCGTAGTTCTCTTGGTTGTTCGTGAGGCTCGATGGCTGACAGCTGGGTACTGTAACCATCGCGTAGCTACAGGTGGTGGCTGACAGCTTGAGAAAGCCGCCTTCGGCAGTCAGCTTTTAGCGACTGCGCAAGTTTCGCGGTTAACCCTCACCTTGTAAGACTGATGTTTTCTACCTGTCTCCCCCGGCCCTCGATATCAGCGCTGCACGTTGCGGCACGGCCAGATCGCATCGGTACCTGCACTGATCCCCAGCCTTGACGGAGTTTTCCCAAGAGTACTGACTCAGTACAAGTGATTGCGCCTCTTGTGAGAAGTCATGACGTTGAATAGTCTTTCCCATCACATACAGGTCTGAAGCATATCGAGAAATTTGTCACAACAACGCAATTACAAACTAGGTTTTATGCGGACTTGCATGCGGGCATATGCAATTTGCTGCAATATTCCGCAGGCCAATTTGGGCTAACCAACATGCGAGTTCGAGCACAGGACACAGGATTAAACGAGTGCCGCGAGCTTCTCGCGTATAGCCAACTTTCGCGACGTCGATCTTACCTTTCTAGTGCCCAATTTCAATAACGTTTGTTCAACATCATGCGATCATGCAAGACCTTGACGCCCAAAGTCTGCAGTTAATGGAAAGCATAGCATAGACACGACCGATCGAAGCATGAAAACTTGCGCGAAAGATCAGAGTGGTAGGACAAGTCTCAAGCAAACCTCACCACTGACGTAAAAGGTAGGGGTCGAACGGTAGGATTCAGCACCAAGGACACATACCCAGCAGAGGCGCCGCTACCCTACAAGTGTCTTTGCCAACCCTGGCTTGCAACCAGCATAAATTTGCCTGCATCTCACTGCATCAGGCAATAATAAACAATAAATCTCACATGCACAATCATCACTACGTGCATCTGATCCGCATAAATTCCGTCCCCTCGTGGGTTTAGATTAAGCGCCGGGCGCACGAAGATCCCACCGATCAGCAACACGCCCTGCATTCGGCCCCAAAATCACAGAAAACGGTCAAGAGTTTTTCAGCTAACTGCGGGGGTTTGAAACAAAAATGCCCAGCAGAGGAGACCAAAAGGGGTGTGAGATGGTTCCATACGCCTACGTGTCGTGGTGTTAATGGCTGCAAATTAGTCCTCATTCTCGCGTCCTGCGACGATCTCAGTGAGCTGACATGGAGTAATGCGACTCGCCCCGGCTTTCAAGGCTTCCGAACCGTCATAACTTTATACTACACAAGACTTGGTCTGTCTGTACGCGGTAAGGTGGCTTGGAGGGGGGTAAGAGATTGCCCCAGTCAAGGGTGGACGAGTTTGGAAGGTTAAGACCTTCTTCACCTAGGGCATGGAGGAATGCCGGGGCCTATTCCTTCAGCAGTCCGCAGAATCAGCTCAGAACACTCTGTTGCCCAGGACGTCGACCAAAATCTCCTAGCATTTCTTATTATGTTCCTTCGCGGAAGCGCGCTTAAGCCCAGTTTATAAGCGCGCTTTCAGCCCCCACGCCCTCGCACTGACACGCAACCCAACTAGGGTATTTCCAGTCGACAACATTTTTGAATGACTAGACGATTCTTTTTTGCTTGAGAGTATTGTAAATTGGTAAATGCAAAGCTCTGAAGGCCAAATTGAGAACTAGTCATGTCCAAAACTGTGAAACCAAAATTAGTACATCAGATACATTGACAAATGATTTGAGTATCGTAATCCAATGATTACATTAATTGGCTATTCTACAATGATACCAAACCTTACCCTTGGACACTGCCCTCCCATAGACTTTTGACACCTTTTTAGTGTGAATCTTATGTTCGTACCTAGCACACCATGCCAAGTATGCTGTTCGTGATGTCGTTCAAGTCATGTCCGTTTTCGTTAGATCGTTAGATCTGTAGCATCCTTACCTGCTGAGGGGCTTCTGAGTTGACTAGATAAAGTCCCCATCTCCGAAGCCACCAAAGGGATTCGGTGGCCGTCCACCGAGACCGCCGAAGCCTCCTCCACCAGGAAACCTTGGACCTCCTCCGCGGTTGTCCCTCAGTGGATCACCAGGTCCTACAGGGTCGTATCGTGCACCTGGGGGCGCCGCAGGATCATAGCCGCCCTGACCACCTGGACCGCGGAATAGTGGATCGTCGAAGGTAGGGTGCATGCCGCCGCCGAAACCCCCACCTGGCCGCGGCAGCCCTCCTCCAAGATGCGGCCGAAGTGGATCGTTGGGCCCAAGGCCTTGCGGGTACAGGTCATCATGTCCTATGCCGACAGGATACCGGTCATCTCGAAGACCGCCACGTGCCGGTCGGTTGACTTCATATTCGTCTTCAAAACCGGGTATGGGCTCAGGCAGGGGTCGGCCTGGTTGTGGTCGCGCAACTAGGGGGTCGTTGAAGGGATAGGGACGTGCAGGCTCTGGCTCATTCGGTGGTTGCCGTGGGTTGGGAGGCTCGCCTCTTTGTGGGCCTGGCTGGTTTGCTGCAGGTGTGCGCTCACGTTCTGTGTTGCTCTGTTCGTAGCCTTGCTTGTGTAGTCCTGGCGCCAGCTTCTGGATGATGGATATGTTGAGTAGTGCACCGAGATCGTTCAGTCGCCCTGCCGAGATGAAGAGGTCTTGTAGCTTCTTTGCCGCGTCTTCGGTCGATGTGTCTTCGGAGATTGTGAGAGGGAGGGTCGACTCGGAGAGGTAATCTTTCGTTGTGACGTCGAAGTGTGTGGTTTTGTCGTCACCGATGGCGAGAGCGTACACGACTGCTTTGCCTCCAAGCCTGTTTATTTTGACAAGGTATTCCATGGCCGACTGCGCGTGCGCATAGCGAAAGGCATAGGATGAGGACGCGTTCCAGGCCGGCGGTAGTGACGCAGTGTCCTCAGCATCTGCATGGGCGTTTGTAAGCATCCGAGTACCTACAGTATGATGGAAAGGCATGGAATGGAAGCCCGTGGGGATCATCATACCTATCCGCTCGTCCTCTCCAAGTCCAATGAGTCTGAAGCCAACAGCACGCATGCCAGCGTGAACAGCAAGAGCTATAGCCTCCGTCGGGTTCTTAAGCTGTGCGGCCTTCGGCAGAGACTTGGCCATTGACAGCGAGAGCGAACCCGCGCTGAGCGCATTGCCACCCGAGTTCTCCTGTGACATTGTTTTCAATCGTACATGTGCCGACCTGTGAAAGCTGTGTCGTTTCGGTGCGTGAAGGCGTGCGTACAAGTATCGTGAGTGTTGAGGGAGACAGAGAGACAGAGAAGAACGAAAGTTTTAAGCTCGTAGAGGTAGGCGGTGTTGTAATTCTGAATCGCGAATTACTCTACAAAGAGATGTTTCAGGCATCCACGGTGACGAACGGTGGTGCTACACCAATGAGGTCAGACCTCCGCAGGCGGGGGAGCTCTAGCGCAGGGCAGGGATGAGTGCGGGACCATCCTTCTTTGCTTCAAGCCTCAACGATGGTCACCATTATTAGCCCTAAAAGTATAGTTTCTGAATTATCTATAAAGGCATGGATGAAGCCTCCACCGTTCAAAAATAGCATACGACTAAAATACTATGCTCCGACCTGGGGGAATAACATGACTAGGTTCAACGCCAGTGCAATGCAAAACAATCACAATAATTCATAAGGCTGGAGCGCACACCGACAACCCCCGTAGATCTGCTGGAAGATTGCTACTCGGGCAAATCCTGTGAGGTACTCGATGTGAGCTCATTCGGTTCAAGAAGCCTGCGGAAGTCAGTGAGTGCGCTAGAGTGAGCAAGACAGGGGAGCTTACGAGTATTGCTTGTACAGTGTCCCCTCGCCTCCCTTCTCGAGGTCGACATTGAAGATGTAGTAGTTTCCCTCACTCGTAACCACCATGATTTGAGGACCGTTATTATTAAGCGCCACCACACTTCTCATGGGGCCTGAAGAGGCGCTGTTGGGTGATTTGGGTATCTTGATCCAAGCAAAGTCTCTCGCAGGTTCCCAAATCTCTGCTACTGCGCTTGGCAAATAACCGCCAACAGTTGCCGCAAACGATTTTCCAACGGTCTGTGATGTCCGCCGTATCATACTCGCCAAGGTTGGGTTCAGCGGTTTGCGCTCGGAAGACGCAATGTCTGCTGAGCTGGCGCCAAACTCGTCAAAGTTTTCCTCGCTGGCCCGGCTACTGCTACGTTCACGAGACGCAGAAAGCGGCCTATTGGGCCCCGAGGATACGCTATTACTCCGACTTGTGTTGGGTGCGCCTAACCGGAAGATGTGCACAGTCTCGGTTGCCGATGACACGCTCAGCAGTGTCGATGTCGAGTTGAAAGACATGCTATATATCTTGGCCGGTATTGAGCCTCTCCGGAACTGATACAGCTTCTGTGCATCTGGTATCGAGAAGACTCGGATGATTGTGCCCTTCTCAGACGCCGTAGCCAACAGGGTACCATCGTTGTTCAGCGCAATGCAAGATAGAGGAGAGTTGTGTGCCTCGATTACATTCACCGCCTCCATCTTTGTAGCATCGTATATAAGAACCTCGCCGCTTGTCGGAGCGATATGGTCGGACTTGGGCGGCGCATGCGATGGTGGTTGGAAGGTAGCGGGTGCAGCTTTCGTGGGTAGCGGGTAGACGAGGTAGTTGTTCTCAGAGGATGCTGATAGAGCGCATATAGCTGTGATACGTCAGTGAATGCAAGCAAACTAAAGCTTTTGGCCTACTACCATTAGGATTTGGCGACGTCTTCTCGGTCTTGAGCATCTGCATGTTGCTGATATCATATATGTAAAGCTCCGATTCGAGAACCACAACTAGCCGTTTCCTGTTTAATCGCATCGCGAGTATTGCTGTGCGAAAGGTCATCTCGCAAATAGTCGAGTGCCTCTTTACACTATTAGTACCAACCAGAGCAGACATTTGTACTCTGGGACTGACCTTGGTGTTCTGTATCCGAAGCACCCGGGGGGATAGGGTGAGTGCGACTAGAGACGTCGAGAACAGCATCTCGAGGCTGGAGACATCTCCTTCGCGCGACTCGGACTGCTTGTTGAATGGGTCGGTGGTGTATATGCGGTAGCCATTCGTGGTACCTATGCATGAACTCAGGGTTTGTTGATTGGCTTCATGCTAAGGAGCTTACGTACCGACGCCTAGATGGCTGTGATCCTGGTTGAAAGTGACAAAGTTCATGGCTGTTCTGTTCGTCTGTTGTGATGTGCCCGTCGAGAGAGTCGCGAGCTATCCGCGATGGATAGCTAGTTAGAGCTTGGGCCACTGATTACCGGTTCTCGCGACGACGTGTGAAGGTGGTACCGGACAGAGATGGTGGATTCGATGAGGACGACATGTGTATGCATGGAGAATACAACGTCGTGGAGGTGTTTGACGCGTGATGCAGCCCTCAAGGTTGCCGCATCCGCTTCCGCCTGATGGTCCAATGTATGCAGGGATTAGCTTAGCCCCGCTTGTGGCTGGTGCTCCAAAATTCCATCGCCCTTCTGGGTTGACTGTGCCATCTAGCATCGATACCTCAATAATGTCGACAATGACGACGAAAATGAGGCCCAAGAAGGGCGGCGGCAAGCGTAAAGTGGCCCTCAAAACCACCCAAGAGAAGAGAGATGTCGACATTATGAATGTGAGAATTCCCGTGCTCTCACAACGACACATGACCTCGAGCATGATCACTGAACTAAACCAAACTTTAGACCAACGACAGCAGCATCGTATCGAAAAGGAGCGTCTCAAAGTTGTACCTCAAAGATGAGCCAGACTTCTACGAGCCATTTGTACCAAAGTTCGTTCGACGCAATCCTCTCATCAACCGCGGCTACTGGCTTCGAATGCACGCAATCGAGCAAGTAGTTCGGCAATTCCTTGAAGAGAAGAACGGCAGATCAAAGGTTATTGTAAATCTAGGATGTGGATAGTGAGTAAGACATCTGTTCTCAAGCTGCCCAACCAAGAGGAACACTAAACCTCGAGAAGCGACCCCTTGCCCTTCCAGTTCTGGCATAGATATGCCCCTCTTACACAACAGGCTACCTTCGTGGACGTCGACTACCCGCAGTTGATGGAGAAGAAACGAGATCGTATGCTCAGCAATAGCCTGCTTCGAAATGCACTGCTCAAAACGAAGCTGCGCTCATCCGAAGCGCCTGTCTACCTTCGCAGTGACCAGTATATGGCTATAGGTTGCGACCTTAGGGAGCTTGACACGCTTGAGAGAATATTACGTGCAGAATTTGATGTGCCAGCGACTTCCATTTTGTTTGTTGCCGAAGTTTCGGTAACGTACATGCCAGTGAGAGACGCGGATGCACTCATTCGGTGGGCAAGCACGTTAGACGACGGTATGTCGGCTCGATATCATTCAGTCGTTGAAGCCCCCTAATCGTTAGCAGCTCGCTTCTGCATGCTAGAACAATACCTTCCACAGGGTCAAGAGCATCCCTTTGCCCAGACCATGCTTCGGCACTTCGACAAGCTCCAAACTTCGATTCAGGCGGTCAAGCAGTACTCATCACTAGCCCGACAATCTTCCCGGTTCCTCGATTCAGGCTGGTCAAAGCTACTGATTGCTCGCAACTTGTGGGACCTATGGTCGGATGATGCATTTACCCCTCCCGCTGTTAGACGGAGCCTGGATGCCGTCGAGCCGTTCGATGAATGGGAGGAATTTGCTCTGTTCGGTGGCCACTACTTCTTACTGGTTGCTTCTAATGCGGAGCTAAGGAAGTCAACTGAGACATCCAATGTGTCCACTGCAGATAGTTGCATGAAGCCTAGCGATGCGGCGATTATCAGTCTACAGTCTTGGACGCAATCAACGACTGCTGCCTTGACGCCACGACGTTTCACTGCCGCTTTTGCCTCCGAAAAGGACACCGTTGTTTTGTTTGGAGGGCAGGGAACCCAGGCCCGTCTCTCAAGCGTAGATGTCCTAGCACGGGAGAATTCGCAACTTGCCGTTCAGCCCTGTACCACGCCGCCACCTCCTGCACGAGTATGCCATACCATCACACCTATGAGCAATGATGAGTCGCTGTTGGTCGGTGGGCGTGGGTCACCAACACAGGCTCTTACCGATTGCTGGTTAATTAAGAGTGGAACTTGGTCGAGTGTACCTGGCTTACCGAAAGCTAGATACAGGCATTGTGCTGTAGCACTTGCATTAGAGTTCGAAGGGTCACAGGCCAACAGTGTCTTAGTCTTCGGCGGCAAAGCAAGCGATGGCACAGCACTCGACGACTGCAATTTATGGACCAACAACGGCTGGCACAGCTTATCCGTCGACGGTCCGCGCCCGCCAGCACGATTTGGTGCCGCAATGTCTACGATGAGTTCAGCCCAAAATTGGGGGTTGCTCGCGGGTGGCGTTGGTGCAGACGGCACAGTTCTGGAGGACATATGGGAGTGGACCGTCTCCGCCACACCAACATTATGCATGACATTCAAAGATCGCACCAATAATGTCCACGGCAGTGCACCAAGCTCTGCATACGCACGAGTAGGGGCGAGTTTGGTCCCATGGGGAGAATCTCTTCTTCTGATTGGGGGTGTTTCGAAGAAAGAGATGCATAGTCAATCCGAAGACTTCTTGCTACTAACGCAAAAGAATGAGGAGATTTTGGCCGAGTATCCTGTCATGCAGCTGCCAGCAACATGGCCTCTTCTGGTCGGCATGGGCGTAGCTGCAGTATCTCGAAACGAGGTTGTGATTGCAGGAGGTGGCGCCGTATGCTTTTCTATGGGAAGCTTTTGGAACGAAGGCTATTTCACTATCACACCTGCCGATACGCAAGGGCCGAAGTCGTGGCGTGTGGCGCCGCACCAGACCAACGGCACGGCACATTCGGAATCGAAATCGAAATTACTTGAGTTACCGCGCCAAAGTCAACGAGGCAAGTCGAAACAGCCCAAGGCTCCGCGTACTACCAAGATCTCTCGGTTGCAGCTGCGTTCGGCAGAGGACTTCTCTCAAATAGTCGCCCTCTCCAAGCCAGTCATTATTGAAGGCCTTGATCTCGGCCCTTGCGTTGACTTATGGACGCTTGATTACCTGAAAGAGAAACTTGGCCCAGAGCGGGAACTCATTATACACAAGTGCTCGTCCGACCGCATGACTTTCAAAGACAAAAACTTTCAATACGCCAAGGAATCAGTCGCAGACTTCTTGGACGGCATTGCTCAAGGCTCGCAAGCCTATCTCCGCGCCGTATCGTCTAGTCAAGCCAACAAATTGCCCACCAAACTCGAGGACGACTTTCCCACCATCGCGGCTGACTTTCGCATTCCAGATGTGTTTGATATAGTCAAGTCTAGGTATCACAGCTCACCTCTCCGTATTTCAGGCCCTGTTTCCTTGTGGCTACACTATGATGTCCTCGCCAATATCCTCTGCCAGATTCGGGGCACAAAGACGCTATACCTCTACCCGCCGTCGGATGTCAAGTACCTCGACTTCCCGGCCGGAGGTTCGTCCTCGAATATCGACGTCTTGACCGCAAAAGACCCTATCCTCCGACGAACCCATCCCCACGTCGCTCTCCTCAAGCCCGGCGACGTCCTCTTCATTCCACCGATGTGGAGTCACACAGCGACCCCAGAAGAAGGTGTCAGTGTTGCAGTTAATGTTTTCTGGAGAGATCTCGAGAAGGGGTATGCGGCAGGAAAGGATGTATACGGCAATAGAGATCTGCAGGCTTACGAGAATGGGAGGAGAGATGTCGAGAAGATACTCAAGGCTTTTAAGGATGTCCCGTCGGATATTGCGGGGTTTTATCTCGAGAGACTTGCGGGGGAGATTCAGGAGAAAGCTGAGAAACTGGAGGTGAAGAAAGAACGGCCAGAAGAGAAGTAAGACGAGTAATGATTAATATCGGTAATAGAAAATGGTCTAGTTCGTGCGATCGTTTTCAGGAATTAGTTTCCATCTTGCCCAACGCCCACAACCTGTTCCTCTTTCTCCTCCCTTTCCCTTCTCCAAGTCTAATCGGCCCAGAAAACCTAACCTATTCTGCCAGTCATATTCTTTATTTCAGTCTTGATATCTTTTTTCACATAAGCCCACTTCACGCCCTCCCCTCCAGAATCATACTTCTGCTAAGACGGACGATTCAAGTTTGCACATGAATTAATACACTATTTAGGCTAGTGATGTGAACTCAAGAAGTTCTAATATCAGTCTAATAGCTGCTTCAGTCATGTTTACATTAATTATGTAGTCTTATTTCAAACACACCTTTACGGTGTGCTGTTGATCTATCAATAGTTGATCTAGATGGCTAGTTCCAAATTTCATTCCACCTCCTCCCATCTAGCTCAACTGGGCCATCAAACCTCCCAAACCTGGGCGGTCCTGTCCCGGGTTCTGGCAAACGTACCCACTCCCTGATGCATCCAGGAACCTCTTGTCTACTATGACTTACACACAATAGCGCTTGATGGTCTTGCAGGCCTGGCACAACCGTCTTCCCTGTTTTCTCTACGTCACTTACTACAGGCTTCAGCCCGGCGCCTGTATACTGGAGCTCCATGCTCTGCCCGCGGCTGAGGAAGAGAAGGCACTTGTCGCGGACGAGATCGTCCATGCCGCTGAACGCTTCGTCTAGGATCACGATATCTGGGTTGCGAATTGTGGATCGTAGGAAGAGAAGGACACGTTGGGCGGAGAAGGACACTTCGCCGAAAACAGTGTTCGCTGCCCAGTCGAGGTTCTCGCTTGAAGTTTGGCCGTCCTTGAGGAGGGGGTTGAGCTCTCCTTCGAACCAGCGAAGGCAAGCTTCTACGCGTTCTGTGGCATCTCTGTCAAGTCTAGGCTTGGTGATAGGAGTGTCGCTCCATGCTGTCTCTAGAGTTGTTCGGATGGTAAGTCTCTTAGGGAAGAGGGCGTGTACTTCTGGTGATGCGTGACCCATCCGTGACTGGATCTCGAAGATAGTGATTCCGGGCACGCCTGGCTCCGGAAGTCTTGAGCGCTGGAAAAGTTTGACAGGTGTCGAGTACGTTTGAGGGTGATCTGAGGTGACGAGACTTAGCAGTGTAGTCTTTCCAGAGCCATTGGCACCGAAGATGCCCCAGCGCTGACCACGGTGTACGTTCCAGTATAAGCCAGTTTCCTTCGACCCGTCGACTTCTTGTTGCCACTCTCCAAGAACCGAGTTCGCACCGTATGCAATACGTACCCCCTCCATCTCTACTACTGGCTCTGTAATTGGCACTTCTGATTTGTCAAGCTTCTCATATCCATCGCGACTGAGTGCCGACGAATTCGACGATGACTGTGGCGGTCCCGTATCGAAGTCGCCTCTTTCAGAGAGATGTCGCCCGACCTCCCGCAGCTCGACAAGCTTCGGGTCGAGCTCTAGACTTGCAGAGGTAGATTTCTCAACCTCCTCATATCGCTGCTGTAGATACTGAAAGACCTCTTCTTTCGGTCCAAGTGCATCGACCTTACCGTCCTCACCAGCGTATGCGACATGAGTGATCCACTCTGGTATCGCATCCTGAGGCCTTAGGGACAGCACAATCCTCGGTGCATTCGCTTCCGCAAGGCGATGCAAAACTTTGGAAATGTGCTTTGTTACAATCGGATCCAGCCCAACTGTATCATTTGTTAGCGTCAAATTGTCCAATATAGCCAAATCCAAGGAGGACTCACTGAACGGCGCATCCAAGCATAAAGCCTCTGGCTGACTCAGAAGTGCCTTGCCAATCCTTGCTCTTCGACTCTGCCCATTGCTCAGCATACTAACTGGCTTATCCAAAAATCTCTCCAATTCCAAATCCTTCATGACCTTTCTCATCAGACCCTCGTCGATACTCTTTGCTTTTAGCTCTTCCTCCCCTGGATTCATGGTGATGATTCCAGTCAGATAGCGCTGAACAGTGAAATCGGTATCTTCTTTGAGCGACTCGTAGCGAGCGGAGAGATACGCGCCACCAAAAGCTTTGCGCTCTACGTCGAAGCCCACATACTCGATTGCGCGCTCTGGGAAGCGTAGACTGGGCTTCTTCTCTGTGATCTCTGGGGATAGCAAATATGGGTATGTTCGTGCCGTTGGGGGAAAGCACAGCAGTTGGCCTCTAAGTATCTGAAGGAATGCTGTTCGGATACTTGATGATGGACTTAGGATCGCCCAGTGTTGATTGGGCGTTGAGAAGGAGGGTAGGGACAGGGTCAGGTTGGGAAATAATGGCGGGTTGGGCGGTGCATCTTGACCTGGAGCTGGTTTCGATGCTGGGTGTTGGCGGTAGAATGTGCCATTGGTGATTTTCACAATGGGCTCTGAGTAGAGCCTACGCGCTCCATGAAACTGAGCGCATCTTGAGGCCGCGAAGAAGCGCGCTGGCGTTCTTCTCATGTCGAAAGCTGCTGCGATTATCGTCGTTTCGAGATGTTTATTAACCGTCCTGCATCAATTTGTCGTTTAGCCTTCCGTATCGGAGAACTGCCCAACTCCGCGACCATGGGGGATGACGTCGCCCCCTCTCTCTGCCGAGGTCGTCTTGAGCTGACATCTGCGGTCCCGCATCATGCAGTTTATACGAGCTTGAATGGCCCTCACACAAGTAGTTGACGATGATTCCCGGTCTACAGCCGTCGCGGCCAAAGGTAAGCCGTGCATTACTTTGGGGTTTCATATCTTTACTAATAAAAGCGTAGCCCCCACAGCGGCCTGCACTGCCGACCTACGCGCATGAACAGCGACGCGCTGCTCACTCTTCATCACCTCAAACCTCACAGCCACCTAGCTCTCCCATAAACCCCGCAAGGCCGCGGATTCAAATCGAGGCCATGCCTCCATTTGGTCCTCCACACACTCCCGCTACCTTCTTCACACCGCTTTACGACAGCGCGATCCGTCACCCTGTCTTCTTCACCCAGAACTTGAAAAAGCCGCCGTTTCCAATACCGCAGAATACAAGTCAAGGTTGGAATCCTGTAGCGAGTGGATACGTCATAGAGCAAAGGGCAACCGAGGCTGCTGGGAAGGCGAAGTTATGACTGATTCTAATGATGTTGTTGCATTGCGCGGAGTTACGGAGCATCAAATTGAGCATAGTTATGATAACAACTCAAGCTTTTTCTTTGGATCTGATTATGGAGGAGGGTATCTGAAATGTTACAAGAGATGAGAGAGGACCACATACTAAAAGCGAGCATTACGGCGTAAACAGAAACCACCGCCGTCGTCTAAATGAAGAGAAATAATCCCAACGACTTTCCTATCAGCTTTCCATAGTACTTCCAGCCTTTCTTAATCATCGGGGCATTCTCCTCATCCACGTTATGCTTCTCCATGACCCTCAAGAAGACCTCATCAAATGTCGAGGGACTCACAGAATAATACTCTAAACCCAAGGATTCTTTGTTTTCCTCGAGCAGCACGAACAACTTACCGACTGCTTCTTCCATGCTATGTGTAGTCAATAAGACGCTTCGTCCTGGAGCAAATTCCGCGAGCGTCTTCCACATCGTGCGTTTAGCAAGCGGATCCATACCGCTGCTCGGTTCATCTAGAAGAACCAGCTCAGGATTGCCAGTAAGTGCGATGCCCAGGCTAAGTTTGCGCTTGTTGCCACCTGAAAGCTTCGAAGCCATACTTCCGGCGAGATGGTCCAAGCCAACAGCGCGCACGATCTGACGTGCATTGCGCTCCGGGTCTGAAACTCCGCGAATACCGGCGTAAAATTCGAGGTGTTCGACGACGGTCATCTGATCTACAGCGTCAAATTGCGGACATACACCGAGACGGGCGCGCGCAGTGCGGCGTTCTTTCATGACGTCTATGTTCCCGAGGTGAATAGAGCCACCTTTTTGTGAAGGCTGAATTTCGCCGCGCAGCATGCTAATTGTAGTTGATTTGCCAGCACCGTTGGGGCCTACGACCGCGAAGACTTCGCCCTGCTTGATTCCAAACGTCAGATCATCTACTGCGGTCATAACGCCGCCGGTACGATGCTTGAAGGTGCGTGTGAGGTGTTGTAGACGTAGTCCACTGTTCGCGCTTGCGACACGCTCGATCTCGTCCGAGACTTCCTTCTCGCGAGTATTCTGGTCTTCTGCGTCCCTAGCTGATGTAGGCTTTCTGAACCAGTTTGCCGCCCATTTGTGATCAACAGCCATTAGAATCAGAAATAACACGAGGGACTGGCAGATTAGATAAAGAATGGGTTGCCCGTAGAGCCTGATGTCTCCCGGATATGTCACCATCTCCGGTGGACTGCCACGACAAAGAGCTGAGAACAAGTTCATCGAAATAATGAGTGCGCGCACTAAATTGCCGCTAGGAGAGATCATCGTGAAGGTGAAGTTGAAGATCTTGATCGCTTTATCCACCTCATGTGCTGGAAGATTTGACTGCATATTCAAGATCCCCGTGAAGTACATCAGCAGTAGGAATCTATAATATATTAACAGAGCATCAGCTTCAACGAAGTGAGTACATACGCTTGAGAGCCTGCTGATATGGCAAAAGCAGCCAGCTGTGACTTTGCAAACAGCGAAACCATGTAAGCCCACAAAAGGGACGCCAAGCCGTATAGGAACAAGACCACGAAAAGGTACCCAACGTTCCACCAGTTGTCAGGCGTAGATACAGCGAGAATTATGATCATAATGACAGTATTCATAAGAACATTCAGCCAGTCGAATGAGACATAGGCAAGCCTTCGGTACCATCAGCGGAATCTGATTAGCAGTCTTTAGCAACAACGTACCAGAGTGGGAGTGGACGCGCTCCGTTACTGTACTGAAGCGCTCTTATATTGAGTAGCCGCTCCCTTGTCGGATATAGCGCGAAAAACGCAGGGTAGCAACTCATGATCAAGCCGAAGTAGAAGATGAACTGGATCTGATTCGTAGCATTTTCGGGCCATGGGACATTGAAAGACCTGCGGATTGTTGGCCGTGAACTACAAAGTCGAACGTCTTACTTACTTAAAGCTGGTTGAAATCGTAGTGTTACTGAGTAGCATGTTGACCGCATTCTGCATGAAAATAGCGGAGTACAACCCAAGAAAGCCCAAGTCGGAGTAGAAGCTGAACACCGGTTCGTCGCCTAAGAAGAAGCCACCCGGGGTGATCTTGCTAAAATTTGCGTTTATATACGCACGATACTCTTCAATGGTGTCCACGACTCTAACATAATCGTTAAACGCACTTAACGAGGAGCTAGCGTTACCAAACTGGCCGGGAAGCATGCTTTGAAAGGCGGTCAAGTTGGCATTCGCCAAACTGCTAGCCGGTCCTATTACGAGAAGTGGTTTGTAGCCGTGCTTGTCACTGAGGGCCTCCAGGTCGGCTTCTTGTACTTGTTGTCGTGGTGAACATCCTCCGTATGTCTTGCCTTTTAGGAGGACTGAGATACCGGCGGTGGCGATGACAGGTATGATGAAAGCGAACGTATAAGGTAGGTAGTTTCGCTTCAACACCGTCATTCTCTTCTTGAAGAATATCAAAGTTTGTTGCAGGAAGTTTACGGGCTTGCCGGTCATAAGAGGCGCATCGGCCGCTTCGTTGGCGGAGATCTTGACTTGCTTCTCCTTGATGTGTGACGGTATCGGACTGACTTCGCACTGAACGTCTGACTTCTCTTCATTCGTGGTGAAGGAAAGCTCAGGATCCTCAGCAAGTTTCATAAACACTTCCTCCACCGTAGGACCTGTGACTTGGTAATCCTTGATCTGCCGCTTATCAAGTTCTTTGATGATCTGCACAGAACGCCGGTCATCCTTGACCGTGAAGACAGTCTGATCAAACAGGCAGTCTTTATGTTCCCCAAAGAACAGATCGTCTACATCGGGAAGCGTTCCATAGCCCGCTCCATGTAGGAACCGAAATCGGTAGCCATTGCCTAGCTTACTCTTAAGCTCAGAAACAGAACCTTCAGCAACCATAGAGCCCTTGGACATAATGACCATATGATCTGCAAGGAACTCTGCTTCATCGAGGAAATGGGTGGTTAAGACGATTGTTCTGGTTCCTCGAGCAGCTAGCATCATGTCCCAGATCTTGCGGCGTGACAGCGGGTCCAAGCCTCCTGAAACCTCATCAACACAACATACTTGGCTCCCTCCGGTTAGCATCATCACTAGCTGAAGCTTGCGTTTCTGGCCTCCAGAGAGCGTGTTAGACATGGCCTGGATCTTTTGCGTCAGTCCGCAATCGTAGATCAGCTGACTGCTTTCAGCATCAGTAGTAAGGCTTAGCGTTATCGACTTGATACGTTGAAGATTCTGGCATGTTGAGCGACAGTAAGATGCTCCCAAAGTACATTCTGAAAGGGCTAGTCAGCACTATTATTGTCGAATATTTTATGGTGGAGCTTGCCTTTTGTGGACATATGCCGATGCCACCAGATCCGTTGACAGTGATGGAACCACTTGTGACATCACCAAGGCCTGCGATAGCGTTCTGAAGACGGTAAGCTGAGATTTTCATAGATGCATGCTATCTCACCAAAGTCGTGGATTTTCCACATCCATTGGCTCCAACAAGGACCATGATTTGTCCTCTCATCGGCGCCAATGAGACATCGTTAACGGCCTTCACTGTAGGCTTCTTTATACCAAACCAAGGAGCAACTAGTCGAAACCACCAATTCGGCGGGTAATTTTTCGTGAAGTTTGACAGAACGATAGGCTGCGAGTTGTTGTCGTATACTGTTTTCCTCCCATGTTGATCGGTATGATAAAGAGCGCGCTCTACCCAGGCGGCAAGCACAGGATAAACGAGAGTCTGAATCAACATGAATATCCAAAACACAATTCCAGGAACTCTCCATGTTGCCCAAGGTGCTGCTTCGAAAAGGTTCGGAGAGATCTGTCTATACTCAAAGCGTGCTAGCCAGATCATATGAAAGACGAACGTCATTGGCGTGAAGAGGAGACTCAGGAACACGACAGTAGCAGTTGAAAGCGTCTTTGCAGAGATTTGTGCCGCAACTCCCAGCACTAACGCGACGATTACGACTGTGATCCCGCTGAGCTGTGCTCGTCGGAAGATCGAGGCGCCGAGTATAGAGAACGAGTTGAGCGAGCAGCCTGTCAAGATGCAGAAGACGATCAGGATAGCTGGGTTTGTCGACGGGAATAGGCCAATCCTGGCAAGGACGGAAATCATGATCCATGACGGAAAATATACCTAAGATGGACGATTAGCGATGTCGAAATTGCTCGAAGTATCAATACTGACAATTGTGAAAGCCACCCAATGACCCAATAACCGAGCGACCTGCGGCTCAAATCTATTGAGATTGGGCATCATGGATTCCAGTAGATCACTCATACCCATTTCTCGCTCTCTTGTCATCACGCCAACAAGCTGGTAGCAAAGACCAATGAAGGCGATGTACCATACGACAGCAATATACTTGCAGATCGCATTCTGAATCTCTCTAACCAGCTTGTCGTCCCATTCATCTTGTGTCTCGGACGTGAATGGGAACTCCTTGATGTTGTCAGGTAATGGTCTTGCCCCGTTCTCTGCTCCGACCTCCGCAATGACTGAGTCGATAGCATGTTGCAGGGGGATGGGGAAGATCTCGGCGTCATTCTTGTTGTTCTTTACATTGATCTTGAAGCCGTGCACTCCATCGACGCGGATGGTATAGTTCCAGATACTACCATTTTCGGGAGACAAGTGGAACTCTGCCGCGGCGTAACACTTGGAGACTGCCGAGAGTGATGTTTTGCACACTGTGAGCAGTTCATCAGGGCTGTGCAGCACTCGTACAATTTGGCCGTCACTGCCCCTTGCTTTCTCAGACACTAGTTTGATGACTCTGTCGATGTCGCCGCCAGAGGGTCCATAGTTGCACAAGGCGAGTGTTCTTCGACCACCAGGGGCATCACGGATGGCTTCAGTGAGGGATCTGATCGTGCTCGGGTTGCCAATACCGTACGTTTCCTTCGGCCAGTAAACCCGAATGATGAAGGCAAAATACACAACGAAGATGGTTGGGATCGTAAAAGCGCGGATGATAGTCGTTATCCTTCGTTTACTGTTCAAAACAAGGAGGAGGTCCTTCCACGCCAGCGTCCATATCTGGCGGAGGAGCAGAGAGAGATTCATCGCAATCGAAACAAAGGACGAGTTTGGATTGAAAGGGAAAGCATGCAAATGCCGACTTCATCTTGTTCTCATGTTGTTCAAGTGCAAGCGCTGATAAGAAGAAGAATGCGAAGTACGAAACGGGCATTGAGGCTGTGAGGGTCAAGGGTCAAGGCCATTGGAGTCTAGGCTTCGACCTGCGCGCAATATGCACATTGTCGAGCGGGAAGCAATGATGTCGGTGCCTAGCAGCCACCTCGTATCTTGTGCGACTCCTATAGGTTAGCCAGAGCAACAGTTAGCGAGGCAGTCATTGGCTTGTATACACTATCCGTTACTATCCTCGTTTTTCAAGTAATCAAAAGTGTAGAGGATGGACATCAAATTGGTTGCATACAATATGACGTTGCTGAAATTTGGGGTAGTCAAGGTTGCGACCCGCACAAACAGGTGCTGGCTAACCAAATATAGCGCGCTAGTACGGTAAGACAGCTCTCAAGTTTTAGACTTCTCTAGGCTCGCATTATACAACGATCTCGCAATACAATCCCTCGTATCCCGTACCAGCCCCCGCTCCACGAGTAAAGACGCGCGTAACATATTCAACCAGCCTTTCCGCCGCACATCAAATTCCAAGCTGCATCGCAAACTTTCGAAATCAGCCTGAGAAGTGCCTTGCGAACAGTGATCTGCATGATTCTCAACGCACCATGACCGACTCAAAGGGCACCCCATTCGCTCAAGCCCTCCTCGGGCGTGCTTTTTCTCCCGATACAGCAGCTACACACTACACCGAGCGCGTCATCAAGCGCCCGCTGAACATCCGCGCAACCTCCCCAACACCATCCGCACGCGCAGTCCGTCGGCAAACCCTCCACGAGCGCAAACAAGAGCAACAAAAACGCAGTAAAAACAAGCCCCGCCCGCTATCTGCTGCTCAGAAGAGGAAGCTATGTCTGAATGAGATTCCCAAGGAGCAGCAGAAGTATGCGATATACGAGCCTTTGCACAGTCTCTGGGTTGGGTACATGCGGGAAATTCTGGGCTTGAACGACGCTGAGCGGGCTGTCCATGTGACACCGAATGCGAGTGGCCAGATGCTGGCTAGTGCGGATATGCATGGTGCGCTGCTCAGCGTGGTGAGGAGCCGGTGTGTGAGTCGCGTTGGCTTGGAAGGCATCGTCGTCCGCGATACCAGGTTCACGTTTGAGATCATCACCAGGCGAAATGTAGTCAAGGGTAAGTCTCGTAGAAATTCGAGGTAAGTCCTGTTCTGTGCTAATAGACGTAGCGGTACCCAAGGAGCACACGGTGTTCCGCTTCGAAATCCCTCTACCTGCTAAAGAAGGAGAGGAAGTGAAAAAGCCACTCGTATTCGAGATATTTGGCGAGCAGTTCCAGACACGAGCGGCTGATCGCGCGAACAAGAAGTTTAGGATCCATTATCAGCCGGACCTATGATGCACATGTTAGCAGAGAGTACTCGTCACTCAGCACATATTCTTTAAAAGCACGAATCTGCCTCATCAACGGCGACCCGCATACGCCCGTCAGCCTTGCGCCTCCCCGATGTCTATCCCGCGGGGCCACGGTATCTACTAAAACCTATTGAAGTCAGAAGTGAGGCATAGCGCCAACGTCGTCTCAATGAGTGCTCTGATGCCAGTGGTATACGTGCAGCGCGAATGCCGTCCACGCAGAGAAAGCAGTCGTCCCATGAATGCTAAAGCCGCGTCACGATGTAGGCCAGCGCACTGGAACACGTTCGAGGTTAGTAAGGGCACGATTGGAAACATGGTACGAAGTAGATTATGCCAATAGTTTACTCGTTGAGTAAGGTATCATCTTGATGAAATCCCAAAACGCCTAACCCGCTAAATGCAATGGTATCACATGATGTCGTGTCGAATCAATCCAATGGCCTCAAACCATGCAGTCTCCAGTCCTCCTCACACACTCGTAGCGACTCTGCCACCCTGAAAGTCCTCAGGCGTGAAGTCTTTAAGCTCCGCACCAGGACGAGCAGTATGCATTGATGTGATCTCGTCTTTCTCTTTCATCGCCCTCCCCTTGTCTAGGGTGAGCCCCGTGTAGCTCCTCGGCAAATAGCGCCCAGGATGCCACACCGCAAACACAACCAATACGGCGAATATTGGAACCGCATCGAACGTCCAGAAACACCACTCGTTACTTTGCAGATACTTGAGGCCGTAGTCCTGATCGTGCGGGATCTCCATTGTTCGATAGATGGCTCGTAGGGCGATGAGTATGCTGGAAACGTTGATAGTATATGAGAGTTTGCGCCAGAGCTTCATGTCGCCCAGGTCGAAGGCGCGCCAGTGGCGAGAGATGTAGAAGTAGCGCATCGAGATGATGGAGAAGGAGATGAAACACATCATTTGCAACACGAGTCCTAAGATAAGGATGACCCGGCCTGGTAGTGCTTTGCGTTCAGAAGATTCAATGGAGCGCGAGGGGTCGGAATCGCGGTCGTATTCCCGGCTGATTTGGGAGGCGCCGACGAGTTGGATGAGGCAGGAGAAGAGGTCGAAGCTGACGAATGTAAGGGTGATCCATCTTGGAAAGCACCACAGTGTCTTGAAATTCAGGGCGTATGTCGGGCAAGAGAACCATACTACGCGGCTGAAAGCTGTGTAGCAGGCAGCAGCCAGGAAGGAAGGTGCCAGGAGGATCAACAGCCAGGCGACGATGAAGGGCGAGTTTTTGTGCTCATCGAAAGCAGAGACAAGACGGCAGACGAATCCGAGTGTCAGCATGAAAATGGCAATGATGGCGGCCCAGAAGAACCATGATCGGTAGCGGAGGTACTGGTAGACGGAGAAGATGGAGATGAGCGTGACAATGATGGCGCCGACAATGGCGGCGTGCTCGGAGGGATCATAGATGTAAGGGTTGAGCACACTATTTGCTGTGTCCTAGTTAGTGTCGATGTATTGAGCAACATACCATGTGTAGATAGTAGACGGTAGATGGACGAGATGAACTCACTATACCCAGCAGCTGCCCGTTTAGGTAATTCGACAAACCGTGCCCCCACTAGAGCCGCTCCAATCATACTGGCAGGTTGATCGGATTCGCACTTCGTCTAGTCTTTCTTGTTATCGTCGCCACCTTTGCTCAACAGTCATGGCCAGCACAGCTCCACGGAGGTCCAGCGGGCGGAAAGCATGGTTGAAGTACGGGTAGCGGAGAAAGGAAACAAGCAGGGCGACCCCAAGAAAAAGCGAAGGTCCCGGCGGCATCGTGTTCTACAAAGTGCTAAGAAATACAAGCGCTTGGCGGACCTGAGCGGGCTCATATGGATCATCCTTACCGTGGTTCCATGCGCTAGCAATCAGTGCTCAACGGGTATTCGGGTTCCTGCTTGTAACTACCTTCATCAGTTGTACGCGTGGATCCAACTGTATCCATCTACCTATTCCACGGCCTACGTCTGCGCAGTCCTGAAGGGTGCAAAGAACATTGACAATGCGAACACAAGCCTCTCTGTTTCGTACACATGTGGGCTGCCGTATCACGTGTGCGTGGCGTAGCTTGGCGCACCAACAGGAGTGCGATTGACGGATTGTTTTGCTAACGCCGAGCGTTGGCAAACGCCCGACAACGCGCAGCGACGCCGACGGTTGGTGCTTCAGGGGCGGGCAATAGAGCGGAGCAACGTCATCAGCACGGCGGATCTTTGTTAGCCAAGCGCGACGGGATACCTTGATGCCCTTGGAGATATAGCTGAGCCGCACGTGGCATGTCTCTGAGCGGAAGTTTTGTTGACCTTGTGAAACTCTCGTCCTCTTGTCGTGCTGCGGAGCATCATTGCCAACTGTCTTGGCAGGACGAGCTATGGTTTCTCAAGCCGTCGCACAGAGCGACACAAGCGGAAACAGACATGCTTTCTGTGTATGTGTATGTTAATCTGCTTCTTATGCATGATTGTCAGAGGCATCGAGTGGTGAAGACGGGTAGATTGTTTCTGGTCGCTTCTTGGAACTAGACTGCAGCGTGCCACTACGATGATCATTCTCCTGTCTCGGAACTTGTGTCCCAAGAGTCTAATAAATCGGACAAATCGCATTCATGTCAGAACCTAGCCTATGCTGGTGCCGTCCGATCCGAACAGAGCAGTATTTTGAGTGCCGTTTAGTCGCAGATGCGCTGGCTCACTCTTGGCTCATCTCTTCTCACTCGTCGTCAAACTCGTCATCAGAGGCAGCACCTTTGTCCGTGGTGTCCTGCTTCTTCCCATCCATCTTGCCTTCTTCCTTTTCCTCCTCATCTGTGCCCATACCTTTCTTCAGCCACCTCACCTCCTTTGGCTTCCTCTCCATCCAGAGCTCATTAGCAGTCCACGTGAAGAAGCTACACATCACTTCTGTAATGTTGTCGAGGATAGTCAGGCCACCTTCAAGCGTGAGGACCTTAGCATCCATCTTCATGCCTACGAAGCACACTTCTAATACGCTCCCCTCGAGCCAGAAACAGTATTCCCTACCGTCGTCAGCTTTGCCCGGCTTGCCATCTGGGTACTTGAGCTTGTCACTGGGAAGATCCCACTCGTCACAATCTTCGGCGTACCAGGCCTTGCAAACGAGTTTGCCGAGTGGCTCGAGCCGTTTGAGTTTGTGCTGTAGAGCCTTGCCTAGCTGAGCGTAGGATGTCTTCGTGAGATCATCAGGAGGGTGGATGGCGATAACCTCAAGACCCACGGATTCGGTTTTGAGGACCTTGAAGCTCTCTACCATCTCATATTGCTCATCGGATCCCATGATGGCCACTCCTGTAGTGAACTTGATCTTCGCCTCTTCATCTCGGATGCCAATCTCCTCGAGGTTAATGCCCTCTTTCTTTAACTCCTCAGCCCAGGATTTGTCGGCCGTATACAATCCAGCTTGTGCACCACCGAAGATGGCGCTTGCAGACTTGTTGAAGTCTCCGGGGAGTACGAGACCGACCGCGTGGACCTTAGGTAACTCTTGCTCAGCGGTGTCACAGAATTTGCGAGCGACTTCGAGTTGACCGGCGTACTCGGGGCAGACGCTATGATACAGCAGGTAATTGTAGAAAGAGCGGGGAACTTGGCAAGCGTTCTTGATCGCGTTGGATGCGTAACCGTAGTGAGCAGGGTACCACGACGAGCTGTCATTGTCAGTCTTGTTCCTCATTGTGTCCAACCGAATTGAGGTGAACTTACAGGAAGGCTTTGGCAACACCGACGAAGTCGACAACCCACTGTTTCTCATCTGCACGATCCCAAGGTACGTTGTGAGTCGCGAGCGCCCTAACAAGCTCCTCCGCATCCATGTCAGCCATCTCCTGCTTAGAGAGTCCCTGATACATGCGTGGTCCGGACTCGACACCTCCAAAACGCATTAGCTTATCAAAGACATGGGCATACATCTCGTGCATGCGTCGCTTCTGCTTGAAGCGCTGGATCGCAATCTCGATGCGCTCGAGGAAGGGCTTGTCCGGGTCATACAAGGCCTCCTCTTCGGCAGCTTCTTGGGGAGTTTGGGGCGCCTCAACATACGCCTTCTCAAATCCGGTGGGCTTCAACATGTTCTTGCTCATACCTGGTGGAAGTTTTGCCTTCGTCTGTGGGAGCATTGTAACTGGGTTCACAGGTGGCTTGGCCGTACGCGGGTCGTAGGCAATATCGTCATCGTCATGGAAGTCTGGATCGAGGACACACTTCCCTTGGAGAGGTATCTTGCGCTTGATAGTCTTACCATCGGCGGAAACTTCGAGGAACGGGCTCTTGCGGAGAGCTGCAACGACGAGGCCCCGAGGTTTGTAGCTCCTCATCTTCTTGAAGCCGCAGATGCTTTTGATCTTGACAGGGAGGTTCTCGCGCCCGCCACAACTTTGCAACAGGTAGAGATCCGTAGGAAGATTCTCGTCGGAAAAGTAATACTCAACCTTGATATTGTCAGTTACGGCCCCTGGCAAGCGCGAAACACATACCTGTTGGCGGATAACTGCACCTTGGGGATGGTCTTCATCTGCACCGGTGCCAGGAAGAGTGACCCCAGTACTGCTAGAGACTCCATTTGGAGCCAGTACATCCTCTGGCCGCTCCGTGTTCGCGGTTGTCATGTTTGCTTGTTACTGCTTATCCTTGTGGACGAGCGAGCCGCTGGAAGACGAGAGTGGACTGAAGGAAAAAGTTGGTTCAGAAGATGCGGAGTAAATAGAATAAAAGTGAGTTTGACTTCATGGGCTACGCGCAAACGGCTTTGGCGGGCTGCTGGTTTGTTAGGTGAGAGAAAAGTCTCGACATCGGCGTGAGAGCGGAAGGTGCAACCCATCATCTCACTCGAATGCAAGAACGGGGTCGCTATTTATCTGGGCGAAGCTGTGGAGAGTTATTGAAGCAATATTACGTTCGTAGCTCGAACCCAACAGAACATAGAGAGCATAGTCTGTCCTCCGTTTGTCCCTAGTCGATTACCACGAATTGCTGGCGGATCGATCAGTCGTGTGGGTGACATAGTACATGTATCCATGTATGCACATTTATCAGTATATTCCGAGGACGAAAGCTAACAAAGAATGCAAAATGGACGAATCTTGATGGCGACAGTGGAGCAGGAGATGGATATACATGCATGAGTCCGAATCAGCGCATCCCGTACAAAACGAACGAATGACTCGACTTGAACCCTGTAAACACAGCACAGCGGGGATCAGCCTCTCCCCACCAGCTCACCACCTTTCTCCTCTAACTCCAGCCACAGTTACACAGCCAGAGATCTACAGAATAAACCCCCGACTCAAACTTGCATGCATCATGGCAACCAAGACCTTCGACGCGTCCAAACTTCAAGCTTTCGGCAACGCTGCCGCCGGACAGTAGGTACCCCACTCCACCTCACAGGTTCACGAGTGTAATCTATACTGACATGGTGTCATAGTGATGGCGTTCTCAGCGACGAGACTGGCGCGGTAGTCGTAAAACCATGCACAGAAGCAGAGATCACCTTCTACGAATCCGTGACCGTGTCGCATCCAGACCTTGTTCCCTATCTACCTACCTACATGGGCCAGCTATCTCTGTCCGCCAACGAGAGCGCAGTTCCAGCTGTTGAGAGTGGAACTATACAGACGGCCGATGGTACTGTCGAGCGTCTACATGGCAAGAAGTTGGCTACGGAATTACACATTGTGCTGGAGAACATTACACATGGCTTCAAGAAGCCAAACGTCCTGGACTTGAAGCTAGGCGCACAGCTATGGGATGACGCGGCAAAGCCCGAGAAGAGAGCTAGACTCGACGCTGTAAGCAACGTGACAACAAGTGGAAGTCTTGGTTTCCGGATCGCAGGTATGCGGACATACAAGGGCACACCTGTCCCGGACATCCCGGAGGAGCTGAAAGAGTTTGTTGAAGTGGACAAGGAAGGTGGGTACTGGGTGTATAACAAGATGTATGGCCGCAAGTTCAGTGCCACCGACGTTACCGAGGGCTTCGACACGTACGTCTTCCCAGGGTCAAAGACAGAAGCCGAACATGACAGAGCCCGGGAAGTGCTTGCCTACTTTCTAGGTGAAGTAAAGGACATCCTAGAAGTTTTCGAGGGCAAGGAGAGTAGGATGTACAGTGCTAGCATACTTCTAGTCTATGAGGGTGATGTGGAAGAGTACGCAAAGACGAAGCAGACGCTGAGATCCGCACAACCAGAGGAAGATGATGACGACGACAATCTACCACAGTTGGCGGCTGTCAAGATGATTGACTTTGCGCACGCTACCTGGACACCGGGTCAGGGGCCGGATGAGAATGCTCTGAAGGGGATTAGGAGTACGGCAAAGATACTGAAGGAGCTTCTGGATAAGGCACAGGATTAATAAGTTTAAGTTTGATTCAGGATAGCGATAGCAGATAGACAGTAGACGCTATATACCCATTGAGCACTCATAGCAAACCTGAATTCTGTACACCAATCCCCCTACCACGTGAGAAACACTCGCCACCTTCTTTCTACCATTTGTCCTCTTCAATAAGTACATTCGAGTTCCACATTCAGCACTTAACTGACCAACCCTGGGATATCCTCTGGCCAGCTCCCCAGTACCATAGCATTCCCCGGTGTCTGTCCCGGCTGCGGACTCAACAGCTTCACCTTCTTCTTGGCCTCATCCACATCCGCCACATAGATGTACCCCCTGATACTAGAATCGCGGATAACTTCTTGCCTCTCATTCGGGCTCGCCGTCGTAATAGCAAGCAATTTATTCTGCAACGCTGCCGACGGCGTAATCTTCTCGTATATCGGACTTGACGACGCGTCGTAGTCTCCCGGTCTGTACTCCGCATTGTCGCTTTCTTGGACCAGCTTGAATAGATTCAGGTCCCCGAAATCGGCCATCTGACTACTCGGCGCGAGCGTCTCGTCGCCCTTGCCGAAGAAGTACTCTCGGATTTGTGCGTGCCGGAGGGCCTTCATGTATTCTTCGCTGCGGTCGACGCAGCCGCCGGATTTCTCGAGACGAATGACCGAGACGGATTCGGAGGGGTCGCGGACTTGGTTGGAGAACTTGCGCGCGAGGTCCGAGTATAATCGTTCGGAGCCAAGGGTTATTAGGACGTTCACTGGCGGGAGATGTTAGCATGGTTACTTACCGTCAAATGCGCGTACGGAGGGTCCAAAAAGCAAGAAGGAAGAAATGAGAGTTAGAGAGAGCGATAGACGATTCAACAGAAACGTATAAGTCAGGTCATCACACGCACCAGAAAACTCAGAAACAATGTGTTCTATGTTCTCGTAGACGCCATTCTTCCCTTGGCTAATGGCGCCCGAGCTATCGATGATGAAGCCAGCCTGTTTGCTCGCATTATCTTCCTCCAGTCTACTTGTGACAGCCAATGCCATGCGTGTTACCAGAGGCTTGAACGCTTTGCCCTCCTCTGGGTCTTTGAGCCCGTAGTGATATACTAGTGGCATCTTCACAGGAATGGGACTCGGCCCTGAAATTGGGCTGCTCCCCCACCCTTCCTCGATGTCAACGATGGATGAGTATGCTGCTGCTGAAAAGGAGCCCGGCACGCTGAGCATGCCCTGTCGCGGATCCAAGTTCACTACCATTGGTTGCCTCCCGCTTTTCACCGCGTAAGACGTCATTGTCTTGATAAGTGAGGTCTTGCCCGAGTTTTCGGGCCCCACAACGAGCACTCTCGGGCCCATCTCGACGCTTCCACTGCTCACGCTCTTGTCCCTGAGGTTCTCCAGCGCGAAATGCAGGTTCGCACAGCTCATCATAGGCGTCTCTTCCGCGACATAGTCTGACTCAACCTCACCACCAATCTCAAGTTTGCAGCCATGCCATGTGAATATAGCGCCTTTTGTGCCTTGGAATGTGTATGTGGTGGCAGGTGCGAGCTCTGTGCCAAAGAACTCTGCGGTTCCCGACTGAAGCTTGACTGTGAGAGTGCGAGAGAAGCTGACTTCGAAGCGGTATTCGGTATTGGCGGAGAGATCTTGAGTTCGTGTAGCGGTCGATGTAGGGACGTTGAGAGGTTCGATGGGCTGCGAGGCCAGGTTGAGGCCTGGTAGGGATATCATGGTGATCTGGTATTGTGGGTGATGGCGCTACCAGAGGAAATGAAGGCCCCGTTGCGACCGGCGCAATATTGGTGGAAGTCGGGTATGGTTTATCGTTTGGGCATGCAAGATTGGTGAGAGAAAGAATGAAGATTAATTACTGCCGGTTGATTGAAGGGCGGGGCGGTGGACAGCTTCAGCACAGGCTATGCGGCCTCAACGCACGCCTATTGGTGGGAGATGGGAGGTTTCCTTCCCTCGCTGAAAGCCACCTTGTCAACCGCAGGACCTCGGAGATATTGATTGAGCGTCTCCGTCGCTCCGCATACTGTCCATGTTATACATTCCGAGCGTTTTGTCTGCCAAGTCATGAGAGTTCTCCCTCGCTGAGCATTTGTTCATGCCGCGCCGTTCCTCATTACTCGCGATTGTCAGCACCTAACAGCCGATTCTTCACCGTTCCTGAGAAGCTGGCCTTCCAAGTGCCAACAGAACCCACATCAGTCCAGTATGAAGTCATCGTTAGCATCTGTCTCCTTCGGGGCTCTTCTCTCTTTAGCATCCGTTTCTGCTGGCTTGCACAACGCTGCTGAGGAGCAAGAACCTCTGAGACAACCAATTGACCCGACCAAGTACCGAGCAGCATGTCCAGACTACAAGAACTATGCCATGCGAAAGCAGTATGTATGCTTTCCAAGATATGGTCGTTTTACTTGCTAATGGCTACTCTCAGCCCACCATACAGCAAAGGCCCAATGGAGCTCCCGTTCCAAAGACCGGCAAAGTACTGCCGAACATTTGAGTCGCCTCTTGTCGAAAAGGTTATCCAAGACATGAACGAGAAGATAGTCGACAAGGATCTCGCCCGCTTGTTTGAGAACGCATTCCCCAATACCTTGGATACGACCGTACGATGGCACGTCGATGGCACAGCAAAGCATAAGATGTCGAAGAAGTCTTGGGACTCTGCTGCTTGGAAGGGAGCGCAGAGCTTCATTGTTACCGGCGACATTAACGCAGAATGGCTACGCGACTCCACCAACCAGCTCCAGCAGTATCAACTGCTGGCGAAAAAGGACAAGGAACTCTACCAGCTCATCCTGGGTGCTATCAATACCCAAGCCGAATACGTGATTGGATCTCCATATTGCAACGCCTTTCAGCCTCCTCCACCGAGCGGGTTGAGTCCGACCTTCCAGGGAGATGGTGATACCGTGCACCCAATATACGAGCAGTCATTCGTATTCGAATGCAAGTACGAGCTGGATTCACTTGCTCATTTCCTCTCGCTTTCGAACCAGTTCTACAATCACACTGGCTCTTCCGAATTCCTGAACGCTCGATGGCATGTCGCTCTGGACACGCTACTTTCCGTTCTCTCCGAGCAGTCCAAGCCTACCTTCAACGCGAAGACTGGCGTCTACCAGGGAAACGAGTATACTTTCCAACGACAGACGAACATCGGCACCGAGACACTGGGTCTGAGCGGCGTTGGCAATCCCTTGAACAGCGGAACCGGCCTTGTCCGCAGTGCTTTCCGCCCCAGCGACGACGCGACGATTCTAGGCTTTTTCATTCCAGCCAATGCCATGATGAGCGTGGAGCTCAAACGCACAGCAGCCATCCTCATGGCCGCAGGTAAAAAGAACATTGCACAACAAGTCCTGAAATGGGGGGAGACCATCGGCCAAGGCGTCTGGGAGCACGGCGTCGTCACGCACAAGAAGTACGGCCAAGTCTTTGCTTTCGAAGTCGACGGCTACGGCTCCCATATTCTCATGGACGATGCCAATTTGCCTTCCCTGCTCGCTCTTCCGCTCTTGGGCTTCACAGACGCGAACAACGAGGTTTACAAAAACACCCGCAAGATGATTCTGGAGAAGAATGGAAACCCATATTACCTGACCGGCGAGGACTTTAGCGGTATCGGTGGCCCACATGTTGGGCTGCAGAGTGCGTGGCCCATGAGTGTGCTAGTACAGGCTATGACTAGTGATAGCGATGAGGAGATTATGCGGTGTTTGGGGTCGGTGAAGAACGTTAGTCAAAATGGTTTGATACATGAGAGTGTCAACGTGGAGTTTACGAAGACATATTCTCGTGAGTACTAGTATTACTTAGAAATGATTGGGAACGTTGCTGACAGGTGAATAGGAAGCTGGTTTGCTTGGGCAAACTCCGTGTTCGCACAGACGATTCTGGATCTGGCACAACGGAAGCCACATTTGCTCTTCGGACCGGGTGCAGCGGCGTATACACTCTGAAGACTCACACTGGTAGATTTGGTACAGGTCAGGCGTTGGGACGGTGTCACTAAGATGGTATAGATTGTAGCACGAGTAACTCATTATTATTGTTCATTCAAGTCTACCTGTCCAACACTACAAGTGACATTATAGCCTGACTGCTCTCCAACCACTACAGCCAGCACGGCTAAAAGGCAGAATATATTACGAGACATCCGCCTCGACGCCACGGCGGGCCAAGGCGGAAGTGACATGCCAGCGCATATATCTCTCCATCTCCCGGCGGCCAACTTCCTCTCTCTCCTTCCACTTTCTATTCTCCTCATTCAAAGCTAGGCCAATGCCTTTACTCCAACATCCGCAGCCGTCCTCCAAAGATCAAGCAAAACACCATCTGTGTTCCAACTGGGGTATAGTAGGTCAAAGAAAACAAAAGTAGAAAACGCAAGGGAATTAAACAAGATAGGGTTGAAGTAAAGATGTGGAGATAGAGCGTGTTCGTACGTTCGTTGATTGAAAAGAGCCAGGATGTGTATGCTCGCTCGCTCTGAAATGCGTCGTTCTTACAAAAGTCGAAATCGTCCAGTGAACTATCCATCGGGAGGTCAAGTTTAAGCAGAGAAACTCAACTGGCTTCTCAGCTTCTCGGTCGTCCTTCGTCGCGAAACCGTCCGTTGGTCTGCAGTCGGAGGTTTTTGAGATGTCATGCTCGTCCACTCTTCCCAATCACTGGCCATCTCGGTGAGCACATTTCCCATGACCTGTGCGCTGGCCATGAGACCATGGTGCTCGCCTTCCAAGATACGGACTTCGCACTTGCGCATAAGGCGACCGAGCCATCGCACGTTATCAGCCGGCACACGTGAGTCTTTGCTTCCGTGGTGAATGACAACTGGGCGATTGATGTCCTCGTAGCGGAAGCCGATGCTTTGTTTAGTTTCCAGACAGACGATGAGATCAGTCGCGGGATTCGCGTTTGTCGTCGCACGGTCCCAGATGGCGAATGTGAGGCGCTCGTCGAATGCGTGTTGGCGTTCACGTTCGGCAAGAGAGAGGGCTTCCTGCATACGCTTTGTTTGCTCGTAGTTGGGGTCGGCGGGACTCGTCAGGGTCAACGAGCTCGCGTTAGGAAGGACTTGGTCCATTAGCAGCATAGAGTCTGGACGGGAGTCTTTGAGTGGGGGACGTGACTGTGGTGAAGGTACTGTTTGCGGGGCCATGCTTTTCCGCCTTGTCTTTGGAGAGCTTTTCGGTCCTGTGCGCTGCAGGCTTGCGCTGGTCGCGCTTAGGAACGTCGAGTTGGCGACTTTGAGCAGGGAGGGAGGTAGAGCGCGAAGAAAGCGTTGAGATCTAGGTAGTTGCTGTGTGGGAGGTGAGTCTTGGCTGATGCCAATGGGTGCCATTTGAGACGGAGGTATCCAGGGTGCGAGCAGATGCACCCGGCCGCGAATATGCTGTGGCATCCGTAATGATGTTGCGAGAGCATACACTGCGCCTGCCGAATGCGCCAACAAAGAGAACTTGCTGATCTTCAGAGCCTGGCATATGACGAGTACATCATCTGTTGTAGGTTAGCCAGGAAATTCATCTTATAAGAGCGTATTCGCTTACCAGGCCAGCTAAGAGGAGTGCCGTTCGGATCAACTTGGCTCTCTCCGATGCCAGGACGGTCTGGTGTGATCAATCGCAACTTCAATGTCGCAGCTAGCTGGTCATAAAAGGCCATGACATATCTTGTCAGACCCATACCGACACAAACGAAGACAGCATAGCCGTCGGGATCACCGACTTCTGAGAAGGAGATAATCCTCCCAGTCTGCGGATGTCGAATCTTCTGCGACAGACGCGGGGAGTTGAGGTAGCTCTGCACGTCGATATCGATCGAGTCCAAGCTCACCGGTCGCTCCTCGATTACTGGATATGGGAGACTTTGAACCGCCGCGGCTGCCATCTTTGCTTCTGACTTCTCCATCTTGATATTGTGCTCTTTCTCCGCCTTTGCTGGTAGATCTGGATGAGACCACCGTTTCTTGGTAAGCGTGCGCCGACGCTGGAGCTGCAGGCTGTTAGATGCTGATGGAGATGGTACTTGCAGCGATTGGTGTCGCAGTGCAACCTCTTCACTGGCCGAACGGGATGTCGGTGACATCCTGCTGATGGCACTATCTGTTACACTCGAAGAGTGCTTGTGTCCCGTGGCATTGCCAGTGTTGCTCATGGTTGCCGAACTAGGTGCTGCTCTACGCCCGACCGCGGACCTTCCACCGACAACGAACGAACTTGCGCGCCTGGGTGCCGCTGTGTCGCTACTAGATTTTGTTCCCACCGTAGATGCGATACTAACGCTTGACGATAAGAGATTCTTCGCTCCGGGTGGTTCTAGGGGTGATAATGGCGCCGATTCCTCGAGGCTTTGAAGCGCGAGAGCGTAGTTGATAGGGAGCGGGGCAAAATCTTCACCGTCGTTCACCGTCAGACTCCTGTGCCTCGAATGGCGCATACTCCGTGTTTGAGGTGTTGCGGTGTGTTCGGATTCGCGATCTTCATATTTCTCTGGTAACTTCTCCGTCCGTTTCTCCGATGATGCTGGCTGCACGGAGATTCCAAGTACCTTGTGGGCTTTGGTCAAGTCCTGCACGCGGATTTCCGACGCGCTTGACACAGATGAGGCGGGGGAAGGGTCAGGGTTCGGGAGGGATGAAACGCGAGGCACACTGGGTGGTGTTGCCCCTGCATCAACGTCGTCCACGGGCATCTTTCCGGCTAATTTGTCCCTCCGCATCTTCTGCTCCTTTAATTCTCGAATCCTTTGCGCAACTTCACTTTCCTCGTGTTCTAGTTCCTTTAGAATCTTCTGCTTCATTGCCGACTCTTGAACCAACTTCTTGTCTTCTTCTGGGACCATGTTGGTTTTACGAGACTTTTGGCGACTCTTCTCGTCGGCGTGACCCTTTTTACTCTTGCGCGTCGGACTCCCCGTGTGCTTCAGCGATGAACCTCGTTCGGGGATCAAGCCTTTGTCCGAGGGGCTCTCTCCGTTGGGACCGTCGACTAAGTTGAGACGTATTCGGCGTGGACTAGTATTTCGACTGGGATACCGCTGCGCGAACCTGGACGATTCCGTTGCAGGCTCTTGTTCCTCCTCCTTTACGAAGGGCTCTTCCTTGATGGTATCCTCATAGGGGAATAGTTGGGACGCAGACTTTCTGGGTGAATCCGGCGATGTGATATCTTCCAAGGTGTGGATGGTTGCGCGCTTCCGTTCCGTCTCCTTCTGCTTGAGTCGCTCGCGCGAGCTCATGTACATCAAACTCCTGTGACCTTTTGCACTCCTCTTGCTCTCCACTGACGATCTGGTGCTGTCAATTGACAATTTTTTCGGTGGCGCAGCTTCGATGCTGATGTTGCCAAAGCTGCTCGCTGATCGATTCGAGTGTGCAGAGTGTATGGATGCCGAGCTGCCTGCGCTGCGCCCGATGTAGCTGCTCAGCGAATGCGGCTTGTCTCGCTTCTTGGGCGCGGTAAGGGGTGACAAGCCCGATGGCGGCTTTGAGGTTCGAATAACGGGTGGTTCGCATGCGTCGTCGGGATACAAGTCGTTCTGGCCCCTGATCGAATTGTAATAGGCGGTTTGGTCTACAGAAGCTGCATCTTGGCCGGCTAGCGAGTTGCGTCCAGACTGCGTGTGTATGCTCGGGCTCGTAGGGGCGGATAGGCCGCTGTCGTAGCCCACGAGGAGGTTCTCGAAGTGGTTATGCGCCGGGATGGATATGGCGGACAGCTGGTCAATCAGCGAGGAAATGACCTGGGGCGACGCGGCCTGGGTGCGAATGTAATTAGGGGTGCGCTTCTTGGGACGGCTATCAGTCGTCTGGACCGACGATGGTAGAGAGGTACGGCGTCGCGCCTTCAGTGGGTTCGCCGAGGAGCTGGCCGCGTCGGCGGGGATAGGGCGTGCCGGCGGTTGTTGCTGTGTCTGGACCGTGAAGTCCATTTCTGCCGGTCGTGCAGCTCGAGGCTGGCTGTACCTGTGCTGTACAAAGTAGCCAATCTAGTATGTGACTCTGTCACTCTTGCAGGCCTGCAGGTGGGCGGGCGCCGGTGTCGAGCGCGACTTGATGCATCAGCTGGGCAGCTCAGTGCATGATTGGCATGCGAGGGTGGTACGCGGTACGCGAGGATGCGGGTTCCCAGCGCAATCCGCAGCGACGAGGAGCGGAAACAATAGAGAAACGGGCAGCAACAGGAGCAAAAGACGTCGAGTGAAGAGCCAAGGGGTCTACGATCGTTAAATGAGCGATGCCCCATCCAACGGCGAATTGCACCCGCCCAGCGGCCTCAGGGATGAAGCCGAGAGTCTCAATGGCCGAAGCTCATGGGCTAGCCTAGTTGGGACGCGTTTCGTGATCGCCTCCAGGGCTACCATATACCCCCCTTCGTATCTCATCAACTTTTTCGACACCCACCAAGGACATGCTGCTCGAATCACATGCCTCGTTTCCTAACCTAGGGTTGCCCACCTGCGACGCGTCACGTCTTCTTATCTCCACGCAAATGCCGTTGGACTTGTAGACGCTGCGCTGCTCAACTTCTGTGCCCGACTGCACACGCTCCGACCACGATTCATACCTTGCAGACCCTGTCGAATGAAGAAATCTCCGACGATTCCTTTATACACCTTGTGTTACCCGGGAGCAGCCGATCATTACTGGTCCTGCTCGTCAGTGTAGGGGGGCCACACCCCCGGTCACGAGCATGCTTGCTCTTACAGTGGCCTACTATGGACCTGCACAATGGAAATCACTCCAAGAGCGGACAGTAAGCTCGACAGAAACGAAAGAATGCGAGAGTTGCTTTACGTCACTTACAGTCCCCTCACGATGATTATCTTGGGCTCAGGAGCGAACGAGGAAGAACACGCAAGCAAATATACGTGTCCATCCTCCCCAGTCGTCAGTTCACATCAGCTTTGACCTTGCTGTACTCTGTCTATATCATAGCTCTCGCATGCATATCTTGTACATCTTGTACGTCTACTTCCGGTCCGTCCTCCTTTCACAGAGACCGTCTCCTGAGCGAGTCAACTGGGACGAAGAACAAATGGAGCACATAATCTCTCTTGATTGCCATATTCCCAGTTCCCACCTGATGGTGAACGATGTGGCATGTAGTCGCAGGGGGATGAGACGCCTCGGCTAACGACCCCAAAACGATGTTTGCAGCAGGAACCAAGCTCGCGCTGCTGCCTACGTCATCGCTAATACGTTCGCGACCACAACCTCAAAAGCCTTATGGCGACCGCAGCAGAAGCTCTACGCCTCACATGACAATGCGCGTACTTACAACCTAATTATTTTCATCGTGAAAAACGTCAATTTCTTGCGCAAAGTCACTTGAACTATCACGCATCATGTCTCTCTCCGCCCTACTAGCACCCATCGCCTTACCCCTCGGGTCCTTCCTTGCGATCCCCATGTTGAGTTCCTGGAGTACTAGCTTGAACCTCGTCTTCTTGAGCGTGGCATGGACAACCATCGCAGCAAGCTACTCTCCTCTTCAGTTGGAGTTGTTTGCGCCCTTCGTCCTGCGCCTCTCCCTCTACATCATTCCCTCCCTCGTGTTCCTCTTGTTCGATGTCGGACTGCCGAGCTTATCCATGGAATTCAAGGCTCAGGGCAAATTGGGAATCCCGAGCAACCAAAGAGGTGGGAGCAAGATGATCAGAAGAGTGGTCTTGTGGAGCTGCGCGAACGTGCTGTTCACAGTTGCGATTCAGGCCGGAATAGAGTTCTTGGTTACGGATGTGTTTAGAATGAGGAGTCTACTTCTTATCAAAGGCAGTAAATGGGGACTCAACCATCTCCCTAATCCGTGGACCATGTTCAAGCATGCCATCATTGGGCTGCTATCACGAAACGTGAGTCCAATCCTTTTCACATGCGTAGATCGTGGTCGCTAACAAATGTAGATTCTCCAATACTACATACACACGCACCTGCTGCATTCCCCCAGCGGCGGCCGTCTCGCCCAATTGCATCAATCATGGCACCACAGCATCCGCATTCCCTTCTCCTTCGCCGCAAACTATGATCACCCGCTTCCCCACCTACTCCACCGCGTCCTACCACTCTACCTACCCGCCATCTTACTACGAATGCACATCCTCACGTACCTAATCCTGGTCGCAATCTTCAGCCTCGAAGAGACCTTTGTGTACTCTGGCTACAACGTCCTGCCATCGACCATCATGTTGAGAGGCATGGCGCGACGATGCGACGCGCATATGATGAGTCAAGGTGAGGGTAATTTTGGGTGCCTGGGTGTGCTGGACTGGTGTCATGGGACGACGTTGGGGAAAGACGTGGTAGAGGATTTGAAAGCGGAAATGGACAAACACCATGTTGAGGAGAAGGCAGGGAAGGCTATCGATGGGGCGGGGGATGCAGCGAATGGGCTGGCGGGGAAACTCAAGGGGCGCATGAGGCAAGGAAGGGGAAAGAAATAGGCCCGTCGGCAAGACTAGTCGCGCCGTCGACAGGTTGGATATGCGCTCATGTGAGACTGGCGTTGTGTTGGTGCGCTTGAACTGTCGGTTGCGATACCCTTGATTTAGCTGTCATTCGCGATATCGTGGTTACCATGTCGGTCGAATCTCGTACTCGTTGGCGCAACGCTCGGTAGGAGATGGTATAATGTAATCTGTAATTTTATTTTGTGAATCAGTAGTTATCCACTATGGCTCCATTAAACGCCCAACAAGTGACATCACACAAGCAAGAGCCAGCAATTCACTTTCGGACCGTTTCGAATTCGCTTGCTCGTTACAAGTCTTATAGAAAATGCAAAGCCGGTATCCTTCATGAAAAATTCGGCTGCCGTGCCGCTGCGGTTGTAGTTCCCTGCTAATACGGCTGCAGCATACCAAAGTCATCGTTCATCCCATGCTCTAAACGCCGAATAACCGTCGTAACCCCACATCTAGAAGACCATCTGGTGAGGCCTGTCTGAGCTGCGAAGGCTGAAGCTGGCGCCGAGGTAGTCGATCAGGTGGGCTTCCTTCTTAATGGTGGCCAGAAGGGCCTTGTCGACAGCCTTCTGGTCAGCGACACGGTCCTTGGAGGTCTCCTTCTTCTATCGCATTTGTTAGTATATTTCCGTTCTGAAAGAATGCTGCTGTTGGGACGCACCTCAGGCTTCTCGCCCTGCTTGAAGAACGAATCCTCACCCGGCTTGCGGGAGGCCTTATCCTTGGTGAAGTAGCCATCCTCGCTGGCCTTCTCCAAAACCTTCTCGTCTACACCCTTCAGATCGACCTTGGTGGAGGTAGCGATGACATAACGGGCATTGACCCTTCGCAGGGGAACACCGTTAACTTTGAAGGGACCGGTGACGAGGAGGACACCCTGGGGAAGGTGCTTAAGGACGACAACGCGCTTGCCGCGGAAGCGGCCAGCAAGGAGGATGACGACGGTACCGGGCTGGAGAGACGGGCGGGGCTTCGCTGGGTGTTGCGTCTTGCGGACCTTGAATCGCAGTCAGCGAAGTTCCAATTGATTTTGGACATGCACATTGCAATTCACGGTCGCTGCGTAGAGTCGCAAGAGCGAGCGTCTGTCCGCAGGACCCCAATCCTCCTCTTTCGTATTTCAGTGGTGTTCTTGCCAGACTCAACGTACCTTCTTGGGGACGGCAACGTCCACAGCAGGGTAGTACTTGCTGGCCTTCTGCGAGTGGTGCGGTATCGACCTCTCCCCCTTGGAGAACTTCTGGGTAGTGGGCTTGCTGTCGTCTTTAGTGGCCGCCATTTCGATTCGCTGTTGTCGTCAGTTGCCCTGGGAGTTGAGGTTCAAAGATGCGAATATGGAGTGCGCAAGACGCCGGGCATAAGCGAAGCGCCAGCCCCAGTTGAGAGAAGGTGGCGCGCTGGGACGTGCTCGCTGCCAAGGCGCACTATGGGACGTCTTGGGACTGGCGCGGTGCCACGGGCCGACCTTCTTCCGGCCCCGATGCCTTACGTGATCCCGCAGCATCGCCGCAGCTCCACTAGCAACAGGCAGCTCACAACGACAAGCGTCTTTTGCCCCAACATTACACTCCGCAAACATGTCAGTCCAGCCGCTGATCACGTTCAAGGCGGGCCAGTGCGAGCTCACCGTATGCGTTCTCATCCTCAATATAACTGGCCACATCTGACATATATAGCGTGGAGATGGTACACAACAGACTGTCAAACCAGTCCAGACGCCTGGCTATGTCTACCTGTACCAAGGCGAAGATGGTCCGTCTACCGTTTCCTTGGCCTTATGTATACTCATACTGTGTAGAATTCGTGCATTTTTGCTGGCGACCCCGCAACAAGACCCTTGATGAATCTGAGCTCGACCTCATTATGATTCCCGGCGATGGCTCTTTCCTCCCCTACACTGGCAAAGACTCGGTCGAAGACTCTGAGAACGTCAAGTCACCTACTGACGGCCGCATCTTCGTCCTAAAGTTCAACTCAAGTTCACAACGCTACCTGTTCTGGTTACAATCGAAGTCGCAGCACTCGCGGGGCGACGCAAGCTGGTTCAGCCAGCGCGATCTCAAGATCGGACAGATTGTCGACCTACTACTGAACGGAGAAGATATTGACCTACAGGACGAGCTCGCTCGTGTGCAGAATCCATCCGCGGGCGAAGACGAAGACGAGACGATGGAGGATGTGGAAGGCGCAAACCACTCCGCCAGCCGCGACCGACATGGCAGTACAGGCGGTGCGGGAGCTGGTGCTACAGGAGGCGACATCAGAGAAGAAGGCGAAGAGTCTCGAGAAGGCGGTGCTGATGGTGGTCGAGCGTAGGTCCTGTCCATTTGTATCGCATACGGCGTCGTGGCGCTGTCAACATTACCGGAAATGTTCGAGCTACTGTTGAAGATGTTGACGATGATGCCATAGAGGCCTCAAAGCAATTGCTATCACGGCGAGGCGTTTAGGAGCACGGCATGTCACACTGACAGCGCGGCACTTTGTACCATTAAAAACAATATGTATCATATCACGTCTTCAGCTCGCCACGGCGCTCGTTCCTACATTTCTTGCTTTTACCTTTATCGGACACTTTGACTAACTACTCACAGGGCTGCATCCGGCAACGATGTCTCGTCTATTGTCGCGGACTTTGTAAACTCCCTCAGAGGCGGCGACCTCAGCAGCGGATCAGAACCACAAAAGTCATCAGACTCCTTCACAACTCTCCTCGATCTCCTCTGGCCCTCGCATACCATCCCAACTGTCGAGAAGGGATCCGAGACTCTCATTGACGCCCTATGCGCACAACTACCCACTACTCCATTCCTCCTTGAAGCCGATGTCGAGGATGTCGATCAAATCGACCCCAACTCCGAGACTGCACAGATGGCCATCCAAACGCTCGACCAGGAGCAGAAAATCGATGTCTTGAAGCGCATTCTGAGGGCGCCGCAACTTAGGGCAGCGCTGGGCAGTTTGACGGAAGCGCTACGAACTGGTGCATTGCCGACTGTCAGCCAAGCGCTGAAAATTGATGTTGAGCATGGGGGTTTTATGAGGGGCGGTGCGATGCCGTTGGGAGGCGGAGAGGCGGTCAAGGCGTTTTTGGAGGGAGTGAAGAAGACGGTCGAGAATGAGGATGATGAAGATGTGGAGGACGAGATGGATACGAACTGAACGGGAACTGAATTATGGATCAGGGAGTGTAGGAGATGATAGATCCTGCTTTGATATACGACTTGCATGTCCAGCACATGATTTGTGCATACATACGAAAAGGATCACACAAAGCAGATGCATGGTTGACGGCTGGATGCAGATTTTGCTATCATTACGCTCATTGATGATCATGGTCCTGTTATTCCCCGGCGGGCAGACGAAGCTGTCATTTTGTAAGCCGTCATCTAATCACGCCCGCCAGTCATTGTCACCATTGTCTCGCTTTCCATGCCCTAAACCTTTCCAAGCTCTCATTCAAGTCTCGTCTTCCTCGCTCAATCTCCATGCTCCACCCTCCCACTTACTGACCCAAACCCATCCTCTCCCTAAGCTCCGCAATCCCAGTCAGACGCTCTACATCCTCCTCCTTAGCATACGGATGAGTTTCCTTATACTTCTTCTTCCAAGCCTTGGGCAGCTCTCCCCTTTCTGGACGCACGTAGCACTCCAAACACGGCCTACGGGACGGGACCAGATAGCGGGGAAAGTGATAGGGACAGTAATTCGGCTCTACGGCTTGTTCTTCATCCCCAGGAAGATGACTGGAGACACTAGAGTCTTTAGGAAAGGTCAACGGGGGCGAGCGGGTAGTAGGCGACGCTGGGCTACGCTGGGGGTATTCCGGCAGTGGCCATTGCAGAGGATGCTCGCTTGGCGGTACGAAGCGGAAAGCTGGCTGGGTCGGAAGACACATGTGGAGTGGCGACGGTTGACCCGGTGAATGCAGAGCTTGTGAGCCTCGCTGTGAGGGCAGGCCATGGAGATCACTGCGCTTCACTGACGGCGCGATCGAGGAGACAACGGAGCTTGAACGCGACAGATCAGCGGTATCCTGTTCGCCGTTGAGGTGAGTGGCCTGGCGGGCGGTGTCGATGGCGTGTGGGCAGGGTGTTGTGCAGATGGTCTTGGAGTGACCGCAGGCGTAGAGTTGGAGGAGTTTGTAGCACATCTTGACGAAGACTAGTCAGGAGCGTAGAATTACTTTGATGGGTGTCAAATTGCTATTATAGTAGTTGATGAGCTTGGTATTTTGTTCGTGCTAGTTTGTGGGTGTCGAAGTTATATGAAGTCGGAGGATTCAGGGTGGCCAAGTGTAAGTGAAGGGAAAACAGCGAAGTTTCTTGTGAAAACGAGCATGTGTGGGGGCATCTGTCCTTCACGTATCACTTCAATGACGTGGTTTGCTTGGTACTGGAGATTTCTCGTTTGCCTTCACACTCAGCGTTCCCTGCGTGGTCATCAGTATGGCAAAAAAAAAAAAACAGTCCGTCGTTTAGTGTCTAGAACTTGAGTTTTGTTCTTGAGCTTATATCGAACATTGCGAAATCAGACTTGACCAGACAGCAGCGCTTCTCCATGTCGCGCAAAAGCTCCCCTCAAACTCCTAGCCGCCAAATGCTGACAGTTAAAAATTACGCGTCCAACTACACCAGCCTTTTAGTAACTCCTTCCGAAAAGAATCCACTGCTTGGCAGGAGTGGTGCAGTCGGGGTTGATGCACTTGGTCTTGCCAGGCTCGATACCCTCGGGCTGCTCGAAAGGAATGCACAAACTCTTTGCACCCATAGCAGGAGCTTGCTTGTCCTCTGCAACGCCGTCACCGAGTGCCGTCCTTGCGCTCTTGGCCTTGACCTCATCTTCGCACTTGTCGCCTTCGCAATGGGGAACCAGGACAACGTTCTTGCCGTTGAGAGTGGGGACGAAGTCGTCCCAGTTGGTGAGTTGCACGCGGTGCTCGCGGTACTCCTTATCTGCGCGGTTGAACATGTCTGACTGGATCTTTTCGAGTAGCTTGGGGATCTCTGTCTTGACATCATCGACGTTGGTCGTGCCACGTGCGGCGTCCTTGTCGTCAATGTCTCGGCGAGATGTCGTAACGACACCCTTCTCGGCATCCTTGGGTCCAAACTCGATTCGGAGAGGGATACCCTTGAGCTCCCAGTCGTTGAACTTCCAGCCGGGAGAGTAGCCCTCGCGGTAGTCGGTCTCAACACGAACGCCCACCTCAAGCAAGTCATCTGCGATCTTCTTGACCTTGTTGTAGAGGTCTTCCTTGGCCTCTGCAGACATCCTGTCACGAAATCAGCGCTGTTGTATTTAGAAGAAAGATGAACAAACTTCGCTGTAACTCCAACGGGGATCAAGACAACCTGGATTTCAGCCACCCTAGGCGGAATCACTAAGCCCCGGTTGTCTCCGTGGGTTAGGATCATGACACCAATAGAACGAGTGGTCAGGCCCCATGAGTTCTGCCAGACATGAACGTGTTCCGACTTGCCGGCCTCTTTTGCCGTAGGGTCTTCAACGGTGATGTTGAACATCTTCGAAAAATGCTGACCGAGGCAGTGGGATGTGGCAGCCTGGATGCCTCGACCTGTAGCAGGAATGAATCCTTCAATGGTAGTGGTGTAGTCTGCTCCAGGGAACTTCTCATTTACAGTCTTGGTGCCCTTCACAACAGGAACAGCTAGTAGGTTTTGGTAGACATCAGAATACCAATCCAAGATCTGCAGAACCTCTGCACTGGCTTCTTCCTTGGTCAGATGCGCGGTGTGGCCTTCCTGCCATAAGAATTCACGGGATCGGATGAAGGGCATGGGATCTGAGAACAGATTAGCTAGTAACAGTCAGGGTGATATAATTAGACTCACGCTTGAACTCCCAGCGAACAACATTGTTCCACTGATTCAGCTTAAGGGGGAGATCGCGATGTGACTGGATCTTGCGAGCGAAGTAAGGGTACATGGCAGTCTCAGAGGTAGGGCGCACGGCGACAGGCTTCTCCAGGTCGGATTTTCCACCCTTGGTCACCCAGGCGACCTCGGCCGCGAAACCCTCGACGTGCTCTTTTTCTCGCTCCAAGTTGTCCGCGCTGATGAAGATGGGGAAGTATGCATTGCGGACTTTGAGTGTCTTGATCTGGGCGTCGAACCACTCTTTGATAGATTCCCAGATGGCGTACGAGGAGGGTTCGAGGATGTAGCTGAGCGGAGTCAGTATACAGCAGGTTAGGGCGAGTATGATGCGCGTACCATCCGGCGACCTGAATATGAGGTTAGCTAGTTGGACAGAATGTTGACAGTGTGCCCTACATCGTAGTATGAGATCATCTGGCCTTTGGTGATGACCTGCTGGTACCACTCTCCTAAATCATCGGCTTTCGCGACATCGATACCAATGAGCGCGGCGCCCTCGATCTGTCGCATCGTCAACACCTTGTCCTCTCCTCGATGTGGTCGACCGAGGTAATCTGACCTTCTTCTTCTGTTGCTGGGGTTTCTTTGCGGCTGTCTTGGGATTGCCGTCCTTCTTATTCTTCTTCGTCTGAGAGATGGACAGATCTTTCATCTTGCCGTCGGCGGCGGAAGCTTCGGCCATGGTGCGTCTGAAATGGAGGAAGACAAGTGTTAGCAAGGCCACTAGCAATACAAGTATAATTTCTCGGGTGTAGTTCTCCATCGCCATTCACAATGAGTATCTGTGTATTTGGTATTTGACAGGGACATGTTTGGCGGGGTAGGCGGGGCACGCATTAAATGGGGATGGTTACCTGCAATTGAAGAGTCAGACAGTCGAGTCACAAAGCGCAGCAATCTGTTGGTGAAGGAGGCGCAGCGTACCTGGATATCAACGTCTGCGGAGCTGTAAACAGTCACAGCGGCTCGTGTGGTGGGCATCCAAATGTGAGGGGGGCCCGCCGAGTCATTCGCGGCAGGGGTCTGTCTAGCGCCACATTCGGAGCTGCGTTTCGCCGTAGATTTTCTGATTCTGAACCGCGTACAGAGGCAGCAGCAAACAAACCGAGAAAACAGCTACACCACGACGTCATGGCAGGCATCTTCGAACAGTCTCGCAGCGGGGGAACTCTGTGTAAGCTTTGGGAGCATTCCATGCCGAACCAGCACAGCTAACCTCGTCCAGTCCTCGGCGGCCAGAAAATTAGCGGGCAGGATATCCGCGACGAGAACGTCCTCGCGACCCAGGCAATCTCAAATGTGGTCAAGTCTTCCTTTGGCCCCTCCGGGCTCGACAAGATGATGGTCGACGATATCGGCGACGTGACGGTAACCAACGACGGCGCTACCATCCTCAGCTTGCTCGACATCGAGCACCCCGCAGGCAAAATCCTCGTCGATTTGGCACAGCAGCAGGACAAGGAAGTCGGTGATGGCACAACATCCGTAGTCATAATAGCTGCGGAGCTGCTGCGGAGGGCGAATGAGCTCATGAAGAACAAAATCCACCCCACCACCATCATCACAGGCTACAGGCTGGCGCTGAGGGAGGCGGTCAAGTACATGAACGAGAACATCAGCACAAAGGTCGACGCCCTCGGTCGCGACTCTCTGGTCAACATTGCGAAGACGTCCATGTCTAGCAAGATTATCGGTTCCGACTCGGACTTTTTCGCCAATATGGTCGTGGATGGCATGACTGCTGTCAAGATGACAAACAACAAGGGCGAAACCAAATACCCGGTAAAGGCTGTCAACATTCTCAAGGCCCATGGTCAGAGCGCTACCCAATCGATACTGGTCAAGGGCTATGCCCTGAACTGTACAGTCGCTTCGCAAGCCATGAAGACGCGCATTACCGACGCTAAAATCGCCTGTCTGGATATCAACCTACAGAAAGAGCGGATGAAGCTAGGTGTTCACATCACGATTGACGACCCTGAGCAACTGGAGAAGATCCGGGAACGTGAAGCCGGCATTGTCGAGGAGCGGATTGAGATGATCCTGAAGGCTGGCGCCAACGTCGTCTTCACAACAAAGGGCATTGATGATCTGTGCCTAAAACACTTCATTGAGAGGGGCGCTATTGCGGTACGAAGATGCAAGAAGGAGGATCTACGAAGGATAGCAAAGGCCACTGGAGCAACCATGGTCAGCACCTTGTCAGATCTGAATGGTGACGAGAAGTTCGAGGCGTCCAACTTGGGTCATGCTGAAGAGGTAGCACAAGAGCGAATCTCAGACGACGAGTGCATCCTAGTCAAGGGTACCAAGGCCTTCTCTTCCGCATCCATCATCCTGCGTGGAGCGAACGATTATGCATTGGACGAGATGGAGCGATCTGTCCACGACTCCCTGTCGGCTGTGAAGCGGACTCTTGAGAGCGGACGCATTGTTCCCGGTGGAGGCGCTGTTGAGACTGCTCTACACATTTACTTGGAGGAGTGGGCAACATCAGTGGTAAGTTTAGTTCAATTCTCGCGCCTTGAAGTCATCTGGAGCGTTAGAATAACTAACGGTCGTTTAGGGCTCCCGAGAACAACTCGCAATAGCTGCCTTTGCACAGTCTCTGCTTGCCATCCCCAAGACCCTCGCCATCAACGCAGCCAAGGACGCCACTGAACTCGTCGCCAACCTACGATCACGACATGCCCTCTCACAACGTACAGTGAACCCTTCAGACCCCTCATCGCAAGACGCCAAGCAGCTCGCAAAGTCGAAGAACTACAAGAACTACGGCCTAGATCTTACGAATGGCAAGGTGCATGACTGCCTAAAGGCGGGTGTGCTTGAGCCGAGTATGAGCAAGGTCAAGCAATTGAAGTCTGCGGTAGAGGCGTGTGTAGCCATTATGCGTATTGATACCCTGATCAAACTGGATCCGGAGGAGAGGGGTGGTGGCGAGGACGACGGACATGGGCATTAGACATTACATGAGCTGACTAGGAGAATATGGTAGAAAGAAAAGATGACGACAGTTTATAATGAAAGCTCAATCGCACGACACCATCTTCTCCATCATATATGTGTATCGATCCACAAGTGTGAGCTTTTTTGATGTTTCTCCTAGCTCCTTCTTCGTGTCCACCAGCTTTCTCTTCGTCCTCCTTGCCTCCTTCTCCGCCTCTTCCCGCTTCTGCTCTACGTTCTTCAACTTCGACTTCAAACTTTTGACTTGTGTTCGATGCTATTTCAATGTTAAGATTAGGAGGCGAAAGAATGCTGAAGACATTCAGGCTGTTCAATAGCAAAGATCGATTAGGCATGGTGAGAGTAGGTGAGACTAAATCATGTTTCTAGTCCTTGTTCCAGTCAGTCGGTACGTCTCTGTAGCTCACCTATAAGAGAACACTGCCTATGATATAGTCCCTAACTTATCTACTATCGCTCTTGTACTCCGTCAGCTCTTTGATTCAATTAAGAAAACCAACATGATTGACACGAGCATATACTACCCATGCCTAAATAGCTCTTGTGGAGAACTGCCCGGAGCTCGAAAACAACATAAATTGAGAATCAGCCACTGCAATACATTTTTACGGTATCAACGAGGCAGCTCATATTAACTATCTATCGACAACGCGGCCATCAACTCCCCTCCGCCTTCTTCGTCGCCTTCGTTCGCAACTTCATCAACCCAAACACCAAGGCATAACTGCTGATGACGAACAACGCCGTAATGGCAAGATCCCTCCATCCGTAATAGTACTCTTTCAAGTTGAGACTATACAAGTAGTCTGCTCCGAAGCGATATTGACAGACTTCACACGCCGCCGTTGCGTCCGGGTTGAGCAACCTAGCCCGCGATCCCATACCTTGTGTATACTCTGTCAGATACTCAGCGCACGTCTGGTTCGGCACGGGGTCGAAGATGGCAAGTTCATTTGAATCGCACGTGACCTCAGCATCGAAAGTTGTGAAGACGAGCATCGCGCCCATGAGATAGTTGAACGGATCGATATAGTAGAGCCAGTAGCGCCAGAACGCAGGGATCTGGCTGTACGGCACCAAGACACCACAGAACGAGACGAGGACACCTAGGATCGAGGGGTTGATGGCGGCGGCGAAGATTGCGTTGGGAACATAAGCGGCGACAAATTGGCCTGTGCCGGTGTAGAGAAATTCGTAAATAATCATGATGAAGAGCGTTGCACCGGCTTTGTCAGTGCTTGAGGGGAAGCCTACGGTGTAGTACCAGCAGAGGAAGTATATGATGCCTGAGATGATAAGGTAGGGGATCTCAGAGACGATAAGGGCGGTGACGAAAGCGGGCCAGTTATACGTCTTTGACTTCTTTTCGCGGACTTCGTACATGTCGCGTCGTTCGAGGAAGAGGGGTTGAAGCTGCGCGAAGACACCAGGAGCGACGAATACAAAGTTGTAGATTGCGAAGAGACGAAGCTGAAGACCGTTAACGGAGGGGCCAATCATCCAGAAGGAGAAGCCGTTGAAGAGCGCAGAGAAGATGTGCAGAATGACGCGGTTGTTAACATATTCGGTATCTCGATAGAGCGCACGGTTCATCCTACCCATGAGGACGAGCGCCTGGTCCTTGAAAGATGCTGCGAATTCATGGCCATCATCTCTAGTGGCTGATTCCCGGGAGGCAGCATCTGCCACGATATCATCCAAAGATCTCAGGGCACGTTCGTGTTCAGGCGACGATTTCCACACCTCGTGCCAGTCCTGTTGCTTCGAGAGAGACCCGGAAACGACATCGATCATATGCTCGGCGGGATTAGTAGACTCTGGACATGGTACTCCATGTCGGGCGAAGTATTCTTTCACAGTTGAACCATCCTTGCCAATGTCTCCAAAGTAACTCATCTTACCGCCTCTTTGTAATAAAAGGAGAGTGTCGAATTGAGCAAATAGACTCTGCGATGGCTGATGAATTACGACAAGTACGGCTTGGCCGATATCAGCAAGCTTGCGTAGGAATTGCACAATCCCAAAGGCAGATTGCCCATCAAGACCAGATGTTGGCTCGTCAAGAAAGAGAAGGATCTCGGGCTTCGCAACGAGCTCCACGCCAATAGTGACTCGTTTACGTTGCTCAACTGTGAGCCCATTTCCTGGTACCCCAATCAGAGTATGCTCGATATCGTGGAGCTCAAGTAGTTCGATGATCGAGTCAACATAGCGAAGCTTGTCGGCTTTTGGAATTTCGCGGGATTGGCGTAATAAGGCGGCGAACTCGAGTGACTCCCGTACAGTAGCCATGCGTTCATGGACATCAAGCTGCTCGCAGTAGCCAGCAGATCGCTGGAAGGAAAGTGACACCGGTTTTCCGTCGACGAGGATGGACCCCTTGATTGTACCGTCGGTCTTGCGCTGCGCTAATACATCCATCAGGGTGGTCTTTCCAGCGCCAGATTCACCCATGAGCGCGCCTAACATGCCCGGCTTCACCCATCCATACACATCATCAAGAAGGGTAATTTCTCCTCCCGGTATGCTGACGGTGTACGTCAGGTTCTTCCACGTGAAGACAGACTTATTTTGTAGCAACTGCTTGTCAATGGAGGATGAGGAGTCGTTCTGTTCCGTTTGTGACATATCGTGTGGCTTCTCCTTCGTTGCGGCTTCGTTTATGTTCTGCTGTGACTCGATATCCTGTCTAGACTTTCGCTCTTGCACCAATGGCAGGCGTTCACGGGGTACAAGCAAACTGTGACTCATGTTCGCAACTGTGGCCCATCGTCGAGTGAAGTATATTGTAAGAGCAACATAAAGCACCCACCAAGCCCAGAGGATGCCAACGTTGCGCCAGATATGGCTTCTCCCAAAGGACAAGCTTGCGAGGTATTGGTCGCCAGTCAAAGATGCAGACCCTTGAGGTGCACCTCGCATACCAGTACAAGCTTGGTTGGTGGCTTCGGTGTACGCAGGGCCTAGTGGAACCAAGTTTGGGCCTTCGCAATCAATGATGGTGCCATGGAACTCGTTCGACAGTAGGGCGTCGAATGCGTATGCCATTGGGTTGATCCAGTAGATCCACACAAACCAAGGCTTGATGTATGGTTTTTGAATGAGATATCCGGCATATGTAGCGACGACCGAAATCGTGAATCCGGACACCTTGGCGGCCGACTGGAAGGTTGGAAACGCGGCGCCTATCATGCGGAAAAAGGCCGTAAAGCACATGCTTGTGCTTACCAGTACGAAATAGAAGGTGAAGAAAGCACCAGCCGCCGTTTTCAGTCCGATCATGAAGTATAGGACGATCGAGAAGTGGCTAAGAAGTAGCAGAATCATCGGAACATCAGCAACAATTTGTGCAATACAGAATGCTGCCGGCTGATAGAAAGCAAACTGGCGGTGTTTCGCGAGGACCGGACGTCCTGTAAAGGAATCGAAAGTCTCGCCCATGGTGAGAAGTGCAGGGTAAAGGATGGTCATGAATATCGCTCCGCTCTTGATGAATAGCCCAGATGAGCCCGCACTTGCATTATAAAAGAGCGAGCCAGTGATGAGAGCTTGTAGAAACACGGTGACCTGTTTGATTATCAATGTCGGCTTGTCTCCCCAAAGTACCTGATACTGGCGCACGATACAGTTCTTCAACTGATCGAAGAAAGCGATAGTCACAGCAGGACTGTTCAAAACGGTTTTGTGTTTCTCGGCCTCGACGTTATCTTGAAACGTCTGAGTGGAGGCTATAGTGGTAGGTTGGGACGAATAAGAGTATTCTGCCTCCATTCGAACTTTGACATCGGACCTTTCATACATCTGACGTATCTCGTCCGCTGTACGTGGGAAGCGATCTTCGTATCCTTGCCGGATTTGTCGTTGGGAAGGGACAGTGATCCCGGAGAGGCAGTCTGCGATATTTGCAGACGGATTAAAGTAGAAGCCTAGATCGCTCATGAATGGTACCGCTTCATTTCGCGGGCCGTAGAAGATTTGCTTGCCATGATCCAGAACGAGTACTTTGTCGAATAGGTCGAAGATACCGTTGCCCGCTTGATAGAATGTGGCGATTGTGGTAAGACCCAATGTGTCCGTCAGGGCTCGAAGCGATCGGGTGAACTCATGAGCCGTGCCGGCATCTAGACCGCGAGTAGAGTTGTCCCAGCAAAAAACGCTGCCACGGGTCGCCAGGCATTCAGCGATGGACACCCGCTTTCTCTCTCCTCCGCTAACGCCGCGAATAAAGGCGTTGCCCACGATATTATTGTATGTGTGTTCAATGCCAAGCAGCTCCAGGATGCGGTCGCGCTGCTCAAGCCGGTATTCGTCCTGTGACTGTCCTTCGGAAGAGCGAAGTGGCGTCTTCATTTTGGTAGCGAAGTCCATGGTTTGCTGGACCTGTGGCAATGTTAGAGCAAGCAAATCGCAATGTTTAGCAGGCTTACCGTTAGCGTGGGGAAGAAGACCTCCTCTTCAGTGTTCATGACGATTTGGCCGCGGTATTTCTCTGCCTCGGTATGATCCATCGCTCCGAACGAGACATTGCCCTCGATCTCTGCAAACCCGACTCTTCGATTCGACAGCAAGTTCAGCAAGCTTGTACAGCCTGCCCCAGGTCTGCCGACGACGAGCAGCATTTCTCCAGGGCTGACATGACCATGAGATTTTTCGATGATGGTTTTCATGGGCTTCGGCCTGCGGCTTTCTTTGAACTGTTGCAACGAATTGAATTGCGACAGAACGTTCTCATTGACGTTCACTTCAGCAGAAACGCCTCGGATTGTGAGGTTGGTCCAAGTCACGCCCAGCTTTTGAGGCTCGATGTGCATTTGGGGTGTCTGCCGGGCATCTTGTGGTTGTTGAGAGCTCTCCTTTTCGACATCAGGCTCCCGAGAAGCCATTATTGGATGGCTTCCAAGTTGAAATTAGAGTACGTGTTACCTCAGCTCAATCGATTACCTTGAACAGTGGTGTAGAGAGAGTTGCCGGAAAAGGTGGTTGTAAAGACTGGAGGATGTGATGATTGACAGAAGATTTCCAAAGCGCCTACGCCCTAATTGAGCTATCGCTGGTTCTGTGAAAGTACTTTGAGTGCGGACGATGATTGACAGACATGATGCAGAAGCGCAGATTAAGGTCATTGCGGCTGCTAATGCCATTTCGCGCGTTGCTGGGTGTCGGAGACAATTTGTCAGCCGGTGACTTTGCGCACTATTGCATTCCATTCACTGTGATAATTCGGTGTAGAATACATAGGTACCAATCTTGTTGTCGGCGACGCTAGTCGTCGATGTGAGCAGGGGTCGGCGACGCTAACCCAATGGGGCACGTCGGTTTGATGCCAAACGCGATCGACATCAGCCAGCTAGCTCGCCGGCAACATAGAGATCCGGAATGCGCAAAGGATATCGCAGGCTGACATTTAACGCTGATAGTATTCTTGAGACAGACGCGTCGGCACCGCTGCACGAGTTCTGATTGGCAAGTCTCGCGTCTTAACCCTGACGCATACAGCAACCACGCTGACGCAGCCACGCGACTGGATATGCGCGAGAGAGGAGGATTTGCCACGATTGATAATCGCCCAACGATGTCAATGGCAACTAGACAACTCTACAGCTCGCTGTAAACAAATGGAAAAATATTTTTGACTGTAGCGACAGGTTGAGGTGTAACTAGTACCATCATCGTTGATGCCGCTCTTTCGCTACCAACTGCATTACTAAAACTAGCTTCTACAACCGTTAATCTAGGCCAAGTAATACTTTCTAAGAACTCCGACTAGGCCGTAAGGTGCGTAGCCCTATGCGACATACATATAATGATGTACAAGCTACGGACAGCAATTTGGATTCGCGTCGCAAGTGTCACAACAAGATACTGCGAGCTGTATTCGTTACTACACTAAAATCCGAACTCTCTCGTGCCTAAAGTTAACTTATCCAGTTACTTGTTTCTACGGCTGTCATTCTGCCTCCCACAGGCACGTCCAACCGTTTTATCTAACATTCACCAACTTCGTGGTGACCCCATGCTTCGTAGTCGTTAGTACTAGCTCATGAGTAGAAAACAACCAATCATATCCCGTCCTCTTGATGGCGCCAACCCACTCTAACATATCCATCTTCTTCTCAACTTTCTTACCCAGCTTCCCTTCCAACAAATCAAACAGTTGCTTGGGCGAATAGCTTGCTTCGCCCTGATGATGCACAAATCTTAGTGCTCCATCAACGCTCGACTCACAGATCTGAGCAGCCGTTCGCGGTGAGTGAACCAAATCAAAACGGCCTTCCCATGTACTTCGATCCGGGAGTATACCCAGACGCTCGGTGGATGTGAGGAGGTCCTCCATTGCAAGATCGCCGACTTCAGTCGGGCTCGTATCTGCGCGGGGAGTAAATCGATGGACCACGACGGGGACGCCGGTTTCTTGACTAGCGTTTTCAAGGATGACTTCGCTGGCCCATTTGGACGCAACGTAGCCATCAGAGCCATCTATAGGGGGCTCAAAGGTGGCCACTGATGCCTCGGCTGAGCCATCGATGGTGTCGTTAAGCTTGAGCACGCCACTCGAGGAGAGGAAGTGGATGGGTACCTTCCGTGGGATGGCAAGTCGGAGAAGCTCCTTTGTGGACAAGACATTGGCGCTACGGAGCGCCCAGTAATTGTCCCAGAAGGAACGCCTGCTGCCGGAGTGGATAATGAGGTCGGCGAAGGCACCAAGCGTGTTCCATGTTTCTTCGGCTAGACCAAAACGCGATGATGTGAGATCACCGTCGTAGACCGTAACCTTAGAATTGGATGATAAGGGTACACGGTCTTCGGCACTGATTTGGTCATGTCCACGAACAGCGACGCAGTGGATGCTCTGCACGTCAGGGCTCTGAATTAAGTGCCACAAGATGTAAGATCCGAAATAACCCGTAGCACCGGTTAAAAGGACTACCTTTCCATCCTTCAACTTTTTCTCGCCACATCCGTTCGTTAGTGCGACAGCCTCCTTAACTTGGCCGAGGTTTTCAGATCTCAGCGCCGTTTCTTCGTCCCAATCGATCTCCTTAATGACATTCGAAACCTGAATGCGTGTAGCCATTGCCGCTAGCTTGCTAGCTTCGAAAAGCTGAAGCAGACCTAATGACACATTGAAATCGACGCGAATGCGGGACTGTAGCTTGACGAGGAGCAACGAATTGCCACCAACCGCGAAGAACTCGGTTTCAGCGCCGATACTGAGATGCTTAGCAAACTCAGAAGGTAAGACTTCTCGCCAGGTCTGTACTAGACGCTCTTCGAGGGGGCTCAGCTCCGCAGTATCATCGGACATATGGGCGGCGTTTAGAGGCAGAGGGAGGTGAGCGATGGCTTTGCGATCTGTCTTGCCGTGTAGGTTTTTGGGGTACTTGTCGATGGGAAAAACCATGGCTGGCTTCATATAAACCGGTAGAGGCAAAGAAGAGTTGAGTTCCGCGAGGTAGGTGGTTGGGTCAGCTGGCTCTCTATCCAGTGAAAATATAACGTGAGCAACAAGAGTCTGTGAGTCGGCCCTTAGCGTCACAACTGCGTCAACCAAAGTACCGTTCGCGGTCGTAAGAAGTGATGACTCGATATCTTGCAGTTCGACACGGTACCCACGGATTTTGACCTGAGAATCTCCATCACGACGACCTTCGTACCTGATCGATCCATCAGATTCAAATCGTCCCTTATCGCCTGTGCGGTAGGCCGAGTTCCAAAGGTTCTGTTTGTAAATTTGCGATGTGAAAGGGTTGGTTATGAACTTTTCTTTCGTCAATTCTTGCTTGTTCAAGTACCCAATACCTATAGCGCATCCACCTATCAAGATCTCACCCGGGAAACCCTGAGGTACTAAATTGCAATTGTCGTCGACAATGTAGATCGAGTAATTCGGATTGGGACGTCCGATCGTAACCGGCCTGTTATCATTGTTGTTATGCAGGGGTATCTCCGCCATCGTAGCGGAGATGACAGCTTCAGCAGGCCCATATGCATTGTATAACTGGAGTGTTGGATGATCCAACGTGGCAAATGCCCGCACAGTCGCTCTTGGTAGAACTTCTCCACATGCCAGCGCATGCTTCCAGGACGTAGCCAACGTCAATTCCTTCGGGCTAGCTTGCAATATGCTGGCGTACTCAGAGGGCGTGAGAAGGGTCCAGGTGATGTTTTCTCGCCGGATGAGTCCAGCAAGTGCGGTAGGATCAGCTCGTGTCGCAGTGGGAGCGACTACTAAAGTGCCACCCATAGACAGCGCTGTGAAGATTTGGCCCATTGATAAATCGAATGAGAACGCGCTTTGCTGTAGAACCTTCTCGCGACCTATCTGCCATTCCTTGACATAACCCTCAATGTGATTGATGATGTTTCTGTGGCGGAGATTGATTCCCTTGGGTGTCCCGGTACTTCCACTGGTGAAGAGAATGACAGCCGCATCTTCGCTTGTCAGCGGGATGAAGAATTTATCACACTTAGTTGCTGGAATAATCTGGTCAATTCTGACAAACTCGGCGCTATAGGACTCAAGTTGTGAGGCAAGCTCGACAGTTGACTCATGTGTGAGAATAACTCTGGGCGCAACGGCTGCTATCATGGCAGCAAGACGTGGCAGAGGATTGGAAGGCACCAGAGGAACATAAATAGCTCCTGTCCAAAAGATTGCCATAATAGAGCAGATCCAGTCGGGAGTCGGCTCTTGGAACACGCAGACCTTATCGCCCGCTTTCACTCCGACGGAGGAAAGATGATTCCGAGCCCCTAGAGCTTTTAATTCGAGGTCCTTGTAGGTGAGGCTCAGTTCCTGGCCGTCCTTGACAGCAATCGAGTCCGGGTACCGCTGGCATATTTCGTGAACACGATGTGCCAATGTGGCACTCCACTCAAAGTCGATATGTGGACCTAACAATTGATCAGCAATCTCTCCATATATCTCTGAAGAACGCAATAAGTTCTATTTAGAGTCTTACCTTGGCCTAGCTCCAGAGTGGCAGCGATTTGTGGCTGTGAAAAGATCCTCGCCTCCTCTGATGAGATGGCTGGATCCTCCACAAACTGCTCTAGCAAAGTGACATAACAGTCGAGCACTTTCTGCATCTCGGCTGGCCCGTACAAGTAGTCTTGGCCCATGAATGCAACGAGTGAGCCTGCACTGCCTTCGACGACATCTAGGGTGATATCGTATGCGGTTTCACCAGGGTTTCTGTCTACATTTTCCCAACTGGTGTTGCTGAACTTGAACTTTTCCATTGCTCCCTGGTGATAGTCGAAGAAGGCTTGGAATAAAGGGCTGTGGCTAGACGAGCGCGACAAACGTAGAGCTGTGGAGTAAATATATTAGTAAATATGTTGCAAACATGTTCTAAGAAGAAATTCACCTTGTAGTAGTTCATCGAAGGGAACTCCAGCGTGGCTAAGACCTTCATATACTTTTGCTCGCGTTTCGCGCAGTACGTCACCGAAGGATCTATCTTTCTGCTGCGTGAAATGAAGAGGCAGACTGTTCAAGAACAGACCGACTGTCGATATGACTTTGCTGTCGTGTCGGTTTGCATCCGCCAATCCAATGCAAATATCGTCGACACCTGTAAGTCGTGCCAGTAGAATGCGGTAAGTGGCAAGATAAAAGTGAGACATTGTCACGTGAAACTTCTGACATGTTGCCTTCATTTTAGCGGACAACTTTGGATCAAGGCGGCGCTCGACATAAGTAGATCCATAGCTACTGATCGCTTGCCGAGAGGTGACCTTGGAAACTGGAAGAAGAGGGAGAACTGGGGAGATTTGTTCAAATTCGCGTTGCCAGTAGGCCAGATTCTTCTTGAGGTTCCCCAGGTCGATCTTCAGGCCTTCTTGTTCGGAAAAGGCAGTGTATTGGAGACCTTGTGGCGAGATGGCTTGGCCATCGTAGGCTCGCTCCAAATCAGCAAGGAAGACCTGGAAGCCGACTCCGTCCAGAATGATGTGGTGATAGCCAAAGATGACAGTATGAGACTTTTCGCCGTTGGACAGGAGAACGATCCGCATAGTCTCACCTTGTTCCAAATCATAAATGTTGTCCCGTAGACTTTTATACTCTGTCACGACTTGGTCCGCAGATGATATAGTCTTGTACTCCAGCTCCAACTTGGATTCTTCCATCACGCCTTGCCAAGCTCTCTCTTTGGACTCTTCGTCGGCCACGAAACACGTACGCAGGGCCTCGTGAGCTCGTGTTGTAGCTTTCACAGCTCTCGCAAAATCCGAGACACGGATACGACCACGTATGTTGTAAGAGAGAGTGACGTTTGATCCTGTCTGATCGGCGAGGAACATGTTGAGGAACCAGAACCTTGACTGTGCTGATGAAACTCGCACGCGACGTTTGTACTTGGTAGGTAGTTTGAAATCCTCACTCGCGATCGATGAGATGGGTGTCTGGTACGCAGAGGGCGTATTAAGCGTGGGGGTTAATGATTGAGGGGATGCTTTTGTGGACGCTGGTGTATGTTGAAGCTGGCATAATCTCGTCAGCTGTCTATATCAAGGCGTACAATTTCGTTGCCAAACGCGCGTAATTACAATGGAAATTGGCTGAAAATAACATGATAACTTTTCACAAAATCCTCGTCGCTCCTAAGATCTAGATCCTACAAGCCTGGAAGATAATCTATGCACTTACAGGTTCAATGCGGTCGTTAAAGCTTTTCCTTTGGGCCTTCGCGGAAGTAGGTTTGTCGGCATCCTTTGCTTTAGCGGGAGTGTCTTGTGCTGTGTTACCAATACTCGGAAGCAATTCCTTTGCCATCTGTTCGATTGCAAACTGACTGAGGTCGGTCGTAGAAGCACCGCCTAGAATCTTCAGAACAGCCATGTCGACATTCACCTCCTTGAGTACCCAAGATCGAATCTCAACAGCAACGAGTGAGTCGACACCAAGCTCAATTAGGGCTGCGTCTTGACGGAATGCGCTAGATTCCATTTGAAGAATGGCCATAAGCTTGGCACTGAAGCTCGCTATAGAGAAAGCCATGTCAGCAGAAAGTTATAATGTTACTCGGACGGCGTGAGTAACTCACTCTCGAAAGCCTGTTCTGCTTCTGGTATGGTTCTTGCAGCTGCCAGTTGAGCGCGAGTGGACAGGCTAGCTTTTGTCTCGTTCGACTCGATCGGTGGGAGAATCATGTGAGAAAACCGCGGGTTGGTAGACCAATGAACGCCAGTCTCTTCGTCTTCCCGAGCGTAACGCAAACCAGTGATCATCTCAGGGTTCTCTCCTGAGTCTGGAAGACCTACCATGATGGCCTGTGCAACAAGGTGCTGGAGATCGACCTCAGAGACTGGCATGTATCCGTATTTCAGCAAAATCTGCTCCATAACGTCTCCGGCACGTGTAAGATAGCCCACGCCTACAACGCTGCCAAGATGGAGGACACTCCCTGCCTGCCCACGGGTGCGTCGCTGTTTCACAAAAGACGTGACGAAGGCGTTTCCGGCGTTGTAATTCGTCTGACCACGATTTCCGATAATGAATGAGAGCGATGAGAACACTATAAAGAAGTCTAACGGTATGTCTTTAAAGACTTCGTCTAGATTTATCGTGATGTCGATCTTCGGGGCCAGGGTATCGTTGAAAACATTGATATCCATGTCGAGGAACATGTGATCTTGCAAAATCACTGCTCCATTGATGATGCCGGCCAGGGGAGGCATCTCATTCTTGACCTCGGACTGGAACTGGACCCAGGCATCTCGGCTGGTGGCGTTGCTATTCAAAGTCAGTACAAGACATACGAACTTTTGGTATGGTGGCGAGTCGGAGGGAAGAGGGTGAATACTGACAATGCGCCTATCTTGATTTTCGCACCAGTAGCTTCCATCTCATTAATCCAGGCCTCTTTGATCTTTGGGTTTCGACTGGTCAGGATGACACCTCCCGCACCATACTTGATCATCCAGCGAGCAAGTGACAGACCCATCTCACCGGTCATACCGACCAGCATGTAGGACTTGTCCTTCTTGAACAGCAAATCGGGTTGGGGTTGTGAGACCTCCATTGAGAGTGGATTCTTGATCTGCCAGTCAACTATGGTTAGGAGATCACCTTGCGTCGGATTATGTTGTAGGTCTGATAACTGGACAGTATGAGTCTCGGCGAATGCTGATCCTTTTACCGTCGACTCAGTAGACAAGCTAGCTATCACACCGTTCACAAAGGCGGCTGTGACTGACCCTACAGCTCTTATAGAGCCACCCTGTGTAATTTCTGGCTTTCGAGACGAGATAAAATCATCTTTCACGATTTTGCAGTTTTGTGATAGACAAGCAGTGACCAGGCTGGCCAAGCCTTTGTCCGCTTGCGCGCCGAAGTATACATAAGCTGTCGCATCGTCGGGCACGACTTCGCGAGCAGCTCGGACGGATTCTCGAGGATGGAGAAGAATCCAGTCAGATGATTCCACGCTTCGAGCTTGATATTGAGTCAAGAACTTGACCCTAAAGTTGTCCTCTCGCGCTTTTCGGAGCAGAACAGATGCAATGAGCTCAGGGGGGTCTTGAACGAGGAGAAGCTCATTACTGCCTTTGGCAAGCTGAGCAATTCTGGAAGCAATGACTTCTGCGATAAGTGCGATGAATGTGTTCTGGACATGTTCCGCAGAGTGAGGTCCAGGAAGCGAGGCAGCCCAGGACGCGCGGACGTGCACAACATTGCGTCGCTGATGAGTCAGCGCAACCATCCAATCTTTTTTTCCGACCCGTTGGCCAACGACGAAGATTAGCGGGGATTCGCCATCATCGTATTTGAGCGCCCAAAGCGTCGAGTATCTCACGAGAATTTCGATGGTGTCGTCGTTGGGACTAGACAGCGGGGACTTCGGTGCATAGTGCTCGCCCAGCACCCAAGACCCGTCGTGATCGGAAAGCTGCACCAAAGAGCTGTTGTTGGCTTCACTGGTGAGGAGTCGCCGTATACCATTCAATCGCTGATTATTGAGCTTGTGAGGTACGACACGCTGGACCCAAAGGGTGCCATTCTTGAAGCGCAGCTCTGGTTCGGTCGTCCAGAGCATCTGGCTCTTGAAATCAGGATTTTGCTCCCACGGACCAGCAACGAGTAATCGAAGAAGGCTTTCGACGACGACCCTGCCGTGCGCCGAAGGCTTCTCAGTATTGTCGAAATCCAGCACCTGGGCCCTGAGGGTGGGAAGCTCGGCAGTAGCCGTGCGGAAGAAGCCTACCGACTGGTTGGCATATGGCTTCTCCAGGTCCTGCGCGTGGGTTACCCACAATACATTTCGACTGTGCTCAACTAGCCGTTGTAGGGCCTTCAGCTGTGTGGGATCCAGATGTTGGAACACGGGTCCCTCGAGATCCAGCAAGCTGATAACTGTAGGATTGTAGTCGAATTCAATATCCAGGATATTCTCCAGCCTTCCGACGACGATCAAGTCATCAAAATAATTACCTAGCATATCCGAAATATCCTCGGCCAAACTGAATGTTTCGATTGCGTCTCCGCCCAGGATGTAGAGGTTGCTCCAACCTTGGCTGGGCAAAACTTTCAGCAAAGGCTTGCGAAGTTCGTCAACCCTGTCACCGACCACCTGAGCTGCCATTATCGTGAATGGACTTGGATAGATGTTACTGGTCGGAGTTACCGCGTCCAATCCGCCAAAATCGGCCTTACGGAGAGCCTGATGCCACTGGGTGGACGAACGACAATCTCCCGCGCCTGACCACCAGCCTGGTAAAGCGCCCATGATGAATGGATAGTGGATAGAGCTTTTATCCGTTGTCTCCACCAAGATGAGGTACCCACCAAGCTTCAGCAATGATCGCACATTCTGGAGCGCGCTGTTGAGATCAGAAGCTTGTCCAAGCACATTTGAAGCAATGATAACCTTGCGCAGAGTCAGCATTACGAACCAATATAGAAAATTTTGAGACACATACATCGTATGCATGTGGAGAAAATCCTTGCTCGCTTGGGATTTGGTACATGTCAAACGCTTTGGCCGTCACTTTGCCGTGCTCCGTCTTAAAGCGATCGGACACATTCTCTAGAAGATGGTCCTCGATATCGGTGAAGGTATAGGATAGGTATGCTCCATCAAGGGCATTCAACACTGCTTGTGTTGAGGATCCAGTGCCACCACCTATCGCGTGGGAAGCACAAAGTTAGTTTGACTGTGCTATACATAGAAGAGGGGGAAAATCACCAATTTCGAGCAAATTCATACGCGGATAGCGATGAGACAGCTGCTTGACCAAGCGACCCAGGGAACGGTTGGATGAGGACAATGCGAGACTGTTAGCGAAAAAAGCATCTAGCAGCCCGTTCGACTGGAGCTCATCAACCAGACTCAACTTCCCGCGAATTGCAGACGGAAGGCTCTGCCCGATGCTTTTGATTATCTGCATATCAATATACTTGGAATACCTGGAGCGCATCAGCAACACAGTCAAAAGACGTTTACTGCCTAGCTTACCTTTGAACGAGTTCTGAAATATGATCCTCCTCATCTTGCGAGGCATTCCGACCACTCTGCAAAGTGGGAACCGACAATAGATGTTTGTAGTGTACCGTAATGTGTACTCGATCATACGAAGCAAGTGTCTCGTTCAGCTTGCGCCAATAGTAATGGGCCACTCGCTCGCAAGCCTCGGAAAGCCCCCACTCTTCCTTCTTAGCTTGCTCTTCGCCAAGGGCTAGTGCGCCATCAGGTGTGGCAGGGCCCCAGATAGTCTCGAAGAACATAGTCCGATCATCTTGGGCAGCGGTGTCCCCGAGTGCAACCATGGTTGCTCTTTCGACTTGGATGATGGGTTGTTCTCCTGCATCCTTGGTGGTTGAGAATACAACGTCGCCGCGCATCTCTTTGGAAGGGCTATCCGTCAGCCAGGCGTCAAAAGCTAACTTGGTCCCTTGCAAGCCTGCGTTCTCTCTCCCGCATCCCAATGGGTCCACGGAGATCTTCCCAATGCTGACGGGCAGGAATAGGGTCCAGAGCCTGCCATCACCGGGCCAGCAGTAAGCTCCGAAGAGTGCTTGAAAAGCATGGTCTAAAGCGCTTGGATGCACAAGCAACTTAGTATCAGCATGATCAGAGATATTCTGCTCGATCAGTCCGGTTGAGAAGTTCAGACGACGGCGCATGTTCGAAAACCCTCGAAACAGCTTCGTGTAGCCGTAACCGGTCTTCTCAAGAGATGTATAGAACCGATCGGTGTCGATGTCAATAAGATGAGCTGGTGTTGGATTCCTTGGTGGCAAGACAGCCTTTGAAATAGGCTCGTCACTGACGACGATGTTGATTTTTCCGCTACCAACCCTCGTGAGGGCCGTATGATCACGCAGCAGCTGTGCGGATATCGTAAATTCTGCTGTAATGAAGCCATTCTTTGTGAGAGTGCCAGCGTATTTCTTGACGTTCCAGATGTTGGTTACGGTTTCAATAGCCGCCTTTTCATCCTGGAACACAATGGCTCGACCAACGACGAGATCATTGATCTCAAGAAGCTGAATGTTCTCATCACGAGCAATGACTCGGGATGCCTCAAGAGCCACTATTTTTTCCAGGTTAGCGATCCATTTAGGTCGAGCTACAAAGAGGATGAAACTTACTGGATGCATAGCCAGCCGCTGGGAACACAACGTTTCCCTGGATCTGGTGACCCTCAAGCCAGGGTATCTCGCGAGTGCTGAGGAAGTTGCGCCATTGATACTCCTCTCCGTTCCCCTCGTCACATCGAGTGCCAAGAAGCTCGTGCATAGGATCTGGATGGGTTCGGAAGACTTTGCTTTTCCGGGATTCAAACCAGTACGGCTTGTCATGATCCCACGTATACGTTGGAAGACCTTTGAGGAGTTTTGGCTCAGTCGGGCCAAGGGCTAGCTGATGCAGGGATACAAAGTCCGTTTTTGACGGGCCTAGGTTTGACCAAATCGTGCCAAAGGTGTCTGAAACAGACTCGAGATCATTTTCGCCTCGTATCAAGGTACCCGAGTATGGCATTTCGATACCAATCTCGCCAAGTATTTGCATGATAGGCCCCTTGAGCGCCGGATGAGGTCCAATCTCGATAGCCTGATGGAACGGCCCGCCATTCTGCACAGCACTAGTGACGGCCTGGGAGAACAGCACAGTTTTAGCCATGTTGTCCCTCCAGTAAGTGGTAGTAAGAGAATTGTCAGGCTTGACCACGGCGCCATTAAGCACGCTAGAGTACCACGTACAGTCGCCGCTAGGGGTGTTGACCTTGATGCCCGCAGCCTGAAGGGATTGAACGTAGGGTTCCGCGCATGGGTGCATATGATGCGAATGATATGCCGTATCAACCTTGAGTAGCCGGGCGAATGTCTTCTGCTGATCCAGCGCCACTTTGACGTCTACGATGGCGTCTGCATCACCTGACAATGTCAAGCTAGATGGAGAGTTACAGGCAGCAAGCGTGATACGATTGGCAAACTCGTCGCTGTTGCAAAGCGCTATAGCCTCGTCGACGGAAATTCCGACAGCTAGCATAGCGCCTTGCTTGCCTCCAGAGCCTTGCGCAAGGGAAGCGTGATAGCCTCGGAGGTATGCTATCTTGATCGCATCAGTGGCAGAGATGATACCAGCTGCATGTGCTGCTGCGATCTCTCCGGAAGAGTGCCCCACGACTGCTGAGAACGTGATACCGGCACTTCGTAGAAGGTCGATGAGGATTACCTGCACTACCGTACAAAGAGGCTGTGAAAGTGCTGCTTCCTGGATACGAGTCAGGCCGGCATCTTTCGATAGCTCTTCCTTAATCTTCCAAGCTGGGCGGTACTGCTCCGGTAGCTGTTGCAAGGCGTCTTCCAACTGCTCGAGAAGCTGCCTTGCTCGTGGCACGTTGTTCAATAGTTGGGCACCCATTCTATTCAATACTGATCAGTATCACTTGTCCGCAAGATACAGTACATGGAAAACTTACTTCGCCCATTGGGCGCCTTGACCAGTAAAAACGCCAAGAACCTTCTTGTTTCCTGAGCTTGCTCGCACTCCAATCGTGGATCCAGGGATATCTCGAACACTATCTAGCTTTCTGTCGATTTTCTTGCAGAGGCTGCTAATGCTGGACGCTGACAATGAAAGCTTCACGGCAAAGGCGGACCGTCGATTACTCAACGTCCACGCGAGATCTGACATGTTGGTTTTAGGGTGAGCCTTGAGGTATTCACTGTACGAAGACAGTAACCTCTGTAATGCCGCTTCTGTGTAGGCAGAGAATAGGAAGGGCATGAGAGCTTGAGCGGTAAGCGGTTCTGCATCATTTGCTACGCTCTCGACCACTGGGGGGCTCTCGAGGACAGCGTGCGTATTTGCCCCACCAAAACCTAGAAACAATTGCAGTCAGTGGAAGTTGCTAATATCTGGAGCACTTCACATACCGAAGCTGTTCACGCTGGCCCTTCTTGGTGTACCGTCTGGCAATTGTGGCCAAGGGACGGAGTCGGTAGGCACCTCCAGCGGTCCATAGAAGGGTAAGATGTCGGGATTCAAGTTCTTGAAAAGCAAATTCGGAGAAATAATCCCCCTTTGAAGACTAAGCATGGCCTTCATGAGGCCAGCAAGACCAGCTGTCCCCTCTGTGTGTCCGATGATCGTTTTGATCCCTCCTACGTACAGTGGGTGCTTCTGAGTCGATGTGTCGAAATCAGGCCCAAAGAAAGTATCGAAAATGGCTTGAGCTTCTTGTGGATCTCCAGCCTTGGTACCAGTTCCGTGCGCTTCGAAGAACTGGGGCTGGTCTTCAGCGTTTCGCACATTCAAACCGATACTCTCGTATGTCTTGCGGATAAGGTCAGCTTGTGCTGTAGCACTAGGCATCGTGATGCCCTTGGTCCGACCATCCTGATTGACTCCCGTCTCTCTGATTATGCAGTCAATATGATCCCCATCTCGGATAGCATCGCTGAGACGTTTCAACACAACAGACACGAAGGCTTCACCGCGCCCATAGCCATCCACATCCGCGTCCCACATGGCAGATCTACCCTGGGACGACAGCATACTCAATTTACTCAGTCCGATAAAAAGCTCTGCGACTAATCAATGCTCACGAACGATCGGGAAGCTGGGATGTGCAATAGGGAGTATCACTTACCTGGTCCAAGGAACAAATTACCGCCAGCGGCGAGCGCTACTTGGCACTCGCCAGACCTCAAGCTTTTGACTGCCAGGTGAAGAGCCACCATGCTGGAGGAGCATGCAGTATCTATGGTCATAGATGGGCCATGCCAGTCAAAGATGTACGATACTCGATTGGAGATGATAGACCTCGAGGTCGAGGTTGCGAAGTATTGTGGGAAGGTGTCCACATCCCGCATCAGAACATCATTGTAATCTGATTGCATCACACCAGCGTAGAATGCCGTGTCTGACCCTTGGAGCTTTTCCATTGGCACTCCGGCATCTTCAAGCGATTCGTACACAGTCTCAAGGAGGAGGCGCTGTAGAGGATCGATAGATTCAGCTTCAATAGGTTTAATACCGAAAAAGCCAGTGTCGAAGAGGCGGTGATCTTCCTCGAGAAGGTATGCGTATTGACCGTTAGCAGTGCCATGATGTCGACCGTCGGGATGGAAGAACTTTTCCGCATTGTAGCGGTCGATCTTCCTAAGGAGGTCGCGCGGCTTGTGTAAAAGATCCCATAGTTTGGAGGGGGAGTTTGCTTTCCCTGGTAATCGACAGCCACTGCCAATGATAGCAATTGGTTCTGGGGGCTGTAAACTGCTGGCCATTGTGTATGCGTATCCCGAAAAAGTTGAATTATGAATATGTAATTATCTGACGGAACAGTATGTTGTCGTCTAACCACAATCTCTTTTGGCAGGTTTTGGTAGTTGGTAAAACTGCAGCAAGTTGTTGAATTCACGAGTTCTGACATTGCGTTAAGTTTACGTCAATACACTGCAACCAAGAATCGGATCTGTATTGCCAACACTACCGGCTTCCGACTTTCTTTGCCAGTCGGTACTTTTCAAATTCCCATATCTTGCCATCTTCGGAGGTCAATTCGAGCACTCGGTGCTCGTACCTTTCGATTTAGCTTCAGCAGGGATATGTATGACGCTGTCCACCCTCTGACGTCCTAGGGATCGCTAGTTGTTCGGTATGATGATATAGCGGTGGCGCCGACATCGGTGGATGATACCATTCCCGTTGTTGAATGTGTGCTACAAATCTAACGGATTGAGTAAGTCATAGTGGCTACTGGCACGGTCTGTGACCCACTGATTATGCATGTCTCATCTATATGACTGGACCAGCCGAAAGAGCGGCTAAAAGAGAAAGTCGAAACTAAGTGAAAACTAATGGAATCAAATGCATATAAGCTTACTGTGCTGCAGAGAGCATTCAGGTTACTTGAATCCTCCCTTAGGCAATGTGTTGCTACGCCAGCAGCACAAAATGGCTTCGGACCCACTACATGGTTCGGCATCCTTGCCGCACCCTACACGATTACAATTACGTGCCTTCGTTTGCACTATGACAAATTCGCCTCTCGGTCGATAACCTCGGAAGAACACAGCAAAATTCTGGATGGAAAGCATCTGAGTATTCTGTCTCAAATCCTTCTTATCGGACACTTTCAACCTCACCCCCAATGGACGCCACTATAGCCGACCCGGGTTGTTGGCAAGGAGAAAATGTCGATGAGATCGAGCATCTGCTTAATTTCGCTGGTCCAGTCAACAACGGAACCAATGCGAGGAACACGAACAGGTCGAGACCTGGCAGGCCGCTGGCCTGCACTAGATGCCACGCCCAGAAGCTCCGATGTGTTCGTTCGAATCTTGATCCGCATGCCTGCAATCGATGTCTGTCTGCGACTCTTGAATGTGTCGAACGACGGCCGCAACGGATGGGCAGACCAGTGGATGTCGGTACACAAGTATCTCAATCTCGAATTCGATCAAAACCCGGTCTATCTCAAAGTAGCAACATCGATAAAACACTGTGGTCTCCTATACGTACAGGAAGGCGACAGAGAAGCATTGATATTGGCCCCTCGAGCGCGTCCCCATCTGATATACGACTTGGGTTCGACTGTACCACAACGCCGTTTGTAGATGACGGTGCGTCCGGTCTTGAGTGGTGGACAAGATGCTTGATTCCCGAGGAACCATCTTTTTCCTATAGCACCGAAGGCAGTACCCAGACTGTCGACAGCTTTTTGATGATGTCAGATCAAAAGGCGGAAGAAATGAACTTCGGTTTGTCGTTTGTCGATTCCGAATCCATGGGTCTCTCCGACAAAGCACATGTGGACCGTCTATTAAAACCCAACGGCAAAAGCAAGTCTTCATTGGAATCTCATGAGATGTTGGACAGTGGACCGAACCTCGAATGTGTTCTCGACGACCCTGTCGAGCATCTATCGAACGTACACCTCAAACTCTACAAATGTCTCACATTGGCCAAGTCGGTGGAGAAGCAGATCAAACGTCAGCTTCGTGAAATGCCAAAGCCGCCCACAGAGCCCATCGATACAAGTTGGTCTGAACATTTATTTCACACGACGGAAGTTTTCATAAAAGCTCTGGCAGCTTATGCCAACGGCGTCAATCCTAGCGCGGACAACATCAGCGACATCGACATGATGAGGGACGGGCTGGACACGGAAAAAATTGTCCAAGTCGTCGATACGGCAACGGGGCTCATGATTGTGAGTAGCTATGTGCGTCTGCTGCAGATCTTCGATGTCTTGGTTCTTGCACTCGAGAAGTCGCTAGACATTGAGTTCCCCAGTGGGTATGTCCAGATTCGCTTTGGCGACTTCGTACCCACTGCGAACAAGGCTTTCGGCAGCCGCTTACTCGGACAGTACCTGCTGCATCTACTGAATAGCATGTCGGAAGTGGTTGGTAGGATCGTGGCATCGCGTCAGCCCTATGCTAAAGCCGTTAGTGACAGTCGAACGGTTGGGGCGGAGCTGAAGGAACGCATATTGTCATTATTGCAGTAACAAGGTGGATAGCGTGGGGGTAGGCTAACCAGAATCGGAATCGGTCGGCTCAACGGCACCGGGCCATGACATGGATTCCAAGGTTGATGCAGCCTCCCGTCGGTGGTCAGACGGGAGATGAAGGCCGAGCTGATGCGTCGGCCACATGCAAGTACATGTATACCTACATCTGAAATACATATATCTTGATAGACTTGATGAAAGAATAGCCTAGATCATAGACCATATGCGTAGTGCCTCCCCGAACTTTAAGGCTACGTACATTAAAGACCAATCCTCTCAGACACAAGCATGAGGTTGATTTGTCTGTCTCTCCTTTCTGCCTTGCCGGCCACCTCGGGCATACATGCCCCACCCCAAATTTTCCACGGGACCTCTGTGATCATTCAGCCAAGCACTGGCGCTACCTCCCCTGCCAATAGTACCATCACGACGGCCAACTTCTTCTGTTACATGACCAATCAAGGTTACATCAGCTTCGGATGGTAAGTCCTGAAAGATCCTATATGCGGTCCGAGCCGCAGCCGTTCCCCTCCCCCAACCACGATCTTAACAAAGTTGACCACTCATCTCGTTGGGAACAGGTGGGTTTCCCCCAGCTTGAATAGCAACACGTCTCATTACAAAGCCGACTCAGACGCCTACCACTGGTACGAATACTCGAAACTGGACACCTGCGACCAAGACGCTGGAACGTGCACGTTTCTGACGCAGAACTTCCTCGTGCGTAACTCCGCGGATGATGGTGTGGACCCTCTACCCTTCCCGTCCCGCCCCCTGACCTATGTCGTCCGCCCCCTGGACATTGGCAATGGTGACTACGGCCGCATTGCCCAGAGCTACATCGACGATGGTCAGCTGCAGGTGTACGCCGTGGGTACCCGACAGCTGCTTAGCGGCGAGCAGGTAGAGTCCGACGAGTGCAGGAAGGCTTTAGGGACACTACAACGTGTACAGAAACTATACGAGCCAAAACTGGGGTTCGAAATCGTGGATACTTGTGCTCAAAGAAGCCTTAGTAATAGCGCTAGGTTCCGTAAACAGCTTGGTGGCTGGTAAACGACGTAGCTTAGACTCTTGATTGAGCAACAGAAGAATATCTTTGGGGACTAGCCATTTTGCCCACAAGAATAAAGCAAATGATTCGTCATCTCGTATTGTCACTCTCCACAAGATTCAACAGCTGCTATGTAATGGTGGGTGACTTAAGATGAGCCGGAGCCTTCGCTAAACACAATGCCAACATCGGGTCGATGGATACATTATCGGCACCGGTTTACGAACACCGACCGAAACGCCGATACCGATGCAACTTGAGAATCTATGGCATGCCTCCAAACTAGTGCCAACTTGTAGCGGCGCGGATCTCCAAGGAGATGCCGCTGCAGGAATACTATTAACGCTGCCGCGTGTCAACAGCTGATGATGATGTTCATACCGTTGCTCATTAAACCTTTCTGGATTCAAGGTCAGTCCTTGCCAGCATTATTCTGTTAAGGATTCGAACTATTGATAATGGTGTTCTATCAAAAATTACTTTCACTCTTTGGAGTCACAAACCTTTCTATCCCTCCAAGCTGGAATACTCATGGGTCTACCAACATCACCCAGGACCTACTAGCCAAGCTTTCGCCAAATGCTTCAGTTACCACTGACTTGAGTTTTGCACCCCGCTGGAGTGACTATCACTCTCCCAGAGGCAGTAAATACGTGGTTCTTGTTGCGGAGGAGCAAGACGTTGTCGAGACTGTATGACCTGAGCATCCCCAGGTTGCATCTCTGCTTACTGAAACGTCGCCAGGTCAAATTTGCCAACGAAAACGACCTAAACTTTTTCGCTCAGGCAGGTGGACACGGATGGACGAGCTTTGACTGGGGAAAAAACGACATCATCATCAACCTTCGAGGACTGAACCAGGCAGTTGTGAACGAAGCAAAAGACGAGATTTTACTCGGAGGCGGTACACTGCAAGGCGAGGCTCTCGCAGAAGCAGCAGCAAACGATGTCTTCGTTGGTAAGGAAATGTTATTTTTCTGAGCGACGCTGTGACTGACAGGATTGTAGTGGCTGGAGGTTTCAACTGTGTCAGTGCGCTTGGAGTTGCTCTCGGTGGTGGCCTTGGACGTTGGATCAATCGCTATGGAATTCATGCAGACAACATCATCAAGGTGAACCTGGTCACCGCGGAAGGCGAACTGATTGAGGTGTCCGAAAATTCTCACCCGGACCTATTGTGGGCCATACGGGGTGCCGGTCCCAACTTCGGCATTGTCACGTCCGCCACCATGCAGGCCCATCCCATATTGAACAAAGGCCAGCTTTGGGAAGGTGAACTCACCTTCGCAGCCGACAAGCTGGAGAAATACATCGAAGCAATCAACACCATGAACTATACCGAGGATATGACTAACCATTGGCGCTTCGCATTAAATGAGCACGGCACGCCAGTCATTGTTGCCAATGTCTTTTTCATGAGTGGAGACGTCGAGGCAGCTCGAGCGGGCTTCAAAATCTTGTATGACCTTGAGCCAATTGCAGACACAACGGAAGTAAAGCAATACGCACATATAAACGACGGCAGAGACGCTCTTTGCGCACACGGTGGTCGCAAGCCAGCCTGGAGTGTCGGTCTCAAAAGTCTAGACTATCCTTCGTTCAAGACGATCCTCGACGAATTCGTCAAGTTCGTGGCGGACACCGGCATCATGACTACAATCATGCAGATCGAGTGCTACCATAACGACGCAATGCGGCGCATCGGCTCAGAAGGTGCTTCATATCCCTTCCGCGACATCAACTTCTACGCTTTGATAATCCCCGTATACGATGATGCTTCACTGGATCCAGTTGTCGAGACTTTTGGCTCTAGGGTTAATGACCTATGGAAAAGATCTAGTGGCTATGAGAAGCAAAGAACGTGAGTTGGGCGGCTTTCATCCTTTTTCAAAAAATATATACTAATTGAGTATCAACAGCTACATCAACTTCGCCCATGGCGACGAACCCCTGGAACAAGTCTACGGAGACAGTCTGTGTAGACTGTCGCAACTCAAGGGGAAATGGGACCCTCTGGGTAGATTCAACCAATGGTTCCCCATTCCTGTGCCAGTGAACGAGCTGTAAACTTGCAATGAGTCAATGACATGCATTCCTTCTGAAGATGTAGGTTCGGCAGGAATCATCAATCTTACGAAATTTGATAGCAGAAGCAGAGTAATACGCATGAGGGAACTTGTAATTCATTCATTAGGGGCATTTTTACATAGCTCCCAAGAAAGTTTGAACCGAAATGGAAGATTCAGACACGATTTATGGTTTATACTCGGCTGTTTGTCCAGTTCATGCCATAGGGATAGTGAGTTTTCGAGACACGCCACTTCTTGGCAAATGGCCATCCGATCGCAACAACATAATAGCAGGAGACCAGCTTCAATTTTTTCAAGCTACGTCAAAGACCGTAGAAATTTAAGTTTGATACCATGTGATCCTCTTGCCTAATTTCACTTGGATGAAACCTTTCGACGGGCTATCGCGTGTTCTGATCAACCTAGTGATGCTTATTTGTGTGTTACTATGCTGTGAAGTTCAAAAGATAGCATTTGTATTGGATGGAGGAACAGTCTCTGAGTGCGAGAGGATAATCTTCACCAGACAATGGCATTAAGAACAGATCGGCATGCGCAGAGCACTCGATGCACTCATGGCCAGACCATCCTAATGTCTTTCCCACGTAGCTGAACTAGTTCTGGTGCAAGCAGGAATCTCCAAGAAACACCCACAAATGGCATCAACCCCAAGCTTCTGTCGTCAATACGAGGCTCATGCAGTTGGCCTTCTTGGCGTTCGGAACTCCATTTGTCTCCGCGAGATATTGCATGGGCTACGGCGACATACTCGGACTCGGAATCGGAACTTCGTTCCATGCGTCCGGTTTCTTGGATGACCGAAGATGAATCCGCCGCAGACGTTAATTGTCCGCGTGTTGATAATCTGACCGGAGGCTTCTTGTTCACGCCGATATTCGGCTGGGATGAGGTTCCACTACTATGAGCCTATAAATTCCGCATGGGAAGTGATATATGGCTTTGGCATCTTTCTCAAACTACACCAAACACATGCAATTACGTAAGAAATAATGGAGAACTCCGCCATAATGCCAGTAAAGCGCCATATTCTATCCACCGCTACCTCGCAATCGTACGGTACAAGCAACACACCAGATGACGTTAGCAAAGCGCATACCGCTGCCCAAGAATTTGATGACGAAGCTGGATACGATGATGCATCATCGAGTTCAGAGGGGAGTGTACATGATCCTTCTAGCGTGAGGGCGAGGTTGAAGTTCATTTTCCCCGCACTATCCATTGGGGTGCGTCTTCTGTTTCTTCCATACTTGCGTTTCCCTCCCATCCTTGGATAGTTTCGTCAGGTTGACTGTGAATAACAGATCTTTCTGGCTGCCGCGGATCAAACCATAATCGTGTCCAGTTATGGTCGCATTGGAAGTGACTTGAACGCCCTCAATAAGACAACATGGCTGGCGACTGCGTACGTGCCCGCTCGACGAATCTAAGACGGGCGGTGACTGACAAATGCTCATAGATACTTCTGCACCACAACAGCACTACAACCGCTATATGGCCAATTGAGCAATGTGTTTGGTCGCAAGGCTTGTCTGCTCTTTGCTTACTTTGTCTTTGGCGCGGGCGCACTGTTCTGCGGACTGGCGCCGGATATGACCCAACTCATCATTGCGAGGGTATGTGCCTCCTTGCGATTGATCCTTGACGACGAACTGTACAGGCTGACGGGAAATTTTGATTATTTTAGGCGTTGACTGGGATAGGTGCCGGTGGAATCCTCACTACCGTCTCCATTCTCTTGAGTGACGTGGTCACTCTAGAAGAGCGGGGACTGTGGCAAGGCTATGTGAACATGGTCTTCGCCTGCGGAGCTGGTCTAGGAGCACCTTTGGGTTTGTTGCTTCCTAATGAATCTCAATGATGCCCGCAAGTTTCTGACTATGTCTCTTCAGGGGGTCTTTTGTCAGATGCTGTCGGTTGGCGGTGGTAAGTAACATTATAGATCGAAGGAGAGACACGTGGCGAGATTTCGCTTACGATCATATGTATCGAGCAGGGCTTTCATCGGTCAAGCACCATTGTGTGGAATCGCAGTTCTCCTTGTGGCGGTCCTCCTCCACGTACCGACCCATCAGCAACACGAGGACGACACTTCGTCCAAACTTGCCCGAATCGACTTCCTGGGCGCTATCAGCCTCATCATCTGGCTCGCATCACTGTTGGTGTTCCTCGATCACATGTCTGCCGGCATATATCACTGGCCTTCCTTCATCTGGTTAGGCGTCGCTATCACCTTCTTAGTCGTCTTCCTACGCGTGGAAGCAATAGTTACCAACCCTTTGATGCCACTACATCTGCTCTTCGGGCAAGTCTTCCTAGGAGCTTATCTCGCGCTCTTCTTCGGCAATGTCGCCTGGTACGGCGTCCTGTTCTACGTACCACTGTTGTATCAGGCGGTGGGTGGTTTTTCCGCTTCTGCGGCTGGCACGTTGCTGCTCCCAGGAATCGTAGCAGGCGTGATTGGTGGTCTAGCTTGCGGTACGATGATTAAGCGTAACAAAGGCACGGGATTCGCCAAAGCAGCTGGCATTTCGTATCCACTTGTCATAGCTTCATGCCTTGGCATTGCGCTGGGGTCAGGACTGTTTGGGGCCTCTATTCCCTTGGCTACAATCATTGCAATCCTGAGCGTGTGTCTTATTGTTGGGGGCTTAGGGAATGGCGGAGGTATGACATCTACACTTGTCGTGGTGGTTGCAGTAGCGAGGCCTGAAGATCAGGCTATTGTCACTGCATGTGTGTACTTCTACCGCCAGCTGGGAACGACTGTCGGACTCGCCGTCATATCTCTCGTGTTTCGCCAAGTCTTGGCATGGAGGCTCTTGAAGCGGCTTGCAGGCGCGCCTGACTTTGAGCTTGACACCGAAGAGACTGTCAAACGCGTGATCGAGTCACTAAAGTACTTAGGTAAGCTTCCAGCAGAGATACGAGCCATTGTGGAGATTTCGTATGGAGAAGCGTGCAAAGCTGCCTTGCTTGTCTGTATGGGGTTGGCTATTTGCGCCTTCATCAATGTCCCTTTCATCAGGGAGAAACGGTGCCGCTAGACAGCTAGAGAAGTAATTTTTGTTTACTTACAATGCCATTTTCAACGACAACATAACTCGGACATCATGACACAGTATGCATTGGATCCAATGCTGCGACTGATTGTCTTTCTGTCTAGATGACTGTCTCCGTTGCATTTAGCCTCTTCCATTCGAACCGTCTTGGCTAGCGGTGATGATACCATAGGGTCGAAGAATTGCACAACTTTTGACAGATTGATCACTACTGAGTCATGTTGTGTGATGCGTGTTTCTAACGGCGGATGCAGGACGGGATTAACGGCGGCACCGGGACCGACAGGCCGTGGACAGAATACGCCAATTCTACCCATTTGGTAATGATGTATACACACTTCTTCAAGTGCGGATTCTTAGCAGGGATCGGACGAGCTAAGCAGGGGTCGGCGAAAAAAAGCCACATATGATGAACAAAGGCTACCCGTTCCACATGCTGACTGCATATCCGCTTTCAGATCTGATAACCCTAACGCCCACGTACGAGTAAGGGGTACTCTTACGTCCGCGGTATACTCAACGTGTCACTGTCAGCTCTTATTTTCTGACCGGCTTTCCCATCGCGGTCGATAGTTACACGTTTAGCCAGACAGTCGATCTCAAGCCGCTGCGCGTCAACTGTGGGGTCCTGGGTGTCTACGGAGCTTCTTGGGACCCAGAAAGACCGGATATTGAGAGGTTTTCGAGAGGCTACGTTGAAAAACCCTGTAGGTCAACCTGAGGAGCTCGCCGAAGCTTATTTGTACTGTATGCAGGATATGTTTGTGCCCGAAAGTACTTTCAAATGCAACGGTGGGAGACGATTGGTTCAAATCGTATCTTTGTACGAAGAACGAAAACGAATGCAATAAAGAACTGCCTGAAGTGCATTATTTGTAGTGAAGGTTTAACACGATGAACGTTTACTTTCTGTACGCCATATGCTCAGAAAGCTCGGAAGAGAGTATGCTGAGTCTGTGATGTGATTATGGAACAACCACAAAGCCCGGTGGTCCCGCGCCCCACGATGCACATCTAGACATGATGTCCTTGATGCCATTTTGCTTGAGTTGAGTTGCAATTTCCACGTCCTGGTGCAGATAAAACATCACACCCTTCTTGAATTTAATGCCTATAGGGCCAAACGCTTCGGCTAGCCGTTCGAACACGAGAATCGTGAGGTCGAGGTCTTGTTGCAGAGAAAGATCTTTAGTCGGCAACTCCAAAGCCTGCGAGGTCAAGGGGATGCCTGGATTAAACATCGGCGTTAAAAGTCCGCCATCCGTTCTGTTGGCGGTGTCGCTTGATTGAGTCGGCACCAGATATTCGATGATGAGTATACGGGAGCTGCAGAAGAGGGCTGACGCAATATGTGGATTGAGCAGCAGATCTGTCGAGATAGCTCCTGCCTCTCGAATCAAGGCGACTGTATTGCGAGCCGCCGTGAGACAATAATGCCAGTGTGTGACTCCAGTGCTATTATCATCCGCGTCCTTGCCATGGTATAGGAAGATGGTATTGATGCTCATAACAACGTTCAACCACACAATACTCCTCAGGTGTTCAAATGGCGCGGCTGAGAGGCTAGTGACCGATCGTGGAAGGCACAGTCTCAGATTAACGAGACAGCCTTCGAGTTGACGGAAGCCTATCTCCTTCTCACTGTGGTCTAAGTTATCGGAGTGGTGATAATGAGCTACAATATGGCCTAATAGCATATATGCTAGTATCATGTAGTGCAACCCGTTCTCACGCTTCGTTCGGGTTGCTACTGTGCGAACAGAGTTGAGTAATTTGTTGAGAGAGGATGTGAATTGAACGACTGTCGCCTTGTCGTCACGGATTGATTGCTGAAACTGGTCCTCGTCCATAGGCAAGTTCACATTAACATACCTGTCTTCTATGTTGTGCACGAGGCCAACGGGAAAACATAGCCCACGGTCAAGAATATAAAGAGTCCATATGACTCTTCGAATTGATTCTCGTTGAATCCAATCTTGGGGTAATGGAGGCGCGCTCGGCATAGCTTTGCCATAGTCGCCGTCCAGCCGATGGTAGCCTAGGGCTACGACCTGCCTCCAAGCCTTTCCGAGAGTAAGCCAGGCCGAATTGAAGTCGTTGATCATCATCCCTTGGAATATGAGACAGACAGCAGCCTGTAGAGTAGAGAGTGGGTGGGTAGGTAAGTGATCGGTCGAAGCGTATTTCTCTTTAGCTTCCTTGTACCACCGAACCCTCGAAGCTATCACCGAACTTTCCTGTCGCTCACAAGTTGCGAGAGATATGACAGCAAAGATGAGAGCGGATGAATGGCCCTCGGTATTCATTTTGTCTAGGGAATCCCGAAAAGTCGACCTATGGAGGATCGGCAGAAAGTGGTGGACTCGGCGGAAGTACACGTCAGCCAGCTCTATCAGCTCGGTTCGGTCCGGTAAAGATGTGGCTTCTATTGCCAAATTACTAGATCCCACAGACTGAGTTTGGTTGAGGGTTTCATTGAGTGGCGTGCCGAGGTTGAAGTAATGACTTGAAAAGCCATCCGGCCAATGTGGCTGCCAGGTAATGCCGTTCTGCTCTTCTTCAATAGCCCAGGGAAGCATCGGCTGGGAATCCATACTTATGGTTGAGGCAAGGCTTTGGATGGCCCTCGAAGACGGAAAGACATTGTTGAACTCAAATGCCGATGGGTCCACGGGGTTCTGGGTAGTTGAATCTATGGCAGGTGTCGGCCCCGGCAATAGCGATGTAAATGCCATAGACCAAGGACTCGGGGGCGGGTCATGTCCAACGTCAATGAATATTGGATCCACTATTGATTGGGGAGACGTGGAGACGCTTGGATATCGACAGCGAACTTTTCGTTGGCGACAAGAAGAGCAGACCGGATGCTGACCCTACAAGATAGTCAGTCCTGAGTCCACAGTGCGATCATGAAGTAACCTAAGGAAAGACTGCGCGGGGGGAATCAGTAGTTGCGAACTCGGACATACATCGCATCGCTTCTTCCGCGCCCGACAGGGACTACACACAATCTTTCGACCGGACTCGGTTGTGTTGGACATGCCCCAAATCTGGTTAACGGACGACTGTTATGGGATCTGTGCTGCGACTATTGACATTAGGACGCTTTATGGACAGGCAAGCTCGTTTCGTGGTTCGTGGTACGTGGTTCGTTGTTCGCTGTATTGCGTACTCCGTACCGAGCTTTCGCCGGAGCTAAGAGCGCGTATTAGTGTGGTTTTCCTTGGCGCACGTGCACTAATCAAACCAAAGGTTAGAGAGAAGGAGAGTGTTTAAGGCTCGCCAGAGCTCTCGGTCAAAGTGTAGAGGCGGTGTTGCAATCTGAACCACGGAACTGAACACTGGAAATGATCTACCGGGACTCAACCATTGACAAAGGTTGGAGTTATAGCATAGAGTAGTCTTCTCTCGGAGGTGAGACATTCACCAACATGTATACAGGTTCAACACTGGTTTTGCTAAAGAAAAGAACGATTTCAAAAGCGCCTAGGCCCTAGTTAAACTATGGCTGGTTCCGTGAAGGTACTTTGAGTAACTAGCTTGCTACAATCTCAAATACCTTTAGTAACTGTGTCTATCATTACTTTCTTCTTCATCTTTTAAGTTAAGGAATCGAAAGGTACTGAAGACATGCAGGCTGAGCTGTAGGGACAGACTGAATAGACACTGGATCCGGCAAATACATAGGCTTTTTGCCCCTTTCTTGACGCTGTCGAATGAATAACCGAGTAATGCTATAGCGAGCGCAGTACGCCATGCCGCAGGATGTCATTAGTAGCGAAGACGTCGAGGTTCCTGATTGCAGCAACTTGAAGCATCATCGCTCTATAGTTCAATAGAGACGATCCAAAGATTGTGCACCATAATCCAGGCATTTGAGGGGCCTACGCTGCCATTCACGTATCTGTGATGTTTGCAAAACTCTCTGAGGCCTTTCTAGTCCCAGTGCTTTCATATCGGTTCTACTGTATTACCCTGAGTCGTCGCAAATCCTCCCGAAACTAACCGAGTGCCTGCACCCCATATTATCACCCTATCGCCGACTTTACTACCTTTACCGTAGTACTTCTCCACTCTACTCCTGTCGTGCCGCCCACCTGTGGTTGAACGCGTTCCGCCCCTGTTCCTCAAGTCGCGCCAAGGTCTCCTTGTCCGTGTTATCTCTCTACAAGGCGTGGACCCGCTCTTCCAATTTCCTAATGTTGTGGTTTGTTTTGGATAGCTCGAGCTTAGCTCTTAGGTTAGACTGCTTGAGTTCGAGCTCAAGTTTGGAAAGACCATCAATCAGAGTCGCGTTCTCCTGCTACAAAGCCTCAAGTTCTTCTCTCAGAGCCAAATGATCGTCTTTAAACACCGCAAGTTACAGTCTTGAGGCTGTCATCTCTATCTTCAAGGTGGTATGAATTTCTTCTAGAGTTGCGTGCTTCTGTTCCAAGACTGCAGTCACTTTTCTTTTCAGGATCTGAGCTTCCTTACCAACCACTTCAGCTTTCTCAAACCTTACTCCGAGTTCTTTAAGACCGTGCTTGAAGGTCTTAATCCCAGCTTCATCGGACAGCGATGCAGGATTGTTGCTGTTCGAGAGCCTCCCTGGCTTTTCTATGCACTATTAGTAGGGCTGTTATTGTATATGACGCTATATATGTCATACCGATCACTAGAATACGAGATATGTTCGGCGCAACTTTCTCAATGCTGGCCTTTTAGGTTCCTACGAGCATTGCAAGCATTAGACCTGAAGTTTCATGTGCAGCCCGGGTCGATTGTCGAAGCAATTCGATTGAGGGCCTTATGAGTGGGCGATCTAGTCTTATTGTTGAGGACGAGAATATTGGGTGGTTCTTGATCACTTGCGAAGTATCTAGCGATCATTAGATACCCGACAACCGATCTTTGAACCTTCACTTACGGGCTCTTTAAGTCGCTCACGTTGATGACCGCTGAATTCTCCCACGGAACAAGTGTGGGTTCTCGTTCGAGGCATGCTTGATGGCTTTGGCAGCGAGGTAATATCTCGATGTTGCTTCGATCTCAAGAGAAATCTCTACGGGGGTGGACTTCGACCTGTCGCAGTCGGAAACAATTCGAACACATCCATGTATGTCGGACCGTAAGACTTCGACCAGGCCCAAAGCGTGGTAACACGGAGAACGCGTCCATTGCGCACTAGACACGCCTATAGCAAGGTGTTCTCCATGAAATCCAAAAGCCGAACCTTCCCAGTGCCTGGAAACTTTGCAATCTTGCTGTGTGGTTCGAACTCGGTCACAAGAAGCCCCTCGATAGTTGTAGAGCCGGGTATATTTACCACTCCCTCGTAATCTTCAAGGGAGAAGCATCCCGGATCGACAGGGGAGCGAAATTCTCTGTGAAACTCGCTTTCGCCCACTTCTTGACTTCAGAGACATCTATGAACCTCGCGAGAAGCTGCTCAGGAAGCTCCATGACGAGCTCAAGCGGAGGCTGGACGGCTTGAAACGAATGAGCCGGATCACAAAAGGTGGGGCTCTGCGGATTGGATGATTATTGTGTCAAGTAATGGCTACAGTCGTGAAAAGAGGCGTTATGTGATCAGTGGTAGCCGTTTTCTCTGTGCGCTCATTCACGCCCTGACCAGCTACTCCTACGCATCACCGGGCTAGCACTTGAGGCCTCCTTACAGTCGTCCACCTTTGATGACCCGCACGCCCTCGCATTGTGGTAGCCTTCTGGTAGCTTACTAAAGCTGTGATTTGTCTGAAGACGATGATGCTTTTTCCAGAATGAAACGCCTAAACGGCCACATTGTGATTCAACACAAATGCGGTCAGCCTTTGATATCCTGGGTTCATGTAAAGATGGTATACGAATAACACCAACCCTTCAAGCGATGCGTCCGTGCGTCTAGGTAAAGCGTCCTTCATATTGTCGGCTGTACGTACCATTCCCCAGAAGGAAGTGACAATAGTCGCAGAGTTATATCGGCACCAACCTCTGCAGATTTGATGATGTGGGACAATCATGTCGGTCGCGAAAGGGAAGTCGCGATATGACGTGCGCGGAAGCGGGGCTGAACTAAACCCCTCGTAGATCGCTCGGGTATAGCTCATGTGTATTAATCATCAACTACGCAACCCCCAAATTTACTTCAAAAGCTTCAATTAGCTGTCGTCTTACATGAAAACCCTCACCTCGAGTTCCCTGATCCATGACTCTAGCTTCACACGCTACTAGGACTACTAGATTACTCATCAGCCCTTCAATTGCTTCAGCAAGACTAGCTTCGTTCCGCTCGCATCTCGGCTTAAGAGGTGGAATCATAAGAACAATGTCGTCCCTCCCCAAGACAATGAAAGCCGTCCAGATCGAGAAAACAGGTGGAACAGATGTTTTGCAGTACAAGACGGACGTCCCAGTTCCCCAGCTGAAAGAAGGCGAAGTACTGGTCAAGAACGAGTTCATCGGCATCAACTTCATCGACACGTGAGCTTTCCATTTGCTCTCCTCCGTTATATATGCACTAACGAGAATGCAGGTACTTCCGCTCAGGGATCTACAAACCCCCGACGTTCCCTTACATTCTCGGCCGCGAAGGCAGCGGTACAGTCGCCGCAATCGGCGCCAATGTGCCTTCTGATTTACAGGTCGGCACTAGAGTTGCCTACATGGGCCAGTATGCGTACGCTGAATATGTCCCCGTGGCCTCTGACTACACCATCCCGATCCCGGATTCTATCGATACTAAGACAGCAGCTGCTTCTCTCCTGCAAGCGCTGACTGCCGTGACGTTGATCAGGGATGCATATCCTGTGCAGAAAGGTGACTGGATTCTCGTCACAGCCGCCGCTGGTGGAGTTGGGTTGTGGCTGGTTCAGTTGTTGAAGGCGGTCGGGGCCAGGGTCATTGCCACGGCGAGCACGGAGGAGAAGAGAAACCTAGCAAAAGCTAATGGCGCGGAGGTACTTTTGGAGTACCACGAGGAGGATCGGCAGGTGTTTGTCAAGAAAGTTCTTGAGATCACGGGTGGTGAGGGCGTTCACGCAGTCTTCGATTCAGTCGGCAAAGCTACGTTTGACAGTAGCCTGGCAACCGTTAGGCGGAAGGGAACTATGGTGAGCTTTGGAAATGCGAGTGGCCCTGTTGAGGGCTTTGCGCTTGCGTAAGTCTCCCCCCCTGCATCTTTCGAGTAAAAGAGAATTAACGACGTCACAGGCGACTATCACCTAAGAACGTAAAGCTTCTCCGCCCCACGCTTTTCAACTACATCGCCACGCGGGAGGAGCTCCAAACTGCTGCAAAGGAGCTCTGGAACTTCATCGAGAAGGACGGGCTGAATGTCAAGATTCACGACGTGTATCCACTGAGCGATATCGTCCGCGCGACCCAGGATATTGAGAGCAGGAAGACGACGGGCAAGTTGGTATTGACGCCATGATCTAGTGCACTGAGTAGGCCTGTCTCCAATTTAACCTGGGAGGTACAAACAAAGCTTCATAATTTAAATGCATTGTGTCGATGAAGCCTAAGACGCGTACCCATAACAATAAATCAGCGCCCCAAGCAATGCTCGCTCCTGATCGTTGACGCCCAACTTAACCCATTCTCCAAGACTTACATGCCGCTATCTGACAGGCAGCTGAGTCTGCCACTCCGGGTCAACTTTGCTCTGCTTAAAAAAGGTTTTACCCTTCAACCACTGCCTATACGCCTTGTACCTCTTCTTCCCGCCATCCTCCTCTTCAACATCCAGTGGATTTTCCCTTATTTTCAAAAACTCTTCAAATTCCTCAATGTCCTCTTCCGCTGTTTGGAACTTGCCGGGCGTCGTATACAACGGTGGTGTCTCAATAGCGTATGATGGGTGCAAACGCGGGTGTAGAGGGTACTGTTGGGGGTAGGAGTACGAGGGTGCATGAGAGAACGGCGTACTCATAGACTGTGAAGTCATAGGGCGGTTGTGGGAGGCGAAGGAGCGGATGGACGCGACGTCAGTATCAAGACGCGGGAGGTCGGTGGGAGTGATACGCATGTATTCGTCGTCTGACTCTTTGGGTGCTTGGACACCACCTTCTGTCATGCAAAGGTAGTCGTAGTATTCCATTGCGCCAGGATCATCTGCGCTGGGCATCTCGCTACTGACGACGAGCGGCAGGCTTAGTGGATGTTCGACGTAACGCGAGTACTCATCTTCTTCGGTAGTGGACACCGAAGGGTTCATGCTGTTATCATAGAATTGTACGAGCGTCCACTGGTTGATGAGAGCCTTGTCAGCAGGCTTAAACCCTGGTTTGAGTGTTGACGATAGTCCAGTCGAAGTAGACGTTGAGTTGCTCATAGATTGGAACGACACGGTTGCTGACGGCCTGGAAGTAGGCATCTGTGTCTCGAAGTGAGGATCCCGAAGGATTGACTGCTTGGCCGGAGAATCTGCGTGAGGAACACTGAGATACACATCTCTCCGTCCACGACCGACAATGCTGCTGTGGCGTGACTCAGTCTCGCTTGATGGATCAATGATAGTGACGCCTTTTCGAGGTCCTTTCTTGCCATCCCTTCCATGCTCATGATCATCTCGCTTCTTGCGAGGTATAAATGGTGAAAGGTTCTCTTTGCGAGACGGATGTGACGCGTCTCTACTGTCCCGGCCAGCACGCGGGGATGCAAGTCGGAATGCGAAGATCTTAAGAAAAGAGGAAAGGGCCAGTGGTCGGTAGTATTCGAGCCAGTAGTCATCACGGGCACTAATTACGGCTTCAGCTAGCTCCGACTCATGCCTACTAGGTGAGATTGAAGGCGGAAGCGTGCGCGGTTGAAGGTTTGCTGGCGTGTACCAGTCAATGTAGCTTCTTCGTGCCTTGTCGAGCCACAAGCGTGGATCTTGATGATGGAGATAGTAATCCGTTGTGAGCTCCCACAACATCGGTTGATCCTGCGTGTAGATGTAGTTCCCAAGAAATAGGTTGTATGCTTCTTGGCGCTGCGAATCGAGGAAAGAGTTGTGATAGTAGCGCTTGAAGCTCTCGACCATGTCGCGCGAGCTGCTCTGCCATTGGTTAATCTTTCGATATGTTGCCATGGTGTTCACAAGGTGGGAGCCGCCGTATTGAATCGCGATGGCGTCTCCATGGCCATGAAACATGTGTGTGAACATTTCGACGCAATCAGTATCATACTCGACCGTATTTCCCGCGATGACCCCAAGTGCTTGTAGTTGACGGCCTAAAGCTCTCTTGCCAATGACAAATTGGGCGGCATTTGTCCGGTCCAAGCAGTCGATGCAGTTCGTTCGTGCCACTCCATTTTGAACTTGTGGCTTGTCAAACGCCTCGTCCCCATTCTGGAAGAATCCTGTCTTGCGCAGCACCTTTTCAGCGAGTGTCTCCAGGGTGCCTATAACGTCATGACCTCTGGTTTTCGATGCCCTAGACATATCAAACGCCTCATACTCGATCTTCTTATCCTTTGGCAAGGTTTGATTGAGATATTCAATGGCATGCTTGTATTCGTATAGTAGCTTCGACTCTCTCGGTGTCCGCTCTCGTGCTTTGATCAAATTTAGTACGTAGATTGGGGCGCCATATCGCTCAAAAAGATGATCGAAGTGCAATGCTGCAGCGCTATAGAAGGGATCGACGAGGTTCAAGTCAATATCTGGCTTCGGTGTTACACCAGTGTTGTCCTGCGTCCAGTACAACGGTATGCTGCCGCGATGCTGCACATATGACGTATACGTCGGACTCGCGTACAGCCGGGGACCTGGCGCGTGGAAGGATGTCGTGAGTGCTTCTGACACGATCTGCTCGGTCTCGACGTCGTTGGCAACATAGCCTAGATCATTCGTCCCACGCTTCAAAAAGCGAGCACCCGCAAAGAATCGCGATCGACGAGCAATGATGGTGAGATATATCCTGCGACCAAAGACGTCGAGCGAAGACTGATCAATGTAACCGTGTATAACCGGATGACACCAGTCGTACACGTTCTTTAGGGTATCGCGAGCGGGCTCCAGCAAGTGGTGATTCCAGACAAACATGTCCTGAAAGTCGCGCCCAGGGCTCGCGATTCCCACGTTGAGAGCTGTGCGTTCCTGAATTATGTTCTGTTGAAGACTTCTCGTAACGTTGTAGGAGTAGCTGAAGTAGAATGACCGCGTAAGGTCCATGTTGTTGAGGATCGCGAGAAACCTTGCTTCGTCTGGATTTCGATCTTTCTGAAACCGTGAGGTTGATCCAGTTGTTAGGGGAATCATCTCCGTGCCGTCGACCTGGTAAATGTAGTGGCCGCCTAGCATCGCCACCTGTGTCCTCTTTGTAACCAAAAGCATGTAGTAGGCTTCGGTAAACCTGATGAAACCCATCAAACCCCAAGCGCTGCATTTCTCTTTCAAGCCTCCGGTAGCCTTGTTGCCATCATCAATAGTGCTCAAGAGCTGGTACATCTCTCGTCTGTCGTACACTTTGTCGTCTTCGAAAATGTTCAAGTGTCCAGGCGGCGACGTGCGATCGATCTTCAGCACGCGATACTGCTCTTCCACAATATCGGCTCCGATGAGAAAGAACCTCGTACTCGTCTCGTACAGCGAAAACTTATGCATCCTCTTGATCCCACTCTCGACGGCATGTTCATACTTGAATCCTTTGGCCTTGTGCACAGTGGACGGAGTTGACGATCTCTGGAACGATACACCGACGTTAGGGTCCTCCTCTTCCCCGCCAAACTTGGTCGAATCAGACTCTCTTCGAGGCTTTCCATGACCGGGAAACTTTTCTAGATCAGCTTCTGGCTTGAAGACGCTGGTTGGAACCTCATGTTGGGGCGAAATCTGCGGACTGCCAACAACCGTCGAAGCCTTTTCGACTTCATCCAGCTTTTCTTGGCTGCTGTCCTGCGATGTCGTTCTAGAACCTACGTAGTTGGCCCGATCTCGACCCTCATCCTTGGACTTTGAAGACTCCATCCTCGGGTGGGTATTCGAGGAAGCTATAGTGGGCGGTTGAGGTAGGTCGGGCAGCAGCTCGTGTCATGTGGTCATGATTACCTAGTCTGAGCCAGCGTCATGGCGCTAATGTAGAAGACAGCTCATAAACTATTGATTCAAACTTGCTGCGCCAGGGTTGACAGTGGCCTGTAGAAGGAGAAGGCCATGCGCGCGGTTGTGTGGGGCTATCACGAAGTGACATGCGTGACGGCGCGTTATTTCCGCTCTGATGTCAAAGTCTTGGCGCTACGTCAACGCGCCTCAAACTACCGAAGGTGCCTACTCACACTTCTCACACCGGAACGGGAATTCCAAGATTCTGAAAGTATGCGGTTCTTGATAGTATATCTATAGGATAAACTCAAACTTCTTTCTCACACTCCTCGCTGCCGCACCCTCCTCGAGCGGAAGACCTGCATACTCCCCACCTCCCTTATCCTCCCTCAACTTCCGATTCTCTCGCACCAACACCCATCTCAGGATAGCGGCCAGAACACCAACCAACAGCATGAATGCCGCGCATATACTCATGCCCTTCACATACCATGGTCCATCCTTGTCTGGAAAAATACTCGTTCCGACCAATGGACCCAACTGCCCGATGATATTTAGAATCGCAATTCCTGTACCTTTCTTACTATCTGTCTCTTGATTGTTGATAGTCCAGGTTATGATTAAGGTAACGGCAGAGAAGAACCCTGCGGCTGCCGGGTACAACGCCAAGTACCGTATCATGGTGTTGGTGGATTCATAGTAACCAGACAGCGCTATGACACCGTACCCTGTCGTAGCCAGCAAGGAATGGAATACGATAAATGTCGAGCGTGATTGTAGGCGATCCGAGTAGTATGCAGTTGCGAGAACTACAACGAAGGCGAACAGATACGGCGGTGCTGAGAGCCCTTGCGCAGTAATGGATTGAAATCCCATGTCCCGAATTATCGTTGGCAAAAATACTGGCATCGAGCTAAAGGCGACGTTACAGGAGAAGAACATAAGCGCCGTCAGGTAGCATTTAGGATCTTTCAGCGTCTGGAGAACTTCGCGAACGTTGACCCTCCCGCGACCCCGACGCTTTTCAGTCTCCCGCTCGTCCTCCTCGTTCTCCTTCTCTTGCCGCAGTCTCAAAACAGCAACCTCTCTTTGCCGAGGACTCAACCACTTCGCAATCCCAGGACCATCGGGCACAAAGTCCCATGCCCATACAGCAACCAACACGCTCGGAAAGCCCTCTAGCAAGAACAGTAACCTCCAGGGGCTGAGCGGGCTATGCTCGCCCACTAGAGTGATCAGATACGCAAGGGCCCCGGCAAAGGATGCTGAGAGGGGGCTAGCGGAGACAAACAGGCCGATTCTAAAGGCCAGTTCATGTCGCCGGAAGAAGAAAGATAGATAGAAAGGGACGCCGGGCCCGAACGCTGCTTCGCTAATGCCGAGAAAGACTCGAAGTATGAGGAGGAAGCTGAAGGAGGTGGCCACTGCTTGCAGGGATGCGACTATGCCCCATCCCAGAACGCACATGGAGATGTAAATGTGTGGCGGGACTAATCGGTACCTAGCGATGATCAGTAAAGTCAATCGAATAGGTCTTGAACACACACATGAGTGCCATCCATTCGAACAAGACATATGTAATGTAGAACGCCCATAGGAGCCACTCATATTGAGTGGAGCTTAGCTTCAGATCATCATTCAAGCCTGCTATGCGTGCATTCCCAATATCTACCACTTGTTATCAGTCGATGCAATCTCCTACTATTCTCGCAATGCAGATATCGGCCTACATGTCCCCGATATCCTGACATAGACCGGGATCACTCACTAGACCGATCCAAGAAACTCAAACAGTAGAGCAATGCCATGAACAGGACTAGCCTTCGGTCCAGTTTCTTTAGCACAGCCCTGTCCTCATCTGGCGTGTATAGCTCGTAGCTTTGTACCGAGTCCAGCGATGGGCGCCGTATGCTGGGTAGAAGCCCGTCATCTTCAGCACTTCCGTGTTTCGTGGTTGGCTCATTGTGCGGGGTCATGGACCGTAGTTGGTAAGAATTCGGTTCCTGAACCACATATCGAGCATTGGAGGACTGCGAGGAGCGAGGCGACGGCGTGAATTTAGGAGAGCTATTACCTGTACTCATAGAACCTGACTCTTGCGGGTTGCGACGGGATTGTGGCGGGAGGGACATGTTGATATCGACCCAGGACGAGCGGCACTGAATGGTGAGTGACTATACGGCTTCACATTTAGACTAGAGGCAACCAAAAGGCACGGCGTGAGCTATATGGGGAAGTTGAAGATTTAGAGAAAGAATTAGCACAGATGTTAAACCTTGGAAGCCGGCAACCGTCATGGTGGAGAGCGGATGCAGGTGACGCCTTGGGCCCGTGCACGCTACCCCGGATTCCATCAGGATGGTGCTCCGAAAGTGGTTATGAACTATCATCCCATGTTCCTGACGCAATCGTTGCTGTACATCCAACAAGGCATCCAAATCCGACTACAGGCTCGAAAAATACATCGATGTCTGCACAATACCTCAGTATCTCACAGTGAAAGGCTAAAGCTTGACGGCTTTACGATTCACTCCGCGGGCATTGTAAGCATGACTAACCTGAACGCCAGGATTCTAGGCAATTTGTATTTACACACACGTGTGAAAATATGTAAGAGTGAACCGCAGATGATGCGCTATTGCAAGATAATGTCTGATGTATGAGACCGAGTCGCTCCGCCTTTTGGGTGGCTTGCATCCGTCTACTTGAGTGTCCAGTCCTTGTAACTCCACTTCTCCGACACGGTGTACTTCTTCTGCTTGGCGTACGGTATTTGCTTCCTCGATTCGACCTTGCCCTGCAACATCATGCTCCTGAAACGATCCTTGAGCAAGTTACCCTCTGGCTTGAGCAGACGAAGTGAATCGCGGAGTTCATCTGGCAGGACAACTTCGAGCGGAGCCTCTGGAATACTAGAAGATGTGAGATTGAGTTGTTCAAGTGGTTCAGAGGGGTTACATACCGAGTCCTGCCCAATTGCCTCCTCCTAAGCTCTACTTCCTCGCCCTCGTCTTCAGACGTTATCTCGGCGATCTTGTCCGTAAGAGCCTGCTGAATAGTAGCCCTCGCTTTCTCCTTCTCCTCCACGCTCTTTGCTAGCCTTTTGATCTCCTGTACTTGCTGCTCCTTAGCCTTCATCTTCGCGTCGTGCTTCGCTTTCCGCTCTGCCTCTTTTCTCCTCTTGATCTTGTTCCGCTGCGATAGCGACTTCCTCTCCGGTCTCTTCGTCTTCACCCCTCCATTCTCGTTGTCACTGAAGCCTTCCCATTCGCTCTCCCAAACGCTCTCTTCGCCAGAATCAGACTCTGATTCCACGGCCGCCCTCTCCATGCGCTCCGCTTCTTCGCGGGCTTCTTGTAGACGTTTCTTTTCCGCGTCAACCGCTTTATCGGATTCGCGCATGAGTTCGTTTTGCCAGTCCTCGAACTTGGGGTTATACGATTTTCCACCCGTAGGTTTGCGTACTGCGGGGATAGCTTTTCCATTTTTTGCCTGCGAGAGGGGTGCATGTTTCAGTGTAACGGGTTCCACCTTGGCCTTCTTCTCTTTCAAGAAAGAGAACCTCGGGTCCTTCTTAACTTCCTGCACGGCCCAGGGGTCGTGGTCCGCGGTCATGCCAGACTGGACGACGTCCTTCTTGACTTGCTCGCCTCCATATGCGATTTGCCTTAGCCTGTCATATTCTTTGCCTGAGACCTTGGCCTTCTTCCTCTTGCCTTCGTCGTCAATCTCAGAGAGGCGCTTGCGGGAGGGCACTGCAGGGACGGCGGAGCGCTGGGCGAGAATCTCGTCGGCTTTGAGGGGCTTGTGGCGCCTCGCAACTTCTTTTTGGATATCTGCAGAGCCGATTACGTCGACTGCGAAGAGCTCGTCCGAAGTCTTCTCCGCGATGACACCACTGGGTTATATAAGCGTGTGTAAGTCAAGATCACCAGGTATGCAACGTACCCTTGGATAATCTGATCCTGCACGTCCTTGAGGCCGGACTGGATCTGTGTGACGTCGACATTTTTGCGCCAGGCCTTCTTGCCTTTACGGCTGGGCTGTTTGTACTGCGCGGGCGCTGATTCTGTATCCGCCATGGTGTGTTATCGTTGCTGTATCTTAGTCGTGGGGTTTCTTCAAGCGTCGCAGAAATTCCAGCCAAAATTCCAACCAGCGGCGCACAGACCCTGTCGGGGACCCCTGCCGCTCTTGCCGCGTCTCGGTAGTCGGGGTTAGTACAGCTGTTTGGCTAGGCAAGGCGGCCGCAACGCCAGCTTTGAGCAAAGCACCCGATCATCGATCTCCTATTCATTCATCGCCGTGCCCCACTTCTACACACAAGCAGCAGCGCCCGGCTTTTATTCCTCGTGTCTCGTTCTTCTTCTTTGTAGGATTTGCGAATACACATCATTCACAATGGCGCAATCCGGGTACTCGAATCCGCTGAAGAAGTTCAAGTGAGTGGACTACCGCGACCAGCGTCGGAGCTTGTATGCTAATGTGCTGTAGGCTTGTGTTTCTGGGCGAGCAGAGCGGTAAGCTTCCAATCATTTCGAGCACGAACAGGTGAAGATGATGGTGCTGACAGGACTGGGCAGTGGGCAAGACGTCTCTCATCACCCGGTTCATGTACGATTCGTTTGACAACACCTATCAAGCGACTATCGGCATAGACTTTCTATCAAAGGTGTGCTCCCGCCATGCAATACTGTTGGCCGCTTCAGTTCGAGAACATCATCTAACTCCATTCTCCAGACAATGTATCTCGAAGACCGAACCGTCCGCCTACAGCTCTGGGACACGGCAGGACAAGAACGATTCCGATCCCTGATTCCCTCGTACATCCGCGACTCTAGTGTAGCCGTTGTCGTGTATGACATCACCAACAAGAAGACGTTTGAGAACACGCGCAAATGGGTCGACGATGTCCGGGGTGAACGTGGAAACGACGTCATCATTGTGCTGGTGGGCAACAAGACGGATTTGAATGACAAGCGGGAGGTTACTACGGCGCAAGGCGAAGAGGAGGCAAAGAAAAACAACCTAATGTTCATTGAAACAAGCGCAAAGGTGGGCCATAATGTAAAGGCCCTGTTCAAGCGGATTGCGCAAGCGTTGCCGGGCATGGAGGGCGAAGGACAGCAGGGCCAAAATCAAAGTAGGTCCCAGTTTCGCTACGCGTCCGAAGATATTGTGCTAACCACAGCCTCAGTGATTGATGTGAACATCAACCCGAGCCAACCGCAACAAGAAAACTCGTGCTCATGTTAGACTACTCATGGATCCTCGAGTCCATTTTAGTTCCTCCGCTTAGAACGTGTTGTAATTACTTGGGGTTTCTTGCAAGTCAAAACGACTTCATTGTGAGCAAGGCGTTTCGGGCATAGGCTGCGTGTTGGGAAACGCTTCTAGTTTAGAGACAAGTAATCTGTATTATACCAACGCGTTATTGAGCGTAGGAACAGATGACGTCAGCTATCACCCGAGGCAGTGCATTCGTCGCAATATGTCAAATACGCTTTGGGGGCCGTCTATACCGCCTCCCGCCCTTGCCAGGCCTACCATGCTAAACCGAACGCCGGACATTGGCTCGACCAGACCCAGATAGATAGCGTGCTTTTACATATACAAGAATATTACAGTGAACCGTAAGCCGTGAGCGGGGTAGAGTGAGTCCTAGAATGCTCCATGGGGAAATGCGAAGGGTGTATGACAGTGCCTTTACTCGATTCCTCCTACTGATCCGGCCTCGGATGGTGTCTTGTCGCCGCCGACTGGGATCGACGTGTCTACAGCGATCATCTCAGCGAGGATGTCGAGGACGGGCTATCGCGAGTCAGTTGGGCCTGAGAGGCAAGGGAAACTAGGGCACCTACCTTGGGAACAGTCTTGTCGTAGATGTTGATCAGCTCTCTTGGGTTTGGGTAGACCTTCAATGCACGGTAGAAGCAGAGAGCTGCCTCCACATTATCTGCGCCTGCAATACTGTCAGCACTTTTCCATGCAACCTCCTCGTTCACTGTGCCCTACCTTTCTGTACCATGCCCTCTCCCTGTGCGACCTCCTGCATGAAATATGCCTCTACCTCTTCAGGATCCTTGGGGAAGCCCTCCTCGTTCGCGGCGGCTACAGCCTCCCGGATGGCCTTCTTCTGCTCCGCGCCATGCGCCTCGGCCTCTTCCTTTGCCGCGCGCTGTGTCCGCTTTGATTCGCGCTTGAGCTGTTTGCGGAATTCGGGATCGTTTCGTCGTTTGTGGTCGAAGTAGACGGCGTACGCGAGGAGGCCTGTAACGACAGTGCCGGCGCTGATGGCCGCGATTGTAGATGGTTTTAACGACGAAGACATTGTGGAAGTGGTTGTGTTAAGTGAGCGGGAGGTGAGCCGGAGAGGTAACAGAAACACGCGTAAGGAATGGGAGACGAGGTGGCGATGATGAAATGGACGTAGAGGAACTTTTTTGGAGACTCGGTCGGGGGAGGCACGATTCAAGTCGGCGGGCCCGAGCTCCACCTGCTTGACCGTGGTCCCGTGCATTCATTGTCCGTAACCTGTCAACATCCAGCACACGCCAGTCGCTCAAGCGTCCATCTCGTACTGGGATCTCGCAGCCAACATGTCGGAAAAGCAGAAGGGAATCTCCCTCCGCAATAAGCGCGTCAAGCCGCCCAAGAAAGGCGGCCCGCCGACCATCAGCGCGCCGCGACAGATTAGTGCGCCCATGCCTACTGGAACTGGACCTGCCACACTTGCAAACTCAACACGCCCTTCCAATGACTCCAGTCGGTCGCGGCAGAATAGAGGGGATGTGTCGCGAGAGAGGCAACCCAGGGCAGACAAGACGGCGGATCTGGTCAAGAGACGGTACTCGCAGAAGATTACAGCGCTGCCTAGCGACTTTCTCAATGCAGCGACTATGCCCGATATGCCGCAAATACCGAGCCAGTATAGGGAAAAAAGCCAGACAAGGGAGGGGCGACCACCCGGGAGCTCTGATGGGCGCGTGTTGAAGGTGGACATGAAGGCGTTGCGGGATCCTAATCTGCGGGCGGAGCAATGTGAGGACTACGGTGATGGAGCACAGCACAGCTTGACTAACGCGGCGTCTAGACGTTTCTTCTATCCTCGCAGATGCGTCTGAAGACGACATCCGTCGCTACCAGGACGAGCTTCGCAAGACGAAGCACCGCACCTCAGTTGACCTTCAGACCAATGTCTACCAGAATAGAACCCAGTTCATCAAGATCAGTAAAGAGGCAGAGAAGCTCAAGGGCGAAATGCGGACCCTCCGCCAGCTCATGTCTGATTTGACCAGCACCCTCGAGCAGACTGCGTCGGCCTCGAGCACAAACGATGCTGTCAATAACCGAAGAGCGAATAGAAGCTCGATTGGAGACCTCAACCAAATTCGAGCTGGGCAATTGCAGCAACTCTACAGAGATGTCGAAGGCTCACAGAAGTATCTTCCTCCAATTCCCGGGCGATTCATTGTGTGGAAGTCGAAGAGATGGTTCGAGTTAGACTCTGCTACTCTCAAAGCGAGACGGAGGGTAAGGTTGCTTCTACTGAACGATCATCTACTAGTAGCTGCAGAGAAGAAGGCACGTAATGACATCGCCGGCCCGCGGGACGGGAATCGGCCTGCTGTAGAATATGTGGCGCAGCGATGTATCCCTCTACAAGATGTACAGGTGACAAGAACTGCAGAGGAGAGGATTATCATTCGCGCAGGGTCTGAGACGTTCACTTACGACACGAAAAGTGAAGATAAGGTGGACAAGACCGCATTCGTATCCACTTTTCGCAAAACGAAGGACGACCTACGGAAAAACCAAGAAGCCGAAGTGCAAGAGAAGGATCGAACTCAAGACTCCTACAGTCATTTGCTCTCACGAGAGCCTGGCCTCTTGAAGAAAACCGACCTTTTAGAGAACCTCTCAGATGGCGTGAATAACGACCAGGTGAGCACATTTGTTGACATCGACGGACAGCAACGGAGCATTCGGTGGGCAGAGAGCCAACTGGATGACCTGGACATCGAGATTGCGCTCCAACATTTTGAAGAAGCTGTCGTAAAGGTGGATCGATTGAAAGCACTCGCAAAGAACATTAGAGGCAACGAGATGGCCAAGGCTATTGTGACATTCAAAGTCAACGAGCGTGCCGCTAAGCTGGCAAATGTTCTCATCAAGCATATGGTAGAGCACAACAATTGGTTCACCTCTGTTAAGCAGCACGTGAGCTGGGTCGTTCAATTAGGCTTTGAAGACAGGGCACGAGAAGCCTACCTCGAAGCTCGCGGTAATCTGATTAAAACCCGCTCACGGTAGGTCCTCCTCCTCTCCCGACATGACTTATAAGCTAACACATATACCAGGCAGTGCATATTTGAAGGCAACCTTCCCTCCTACATTTTCCAAATTTCGTACATTTACTTCACTGTCATCAAGAACACGGTCGACATGTTTCAAAAGTGCTTCCCGCAACAGCTTATGTCCGCTTGCGTCAAGTGGGCGAAGGAGCATATCGACCAATTCAATGTTTTGCTGAAGAGGCAATTGAGCAGTGTGGATGAAGGGGGAAACGTATGGAATGAATGTTTGAAGTTGGCGCATGAGCATGCGGTGGTGCTTAAGGAGGTTGGGCTAGATTTTACGGAGTTGGTGGGCAGTGGGTTAACGGACGTGGTGAGGCAGACGCCTGTTGGGTTAGGTGTGACAACTTGATGTTTAGGCGAGATATATGGTTGCAGGATCTTGCGGTAGCATTTCCAGGTGCGTCACTCGCCGTTCTTCATCTAAAAGTAATATATCAAGCAAAATGCTTCCCGAAGTCTGGTGCATCGATTGTCTTTCCACTATATCAACAATCCCTCATGGTCTTCTACGTTTTTCGGCATTGACTCTTTTACTACTATAGTAGCATCTGATTAGCTTAAAGTGCATATTCGCTCCTTTGTTCATTGTCTGCCCTTCTACCCCCTCCTCCTTGCTGCCATTCACTTTCACTTAGACACCCTCAGACTCGCCCGCACCCCCCTCACCCTTACCGTCAGAGGCTATAGTCCTGCATAAAAATGCGCTAACTATGTTAGCGCGTCGCTTCCTGTCGCTGCCTTGTGGAACCCTGCCTTTACTATAATATATAAGGTGTTTACTAGACTGACTTGTCTGCTGCTGTCTCTTGCTCCAACAGCAACCTCTAAACGCAACAACAGCGTCTTGATCAGTATTATCGGCTCTAGAGCGACCGCGGTAGAAGTGACCAAAGCAACGACAACAGTGAACAATCATCATGCCGACTGAAGCAGAGAACGTTCAGTATCTGTACCTCGTGCTCACCAACGATGGTCCGCCAACGGCGAGTCTTTTCAGCTCACGCCATGTAAATTGCCATGCTAATAAATTAAAAAGATCGACTGGGATGCTGTTGGCAACGCCCTCCAGCTCAACAAGGGTGCCGTCTCGAAGCGCTGGTCTCGCCTGAAGAAGTCGATGGAGAACGGTGAGAGCACCAGCGGCTCAACCTATCAGTTTCTCTGGCTCTGTGTCAAGCACAGCAAGGATGATACGGTAAGTACTCTTTACCCTTCAAACTGGGGGGCACTGACTGACAGTCCTTTAGGCCAAGAACTGGTCCGACATCGCCGCGAAATGCAACACCACTTCTGGCGCCGCGTCCAAGCGATACTCTCGCATGAAGCAAGCCTTTGACCAGGGCGTTGCTCCTCCCGGTGCATCCCCTCGCCCTCCAATCAAAAATACCCCGACCAAGCCCAAGTCCACCCCCAAGAAGCGGAATGCTACCATCCCTGGTGATGATGATGATGTCGATACCCCGACACCCAAGCGCAAGCGCGCCCCGCCCAAGAAGAAGGCTCCTGCCACTGATGAGCAGAAGTTCCAGGCTGACTCCGACGATGAGATCAACGCCAGCGAGGAAGACGTGAAGCCCAAACGCGCTAAGCCTGCGAAAGCGAAAGTTACGCCCAAGCCCAAGGGCAACGCCAAGGGCATTAAGGAAGAGGAGCTGAATGAAGAGTACCTGGATGATGAACATAGGGCTGATCGTATGTCTTACCCTCCTTCTTTCTACCCCTTTTACTACTAGTACTCCTCCTTCTACACTTATCCAGTGATACCAGCAGCCTGGCTAATAGCGGAGACGGACTGACTATATCAGCTTCTCCCACGCATAGCCAGGACTGCGCACTCTGCGAGTGTCACGTGAAAGAGATAACTGATGTACTTATGAGTAGGTATTCAGGACTGGCTGCACACCAGCGGCTAGAGCTTGAGAAGCTTGTTGGTGTGGTCGATTCGACTGAGTATTGAGATGGTTATTGCGATGGAAAGGATTGGCGTCATTGGTGCGGTTGGGACATTCTTGCTACCGGATACTGGACCATGGTTACCCTTGCTGCTTTGTGGAGCACTACGTAAGGGGCCAATGTCTTTACGACATGATGCATAATGAAGGGGCCTATGGCGTTTTACAAGGAGGGTTGGTATTCTGCTCGGGCTGTTTTGGAGGGATTCGGGCTTTCTGATACCCGGTACACAGTTGAATAGCTTGTGTCAAGAGACCTCCTCTGTCCTTCCACGTTCTCCCCACCTTCCTTACTCCCTTAAAAGGCCCGCGATGTAATCCCAGCATCCAGCTTCGAACCGGAGCTCCCTATCGATCGTCTATACATACTCTTAGTGCACAAATGGTTATGAGCTGGCTGCTGATGAATGGTAAAATTTCTCTAAACGATCAACTTGTGATCGAGTCGTGGGAGCTATCTTCCAATCGAGTGTGATATATAGCATTATATACAATATTACTTATACATTAGTCACATACTTCTCATGCCGAGATCTGATTCTCCAGTACGTCGTCTCCAGTGGGCACACCTGCAGATACTGAGCAGGCTAGCGTTACATCGACCCCTCTTCCACTTTTGTGCAAGAATGCTCAATTCGGCCTCAGCATGGCGATGATGGCTGCCGTGATGACCGCTCCGGCTGCGGCACCCTGAAGGATAGCCGTAGTATAGTCGACCCGGCGAATTGATATGACCCGGTCGCTGACGACATCCTGAACCACAGCGGTGACCTTCTCGTGCCAGCTCTGGAGCTTGGTTTCTACGCCGTCACTCGTCGACGCTTCTTCGGCAATGTTGATACTTGCCTGCGGCGAAAGTTCTGCCTCATCTAGTGTGAGAGGCGCAGCACCAGGAACTGCTGGGTCCGGGGTTGGCTCGACGAGTTCTTCTGGGATAGCATCCGAGACTGAGCTGGGTTCTGCATTCACTGCTTCGCCCGTGCCTGCCGGGGGTGACGCTTCGATGATCGCTTCAGTGACGGCAGGTGCAGGCGTCGTAGTTTGAACTGGTGCATTTTCGTCGAAAACCTTATCAATTCCTGTCAGGTCTTCCTTTCCCGAACCGGGTGCTGGTGTCGCCACAAGGGTAGGGGCAAGGGCAGGTACTGCCTCCATAGCCGTCTTGTGTGCCTCCAACGCATTCTTGATCTCCTTCACCATTCTCCTCCTCCTCCAGGGCTCGAGGATCGCGAGGCTGAGCAGCAGCAGGAAGATATTGACGCCCATAAGCCCAAAGGTAACCCAGGTACTGTTCCTGCGAATGGTATCACTCCAGATTTGCTCCTCATGGTATTGGGCCCGCTCTCTTTTCTCAAGTTGGCTTCTTGCTTCTTCCAACGCGCTTTCAGAACTGTCAACAGCTTCCTTGGCTTCGCGAACTGCCTGGTCGTTGATGTGTTCTGAGCGAATGAGAGACATGTAACGTTCGAGGTCACCGGCGGCCCACGAGTGCTTGCGCTCGAGAAGAGCAACCACTTCCTTTTGGGATGAGGCTTGGTGGGCGAGCGTGATGTCAAGAGCCTGCTTCGCAGTATCTATCGCACGGCGGCGGGTCTTGACAAGGTTCTCTGGAGGCTGTTAGACTTGCATTCACACAAATATGGGTGATGTGTACCTTGCTCCTTGATCTCTCTCCTCAGGGCGGCAACACCCGAGTAGTCGGTGCCAGTGTATGTGTTGACCTTTTGCGTCACGACTGCCAGTTTGGGCAGCAGGTCATCCATAAAATCCGAGAAACGCTTGGAAAAGTCCCATCTCTGCCTCTCCCGGTGTGATGGCAATTGTTCATCAGGTACACGATTTATGGAATCTGAAGTATCATCCTTTCTGAGTGTCGCTCTTGGTTCTTCTTGGAGACGTTCTTGCGCTTCAATTCCCGACAGCTCCGGTCCTGTCTCCGAACTCTCCGGCGCCTTCCCCTTCACCGGCGGGTCTTCCAACAAGGTATCTGATTCTTTTTGCCAGCGCGCTTGATTTTCTAGAGACGAAAGCCTCTCTGATAATGTATCCTCGGACCGTGGTACTGGCTTCGACTCGGATGCGGGCGGTGGCATTGAAATGGGTTTGGACGAATCGTATGGTTTCCTCTCCTCTAGCCATTTCGTCGAGCTCGAAAACGGTCGCCGTGACCATTTCTCCGGTATAATGAAGCTCGACTGGGCTCTATGCTGGCTCTGCGAAGCCGTAGAAGCAGCTCGGTATTGGCATCGCATGCATATTGACGATGTCCTGCCAACCAAGCTCCTAATAGGCCGTGATGAATCCGCTATCGAGGTCGCATTGGCAGTAAGCGAGCGCGAAGCATGCTGAAGCAGCGGCCGCATTTCTATCACAAGGCACACCTTCGCATTGGGGACAGTGACGTTTATACAAATGAAAGATAATCAACGACGTCGGAGGTCCGCACGTCTCGCGTTGAGGGTTGGCACGCCAAGACGCGCGGGATGACGATCACTGATTTCTTTTCCGCGCCCGGAATAGCCACATAAGGGTATCCTAGTGCCCCTCCAACCTTTTTTACACCTCTTATCCTGCCATATCGGTCCTCTTCGTCACCTTCGTCGCCTTCCAGTCTCTCATTGTTCACCATGGGTGTCCACAATGCCGTTGCAGATCTTCCTGCTATGAAAACCAACCCAAAAGTATGCCTTGTCGCACACTTTCCAGTTCCGACAATCGGAATGCTCACAGACATAGTAGTACATCTTCTTCACCGACTTCGATGGCACAATCACCCTCCAAGATAGCAATGACACCTTGACCGACAACATCGGCTATGGCCACGAGAAGCGCCGCCAGGGCAATCTCGACTGCCTCGCCGACCGCGTTTCGTTCCGAGACTCGTTTCGCGACATGATGGATTCGGTCAAACTGCCATACGACCAGTGCATGAAGTACCTCGTCGACAACATCAAGCTCGATCCAGGCTTCAAAGAGTTCTTCCAGTGGTCGCTGGCCAACAACATTCCCGTGGTCGTGCTGAGTAGCGGCATGGAGCCCATCATAAAGGCTCTGTTGGAGAAGTTGGTGGGCCCGGATGCGAGCAAAATGCAGGTCCTTGGCAACTACGTCGGTGCGCGGCCAGGCAAATCCATAAACCAAGAAGGAGGCTGGCAAATCGAGTTCAGGCACCCCGAGTCTGGCTTCGGCCACGACAAGTCCATCGAGCTTCGCAAATACTCCTCGCTCCCAGCAGACGAGCGGCCTGTCATGTTCTATGCTGGCGACGGCGTTTCAGATCTTTCTGCTGCGAGGGAGACGGATTTGTTGTTTGCGAAGAAGGGCCATGATTTGATCAGTTACTGTGCGAGGGAGGATGTGCCGTTTACAGTGTTTGAGGATTGGTCGAATATTCTGACCAAGTGCAAGGCCATCGTTGAGGGGAAGGCGACAGTGAAGGAGGCCGCGACGGAGGGCTATGAGGCATACAAGAGGGGGGATGCTGGTATCAACGTCGCTGTGGCAAAATAGACGGCTCATGACATAGATGTACACACCGATTGATGACATAGAGGCTATAGACACGAATAGACAAAGATTCGAACATCGCAAGAAACGATTTACATACTTCTGTTCGGACATGTTTTGATCGTCATCAAACACGACTACAACACTTTCCAGAGAAAGTCTAGACCGAGATGCTATGAATCTAGCCCAACGCATGCTGTCTCCTCATCGGTGAATACTAACTTCCGTAGTCTTGACAATAGCCATACCCCTCGGCAAACTCCTCCGCGTGTTAGGCCCATCGTGGCTCAGAATACTCTCATCACTCTCGCCCGCGTCACTTCTGCCCCTGCCATGCCTTCCCCTTCCTGTCTCCGCCCTATACAATGGGTCCTTGCCTAGAACAGCATCTTCATCATATGGGTCCCTTGATCGAGATTGCGAGCCGTCACTCAAGTTTTTCATGGCAAAGCTTCCGTTGCTTTGGTCATCGGCGTGCTTCACATATCCACTTGACTTGAAGGGTGCGCTGATGCCAGAGCCAGTTGTGCGACTTGTGCGACCTTTGGTGAATGTGCGCAGTGAGCCGAAGAAGTTCGAGAAGAGGGGCTTCAGTGTTGGCAGACAGGCTGCGATGATACCAACGTGCATCTCGACCCTAGTGAAATGTGTTAGTGGTCATGTGGGTTGAGTTTTGGGGACTGGGAGGTTGTACTGTTGCCATATGTAGTACCACGATCCTCGCCCTGACCAATCGGTTTCTTTGAAGAAATTATACTGCATAGGCGTTTTGTAGATGGCTACTGCTGAGGCACTGTACGTGTTGTTAGCTTTATCCTTTTTCGAGCTCCTTCAACGTACAATAAACCTAGGCTCAAAATGATTGCCAGACCAATCCGTGTCTGCATGTTGATTTGAAGTTTCCAAACCATGGGTATAGGGATGAGCGCGAAGACAAGATCAGTCGCAATGTTGATAGATGAGTTGAAAACTCCGACATTCTTGAAGATATCTGGGGCATAGCATTTGGCGGTTCTGGTATTGCATTAGTTGAGACAGAGGCACTCCAGGGATTTGACGGCCTCGTACCCAGTAGGTGGCCGTAGCTGATAATCCCAGCCAGCTCGCACCGGCTGACACTGGAAGATGATGGCAAATGTCGAACCGATCGTAAACATGGCAATGAAGACTATCAACTTGTCAGCGATACTGAAAATTCAGACTTGGGAAGTACTCCAGGGGCCACTCACCCAGCATGAAAATCAGAAACGACCTCCATTTCGTGCGGTCTGCCAATCGCAGCAAGAAAAAGCCAATCGAGAGCTTGATGAAGCTGTACGCAGAGATGATCAAGATCGAGTAGAAGTAGATGTACCTGAAGAAGAGCAAGATGTTTCCTAGTGGGAATGCTTCGGCATGCAGTCCGAGCCCCAAATGGGTGAGTTTGACGAACAGCCCTAAACAACTTATGTTAAGGGACTATGCATTGCTAGTTAGTGATTGCGTTTTCGTTGATCTAGAGGACCCGAGGGAGGGGCATTGACATACCGCCGAGATCACCATCATCCAATCTGCAATGACACACAAAGTCAATAACGAGTAGGAATATGTGTAAGTGTGATTGTAACGTACCATCCCAGCCAAAGGTCTTCAGCATAAATATGCGAACATAGAAGCGCATCAACACCGTAATCATTGCCAATGCGAAAAGCGTTCCCTCCACTGCCAGCAATCGCGGGGCCTGGTTCTCGGCCATGTATTCTGGTGACCGTGGTGGCACCGGAGGAGGGCCTCCCGCTTGCCTCGAAGAAATCAAGCGGTAGACCATGTCTGCGGTCAAAGAATCCGTCGTAAGTAATGCACAGTGATATGGAGATCGCGTTCCTTGGAGGGATACCCAGGACACTGGGGCACTCCTTAAGACCTCTTCTACAGGTTCAACCTGTCGTAGTCAGGAACATACATACAAACCGTGGCTGGGTGGTACCTGTAACTCTTCGTAAGCTAGTTCGCTCGTGTATGCAAAGCTTCAAACTTTAATGTCCACAGGGTAGCTTGGGAGCCTTCGGTGTTCCAGGGAAAGCGACCTAGATACCCAATCACTCTCATGTGGCGTGGGAAGACGAGACTAGCGTGCAGGCCGACAGCTCCGCCCGCCATGGCTGATCCCTAGACCGGGCATGGAATCCATTTCGAGGCCAGCATCGCTTAGAAGACTCGAAGCAATTCACAAATTCAGTTCGCTAGTGTTCACTGCTGCGCTCTGAGACCACCCACAATCTACTTTCTTCATTGCTACGACCAAAAGGTGATGCAGCAGAAGAGGAGACTGAATTCAATTAAGCGGTCGATGTAGTGGAAAAGGCGAGTCCCGAGTCCCTGATGTTCACATTCCAGGGAGGGGGTGGATTGGCTCAAGGGGGCAAGCGTTTGAGGAAAATTACCGGTGCTAAACAGCATCGAAGCGGAAGGAAACCCACCAGCTGCCACGACGGGCAAGAATATTCTCATCTTGACGAGACAATTTTGGGTTCGAAGCAGAAGTGAGATTCTGTGAATAAGTGTTTAGCCACCCCTAGGGCTCTTACTACCGTTCGCCTGGAGACAATGTGTACGGTGTCGTTGTCGTCGGTGGCTACCTCTCCTGCCAGCCAACCTTGTTCTAGCCGTAGAACGTAAGCATAGCAAACGTAGCATAGAGGCTCCCAAAACGACGGACAGCAGAGAAATTGGAGGCTATGTTTCGGTACATTGCGTCCAGGTACCGAGCGTGGAAAACTCCCGGGGTAATTGAGCTTGCCTGAGAAGCCTAGCAATTTCCATGCCTTCCTTCCTACTCTCGTTTGCTTCGATCCGCGGGAAAAAGGAGCCACGGACGCCCAATCCAAGCCCCACCCCAAATCCAGGTCGGTCGGCGTTGCAAGCGACGGTCAGGCAAGACACAAAGCGGGTGAATGCTTTGAAGTCACAGAGAAGGATCGTGCTAGTGACGTTAGGCGAAAGGTACCACTCCCCTGGTTTACGCTTGCCCGTAGTGGCAGTAGCCCCGAACGTTGGCGGGCCGTCGAACCCATTCCCACCCGTTCGTCGGTCCACCCGTCTCCCCAGTTTCCGTCATGGACGACCAGGTCTTTGATGAGACCCTCCATCGCGTCTACCAGGTACGCAAACTAAGCTTGAAAAAGCAACACCTCCACTGCTTTTAGTCACAACTATTGGTAGCTTCGTTACCCGCCGGGCGTTCACATGGAACGTAGAAGGCACCTCCTCAGCTCGCTCACCCGTCCCATGTTGGCTAATAGCCTAAAGCCTTTGTGCGAGAAGGTGTTGCAGATAATATGCCCAGTCGCTTGCTAAAGAAGGGCAACGCCACCAAGCCATCCAAATGACTTTCTCTCCGAAACTCCTCTCACTGATCACTTTGTACTGAGTCAGTTCCCTTCCACCGTGGCGCCCGCTATTCCTCGAGGCGACGGGATGAAGGCACGGGAGAGTGAATTGAATAACCGCCACGCGGCTTGGAAGAGACGTCGTGCAGCCGCGAATACGAAGGGCCCCTGATAGCGTCGACGAATCCAACACCCTGTCTACCTACAGAACATTGTAAGCGAAAGATCCAGTGTACTAGCAGCCAATTACAGAAGATCGCATAGGTTCCAGGAATCTATTGCAAGATTCAACTGCGCCTCATATGTGCATTCTCATCCATTATACGGACCGAGACTCATGCAACCCTAAATATTATATGGATCCTGAATACGCCACGACAAAGCTAGGGACGGCACACAGTGCGAAACCGGCATTTCGCAGCTCAAACGGTGATAGCGACTTGTCAGCTGCGTAGGAAGGAAATTTCTAGGGCTTGAGCACTATCGATCAGAACGACTGGAACTCTTTAAGGACATGTATATGCCTTGCCCTGACTCGATGCTTTGCGGAACAATCAGACCGACTCTCTGGGGAAAGATGACAATGGTCATATCGGAATTCATTGACCGTGCAGAGGCTTCTCAGAAGGGGGCAAACGCTAGCACAGCTCCTGCAAGTATTTGAAGGGTTATTGCGGCGTCAAAGTAGGTACAGATCGCTTGCCACGTTCTCCCATCATCCATTATAACTTAATATTAATTTTGCGTGATCCTGCCTTGCGTCTGAGTTTCGACTTAGAACCTTATTCAAGGCTCGCAACCCATTCAGTTTCTCGTTGATCTTTTTTCCTCACTTCAAGCCCTCAAGCCTTCCGCCTGTTACCCTTTAGCCAACCGAACAAGCGAACATGCGTACCGCACTCTTTGCCGCCGGGTGGCTGGCACCCGCGACGCTTGCCAGTGCCATGCCATCTTTGGAGGGGGTCTCTCCTGCTCTCTCATTTGATAAGAGACAGGACACCTCGCTCAACGTTCTTGGAGGGAAGATCCTACTGGCTGATGTATATGCGGGCATCGCTGGTATCAACCAGCAGATCTACCAGGCTACCCAGAAGCCCGACCAATGGAAGAAATGCAATCCATTGAACATTTCGGTGCGACGAGAATGGCAAGTCTCCTCTAATCAACATTGAGACGAGAAGCTAACAAAAGCAGGGCAACCTTTTCAACATCGGAGAAGAAGAACTACATCACCGCCGTCAAATGCTTGTCCAAGCTGCCCCCCAAGAGTCCCAAGTCGTACTGCCCCGGTTGCCAAAATAGATATGATGACTTCGTCGGCACCCATATCAAGCAGACATTCTCGATCCACAACACTGGTAACTTCCTCGCCTGGCACCGCTGGTTCACCTGGGCCTACGAGCAGACCCTTCGAAATGAGTGCGGCTACAAGGGCCAGCAACCTTACTACAATTGGCCTCGCTGGGCAGATGATCCGTCCAAGTCTCCTGCCCTTGACGGTTCTGATACCTCCATGAGCGGTAACGGTGTCCTTGGATGCACGAACCAGACCTACTACGGCATCCCCACCAATGCCGAGCCCAAGATAAAAGTTCCGCACGGTACTGGAGGAGGTTGTGTAGCCTCGGGTCCTTTCAAGGACTGGCCTGTGAACCTTGGACCTGTCTTCACTGACCTCACCTGCACGCCTCCAAACCCGATTACCAACTTCACCGATCCCAACGTTGGACTTGGGTACAACCCTCGTTGCCTGAAGCGCGATATCTCCCCTTGGGTCTCTAGCCAATGGTCTACCGATGAGCAGGTTGTCAAGCTGCTCAATAGCCCTGATATCAAGACCTTCTGGTATGACATGCAAGGCGGAGAGAATGCCTTCACCAACAACTTCATGGGTGTTCACACCGCGGGTCACTTCACTATTGGCGGTGACCCGGGCTCCGACTGTAAGTAATCATGTAACATGCATGTGGGACACAAACTGACATACTTCCAGTCTTTACTTCCCCGGGTGACCCCTGGTTCTACTTCCATCACGCACAAATCGATCGCGCGTGGTGGACGTGGCAGAACTTGAACCCCTCAGACCGCACCAATGCGATCTATGGTACCACCTTCATTGCGAATCCTTCGGCGCCGGAGAGCAAGCTCACTGATTCGATGAACCTGGGCTATGCGTACCCAGGCACAATCACGGTTGGAGACGCAATGACCACTATGGGTGGACCTTTCTGCTACACGTACATCTAGACACTCGTACATACGATTTTTAATTCCTCCTAGACCTTGAATGTATACAATTCATCCCCACGCGTTCCCTCAGTTCATGAGTCAGTCCTTGTACAAATTGAGTTGTGCACACGCGACGAATAGAAAAGAGTAAACGCAACGAGAGGCCATGATTTCGAAATGAGTCGCACAAGGGTCAAAGTAAGAGAAGGCTGATCCAAGCATGACATGCCAGTCTGAATTGACATTTGACACTCACGATTCCTCAGCGTCCAGGCCCTCTCCGACCCACACTCGGCGAACAGAGCAAGACAAGCAGAAACGCGATCTGAATCACCGCTCCATGGGCCGATTCGACAATCACCCGCAGCACTACTCGGTCATGTTACTCGAGATGCATGCTTGAGGTTGAGGTTGAATGGGTGGGGTTTCTCCAGAGGACCCTGCATTGCCAACGCATCACCGCTGGATGTACCGAAACGCAGCCATGCCCTCCAACCGCCCCGACCACGCCCACTAAACGACTAATTAGAGATTGCAATGGAAACGTCGCGGCTCCTAGGTCGGAACCCCTCTTTCTGATTCTAAGATCGGAAGTTAATCGAAAATTGGCGGTTGAGGTTGCGAAAGCTTACCCCGCCAAAACATAGCTACCTCGAAACCTCCCGCGCTGCCACATCCACCACATATTCAACGCACAACTATTTTTTCAGCATTACTTGAGCAGCAAAAAACAGCTCAGCACGAAGCTCAGTATATAACTCCGCCATGAATCTCGATCCCCTGACTGGCCGCCCGCTCCCCTCCACCGCAATCCAACGTATCCTGTACCTTGCACCCAAGGTCCACATATACCAAATCCCACCCGCAACCTCCACAAAAGGCTACCAAGCTGCAAGCTGGACAGCAAACAACAACAAGCTGCAGATCTTCACCGCACGGCTACGCGTCGTCGAGACGTCCATACCTTCCGAACAAAACGCCGATGAAGAGAAAGTGAGCACAACCATACTGTTGGAGGATCCAAAAAATGGGGACTTGTTCGCCGCGGCGCCCTATACGAGTGAACGCATAGTCGAACAAGCGCTGGACAGCAGCCGGTTCTTCGCCATCACAGTGGTAGGCGAGGGGCGCAAAGCAGTGCTGGGCATGGGGTTCGAGGAACGGTCCGAGGCATTCGACTTCAGCATCGCACTGCAAGACGCACGGCGCGTGCTAGGCTTCGAAGCCAACCCCACGGCAACAGCTGGGCCCGGTGCGCGGCCGTCTTCCAAGTCATCACAACAAGGGGTCGAGGAGCCAAAGCGCGACTTTAGTCTCAAGGCGGGCGAAACGATATCGATAAACCTCGGTGGTCTAAAGGGTAGGCGGTCAAGATCACATGAAGGGGAGCAGAGTGAGCCGGAGCAGCAGAAGAGCGAGCAGGAAGCGCTGTTTAGTATAAAACCGCCGCCGGGAAGCGGTGGTGGTGGTGGTGGGGCTGGCTTTCTTCCTCCCCCTCCCAGCGCCAAAAGCGTCAAGGAGGAAAGGAGAAGGAGTAGGCAGAGCTTCGAGCGGAGCCCAGACCCAACGCCGCAGGACCTCGGATTCGACGACGGGGAATTCGGGGAGTTTCAATGAGTAGTGGTCACGCTAAGAGGATGGCAATTGAATCCACTTGTGTGTTTTAGCATGGAGTACTGCATGGGTTGGATTTGCATGGTATTAGGAGTTTAAATTTCTGTTCAAGATTAACGATTGATGCATTAAATATCCACTCGTGTCGTGCCGTATGTGCAGAACACGTCAACCAGTGCTGGGTATCATCTCTACGATGTCTGAGAAAGCCTCCAAAAAATAACGCCAAATATGCATCGCTCCCGTGGTTATGCTTTGTACACTCAGTACGTCCAGCCTTGGGCCTCGTCGTACTTTCGCTCAATGTCGCGGATTAAATCTTGAGGCTTCTCCCCTCCGTCGCAGTCCTTCCACTCCCCGTCGTCATATACACATCTAACCTTGTCATCTAGCCGGATCGTACAGCTGATTTCCACGCCCACATCTTTACTATGTTGTACGCTGTCTCTAAGCAGTCCCATGCCGTATGCGCCCGTATCCTTGCTCATGCAGTCATTCAACACCTCAAAGTCGAGACCATGTTCCAACGCGCAGTCTTGGGCGAGGGATTTCGCGGGGATTTCCTGGTAGTCGCTGATGAGGCAGTTCGAGAAGCCGAGGTAGAGTTTGGGGTCGGGGTATTCGGACGCGGCGCAGAGCATGAGGATGTTGCCTAGGCATTCGGTTTGGCCGTGTTTGCATTGGACGCCGTCATCGTCGTTTGTTACGCTGTGCAGTGCAAAGTCAGCTCAACTGTTCGCAGACAATCTATCACAGGTTCATGTACGTACCTCCCGATAAAACTTAGCCTGAAATCTACCTTGTCAGACACGTTTGACATGGTCGGCACCACAAGCTTCTTCAAGCAGTCCCGCGCGTCCGGACACTTGGACATGATGTGCACCTCCAGCGGCACCTTGGTATCTACCTCGAGGTGCTGCTCTTCGTCGCAAGTCCAGGTCCGCGCCAGCCAGAACAGACTGATCAGGATGGCTACCGCCGCGAGCTGGAAGCGGGATTTGTAGGATCGGCGGCCGGCCATTGTCACGTCCTGAGTCGCATTCGCATCTTCTTGGCCGGACGGCTGGGAGGGAGGAAAGAGGGGTGATTTAGAGTCCATTAGGGGCGGAACGGAGTAGGATGGCTTATGTAGGTTTACTCGCTAATGCCAGAGGATGGCTCGGGGTTGGAAGATCGGCTTAGGTGATGCGATGGGCGCGTTTTCAGCCTTGACTAGGTTACGAGCTGATAAGTGCCCAGGTGTTGTGGATGCAGGCTGATTGATAGCGCATCAACAACAAAGGGCTGAACTACAGGCAAATGGCCCCGGTACTAGATAGATAGCCTGACGGTGTATGTATGGGAATTGGTGTTGGAGCAAGATGTGTCTTTGTGTTACACAGGTCTACTTCAGCACCTTAGTCGCGTTTGCATCACATGTGCTTGCCCTTCGCGAAAAGCCGACATACAAGGAATCGTCCGGCATCTATCTTTGGACTGGCTAGAAGCACGGCATGATATTTCCCCGCAGAGTGTGCGCTTCCCCTGGATGCAACGCCGATTGCGGAAGGGTAGCACGAATCCCACCTTGTCACAAACACTAGTTCTCTAGGGCGCGTAGCGTTTCTATTTGGGTTTTCTTAGATATAACGTTTCTTTTACTTCATTGTTGCTCTGAGATTGGGGATAGAATCGTATTTAGATCCGGTTGATCCTAGTCAATCGCAATTTCAGCCCACCCGGTTACTGCTAGCCTGTAGCGTGAGGGCCATTGCAATCTTGCCGTCTTGTCAGCGTTCGTTGCTGACTCGATCTAACTCCAGTCTGTCATGGCCAACGTCTATGATCGACACGACGCTGATGCGGCAAATGCCATTGAAACACTCACCGGCTTCATCAATACAAGCACGCTGCTCGACTTGGCGCACCGGTTCTCCGCGACATATTCCGACCTGGCCAGGACATCTACTGAGCATTTTCTGGTTACGCCTGTTACTGCCTTGCCGACTGGGAAAGAGAAAGGCAAGTTCCTGAGTATCGATGTCGGTGGGACGAATCTAAGAGTTGGATTTATCGAATTGGCTGGGGAGCTAGAAGGGCCTGCCAGTAGCGATCATGAGCGGAGTAGTACTGTCGGGGAGAATGTATTCGCTCAGATCAAGAGAAGCCATGACAGAAATTGGCCGATTGAGGATCACCTGAAGATGGATCAGGCTGAAGACCTGTTTTCGTGGATAGGTGACTGCATTGCAGAGGTCGTCAGAGATGCTCTCGAGGAAGAGACGGCGACTGAGCATGTCGTCTCTCCGCTTGGAGAGGAGATCTTACTCGGCATCACATTCAGCTTCCCTATGGCGTAAGTGTCCGCCTTGAGCAACTATACAGTTGCGCTAACGTGCAGTTTAGACAGACTCGTCTTTCAGAAGCAACTTTACTACCCATGGGGAAAGGTTTCGCCATCACTTCTGATCTCAATCTGGGGAAAATGCTGCTTGCTGGATATGCACGACATTGCGAAGTACCAAGGGCTAATGGTCACTCCACAAGCGATCCTACCGACAAGAAGAACACATTGGCATTGCCCAAAATACGGGTAGCGGCCATTACCAACGACACAGTTGCAACATTTGCTTCATTAGCATATGCAGTCAAAGCTGCACCGAATAGCAGAGTAGCAATGGGATTAATCGTTGGGACGGGAACGAACGCGACAATTCCGATGAAGGTGAACAAGCTACACCCTGCCAAGAGGAGAGGTCTTCCGAATCCAGATGCTACCGAAACCGTTGTTATCAATACCGAGTGGACGATTCGCGGCACAGATAAACCGCTGATCGACCTGAATATCAAGACGCCATGGGACCTGACACTTGACGCGAATAGTGACGCCCCAGGTTTCCAACCTTTCGAATACATGACCTCTGGGCGTTATCTCGGTGAGATTGTACGACTAGTGCTTGTAGACACATTATCTCGGGATCCAGAGGCGGTAATACCACCGTCTCTGCAGAGCAAAAATGCTATACCAACAAGGTTTCTTTCGGAAGTTGTGGCGCGAAAAGGGGGACGTGTCGTACAGGCAGAATTGGAGAAGACATATCCAACGACAGACTCATCAGACTCGTTCTGGACGGTAGACAGGGTCGAGTTGATACGCGATATCGCGGAGGCAGTCCAGCAGCGATCCTCAGCACTGATTGCTGCTGCTTGCGTTGGGCTCCTAGACTGTGTAGGCGATGTTGAAATCGAAGACCCCTCAAAGTCGAGATCGACCAGCAATGGAACTCGAACAAGCGGCAAGCGAGATATTGAAGAGCTGGTCATTGCATATGCCGGAGGCACAATCTCGCAGTACCCCAAGTGGCTACAAACCTGTCAGAAGTGGATAGATGTCCTCGTAGACGAGGGATCGGCAGCCAATGCGTCAACAAGAGTCACCCTGAAGGAGGCGCTGGAGGGAGGCCTCGTTGGGGCTGGAGTTCTAGCAGGGATGACAGATGACATGGCATGAGTCTGGCATGAGTCTGGCATGTCTCACAGCAGAATCAACACAAGTGCAATAAACCGCAACGGCGCCATGCAGCTGAGCCTCTAGTGTCTTTCCGAGCGGCGTGCAAAACGCGACATGGATGACTTTACCCACTATCCCCAGGCTTGGATATCATGACCCTCCCTGCTTTAATATGATATACACCGACCGCGGGGAAGCCAGAGGAGGCACGGATGGGGAGTGGATACACAGTAGCCATGCCAAGATGTACTTTAGGAAACAACGAACGACCAACGCCATGTCTCGCATCGTACAAACATATTGACTACCTCGTCTACATCCACTCGATAGGTTTCTCAATGCCACAGTGATTGATTGTTGTGCTCACACCGCTCCGTAGCTTCGCTTTACGTCAGTGTACTATCAAGACTTCGTTCATCTCGCTATTTCCTTTACCCTCTCCCATCTGACGCTGCCTTCAGTCTTTTCAACGCCCCCTTTTACTTCAATCAAATCCACAGCGAGTTGAAAACAACCTCAATGCACCTCAATCTCATCTCAGCCTTCTACCTCGTCACCCTCCTTCCAGTTACTCTCTCCCGAACACCGCATCCTTGCTATTACGATGCCAACAAACCTGCCTCGGATGACCTGATCCCATGTTACCCCTCCACTTTATCATCCCACTACTCCTGCTGCCGCGTAGGAGACAAGTGCCTTGAGCAAAATGCCTGCTTTGACAGCGACACGCAGGTCACATATCAATACGGCTGCACAGATGCTTCCTTCCAGGACCCTCACTGTCCCCAAAAGTGCCATCTTGATACGGAGGAGAGTCACTGGGTCGGCCTCGTATTCTGCAACGGGACAAGGGGCCTGCCAAAGGATAAGTGGCTGTGCCATCATCCGTCTAACTGTGCCGGCAAGGGAGGATGCGACGAGAGGGCGTGGGATGAGGGTATTGAGAGGATGTGGAAGACGGGGTGTGAAGACCTGAAGCGGGGAGATGAATATGTTGCGTTCGAAGCGAGCTTCACGCTCAGCGATATTGCCGCGCTGCCGTCGTCGAGTCGGCTGGCGAGTTATTGGAGTGTGAATGCAGAGCGGACGAAACCTCTCGTCACGTCAACGACAGCGTCGGCACATACGACTACAGCTTCAAGTGGATTATCAAGCTCCGCTACAGCCTCGAGTACTTTAACCTCAACGCCGACCGCAACATCAACACCATCAGCAGCTCCAACTGCCCCAGCATCTACGCGCAGAAGAGCAGCAACCATCGGCCTAGGTGTAGGAATCGGTTTCGGCGTCCCAGTCCTCCTCGGCCTCGCAGGCTTGACTCTCTTCTACATCCGCCGCCAACACAAGAAACATGAAGCCGTCCTCGCAACGCTTGCGAATGAATATCCACCCGAAAAAGGCGCAGCCGCGGACAGCTATGCTCACAATGCGGAAGCAGGGCCAGGCTACGCTCATACAGCAGAATTAGACAGTACACCCATAGTCGAAAGCTGTGGTTCCCCAACCCCTTCGGAATTGCCCGGCTCGAGTGTGGCTGCCACGCCTTACCAGTCACCGATTGGGTCGCCTGAAATGGTGCAGGGAGAGTTGAATAGGAAAGAGAGAATGAGTGTGTGTGTGGAGGAGGGAAGGAACGCGGGGGTGCAGGAAGTGCCTGGTTGATGGCTTGCAACGATGACGACAATGATGTATGAAAGCAGTTGATATGACAAGCATGAATAAATGAAGAAGGAAGCAGTATCGTAGGCAGATACTGTTTCCGCTTTTCCATTCATTGCTCAGACCACGTCAAAGTTTTGCCCTTTTATAGTGAACATACTACTGTTCAAACCAGTGATGTAGCTGACTAGACCAGTGAGAAGTAGACGATGTCTGTAACAACAAGGTGTGCTGCATGCGCCGCACCACTCTTAACCATTCCGTGCCCCGGTTTCAATCTCATGTTATAGACCTCGCTACCTCCTCCATTACCACGACCTGGTGCTCCGATGGAATCTGCGAGAGACACTTTGCACAGTTGCCAGGTCGGGGAGGGGAGAGATGGAGAGAACACGGGTGTCTGGAGCGAGCATCGTCCAGCTGGGTAGGCTGCCTAGGTTCGAAGAACACAGCGGCTGAGGTCTATGTGGGACTCTCAGACGACTCCATTGTTGACTGTATTTCACATCGTCAACAATGTCTCCCCACACACCAACGCTGTAGCTGGAAAGTTGAGCTAAAGTGTGTCAGACCAAGTCATACTACGCCCATGATGCCCTCAGGGGGTCTTCAGCTTACCTGTGTAGATGCCACGGGCACCTATAGGGCTGAACTGGCCTTCTCGTGCAAACAATAGGATAAAGTCGTAATCCAGTAACCAGGTAGCATCCAGTGACGGGGATACAAATGGCTCGAGCAATGATTCTTGCCATTCTGCTCGCCCCAAAATCCGGACTTCCTCCTACTCACTCATCTCATCACCGGTATCCTGCTCGTCACTGGTATCCTGCTCGACGCGCGCCAACACCTCATCCTCCTTCCTCCTCTCCTTGTCTACAGCCTTCTCCACACTTTGCAGCATGGGCAGCCCGCCACTCCCCTCCCAAGCTTTCGCTCTCTTGATAATTTGCTGCGACCGCCGTATAACCTCCTCTTCCGCCTTCCTAATCGTGCCGCTAACTCTTACAACCCGCATAACAACTGGCCTATCAATCGGCTTGGGGAGATGTGTCATGTAGGTCAGCGCTGCCCATACCATCTCGTAGTGGTCGCGTGGGCAGCGAATTATGACTGTGCTGGTGGAGGGCGAGTAGTAATTGACTAGCATGATTTTTAGTCAGAAGCGGTTCAAGATGAGAGACGTCGAGGGTTGAGAGAAAGGGATAGACACCTTTTAGCCCGGCAGATATCATGCCCATGCCATAGTCGCCGTATAGGTCTTGTACTTGGTCTCGTATCATTCGTATGAGGAGCCCAGGGTGGAAGGCGTCGGGCGTGGGGGAGTGGATTTGAACGACGTCTGGAAGGAGAGTGTTGCTTTTTGTGGTAGGCTCAGGGTAGAGCAAGTTGACTACCAGGTAGCGAAATTTGACGCGAACCATACTGTCAAAGCGACTTGGTCGCGAGAATTGGTTGGATGGTGTTGTGGTGAAGCGTGGCCGCTGAAGAATGTGGGGTGAAGGCGTCTTCGAGTGTAAATATCAACAAATGGCCTCGTGCAAGAAACTCGCTACCACGAAGGCGCACTCTGTGGAAAACAAGTAGAACAGTTTCCGAGCCCTCAGCGCAGACCGCCGCGCGATATTCACGCGCTCGAAGACCAAAGTCACAAAAGATCAGCCCTACCACAGACGCCAATCGGGTCACTGGCAGATCCGGGTCAGCTTGGCGATGACGCGGATGGCCAGAGGCACCATCCCCAGCTTTCCTGCTGCAACCACCAACACCACGACTCCAATCGAAGCACACTCTGAGACAGAACAAAGCACCCTTGTCTCTCGGGGTCTGATATCACCAACCAAACCTGCTGCTTCAAGGCGACAAAGGCAGCTTCCAGCTCCACCACCCTTTGCCATGGCATCCTCGTCCTCATCTACGCCTCTGCTATAGTACTGTCTCCCCTTTACAACACCCTCCCCAGATCACCAAGTCTAATAGCAATACAGTGCATGCATAGCGCACAACACCACCGTCCTCACCGAACACACCGCCTCGGCCAGCAGCAATGCCTCCTCGCTCGTCTCGCTCGTCCTCCCGCGCCTCACCCACACCACGTCCGCACACAAGACAATCGACCAGTCCAAGTACTTCATCCACTGCCTCGTCAAGTCGCCTGCCGACTTCCCCGGCGCGCAAGCCTCAGCGGGCGGCCTTACCTTCCTCGTCATCGCCGAGCGCGACCTAGGCCAACGCATCCCCTTTGGCTTCTTGACCAACTTGGAGAAGAAGTTCTTCGCTGAATTCGAGACGGCTTCGACAAACTTTAGTGATCTGCCGCCCTATGGTTGCGCATCCTTCAATGGGGCGCTCAAGAAGCTGATGCTTGAGCAAGGTAGCACACAGGCGGGCCAGCAGGATGCTTTACGCACCGCGCAACGCGAAATTGAGGGCGTGCGCGAAATCATGACTGAGAACATTGAGCGCGTCCTGGAGCGCGGTGAGCATATGAGTGTGCTGGTCGATAAGACAGGCCGCTTGGGCGAGAATGCGCGCGATTTCCGGGTGAGGAGTAGAAATTTGAAGCGGAGAATGTGGTGGAAGAACATAAAATTGATGGTTTTATTGTGCTTGGTTGTCATCTTTTTGATTTATCTCTTCGTTGGGTTTGGGTGTGGTTTGCCTGGTAAGTTCCCTCTTTATTGGTAGTGTTTGGCTATGGAGAGAAGTGCTAACGAGTTGCAGCTTGGGGACGGTGTCTGCGTCACTAAAGGCCTGCAAGACGATATGAGCATGAATTTCAGTAGGCATCTCAGCGCAAGTCGTGACGCGGCCAGACATACACGAAGGGGTTCTGGCATCACAAAGAGTTCTGAAATGAATTCTGTTTGTTCATTGTATACCATCAGGCGAGGCGTTTAGAGTGGACTTTTACATAGCTTGCCCATTTGACAGCGTTCATCATGCCAGACCGAATTTTCTCTCATAACACCATTCCATGCAGATCCTTGCCCGTTTTCCCAAGAGAGTTTTCCCAATCCCTTCAAATGCACCATCGAACAAGACGCCAGCCGAATATAACCCGAAGGTGAACCTCCCCACGCGACCAGACGCGAACGCCAAAACTGATCGGAGAAAAAGTGAAATAGCTTCCCCCCATCCTTGAAAATGCAAAATTTACATCATACATGTACCCAATGACACGGCTCCATCAGCCGTAGAACAAAACTCCCGTGAAATGCTTTTAGATGTCTATCTAGAATAAATGCCCGTCTAAAGTAATGCGTCGAGTGTCGTAGAAGCCCAAATGAAAGTCAGGAACGAAAACTTTTCTTGTCCTTTGTGTGTTTGTATGCTGATGGGACATCGGAACGCCGGCCCCAAACACCAAAAGATGCAAACATTTGCCGCGTATGGTACGGCACCTTACGGAGCCATGACCATAGCAAGCAATGCCATGCGCGTGTACAGACCGTACCTCATCTATCGTCATGTCAGTCAAATATATCAAAACAAAATGAACACAGCACTCACCTGTCTGAAATATGCCGCCCTGGGATCAAAGTCCACCTCTTCATGAATCTCGTTATTCCTCGGTAGCGGGTGCATCACAATCATATGCTCCTTCGCCCCCTTCAGCACCTTGTTATTAATCACGAACGCATCCTTGACAGCATCATAAGTTGCCAGATCAGGGAATCGCTCCTTTTGTACGCGCGTGCAGTACAAGACGTCGGAAGCGGCGACAATGTCGTCAGTGAGCTCGTTGGTGACGTGGTTCAGCTGGCCACGGGACTTGAGCCCATCGCAGACACCAGACGGCATGCTGAGGGAGGCGGGGGACACAAGGTTGACGGTGACGTCGTAGTGGGAGAGGAGCTTGCAGAGGGAGTGCACTGTGCGGCCGTACTTGAGATCGCCCACGAATGTGATGTTGAGACCATTGACAGTTCCCAGCTCTTCACGGATCGTGAAGATGTCGAGCAGTGCCTGGGTCGGATGCTCACGACTACCGTTTCCAGCATTAATGATGGGAACATCGGAGAACTTGGTGGCGATGTTCACGGACTCCTCATCCGGGTGGCGCAGAATGATGGCGTCACCATAGCACCCCAGTGTGCGGATGGTGTCAGCAATAGACTCGCCCTTTTGCGTGGATGATACTGATTCGTTGATGACGACGACCTCACCACCTAGACGCTTCATAGCGGCTTCGAAAGAAGCAGACGTCCTCGTTGATGGCTCGCAGAACATGGTGCAGAGAAGGCGACCTTTGAGAATGTCAAGACATCCTTGTCGTTGAGCACCGAGACGCATCTCCTGAGCGATGGTAAACAGAAGATGTAGGTCTGCACGGCTGAATTGCTTGACAGAAGTGACATGCTTTCCCTTGAATGGTGACTTCGCAAGAAGCTGCGTTAAAGACAACGAGTTGTTCAGCCCATGCACGTCTAAAGACGACTGCTCATGGGACCCCGGAGCAGCGGCAAACTCCTGGAAATCCACCTTACTAATCTCGAGATCGTGATAGCGAGAGATAGCCTCGATCAAAAGCTTTGCATTCTTGACATTGGTCACAAGAGGAGTTTGGTAGTCGACGGCCATTCGTCGCGTGCGGTACCCTCTGCTCATGTAGTTGGCTGGTCGTCGGAAGCGGTTGCTTGAGGGCAAATTGATGTACAGATCAATGAGGTTGTTCGACAAGTGCTGCGTCAGCGAATATTCCGACTTTTGTTCGTCGTGTTCGCCACTTGGAAGGACTTCCAAAAACTTGACTGGGAGGCCATGCTCCTGAATATAGTCCGCTGTTCCAGCAGTAGCGAAGAGCTTGTAGCCCATCTTGTGCAAGCGCTCGATCGAGGGCAGCATCTCCAGTTTGTCTTTGAAAGAGCCAATAGATAACAAGATGTTCTTCTTCGGCAGCCTGAAGCCTGTTGCGATGAGGCCCTTGAGGTAGGCTTCGTATTTGGTGCGACCAAAGCAGGCGACTTCTCCCGTCGAGGCCATCTCCACACCGAGCACTGGGTCGGCACCAGACAACCGAGAAAAGGAGAATTGAGGGACCTTGACACCTACATAGTCCGCAGGAATGTTGACTGGCGGATATGGGGTAAGGGGGAGGCCAGCCATGGCCTTGGTGGCCATCTCAATCAAATCGACACCCATGACCTTGGAGACAAAGGGGAAAGACCGCGATGCGCGGACGTTGCACTCAATGACCTTGATCTCGTTGTCTTTCGCAATGAACTGAATGTTGTAAGGTCCCGTTATATTCAACGCAAGCCCGATCTTTTTCGTCGCATCCTCAATCTGGCGGACGGTCTCCTCAGATAAGTCCTGCGGTGGAAGGATGAGAGTAGCGTCACCAGAATGCACGCCGGCATTTTCTACGTGCTCGGAGATAAAGTGTCCGATCATGATTCCGTTGCGTGCAACGGCATCCATCTCGATCTCCTTTGCGTTCTCGATGTACTTGGTGATGACAACAGGGTGGTCCTTTGACACATCGACTGCTTGGTTCAGGTAGTTGGCGAGATCGTGCTTGGAGTACACAGTGTTCATCGCAGCTCCGGAGAGCACGTAAGACGGACGGACGAGCACCGGGTAAGAAACTTTGTCACAGAACGCTGTAGCCTCCTCAATGCTGGTAAGCTCTTTCCAGGCGGGCTGGTCAACTGCAATGCGATCCAGCATACGAGAAAACTTGTATCGATTCTCGGCAGTGTCGATCATCTCCGGCGAAGTACCGAGCATCTTGACGTTCATGCGATGCAGAGGCAGAGCGATGTTATTCGCCTGCTGACCACCCATAGCGCCGATGACGCCGCTCGAGTTTTCCAGTGTATAGATGTCGAGCACAGTCTCGAGCGATATGTCTTCGAAGTACAGACGATCAGCCTCGTCGTAATCAGTCGAAACGGTCTCGGGGTTGTAGTTCAACATGATAGTTTTGAAACCTTGCTCGCGTAACGTGCGGATAGCTCGAACGGAGCTAAAGGATAGTCAGTTTATGCTTCACATGCATGTATACATCAGGTACTCACCATGAGTCGAACTCGACCGAGGAACCGATACGGTACACGCCGGAGCCAAGAACCATGACGCCGTTGTCGTTGAAGTCGACATCGTGCTCCGTGCCATTGTAAGTGAGGTATAAATAGTTGGTGGTAGCGGGAAACTCACCCCCCACGGTGTCAATCTGCTTAACAACGGGGAGGATTCCAGCATCTACACGCGTACGACGCACGGCAAGTTCGTTGGAGGCCCAGAACTTGGCGAGCTGGCGATCTGAGTAACCTAGCGCCTTTGCCTTCTTCAACAGAGGCACGGTGATGCTAACTGTGGTGTAGCTGGACATGGACTTTTCAAAGTCACTGAGACCCTTGAGACGGCTGAGGAACCACTTGTCGATCTGCGTCATCTCCCAGATCTTGTCGACACTGTAGCCAGACTTCATAGCGTTGGCAATGGCGAATAGTCGCTGATCCGAGGGGGTCTGGAGCTCCTGATCGATTCCCATCAAAGCAGCGGTCTCATTAAAACCGAGGTTACTAGGATCGATCTCCCGAATAGCCTTCTGAATGGCCTCTTCGAATGTTCTGCCAATGCTCATGACTTCACCGACACTCTTCATAGATGAGCCGAGGAGTGTCGAAACACGCGTGAACTTCTTCAAATCCCATCGGGGGATCTTCACGACGACATAGTCGAGAGATGGCTCGAAGCACGCGCACGTGACGCGAGTTACGGAGTTGGAGATCTCGTTCAGCGGGATGTTGAGACCGAGCTTAGCTGCGACGAAAGCAAGAGGATAGCCGGTGGCCTTGGAGGCTAGAGCGGATGAACGCGATAGACGGGCGTTTACCTCGATAATGCAGTACTCGCGGGAGAACGGGTTCAAGGCGTATTGAATGTTGCACTCTCCGACAACGCCGAGATGGCGAATGACGTTCACCGCTGTCGTCCGAAGCATGTTGTAGTCTTCATCTGAAAGCGTTTGCGATGGCGCGACGACGATGGAGTCTCCAGTATGAATACCCAGAGGATCAAAGTTCTCCATGTTGCAGACTGTGATGCAGTTGTCTCGGGCATCGCGTACAACTTCGTATTCAATTTCTTTCCATCCCTTCATACTGCGTTCGATCAGCACTTGCGGGCTGGCAGCGAAGGCCTTGTTGCAAAGGTCAAGCAGCTGGGCCTCGTTGTTTGCAAAGCCACTTCCGAGTCCACCAAGAGCATAGGCAGCTCGAACAATGACAGGGAAGCCAATGTCCTTGACAGCGTGCATGGCCTCTTCGACGTTGTTGGCAGATGCAGACTTGGCGCACTTCTCTCCGATGGACTCCATGCTTCGCGCGAACAGCTCTCGATCTTCAGTTGTGATGATGGTGTCGATCGGCGTTCCGAGGACCTTGACGCCGAGTCCCTCGAACTCGTCCTTGAGCTGGATACCCACTTGAAGGGCGGTTTGGCCACCGAATGTGACATAGATACCATCAGGGCGCTCTTTCTGGATGACCTTGCGCACAAAGTCGGCATTGACTGGTAAAAAGTAGACCTTGTCGGCAAGGCCCTTTGAGGTTTGGATGGTGGCGATGTTGGGGTTGATCAGAATAGTATAGATGCCCTCTTCTTTCAAAGCCTTGATGGCCTGGCTTCCAGAGTAATCGAACTCTCCAGCTTGCCCAATGCTCAGGCCTCCACTGCCGAGCACGAGGACTTTCTTGACGTCCACCCGCGGAGCCAGCTTCTTGTTCTCCTCGAAAGTGCCACCCGGGAATTCGACTGCTTGTGACATGATTGCAGTTGACTCGATAGACTTTTGGATTGTGTTGATGAAGACATCGAACAGGTACTCGGTGTCACGGGGACCAGGAGTGTGCTCTGGGTGGAATTGGACACTGAAGTACGGCCTGCGTGCGTGCCGGATACCCTCGTTGCTGCCATCGTTGGCGTTGACGAAGAGCTCTTCCCAGCCTTGAGGCAGTGTCTTTGAGTCTACAGCGTAACCGTGATTTTGTGACGTGATGTGGCACTTGCCTGTGACCAAGCTGGTGCAGGGGATGTTGTGGCCGCGGTTGCCAAACTTCATCTTGAGCGTGCCTGCGCCTGCAGCGCGTGCGAGCAGTTGGTGGCCAAGACAGATACCGAAAACAGGTGTGCGCGCCTCGTCCATGGCTGCCTTGATGTGCTTCACGGTAGCCTCCATCATAGCTGGATCACCGGGACCGTTGGAGATGAACAGGCCATCGTAGTCCTTGCCAGCAAGCTGAGGAAAGTCGTAGTCCCATGGGACCTGCAAGACCTCGACTCCTCGTCGCACCAGGCATCTCAGCTGGTTGTATTTGAGACCGACGTCGACGGTTAATACGCGTACGGGGCGGCCAGAGGGATGATAGAGGGCATTTGCGGGGTCGGGAGAGTAGAGCTTGGGCTCTTTGATGGAGACTGGGTAGGCGTCAGAAAAGATGTTTGTGGACTATTGCAAGTCATGTTACCTTCAGCCACAAGGTTTGTCTTGTTTGGATCGAGCCATTCGATTTGCTCGAAGCTGCCCCTCCACTCCTCCATGTCGCCTTCTGCGACCTCGGCCGTGTTGAGAGCGCCATTGGTGAGTGCGGCGATTGCGGTGATTGCGGTAGAGATGGGCGATGGCTTGGTCCTCTGCATCAGTCGTCCCAGCATGCTTCCCTCCTCCCGGATGCGCTTCGTCAGCGCTCGCGTGTCCACGCCAGTGATGGCGGGCACGCCCTGCTCCTTCAACCATGCACCCAGCGAAGAAGTGGCTAGGTGATGCGAGTACTCTTCTTCTGCGTATGTAGCGACTACCAGGCCAGCAATGTGGATCTCTTTGGCCTCGAAGTGCGCGGGTATGTCTTTCAAGAGGCTGTCCATCTCCTCACGCGAGGGCACGCCATAGTTGCCCACGAGAGGGAATGTAATGACCAGAATCTGGCCTCGGTAGGACGGGTCTGTTATAGATTCAGGGTAGCCGACCATGCCAGTCTGGAAGACGAGTTCTCCAGCAATGCTCTTCTCAGCGCCGAAGCTGCGTCCGAAGCAGACGTAGCCATCCTGCAGCTCGAGAGCCAGATTCTGGCTTTCATCGGGGCGGAGAGCCATATTGGAAGGGATGAGAGACAGCTCGCGGGGCTCAGGAACCCTTTGTGTAGCGAGTCTGCCAGACAATAGGTACAGAGAAAAGACAATTGGGGTAGTTGAAAAAAAAAAGTTGCAACCCTCACTGCAGCAAAATTTCGAGACCCGAACCGGCGAGACTAATGCGGGGCAGGTTTAGCCCCGCCATGGGACCAATGACGATGCTGGCCGGTTCGCTCTGCTACGAACGATACCGTGGACGACGCGAGGCTGCATGTGATTGTGGTTGATTGACTGGTAGACTCGTTGATGGTCTTGGGTCTCTTGTCTCTTGTTCGAGGATATGCGGTCTATACATGCTGAAGTAGGACCGTCTCGATGAAGCGTGAGACCCGCCAAAAGTTTGGTAACGCGTCTATTAGGAGGAACGCGAAAACTTTGTTAATGCCTCCCTCATATTCGACCTTGAGAAACGGGAACAGGGAAAGCAACCTTCTCTTTGACAGTTCGACTTATCACAAACAGACTCTATTCCCATGCACAAGGCGGTGTGGAGATGGCTACTGATGTGCATGAAGTCGCCAACGCTGCCAATGGCGTCGCAAGCAGCACCATGCAGCAGGGGGGGAACAGAGATCCGCATCCTTCAACATTCGAATATCGATAGCCGTCCACTGTGCCCTTTTTTCAAAGATGCATGTGGACAGAAGAGAAAAAAAAAAGCCTCTATTTTCACGCCATGGCTAGCATGCCGCCTGTTGACACACGGAAATGAAGCATATCACGCAATGCTACTACCTACTGGGCATACAGGGCCCCCTTTCTCGTCCCGCAGGTCTAGATGCAAGGGTACGAGTAAACGAAAATGGATGCTAGACAGGAGATGGCCGAACTGAATTTGACGCGGCGTGGGAGACGAGAGGAAGAATGGGCGAAATATCATCAGCCCTCGTAGCAAGCATGTGAAGGCTGGTGGGTGGAGGCATTATAATTATAACCCTCTCACCAAGACTAACTGCAGCGATACTGGCCATGCATGGCCTCTCGCTGCTGCACCTCCCTGGTACATGGGGTGATCTCGTCATCGTAGTGTGCATGCAGCCAGTGCTGCCATTGGTGTGTGAGTCTCACACCTTATCTGTGCGTCCCTCTTCTCCACGATCCGACGCGCGCATCCCGTCCTCATGATCTCCTTTCCTCAGTATGACGCCGGGAAGAGGCCTGGAGGGCCTGGAGGCGGTGAAATGGGGTGTGGTACGAAATTGGGAAGGAGCGCGGCCCACGATCCTCTCTTATCAAGCTCGGCTGCCGTGCCGTAGTCAAACGCCTTGTTGATTGATTGATTCCACCCATTTTTCTATAACGCCCTCGACGACCCCACGGCCACGCTGACGGGGCGTCCTTCTCAGCGCGAGGCTCGAGGTAGATTCCATGTTCGCCTCACTTTTGCGGTCCAAGAAAAGCCGTCCCTCTGAAACTACGCCTCTGCTTGCTGCGCTCAACAGGTACCGCAGTCGCCAGAATGGAGAGGCATCCGAGGCAGAGGACGACGACCCAGAGGTCGTAGCACAGTATGATGGCGAGGACGAAGACGAGCATCAAGGCCGCCGACAGGACGAGCCCTTGCTGCCCGTCTTCTCGTCCGCAGTCCTAGGTATGTATAGCTACAGCGCTTTGTTTACCGTGCATGCTAACCACGATTCTAGATCGCCTGCCCATCTACAGCACCACGCATGCAATCCGAATCCTACTCGTCCAGCGATGTGAGACCACGCTCTCCTGGGACCAACTGCGCTCGCCACAAGTCTCCCAGTTCCTCGTCAAGCCTATCCAGCAGCAGATCCGATCCGACCACTTCTCGCGGGGCACCCTGTACTGCCTGCTCGCAAATTGCCTACAATTCAAGAAGGAGGGAGAGGAGAACCCTGGGAATATGGGAGTCAGCAAGACCCGGGCGCTCATATGCGAGTTGCTGGCAATGCGCCTCTTGAAGGAATACTCGACGCGGGAACTCATCGATGCCCTCTCCTACGACCTCGACCCGCTGCAAGGTTTGGAGATGCCTGGGCCTGCCGTGAGGACCCCAGGCGGCGCCAACTGGGCTCGGCAGGCTCCTCGCTCTGCGCGCATATCTACACTCGAGATTGCTATTCGCGCCCAGGCCAAGAAGTTCCTTGCTCACCCCCTCGTTGTGCGACAACTGGAAGCCATATGGGCGGGTACAATTGTATTCCACTCGGTTGCCGACAGTCTGCACAGGAAGCCTGACTCCCCTCGCGGCCGCGGTTACAGCTCTTTTGATAACATCTCTCCTGGCACAGGCCCGTCTCGCCGCCTGTCACCCACGAAGCAGGCCCCGCCGCTACCTCCACCTGCCGTACTCATGAGACGTACAGTGACTCTCTACGATCCCCACGATGCCTCACTGTTCAAACTGTCACGTCTTCGAGTCCCCCGCTACCGCAATTTGTTTTCCACGCTGTCGTTCGGAATCATGCTAGGCCTGTTCCTGGCGGTTCTTTCAGAAAAGTCCGACGACATCACAGCCCTGGAGGTTCTTTTCTGGTTTTGGAGTGCTGGGTACATGCTTGACGAGGTCGTTGGCTTCTCCGAGCAAGGATTCGGGCTCTACATAATGAGTGTGTGGAACGCCTTCGATTTAGGCATTCTTTTGATGTTTATGGCGTATTACATCTTGCGCCTTTATGGGATCCTAATGCCTGACGTCAGTCGACACAGCGTCGCAGCCATGGCGTACGATGTCCTTGGAGCTACTGCTGTTCTGCTTTTCCCTCGACTCTTCTCTGCGCTAGACCACTACCAATACTTCTCGCAACTGCTCATCGCATTCAAGATGATGGCCATGGACTTGGTCGCCATCCTCATCTTAATTTGCATAAGCTGCAGTGGTTTCTTTATCGCCTTTAGCATGGCCTTTAAGAGGGACCTGACGGCTTCAGATGCCGCGTATACGATTTTCCAGCTAGTCATGGGGTTCACGCCCGCTGCGTGGGACCTTTGGGTAGAGGTGAACGTCTTGGGCAAATTCTTGCTTGCTCTATTTCTCTTCATCTGTCACTTCCTCATCGTCACCATACTGGTAACGGTCCTGACGAACTCGTTCATGGCTGTCGTCAAGAACGCCGACGAGGAACATCAGTTCCTTTTTGCTGTCAACACCATCTCCATGGTCAAGTCGGACGCGCTATTCTCCTACATACCTCCGACAAACATCATCGGGTGGCTGCTCATCCCATTGAAGTACACCATGCCTTTTAAGAAATTTCTTCGCATGAACCGACTCGTCATCAAGCTGACGCACATCCCGATCCTGTTTACTATCTTCTTCTACGAGCGGGTGCTTCTGTCACACCTTGCATATGGTCCAGCAGACCTAGTAGAACAACGTGGTCGACAAGAATCCAAGGCGCCTGTACCGGCATTCAGCATTCGTGGGCCCGTCGACATGTTCAGCCCCCGGCTACGTGAGCCTTCTGTCACGACATTCCACAAAGATCGGGCGCTTGAAGAAGTCTTCCGCCGGCCGTATCGAGACCCTAGCATTCAGGCACGTCCACAGTACCCGACAGGTAGGAGGAAATCGAGTAATGTAGTGTCAGATTGGATGAGGAAAATGGGCGACGACGACGAAAACACCCCCCCACAAGATGATTCACAATCAGTTTTGGACCGGCTAGAGGGTCGTAATAGGCCATACTTGCGGCGTACCAAGACTGCAGGTCAGCCCAGGCGGAGGCACCCGCTCGCCGCAACCAGGACTGCGGCCTCAGATCCAGATGAGAACATTAGTTCCTTCGTCCGACCTATCCTAGAAGAGGACGAGCTAGCAATGGGTATGGCAGAGGTGCCACAGCAGACGGACGCCGATGGTGATGACGAAGAAGACCGTGCGAGTTCCGACAACCAGATAACCCCGCGAATCGTTCCAAGCTCCATCAAAGAGAACAAGCGGCCGCAAACCGGGCATGAATCATCCGACGAAGATTTCTTCCGCACTCCTATGGCTATGATACCAAGGACAGCAACGCGTACGCCGGCGAAAACAGCCTCGCCATCTGAGGTTAGCTTTCAGGGAAAGCACGGCGACAAGTCGCCTACGAAGATACTTTCGAAGTTGAAACCTGGGCATGCTCGCAATGTGTCAACTAGCACGGTTCTATTCAGCCCATCGAAAGAAGCGACCTTTTTAACACGCCCTTTGTCTCCCGAAAAGCGCCCCAAGACGGGCACACGTAGTGGTACAGGAACTGGAACCGCGACTCCGGCTGTGGCTGGCGTTCGCACGCCCAAGCGCCTGCCTGGTCCTTCTGGGCAAGCAAGCCGTCCTCGTGCAATCATGCCGCCTCGCGACACAGGTCGACAGGTCCCCAATATGGCTGACTTCCTCACGACAAACCACCGAGGACGCGAGCCTTCGTTGAACGCAATCGCGCTAGATCTTGCTTCAGATATTGGGGATAACAACCTCAATCCCAATTTTGGCAATCTCAACGCCGCTCTCCCTGCGTCGTTTACGACACAATTCGAGCTCGCAGCACGGATGAAGGCACGCGAACAGAAGGGTAGCGATGCGGACTCGGACTCCAACCGCATGAGTAGGATCATGCTCGCCCGGATGACAACGTTGGAAGAAGGATTCCGCGATATGTTGAAAGAAGTAAAGGGGCTCAAGCAGGGGGATAGCCAAACTGCTAGTCGCGGAACGCATTCGCCGCCGAACGAGCCTGTAAAGAGAAAGGGAAAGGGGAAGAAGAGAATTGGTAGGAAGGATAGCGGCGAGGAGAGGATGGGCTCGAGTCTTTGAAGCGACATAATACCCAGTCTTGGTCGCGCCTTCAGCATCACAAGGTTCGCATAGTTTGCGTTGTTTTCAAGTGTTTTGCATCGATTGAGGTTGGGTTTGCCTTGACCATGGCATCATAATGCGGCGTTTTGGGGTGTCGGATTCAGCGAGCATTCCATGCATTTGTAAGACCATCATCCTTAACTTAGTCACGAGCGTAATCTAGTTGCATTTTTGCTCTCTTTTGCTTCTACGATCCGAGTCCAAGTCTAGACAGGGGCACAATGTCGCTGACTGCATGTGCATCCGAGGCTCAAATTCAAGTTTCGGGACTGATGCCCCTCCTGCAGGGTTGTGGCCCCGTGACGTCTCCCGTGGCGTTTCGAACATCACCCGTCCACGTCAAGCTTGACTTGACCGCTTTTCACCATCTCCTACTAGTCGCTGTCACGTCGCTAACGCTGGCACATGGCCACCGTCATGGTAGTGAAGGATGCCCGCGGAAGCGCAGTTGCTGTCGCAGTCGCTCACCAGGCCTTGATCGCAGCTAACACTCAGACATTCGCACCAACTTACCTAGCTTTGAATGAGATTCACCTATCCACCATCTCTTTGGGACTTCCTCTTGACTGGTAGCTGTTATGTGCTGCTAACGTCGGACCTGCATCTACAAATCTATTTTAGCAGCCCTTCCGCGAGTCTCCACATACGCGCAACCGCTATGCTCCTCCCTATCGTACTTCTCTCGCACTTCGTACACTACGCCTATACCTTCTCAATACCACCTCTCCCACACTTGAATAGCTTTGCAAGCGCCAGCCATACGCAGCAGCAGCAACAACCGCTCCAAGAGACTCTCGAAGCATGGATAGAAAAAGAGGAGCGAGTAGCACTGGACAAGCTACTTGCCAATGTCGCGCCGGGGGGTAGAAATGTTGTAGGGAAGGGTGTGGCAGACGGTACGGTCGTTGCGAGTCCGAGTCAGGACGGGCCAGATTATTGGTATCAATGTATGTCTACCTCAGTCTGCACAATAGTATTGGGCGGAAGCTAACGCGAACGTAGGGGTGCGAGACGCCGCAATAACAATGTCCTCACTCGTGGACATATACGCCAGCGACCCCACCTCCTCGCGCTCATCACAGCTTTCTACCATCCTCGACGCCTACGCATCCCTGCAACGCCAAATCCAACAAACCTCCAACCCTTCGGGCACATTCGACGACCTGTCTAGCCTCGGCGAACCAAAATTCGCAGTCGACGGTACTCCATTCAAGGGCTCGTGGGGAAGGCCACAGCGTGACGGGCCGGCTCTGCGGGCCTTGACTTTGATGCGATATCTGAGGGAGTACAATGCCAGCCATCCTGCGTTCTGGTCTTCAATCGAGGCCACCGACTTCTTTGGGCAATATTACGAAGCGGCGATGCCACCAAACAGTGTAATCAAAGCGGATTTGGAATACGTCAGCCACTATTGGAACCATTCCGGGTTCGATCTGTGGGAAGAGATTGAAGGATCACATTTCTTCACTCTGATGGTCAGTGCACGAAGCTTACGCGACGGAAGCGATCTTGCGAGCGTCTTTGGAGATGTAGGGGCAGCGGAATGGTACGACGAGCAGGCGGGATACATTGAGAACCTTTTGCGCAAGTTCTGGAACCCAAAGAAAGGCCATTTGGTCGAAACGCTCTGGAGTAAGCGGAGTGGCTTGGACTGCGGCCTACTTCTCGGCTCTTTACACGCGTTGCCCACGGATGGAACGGACGACGAGGCTGTGTATCCGCCCTGGTCCGATGAAATCCTCGTATCCCTCCTCGCGCTTACTCGTGACCAAAGAGATCGCTTTCCAATCAACAGCAAGCCTTCCGAAGACCAAGACGATGATGCGGACGAGTTTTCGTTTGAGGGCATAGGAATCGGTCGTTACCCGGAAGACGTGTACGACGGCTACGGGACCTCTCATCGCGGCGGCAATCCCTGGTTCTTATGCACGTCCAGCGCCGCTGAGATACTGTACCGCACCGCAGCACACGTCTCGATAGCTTCCAACCTGACCATCTCGGAGATCGGCTTACCTTTCTACGAAGCCCTCCTCGCGACCTCATCCCTCGATGTGGAAACAGGCACGTTCGGCCCGTCCGACGCTGTTTTCCATTCCATCATCGAGCGCCTCCAAGCGACGGGTGACCAGTTCCTCGACGTCGTCAAGACGCATGTTGATACTGAGGGGAGTATGAGCGAGCAGTTCGATCGCGTGACGGGGTATATGAGGGGTGCGGAAGATCTCACGTGGAGTTATGGGGCGTTCTTGCAGGCTGTGAGGGCGCGGACGGTGGTGAAGGGGTTATGACAGATATTGCATTCGTACAGGAGAGGATACGGACTTAGGGATGAATTATGAGTTATGACTGGAATATATGGGAATACGGGCTATGGCTGGCATGGCGCTTGAATGGATTGATACCGGATTGTGGGTAAGGGATGGTCATGGATAGAGATACCCTCGTTATGCAGCAATGATATTCTTACCTTCTTCAACTCCTCGCAGCAACGAAAACATGACATAGCAAGCCATGATGTCCAGCAGCCACAAAGTAAGTGACCTCTCTACTTCCTCAACACCCCCTTCAACACCCAACGGTTCAATCAAGCTCCACACATTCACACTTCATCCACACCCACCGGGACAAGCCTGGACAAGTCGTCTTATACGATACCAAGAGCCTGGGCAGCAAGAGGACGCTACGCACCCGAATCCGGGGTACATGACGCCTATGTATAGACAATAGACATTTAACGTGCGTGGGACAAACCGTGTCGCAATATATCGGGTAAAGTGCGATTCGCTCAAAGTATTCCCCGGGGTCGCTACAGTCCTTTGGAAATCTCCGGCGTGTGTGTGGGGGGAAATGTGACGTCCTGTGATCAAGATTATTTGTTTTACGCGTCAGGTTGGCATGTGGCTCGAGGATAGTGTATTTATTGTCTTGGGCTACTTGCGACGACGCGGGATCGGTGATGCATGCGTGTGGTTTCTGGGGATATTGCGGGTATGTGCTTACGGGATCACGGGTTGCGGGAGGGTTTACTGGTAGCAGAGAAGGCATGTTTAGATTTAGATGCTGAACTTGGATGGCTTGATTGAAAGTCTAGGATGCGATTATGGGATCACCAGATGAGTGCGTTCGCGACCTAAATGATTCGGTCCGAAGGATGAATCCATTGTCAACGGATCACTAACCCCCAGCTGTCGATTTAGCAAGTGAAGTGCCGCTACATCGATGAACCTGATGATCGTCTGACCTAGATCGTCAGTTAGCTGTGAAGGGAAAGGTGGGGAGCATGCGGCTCAAATCGGAGGTGCAGTCGATGTTTCGAACATCGTCGCATTGAACATCCCCGCGGTCACCAAATTTTTCAACCCTTCATCTGCCACTGAAACATCACTACATCACAAAAAGCAGATAACAGTATTCACTCAACATCGCTTACTGCATCGTATGCCAAGTCGCCTCGACTCCTAGCCTCGTCGTCAATATAGTGTGTTCAAGCTACCCCTTCCGACTTGTCACACCCACGCGGCTCTACGCAGATTGCCGTAGTGGACACGGCTCCACGACGTCTTACTTGCGCCAAGCTCCTCTTTATCCGCTGGAAGAAGTTGAAAGCGGAAAACTTGGCATGTAGACAGCGAAGAGGTGGAAGAAAGTTTAGCATCATGCCTGTAGTGCTGTTGTGCTCCGACGGCAACCCCACCACGGCGATATTGAAACGTCTAATTTAATAACCGCACGGGCTTATACTAGGGTCTTCGTTTCAAGACGTGCAGCGAATCAAGACTAGAACTCGGCTTGAATGTTTCGACATTTTTGAGCCTCGGTTGCTGCGATTGGCCCAAGGAGACTAATTTCCTCTGCATTTCTTTCGACTCTCCTACCTCCTTGAATACCAACTTAACTACTAGCAGATAGACAACCGTAGTGCTCCGCGACTATGTTTCCCATCCCTGCCAGCAAGACCGGGTCTACCTAGGTTGGTTTATATCCCGCGGTCCGCTATAGCGAGATCTATAAAACACCCCAAGCCGTCCTCCCAGTAGATCTTCTTCACACGATCAGTCACTTCAGTTCTCTCTTCACAACAAAACCTTGACGGTTCATCCTACTTTGAAAATGGTATCCTTTAGCTCGCTTGTCACCGCCGCAGTGGCCGCTACTGGCGCTCTCGCTGCTCCTGCGACCGATTTGGCTGCCCGCTCTTCTGGAGACCTTGTCGCTCGCCAGAGCACTCCTTCGTCGACTGGAACTCACAACGGCTGCTACTACTCGTGGTGGACTGATGGTGGTTCAAAGGTCACCTACACCAACGGCAATGCCGGTAGCTACAGCGTTAACTGGCAGACCGGCGGAAATTTCGTTGGTGGAAAGGGCTGGAACCCTGGATCCGCCCGGTAAGATCATCCGTCGGATCATGAGGCCGATATCAACCCTAACGCACAGAACAGGACTATCAGTTACTCCGGCCAGTACAATCCTAACGGCAACTCGTACCTTGCCGTTTACGGCTGGACCCGCAACCCCTTGATCGAGTACTACGTTGTCGAGAACTTTGGTACCTACGACCCGTCTTCGCAGGCCACCAACAAGGGCACCGTCACTTCCGATGGCTCATCCTACAAGATTGCCCAGTCAACCCGTGTCAACCAGCCATCTATTGATGGCACCAGGACCTTTGAGCAGTATTGGTCTGTTCGCCAGAACAAGCGCTCCAGCGGAAGCGTCAACATGAAGACGCACTTTGATGCGTGGGCCAGCAAGGGCATGAAGCTCGGCGCCCACAACTATCAGATCGTGGCTACTGAGGGTTATAAATCTAGCGGTAGCGCTTCGATCACTGTCCAGTGCCCGTAATCGGTCAATGAAGGCAGGAGGTCGGAGTCCTTCGCGAGACGCAATTAGTTGATGGGATTGAAATGCGCACTTTATGCGCCAGCGTTGGCTTTGCTGATGACTGTTTCTTAGGTATATATATTTTACTCTGCTAGCAGATTGCTAGTCATAACAGTGTTGATACTGTACTACCGTCTACCTTATCTCCGTGAGATTCATGCCTGTGAACACCGTCACTCATCCAAGTCACGCCGATCACTGACTACTAACGAACATGGACTTCACCTACACTCATGGAATCACGAGAATACAGATCAATATTTTCCTCTAGTGTCATGAAGATCGTTCAAGGCTGCACACCTCCCCTCACCTCACTAGATGCAATATAGCATGCCCCATTCTTCCTTTTTCCCCGCCACCCAAGCTCAAGATACGCGGTAAATGTGCTTCCGCAACTACATCGAATACTCATGTCCAGGTTTACACAGACTACTGAACAACTTCCACCCTTTCACACTGTGCGAGTCAGCTCAGAACTATCCCATACCCCATCAATGTGAAAATATCACAGATATAGGCGCGAAGAGCAATGATTGGTGTACCGGCTGTTGGATGAGGGAACATGATGGCTTCGAAGAGGGAGACGAAGGTAAGAGGGTGTGGAATGATGGGTGGCGGGGTGGGACAAGATGGTCGGGTTATGGTGGTGAGAGGGGTGTGGATGTTTGGAGGGATGATAGGCCGCAGTAGGCGAAGTGAGAGACGAGAATCGAGATGGCAAGGCTGGAGAAGGCAATTTGAGTTCTTGACGGCTATTACTTTTGATCTTAGCACGATTTTGACGTGTTGCATAATGGGAGGCAGACTTCTGGTCCTTTTCAATTCTATAGTGATAATTGAACAGCGACTCGGAGATATTCAGGTTTTATAAAAAGACGTCCAACAATTTTGAGACGAATGATTGGTTCATAGAGAATGCGTGGTTTGGAGATCCTTTCCACTACAGATGTGACTCAACCGAAGCCTGGTTTTGTACTGGCACGGTTTCGTCTTTGTACAGCGGCATCGTCCCCGGTGTGGTTCTGAGCGCTTCCTCCATAATTGTCAGCGCCAGATCCAGTTGCTCCTCGGTGACTGTAATCGGGGGCGCAACACGGAACACTCCACCAAACGAAGCCATTGTGGCGAGTTGCGCCCAAAGACCCATCTCCATCATCTTGTTTGCTACAGCTGCTCCAACTTCCGGTGCTCCAACTTTGGTGTTCCTAACGCCCACAACTTCGCAACCTGCCATTAGGCCACGGCCTCGGACATCACCGATGCATCCGTAGCGCGACTGGAGCTGCCTAAGGCCAGCTTGGAGCTTGATACCCAATCGCTTTGAGCGGGCACAAAGTTCATCTCTAATAACCACTTCAAGGACCTTGTCGCCTACTGCGGCCGGGAGAGGATCGTTGACATGCGTGGTGTAGAACAGAAATCCGTTCTCCTTTGCGTGCTGAGCAATGCGATTCGATGTGAGAACTGCACTTAGCGGCAGACCGTTTCCGAGTGTCTTGCTAAGCGTCACAATATCCGGGATCACACCTTCGTCCTCGGGGTGGTGCGTGAAGGCGAACATGTCTCCTGCTCTTCCAAGTGCCGTCTGCGCCTCGTCGACAATAAGCAACATTCCTCTCGCATCGCAGTGCTTCCTCAGGGCCTTCAGGTAGCCGGGTGGTAGTTCTAGCATACCACCACTGGATAAGATGGGCTCTACGATGATCGCCGCAAGTGAACCACACGATTGCTTATCCAGAAGGTCGAAACCGTAGTCTAGCTCTGTTTTCCAGTCATACGATCCATCTGCATGTCTGAAAATTGATCGATATGAATTGGGCGTTGGTAACGCAAGGTTGCCGATCATGTTGGGTCCGTAACCGGAGCGTCCGGCATGGTATTGAGCACCTAGCGAGGCGCCAGTCATGCCATGCCATGAGGCTGCTAACCCTACAACCTCAAATTTGCTTGTATAGAACTTAGCCAACCGAATTGCAGCTTCGTTGCTTTCGCCGCCAGTGCTTAGGAAAAACGCTTTGTCTAGACTAGCGGGCGCAGCACCAGTGAGTCGCTTTGCAAGTTTGATGACTGGAGGGCTTATCATGCCGCTGAAGAGATGGTCGAGGTGTTGTGCGTGGTCGTTGATAACCTGAACTACTTCTTTATGACCGTGTCCAACTTGAGCCATACAGTCAGCGCGTATTCAGGCCGTAATTATGGTTGATATACATACTTAGGGTACTCATCTGACCCGATGTGAATTGAAAGTGTATAATCAGCGTATATTTTGATGGAATTACTCTATAGATATGACTCACGTCCATCATTCGGTGGCCTGAGGCCGTCTCAACAAAGATGCCATCAGTCGATGTAATGATTTCGGGGTGGAAGGCAGTGCCATAGGTAAGCAGGCAGTCGTCTGCATCCCGCTGGAGCTGCTCGATGTTTGCATTATCGTATGGACGAGACATAATGGCTACTGAGGGGATGTGGGTACGAGTGAGGAAGATAGAAGGTGTTGATTGCATTGAATAGGTCCATGATACTGCTATTAAAACTGCGCAAAAGATGATGCGAATAGCTGCATGTGCAAGATTCCTTTCCGTCGCGGAGGGGCAATAAGCATTTTCCGAAATATAACGGAGCCGTACTGCTATCGTCGGAGGGCTCGTTATTGGATCTAAGATGAGGATGATGTCTCTGTACCAATGAACGACGCTGAACCTGCTGAATCATGGGACGCTAGGGAAAGTGCGGTTCCGAACATACATGACTCGTCATGCGATGATGCTCCCGTCGCCCTACGTTCGTCCTTTTCCACCTTTCCCATCTCCAGCGGAAAAAGAAAAGGTGGTCGATCGGCCAAAGATGCCAAAGTGCGTGGATTTCACGGCTCCGCGATTGTGTTGCGCCGGACTCCACTATCACGCAAGTTTACCGTGACCTCGACCGTTCACAACTCGTCACTATGGTCGAATCAGTATCTGGACAGATTCCTATCGTCAGGCCATATCGTTCCCACGCGATTCCCGCTTGTGACTATTGCAAGAAGCGAAAGATTAGGTGCGATATTGACCTGCCTGGGCAACCATGCCGCTTTTGTCGAACGCGACAAGAAACATGTAGTTACACACAGCAGGAGAAGATGACGGGCGAGGCCTCATCAGCAGGAGGCATAGAGCAAAATACAGGTGAGCATGATTCATTTTCCCTATCTGAAAATGTAGTCTAGATGACTTCTTTTTACTTCCACGACCCGAGAGGTCTTCAGGACCCTGTTGACTTCAATTCTAACACTTGCATAGACCACCGAAGAGGCGACGGCAGAGCCATGTACCGAATGATCGAGGCATGGCGACCCCTCCAGCTAGTGGGCATGGAGGTAGCCTATCGCAATATCCTAGTGTAGCCGGAACGTCACCAACTGAGTCGTCGCTGATGATGAATTCGCATATGGCAGAAGACATATCTATATTGCAACAATACCTTAGCTCCCATACGGCCGAAGCATACGGCCGAAGGCAACCCTGCAGCAAAGCTGTATAATACGATTTCGAACGCACCGGGGAACCCAATCGTCTATCTTACGGTTCCGAGAAGACGTAAGGGGTTGAATACTGCAGTTGACCCAGGACGAACGCAGAGAGACATTATCGAGCAGATTTTGAGCCCATTCGCGGCTGAAGTGCGGCGTCTATACTTCGATCGTCTACATCCATGCTTTCCGATTTTAGACGAGAAGACCTTCTCGGATATGTGGCAAAAAGATAATGGGCGCATCTCTTCAACTCTGCTGTGCGATCTGTATGCTTCCGCTTTGTCGTTCTGGAAGTGTTCCGAATTACTTCAGAACTATCCAAGACCAGACATGCATTTCACCTGGAACCAGGCAGTGGCTGCCCTACAAGATGACTTCATGGCGCCAACAATATCAACGGTTCATGCCGCTCTGTTAGACATGGTGGGTAGGCCCGTGATACAAGTGACCGGCAACATCGTCAATGCTGGAAGAATAGCGACACTTGCACAAAGTTTAAGGGCTGCATAGAGATCCAACACTCTGGAAGGCAACGGCACATGAGAAGAGCGTGCGTATAAGACTCTGGTGGGGCGTTTTGATCCACGACTATTGGTCTAGTATTGGTCATGGCATTCCGCCGACCACCGACCCACGATACTACGACGTTCCGATTCCCACTTCTGATATGCTTGCTATGTCATTAGCTTCGGAGACTCAAAGGAGGGCAACTACATCTTTTATCAACCTTTGTAAGCTTAGTCAAATTTTGGGCGATATTCTCCCCTTCGTTTACTCGCTACAGTTGGACGTAGAGGAAGTATCGAGAAGCTTGAGAAAGACTGAGTGCGTTCTGGACGACTGGGCTATTGCGCTTCCTGAATATCTACGGCCTTACTCCTCGCTTAGTTGCACAGTCAATGGTGCCAGCAACCTTTGGTTTTCTTACCTGTCCGTCAAGGTTCTCATTTGCCGCCTGGCTTTCAAAACGACGCTTAAAAACTCAAAGCCTTCAATATCTGAAGCTCGTCAGTACCGGCTTGCTCTACTTCGGGACGCTTCTTGCGACGTAGTAGATTTGTCACCTCTCTGAGCGAGACCCAGTTACAGGAATTCTGGATGCCTTATACCTTCTACCTACTAGTCACTGCAACCACGATCCTCTTAAGGTGTACCATAGAGTGCGGTGCCATCGAGACGAAGAAAGTTTGCGCTACTAAACTAGTTCACTTCCTTGATCGGCTGCGGAGGGCGAGCGAGATCTCGGGGTGGGACCTCGCTGACTTCTGTCTTGAAAGATGTCAGGAGCCGATTCAGAGAATAGCGGACGCTTTGAAGGTCCCTGCGCAGAGTTTGCGGAGACAGACAACAGAGATCGGTCTGACGAGTGTTACATCTGAAGCAGCGGAACAAGGCCGCCTTGACACTATAGCTAATGGCTCGGCTCATATGTCTGACTTCTTCCTACCTATAGACTCGCTAGACTACCCATGGGAAACGCTTTGGGATATGTTCGAAGGACCTTGGCCAATCCAGATATGATCATTGACCAGCTAACGATAAGGGCTGGAAGCTCAAATACAATCTAAGTTCTTATTTTATATCTACAGAAGCAATCTAGCTCGTACGGCTCTACTCATCGTGATACAATCCCTCGGGCGGAGGCACGCCATACCAGACCCAGTTTGTCCTCCGGATCAGGATCAGGCATCTGGCAATAGCCATCATACCGCCACCATTGCCGACCCTGGATATCCTTCTCCTACACAGCGATATGGACCTTGTCTATGTCCGTCGCCACTGCCAACACTGCCGGGCACACCAAGAAGGTCACCACCAATGCTTTCTTGCTCATCGGGTATTGCCTGGGCAACTTCATTGGTCTATTCTTCTTCCTCGCTAAGCAGGCGCCACAGTATGAGCTGGGTGTTGGTATGATGTTCTTCTGCATTGGAATCCAGGTTGCTCTCTATTGTCGGAATCTGGGTGCTGCTTTGGGAAAGGAACAAGTCAAGGGCGTCTGCGAAGATGAACGAGAGCGATGTGATAGAGGGATATGAAATGGGTTTAAGGATTTAATAGATCTGGAGAATGTCCACTTCAAGTACGCATATTAGAGCGGTTTTGAACAGGGCAGGTCCACCTCCAGCGCTACTGTCTTTGTCCAAAAGATCGATTAAGACAACCTTGATGGGTATTATGGGGATCACGTTGTCAATTTAGAATTGACTGCTGACTTCATAACAGGGTTATTTCAAACTCGTAATTGATCAGGTGCTCGATATAGGACTATTGGAGTAAGACACTTAACGCCGAACCCAGGACATAAATTCAACCCAGAAACAATATCCACGCATCTGTTCATTAAGACTCAGTTTAGTGTAGCGTTCTAAGCGTCTGCTCGACAGCGATACCCAATCCGCCAATACCCAACACTGTCCACAGCCACTTATTACTCAGCTCATCCGCGCTCGGCCAGAAAGCATTCTTATCGGCACGGAATCGTTCAAGCTCGGCGAATTTCTCGGGCTGAGAAGCAGAATATCGACGCTCTTGATGTTTCTCCTTCTTAGCATCTCCGCCGAAGAAGCGCAAGAAGCCGTAGTTGGCAAGGGGTCCCAGCAACTCGATGGGTGCAAGCATGTCTGAGCCATAAAGCATGACGATAAAGGAGATGTGTACGAGAGCGTCACCAAGATAGCTATAGAAAGTTAGCAGGCGATCGAGTAATCCTTAGAACTAGGAGGAAACATACTTGGGGTTGCGGACAATGCTCCATACACCCTCCCTCAAAATGCCTTTGCCGCCCTCCGCCTTGTACTCGTCGAGCTGGTAGTCGGCTATAGTTTCAAGAGCTAAGCCAGCTGAGAAGAGGCCTACTGCGAACATCTGAATATGAGGGTGATAGCCCATCATCACGGCGCCTTCATGGCGGAATGGGGCAGTGAAGGGCAAGCTAATAAGCATCTGGAAGAAAGCTTCCGGGATGAACACTTTGAACAGTGCGGTGTTCCAGAAGTCGTCTTCCTTCTTGACCTCTTCGTAGCGCGGGTCGTCCTCGCCTCGCTGAATCGAGCGGCGAGCGACGCGATAGAAGAGGCGTCCGCCCCACAGCGTGACACCCGTGAGCATGACGCGCTCATGCCACGATAGACGGTTGAAAGCTTGCGATACAGTCAAGCCTGCAGCGAGGCGTCGGCCGATAGCTGACCACCAGGCATTCGCGACTTGGCCACTGGGCCATAGCCAGTCTTTGGCTTCGACCCGTTGTGTATATCGTGCTGCTCCATAGGCGATGATTGCAAGGCCAGAGTGAAGAGTGAGCGATGGGACCAGTGTGTCTTTCAGAATGCCGACATCGAACAACGAGACTGAATGCACATGGGTCTTCGAGTGTGTCTGGTCGACATAAGTACGGTTTGGTACTGCGCCGCGGGTGGAGGAGCTAGGTTGCAGGTAGAAGTCGTGAGATGGGTTATCTGCGACCTGGACGCGAACATCCGGAGGCCTAGCAGGTTCGCTCTTGGACGTGCTGAACCAGCCAGACGCCATCTTGATCAGTGTAGGAGCCTAAGAGTGAGGTTTGCTATCGCCCCAGTCGTACCGTGAGCTTTATTGCTCTGGCGGGGACTTGGAGGCTTTCCCCGCATTCTGCATGTGATGTAACGCGGGGGGGTTGGGATGGTTCGTGGCGTGTATTAGGGTGCGTTTCATTCGTCCGGCTGCAGCGGAGGACTTTCTTCCGTCATGAACGTACCATTGTAGTCCAATGAACAGGTGATATTAATAAGCTACATTTTGTTGTCGGTATCGTTGTCAGGCCGAGGGCTTCGATGGATTGCTTGTACGCGTCAAAAGAGGAGGTATGATGTCATTGGCGGGGATTTGTTCAAGAGCAAGTTTACGCGACTCTCGACGTGTATGCTTACCAACTTCATACACGTAAGGAGAGAGACAAATCAAATTATTTGGTTGAAATTTTGCCTTTGAATGATTGGGCTGTTCTTCAACCCCGTTCGAATTTAACAGCCCTTCATCATGGCTTCATCAAACAAGCCCCATGCCTTCAATCCTCCAACAGTCCCAGTACCACCTCCCACCTACGACCAGGTCTGCATCACACCAATAGTTCCAACCTCCAAACTCATCACTCTTGCTGGCCAGACTGGCCTTCGTCAAGACCAAACAATCCCATCTGATATAAAAGAACAAGCCAGAGGTGCCTACGCAGCTGTAAATAATTGCTTGAAAGCCGCCGGCGCAACACCGCGCGACATTGTACGTTATAGCAACTTCACCTTCGCTTTTAGCATTCGCTGACTTTGAATGCCTCACGTCAGATCCATGTTAGACACTATATCGTGAAGGAGACAGGAAATCCGGATCTGGATAGATCGGACGTAGTCGACCGGGGCTGGGGAGAGCTGTGGATAGAGTTCATGGATAAGGAAGGTGAAGGTCATAGACCACCAGATACGGTAGTGGGAGTCGCGAGTTTGGCCAAGAAGGCATTGTTGTATGAAGTTGAGGTTTGGGCATTGATCAGTAGCTGATCAGGATGTGTTATAACGCAGCTCAAACATTGATAGTATTTTCAGTTCGCAGATAATAGATGGGTTTTAAAAGGATTTTCAAAGCGCCTGCGCCCTAGTTAAGCTATTGCTGGTTTTTATAAAAGTACTTTAAGTGCAGAAATATTTATAATTATATTAATTCTTTTAGGATAAGCTTTAAGACAGTTGCTAACTATAGTTCTAAACTTTATTATTATTCTCCTATAGTACTATATATTAATTTTCTAATAGTTTAAGTATAACTGTTTAGAGGAATTACTTGCTCTTAAGGCCTATATAAAACTACTTTATAATTTTTATTTTTTATTTTCTGCACTATACAATAGTACAATAAATTCTTTTTTTTTTTGCTTATTTTAGTATTAATTTTTTAAATTTACTTTAGCTAGAATTACAAAAACTTTTTTTTAATAATTTTATTATAAAAAAAATTTAGCAATTTATAAAAATAAAAAAAAATATAATTATAGTATAACTTGCTTTTTTCTATTAAAATTATATAATAAGTAAAAAATTCTTATTTTTTTATACTTATTTATTAATAATAAAAGTTACGCTAAGTATTAAGCCTACTAAAGTAGCTAAAATAAAAATTTTTAACTAATTACTTGAAGGAAGGCTAAAACCGCTCAGGCAGCTATTCGATGATAAAACGACAGTACTATATACAATGAAATCCATGTGTCCATGCCAGTTTACTGTATCAAGCTATACTTCGAAAAGGCTGATATACTGCAGTGTGTTGCGAGCTGTCCAACTAATTACTTAAAAGACTAATTAATTAAATTAAATTTATAATTAATTAAATATATATAGCCCTTTTTAAACAGTCTAAAAATATAATAAAAAAATAACTAATTAGGCTGTATAGACTATAGGCGCTAAAATAATAGTAAAAGTTTAGTATTTGGTTAGATGCAAAAGCAGAAATTAAGTAACTAAAATATTATTTTTATTAAAATAGGCTAGTTAAAAAACTATAGTTAAGAGCTATAGACTACTTTAGGCAGAAGAAATTGAACGCGTACGTTGAGGAGACTTTGAGAACTTTGAGAATAGATGGGTTTTACATTATAAGTGTCTGATTTCATCCACTCTCATGTTGAATGTAGAGCTTTGCTGTAATGTGCGCCTTCGCTGACGCTGAGTCATGGCAGCTTACCCGCATGATTAATCGCCGCGCATTGGTCTGCGGACCTCCGATGTTACCACGTAACCTGCTATGCATATGGAAGATTCCCAAAGATTGAGAGATATATAACTCACTAGAGATTCCTTTAAGTTGCAAGTTGCAAAGGTGTCATTCACTATCTTAAGATGGCATCCTTCGAACCAATGTCGCCTGACCTGGTAGCGCACATCAAGTATTGCTACCAGGCCTACCGTCATACCGCAGACCTCGACAGGAAGGGCCTGTTCTTCTCCCCGACATGTCTGCAGATATGCCGACCTACACCCTCCTACGCGGCTACCACGAGGGACCAAATAGTGCAATATCTCAAGGATGCGCAGGAAGGAAATGTGCCCGTAGAAACACCCCTTTCCTCTGCTACGGAAATCTTAGACATATCGGAAACCCATGAACAACGGGAGTCCAGAACGAAGGCAAAGAGTCGAGGCGTATACACTATCCGCCCTCTACAACCTTCAGAGTACGAATTCAGTACCGACGACGTCACCGCGCCCGTTGGTTTGATCCCAGCAGAAATAAAACATACGGCCGAACAAGAGAAGTGGATAGGAATGCGTGTCGACCTGTGGAACGAAGGAGGAGACGAAGGAGGTTTGCTGGTCAAGGTTCAGTACTGGTGGCGTTTAGAAGAGATAGCAGACACTGAGCGGGTGATGGACGATGCGAAGGGGCCTGGTTGGAGGCAATGTTTGCACGATATCATGTATCTGGGCCCGAAGGATGGAACAGAGGGACATCATGGGCAAGAGGTATTGGAGTGACACATCGACGTAAGATATCTCTATGAGACTTGCTGCAAAGTCTATTCATAGAGTTCGAGTAGCTCCAGCTTTCCTTTGCCTTATTCCCGGAGTTTGCGTTCTTGAACTAAAAGGAGACTGGGATGTGTTGCTGGAATATGGCGGGGTATGTGTCGGCTACACCTGCCCACGCAACACTAGCACACCTGTCATCGCCATGTGTAACGATTGGCGAAGAGATAAAGCATACCGATATATTAGGTTTGGTATCCCCAATGATATTTGAGTCACGATCCTCCCATTCGTGTTGCATACCGATATCATGGCGCGTGCTTTGGTGTTTTTAAACATCGTCTGTATTCAAACTTTCGCGAACGCGCGCGAAATCGTCTTTCCGCCTGTAGCTGGCTACCCATCAGAGCAAACCATTCTAGGAGGCTACAATGAGAATGATGTTACTCATTCAAAATTTGCAGGACTGACGACTTACGCGAATTTGCCATATGTGCATTGCTTGGCCCCGAAGGATGATGAGATTGAGACATTTGACATTGCCATCTTAGGCGCACCATTCGATACAGTGAGTCGAGCACCACATACTCTGATATGAGCCTGAAGGCTATTCTTTCAACGAAAAGCTGATAGTTCAACAGGGTGTAACAGCGCGTCCTGGAGCTCGCTTTGGCCCGAGCGGCATACGTCAAGGATCTCGGAGAATATCTTCCGCTGCAGGTTGGAGTATTTACACAGGTACGTGTGCTGAGAATTTAAGTTTGATGTTTCTCGTCGTTCAGTGGTTACGTATGAGCTTCTGTGCACTAGTCGCTGGTCGTCTCGATATCGTTGCGAGATGTTGCCCACGTGTAACGCCCCGGTATTGTGGTGCGATCTTCTTAGCTCCCTCATATACCCCAGGAGCCAATTGCGAATTAAGTGTGTTGCGATTTTTTTTTCGGCACATTGAGATATCAAGCTCTCGACTAACGGTCTTCAGGAGAGAACGTGCTGCTCGACTGGGCTAAGATAGTTGATTGCGGAGATGCTCCCTTGACATTTCTGGTATTTGTTCCTTCGCGTCTGTTGCGAATGACTGGACTTATCTGTCTTGAAAGGATAACACTGCAGCATTAAAACAGCTTGATGAGGCCCATAGGGTTAGTGCGCAATCGATGGTTCTAAAAGATTCGCGCCTTGGCTGACTTCGGTGAATAGATCGTATCCTCCAAGACTACTAATTCAAGCGAGCACACAACGCCCAGAATCATCGTTTTAGGTGGGGATCACACTACGACCCTGTCGGCTCTGAGGTCAACCCATCAGAACTGGGGTTCAGTCAGTGTGATACATTTCGACAGCCATCTGGGTAGGTCAAGGTGTGGAAATAGAGATTCTCGCTAACTGCTCGACTCAGATACGTGGGACCCTGCTGTGCTCGGTAAGTTCGGGTACTCGATTGGAATCGTGATACTAACGTGGAATAGGTGGGGGGATCTCTCACTATGCGTAAGTTTCCTCTCTGAACACAACTAATGCATACATCGCTAAACAGTCGTACACCAGTGGGGTAAACCATGGTACGTTTCTTCATATAGCGCATGAGGAAGGCTTGATTCGCAACACATCCATCCACGCGGGTATACGAGCGCCATTGCTCCGGCCCAAAGGTGACCTAAGGAACGACCTAAGATGTGGGTTCGAAATGATTCGGGCTAGAGACATCGATCGCTACGGCGTCTCCGGTGTAATCGACAGTCTGAAGAAAAGAGTTTCCGGAACAAAAGTCTATATTAGCGTCGATATCGATGTTTTGGACCCTGCATTTGCGCCTGGTGAGTGACGGACTGTTTTCGGGTTTTCCCTTCTTGTATGGGATTGATTTTGAGCTTAATAGCGTACCACGATCCACAAAGTCGGACATGGGTAAATCACTGTGCGTAGAAGTAAAAGGACTAACGCAGCTACTGCAGCTACGGGAACTGCCGAGGTCGGAGGTTGGACCACGCGCGAGTTGTTGTCGATTATCGATGGTCTCGAGGGACTAGAAGTAGTTGGTGCGGATGTTGGTGAGTCGTTTTCCAACCTCCATATTGTTGTGCGAGTATCGAAAAGACACTGAGTAATGCTTTTTCAGTGGAAGTAGCGCCAGCCTATGATAATTCTGGTGAGACCACAGGGTTAGCCGCTGCAGAAGTAGTACTTTCGCTGATTGGATTGATGGTAAAAACCCCAATCCGGGCAGCCAAATGATGAACGAGCTATCAAGAGTCGACGTGGCTGTGGGTGATGGGTGTCGGGGCGCACCTGTGGCAAGATGGTAGTATGCCTGAGGAGGCTAGGTGTACTGAGTCCCCAATATATCTCTATAGCGAATGAAGGCCGGCTTCGTCCATCAATGTCTATATGTTGAATAAATAAGATGAAAAGGTGTGATCAATGTCTTCTGTCGGTGTCTAGGCACGGCCCGGCAAGTGGCTGGAGCGTGGCGAACCCCACCTGCCGAGGTCCGTCGATCAGAAGACATCGGGCAGCCATCCAACTCTTGTCACTTATTAATCCACGAACCCAAACACCCATCATGTCCAACGCCACAGATCAGCCAAAGAAGGAAAAGTTTGCCCCGAAAGAACCTGTATCGTTGAAACCTCCACAGGATGACGCTATCGACCGTGAATATCTTGCGAAATGTAACGGTACGGCCTGAAACAGCAACACATAGACGGAACAGCTACTAACTGCGTGGATAGGCACAAATGACGGCTATCCAACTTTGGTAGCTATCAAGGTGAGCATCTACTTCCAAGATTTGATCATGCGTTCAGTAAGAGAGCATATAATTTACCATGTTCCTAGGGAGACGTGTTCGACGTCAGTGGCAAAGAGACTTATGCACCTGGAAAAGGCTATCACGGTCCGTTGATATCCCTTCATTGCACGACATGATTTGTACTCGACTGACACTAGTTCATTTAGTCTTTGCTGGCAAGGAGCCAAACCGTGCGCTCGGCCTCTCTTCTCTCAAGCCAGAGGACTGCATATCGGACTTTTCCACGCTCTCCGATAAAGAACAACAGGTCTTGAATGACTGGCATACGTTCTTCAGCAAACGATATAACATCGTAGGCAGATTGCATTCGGAAGGTGCACCGAACCTCTAGGCACTTTATCTCCACACGCGTTGTTAGAACCACACAATTGCCTCGTCGTGAAAGTCGAATTTGGTCGATTTGGATAATTGTGTTTCCTCTAGTATCTTTCACGCATGCCAATACGCGCTGGAGGGCGAATGACCTCAATTCAATCGTACAACAATCGAAAAAGTCATTCACACAGGCCTTAGACCTTGTCTTACCATCTCATTCCTCTAGTCACTCTCAAGTTACCATTGATATCACATTTTCTAGAGCTTCACAAATGACTCCACTCGATCTGCCAATCGTGGTGCGACCTTTGATGCGGCGTAATCACAGGTGCTACTATTGGTCCGCGGCCACGGTCCACTGGGCGTCAAGCAATATACAAGGATAAATATCCTTGACCAAGTCCGCCCGGTGTTGTGATCAAGTTTAGATCAAAGAGCATGGTCTAATTCGCAGAATTTATCAACTGGTCAAGGAAGGTTATTCTTTACCTGATACTTGCTATTACTAAATAAATACAGTATTATCCGACAAGGATTAGTAAAGTTCCACGAAACAGCCCACCCAAACTTTACATGGCAGCAACCATCAATATTTGTCGAATATACGACCAAGACATATTCACCACTAAAACATGATACAATGACGCGTGAAAACTCCCAAAAAGAACAAATTCATCTCTCCCTGGGTATCAAAATAAGGCGCATCATTCAAGAACCCCATTAGAACGTGTAGTTCTGGCCCAAATCTCTTGTTGTTACTGTTGAGTTCGGTCTGATAACGCATTATCTTCCGCTGGCGACACGATATGATGACTGGACGTTTCGGGTTGCTGCCGTTCCGGTCTGGTCTCCTCTCTTTCCTTCGATGCAACTGTCGCAATCATGAGTCCTTTCGCGCTTGATGTTCCAAGCGCCAAAGCATTGATGGCCTGGGTCGTTGCGTGCGAAATGACAGTGCTGGATGAGGCGGTGCTCCGTAATCCTGCACTTTCCGCAGTTGATCCTCTCGTAATAACACATGTTGATGTAGATGAAGATCCAATAAACGATTTGTAGAACCGAGTAGTCCAGACTATGTCAACTGTCAGCTCATCATCATATTGAAGAGGCGCCAACGTACTCTGCGAGCAAGAGCCAAGGTCTGGTACACAAGAGATGACGTTTGTAAATGTTTACCACTATGGCTACTCCGCTAACGACCTGATGGTGTACAAAGGCTGAGAAGATATAGAGAGATTCTGGGGAACTTTGGAGACTCCACATCCAAGGCGCATTGGCAACCTTTATATACGGCAGGCCCACATTCCTCCAGCCAGCATCTGCCCCTCTCAAATATTTCTTCAACCGCGCTTCCCTGGATCTATACTGGTTCTGTCGACCCATTCGAGCTCATGCATATCGCCACGGACTGCGTTGTAACACACTGATTGCTGTTTCTGCAAGCTTCTAGTTATCACAAATTTGCCCCACAGTTCCACTATTTGGGCTACACCTAGCTCTTATCATCTGTATCTCGCTTGGTAAAGCTTGAAGTATCGGCAATGTTGACAATAGGGAGCCAGGAAACGGCAAAAATCAGCTTAGGGAGATTCAGTTAGGGCCGTCACCTGCACACAACGAGGTCCTGAATCGAATGTGAGACCCCCCTACTATTTTTTGCATTCCTTGGGCATCTCCTCGTAGGTTGGGCACCCTGGACATGAGCATTTATTTTCACGACGCACCACATGCTAGCTAGCAGCCGTTGGTACCCAGGACCAAGCCAGCGCCCTTCCGCGGCTACGGTCCATCATGCATGATTCTTGATCAACATCACCAAGAGCTACAAAGATCTCGTCACTCCAACCATGAAGTATGTTGCTTGTATCCGGTACTGTGCTGCTCCCTCTATTTCACCATTGGCCAACGGTTCCGAAATCGGCTCTTACAATACCCAGGATTTGCAGAGAGCTCTCCGAGCTGCACAATTTTTCCTTCTCAATACCCAGGCTGCATGCCTAGGATTTAGTTTCCTTACATGGAAGTAGCTGGGGAGTATACGGATGCGATGAATCGCTTTTCAATGATTCGCAAACATTTATCTGCAGCCTAATGCAGCCCCCTGCATACACGGCTTCCTTCACCACAACTCAGCATTTCGTCCTGTCTGAATGGCGCAAACTACTGCGTGCTATGTATTGTTTGCTGGTGATTCCTACTATGAGTAGCACATCCCTTGTTCCACTGATGCAGAAATGTCCCTTTCCGACATTGGAGAGACGGTAGATCATAGTCGTTAGTATGCCTATATCTCTCCTGACACACCAGCATCAGGGCCGCTTCCCCACATAACTCTTCCTATTTACTGTTTAAAAGAAGCTGTTTGTGCTGAATAACAGTAGTCTCTGCTCAGAATAATGCGGGAATACTTCATTGGAATCACAGCCAATTTAGTATATTTTACGGTCGTCTTCTAAATATACGTAAGATTCATGAATAGATGCACAGTCTCTATCTTTGCAACTGACTTACTCGCTGATAAATGAACAGAACATTTGATTTGCTAATACTGACACGATAGAGATTGCTTGGTGGGACCAAAAGTTTTCGAGTCCTTGCTCACTGATGAGTAACCAGTTGGTTTCACGACGGAATTCCTCCAGGTGTTATAGGCAGTCGTGACTCGTGTACACCTTGATCCTGGCCTATCCCCTTCTACCTGCGTTTTTTTTTAGATTGATCTATGTACACTCAAGTTCCGCTTCCAGTTTTGAGTGACTTGTCACGCGATGGTTGAACATGACCCAGCATCTATATTTATTAGTTAGGAAATCCATGCTGTGTCGGTGTCAGAGTCCCTCTACATTACAGAGACTCACGGCCAAGCTCTTCAAGAAGTCTAACACTCTCACGGTTGATCTCGGGTACGATTTCTTACACTAGACTACACTAAGTAATGCAGAGCCGCACGCGTCGATTTGATGTGAATGAAGCTCCACACAAGATGTGCACTGTGACACCTAGATCCTCTCTCGATCCCATCTTGACCATCTGCATCCTTGGCAACCCGGCAATCGCATGGGGTGGAGAATCGACCTCAAGAGTAGGATACCGAACTGGCGGTTTCAACGGCAACAGGTCTAGAGCTATACTACTTACAGCGTTATTGGCAGCGATATCTCTCGAACACAACATTTACCATATAATTGTTCTCAGCGCGGGGAAACGGTCAAGGAACCGGTATAGCAAACGTCATAGCGTGGGGAGTGTGATCAGTAACACCCCACGGTGTCTACAAGCGTCCCGTCCCCGCAGACATTGTCCTACCTGAGTCCAAATCGACAACTTCCCACCCCAGTTCGGCCACGCAACGCGGCAGAATACAGAATACCAATGTCTTACGAATGCAAGCACGAGCAGAGATCGCATAACGAAACTATACTAAGAACTAAGGGGCTTGGAGGCAGAACTAGGAACAGATACGCATGGCGCCGCGGATGGCGCCGCGGATCTCGAGTTTGTTGTAACAGACGAGCCACTGACTCTAGACGTAGAGCGCCTAGTGTGGGCAAATTTGACAAGGAGTTAGTGGACTGACTCGGCGTGTCACCTGCAATCGAGCAAGCAGTTCGTGCATATACGACGTCGAATGAGACCGACTTAAGTAGTGACCACGCACGAACTCAAATTTGAGCTCGCAACCCTAAAGCTGGTTAAGTGCAACTTACTCATTCGCTCCTCCTTAGAGAAAAACTTCTTTTGTGCACAGCAAACGGATTTCAACTAATTCCTTGACTTTTAATATGCTCGGTGAGTCAATGTACTGATGTAACGATACATGAATTATGAACTATGAATTTTGAATCATGAATAGGGTTATACGGCACCTACCGCTAGGCTCCCGGATGCAGAAAGCAGCGGATATCTTTCCATCCCACTTTTGTTTTGTTCTGCATGGTGGCTTAGTTGAAATAGGGCCGACAAACATGGTGGCGTTCGGGTCGGCTCGACCTCCCCGTTTTCGTTGTTCGTCACTTTCTCGCATTCTCTAACTACACATCACCACCAACCACATTGACTGCCGTAGCACCATTCCGAAGCGGTCAAGTTTGCTGAAACATCAGAAGAACATGAACTTTTTCTTTTGTGATGTACGCCACAAGAACGCCCTCGCTATATGCTACTACACAGACAGGATTATGCCTTGCTAGCCTTCTTCGCTTTCCTAGCTTGCCTCTTCTTCGCAATGATTCTCGTCCTCTGTGCCAGCTTGCCCTGATCCTTGTCCTTCGCACCGGCATGTCCGTCCTCTTCCGCGCCCGAACCCTGGCCACTCTTCCCGCTTCCCTTGCCCTTGCCAGCCTTTAGCTGCGCACCCGAAGAGGCTCTAGACGTAGCACTAGAATCACGCTTTCGCTTCTTTGACTCGCTGTTCGCTGCCTTGGCGTCGGTGGGAGGCTCGCGGGCCTTGTCTTCGCGGTCTGAGCGTCTACTTACCACATTCGCGTTTTCGATCGCAAACTCGACAATCAAACGTTTCCGTTTATCCTCCAGGGCCTCCTTTGCCTTCGACTTATTCTTTGGTGTCTCTCCCTTAATCTTATAGTCTACTGCATGCCCGTTCAACCACCTCAACCCCATAAGCGCACTGCGATGCGTGTAATACTCAATAAACCCATATCCTCTGCTCCTCCCTGCGCCTGTATCTTCAGCAACTTTACTACCTGCTGGGGTCTCGAAGACGATTTTAGCTTGCTTGACGATACCCTTTCCCTTCTTTTTACGCATTTTTTCTGCAACGAGCATTTCTTGGCCGCCGCGGATGACTTCTTCCCTGTTAAGCTTCGAGCGCTTACCGGCTTTGACGTCGGCAGCGAAACCGACAACGGCACTACGGGCGAGTTGTTTGAGGTCTTTTGAGGTGATGCTGCGGGGTATGTTGCGGATAGACAGACGGGTTAACGACAAATGGAGGGAAGGGTTTTCTTGAATCTGCTTGCGACGCATGGTTGCGCTTTCTTCGCGCATTTTGACTTCCGAGGGTGAGAGTTTCTGGTACAGAGGCGAGTTGGAGGCGATAGTTCCTTCGGAGAGGAGATACAGGCGGCGCTTGTCTTTGTCGCGGCTGAAGCGCGATGCGGCGCCTTCTGCTGTTAAACGGGTGGCTTCATTCTTGTCGACCGCGCGGCTGAGTTGCAGGATGCGACCATCGAGAGTATAACTGCCCGTAGGGTCGGCGTCTTCGTCTTCAAGAACGGAGTGCGTGACGGTTATTGTTGATCCATCCTTCTTGTCGAGGTTCTTTTTTTGCAGCTTGACGCGGGGGACGCCCTTGAGGCAGTTGATCATGTCCTCTTCCGCGAAGAAGGAGACAAAGCCTGTGCCCTTGGGTCGCTCTGTTTCGCGGTCGACAACGACACGAGCGAAGCGGACTCCGCCGAATTGCTTGAAGTGTTCCATTAACTTTTCGTCGTCGACTGTGAAGGGCAAGTTGCGAATGAAGACTGTGTATTCCTCTCGTTTCGGCCTGTCGTCTTGAAGCGGAACACCACCTTCTTCGTCATCATCGGAGACGTCTTCGTAATCCGTGTTGCTGTCGTCTACATCCTCGTCGTCCTCGCTGCCGTCCGCTTCTGAGTCTTCATCTGAGCTGACCGCAGAGCTTTCAACATCGTCCATGTCGTCATCCTCCGCCGTGGCTCCCGACTCTCCTGCATCCTCGGTCTTCTGCAGACCCTGCCATGTGTCCCTGTCCACAGCCCAATCTACTGCGATTGGCCTCTCGTCAATCTCCTTGCCATTCAGCTCTCGTATCGCCTTCTCTGCGTTCTTCTTGCCTCGCAGCGAGACGAAGCCAAATCCCCTCAATTCACCATTTGGCTTCTTGGGCAAATTGACAAAGTTGACCTTGCCATAGCTTCTGAACAGCTTTTGCAGATCCTCGGGCGTCTTGACTGTCCACGGCAGGTTTCTTACAATCAGCTTCGGCGTCTGCGCATCTTTGATCTGCTGCTCGCGCTCTGCCTTGATCCTGTCACCAGCCTTGACCGTGACTTTCTCGCCCTCACGCTGCCTAGCCTCGGCAGTATCGATGCGAATCTTCTTGCCCTTAAGCTCTGTGCCATTCAGCTCTTCCTTGGCTCTCTGTGCATCCTCAACGTCGGCAAAGGTGACGAAACCGTAGCCTTTGGACTCGCGGGTTTCCTTGTCCAGAACAACGACGGCAGTCTTGATGGGATATGATTCGGAGAAGTAGTCGGTTAGATCTTGGGTCGTGACGGCTGTCGCAAGACCGCGAATGAAGAGCTGTCTGCGCCCAGCTTCTTTCGGCGTCGCGGTAGCGGTAGTGGAAGTGGAGGGCTGTTCGGCGTCAGCGACAGCGACAGCGGTGACTGCTTCTGCGCCGTCGACTGAGAGACGCTGGCGTTTTCTACGAGGTGCCATTGCAGTAGAAGTATGGGATATATGCCTTTTGACTTGGCATTCACTTTCTCGATATGTTCGAAAAAAAGTTCCAACCCCGGCAGTCGGTTCTGCCGCTCCGGGTCTTGGCAATACTAGTCGGTCCGGCCTGTCAATCACTTCATTCGCATTCGTCGTATGCTTGCGAGACAGTCGACGCCTTGCACGCATCGTCTGGGCCTATTGGCCTCCCAAATCGCGCCCTCCACCATGCAGTTCTGGCTATCTCGCTGCTTTCTGTTCGCACCTGAAGTCGTATCGATGGTGACGAACGTGATTATATGAGTACGCCATATGGGAGAATCCTTGGGAACAATCAAGCTTCTCATGCCTCTGAGAGCTTTACGCACCCTGTTAACCTCGGAGCTTAGAAGCTACTCGTACATATGTGAAGATGATGATGCTATATCACTTTCTGTTTCCACGGAAGCCCCTTTCCATTGCGCTCGCCACGGTCTCATTAGCTCCACATGCCACGCTAAGATCTCGGTGTCTCTCAAGATCTCACCACATATCTACGCTTCTGATCAGATCGTGTCCAATACACGACTCGGCATCAACTCCGCACATGCAGACCCTGTCTCAGCCCTAGACCATCATCAAAACTGGCCAAGCGCTTGCCGCATTTCGCTTAGCTGTTACCAAACCTGGCGGAATGTATACCTGACGTAGTGCAAGCTGAGTCCTCGTCCACAACACGCACGCTGTATCACATCGACGGCGTGAACGAGGCGTCAAAGAACGGATCAAACGCCGTTGGACCTGCACTTCGTATCTAGGCACAAGGACTTAAGGTCATGGGTATCCGTGGAGGCGAACGAAAGTGAACCACTCTTGAACTCGAACTCTGAGTTTACTTCTTTTTTGTATACAAGACTTTACTTTCGGAGAGGCGCACTTTACTATGCTGTCTACGCTGACACACGACGAGGAAGAAAAGGCGACTAACCTTAACCACCACCCATCCAATGGACCTCAACTTCTGGCAGATGCGTTTGGAGAGGAGGGACTTACCATATATGAGAAGAAATGTGTCCTCGTCAATCGGGAGATCGATGCTATGGGAATGGGGCGATATCAATGGTCACTATGGGTGTTGTGCGGCTTTGGATACATGATCGACCTGATGTGGGCGCAGGCTTTTGGCATGATACTGCCTCCTTTGCAGCAAGAGCTCGGAAACAGCATGGATCAGACTGGTAACCTTTCGACCACGTTTACTGCTGGGCTCACAGCTGGCGCACTTGTTTGGGGCCTCCTAGTTGATGTCATCGGCCGACAGTGGGTGTTCAACCTAACGGTCTTTATTGCCAGCGCCTTTGGCCTTTGCATTGGGGCTCCGAGCACCTACACAGCCATCCTTGTTCTTATAGCTTTCACCGGATTTGGCGTAGGTGGTAATATTCCTATCGACACAACTATAGCCCTCGAATTCACGCCGCAGAGCAAGCGCTACCTACTTCCGCTGCTTTCGATATTTCAACCTATTGGCGTCGTCATATGCAGCGTCATTGCATACGTCTTCATTCCCAACTACTCCTGCAACCCAAATTTCTCGGAGGCCAATCCCTTGCCAGCTTGTAACGCCGTCGCCTCAGGCAAGCCCTGTTGCACAAAGGCTAGCAACATGGGATGGCGGTATCTACTTTTCACGTTAGGTGGAATCACGCTCCTCATATTCTTCCTCCGTTTCATAGTCTTCCAGTTTCAGGAAACGCCGGAATTCCTGCTGTGTCGTGGCAAGGATGCCAAAGCGATCGAGGTGCTGCAATATGTCGCGAAGTACAATAAACGGACTTGCGCGTTGACGCTGGAAATGCTAGAGTCATTAGAACGCGATTCTAATTCTACCAGCAGTAACAGGCCTGTACTTGGAGGCGGCGCAAAGCAGTTAAAGACTACATGGACCGAAAAGCTCAAGTTAGAGGGCGATAGATTCAAGATGTTGTTCTCAAGCTTGCAGATGACACGCTTGACTCTGCTTATTTGGGTGACGTATATCTGCGATTATTGGGGTTTTACCATCGCGGGTAAGTAACCACTCCAGCATATATGTACAATACTTACGTGATGCAAGGCACCTACCTCCCCCTGATCTTGGCCCTCAAGAACGGAGTCCTGCACTTGTCGCTCCGCTTTACCTACCGCTCTTATATCTACATATACACTCCTGGCATTGTCGGCGTGCTCCTTGGCACGCTATCCTACCGTGCACCGCGCATAGGCCGCAAATGGACCATGGTAGTCTCCGCTGCGTTGAGGGGCGTGGCGGTTTTCTTATTCAGTAGCATTGACTCCGCGGCTTCCAATATCGGCTTCAACGTCATGGAGAACTTCTGCCAGTCTATTTTCAATTCAGTCCTGTATGGATGGACGCCAGAGGCTTTTCCAGCGCCAATCAGAGGCACAGCATGTGGCCTCGCGAATTTCTGGGGGAGACTATTTAGTATTGTGAGTCCCGTTCTTGCGGAGCGTTTGTATACTAGCGGCAGGGGGGAGGACGATATCAATGGTGTGCTATATCTGGCCGGGGGTGTGACGCTAGGATGTGTTATAACAACTGTCCTTCTGCCGAGCAAGCCTGTGGGTAGACAAGTATCGTAAGGGTCTTACCAACGTACATTAACTCATTCTGCATTCTGTCTAAACTAAGATTATTGTTGGATGCTACGTTGATGCTTTGTTCCCAGTATGAAAGCTGATCAACATTTCGCTTAAGACGTACACTATAGGACCAAGTGTTTTGCTGATTGCGTTGGCTAAAGTATTTGTTTACCTCCACCTAAGCAAGCTCTCGCATTTCAGCTCGAGCCTTTGGTTGCGATGTGTTTCTGCAGCCGCGGGCTATCACAGTACAACAAGAGCTGCAAAGTGTCAGATACCCACCACTCGCCTAGAACAGCAACCCAACAATATAATACAGCCCATGTGTACAAGCCCCAAAAAAAAGGATGGCGATGACGATGGGGAGATCATGGTGCTTGCTGAAAACCGTTAGCGCAACAAGAAAAGTCTAGTGTGGTTAGTGGCTCGGCTAGCGTTTTTCCGTACGCCGCTCCCACAGATGCGCACCTCGACGCCAAAATCGACAACAACCTCATTTCGACACCGCTAACCCGCAGCAACCCTCAAGATGAAGTACATGTACGTCTACCTTCCGACTACGAGTCACAGCTCGGCGCATTACACCATCCTATCCCTCGAACTTTCAAACCGGAGGCATTCGCAAGCCGCGTTCGATCGCACGAAACGCACATCCTTTGGATGATCAGGAACTTAACTGACGATTACACTACAGCCACTCCGAGGAATTGCTCGAAATCCCCGAGGGGGTCAAGGTCGCCATCAAGACCAGGAATGTCGTCGTTGAGGGTGAGTGCGCAATTGCACAAGGAAGCATGCGGGAGTGAGACTGACATATCTTCACAGGTCCCCGAGTACGTCAACTGCGATAATTCGACGGGAACTGTACTCATATCTCGTAGGGCAAGCTTACAAAGTCTCTCGGTCACTTGGCGGTCAGCTTCACGCACGTACGTTGGAATCGAAATCTAACATTGGGGACAAGGACTAAGAATGGAACAGCCCAAGAAGGATCTCATCAAGATTGAGCTCCACCACGGATCCCGCAAGAGCGTCGCTACTCTCCGCACTGTCCGAACTCTCATTGTACGTCGCACACCACGCAATACGAGCCAGCAACATGCGCACGGGAGAAGGGGCTTGGCTGACTAGGAGCAGAACAACTTGATCATCGGTGTCACCAAGGGATTCAAGTACAAGTGAGTCTGAGTGAAGTAAAAAAGGGAGGAGGCACATGCTAACATTTACTCAGGATGCGATACGTCTATGCCCAGTATGTCTACCCACGCGCACATCTCGATTTCCGTCCAACAGATCCTTGTCTACACATTTTTTTGCCTGTCGCGGCTTGCCTACACCTTTCTTGTTGATCGCAAGACGCAAAATGCAACCATTTCGCCCACAAGAAGGTTTTGGGCAAGTCGGTTCCGACGCATGACAGTCAACGACGAGTGACCCTACCGAACGCCAGTTTCTATACTTACATTATATTTAGTTTCCCCATCAACGTCAACATCGAGAAGAACAAGGAGACGGATCAGTTCGAGGTTGAGATCAGGAACTTCATCGGCGAGAAGCTTGTACGAAGGGTCGTCATGAGGCCTGGTGTCGACGTTGAGGCCTCAAAGAACCAGAAGGATGAGCTCCAACTCTCCGGAAACGTATGCTTTCCCCTATAACTATTTTTTCGAACGCCGCTAACTAGTTCACAGAGCCTCGAGGACGTCTCCCAGAGCGCCGCCGACATCCAGCAAATTTGCAAGGTCCGCAACAAGGATATCCGAAAGTTCTTGGACGGTCTGTACGTGTCGGAGCGGGGCAACATTGTTGAGGCCGCATAGGCGATCTAGAGGAGTACGGGTTTTCTTATGGGGATATGAGCAACTATGAGCTTCTCTGCATCACATCTGCGGTCGGCGCCTTGGGGGTTTAAGCTCAAAAACGATGTTCAATACCAACACCACCATTGACCTGATGGAACTGTACGTTCACGATGAATGAACTAATGCTGTTCGACTCTGTGAAAATCTCTTGGTGCTTGAAATCAAAGTTCCAGTTCATTATGCCGTTGTAAAAGCAGTCATGGCTCGGGTCTTGCTGCCCCTGCACCCGTACTATCAACACGTTCTCGAAAGGCAAAATATTGAGCCGCGGAAGGCTACCTCAGCAGAACAGAATTGCAATGAATGACGCATGTTCCGTACGGGACGTGTGGTTACACCCCGCATCGCTCACACTGTTGCCACCGGCAATGGCATTATCGCCGCAAAATCCGCATTCGGCGGTCATTCTTCCGTGGCTGCTTCCTAATCCAAAGTAAGATGAGCTGGGCATGCAGCTTATAAGAGATGGAGAGCCCAGATGGTAGATGGTTTGAACCTATTCCATTCACTACCCCGCCTTAAGCTCAGAGCACCCCACTACTAACGAGATCGAGACCATGGCAGACAAACTAGACATTGAGGGCCTCTTGAAGGAATCGAAAGCTGAATACAGACGGCTAGGAAAGAGTGGGTTAAAAGTCTCAGTACCCATTCTGGGTGCTATGAGCATTGGCAGCAGTGCTTGGCAACCCTGGGTAATTGAAGAGGACGAAGCATTGCCGCTGCTGAAGGCGGCATATGATCGTGGGCTCACAACGTGGGATACTGGTAGGCTACATCCCAACATGACCTGGTCGTAAAAACGTACTAACCTTTCGAAAGCCAACGTTTACTCCAACGGCGTCTCGGAAGAAATCATCGGCAAAGCCATCAAGAAGTACTCGCTCCCTCGCCACAAACTCGTCATTCTCACAAAATGCTTCGGCTACGTTGGGGAGGATCCGGGCCTGCGCACCATCAACTATGGCAATGAGTTGCCAAAACTCAGTGACTATACTAACCAAGGGGGCCTGTCGCGACAAGCCATCTTTAACGCCGTCAATGCCTCCCTCAAGCGTCTTGATCTCGAATATATCGACCTTTTGCAGATTCACCGATTCGATGCGAACACGCCGATCGAGGAGACGATGGAAGCCCTGCATGATTTGGTGAAGACTGGAAAGGTCCGATACATTGGAGCAAGTAGCATGTGGGCTGTGCAGTTCGCGCAGATGCAGTTTGTGGCAGAGAAGCATGGATGGACCAAGTTCGTGAGCATGCAGAACCAGTACAATCTACTGTACCGTGAGGAAGAGCGCGAGATGAATAGGTTCTGTAACGATACTGGCGTTGGGCTCATACCCGTAAGTCCTCGACGCGTGTGCTCTATTTGAGGAATATTCAGTTCTAATGGACAACGACGCACAGTGGGCACCTCTCTGCCGTGGTAATCTTGCACGTCCCGCTTCCGCTTTCGGTAGCACCACGCGTTCCGAGGGGGAGCAGAAGGTGAGCAACGGTCTTCCTGGTCGTGCCGACAACGACAAGAAGATCATTGAGCGCGTAGAGGAGCTGGCAAAGAAACGTGACTGGAAGATGAGCCACGTGGCACTGGCGTGGATCAATAAGCGCGTCTCAAGTCCGATCATTGGGTTCTCGAGTGCGGCGAGGATGGATGAAGCATTGGAGGCGAGGGGCAAGGAGCTGACGGAGGAGGAGGAGAAGTATCTTGAAGAGCTGTACGTGCCGGTGAAGATTACGGGGCATTCGTAGGGCGTCTGCTACTACACGTTCACTAGACGGAGAGCAGGCTGGAGATGATGGAATTGGCTAGGTGGAATAGATGTGGAGCTTTGAGCTAGAATCAAAATTCCTTGAGCTACTATTTCTTTCTTTTTAATTGTTGGAAAGTAAAGTCTTGAGCTACACTATATTAGGCCTGTTCTCTAATAAGTAGCATGGCCGGCGGTACTGGAATGCCATCTCGCGCCATGGAACGCCTGCTGGTCCAATATCAGCTCACTAAGCAAATATGCACCCTGATTCCGACATTCAGTGGCCCTTGTAGTTACCAAGTGGATACTGGAAACGAATCCATGGGGCCCTGGGGCCGGTCCAGCTCGGAGCCAGCGGACATGTGAGCTGAAATATAGCTATACGCGTTGATGTGCTGTTTGCTCCATGACTAATGACGTAGGCGAGGTCGCGTGAGATCACCCCATTGATGTGCCTCGAGCTTCACGACAAAGAAGAGAGCCTACGAAGAGGCGCTCAAACTGATCAAAACAACGCGCAAGAGGCTCAATTGCTAGCATATATGGTGCCGCAGCTCACTTTATCATGGTATACTTGCTCACCGGACGTGGCGTTCGCACCTTCCCCGCATTCTGGGCGTGCCTCCCCGCATTGGGTTCATACGTTCGCGTCCGCCGCCGATTGGATTGGACCATCCATGGTGTGCTGATCAAGTGACTGTCTCCTGTGCTTCCACCCCGATAGGTAGAGTGAGCCCCCTCATAAGCTGCCTGTCGCCCTCGCTCTCCCTTCTTCTCTTCCTCACACACTGCCCTGTGCCTCATCGTCCCTCACACCCAATCCCAGCCTCAGACATAGCTCGCCAACTCACCAAAGCTCTTTCATTGTCCACACCACCTCCAGCCTACCAGTACCTCTATTGCCCCTCCCTGCTGTCAACCCCCACCACAATGGCAGCCGCAGTAGACGAATCGCTCGAGAAGGTCGACTCTCTAGTCGAGGACCCCAATCATGGAACCAAGAAGCCACACGGCCGTAGAGCCAGCTCCATGGCCGCCGATGTCTACAACATCGAAGACCTGGGTGAGTGCCCCTTGCTGACAATGGCCCAGCTGAGGGGTTGTGCGTGAGGGGCAGGTGGGGCTAACAGCACACCAGAGAAGGAAAACAAGGAGATCAAGATCTCAATCGAGACGCAAAAGCTCGGCTGGTACGTGAATGCTCTTCTCGTCTTGACATGTACATGGCCCGTAGTCGTCGCGTCGTCACCTCGCCGTCACCTGCATCGCGTCGGGCCAGCTTCAATGCATCAAGACAATGCTGACGCACCGGCCACACAGGAAGCTGAACGCTTCGTCTTCGGCTGTCGAGGATCCAGCAGTCCTAAAACTGCCCCTCACCGACCCCAAGCTCAAGAAAATCACGCTGCACTTCCCGCTCGGACTTGAAGTCACAGCACGGAACCTCAAGGGCGTTACCATCAAGGATGCGCTAGATGCCATCCACAAGCAGTTCAAGAAGCGCGTACGTATCCCTATTGTTTGTTTTCCTTTGCCCTGGCGACAGTGTGTCGCCGATGTTTCTGGAACATCCCTCGCCATCTGGATATTGTGAGCCCTTAGCAGCGCTGACCCGCTCCACAGGCAGACGACGAGTTAGACCGGCCCTACCTAGCTGGCTTCGAGTGGGATCCAGAAGACTGCTACACGCGCTTCATCGTCCATCAGGCCAACCAGCCAACTTCAAGCATGTCCGGCGCCCCAGGCGGCGGTAAGAAGAAGAAGAAGGCCGCCGCCGCTGCTGCGGAAGGCTCCTAGTGAGCAACTCGCCCCTTCCCAGACTTCGACTTCACACACGGCCCCGGTTATAGTCCATGCTTCGGCATGGGATATGGATATGCAGCTGGGTGCTGGTCAATCTACATATCAGCATGGGAAGAGCGAGCGCGTTCGCTACGATGGCATGCTCGGCATACTGTGAGCCTTTGAGGCGAGTGGTGTGCTGACTGTGGTTCTCGGGCGGTAGATGTGCGTCGTGGATTCGTCGAGTGTTGCTCGCCGGGCGCAATGGCAGCACCCGTTATGTATGCTAAAGGAACTCATTCGGGCTGCTGGATAGCGTCTGCACAATGAGAAGACCCGATAAACCGAGAAACTGTCTACGAATGTTGCTGTGATGTGGTGAAGGTCTCTGGCGCTGACTGATGTGGACCCACTCTGGGCAGCTTTTCGAGCCAAGACAGACTGGGCGCGACTTAGCGAGTGCACGATACGGTCCCCGCGGCCTTCAATCGTTCATTCTATCCATCATTTCGTCGCTTGAGGTTTTCCTCTTTAGTGTACATGACTCTCAACATCACCTCCAGCTACAAACTAACAGAGGTACTTGTTATGCCAGACGCTTTCTGTTTCGCACACCATGCCGCGGGCGCTGCATGACAGCCTGAAGAAGCTCGCTTGAGCGCCCTATGAAGAGCGGTGGAGGGGCATGCTTGCATCAGGTAGGTAGCCGCTAAATAGCTGCAGGTGTAGGTGTTTCACTACGTCTGGCCCATTCCTCTTCACTCTTCAATCACCTGTGACACTCGCACGATGCAGCGTCGATTTTTCCGCTTTCTTTGCAGCTAATGACCGCTCTTCGCATACTCGATTAGCCTGTAGGGCTCCAACACCTCCTACCCTTGTCCGCTAGTCCACGACCGAAACACAAAGACAAATAACCATAATTAAAACAACCGAAGGGTAGTGAGACCTTGAAGATGTTTTCGAATCTTCAGATACGGCCCGCAAAGCCACACCGCCGGAAACGAAGCATGGTGGCTAAGGCTGGAGTGACGAAGCGTCGAGTCTCAAATGTTACGCCAGCAAGTGCCAGCAACGTGCCATCGATGAGCCTTATGGAAGATCTGTTTGGCGACGAGTTCCCGGAGGCTTTTGCAACCAGTAGCGGTTATGCAGCGAGGAGCTCCAAGAGGGTGACAGATTTACCAGCCGAGCTACTCGCAATGATCTGTGAGCATCTCTCCAATCTAGATATCAAGAGATTGCGACTCGCTGGTAAACACTTGGCGAAAAATGTTGGTCTACGCATAGATCGCATCTATATCTCACCGAACCGTGCAAATCTGGACTGCCTGCAGAGGATACTAGATCATCCCAGATATAGGAACGATGTTGGGGAGATTGTCTGGGACGATGCACAACTCGAGGAGTATCCCACATTGGACAGCTTTCGTCACGCGATAGGGATCGACGAAGTAAAAACAACAATCGATATCGAGAACCGCCTTGACGAAGCCATTCGAGGCCATGAAGATGACAGTCCCGAGTACCGTGCACTAGAACGTGACGACTTCTTCTCATCGAACGGACAACTGACGGAAGTTGGCAAGGGCATCTTGCTGCGTTACGACGACCAATTTTCCAGAGATATCATTGCTCGCAGCACAACGGTCATGAGCATTGAACAAAGCTATAATCTCTACCAGCGCCTATACCAGGAAGAGCAGGAGATCATGGAGCAACAATTAGACGTTGCTGCCCTCCACCGGGCGATAGCAGGATTCCCCAAAATGAAGAGAATTACATTGACCAGCGAGGTCTGGCGGCCATGGAAGCTTTATCCTCTGTACGATACACCATTTTATCGATCGCTGCCGCCTGGTTTTCGCAAACCCTCCGTCTGGCCCTGGCTCGGTTTTCGACAACAAGCTACGTCTGTACAAGCCGCGCACCGCGATGAGGTCATGTCAACGCGGAATATCGAACGGCTTTCAATAGAGTTCAGAGGGTACAGCATCATTGTATCCACATTACTCGCTATCCCAAACCCCAAGATTGAGGAGATAATCATCGATGCTGGGAACGAATACACCGGCATCAGCCACCAGCTCTTCGCCTCCCCCAACTCGGACTTCGAAGCAACAGTCCGCATGTTTCAACTTGTTCCTCTTAAGGGACTCCAGCTGGTCATCAACCCGTATTGCTCCGATAGTAACCCCGATTCGCTCTTTGCTTCGGGTCTCCTCAAGCGCGCGTTAGCAGAGGCGCAGTTTCTAGAGCACTTCGACTTCAATCCGCACTGGCTCCCTCGTACCTACCGACATGAAACTCTTGACTTGTCCTTTGGCCCAAATGAGGTTCTCCCCGAAGCCACGATCAAGAGACTGACCACCTTCGCGCTGAGAAACGTATCAGTAAAAGAGAACGATTTAGAAGACCTGCTGAAAGAGATGGAGAACGTCGAGCACGTAACGCTAGACAATATCCATCTAAAGAATTCCGCGTTTCTACACCACCAGCCCGATCCGAGTTGGGTTCAGCTCTTCCACCGGCTGCAATCGTACTATGCTGCATCGCCTATGGTCTCACACCCTCGGTTTGCATGGATTGAACCGACATACTACGGCAGGAATTATTTTGTGGACGAGGAGATTGGTGATTTTTTGTATCGGGGCGCTGAGTGCCCGTTTGAAAATGGGTTACAGCGGCCACTGAAGGAGGGGGTGGGTTGGTTTGTGGATGAGCGGGATAAAGGCTTCAAGGTCAGGCGGCTGGTGGGAGTAGAGGGATGGTAAAGGGGCTAAGAAGCGCCTACGCGCCAGGAAGTATATATGAAACTAGTGCTAGGCTGTCGGTGTATTTTGACAGCGTAGAATTTTGTAGTATGTGTTGTGGCTTAGGATAGGATATTGTACTGTACTGTTCATTGTTGCAACACCACTTCTACGATTTTGCAGAAAGCTCTCCGAGCTTTACAACTTTTTCTTCTCCCACCGTAGAAAACAGCATAAGGAGAGAAAAGAGGTCCACGTCAGGCAAAGGATTAGGCGGACGAAATTTACTCCTTCTGCCAAGTTTGCAACTGGCTTACGTAGCGCTACACTGAATATAGCCTCATTCTGTCGACGGGAATAAGCACTAGCGAGTTACGCCCCATGGCAGCACCAAAACTCGCCCTTCTCTGTTACTATTTAAGAACCCGCTCGCGCTGCCGTTGGCTTTACATTTAAGAACCAAGAAATCACTAGTCAAGACCCACGCTAGTTCTTTCGTAAAACAGCTCCAATTCGTCCACCAAACCTTCAAAATGAGTGATAAACATGGAACAGCCATCGAACACTTCGACAATCTTTCCACAAAGTACGAAGTATTGACTGGAGGCTGTACGCGTGAGCTTGCCCGCTACCTCATCGGCATAGCCCCCTCTTTTGCAGCAGACTCCAAAGTTCTCGACAATGCGTGCGGCAACGGAATCGTCGCTCAAGAGATCTTGTCCAAGAATCCCAATGTGCCTCTCAGCATCGCCTGCACAGACGGTGCATCCGGGATGGTAGACCTAGCACGCCATGCAGTCCAAGTGACGAAATCAGCGGTGACCCTTTCCTTCGACGTCGTGCCAGGCGAAAATCTTACCTTCCCGGACGATCACTTCACACACTCGATCACGAATCAGGGTATCCTATTTTTCAAAGATGGTGTAAAAGGCGCCCAGGGGATATACCGCACGCTCAAGCCAGGGGGAATTGCTATAGTTACGACATGGAAGGATTTGGGCTATATGAAGCCCATCCACCAAGCGCAGAAAGTCGTCAAGCCCGACGCTGCCCTGTTCCGTATCCCGATTTCCGAAGACTGGTTCTCCGCCGCGTATCTTGAGAAGACGTTGAGCGAAGCGGGACTTCAGGACGTCAAAGTACATGAGAAGAAGGTGCATTATGCGGCGAAGAGTGTGGAGGACATATGTGGCAACTTGGTGAATCTGTTTAGTCCGTTTTTGAAGGGGTGGAGTGATGAAGAGATTGTGGAGTTTAAAAAGGAACTTAAGAGCGCTGCTGAGAAGGTGGCTGTCAAAGTTGATAGGCCAGTGGTTGGCAAGGAGGGAGAGGTGGAGGAGGTGGTGGGCATTGAGATGATTGCGTTGGTTGCTGTTGCGAGCAAGTAGGAGACTTACCGGCACTAGTCAGCAATGCTAAGTGCGGCTCATTCGTTAGCTTAGTTCTCATTTTCCCATCTCAATTGATGATGGAATGAAACCTGCTTGTTGATGCATGTTCACATCACGATGAAGGCGGGGCGGGGGCGTTTAAGCTTAAGTTTTAGCGTGTGTGGAGACCAATGACGTGAATGGGGAGTGAGTTCCTTGCAGCCGCACGAGCCACATTCGGCTTAGCGTACGCCTATCATCATGCAGACGTCATTCTCACGAAGCTGTTTGCCTGCCACAAGCTGCTCTTTTAAACCTCGAAGCCCAGCTCAATTCCTGCACCATCAAACATTGCCTCTTCATAAACGACTCGATTTCATCTCAATTGCTCGAAAACTTCCTCTAACTCTTCAATTGAACCGACAGCCCTCACATTAATATCACCATGTTCTCGAGACAAGCCACGCAGAATGCACGCTTCGCAGCTCGCGCTGCAGGCCGCCCAGCGGGCCGCGTAGCAAACCCTAGATTCCGCGCCCAACAGCCCCGTTTCCAGTCCACAGCAACCGCTGGCAACGCAGGCGCAGGATCACATGCTGCCATTGGTGCAGCCTCTGGAGCCACCGCTGCGCTCGTCGTTGGTTACATCTTCTACCGTCAATCAGGAGCTCGTGACCTCGTTGTAGCCACCAAGACGACCAAAGACTACGTCAACTCAGCCACCCAGAAAATCAAAGAGCAGACACCCGAGCCTAACGAGGCATTGGCATGGCTGCGCAATGCCGCCCAGAGCTACGCTGCTTTCATCCCCGGAGCCAAGTCGTATGTTGATTCGGCCTTCGACGACCTTGATGCCATCCGCGAGAAGCACGGCGATGAGGTAGACAAGATAGTCCGCGAAGCTTATGATGAGATGCGCAAGGTCCTCAGCAAGGGCGACGTCAGTCTCGTTACCGCACACCAGACCTGGGACGTCCTCACCAAGCACCTGTCCCGCGTTGCAGAGCTTGCCGGCGACGCTTCGCAGCAGATTCTGGACAACCACCCCGCGTTGAAGGATAAGGTTGGTGGCAACATCGACTTGCTCAAGGAGTACGGCGACAAGTACGGCCCCGAGGCAAAGGAGGAGGTCGATCGCACATGGAAGCAGATCAGCGACATTGTCAAGACTGGTGTGAGCGCCGCAAACATCGAGAAGATCAAGAGCGTGGTGCAGGAGAAGGTCGATAAACTCAAGAAGTTGGGTGATGAGGCGTGGGACAAGGGAATGGAGCAAGCCAAGCCCTACCTGGACAAGAACCCCGAGGTCAAGAAGCTTGTTGAGCAGAACGCCGATGCGCTAAAGGGCGGAAACGTCCAAGAACTCTACGAGCGCGTCAAGTCTGCAGTCGAGAAGGGTGATGCCGGTGATCTCGAGAAGTACGTCAAGAGCGCTGCCAACAAGGCGAAGGAGTCTGGCCTGGGCGACTACGAGCAGTACCTCAAAAAGATCCCCGGCGGTGACCAGATCCTGCCCAAGTTGAGCCAACTCCAAGAGGTTGCGCAAAAGCATGGTGATGAGGCGCAGAAGCTGTTGAAGGATGCTGTCGCCGAGATCGGGGAAGTACTCAAAAAGAAGGGCGATGAGGCTGAGGAGCTCGCGAAGAAGGCGAAGAATGACTCGAAGAAATAGGTGCACAAAGACTGTGTGGCTATGATAGGATAATTGCTGTAAAATATGTAGCATTACCGGCGTCCACTTGCATGGTAGCGAGTATGAATAAAATGAACGATTTCCAAGTTATCAATCGAGCTTATATGTCACTTGGTGGAGTTCTAATAAAGTAGTGATGAAATGTGGTACGATATTAGATATCAGGGTTAGTTTCGTCTGGTGTTTATTTGTTCGCTAGATTCCCTTCATCATGTTCCCTTTTCTCTGCTTCTTTCTCATCTTCCCTCCGCCTCTTCACCGCATACTCAACACAGTGTTCGAGATGACCCCGGAACGAGCCCCAAATCTTCTGCGCAGGATCCCAATGATACCACACCACACACAGCCACTCCACCTGCCTAAGAGCCTCCAACCCACCATAAAGATCCAGCGCCGCACGCTCATAATATCTCTTATTTACTTCACTAGCGTCCGCATACGTCTTCTCAAACGCTTCTAAAACAGGCTTTACCGAGCTCGGCGGGATCAAGACGACTTGGCCTTCGTCGCCGCCTGCGCCGATGGAGAAACACACGAAGTTGTTGAGAGGGATGTTGTCGATTTCTGTAACGGATGTGTATTCGTACGGGAAGAGGGTGAAATCCATGTCTTGCAGGAAGTCTGTGTCGTCTGTGCCTACCATTTCGGTGTCGTAGAATAGGCCGGTGGAATCGGCGGGTTCGTCGACGTAGAACCCGTTGCTTTGGCGTAGGAAGTCTTTGTAGTCGTCTGGAAGATGTTCATCAGTGAGAATTGGTGAGTAGTCGTCATTATCGTCGTCTTCATTGTCGTCGTCAGAATCTGGTGCTGCGTGCTGTTTCAGGCGTTCCTCCAGTTCGGTGATCTGATGCGCTGTGGCGGGTCCTTTGAGAAAACTCGATGGGATCTCGGCGATGCTGAGGATGGACATGTGCTCGCCTGCTTCGGGATTGGCTTTGCGTGCTGCGACGTAGCTCTCGTCGAGGATCTGGAGTAATTCCGAGATGGACTTGTTGGCGAATGGACGTGTAGGCCCTTGTGTAAAGCGCTGTCTGATGAGATTACAGCCCTCGTTAACGAATGCTCCAAGTGCCTCTTCGTCGACATTAAGAGCCTCCCCAAGCGCGGTGTTCTTTAGGATCTTCCAGATTTCGGGCGAATGATGCAGACCCAGGTGATCGCCTAGCCACTTCCTTGTCTCTCGCTCGTCGACTTCAGGGTCATCCCACAATTCCTGCATATGTCGATATAAACCGGTAACATGGTTCTCAATCAACTCTCTTGCCTGTTCTTCATCGCCTGCTAACATGGCAATTTGCACGACCGCGCCGATTGTCAGATCCTTCCCCTCAGTCCCACGATCTTGAGATGCACGCATTTGCTCTCTAGCCACCTTCAGATCTTCAGCGTTTAGCTTTCCTTCTCGAGCCCTCTTCCTCATCTCCTCGGGGAGACCTTCGACCCAAGCTGTACCAAGTTCCTCCCAGCGCCTTTTGCTCGGCTGGTTATCCGAGTCGCGACCATTGAAGATTTTATCTGGATCCGGGGCGCTGATGCAGATTGGCAGAGTTTGGGTTCCATCCCATGCATCGTAGAGCGACTTCATGAGTTCCGGTCTTGTGAGTACGAACTCGATGCCATGACTGTGTTGGTAGAGAGCATCAATGAGCGTGTTGGCTAGATGTGGATAGCCGAGCACGAAGAGGTCGAGCGCTGTCTGTTGAACAGTGACAGATGCACCTAGCGAGGTACGGGCCGTGAGAAGGGTTGTTCTGGACCAGGGGATTAGAGGCAGAGGAATTGATGGCATGATGCTGGAGAGATCGAAAGTATGAATTGGAGTTGCGATGGTAACCGAGACTGTAAGCGCAAGTGTGGTTAGCTGAGTTTATATGTTAAAGTTCTTTCCAGGCTAACGGGGGCGACTTTAGAACTAGATAGACCAGGCAATAGCCAGGTATAAAATGGTGGCTCCTCACTAGGCTGCAATATGTACGATGACATCATGTGTAAGCTGTGCGTGGAAACGTGACAGAATGAATCTGAAGTCACAAAGCTGAGATATGAACGCTGAGGTATGACGGAGAAATGATGCTGTTCGTTATGTCGTTTCTATTGCTAGGAGAATGCTATATACTTTTAATCGTCAAACAAAAGATTTCAAAACTTACAAAACAAAAACAACAATGATAGAGAAATGAAGGAAAGGACATTCAAAAGCGGTAACAAGTGGATGGAAGTGCCTGTTACCAAGAAAACGACTGCTGCAAAGGCCTCGGTTCACTGCTAGAGGTGTTTCGGATAGATGCGAAAATCGACAGTAGCTGAGCTGCCTCAACCCCTCCATTTTCCTGCCAAAAGGTAGACGACGTTGTTTGTTGCATTGCCAGCTCATAACAAGTGTTGAGCAAAGCATTCGTGTTCTCGGGAGAGTCTTTGATGCGCACCTTCATAGCGATGGCCATTGCAAGGAAAACATGACAGCGGGCCATTGGAATCGAGGTAGAAAGCTCCATGGATACCGTTCGCTGCGGATTCGGATACACAGCTTCGCAGAACCGAGAAAATAATTGCGGTGAGATCGAATATGGCCTGTATTCCAGTGATTCGAGGTATTGCACGAATTCAGTGGTGAGTGTTTCTGCCTCGAAGCGACTTGGTAGCGGAGTAGTTGCAAGGGCCCGGCTGCGGTCTGTGAAGCTTGACCGTGAAGAACCCAGCGCTGGGCTTTCTGTACGACTGGCAGCAAATAGGCCTTGTCGAGGTAAACATGGCGTGGGTGCTAGGGGCAGCAGGTCGTCCTCGACTTCTGGGATTGGCGACATGACCTGATTGTCGCTATCAAGCGAAAGCGACGATGCGGATGTCTTTCTGGAGTGTCCTCGGCTGCCGGTAGCTTCAGGTTTGAGATGACTAGAGCTCGCCTGGGCCATAAACTCCCATGATGGCGCCGTATGCGGTTCCACTGGTGACACAAATGGCTTGCTGTTTGACGGATACTGCAATATCGTGGCTAATTGGGACGGCGCGGACGTGGGCGGCATATCGGGAGACGAGGCGCGCGTGGTATCTGACCAAAATGAAGGTACTGGTGAAGATGGCGATGCAAAGCTGGGGAAAGGCTCACATTCGTTTATCTCAATGGATGGCATGCTGCCCCCAGCTGAGAAGCTTCCCAGGTCTAGATCGTCCGCAGTGAAGGAGGCTGGAATTGTCGTATCAATATTGAGATGAGGTGGTGGGCTTTGCCAGTCAAAAGAAGTTGGTGTGGCTGCCATAAGACTTCGGTCGATGGACTCCATGCCATGCATGGGTGCATTAACATGGGCTGCTAATTGCGCTTCTAGATGATCTGAAGGTGGAATAGGATGTTAGTGTATAATCACATAAGCGATTCATTTAGCGAGGCTCCGTACGTATTCGACCCTCAAGAGCTTCTCTATGTTCCCTTTTCGTGAGGTAAGCCAGTGCATCATCACGTGATTTCGCGACAAGGCGACAGAAGGGGCCCACTGACGATGCCACGACATCTTTTGGCTTTTGCGTTCTCACACATTGTAATGAGAACCGTTTACACGTCGAGCAAGGCGTTTCACCGTCGCATTTTATCTTTCTTCGTCGACATCGTTCGCAAGCATTCGATACCGACTTTCGCCTAGGGTGCCAGTCCTTGACGGCTGTGGGCGAGCAGTGACTCGGTCCCTCACCAGCAGGTAGTGAAGCTTTGTTTTATTAGCAATTGGATGCCTTATTAGGGCCCTATTTACTCACTGAAGGGGCACATGCTGGTTGGTATTGGATGTCCAGGATTCCGCCGCGGATGGTGATGCTTCCGGGAATTGGCACTCAGGAACGAACGATGAACGCGCAATAATCGAAAGATGGGAGTCGCACAAGGTAGAGCAGAGCGGGGGACGAGAATCTTGATTGTTTTACATCCCGTCAAGCATCGCCATGGCAGACTGCTGGCAGTGACTAATCGTGTAGGCCTGCCTGCAGCGGAGTCGCCAAGCAACGCACGACACACTTGCCAGACAGTTGAAGCCTCACCAATCGGCTGCGACACGCCGCATTGCGCACAGGACTGTACAGGCAGCCTTCTCACAGACAAACCCTTGCGACTACGGGATTATGCGCATCGCATCGACTTTCCCACCGCTTATCGATCTTGTAGGAAAGGCGTACACTGGTGACGAGGCCTTGGGACGGAGGCGCGGCCGCACTCCGCTCGTGCATCAGAAGCGTTGCACAGCCCTATCCACCACGGCACATATGAAAGCCCACAACGCGAAATAGAGTGGGTCTGGACGGAGAGGCGCCTATTGCTGTCGCTTCTTCTACAGGATCGCTGGGACAGTGTGTTCTGGAAGCCCCCCCCAGGATCGAGCCAAGCATCTGTAAACCTCACAAGATTCAATGTAGTTACAACCATCTCCGCACTCAGAGTACCTTTGCAGACCCAGCGATAGCTCAACTAGAGCATAGGCGCTTTGAAAATCCTCTCATCACTAGGATTACCATTCAAGATTGACTCACAAGATCACGAATAAGAGTATCCCTCAAATGATGGCATTAGTGTAATTGCGTTAAAATATTTACATGAAGATAGCACTTTTTGCGACACGACTACCATTCCGATACGCGGCATAGAGGGCCATCCGTCGACTGCACGCCAACGATGCCGTTGTCCTCGATGCGCCACCCCTCTGTACCGACACCGTGGTGGACGTAGAAGAGCATGCTGGGGTCGTACTTCTGCTTGATGCTCAGGAGCCTCGGGTAGTTTTCACCCCAGAAAGCGTTTTGCCAGTCCGGCTCTCCAATATCGGCCTCGTTGCCATAAGCACCACCAGTAGGAGTAACCTGGCGAAGAGGGCCGAGGATATTGTCAGTCAGCTGCTTCAGACCAGCCTTCCACCCCGCAGCTGTTAGATCAGTGATCGAGTTAACGGCGACGATCATGCTCTGCGTCTTGCGGAATTGGGGGTTGGCCGAGTTGAGGCCCTTGTTCTGGTCATCAGCAGGGTGCTGGTGGTAGCCGTTCAACAACAATGCGCTGTCGACAGCCTTACGCAGCGCGGCGAAAGTGTCGCCACGGATTTGCTCATTCGCCCAGTTCTCTGTGGGAAGCATGCGGTTGCCTGGTGTGGCGCCAGCGCGACCAACGTGAAAGTTGTTCTTACCCCACGTGGCATCGTACGCTGGATAGAAACTGTCATAGTGTGTCGTGTTTGCATTAAGCTGGATGCCGAGCTCAGCACACTTGTCGAAGAAGGGCTTCAAGAGAGCATTGGTCTCCGCAACGGTCTTGTCGGTGGAGAAGAAAGGGTTCATGGACCACAAGTACGTGCCTGGAGCGAGTCTCATCAGTGTGAACCAAGAGTAGGTCTTGGCCTCGTTGTAGGCGGGGAAACTATCCCAGAAGAACTTGACTGCCTCCCAGAACTTGTCGGGGGTGACAGTCGGGGAAGTCATCAGGGTCCAGGAGGCCGTGGTGACAGGAACCTTGCGGTGGACTTTGACAACAGCAGAGGTGATGATGCCGAAAGTGCCCCCGCCGCCTCCGAGCATTGCCCAATAGAGATCGCTGTTGACAGAGGGAGTTACAGTAACGAAGCGTCCGTTGGCGAGCACAACCTCAAGAGCAAGAACTTGGTCTGCACCAAGACCGAACAGCTGCATTAGTGGTGAGTGGCCACCTCCAGTCGAGTAACCACCGAAGACACCGACAGTCTATAATACGTTAGCAAGTCTTCCGTTCAGCGCTGGACATATCCTACTCACAGAACAAATACCAGCTATGGCGGACACCCCATACTTCTCAGCGGCCTGGTATAGCTCGAAGCCCTGCACACCAGCTCCGACCTTGAATACAGGACCGGAATATGTGGGGCTCGAGTATTGCTGGATGTACTGGATTGTCTTCAGGTTGTGGGTCCAGATGCTAAGAGCACCCTTTCCAACTGACCTGCCATTGTAGTCATGGCCGGTATTCCGTACAACCAGGCGGAGGTTGAGCGATCGAGCGAAGTTTACAGCCAACTGAATCTGCGCGACGTTGCTGACCTTGACGGCATATTCAGAGTATCCACCTTGAGTGCAAGTGCCATTGGCATAGTTTCCAGAATTGGGGATATCGCAAGTCATTCCGTAATACAAAGGGTTCATCAGAGCACCATTGTCCTTGTAGCTATGATTGTTACTAATTGTGCTATAACTTGCGGTGGGTCAGCTTACTAGGTCGACTCGGCCTCAACGCCTTGCACGAGAGCCGCGCACTTTGCCGCATCGTAGTTATTGTACTCAGATTGTTTGTAGCAGACCGAGCCAATGGGAATAATCTTCTCTAGAGCCCCACCGAGCAACAGGTCGAAAATGCCCCAGACGAACTGTCCAGGATAGAGGAAATCACCGGGCATTGTCTTGCAACGATATGATCGGCGGACACGGCGCGCGCGATCACTCAAGGTTGAGTTCTTGCTATCCTCGAACTCGAAGAGCGAAGCATACTTGGTGAGATCGGGGTTGTTCTGAATATCAGCAACGACGTTGTCCGTCAATTGCACGACCTCCGCCTTAAACAAAGGAACGTTTGCGGGTGTAGTATCGACAGCGACAGTCTCAGCGGCGGGTGCCACTGAAGCCGTGAGCGAGGGAACCGCGGAGCTCTGCGCCGTCGCGAGAGCGGCACAGGCCAACGAAAGAGTGAATGACTTTGCCAGCATGTTGAAAGAACGATATACTGGAATTAGGGAGGTCAGAGGTAATTGGACGAAAAACCTCTGGCTGCCACGTTTCTGCGGCTCTGCGTAGGTTTTTATACGATCAAGTCACTACCCTAGTTGCGCATGCGGCGGCGAATAAGTGCTGTCTCGGCAGTCATCTACCGAGACCTTGGGTTTTCGCATTTTGGTGCTGGCCCGACAGGAACGAGGAAAGGGCATTCTTGAGGTTCCCCACTACGCAAGCATGGGGCGCAGTCAGGAGACTCTCGTCTAGAACGCCACGGGTGCAAGGGTGAGGATGCGTTGGGGTTGATGTACTCACAGCAACGCAGATGCCCCTCCTATCCCGGTTAGAGTCAGGCGAAGGATGCGATTATCGTCTTTCTTTGCATGCCATATCTCGCGATTTATGAAGCACAGCTATACAGAGTATAGCTCCAAGTCAGCACATTTACTAGGCATGGAGGGTAAATACCCAATGTGGGCCCCCCGATAAGCCACTGCTAACCACTGCTAAGGTTAGTCGCTTTCGAATCATCTTGATTATATCAGCGTCAGAAGCACAAATTCTAGCCACTCCCTCGTGGGTCCACACCAAATTGTTTACCTCGAGACCTTGGGGGTTCGCGTTTCGGTCGTACGATGGGCTCTTCGAAAGCATTATCACTCCGCGAAGCTGGGACCGCTAGTAGAGCCAGAAAAGGTACGGTCCGTTAGCTTTTCCACAGATTGCGCATAGCTGGCGCTAAACTAAATTCCTGTAAGCGTCTATTAGAGACTAGTCTCGGACACGGCTGGTTGTGGGGCAGCAGGGAGGCACTTACGTCTGATTGGTGGGGCTCTAACGATGTCTCTGGAAAAGGTTCCAATTTCGTGGCGAGAACCTCCCGTGTCTTGGGACATTGGAAATACATGGGCGAACGGGAGGAGATTGCTCCACTTCCGAGTCATGTTATTCCTGGGACATACCGTAGTCGGATTTGCACGGCGGAACCGGGACGACGTCCAAGATGCTTGCTCATCCAAAGTCTAGCAACTTTGTCGTCTTCAAGGTTTACAGAAGTTTCTCCACCACAAAGAACATTGCCAGGACCAAGGTCGAGGTCATGCAATGTCGAAATTTGGTGGTACTGACACATTTTATGCACCACTTATCACATGGTAATCAACTAGCCCTTGATCACACAAGCGCAGTAATACTCGATCCTTCGTTGCTTCTAAATGCATGGAACTTGCCCAGTTCTGAATAGAAGCTTGGATCCGGCCACAGCCGGCTGCGACTCCCGTTCACGCCACGGATTCCATGGATACATTCCTACTGGCTCATTACATATGTTCTTAGCCGAACTGGTAAGATGGTCATGCAGGCACAGCAGTAGGTACACCTCGCTTCGAGATTATTCCGTGCGCCTGTCGGGTCACCTACGTAGGCGGCATAGTGTTAGTTCTGAGACGGATAGGGAGGATGTTTGCGGCATCGCTGAACCGGAAACTTCATCTAGGATACGTTGGAAAAGGCCAGAACACGAGAACACGAGGGTCGTGCAGGAGAAATGCCTTCGATCCCCCACAAGTTCATCTACAGCTGTATGGTAGAAAGATTGCCTTTTTGTCGCTCGTTGTTCTTTGTGTCGGAATACTTTCTCGTGTGCCTTCACTGGCTCATTGTCACTTCCAACGACCATCATGTCGGCTCCAGCGAAGCCAGATATGTCGGGCGTCGACCCAGGGCTACAACCAGCCCTCGTCGCCCTCTTGTACCTTTTCCCAGCGATCGCATTGGCCGTGCTCTTGGTCAGGTTCTGGAGAAAGTGGAAAGATCATCTACTAGGAGGGGGTAGGAATTGCTGATCTTTTCCATGAAGCGTACCCTTACTGACGATCGTTGTTCAGATGATGCCCTGATCGCAGTCGCGTGGATCCTTACACTGGGCAACAGTATCATTGTCCACCTGTGTAAGTCTCCAACCCAGTATTGGTCCCGATCAACTGATCACTGACGAGAACACAGATTCGGTAGCTATGTACACTGGGTATCATGCTAAAGATGTACCGTTCAAATCTATCGACATGGTCTACGCCGCCAAGGTATGCGTTCACCGAACGAGAGTGAAATCCCAGTGTTGACGCTTCCCTGAACAGCTTCGATACGCCTTGGGTCTGGAATACAATCCTTGTGTCTGCGTAGTCAAGGCTTCCTTCTTATGGAGTCTGTACAAGCTTCGATCGCATAATCCTTGGATCAAACGGGCTATCGTGGCCCTTCAAGTTATCAATGCAGTCTACATGGTTTCAGCGACCGTCATCGGCGCAGTTCCTTGCCTACCTGTAAAAAAGGCGTGGAATCCACATCTCCCCGGAAGCTGTTATGATCCGTACTTATATGTCATTGGTAATATTTCCGTTGTGATTATCACGGATTTCCTTGTTCTTCTGTAAGTTCTTCTCTGGCATCAATCAAGCGATTCCACGGCTGACGAGCACTCAGAATTCCAACATGGATAATCTGGGATTTGCAGATGCCGATAAAGCGCAAGATTATCACGATAGCATTTCTCTCCCTCGGTTTCATCGTCATCGCCATCGGTATAGCCCGCCTACTATGGCTTCTTGGTGCCTTCAAAGGCAAGAGCAGCAGCTACAGTGTAGAGTCCGCTTACTCTGCCATCGAGTCCAGTGTCGCTATAATAGGTGCTTGCGGCCCAACCATCAAATACATCCTCAGCCGTTTCATACCCTATCTCCGCCCTTCGTTCGAGCGCTCAAGTTCGAAGAAGAGCTCCGGTAATGCCTACGGATACGGAAACCAATCGAACGTCAATTCTTCTAGGCGCGTTAGAAGTCAGTACAATACTGGGAATACTGGGTACGATGACTTGGACCGCATTAGTGCTACGAATGAAGATTACGAGATGAAGAATGATTGGCGGTGGCAACAAGGGGCTGTAGGAAGAGATGACGATGCGAAGAGTGATGAGCAGATCATCTCGGATCCGAACCAGGGAATCATGAAGAGTGTCGAGTGGACAGTTGATAGAGGGGCAGTTGCAGGGGAATCGGCACAGGATTCGCCGCGAGCGAGTAGACCTGCTGCAAGTCCTGCGCATATCGTTTGAATGTTTTGTTTGCGGCGCATAGGCATGTAGTGCTTCGACGAGACGCAGGAAAGGTGGCGAAGAATAGGTTGGATATAATTTTATAGAGTTTTATATAAACAATAAAATAAAGTATTACAAAATAAACACAAATAGTCTAAACTAGTAAATCCCCTCTACTAGTAAAAAAAAAAACATAAAAAATATAATAAAATATAAGTATATATAAAAATACTAATTTTATTTATTATAAGTAATTAATATTTAAGCTTAATAAGTATAATAGCTTAGCTAAAAACTTAATATACTAACGCCGCTTTAAAAACTAGCTTTTATTTTTTAATAATATAGCTTTATTAAAAGTACTATTAACCTTGCCTTAAGCTAAGTTTAGTAAAAATATAATTATAAATTATTATTATTATTATTATTATTAAGCTTTTTAAAATATTTTTTAAAAAGCTATAACTTTTTAGGCAAATAACTATTTTATTTAAAAAATATTATTTATATCTTTTATTTATTATTTTTATCTACTACTATTATCTATTATTTATTATTAATTATAAAATAATATTTACTTTTAATAATTATTATATTTTTATTTTAAATAAATTATTTTATTACTTATACTTTGCAATTTTTTAAACTACTACTAATATTAGTACTAGCACTATTAAATTTATTGCTTTATAAACTACTAAATTATATTTTACTTTTAATAATTTTTATATATTACTATTATAGTTTAAAAGGCGCTATTTTAAGCAATTTAGTATTATTAATATTTAAATTATTACTACTTATAGCAAGCTAAAAGCTTATATAAATAATATAAAAATTATTTTTATTTATATATTTACTTACTTAATACTTAGGCATGCTACTTTTAGCAATACTACTATAGTAGTAATAATAAAATTTTTTTTATAAAAAAACGCTTTTAATAAGCTCGCAAATAAAAAAAAAAATAAAAATAAAAATAAAATTAAGTTTTATGCTTGCTTTTAAAAAAAAGCAAGTAAAATTTAAATAATAATAATATTATACTTAGTTATACTAAAGCTAGCTATTTAGAATAAGTAAAAGCAGTACTATTATTATTAAAAAAATAAAAAAAATTATTATATTGCATTATAGCTACTATTATTATTGCTATTATTATTATTATTATAGTTAATTAGTTAGTGCTTATTATTATTAATTTACTTAATTAGTAATAATTAATAAAGTTTCCTATAAGGAAAATATAAATAATTAATACAAAATTTAGTTTACACAAGCGGCTCGGGCTGGACAGGTTGGATATAAAGCCGGGACAGGCTTTGGGATCGGATTTGGGGTCCTCTTCAATTCCCATTCGCAATGCGATTCAGATTATGATACCCTTTGTATGTAAATTTACCGTCACGAAAATTTAAAGCTTTCTCTATCATCCTGTTGTTCCTCATATGTAAGTGCGCATTAAGCCTGTGCCGAATAATCCATCTTTACGCTTCCTTATTGAAGACGCGTCAACTTTGTAGGGCCAAAAGCCTTCATAAAAATTGTTTTCTACTTGTCTAATCCTCTTGTCGGGCAGTTATCGCCCTAGCCGGTCCGCGCAACCGCAATACCACCCTCCACGGGCATCATTTTAAGTACACCCGTTGAGACTTTGTCGCAAAATATCTATTATAGCGGCAGTGTGTCATGTCGATAAGCCACCTTCCTAGCGCAGTAAGACGCCATGCAGGTTCGGGTTGCATAAATCCCGCGTCCGTCCTGTAGGATTGTGGCACAGTCGTAGTGAATGGGTCTTTTCCCTTTCCAGTCAGGGGCAACAACAACAAATGCATAGGTACGAAGCCCCAAGGGGAAGACGACGGACGGGTTCATAGAGTAGACGGCTTGGGAAAGATTGACAAGGTAAGATAGTCTTTTGACCAGCCACCCTGGGTACATGAATAGCTAGGGCCATCGAGAGCGTACACGCTCTCAACCAGGCGTGAGGAAAGCGAAGTGGGGCGATTTCCAGTTCTCCTGACTAGTAATACGATCTTTTCGCGGCCTTAAAAAAATTAGTGACACGGATCAAGCTGGTGATGGAGATTATGATGAGCTCGTATCCTTCGCTTGTAGATTACCCGCACGCGATGTCGGCCTTGCCGAAAGATGGCGCTATTCCCGGGCTATCGGCTAACCCCACGCCTCCCCTCAAATGCCTCCTCGACGGTTGGCCAAGCTTGAATCGTTCACGAATTGTATGTCCAACGCAAGATTTCGTAAGGGTTAGAACGATGGGTCATGTCGATGGAGCTGAGGTCGCAAAGCACAATAGCAAAAACTCCTGTTGGATAGTGCTAGACTCCAAAGCGTATGATGTCACCAGCTTTCTGTCCGAGCATCCAGGTGGGGCACCCATAATATTGAAGAATGCCGGAACGGTAAGTGGGAAGGGAATAGTGTAAAGCACTGTTGTTGACGGCTGAGCAGGATGCGACGGAAGAGTTCAAAAATTACCACCCACTAGATTACCTGACCGATTACCTACCGTCCGATGCCCTTGTTGGACCCATTAACCCTAATACCTTTGGTCAGCTCCGACAGCCCGAGAAAGAGAAGGCAGCACCAGTTTCTGACATAGATGATTCGAAGGAAGTCCCGCATCTATCGCTCTGCGTCACAGCAAGCGATTTCGAGAAGGCAGCAAAAGCCGTCTTACCCCACAAATCTTACACCTACGCCTCTACATCCGCAAACACCGGGTTGTCACTTAAACGTAACCTCGATGACTGGGGCCGCATCTCGTTCCGCCCGCGTGTTATGCGCAATGTAGGTGATGTCGATACGCGGCGCAGAATCTTCGGGCACAGCTCACCGTATCCATTCTACATTTCACCCATGGGGACAATGGGTGCGATCCATGCTGGTGCAGAGCCAGAAATGATCCGAGGCGCCGTAAGGAAAGGAGCGCATGTAGTTGTCAGTACAGCGAGTTCGAAGTCCAGCGAGCAGATTATGCAATGTTTTGTTGAGGAGCAGGGGAGATTGAAGAACGGCAGTCCGACAGAATTGTTTTATCAGTATTACATGCCTGTAGATCGGCAAAAAGCTATCCAACTCATGAGCATCGTGAAGAGTTGCGGATTCAAGGGGCTTTGGATTACGGTTGATACGCCGGTTTTGGGTAAGAGGACAGCGGACCGCTATCTCCAAGCCGAAGAAGCGCTCGCTGTTGGGATTGCAGAAGAGAGTACAGCGGGGTGGGAGGCTGGCGGAGACAACGCTTTTGCGCCTGCGATGGGTGGTAGACCAGTGCAGGGGCAGCTGAGCCCGCATACGACGTGGGAAGATCTGGAATGGATACGGAAAGAGTGGGAAGGGCCGATTGTGCTGAAGGGAGTTCAATGCGCTGAAGATGCAAAGCTTGCGATGGAGTATGGCTGTAACGGTATCTTGTTGAGCAACCATGGCGGACGACAACTGCACACCGCACCGAGCGCATTAATGACGCTGCTGGAGATCCGGGCATACTGCCCCGAAGTCCTTGGGAAATTGGAGATATTCCTGGATGGCGGTTTGCGAGATGGAAATGATGTACTCAAGGCGCTATGTCTGGGTGCCACAGCGGTCGGAGTCGGCAGGCCGTTCTTGTACGCCCTCGGAGCGTATGGTACAAAAGGCGTTGAGCGGTGTGTGGATGGTGAGTCCGAAACTCCACAAGACCAAGATTATTGGAACTAAGATATAACAGTGCTGGCCGAAGAGCTCCAGACGGGCATGCGCTTGCTCGGTATCACATCGCTGGATCAGTGTAGGCCAGAAATGGTCAACGCGAGCCGGCTGTTGAACGAGATGTGGCGTCCCGAGCAACTGAGTATTAAGAGCCGGCTGTAGAATGTCCAGAGTCCATCAAAGCACGCTGTTCAGCTAAAGTCTGGAAGTCAGGTCCAATTTGTCGAGTGATCTCTTACTTGAATATGCACTCCTCGTTTTCCATATTAGTCTCCTTGATTTGTAAAATCTAATCTGAACGTGATGTTCATTCGCTAGTCGGACGTAATGGTTACGGGTATCGAACGGAATGTCTCAACATATTGTTTGCTTAATCTGGTGGTTTCTTGGCCTTCCGATTATTCACGAAGACTTTGGGTCGCGTTGTTGCTTGTGCCGGACATCGCCGGACCCTGCGGTAAAATTCTCTTACCCCTCAGCGCTCAGTGCCTTCCCCTCTGCCCCACCAGTTCTCTTCTACTGCAGCCAGCGTGTCAATATATTGCCCTTAATCTCAAAATCTTCCATCAAATCATTGGTGAGATGGCCGAGTTGGTTATGGCGCCAGGTTAAGGTTTCTCCTTAGCAACGCAAGGTTTATTTCCCTGCTTCCTGGTCACGAAAGTGGCGTGGGTTCGAGTCCCACTCTCATCAGCATTCGTCTGCCGTAAGGCAGGCAACCCAGGAATACTATTTTTGCCCTTTTGTGGGCATGGGCGTGAAGGGATCGTCACGTGAGCGATTACGCGAATCTGCAGATCGGTGCATGCGGGGTAGAGCAACACAAATACTCCATCCAGTCCCAGTTGAGACGAAAGCTATCTCCTCAACTTTCTCTTCCAAACTTGTTCTTGTCGCTATAGCATGAAACTGGTTGCTTTATTTTTCGTATGTATTACAGGAAAGCTTTCAATAAGTGAATGTTCGACAATAGTGAAATTAGGTTTGCTATAGCAACCATGCGTGCCCCGTAAGCTACAGTACTGCGACGCGTCGCGTGTAATGCCTCCTGTTACAATTTGGAGCGCATGCACTGCAAAAGAAGGACTCTTCATTCTACTCCTCGTCTATAGTCCACTCATACAGCAAAATATCAACTACGAGTATACTCTCATGTTCGATCTCGCTACCATGGGTTCTTTCCAAAGCAGGCCTACCTCTATCCAGGAAGGCTCTACGAGGGCCGAGCCAACCAACCTAGGCTTCGCATCTCTTCCAGCGGAGCTTCGTAATAACACGTATGCGCAGACACTGAGATGGAAAGGTCCTGTCACGCTGACATACGACGAAACTTCACGACGTTTCCAGACTCCTCGTGCTTGTCTCGTAGAAGGTCGAACACCACTCCAAGCACTTGAAGTCCTCAGCAGCCTTGATCACTACATCCGACGAGAAGCGCGTTCCTACTTCTTCGCCAACAATTTCATTGAGATAAAGACCAGGCAGAAATTTACCTCCGACCCCGACTATGTTCAAGTCTACATCCACTTTCTCGAGAACATTGGAGAAACCGGTCGTTGGAGCCTGCGCCATCTGAGACTGACGGTTAGTGAGGACAGCAGTCCGCATCGTCCAAAGTTTGAGCAAGCCCTCAAGCTCTGGAGCCTGCTCGCCGATTGCATGAATCTTGAACGCCTGGACCTTTTTCTTGAAGTCGACTACTTCTACATGGACCAATGCGACGCGCTGAAATCACACCTGTCTACTTTAGGCTTTCCTGTCAGCCAACCGTGGCTTGTGGTCTTGCAGAGCCTTCGCCACTTGGAAAACCTCAAACGCTTGTCTCTCCAAGTCGTCTTCAGTTCGAGATGGCGCCATATTGAGGTGAACGTCCACACCCGTGCAACAGCAACAGGACTCCGGGAGCCGAAGGCGTTCAAGCGCGTACGATTCCAAGTCAAGCGTCCTATTGATGAGGCTGCTGAGCTAGTAGATCAAGTCAAAGGGGTTCTTCGTCAGGGACTGCGACGACGCGTTGCTATCCAGGTCTCGCCGACTGAGACATGGGATCAATATGGAGCAGACTTAACTTTTGGCCGGACATCAAAAGGCAGCGACAATCTGGTTCTGTGTGGCGCACGGCGTTTCAAGCCGCAAGAGCGCCGATTCAACTATTCTAATGGGTTTCGCGAGCAGTAGCTAATGGCTCTGAGATAGTTTCCATTGTGGCGCTTGGGCTTTATGACTTGAAGAGGATAGCTTGTGTGAATTGATATGTAGCGGCGTTCTTGGATACCACGACGGAGCTGAGCATGTTCATCTAGACACAGCAGAGATACCCGGTGTATTGCGATCAAATGTGAAATTGATGCAGTCCTTTATTTTCGTTTCTCTGTATAGTCTCATGCTTGAATTAGCGCAAACCCGCCTCCTCTTGGCTTGTATACTAAGAACGTAGATTGCAGAAAATGTGTGCTACGGTAATCTAGTCTATTCTCAGAGCTTACTAGCAGAGAGTGCTCGTAGATGGAATTGCGCAATCCTTGTAGTAGATCAAGAATCAAGAGTCTGGCTAGTTCCATACAACTAGTTGAATATATTTTGTTACTTCTATACTGGCGCATGAGTGCTATTATCACTGCAATAAAAAGCAATAAAAAGACAAGATATGCAAGTATTAGTGGCATTAGGCTGAGACCCGGAACAGTAGACAAATCAGGAGGGAAAGGAGAAAGTAACGAGTGAAGGCAAAATAGGACCAAATAGCAAAAAGGGGCTTGAAGCTTTAGGAGATCCCTCCAGAAGCTCTTCAGCGGGGTATCGAACCGCTCACTCATGGCGGACTATTGCAGCCTAGGAGATCCCTCACACCAGCCATCGACCATGAGCTTTGTTGCAGTTTGATGGAAGACTTGGGGATATTTAATATTATATACACAAGGTTTTGCGTCAACAGGCAAGGTCGGCATTTAATTGTCTGCGATGAGTGTAAAGAGTTGACCGTGTGTGAGGTGCGTGCGTTCCCCAAGCGAGAGTGATGGTGAAGGTAGGTGAAGGTAAATGCTGTAACTGCATCTCTTATGGAGAGCGCGCAGATTACGACAGGCGAGATTTACTCGAGCAGCGAAAACAATATGATCGAGCACTTAAGGAACATGCTCAACTGCTCTAGGCTGGTGGGGAGGCGCTCTATTATCTAACCTAATACCAACTATCGCAAGCCGCGCGATACCGAACCAATGCAGCATATCCATGAACCCTCTGGATTATCCCTCTACCGGTCATGTAACTGGATCCTTTCTACATTGCATTAGCAAACGTCAATACTGAACGCTCGTCAGGTTGTAGGCATTCACCGGGTTCACTGAATAAGTGCGGTATGTATGGTTGACTGACCTTAGCACTCCGATTGCGCGCCTCTTGAGGTACCGGTCAGCGCATACACGATTTACATATATCACTGAGATTTGCTGGAGGGATAAGCAAATGCACAGGAGTTGCAGTATGAAAGGTCGAGGTTTCATATTACATCAGTTTGCAACGCCTTTACGATTCATAAGTAGCTCTTGGTGAGCTCCACAAGCCTTCCTTCTCTCTTTACAGCTAGGCCACTGTGATCAACCGACCTCTGCCGTACTTCCAGTACTTCCTCATACCAGGCCAGGCGCTCTTCAACTCCTTCTCAAATCGCAACCCTCAGTGCGCATCTTGTCCTCGCGCAAATCCTAGTCGTTGCTGCGAAATCTTAGACGTCTTGTTGACGTCCATCTCATCCTTGCCATCAACCACGTCGCTCTCACCTACACGATCGGCAAAGCCGACAGCAGTGTCTTCCTTATCTATCACCAAAAGTAGACCCAATCCCTCACCTACAGCCTTGCACGCTAGGCTCAGTCTCTTGAACCAGCTCCCATCCTTCACCTTCACCCCCACAGCAAACTCCGCCCCAACGAAGTAGTTCTGACACAACACCTGCAAATCCCTGAGGTGCGGTCTCTCACCACCCTCGCGCAAATACGACCAAGGGATCCCAAGCCGCAGATGCGCGTTATCCGCCCTGGTTAAGCGCATGCCATTTCGATAGAGGTGGATCTCGCCGGTGGACCGGAGCATGTAAGCGGAGACTTTCCAGATCATGTTGTCGATCTTGACGTAACCGATGAAGAGGGTTTCCTTGTGAAACGTCGCGGTGTCGTCTTGTTGCTCCCAAGGCAACTGGTCGGCATCGGGGATCGCGTTGTATTCGTCAGGGAAGTTTTCGTTGGCGATCGCCCGGATCTGGTCGGCATTGTAGTAGCCTGGCACTACTTTTGAGAAGTCGGACAGCATTGTGAGTGATATTGTATGCGTATAGGGCGGTAATGGAGGGCGGTTGTCGTTTAAAATATAGGCCTGAAGTGCGCTAGAGATTTGTAGTTTGTCCTTCACCTTCTTGTAAAAGAGCAGCCAGGGCTGTGGAATCTCGCGTAGTGGACTGATTCTCCGTTTGTATTTAAATGAGAGCGCGTGGTTCAGAGCGGCGTGTCCATGGTGAAAGGCTGTGCGGATCTCAAGACGCTCCTCCTGCCCTTCTTCTTGCACTCCCAATGCCTAATCTCATTGTACTCCGCCTTCTTAGGTTTCCGACAAAGCCCTCAACCATCTGCCAGCTGTCCCTCTTGCTCGGCTTTGCATCCATGGTGATAACTCTGCTAGGGATGTACTCCTCTTCGCGCCTAGCAGCGACTCTCACTCTTTTAGGAGATATCCAAATCGTCTGCGTCGCTACATTACTACTAGTCGGATTGAAGTGCGCTTCGATTGTGTGCCCGTACTTCACCACACGATGGAATCCACTGAATTTCTGATCGTCTGTCCGCTCCAGGAATATGCGAGCGAAGATACGATTCACAGGATCAACGCGAACGCAAGCTAGAAACGCGATGAATGAGTCCGGGCTTTTTTCAGTTGGGTTGGTGAGCATTGGGAGTTGGATATGCAAGCCTGCGTTGGTCATGGAAAAGTCTGGTTTCGGTTCGTGAATACCGAACCTCGAGATAAACTCGGGATAAGAGATGGGCTGGAAAACGTGGCAGTCTTTGAATTGACGGGGCGAAGAAGCGAGCATATCGCCATTGCAAGTCGTGTCTTCCCACGCGAACAGCGTGTGGTCATTCGTTGACTGCATAATCTCGAGCTGGAGGCGACGAAATGCGCGCGAGCCTTCGCCATAGAGCGTTGGCATACTGACGCTAAAACTTCACGTCGTTAGTACCGTTGAGAGGCTTAGGTATCATGCCACTTACAGTCCCATGAGTGAATAAGCCACATCTTCAATTCTCGTAGTCTCCCGGGTGGCAGCCCACGACATCTTTTCAGAGACACTAGCTGAGTCTAAATGTCTTGTATTTTGCAAGATCTTGATGTCTATCCCGGAAGCGACTGAGATAGTGTTCGCCAAATCGATTCGACTGCCCAGCTTCGACCATTCCTTGGAGTAAAATACCATCGTCTTCGGCGCGATCAGCTCCTGTAGTGTCCAGCCTCTTGTGAACCAAGAACTAGTTCGGACTTGAGTGAAGTCGAGTTTGCCGCGCTCGTAAGATACATCGTCGAGGAAGGCGAAACATATAAGTGAGTCATTATACCACAGGTACATGCTATTGATCGCTTCCGACAGTTCAGCACTACTGCTCTTGTTTATACAGCAGGTATCGACCCAGATGTGATGTATTCCATATTCCAGGGCAGCGCGGGCGCATTGTTCGATCTTAGGATAGCCTCGCATGTTCTTATAGTCGACATCGCTGGTCATATGCTGGTACTCCACCTCTTCATCTCTCCAGCGATGCGAGAGTATCGCATACGGTGGAATCTGTGAGGACGCATACTCGGTGAGACTAACCTGAATGATGTCTTGGTCCTGGTTTGCGGTGCATTGGAGAAGTCGCATAGCGAACAGGAAGCTTACTGCGCGCTAAAATCGCTCCTGGTGGTCACGAAGCCTGAAAAATGACCTCTAATGTAGATTATTAATGGTAAGGTAGCTTCATTTCGTGTAATTTGCCGTGTCGTACAGCGATAGTAGTAGATCGGCAGGCTAAGATATAAGTCTGTCAGTTGAATGTTCAGCAGATGCTTGCATTTAGGCGAACACAGCCCCGCTTCGACATATGCACTGTCAGCGCCATACTGTTAATCGCCACCGTGTCTCTTATCTTTTCAGCCTGGTGGAAAATATAACCTCGGTTGCCCGATATCATATCTGTTACATTACGGCTTATTGGACTATCGCATCTACAAACCGAAAGTTGTATGCGCTGAGCGCTAAGCTTCACAATTACACATTGTTCTCTGCCGTATCCCAAGGCAGGTGGTAATCTCTATCGCTTCCTAGCAAATACCTAACCCTGATCGCAACAAGTCTCCCTTTACACATGTTCTTTACCCCATCTCTCAGCTTGTGCTCCACATCCTGCGCGAACACTCTTCCCCTCTCTCCTGAGAACTCGTGGGCGCTGACCTCTTTCCCTATTTTCACCTTCTTCTTATCGACGTCCAAAATCAACTGTAGTTCGAAACTCTGGAGTTTTGACATGTCTGCAATGGTCTGTGTCCAGAGGGATACATCGACCTCAGGCAACGGACTGTCATGAGGCTCGGAGCCTGTGTAGTTAAAATACGCATTTAGTCCCGACAGATCTGACTCGCAGAAGTGCCGAATGCCGTGTTGGAGGGTTAGATGTTGGACATTAGAGCGCTCGCGTAGCAAGTCGTGTAGACGCTGAGTGAGCGGCAGTGAGGGTTGATACCACATAGAACCGTACAACTTCACCCTTTTCAGCATGGCTCTGCACTCTGATCCAAGGCTTTCCAGCCACCGTACGAGTACAGGAAGGTACTCGTACCCGTAGCATAGCACCGCGAAGCTGTTCACGCTATAGAAGTATATTCGTGCTTCCTGTCGAAGTTCGTGACTTACGTAGCTGAGCGCCTGTAGAGTGGCTATGATGTTGTGGAAAGTTTTATCTATCACTTCGTATAGTTTAAACGTGCCTACCTTTTGAAGTGCGGGCTCGATGAAAAACGGTAATGAATTTCTAAGAAGAAGTCTGTAGATGTTGTTGCGTATCTCCGGTGCCAAGTGAATCAGTGTCCCGGGTCCTGACGCGGAGGAGGAGGCATGACACGATGTATTGGATGTTTGACGAATATAAGTATCAATAAGCGGCCTTGCAGGCACTGGCTCTTCGGTGGGTGTGGCTTGTACACCGGCAAACGTGTGTTGTCGGTTGGTCAGGGTTCGCTGGTTCGAAGCAGGGGTCGGAACCATGCTGCTAGAGGTGATCTGGTACTGGGTAGTTGTGTAGTGGGCGTTACTGCCAATAGGATTTCTCGAGACGTGTGTTGAAGAAGATGCGGTCAACAGGTTGGAAGCGTCGTAAAAAGAACAACTTGGAGGTGTCATAAATAGAGCAAGATTAGCAACCATGCATACGTCACCTATCTTCAAGTTAACATTAGTCACACTCCGCGTTCAACTCACCTGTAAGCTAATGCGTGAATTTCATTGTCAGAGCCGACAGGTATAGTCCGAACACGCTTTGACGACGCCAGGTTCTCTGAGCTGTTGAGGCGTCAATGGTACAGTAAGCGACCACGGGTCAATGCAAGCACATCACCGCCATATGCAGGAACTGCTCCTTGCGCACACCGTGTTGGCAGTCGACGCGGCTCTTGACTGGACAATGTGGGGGAAAATGGTTCTCGTGATGTTGGTCCAAGTGCAGGCTGCAGTGACACAGACAAGAAGCAATTCTGAGCTGTGCTTGATTCGGAAAAGAGCACGCCTAGCAGAAGCTGCGTGGGGAAGTCTGGTGGAGAGGCCAAGAGGGCAGAGATCAAGGCTGTTGACTGAAAATATCTCGTGTGAACTTGTGGGGGGAAGTGTGGGTGAGAACGTGTGGGTGAGAGATGCAGCAGATCCACTGGGGGTGGCCAATTAGGTAAAACCGGGTCCCGCCTTCCCCCCGGCGCGCTGCCTCGCAACCGCCTTTACCTGACAACTCACTCACCTGACTGGCGCTACTGCCTTTATTTACTCTCCTTCTCCTCCCTCTCCTCAACAAAACCTGTAGCCCATCCTCTCACACTCCTACAGCTCTTCACCAACTTCTTGTCAACCGTCAATTGACCTCACTCCTACCCAACGAAACCCGAATCCAACAACCAACCACAACCATGGGCAAGGTAAGCAGTCCCAGCAGCCACCCCGCCCCGCCTTCCCCGCGCTGATGGTGCCGGCAGGCCAAGTACATCATGCTCGACTGCGACAACACGCTCGTCCAGTCTGAGCGTCTGGCCTTCGAGGCCTGCGCCGAGCTCACCAACATTGTCCTGGAAAACCACAAGATCGATGCCCGCTACACGGCCGAGTCGCTGCTCGAAGACTTCGTCGGCCACAACTTCCGCGGCATGCTCCAGGGCCTGCAGAAGAAGCACAACTTCACCATGCCCCAGGCAGAGCTCGACGACTTTGTCCAGCGGGAGCTCGGTGCCGTCACGCGCAAGCTTAGCGAGAAGGCCGTCGAGTGCCCTGGTGTGACCAACGAGCTCAACAAGCTCAAGGAGCAGGGCTACCCCATGTCCGTCGTCAGCACCTCGGCCAAGAGCCGTGTCGTTGCGTCCATCGAGAAGGCCGGCATTGCCCACTTCTTCCCTCCCCAGCACGTATACTCGGCCGCCACCTCGCTCGACCCGCCCAGCTCCAAGCCCGACCCCGCCATCTACCTCTACGCCGCAGAACAGCTTGGCGTCAAGCCTCACGAGGCCATCACGGTCGAGGACAGCAAGTCTGGTGCTACTGCCGCTATGCGCGCGGGCATTCCTTGCATCGGATACGTTGGCATCTACGGCATTGAGGAGGGCAAAGATAAGATGGAGCAGATGGCCAAGCTCCTCACCGACGAGACCAAGTGCGCCGCCATCATGTACGACTGGAAGGAGTTCCAGGACTGCCTGAAGAAGGTCGAGGCCAAGTTGTAGACGACTCTGGAGGCTTGACGACGGCAAATCTGACGAGCTCTACGTGCGACTGCAGTAGACATTACGACACGACATGGATGACGAACAAAATCACGGCATGACTGAACATATAGAAGCATGAATGCATTCTACTAGACTTTGACGGTCTCCAGCATTGGCATCTTTTTCGCTGCGTGTGATGTTTGTCAAACTTTGTTGATGCTGACGTCACAGCTCGCGGGTCGGGCAGTCGCGAGTCGCGTCCTACGGCTCGCATCGGATCGGCAAACTCCACCAGACCCTGACCACCAGACGCTATCCATCAGTCCCTATTCACGTTGCACCGCTTTCAGGACATCATCGCGAACGCGGGGTACTCTTTGACCGCTATGCTTCCACAACGGGTTTGTATACGCTATCGCGTCCAATTTTTTCCACACGCGTGCTGAGCCTCTAGTGTGCTCACAGCGAGCTCGGTCTAGCCGCCACCCAGCACAATTCGCAACAGACTTCTCCCCCGACTACAACGGTTGGTAGATGCATCTCGCTCGATCTGTGGCCGTTGCATTATTACTTGCCTTCCGCAACCCAAATTCTCTTCCTGTGGTACAACGGCGGTTCGATGTACCGAGCTTTGTGTGACTGTCGACAACCCACCCTGCAATGATGTTATCGGGCATATGAACCCCCCCAGATTGACCTAGTCAATATCATCCGATAAGGATGCAAGACCAAAATTACGCTTTTACAACAATGGTCACGCTCAATGTCTTTCAACACGGCTTTGAATGTGGAGTGGTGAGAAGCGCATATCGAGAGAGAATCAGAGACCGATACCAATTCGGCTGGAGAATAGGGAGAAAGGGACAACTACAACATTACCTCTGTTGCGAATGCCCGTTATCGTGTTCAACACGAGCGATCTGCATCTCGGCAGTCTGGGCATTCCATCCTTCCGCTGGCTAAGAACTAGGGTATCGCTGTCGCCAAGGCATGCTTAGATGAAGCCTCCTTCCTAACCGGTCATATACTCCACGCTGAAGCTTCTGCTTCATTTACCACCACCAATCTTACACTCTGTACAGCATTCGAGTTCATATACATGATGTTCAAAGCCAGTCTGGTTGCCGATCATGGCCTCGTGGTAGCTTGTGCGATGGGGCACGACATGGCCGTAACGCCAGGAAGGGGCAGGTATTATCTCTACCTGCCGGGTTTGCTATAGTCGGTGCATCAATCAGAATGGCGAATTTGGTGCTTCCAGGTACTACAATCCGGATTTAAAGCCTTCGTTGGCCCTGCTGTATCACACATTACGGTCGTTCCATTCATCGTTGCTGTCCAAATCGCAGTCAACATGTACCTTCAAACTGCTCTTCTCTCGTTGTCCGCCCTTGTAGCGGCCAAAGAGCTGCCCAAGGATGAGATCAAAGCGGCGAAATTGTATGATTCTGGCATTAGACATGCGAACAACGTCGCTATTAAGAAGGTTGCGATACCCGTTAGCATATCGCCAAGCTGGGCGCTAATCTTGAACTTTAGGAATCGTGGGCATTGCAAGAAGCTGCAGGAGCTTACAACTCCGCGCAGTATGCCGAGATCAAGGACAAGGTTGAGTGCATCAACGGCACCGCGATTTCGGGAAAGGACACTTTTAAGTGTAGCAACGTGAGCATTGCAACGGAGAGTATCTCAGTCACTTGCTTACTAGCAAGTAGATTGACCTTCTTCATTTCCTGTCTCACTCGGAGCTTGGAAGCGCTCGCGGTGTTGGCTCATCTTCATGGGGTAAGCGTTCGCAGAGTGTTATACCATAACCACCGTTGACCATATTCTAGGCTGGACATCAAAAGATGGACGCGAGTTCGTCGCCATCGGCCAGCAAGATGGTGCTGCTTTTGCAGAAATCAGCAAGGAAGGCAAACTCGTGTACCTCGGACGTCTTCCGCAATTCTCAACACCAAGCACCTGGCGCGAGATTCGGGGTCAGAATGACCTCATGATCATAGGCAGCGAAGCCGAGGGGCATGGGATCCAAATCTTCGACATGAACAAATTGCTCGATATTGATCCCTCTAAGCCAGTGACGTTCAGCAACGAAAAGGATCTTACCGGCCACTACAAGGGCCTTCCTATTGGTCGCACGCACAACGTTGTCACGAACCCGGAAACAAACTTCATCTATGCCGTTGGTGCGCAGCCGAGGAACGACTCCTGCAAATCAGGCATCATCTTCATCGATATTACAGATCCCTCGAAACCCACGAGCCCGGGCTGGTAAGTTTTTGAAAGCGCCCCATGTGTTGTGCAGCCGCGCTGATATCTCGCAGTGCGTCTGAAGATGGCTACGTGCACGACGCGCAGTGCCTCATCTATCGCGGCCCAGATAAGGCATTCGAGGGCCGTGAAATCTGTTACGGCTTCAATGAAGATACTCTCACCATCTACGATGTGACCGACAAGAAGGCTCCTGCCATCTTGTCCAACACATCGTATGAGGGTGCAGCATACACGCACCAAGGTGTTGTCCTGGACAAGCAAAACCAGCACTACTTGCTCCTCGATGACGAATATGATGAGTACGACAAGGTCGGCCCCGGTATTCCAGGAAACCCCATCACGTACATCTGGGACATTTCCTCTCTCAAGGCACCGAAGCAAACCGGACTGTACAGGAGTGGTGCCAAGGGCATTGACCACAATCAGTATGTTGCGGATGGTTTCGCGTACCAATCCAACTACGGTACCGGCTTCCGTGTCCTGGATGTGCGTTCTATCCCGGATGACCCAACTGGTGCTGGTGTGAAGGAGATTGGCTTCTTCGGTATGTTTAGATGCTAATGTTAGGTTGTGAGATCGCTAACCGTGCCATCAGATGTTTACCCAGAAGACGACAACTTGCCGGGTGGTGGTTCCGTCAAGTTTGTCGGCACATGGTCTAGCTATGCGCTCTTCAAGAGTGGCCATATTCTCGTCAACACCATGGAGAGGGGCGCATTCATTGTCAAGTTCCAGGAAGGCCAGGGCAAATAGATGGACACGCTCGTTATCGCGAGTCGGGCACGACAGCATGGCCAGGACACGAGATGCATGCGGTGCAAGCGGTAGTAATAAATTTAGTCGCACCAGCGTTCTGGTGGTACATACTAGCTCGCCTAAATGCTCAATTAGATAATTGCCTCCGCGATCTAACATGACCCTAGCAAGAGGCGTAGTTCGGGCTCGCCGCTGATGATTCTACCGCCTTTTCCAACAACGACATCTTCCGGACTGATTGTCTGATTGTGGCGTTTCATCGCCAAGTGCGCTTTGCGCGGGGACACGCCTTGGCTTCGGTGTTTCTTCCAATTAAGTAGGGCCAGAGTGTTGCTAGTCCTCTCGGCGGGAAAACGGTTCCTCATCTCCTTCCTCATGCATCACAGCATTGCGCAGCCAAGCAACTCTTCATCAATCGCATCGCTTTTCCCTTCCCTATCACCCGGCCACCGGTCCACTGCGTGCTGTTCCTTGCTGTTCCGCCGGTGCCTGGATGATGCTGCATGGCCGTTCGTCAATACAGCTGCCTCTCCCGGTAAGGTCTACCAGCACGCCATGATGCATACTAAGTTTTCTTGGAACCTACTATATGGGTACGAGGGTGAGTATATAGAGTGCCTGGGTACCTAGAAAGTTTTGCTCCTCAGCTTCTTCCTCGCTCACTCGACCTCTGATCGTGTAAGACAATATGAGGGTTGCTTTGCTCATCGCGCTCGCTGCGCTCGCTGCGCCTGCCCTTGCACAGTACGACGCAAAGCCATCTGGCAAACCTGCAAAGCCGTCAAAGCCGCCGAAGCCTCCGAAGCCTTCAAAGCCCCCAAAGCCGCCGAAGCCCGACCATAGTAAGCTCGTCTCACCAAAGGAGCTGATCAAGGCCATCGATCTTGACGACCTACTTGCCGGCTCCCAACAACTCCAGACATTCGCCGACGAGAACGGTGGCAACCGTGCTTTCGGAAGTGGAGGTCACAACGCTACCACCGAGTGGCTCTACCAGACCTTGAAGAAGACTGGATATTACGACGTCTATAAGCAGCCCTTTGTTGAGCTGTTCACGGCTGCGACCGTTAGCCTCACTGCTGCTGGCGCACCTGTCCCGGCTGAATATCTCACCTACGGCCCGTCTGCCAAAGTTACCGCCAACCTCGTCAAGGTTAATAACCTTGGATGCAATGTGTCAGACTTTCCCGCTGGTGTTTCTGGCCAAATCGCCCTCATCTCAAGAGGAACATGCACATTCGCCATCAAAGCCACCAATGCCAAAGCTGCTGGAGCTGTTGGCGCCGTAATCTACAATAACGTTCCCCTCCAGAGCCTTTCTGGGACGCTTGGTGGTGAGGGAGACTATGCCCCTGTTGTAGGTCTTACTCAAGAAGCCGGTAATGGTCTTCTTGCCAAAATTGGGAATGGCACAGTCTCGGCTAGTCTTTCTGTCGAAGCCATCCGCGAGAACCGCACAAATTACAACGTCATCGCGGAGTCCAAACAGGGCGACCATAACAACGTCCTTATGCTAGGCGGACACACGGACTCTGTGTTTGCCGGTCCGGGTATTAACGATGACGGCTCAGGCACCATCGGCACGCTCGTTACCGCTCTTGCCCTCACTAAGTTCAAGCTCAAGAACGCTGTTCGCCTTGGCTTCTGGGGCGCAGAGGAGTTTGGCAAGTTGGGCTCATTCCACTACATGAAGTCCATCAACGGCACGCTCGGCGGCAACAGCACCGAGGTTTCCAAGCTCCGCGCATACCTCAACTTCGACATGATCGCATCGCCCAACTATGTGCTCGGTATCTATGATGGCGACGGCAACGCATTCAACTTCTCCGGCCCCGCTGGCTCCAACACCATTGAAAGGGACTTTGAAATCTTCTACGAAGAGCGTGGGCTTCCTCACGTGCCCGCCTTGTTCTCTCTGCGCTCTGATTATGCCGCGTTTCTGGAGAACGGCATTCCATCAGGTGGTCTGTTCACTGGCGCTGAGGTCCTCAAGACCCCTGAGGAAGCACAGCTATTCGGTGGCGAGGCTGGTAAGCCGCTCGACGGGTGCTATCACCAAAAGTGCGATGACATCAACAACCTTTCCCACGATGCTTACCTCCTCAACACCCAAAGCATTGCAAACTCGGTTGCCAAGTATGCAGTCAGCTGGGAGGGGATACCACGACCCAACGCCACTCACCGTAAGAGGAGTGCTGAGAAGAGCAGGTTCATGGCCCGCTTTGACCAGGGAGGTCATGAGCATCACGGCCAGCCGTGCGGTGCTGGAAAGAACGTGGTGTAAAGGACCCTATGAGAGATAAAGGTCATTTACATGATAAAATGATGTGACGATGATGTAGAGTAGTATAAAAATGAAGTAAAAATTCCAGTACCATTGCATTTTCTTCCCAATACAATGACTTTACTTCTGATTCAGCTCGTTTCATCTAATCGATACGCTACCCTAGCACGAGGCATAACTGGACTCTCAGATAGAATTTAATGTTGTATCGAAACTAGTAATTAAAATGCTTGAAATAAGCCTCCTAAGATATCCAAGGCCGTGAATTGGCGTTCAGGTAGGCTGGGAATCGGGTACCTTGCCCACGGCGATCAAGCTAATGCCATCTAAGCGACTATGTTGAAACAGTTCGTAGTCTTGAGGGAGACGTTTGTATACTCGCCTGTCTTCTACTGTATATTACATACTGAGACAACAATTACATCTACTGAAGCTCGCAAAGTTCAACTAGCGACGCACAGATAACGCTCCCTTGTGAGGAAGATGGGATGAATAGCATCAGGACGAACCAAAGTCTCGCATAGAAACTCCTTGTCTGAGACAATTTCGTGCCCGAATCGAACCTACTGGTTACTCATAAGCAAACACATGTTTCAGCTACAAATATAAGAGCAAATGTTCATAACATTAAGACTACAAGCCACGACGTCAACCCACAGATCCACATCAATAGCACAACACCGCCATGTCCGCTTCCCAAGACCACAACCACAGCCGCCCATTCCCCCTCTACGCAACCCGCATCGCTCACATCGATTCTCACCTCCACCGTCTAGAGCATGAACTCGCAGTCGAAGAATCAAAGGCCTCACTACTTCCCCTAGATACCGAACGACGGACAGTATTCGAGCAGAAGAAAGACCTGTTGGTACGCGCAATGCGGCGATTGGAGTATGCTACAACGCGGGCGGTACGAATTTCAGAGGCGCAGATTGAGAAGCCGAATGTGTTATTCGGTGAGGTAGCCAGGTGGATGGAAGGGGTGATCGAGGGTGATTTGAGGGAAGTGGGGGTGTTGGTGGAGAGGTTGAGACGTGTGGAATAGAGGGTAGAAGGTGAGGGAGAACCAGGGTGCTGGCGCAAGGGGAGGATGTTTCGTTGGGCGTTCTATCTTTTGGGGGATATCGCTTGGATTGTCAGTTATGGATATACTTTGATGAAGGTCCTTGAAGGAATCGCGTATGCCTAGGATTACTCACCATTTCACTATATTGATGGAGGTATATGGGTAGTACTTTTATCGAGCAATTACATCAGCCTCCTGTGATTAGGACCCTTCACCGGATATATCATTGTGAAGATGCTTGGGGGATCAGTGATGGAGAAACACGTGAAGGTTAACCGAGGGCGCACGGATCATCTAAGCCAGTCAAGACAGGGAGGTGTTAGGTGACATCATCAATCAACAGAACTAATACTGTGTCAAACACAACTAGCCTACAAAGTTGATATACACTCAACTATAGTAGCACGCGATTTTTCTTCACGTCTCTTGGTGTATCTGCATTCTGTCGCAGAGAGAGTGGTCCGCATTGTCCGGCTTTCGTCCGCAGTCAGGCCTCCCATAAACTATGATAAAAATAGGGTTCAAGAAGCTCCCATGCCCCAGGACTACCTGCTGAGTTATCGCCTGCCTGTGGGTGTAGTTTGAGAACGAGCATATTTCTGTCGCTTTGCAGCCCAAAGCTCTGTTCTATACCCCCAATTCGGATAAGCACTTACGGGACTCGTTGTCAAAATGGTGAATCTTTCTTTGATTAGACAAAGCAACAAACATATCGACGAGGCTTCGACACCCTGCGTCGCAGTTTTTGTCGGCGGCACTGCTGGTATTGGGAAGATTACGCTCGCTGAGATAGCTGCACTTGGGACAGACTTCAAAGCATACGTCATCGGTCGTAAAGAGAGTGAACAGGCATTTAAGACTTTCCTTGATGACTTACACCAGGCCAATCCAACTGCCAACATCATTTGGGTTGAGGGACAAGTCTCGCTTCTGTCCGACGTCAAGAGGGTCTGTGATCTTATCAAAACCCTTGAATCCAGTGTCGACCTTCTTTTCATGACAGCGGGATATGCGCCTATGGGTGGAAGACAGAGTATAACACTTCTGCAAAAGTGGGGTCATAGACTAATGTAATATAGTCACACCCGAAGGGTTGGATATCAGTCAATCACTGGTCTTTTACTCCCGCATCTGCTTCGTCGAGAATCTTCTCCCCCTCCTTCGAGCATCACGGAATGCACGAGTTATTAGCGTTCTCTCGGGCGGACTCGAACGCGGGTATCTACTCAATAACAACGGGTTGAATGTGGAACAAACGGGCAGCTTCGCGGCAATGGCAACCCACATGCATATGGGGATCATGGGCACTCTCACCCTCGAGCGACTCGCGGAGGCGAAAGAAAATCACTCCATTGTTTTCATCCACAGCCATCCCGGTATTGTTAGAACTGGAAACCTGTTTCGCGGGTGGGGTGAGGGGTCGTGGGGTCCGTGGTTTGCCGCAATCTTCATGGACCCCATACTGATGCTTATCGCATTCAGTTTCAAAGAATCGGCAGAGAGGTACCTATACCAGGTGACGAGCGGCGCGTTTGGGGGGAGAGGACCTACACTTCCGGGCATCGTAGGACAGACAACCAGAGGAGAGCACACGGGAGGATTGTTTCTCGTGAACCGAACTTGCGACGCAGTGATGAATGAAAAGGAACTGGCAAAGCTCCGTGTCACGGCACAAGAAGCAGTATGGGAGAAGGCACACCAAGTCATTAGTCCGTATGTCTAGCAAAGAAAATATGGGTCACGGGAACTGCCTGATAGCCACTGAATTAATTCAGAAGTAGCGGGTGTGGGTGGAAGTAGAAACGGAGAATATAGATTGATGGAGGGGTGGAAAGGACTATTTGTGTTGTTAGGCATCTTGTCTGTTACGCTGTTTCCTTTCTCATAGGGTGATTATCCTGTAATAAGATATGGGGTTGGTTCTCCTAGGGGTATGTCGCAAGCTGTATAGTCTACAGGTGTTTTAAAAACGGGCTGTCTTGATTATATTATGTCCATGTCTATTCCCTCACGGTATTGCTCTATGGTGTTACAAGAATTATCGTGTGATAACTTGAAAACGGTTTGTATAATCGCTCAATATTCATCTATCAGGTAGAAAACTAAATTCTGTGCTCTAGGTCAAGTGGCTTCCTCTCTTGGGTAGCAAACTGTTCCGTTATAAAGTCCACTACCTGCTCCCATCTACACCTCCATTCTCTCTCACAACATCATTCCTTAAGCCTTTACCTGAAATGTCAGCGTCTGATCAGAATGTTGGAACCATCATCACACGGCTTCAAGTCACACTCAGCAGCGCCCAGAAAGCACCCCAAAGTCCCGGACACAAGGAAAATACTCAACTGCCTCGCCAAATGTTGGGTTGGGTCGCCGCGACGGCCTTCCAAGATACTGCGACCGGCCTAGAAAAAGCAAACGAGCACCTTGAGGACGCTATGTGCTTGATGCGCCAGCTAAGCGCTTTCGATTGCGTGCAATATGGTGGAAGTGCGGAGATTCAGGTGGCGAGGGCGAGGATTACGAATGCGCTGAGTAAGTTGGAGCATGTTGTGGTGGAGGTGCGCAGGAGCGTGCGTTATAAATAGCGAAGGATAAATGCGCTTTTGGGTTCATGGGATTGGTTGCAAGGTGGAACTAGAGAAGTGTGGTTTGGGTAATCAGTGTTGCCTTCGAAAATCGGGGTAGAAAATGCTTCTGACGGTGGCTGTTGTGCCTTTTTCATGTTCTCTCACCCCAAGATCGATTTCCTACTCTACAAGGATTCTTTGAAATGCAAAAACGGAACCCTAGTCCCGTGTGATTTCATCATGTGCCATAACGCCTAAGTCGAACCCTGAGTTTCAGAATTAAATATCCAGTGCCAGTAAGCGAGAATCACACTCGTTACAGTGTGGGGACTCCAAAGTTAAATCAACCGTACAAGAATAAGCACTATATCGAAAAGGCATGCTCGTCTGCACTTAGGTCTGCTCTTGTGTTAGGTTAATGCTATACTTCGTCGCCATATCAACTGCGTGATTAGTTAGGCTAGTTGAGCTTTTGGCTATGGCAGCGGCCTGTCCTTTCAAGGTAGCCATGTCTTTAGCTATGGCAGCCCTGAGCCTATGAAGAGCGGCTTTCGCGGTTGCCTTTCTGCTCTTTGCTGCTGTTGCTTCTGCTTTTGTCTGATTTTCTCTGCCCTTTAATGAGGCTACTTCCTCCTGAAGTCTGTAAGCCGAGTTTTCGGCAGTAGTTGCTCGGGATGTCATAGTGACTAGTTGTGACTGGATCGTGTTGTGCTTTTGCTCGAGACTTTTGTACGCATTTGCATTGTAATCGCAGAAGCTCCGAATTCTCTTGATTTCGGCAGCGAGCTGGTGTCTCTGTGCTTTGAATTGCTTTCCTACTGCGGTAGCAGCATTGCACCGCATGTTAAGTTGGATGTTCTTATTGGTTAGATTTTTGATCTTCTCTACGAGCTGTATTGATTCAAGCTTCTTTGCTTGAAGAGCGTTTTGTAGACGTCTATTGTCTTTTTTAAGATGAAGGGAAGAAGACTCGGGTCGAGAATTGTTTGGAGTCTGAGCTGGAGAAGAGGCTAGTGAAGTGGCCCGCTTTAAAGACAGCGGTTGTTCAAGAGATCCGTGAAGACAGTGGCTGCGTGGGCCATGCGTTGAGGTTTCTAGCCTATATTAGTATTATTATCTTCTAAGTCTATTTTATGGAATACGTACGAACAGTACTTTCGTTGTCGTCCTCATCCTCTTGCTTTTGTTTTTGCGACATTGTTGAGTCGTACTGTGATCCTTCCGGACCTCGTGAAGCTAATTAAAGTTAGTTTTCTAACGTTTCTAGCGAGTTTGCTATCAAGGGTCTACCTGAAGAAGGTATGCCAGGTGTTGCCGTCCTGTTCTGTTCGCTCGCTGGGGTAGGTTGCTTAGTCGGTAAAATTGATTTGGAATGGGCACTTCTTCCGGTAACGGAAGCGCAGGCGTTTTTGAAGTCCAGCCAGAATGTTTTGTATAGTACAATTTGCTGGAGGTGCTTTCCTGCCAAGAAGTAATAAAGTATTATCGCCTTTAATCTGGCTATGGTGGCGCGGTCGGAACTTTTAGCATTACTATAGTCATAAAAGGGCTCCTCGAAATCGACAGAGTTCAAGCTCTGCTGTCTGATTCGGAACAATTTAGAGTCTTCGAAATGTTGATAGGCGTATCTAATGTGGAGATTTTGGCTTTTGTCCAAGTCAATGAATGCAAAGACTTGATGGCGTCTGATATTGCCAACGTGAAGCATTTTCGTCATGGCTCCTTCAGGCTGAGTGACTCTTCCTCGATTCTTGATATCGAGGCCCCGCGGCCTGAACGTGAGAGTTTGAATGGGAGGTAGCGAACAGAAATTGCCTTGTAGATGTTCTTTGGCGACCTTTTGGAATGCGGATAGACTCCAAGGAATGGCTAACTCACCATCTGGCACAACAGATGGCTGTGGTGATCTGGCAGCCTCCATAGTGATTCGTTATCTGTTGATTCTCTGGTGAGAAGAGCTGGTGTGTCACAAAGTCCTGCTGTTGAAGGTGCCAATCTAACACCCGCTCGCGATGGTTGATATTTGGGTCCTCTTTAATATAGCGTGACGCTTGGCCGCCGGTAATGCTGAGTAATGGCAGTATATGGATGTCTGCTGGTAATAGTGAAACTAGTTGTATGCAATGATATTGGCTTTCGGAAGAGACTGTGACTGTTCTTCAGACGCCTCGGTAATAGCAGCTGAGCGCGAAAGCTGTCTTAGTAAGTGTAGGATGGGGTGAGATAGGGAGTAGTTGGAGCGTGGGGCGAATAAGTACTGCTGTAGATTCGTGAGTAATAAAGGTGTTGTAGTGGAAGTATAGGTGAGTGCGGATGTATAGCGCAGGTGAGTGCGGATGTACAGCGCAGGTGAGTGAATCACCGCCAGCTCAAGATACTCACCCTCCCAAGAAAGTATTGAAAGCACCGTGTGATAGGATTCATTCGACCACTATGCATATGGTAAAAGGGTGAAGTTAGACAGCAGCTAGAGCCCCCGTATTTGATGACCCTGTTTCAACGAGCAGACGAAGTCATATCATGGCAAGAGGGTTGCGGCCTGTATCTCAATACGGTTATTGTAGCCGGGAAGTAGAGTCTTTGTCCTCTGCTTAGCTAAGAAATGATAAGTTGTATACATAATGTCTTAGGGAAGCAAAAGCAGTGAGTGAATGCACTTGTGCGCAGTGCGCATCCAATCGCTAAACAAACATCGCATTGAATCAGGATTTAATTTTACTCAAGATTGTGGTAAAACTCTAAGAGGCATTCTTTTTGCGAAATTTTGACTACATAGTTGTTATAGTCCTTCAACATATGAGTGATGAGAGAGAGAAAAGCTAGTGTTAAATCAATCGTGATGGCTTGTGGTCTCTAGCTAGGAATATTGCAATGTTATCTGGGGTAGCAATATGCATTAGACTCACTAAATTTACAAGTTTACACAGATAGAGACAAGAATGCAAGCGTTTAGTAGTATTCAGGAAATAAATGATTTGTTGATGACGTCTATGATTTCCTTTCGGGGCATCGCGGGGCTAGCGCCGACAAGTCCTCAGTAAATTCCATCCCTGGCGCGCCACACTCTTTTCATTTACTGTTCGGATTTCGGATCCATACTCTATTCATATCCTATCGCGTTTTCCTGCCTGATCAGACTAAGTAGGATGCGGTCTGACAGCAACACCTGGACGGCGCGTCTTCCCCGTATGTCTTGGTCCGTGAGAGCCATGGACGCTCCTCTCATCCCACTTTTACTCAGAGGATGCTTCCATCTACAATCCTCCGTCATAATCAAACGAGATGTTGCAGTTCTTCCCGCACATTAAAATGGTCTTCGAAGATCATCTCTTTCCCGCTGCTTGCTTTTAGCCTGAATGAACGGCTGTCGCAACACACCTTTCGTCCTCGGCACTGAATCTCTTGGACTTCGCTTCATCAGCCCTTCCGATCACAGCTTACATTCGGGATGGTCTTCATGAGTTATATAATACTGTAGTGCAGAGCCATTCGAGCGCTGTTCTCATAACATTTGACCATGCGATTGTTCCTTAGCACCTTACTTCTCGCCTCACGTCTCGTTTCTGCAGAAGATGGCTCGGCAGCATGGTTGCGATATGCTCCGGTTACGCAAGCTAAGAATTCTCGATTGTTGCCCGCAGCAATCATCGCTCTCAACTCTACGAAAAGTAGCCCAGTTTATACAGCAGGCCAGGAACTTCGAGACGGTATCGCGGGTATCTTCAGCAAAGAACTGAATGTGAGCACTCAAGCAAGACGAACCTCCTCTGCCGTCATCGTGGGGACATTAACCGCGTATACGAATGATTATGGAGATCTTGAAGACGCGGAAGATCTGGAAGAAGATGGTTTCTTCCTGAGTACAGAACAGGATCAAGTCGTCATTGTAGGACATAACGAGCGTGGTGCTCTTTATGGTGCCTTTGAGTACCTTTCTAGGTTGGCACAAGGCGATCTTTCGCCAACATCCTTTATCTCAAACCCACAAGCACCAATTCGATGGACGAACGAGTGGAACAACCTAGATGGGAGCATTGAGCGTGGTTATGCTGGCCCCTCTATCTTCTTCCGCGATGGTTTCGTCCTCGAGAATGTTACTCGGGCTGCTGAATATGCTCGTCTTTTAGCATCAATCCGCATCAATGGAATCATCATCAACAACGTTAACGCCAATGCCACGCTTCTTACGGCACGGAACATCGAAGGGCTGGCGAGATTGGCGGACGCAATACGACCATATGGTATACAGCTTGGCATATCGCTCAACTTCGCATCCCCGCGGGACCTAGGCGGACTGAGCTCTTTCGATCCTCTTGACCCAAAGGTCGATGCATGGTGGATGAATATCACCACGCAAATATACGCAAAGGTTCCAGACATGATAGGCTACTTGGTAAAGGCTAATAGTGAAGGCCAACCGGGACCGCTGACCTATAATCGCACACTAGCCGACGGGGCCAACATGTTTGCCAGGGCGGTAAGGCCTTATGGCGGTGTTGTTATGTTCCGTGCATTTGTGTACGACAACCACATTAGCCCGGCAAACTGGAAAGCTGATCGGGCGAACGCGCAATTAGAGTTCTTTCAACATCTGGACGGAAAGTTCGATGAAAATGTGGTCGTGCAGATCAAGTACGGCCCTATCGACTTCCAGGTTCGAGAGCCAGCATCGCCTTTGTTTGGGGCTTTACACAATACGAGTACAGCCATCGAGCTACAGGTCACACAAGAGTACCTTGGCCACCAATGCCACCTGGTATACCTCGCACCGCTTTGGAAGGAAATACTTGGTTCTGATCTGAGGGCTGATAGTCGCTCGTCTAAAGTGAAGGACATTGTTTCTGGTTCACGCTTCAAGCGACCGTTAGGTGGCTATGCTGGCGTTGTGAATGTTGGAACTAACTCAACCTGGCTCGGTAGCCATCTGGCAATGTCTGTGAGTGTTGCATGCCTTTTTCATTTTTTGGTTCAGTACTGATACCAACAGAACCTCTATGCATACGGAAGGCTGGCGTGGGACGCGTCGCTCGAATCTGAAGCAATTCTTCAAGATTGGACACGTCTAACATTTGGTCTCGATCAAGAAGTTCTGGATACTATCACCGATATGTCTATGAAGTCATGGCCGGCTTATGAAAACTATAGCGGCAATCTGGGAATCCAAACTTTGACGGATATTCTCTACACGCACTTTGGACCAAATCCTGCTTCTCAAGACAACAATGGCTGGGGTCAATGGACACGCGCCGACAAAGCCAGCATTGGCATGGACCGCACGGTGAAAAATGGGACAGGGAACGCAGGACACTATCCACCTGAAGTCGCCCAGATCTACGAGAATATTGAAACTACCCCAGACAACTTGTTACTCTGGTTTCATCACGTGCCTTACACTCAACGACTCAAGTCGGGGAAAACGGTCATTCAACACTTCTACGATGCCCATTATGAAGGAGCTGACACAGCACAAGCCTTCGTCAGGCAATGGGAGTCGTTGAAAAGCAAGGTTGATAATGAGCGATGGAATCATATCATGTTCCGGCAGACATTCCAGGCCGGGCATGCACTTGTCTGGCGCGACTCCATCAACCAATTCTATCATAATCTCTCCGAGATTCCAGATGAGTCCAAGCGCGTTGGAAACCATCCGTACCGCATTGAAGCTGAACAGATGAGCCTTGTTGGATACAAGCTATATAGCGTCAATCCTTTCCATGCCGCATCGAGACATACTGCTATCGTCACGAACTCGAACAGCAGCGCGGGTATTGCGACTGCAAATATAACTTTCGTTTCAGGAACATACGATGTGGCGGTTAATTACTACGATATTATCGGTGGGAAGGCGAGGTATCAGCTCGAGATCGATAACCGCACCATAGGCAAATGGACGGGGAATTTGGAAGACAAGTTGGGCCATGCGCCTTCGATCTACCTGGACGGTCATTCAGCGACGCGCATCACATTCAAAGGCGTCGAAGTTAGGCATGGGGAGACGGTAAGGATTACAGGGCAACCGAATGGCATGGAGCCTGCGCCCATCGACTACATATCATTCCTGCCACCTGGGGTTGTCGATTGAGAAGGCATCGCGAAAATTATGGCGTAGGTAGCTATAGTTGTACGATGAAGACGCTCGGATCTCATCTCCGAGTCCGATTTCTGCCCAGTCGGCATCATTTCCACTTCAAGGAACCCCTGCTCATATCCCGCATATCTAACTTATAGTAGATTGGCAACACTAATGTCCGCCAGCCACAGCTGGCCAACTTAGTTTCAGCACATTAGTGGCTTTGACACGGTGAAATGTCGCTCCTTCTTCGCGGCACGTCAACACCCATCTCCTGCCTGATCTAGAGGATCTAGACCAGAAGCCTGGGGACTTCGCAGCTTCGTCCACGATCTTTGCGTGTTGAAACTGGCCCTATAATATATTCCGAAGCTTGGACGATCGTGTTCGCTTCGGGGGCCGCGGGCGTGCGGCGTAGCGGCGCAATCTCACGAACCCAGATACCATCACCCCTTCTCCAAGTGTGACAGACAGCCTTCAGCCACAGGGGCCGCGAAAACTTTGACGAGACACCGTTTCCTTAATCTCCGTCGTTTGGGATACTGCTGTTTGTCTTAGTCTTCTCGGACATCATCGAACACTTCAAACTCTGTCCCTCAGCTTCATCCCCCTCTGTTAGCCTGTTAGCCCATTGCGAAACCGCAAATGCCTCAACCTAGCACGATCGCTGCAAGATGTGCTGCACTTGGCACATCCATAAATCAGGTAAGCACTTATCGAACAACCAGAACGTGCACGTGCTGATGCCTACTTGAGGTTATCCCAGATATCTACAGCTTTGCGCGACGGGTTCGCGATTCTAGACATGATCTGAACGCTATCAATAGTGATCTCTTAATCATCAGGACTGGCCTCGGCGTTGCCCAAGACGACTTCGCATCGACATCCAGTGCCAAGTTGCCCGCCTCACTTATCGATGCGGTATCGCAAATTCTTGATTCTTGCGATGATACAAGCGATCGCTTACACAAAGCTTTTCTCAAACTGTCGTGTAGCAGCGTGCCAAGACAAGATTGGCAATTGCTTAAAGATGGGCTTTTGATCAACCTACGGCATGATCTTAATGGGGCAACAATCGTGTTGGAACTCGCTCTTGACTACATCTCGCTGTGAGTGCCAGTTTTAGAGTTCAGGCGCATGAAACAGTCACTCACCATGGTAGATTTGGTCAACAAGACACTCTCGACTCACTCCTCCAGTGCTACGTCAGTGATCTCATCACAGCGAGCGATGACTTGCTGAAAAGAACAGACAAGGAAGAGATCCACATCAACCTCACGGCACGTGATAGACTCCCTTCACTACTTCAGGCTATTCGTCTTCTCCGCTCATGTATCACTGCAATCTCAAGGGAGACAGCAGTAGCATCGTCTTCGTCACCACAGCCGATAAAAAGAACGACAACGCCACGGCCAGATTCGTTGGAGCCCTCATTAGGCGAGCCACGTCGGAGTCGTAGACCTAACGCTCCTCAACAGGTCTCTTCAGAGTCGGCTGCGAGCAAGAGCATCGGCACTTGGCTTGACAATGTACCTTGCTTCGAGGACGCGCCACCTCTCACCCATTTGGCAATCCGTAGAGTAGCCGAAGAAACACACACAAAACGAGCATCTCGGAGCCACCTGTCTCCATCACGTGGTACTTTCTACACGGATGATGGTGTCTCTTCTAGTCGGACGCTGGTCGCATCCGAAGCACGAATTAGGAGGTCGCGCAGCTGGTGCTCCAATTTGACAATCCTTAATCACAACGTATCAACGGCGACGAAGATGACGCAAGCAGACAGATACACGCGCACAATGTCCGGCTCAGATGTTTCGGTCATTCACAAAAACATTACATCAGACAAGATTGCCGTTGCCAAGGGCAACCGAAAAGATCTGGATATCGATCAGAGAGTAGCTGTTGATCGTATTTTGGCAAACGTACCTGCAGAGGCAACTGCCGAAGAGGTCGAGCGGATATTGTGGGAAGGTGCTAATTCCTCGGTGGTTCACCCGGACTTTGGATACTTCTTCATCAGGGCAGCACATGAAATGTCGCCTAGCGTACTTCAAGTGTTGATTGAATTTGGGGCTGACATTACCCGAACAACTTCCTCTTCGTCTCGATACTACTCAGCAATGCACGCTGCGACGACAGGACGACAGCTGGATACAGTAAAGTATCTTGTGTTATGTGGGCATTCAATCGACATGCCGAACACCCTTGGCGAGACACCTCTCCATCTCGCCGTCAAGACGCCTGGAGCGTACGAGGTGGCGAGATATTTGGTGAATTTGGGAGCGGATGTGAACCAAGAAACCCACAGCGGTGACACACCGTTGCAAGCAACACTCACAGAACCGATGCTAGAAGGCAAGGAAAGAAGCATGTTGATAGAGCTGCTGTTGGCACACGGAGCGGAAGGCGAAGTGAACAAGGACATGGAGGCGAGAAGAGGCAATTCGAAAGGAAGGCACGTGCTGGGCCTAAGTTGAGTACAATCAGATTCTAAAATAGCCCGCCACTTTCGGTCGGCACTTTCCAAGATTCCTAAGCGACGGCAAGTCATCCCAAGTTTTCCAACAGCTCTTTCCAATTCTAGAGCGCTCTGAGTAACACTTATTGTCCTCCGTTTTAGTAACTTGCTGGATCTAGTTATAATCATGAGATCTTGTATTTTCAAGCACGGCTACTACATGGGATCTGTCTGAGTTCTCCTTATCTTCTTCGACATGCCCTGGAAGTTCTCGGTATACCACTACTAGCCTAACTCTAGGGCAGACCTAGCTTGAAGCCGCCAGGCACATTCTTCTGGAAAAAGCCATTCGGATCGTACTTCGCGCTAACACCCCTCAGAAATTTCCCGGAATCCTTTCCATAGCTCTCGATTACCTTCTGCGAGCCATGGCTGTAATTCAGGAACCGATACTGCACTGCCTTGCCCGTAGCCTCAGCAGCCTTGTTGATCGCCTCAAGAAGATCTAAAGACATTTGCACAATTTGCTCGTCATCTTTCTCCTCCGACCACGCCGGGTTGAGTAGAACGTTGACGTACGGACCGTCGTCTGTAGCAATACCCAGAGCATTCTGACCCGCTTCAGCAGACTTCTTGAGCATATGCGTAGTGAATGGCTGTAACACGACGGAGTATGCGAGTTCTTTGGCCCCTTTGATCGGTTCGACGGCCGTCCGAAACAGCTCCTGGATGGCAAGAAGAATATCAATGTCCGGCTTTATAGTGGTCGTGAAGTAGAGATTGCGACCGCCGTCTACACTGTAGCTTGATTGCTCGGTGGTGAACTCGACCAATGACGCCTGTCGCAACGATGCGTTGAGTCGAGGCTCAATTGCTGTGAACTTTGAGAGCGACTCGGGACCAGGCTCTACTGTCGAGTGGCTCGCATGAAACGTACTCAAAACGGTCAACTCCCCGCCCACTCTCTCGGCCCAACCCGTTGATAGCAACACATGCGCATCTGGATCTGGTGTTGGTGAAGTTGCGAAACTGTGAAGAGCGCGTACGGCATCTGGATAAGACGTCCCTGGGTGAACCGTCATACCTCCCCATAGCTTGTCTTGCGGGAAAGTGGGGAAGTCAATCTTAGTTACGACTCCGAAGTTGTTACTACCGCCTTTCAGCGCAGCAAAGAGATCCTGGTTAGTGGTTTTGTTGGCGTTCACAATCTCACCAGAAGCGAGCACTACCTCGAAATTGGTGACTGCATCACAGACAAAACCACGTCGTCCTGAGAAGTAAGATAGTCCGCCTGCATATGTCAGTTTGCAGCGCTTGCTCGAATACAAGCTTCGTCAACTTACCGCCGAGAGTTAGGCCTACAACGCCCACACGAGACACACGACCACCAATTGTTGCGAGACCTTCAGGTGCGAGGGTTTCGTAGACATTACCCCATCGCTCGCCTGCGCCTATTGATACAGTCGTCTTGTCTGCATTCAAAGTGACACCGGTCAAGTTGCGCATGTCGATCACAAGGCCATTGTCGATGTTTGCGGCGCCTTTCCAGGGCGTGTTGCCTGCTCCTCGTATTCCAATTTTAGAGTTCGACTGCGCAGCTTCTCGAACTAGTTGCGCAACTTGATCCGCTGATTCTGGACATGCAATAGCGGATGGGGAGATGTCGTTGTTGAAGGCTGTGAAGTAGGATTTGTTATGCTCCTCGAATCCATTCGACTTCGGCTGTAGTGATTTGAACGACATGTTGCAACACTGGAAGTTTTTGGGGGAAGGGATCTGGAGTGAGAATCGGGCAGCAAACTTGGGTCTGGAGTGAGGATTATTCTGCTATAGCAGAGGCTGTGATGGTAAAGAGTAAGGTCAAGCTCAGCCGTGATATGCTGCGCAATATAATATAATGAGTTGGTGGTTCCACTTCTTTAGAAAACTTGGGAAAGGAAGGCTCTACCTAGGTAACCTTGGAAGCACCCTGACACTAGTCCCAAACCTATCCAATCCGCAGCTCGCCATGTGGCTCAATCGTTTGCGTCGCCATTGCGCAAGACTCATTGCTTGCATTCTACTGGAATTCACCATGAGCTGCTGTTAGCACAATAGTAGTAGTCTCCCTGTGTTTAGTTTTCCGGGCAGTACCTGTCCTCTCTTCGACCCGGTGAATGCACAACTTCTCGGTCGGTGACCGAAGGAATCAATAATAGAATATGTGGTTCGACAACACAGCGGGTTATCAACAGCTGTGCCGCAATATAGACGCTAACGAGATGTGTCTCCGGCTTTTTACGTTGGGGCTAAAATAGGTACAAGCATGCGTATGCGGCATGGCCCCCCGCAGTCTCCCTCTTTCCCGCGCGCGAGGCTAAGTGAGGGCAGCCGGCTGACCCCTCCCTCTCTTGATTGGGTCTTGACTGGTGATAGCAATGTAAGCGCTAGGGTTATATGTCGAAAGATATGTCCAGGCCATACCTCATTGTGAGTACATGTTTGCTAGGGCGGCGTGAGTCAAAATGTACGTGTTCCCTTCATAGGAAAGGCTAGCGCCGTCCTAAACAAGTCTAACCCCACTCAACACTGTGCCACCTTCAATCGACTGCGATTGAAGAGACGAACATAGAACCCAACTGCAAACACGCATTCATCCAAATTTGCATATTACCACCACTAGAGCTATGGAAGAAACACCTGGGGATCTCGGAACAGTTCTGGTTTTGGGCGGCGGCGGCTTCCTGGGCACTGCTGTTGTCGAGAGGCTGCTCGAGACAGGCCGCTGGACTTCAATCGTGGTCTCCAGCAGAAATCCCAATCAACAGATACCAAACATTTCATATCGCAAATCCGATATTTGCGACGAGAAGAGCGTCACAGCGTTGATCGACGATGTCAAACCACGCCTAGTGGTCCACTTGGTCTCGCCTCGCTACAACGCTGAGCCACAACAACTCTACGATTGCAACGTGAAGGGAACATCGATGTTTCTGGACGTATGCCAAAAAAGTTCACATGTCAAAGCGTTGCTCTATACGTCGACTAATAGGGTCATTGCAAACTCTCCACCTGCGATCCTCACCGAAGACGATATTGAGTTGTTCACCGAGTCCAGCAAAACGCATCCATACTGCAAGACCAAGGCTATTGCCGACGCCATGGTCCTGGCTGCAAATGGAGACTCCTTGAAGACAGCTATTCTGCGCGTGCCCATCGTATATGGAGGCAGAGACCAGCACATGGAGGTCGTAATGGACTTTTTCGATAAAGGTCAACAGAAAATGCAGCTTGGGGATAACAGAGCGCTCTTCGAGATTGTCAATATAGACAACGCAGCTCATGCCCATGTTCTGGCTGCGAAAGCTCTGCTTTCCCCAACGTCGCGAGACAGAGACATCTCTGGCCACGCGTTCTCCATCACAGACGGGAATCCGATGGGCTGGTACGACTTTGCGCGAAAGGTATGGGCGGAAGCGGGCGACAAGACGACACCAGATGAAGTTAAAGTCGTGCCGTTTTGGGTACTCTTCTTCGCAGCATCTACATGGGAATGGCTCCTGTGGCTGAGCACCTTGGGCATGGTCAGGGCAACGAAGTTTAACTGGTACAACATCAATACGATGAAGGAAGGAAGCTGTGTATTGGATATTTCGAAAGCAGAGAAGATGCTAGGATATAGTCCGATAATTTCTACAGAGGAAGGCATTCGCCGAGCTACGAAGCGTGCGCTGAGTGAAAGGAAGAAGGCTTAAACTAGGAGGCATTGACAGGCCCACATTTAGAGAGACAATAATGGGCAACATCAGGTATAGGAAACTATCAAATGAAAACGAGTCGCGCTAAACATCGTCTGTCTGAAAGCGCATCCACCTGCAAGCCAAGGGAAGGATACCAGCATCCCAAGCAGGAAAGAGCAGGAGGTACTGAAAATACAGACGCCACCTAGAAACTTTGATAGTATGAAATATCAAAACAAATATGAGACTAAGCACTCCGAGGTGTGAATCGTACTTTCGTGCGCTCCACCGGCAGCACATAACTCCGCCAAATACTCGCCCTCTCCGCCTTTGGATCCACAAGCTCAACCTCATAGTTCTGCACAATATGCTCGAGAACAAGCTTCATCGCCACACTTGCATAGAAGCGACCAGGGCAGACTACAGAGCCAATGCCCCAACTATGATAATGTGGTGAGATGTCAGTGAGCTTCGAGGGGCCCTCAGGCTGTAGCGCCTTGCGAACGCCGTCTGGTACATTCGCCTTATGCGGCACAAAGCGAAAGCCGTTGAAGCGCAGCGCATCAGGGAAGTACTGCTCGTCTTGTAGAATAGCTTTAGCGGGGACACATGTCCAGGCGCCTTTTGCTACTTTCGTGCCGTCTGAGTAGTAAAAGTCTTTGAGTGCTTGGCGGCGGCCGGACATGGCTTCCATGGGGTTGTGTCGCGTGGATTCTTTGATGAAGGAGTCGAGGAGGGGCAGGCCTTGGGTTGTATTCATGAAGTTGGTGAACTCTTCGCTGCTGAGCTCTTCGCGGAGGGGCGAGAGGTACTCTTTATAGAGGCAGAGGTCGTACAGAGCGTAGGACGTTGTTGCTGATAGGGCGTGCAGAGACCCAAACCAAAGGGCGATTACCTCGTATGTGATCCGACGGGCGCCCCAGTTCAGCTCTGTGGGGGCGGTGTCAATTGTCCATGTGACAAGGTCACTCTAATAAATGAGTTGGTGTTTGTTCAAGAGACATTTGGCTCGGTGTTGGTGGAGGTGAACTTACAGGAGCAGGTGTATCAATAAGACCGGCTTCCCTGTCTGCCTTTTCTCGTAGCCGCGTCTCGACGACCCCGTTGATCATCTTGAACACTCTAGCTTGAATCCCACCTCGGTCCCTAAAGAAGGTTCCGACCCATCTAGAGAGTACGAGTTAGTGATGTGAAGCAAGCAATTCGATAATAGGGTACCTTACCCTTTGAGAAACGTTGGTGTAATGCGAAGAACTTCAGAGGCAATCACTACAAGCTCATTGTACTCTAGGACGGTCTCCATGAAGGCTTTGTCTTGACCTAGTTCGCTCCCGAAAAACGCGTAGCCGTTCAAGTCGCACATGACTTTCTTGATGAGCGCTGGAGCTGGCATGACTTTGCTACCATCTGATAGGGTCAGTCACTGCTCTACTTGTGCAATAGGCTGGATGTAAACGTACCAGGGTTGCACTGGTCTCTGAGCAGTCTATTGAATGACGTCTTGATGTTGAAGCGCATGTTTGGCATTATCTCCCGCATTCTTTCTGGTAGTAGAGTTCCAACAGCCTTGACATAACCGATACCCTCAGCACCACGTTCATCAAGCCAGTTGTGTCCAAGCATGGTGTAGGTTGGTTGAAACATCTGACGTGTAGCGGCGAGGAAAGACAACTCATCTTTCTTCGCTTTCTGGCACTCCTTCAGATGTTGTTTGGAGCTGATGAAAACATGGTCATGATCTGGTGCGGCAACACTAAAAGCAGCTCCTTTAGCCTGTCACTAGTCAGACGTCAAATTACTTTTGTGTGTATGCATTTGGTATTACCTTCTTATACTCCGCCGACATCATGGGATCTCCCCTGAGAAGGAATTTGTATCGCAAGTAGCAGTCAAACATCCACCTCAACGGTCCTTGAGAAATCGATATCGTTTGGTAACAGCAGATCAGCGTGATCAACACACCGCCAAGCGCGCAGCCAAGCACCTCTACCACTGGGAAGGGTGAACTGGAGATATCCATCGACATGGTACTCATTCTATCGTTTTGGTATGATGGTAATCTCAAGTGAAGTATAGACAAAGCAAAGGTGGAAATAGTAGGACTAAGTAATGACAGGGCCGGATTATAACTCACCTAGTGTAAGATTCAAAACTCTTTATCCGTCCCTAGGCCCAGAACATATCCATACTCGTTGAATATTGACTCTGTCATGTCCGAGCCCTGCTCACAGTGTTGCCTCTTTTCGGCCCCAGCCACGCCGCAGCATTGCAGTCACTGCCTCGTTTCAAGCCCTCCGATTTGCTATACTGTACGCGCCCTGGGACCGCCTAGCTGAGACAGTTATCTTTCACCGCTTAAATTGTCTCAAGGTCGAAGCTCCGAGGTGCATTCGTGAATCCTTCAGGTTATGAGCCATACGCCGCTGATATTGAACCATGTCCATGGCAAGCAGGCTTAAAAATTCTGCTTTACATCTTGAATGTCGCGGATTTCTACCCAAAACGTACTGGTGGTATTGTAGATTTCGCTTTCGGTGTCCGATTCCCCCACCCTGGGTTCTACAGCGGAAGTACTGGAACGTAAACCTATATTGAGGACCTACACTATCGAGCTACATTTGAGTGGCCAGTTGACCATGCTTGGACACCAAAGACAGCAACCGCGTAAGGCGAGGCTTCCCGCTTGGGGATAGAGATAATCACTACTCTCCTTCTCGGAATGGCAATATAGTTTGCCTTGCAGGACTTCACCCCAGCATGCAATCACATCATCTTTGAGCCGAGACACGCATGTTAAAAACTCGGAGTTAGATAGTGGGCGCATATCCATCATAGCCAAGACGGGCTGGAGGATCAAAAGGCTCCAAGGCTGATTCTAGTGGCGTTGCACAAGCCTGATTGATAAACGAATGTTAACGGGTCTCACTGTCAGCACCCCTCAGATAGCTGACTGTGCTGTGACTATGCGGCGTAGTAGAGTCTGCATGTGATGTGCCTAGGCCAGCGGTTGGTTTCCCCACTATTAGCTCCACTCTTTGGCTCTGGATCATTGGCTTTAGTTCCGGGGACTATCAAAATTAGCGTACTACCTTCACGTTTCATTTCACGGCAAGTGCTCTCCGCAATCGCTGCACCGGCATAAAAAACGAACACTGCATAGATCCAACTAATCTCTATACTGCAAATGCGATTAATATGGTACGCAATCTCGAACCGTGCCTACGGATAATCCATTTCCTCGGTTTGTAGACAAGCTGTCTAGGCCGCTCGAGATGTATATGGTACTTCGCCTACAAGAAAGGCAAATCGTCGGATCAGCAAAGCGGTTTTCCGGAAGGAGTCTGGAACATTTTACTGCCCTCGTGTCACTGGCAATGCGTTTGTTCGTAGAGATTTGTGATTCGAATTCAGCCGGGACGCATATATTGCGGCACAGTCAGAAGGTTCACCAACCAATGACGGGGTTCCATCGGTTGCGTAGATACGTGACTACGACGTGGTCGCTTAGACAGTCTGACCCGCCAACGCTAGACCGTCCCGAGGAGTAGATGGATTGCTGTAACAGCTGTCACTTACCTGGATAAGCTGCAGATGTAGCTAGATACTAGCTGCTACTACTTCGTGCCTGCGCTATCTGACCCCATTGTCGTCGAGCCGGGCATGTGGCTGTGCTCCACTGTTCAATGGTTTTATGCAGAAGGAATGTATGATATTCAGACGTAATAGTGAGTCAAGGTGAGGTAAGCCAATGTGTTGATTCTGTCTCTGATGGTGGCCAGCAAAATCCCAGATTTGAAATGTGAGACAGCGTACCTTGGAGCTGGGCGCTTTTTTGCCCCCCATGAATGAAGTTTCTAGACTCTATAGGCTGCAGCGTGAATGTGATTCCATGGCCAATTAAAACAGCTTGAAGCCTCCACTGGCGGTCTTTTGGAAGAAGCCTTCGGGGTCATACTTCTGACTGACCGCCTGCAATTGCTTCTTAATCTCAGAACCGTACGAACTGATGGGATCCTGGTCCGGAAACGCATAGTTCATGTACGTGTATGGTGACAGCTGTCCCATCGCCTCCGCCTCCTTCTTGATATCATCGAGAACCTCCTTGTTGGCCTTGATTACGAGGTCATCATCCTCACTGTTGCTCCACGAAGTATAGAGCAGGAAGAGGACGAGAGGGCCATTCTTGGCATCGAGGCCCAGCGAATTACCCGCGCTGGCTTCGAGTAATGAGACTGGAAAGGGTTCGTAGGTGGCAGCGTATATTAGTCCGGAAACTGACTTGACGGGCTCAAAACCCTTGTTGAACTTGTCTAAGGTCATCTTCAGCGCATCAGCGTTTGCTTTCAGTGTCGTAGTTAGATAGATGACCCTGACATAATTTGTTAGCCGTGAGAACGCAGTCAAAGTAAGTTAGCCAGCTTACCTCTTCTTGTACTCGGACTGTTCAGATTGCTCATTCGCCAACTCTGATACTGTAGTAATACGGAGCGTATCAACTTGGGGCACACGTGGCTCGATGTCTGTGAATAGGGCAAACCCTTCTGGTTTTTCTGGCTTGGTGTACGTAGGATCGTTCATGCACATCATGCCACCGAGCTCGGCTGCGTAGCCAATGTTGATCCGCACCTGGGCTTTGGGGTCGGGGCTAGGGCCATTAAGGTATTCTACGATGCGTTCGAGCTGTTGTGGAAAGCTCTGAGGGAAGTACATAAACTTGCCGCCCCATATATTGCCCTGCTTGAAGGTTGCGAAGTCGAAACGTGTGATGATCCCGAAGTTACTGCCGCCTCCGCCTTTCAGCGCCTTGAATAGATCACTATTCTCCTCCGCGTTTGCATTGACAACATCGCCACTTGCAAGGGCGATCTCGTAGTTGACGACATCGTCGGTAATGAAACCCCTTTCAGATGAGAAAAAAGAGATACCACCTATCATCCCAATGAGTAAAGTGAGGGCGATGCGGAGCTTTTCCTCACCTACCGTGGGTAGCAAGGCCACCGATGCCGCCAGTACCCGCCCGACTCCCACTTACTGCCAGGCCTTCAGGCTCGAGCTTCTTAAACACCGCACCCCAAGTCTCACCAGGAGATATGGAGACGAATGTTCGATCTGGGCTCAATTCAATGCCCTTGAAGCGTCGCAGGTGGACTGTGATGCCTCCCGCAACATTGGCAACGCCTGCCGCTGGTTGCTGGCCTGCACCGCAAATGGCTACTGAAACATTACTAGCAAAGGGCTTCAGCGCCTTCACAACAGCGACAACCTCTTCTTTACTAGTTGGCAGAGCAAAAGCAGCAGGCGCAAGATCGCTCTCGAAGGTTGAAAGATAGGTACCGCTGACCTCATTGTACTCTTCAGTTCCTGGGAGAACAATTAGGCGCGCGGAGATTGCCTTGAGAGCTTCGATGGACTCGGAAACGCCCATGGTGAAGGGTACCAGCGGCTGCAGAGTTTGGGGATAGGTGGCTAGGAGGCTTGGATAACGATGAAGGCGTTTGTAGGTAACTGGAGAAGCAAGCTGCTGCAAAGCTGTAGGCTCGGGTCTCGTCGACGCAAAGCGCAGATCAATACAAACAGTCAGCCATGCCGTTGCGCCAACGGCAACGGCCGACCGAGAACCAAGACAATAGCGATGCACATGCCTCGAAGTGGAGTGTAGGGTCAGCAATTAGATTGCGCGGCGCAGCAGTCTGCTTTGCTAGCGACACTGACGACCAAACGGCGGGGCTTGCGCTACGGGGCACAAACAATGTCCCCACCATGACCCCAGTCACATAGTAAGCAAGAATGATAATACCCGAAATACGAAGGGTTGTGATTGATGGTGTGTGACAGTGTTTCGCGGCTGATGTAACAAAGAGCTGATGCGTCGCGGGCGTTGATGCGCTGCCCCGGTGCTCCTTCTTTCCCTACTGATCGCCCGCTAGTGCTAGTGGCGCTTACCTTGTTGGGTTGGCGTTGTTTTCCCCCCCAGGGCCGCCATTTATTGCACAGCAACGTTTGCAATCATTACACCCGTAGGTCAGCATGGCGAAGGTCGCCGACAAGAAAGGCGCGCAGAGCGTCGAAGAAGAGCTCCAAGAGCTCAATCCACAAGGAACGGCCATCGCCGACTCAAGCAAGGAGAGGTAAGCTTTCTCTCGCGCATCAAGGGCAACATCAAAAATTGACAGAAAGCAGTGATAAGAGCGAAACAAGCGTTGCCTTCCATAATGTCCATGTACATGGTTTCTCGCGGCGGACCGACTACCAGAAGACGGTCGCCAGCTTCCTCTTTGCATACGTCCAGCAAACTTTAAGCAAGATAAGGCGCATACCCGAAGCCCGAATCGATATTTTGAAAGGCATAGAAGGCGTTGTTATGCCTGGAGAGATGCTTTTGGTGCTTGGAAAACCAGGCAGTGGATGCACTACACTTCTCAAGACGCTGGCTGGTCAGACACATGGATTTGTCGTTGACCAGCAATCAGCCTTCAATTACCAAGGTCAGGAACTTCCGACTCTCTTTGGAAATCGATCTCACTGAAATTACGTAGGAATTTCACGCGCGGCTATGCATGGCAAAATGCGAGGGAAATGCATCTATCAAGCGGAGCTAGACTTCCACTTCCCGACCCTGACCATGCGCGAAACCCTTGAATTCGCCGCCAGTGCGCGAAATGTTAGCTATGACCAGAAGGATATTCAGCAGAGGGCGGAGTCGTCCGCCACATTGCTAGGACTATCGAGAGCTCTTGATACCAAGATGGGAAACGACCTTATCCCGGGCGTGAGCGGCGGTGAGCGAAAACGTGCAAGTATTGCGGTATGTCCTGTACTTCTTTCTGCTCAAATTTAAAATCACTAAAACACTATAGGAAATCCTCGTATGTGACAGCAACTTTCAATGTTGGGACAATAGCACGAGAGGACTCGACAGCTCGAACGCCCTGGACTTTGTCAAGACGCTGCGTCGGCAGACGACCCGACGCCGCTCAGTAGCTATTGTCACACTGTATCAAGCAAGCGAGGACATATACCAGGTACTTTCCTATAATTGAAGGCCATATAATTCGACCTAATCGCGTCTAGCTTTTCGAGAAAGTCCTAGTCCTTCATGAAGGTCATCAGATTTATTTCGGCCCTACCCAGGGAGCAAGATCCTACTTCACGAACCTTGGCCTCACTTCCCGTAACTGGTCCACCACACCCGACTTTCTCACTTCGGTTACCAAGGCTGAAGACCGCCTCATTCGTGCAGACTTCCCAGGCCAGGTTCCAACCTCGGCCGACGACTTTGCAAGTACCTGGGCATCATCTGCAGTAGCCGCAGAGTTGCGGCGCCAAGTCAACAAGTACGATGCAATACATCCATTTGCCAACGCAGAAGCACTCAAAAAGCACGCGGGTAACAATTCCCTCCTACCCTATGTCGTATCAGTTCCGACACAGATATCATTGTGCGCCTCGCGAGGTTTCCTAAGGCTGAAAAACGATTTGAATGCTCCAATATCTGCACTCATTGGAAACCTGGTCATATCTCTCATTCTCGGCAGCATGTTCTACAACATGCAAGAGAACACAAACAGTTTCTTTGGGCGAGGAGTTCTTCTCTTCATCACAATATTTCTGAACACATCTCTCGCTGGATTCGAGGTCAGTCTCTCTGTTCTTGATGCACGTTAAGTTGCGCTAATTTCAAACAGTGTATCGCCATCTGGGATACTCGACCGATGATCGAGAAACATCTGCGTTATGCATTCTACCGCCCTTTAGCAGAGGCTGTCGCATCGGTCCTCGTAGACTTTCCAAATAAGCTCCTACTCACTTTGGTCTTTAATGTTCCGCTTTACTTTCTCGCAAATCTTCGTCGGACCCCTGGAGCATTTTTCACTTTCTACCTGTTCGCTTTGGTCGCTCTACTCAATGGCTCGATGATTTATCGGGCAATGGGTGCAATGTCACGCACGCTGGAGGGTTCACAACCGCCAGGCGCAGTCTTTTCCTTACTTCTTGTACTCTATAGTGGGTTCGTCGTTCCATTTGGCGAAATGCGTCCCTGGCTCAAGTGGTTTTCGTACATCAACCCAGTCTACTACGGCTTTGAGAGCCTAGTCATCAACGAATTCTCTGGACGAACCTTCTCATGCGCCAAATACATTCCGGCTGGATCGGACTATAGCGATGCACCTCTCGGTCAGAAGGCCTGCACCGCAGTTGGGTCTGCGCCAGGATCCGACGTCACCCTTGGCGATGCTTACATGTTTGAGATTTGGGGCTACCAAAGTAAACACCTTTGGAGGAACCTCGGCATCATGGTCGCCCTCATGATATTCTATGGATGTGTTTACGTATTCTGTTCCGAGTTCATCTCCTTGCAGCCTTCGCGTGGCGAGATTTTGCTCTTCCCGAAAAAGAAGATGGTCAAGAGCAGGATCACGAATGATGAAGAAAGCCAGCCTCCGAGTCTCACACCGAATCAGGGTTTGGATCAAGTGCTTGAAAAATCGGAGGTCTATGATGCAGGCCATATGATAGACGGTGACGCCGCTACATTTGTCTGGAGGAATCTGAGTTACGAGATCAAGATTGGTAAGACGCAGAAACGAATACTCGATAATATTGAAGGTTGGGTCAAGCCGCGGACCATGACTGCTTTGATGGTAAGATGAACATTGGCACAATATAGCTCCAGTTCCCTAGCTAACACTACAAAGGGTGCTTCTGGCGCGGGCAAAACGTCATTACTCAATGTTCTCGCAGATCGAACCACTACTGGAGTAATCAGCGGAGAAAAGCTCGTGGCAACCCATTTCCAAGGCCTTGCCTTCGCTCGAAGGGTTGGCTACGTTCAACAGCGAGATTTACATCTCAATACTATGACCGTTCGGGAAGCACTCGAGTTCAGCGCGCTATTGCGTCAACCGCCCAAGTACTCTGAAGCGCAAAAGCTACATTGGGTCAAGACTGTCATCTCTCTTCTTGACATTGATAGAGATGGCTTCGTAGATGCCGTAATCGGCGTGCCGGGTGAAGGGCTCAATATTGAGCAGCGAAAGCGGGTTACAATTGGAGTGGAACTTGCCGCTCGCCCTGATCTCCTGCTGTTCCTTGACGAACCGACAAGCGGGCTTGATAGCGATTCCTCCATGTCTATCATCAAGCTCCTTCGTCGGCTGGCTGATCACGGCCAAGCTATTCTCTGCGTCATCCATCAGCCGTCAGCACCGCTGCTTTCACACTTCGATCGCCTACTGTTGCTATCAGAGGGCAAGTCGCTTTACTTTGGAGATCTCGGGAGGCAATTTGAGACCATGGTTAACTACTTCGAACATCACGGAGCTAGACATTTGACTGCCGCAGAGAATCCTGCCGAGTGGATGATTAATGTGTCTAACCAGTCCGACGAAGCAGATGGCCCCTCGAAAAACTGGGCAGAAATCTGGAGCGAGTCGGCAGAACGGATTGCCGCACTGAAGGAATGCGAAGCCATGCAAAATGAACTCGCCCAAGCGAGTGCAGAAAACGCAGAGGTACCATCATCCGAGTTCGCTATGTCACTCTGGAATCAGTTACTTGTAGTTACCAAGAGAGCGTACGTGCACGACTGGCGCTCTCCAAGTTATGTTTGGTCCAAGCTATTCAGCACTTTCGGCGTCGTAGGTTCGCCAGACCCTTGAAAGACCTGCAAATCTCTAACACATGCGCAGACATTCATCAACGGAGTCTCATTCTGGAAGTCGGGAGTTTCTCCACAAGCTATCCAAAACCAGGTCTTTTCGTTGTTCATTCTCACCACGATCTTTGGTGCCCACGTTCAGCTCATCATGAAGCGCTTTCACGAGAACCGCACGCTCTACGAAATCCGCGAGCGCCAATCGCGAACTTACTCTTGGGTCGTGTTCCTGACTTCCAACATCCTCGTAGAGTTGCTATCCCAGACTATTGTCAGCGTCATAGCTTTTGTGTGCTGGTACTATCCGCTCGGCATGTGGCAAAACGCACTTGCATTGGGAGAACTGAACGAGAGAGGTGGTTTGACCTTTTTGTTTATCTGGTCTCTCATGATCCTATTCCAGACGATGTCACAGATGCTTATGACGATCATGCCGGACATACCGACGGGTATCAACATCGCCAATTTACTCTTCATGCTATCCTTGATCTTCTCTGGGTAAGTCTCTATAATTCAATGTAGAGCACATCGTACTGACAAAATCCAGTGTGCTAGTTTCGCCATATGCACTACCTCGGTTTTGGATTTTCATGTATCGCGCCACGCCTCTCTCATACTACATCTCCGGTATCATCTCCGTCGGTCTGTCTGGCGTGAAAATTGTATGTGCGCGGAAGAATCTCGCACATATTCCAGCCATCCCATCCGGCGATACCTGTGCTTCCTATCTTGCCTCATACATTACAAGTAGCGGCGTACAGCTTCTGAATCCCGACGCAACTGCCGACTGCCAGGTCTGCGAATATGCGAATACCGATGCTCTCTTAGCGACGTATGGCATCTATTTCTCACAACGGTGGCGCAATTGGGGTATAACAGTTGCGTACAATTGCATCAACATTGGACTGGCGTTCTTGCTGTGGTGGATGGTCAAGGTACCAAGAACGGCACGGAAAGTTTAACCAATTGTAGATATCAGGTGGGGATACTATGGGCGACTCGGTCTTTTCGCAGCCATTTGGTAGGGTGCATCTAAACTCCTGGGCCAGATATTTTTGTTTGCAACAATTCAGCAATCTCGCAACCTACGTACTCCCGGCTCTATATTCATTCACTCTGCTGTTATGTTCGCGTGCACAGTAGCACCGGAGCGCACACGAAAAGAGACTTGTTGTGGCTCACGTTGCAATGCTGTACTACTTGCGCATCCCCCACGTCGTGCGGCACATGATGTGGCTCCGCATCGAACTAGGCAGCTGCACATGCCATCTTTCAAAGGAAAGACCCGTGTCGTACCAACACTGCGCTACATAGCCATGTGTTTTAGGTGGCCCGCTCGTACGCCGCAAACGAGAATCGTTGAGCGCCTCCATCCCACAGCTACGGAAATCTTCAGGGGACGGAAATTAATCAAATATCGAACCCTCAGGCTGGGAAAGAAGGCATCCACGTTCTTGCGACGTACTATATGCTGCATAACGACATTCCAGGTATCCGATTAGGTAGCTAGGGATAGACCACGCGTTGGGGAAAAGCGGCAACGTAGGTATATACTCCGGGGTGTTATATCGCTGTTATGTGAAAAGAGCCGTTGTGCATGTCCGTTCGGACGCTCCAGCATCGAATCACTTGCTCCAAAACAAGAATATGTGAGGGGCCGTTTGAATGCGCCTATGGCTGCGGGGGCCGGCGTTCAATGTAACCGTAAGCGAGGCCAGTCAGCCTGGAACAGGACACACCCGTCAGCCCCATATACCCACCTGGGCATCTAGAGAACGAGGGACCGTCGATTGGCGCCTTTGCGCGCCGGTCACGCGTAGGCTAATTAAAGAGTCCTTTCAATCCGGACTACGCGTCCATTGCGGACATACAGGGATACCCAGACATGGGGCACAGAGAAGATAGTCCCCGCCGTCGGAATTCTCTTATTACATGGGAAGGGATGTGGCCCCGTTTTAGCGCTGAGCTCCCTTTTCCTTGAGAGAGAAGTTATAGGTAGCGGCCGCCACTGCCGATTACTTCGCAAGGCTCTTGTCACTAATCGACTGGTTGGTGGTCAGAGTACTCTATGCATGTCAGATTTGTACATGTTCTGTGCCACCACACTTCTTCGGTTGCCGAGAATGAAAGCTCTGTATTTGATGGGAGTAAAGTAGTACCAACTTCCTTTGATGGATTAAACGCACTTGGCCCCAGCACATCTGGTGGCGTGAATTTCCAGTCCTGCGATCCTCCAGTTCACCGCGTTTGAATGCGCCCGCTGCTTTTGAACGTATGTTCACACTCGCCTAGGCCTTGCGGCTCCCCATACCAATCTACGCTGTTCTCGAAGTTGAACCCACTGTGAAGCTGGTGACTTGGTTTCGCGTATTGTTTCAACTCCGTTTTCTCCAGGTCCTGCGGCCACCTGGTCATTCTTCCCCGCAATCACCGCAAAGAGAAAAGTATCGCAACCTCAATTTACTCCTTCTCTTTGCCCTATTCTTTTCTTTCCAATCGCCTTTTGGAATAGGTGATCATACCTAGGTCTTCAAAATGTCGTTGGCTATTCCTCCTGGTACGGATCTTTCCAAGGTCCCAATTGCTCCAAATCCCAGCGGTGCACCGCCAAACTTTGTGGACCCACCATCACTGGCAGCAGTCACTTATGGTATAACTAGCACTATGATGGTGCTCGCATGTGGCCTTGTGGGTCTGAGAATCTTATCTGTTATCAAAAAAGAACGGGGGCTGAAGACTGATGACTGTGAGTTGCAAATGCATTATGCTCCAAAAGAATTGAAAGCATTGAGCAAATAACTAATGAAGCACGTAAAAAGACTGTTGTATCTTAGCATTGATTCTGTCTTCCGGTTATGGAATTCTTATCATGTTATGTAGGTCTCGCCCTCAAGTATGCTCTGGGACGCTAAAATCCCATGTGTATGATTTGCAATGCTGATGCAAAGTAGCGAACAAAACGGCACGCCATGCATGGGACACGCCAATTTCCCTGCTCAACGACGTATGGTTTAAACGGAATGCTGCGCTCAGCATAATATACGGCCCAGCCATGTTTTTCGCCAAAGCAGCCATCTGCACGCTGTATTTGCGTATTTTCAACACCATGGCTTGGATGCGCTACACAGCCTGGGGCACCATCGTCATCCTGGCCTGCATTTACGGATCCATGGTGCCTGTCTACTTGGTCTACAGCATTCCGTACGGCAACGAAAAATGGGATCTTACTTTGGCAGCGAAGATCGGTAAAGCTGATAAGATGGCGATTGGCATAGGTGCCGTCAATGTGGCTTTCGATATCTTCCTCCTGATTTTGCCGGTCCCGATCATTATGAAGCTGAACCTTTCGTTCCGCAAGAGGATTGGTCTATCTGCCGTTTTCATGACGGGCATTGTAGCGACAGTGTCTACGGTTCTTGGTCTCTACTTCCGTATATCAGTGTACCGCTCCAAGCGCAGCCCAACCAGTGGCGACGCTACCTGGGTTGCAGCAGCAACATACATCACCGTGTATGCCAAATCTCCTGCTACTCTGGAACTCTGATATAGTGACTAACGGAAGAATAGTCTGGTCGAGCTTTATGTCACTGTCATGGTTAGTTGCGTCCCTGGCTGTGTATCGTCGTGGCGTAACATTCTCCGCGAGACAACTGTCATCACCACACTTCGCTCCCTCATCAACTCATCGCGGGCCTCGTTATCCCGCTCCCGAAACTCCTCACGGGACGGTAGGACGAAAACTCCTTCGGTTCGGTCAGATGAGGCCGGTCTTGCCCCGAAACACGAGTTTGAGCTTCAAGAGAGGAAGGACAAAGAGGTTGGTATTACTAAGACGATTAAAATCCAGCAGACCGAAGTATAGTTGTAGAGGAGTAGAAGGCTGCTGGGTAGTGGTCCGATACGACAAAAGGCATCGCGCTGAGATGAAGAAGAAGTTATAAGGACGAAGAAGAAGCGTTGAATATCTTTTTTTAATTTTCAACTGTAACAGTGTCCTCCCGAGACAAGCGCTGGTAATCTTCTTGTATAAGTGCTCATCGTCGCGGTACCCAATCGGACCGGCAGGTGCAAGCATAGGCAAATGCATCAACATTCAAACCTCAACTGACTCTGGCCACTGTGTCCTTGCTGTCGAGTAAATTGAAATGAGATGAAATGAGACTCACGATGTGAGTAGAATGTTAGGTTTAGGAAGGTGAAGGTGCGACGAAGCTTGGGGGCCAAGCCGCCGCTACCTTATCGCGATCCACTCTTTGTCGGCCACCTCCGCAACAACCTCACCTTTCGTCCAGTCTTTCTGTTTATTTTTTTATTTTATCAACAAACAAATCCGCACGTCAAGATGAGTGGCACATCGATCGACACGTACCTTATGTGGGTGGAGGGGAAGGAGACGGCGGGCGACGCGGAGCAGTCAGTCAGCGAACCCCTCAATCATGACGCTTCGCAATTGCTAATCGCAACACAGACTCGCCGTCGAAGATCCCGCGACGGGTGAGGTTTTCGCACAATGCCATGCTGCATCAGCTGCGAATGTCGACCATGCTGTCAAGACTGCTCACAAAGTCTTCAAGTCTGGCGTCTGGTCCAAAGCCCCGCGCCATGTGCGGGCGGACACGCTCGACAAGATCGCTGAACTTCTTACGAGGTACTTACCGCAACTTATTGAGCTGGAAGTTCGCCAAACTGGTCGTGCGATCCGTGAGATGAATGCGCAAGTTCCGACGCTGGTCAAATGGTTCAAGTACTACGCCGCCCTTATCCGCACTGAGGAGCGATCGGTTTTACCTACCGTTGGAAAGCTGCATAACTGGATCGATCGTAAGCCTCTTGGTGTAGTTGCGCAAATCACGCCGTTCAACCATCCCATGTTGATCGCGGTCAAGAAGATTGCGCCTGCGCTGGCTGCAGGGAATTCCATTGTGCTGAAGCCCAGCGAGCTAACACCGCTGACGAGCATTGAGCTGGGAAAGCTGATGAAAGAGGCGGGCTTACCTGATGGCGTATTCAACGTTCTTCCTGGCGATGGACTATCAACAGGTAAAGCGCTCGTAGAGCACCCTTTGGTCAAGAAGGTGGATGTTACTGGGGGCACACCCGCTGGGCGAGCTATTGGTGCTATTGCTGGCCAAAACCTTGCACATTACACCGCTGAGCTGGGTGGAAAAGCACCACTCATAGTCTTTGAACAAGCTCATGTTGACCTAGCGGTCAACGGCATCGTCTTTGCTAGCTTTATTGCGTCCGGTCAGACCTGTGTCGCAGCGACCCGCATCATTGTGCACAATAGCGTGCTCTCCCAAGTGGTGGAGAAGCTCAAAGTCAAGGCACAAAGCATAGAGAAGAGAATCGGCTCACCGAAGAACGCAGAATCCATGATGGGTCCGCTCATCTCTGCAAAGCAGCTAGGCAACGTGTTGACGCTAGTCAAAGATGCCATCGTTCTACAAGTGACCGTTGTTACTGGTGGTCAAAGAATGAGCGGCACCTCAACCCTAGACGGCACCGATTTCAGCAAAGGCTACTTTTATCCTCCCACAATACTCGCCGACAGCGCATCCAAGAAGATCGTAGAGACAAGGATATGGAAGGAAGAAGCCTTCGGCCCAGTCATCGTCGTTGTTGGGTTCGACACCGAAGAAGAAGCTCTAGAGCTCGCGAACGACAGCGAGTTTGGCCTCGGCGCAGCCATTTGGACACAAGACTTGTCGCAAGCATTTAGGGTCTCAGAGGCCATCGAGAGCGGCATCTGCTGGGTGAACACGCATCATCGGAATGATCCTAGCTCGCCGTGGGGTGGCATCAAGAGCTCAGGTGTGGGAAGCGAGAACGGTGTTGATGCGTACCAAGCATACACGACGACGAAGAGTACTGTCATCAATTATGCGACTGCTGAGGAGGGATTAGTGAGCGACGATTGGTTTAGAGAGGGTACTGGGGAGGTTAGATATGGTTGAGGGTGCGGTCCATCATAGTTCTTCTAACCATGTGGTCCTACATGGCCTAAATACACTTCATAGCATATTACGAATCAACGGAATTTGCTCCTAAAGAGTGCGCCGCGTGTATCTCGATCTCTAGCAAGCCTCGCAATAGAAAAAGAGAAGATGCCTAAGCCTATATGCAGCGAAGACCCAAAGCCAACGTTCAGATACGCCAACGACATCGATTTCACCACGCAGGACGGTACCAAACTGACCGCAGAGGCCTTTTCTTACTGAATGATTTTCTTCTCTCTCCTCCGACGTTTGAGGAGGTTGCACGTGCTGGGTTCAATGCATGCCTTCTGGAACACCTGTACTATATCTCCGCGGCCTGATGCCAGCCATAAATTCATAGGCATTTCATCGTGAGCGTTCTGCAATGCACTCCATCCGCCATAGAAACTTTCACTCTTCGCATCCGACGAGTGATTTAGCCGAATGCGTACAATCTATACACACTTGTCGAGCACACCACGGCCAACTCGTTCAGCTAATGTCACTTCTCAATCAGCCGCAACTTCTCCTTTCAACTACAACTCCAGCCTCCGATTAAACTGCCGATACCGACCACTTCCTCAACGCCCGCCCCGATGCCGAAATGGCACAAGCCTTACATATAACTTACTCGAATGTAGGTGAAATGCTTGATTTGCTGCAGGACCTAGGTGGAGACGTGTCTGCAATGGCGGGAAAGACTGGAGAAGAAATCGCGGAAGTCATTGTTGCAACAAGACATGAACGCGAACGTCAGGAAGCTGCATTACACCCCTTTAAGAAGGGTATTCGCAAGACGCGAGAGCGAAAGACTAAAGCTAGTACTTCCGTCGCAAAAGCTCAGGTAGCCCAAGAAGACACTCAGATCAGAGTAGCCTGTTCGTCCGAACAGGAGCTTAAACACGCGCGAAGCCGAAGGCGGAATCGAAGTCACAAACAGCAACGAGAGATATCTCCCGACCTCTATAGCCTAGAAGCAGTCAAAACACACCTTCTCGACATGAAACATCTGGCCCTCTCAGATGCCAAAGCTGGACAAACCAAAGATTATGAGGACTTTGACTTGTCCGACGTTGAATCGCCCGACTTTGCCAGAGATCTACACTCGAAGATCGATCGTCAGACCATGCTTCGCGACAACTGTACAGATATAACTACAGTTCAGGCCCTGATGTTGATTCGCCAAATCCTTCAACATTCCGATACTATTAGCTCCTTGGGAGATCCGCCGAGGAAGCTCAGTGGGGAAGCAGCTCAAACACTGAAAAACGCGAAGAGGTCTCACGAGAAGCTCTGTATAGAGTTAGCCGTACATATCGGCATAAAGATCGAAGGAGAGGGACTCGGTAGATATATTGAGGCTATTAACATTGTTGGAGAGATATTCAACAAAGTTGCCGAGCTGACACAAAAGTGAAAACTCCAAAGCATAAATCGCTTCCGAGATCGAAATCATTCTTCTAAAAGTCTTGAGAACAATAGTTTTATCCTCAGACGTGTTTGGGGGTTTTTAGGGAAGTAATACTAGAACAGATGAATGCTATAGCTTCCAGCTTGACCTACTTGCTTATTTGATGTAACTGTTCCACGTACTGTCGCTACGACTTTTCAAGAGCTCCCAATACAATTTACATATTCTTCTTCTCCTCCTTGACATCAGATGACAATATCTCTTTTGTGAGATAAATACACCAATGCTATAAGACTAGGTCAATACACGCACGTGAGGGCATGAATGGCCACTTGCATACTGGTGTTTTCCCATGCTTGGTGTGAGACAGGGCTACGCCTTTCACTACTCATGTTCTTCTTCGCTTTTTTCACGTCAGGTGCAACTATACGTGAAATGCACAGTATTGACCACCACAGACAATAAGGCATGAGCGTCGACCACTCCTGTCAACTACACTCAACTTGCGATTACCTCAACTCAACCAGATAAAAACGTCAACTACTGTGAATACATCAGCTATGCAGAACGCATCGGAACCTCAGTCCTCAGCACCCAACACTACAGATAAGGAACTCTTGAACCAAGAGGTCAGCTTACCCCGTCCGCCTCAGCCTATAGCCGCCATCTCCAAAGCCCACCAGTTCAAAGCTCCAGCTCGCAAGGATGCAGCGCACCTAGACAACAACTGGAGCGCGGCATCGTGGCGCGGCCATTCCAACAGGCATGAGATGCTGGCGCTACTACAAGAAGCCGGCGTCGATATTAGCATCTTAATAAACCATGATACTACGCGAGTCACCGACTTCATTATTGAACGTCGGAAGCAGCGCGAAGCCGATGGAATCATTCCCCCGCAGACAGTGCGGTTGAGTAAGATCGACAACACGAAGCCCTTTGGTGGATGGGACGAGAATGATGAAACTAAGAATGCCAAAGGGAAGAAAAGGGCGCGGCAAGGAACCGGAGGGCGACGTCTCGCAAGTGGAACTACAGAGGATGAAGCGGATGATGAAGAAGAGAGCCAGATCAGTCTAGCCACGACACGATCGTATCTCCTCGCTATCAAAAAGCAAGCTTTGCTCAACATCAACCACGAAATCATGGGATTCTTGGATGACCCGGAACAGTCGACAACCTCGCCCCCCTCCAGCCCCATCATTCACCCGCCACGGGGGGACACAATCCTCATCATCGACAACGCGCCCTTGATCTCTTATAAAGCGCAAATAGCTATTCGCAAGATACTGCACCACCGCGAGAACATCCGATACTGGGATCGCCAGCACAATGACTGCAACAAAGGTAAGGATAAGGAGTACTTGCAGGAGCGGGAACTATATCATGACTATGCGCTTGAGGTGATATCGGAGGTGATATTGAGCATGGGGATGGGGGATGGGAAGGCTGGGGAACTCCATCAAGGTGTGGTGCGTTTGGTGATGGATATCTTCTGTCTTGAGGTCAAAGACAAGCGCGATGGTTAGGGAGAAGAGACGTGGAAACAAGGGAGATGGAGAACATAGCTTCGAGGTCTACTTTACCATGTTGTAAATAGCTCCGAAATTACGCATATCGTGCTAAATCAAAATTGCTTGACAACGTGCATTCAGCGCAACAAACCCCTCTTGTTTGCCCTCCTCAACCTCTTTAAAATTTTGCTGCAATTCACAATCACACGTTTCGACGGTCTCTTCAGTCTCCCCTCTTCCTCCCCAATCTTCCGCCCTTAATGCGCCGTAAACGTCTTTGCTCGTCTAGCGACTCCTGGGCCACCGATGACTCCTCTCTGACCTCCTGTATGGATACGCCCTTGGGGTGAGACTATCCATTGTATTCAATGCGGCCGAAGAGTTAGTCAATTGCGATGCCAAAGTGCGTGTGTTTGGGAATAGGTTAGTTCTCTTAGCGAGGTTGATGGATGGTTAGCGCGGCGCGTCCACATGTGTACCGGTACTGCCGTGAGAAGTTTCCCTCAGCTACACCTAGTCGTGCAGTCCTTGCCCATCGCACGCTCAATTGCCTACGCATCGTTCATCTTAGCTTGCGCAAACCTTTAAAACCTCTTATATCATGGCTAACACGTTCAATGCTATGGAAATTGACCCCTCGCATGCCGCGCACGCTTCCTCGGCACCGTCGCAGCACACGCTCGACATTCCGCGACCCACGGAGCTGCCCCCGGGCGACCTTATAACCCTCGACGTCGATGGCCGTAAATTCCGAACGCGAAAGTCGACTCTCCAGAATTGCGGTTACTTCTCAGGCATCTTAAGCGGGCGCTTCGCTATAGAACTGCTGCCGGATGGCTCGCTGCCCGTCGACGCAGATCCAGACGTCTTCCCTACGCTGTTGAACTACCTCCGGACACCATCGACATACCCACTACTGTGGACTCAGGAGAAGGGGTTCGACTACGTAGGATACAACAAGCTGCTGGCTGTAGCCGACTTCTTCGGTCTGGAGGACCTGAAGCAGTGGATACAGAAAAAGACGTACCTCAAAGCTATCACAACATATCATAGAGTCCACGTCGGTCCAGCGTACACCGGTAACTGGTTCGACACAGTCCCCTTTCAGATCGAATCGTGGCCGAGCAAGGACCCTCGGAACTTGTCAAACATCGAGATACTACAGAGTTTTGTAGTTGGTGTGCCTAGCCAGGGTAGATTTCTGTGTAACAGCCGCAACCCGGACCACTTTACAGCAGAAGACTGTTTAGATGAAGGGCAAGAATGTATTCCGGATGCGGACAACCTCACTTACTACAACTTTGAGAAATTGGAGAAGAGTATTGCGAATGTTGTGAGGTGTGTGGTATACAACGGTGAGGTGTGTTTAAGAGGATATACGGAGGAGGTGAAGCATACAAGTGAGCACGGTATATCCTCGCCATGAAACCAGCGCCCTCTAGAGCGATCAACGCAAGCATAGTAGTGTATGGTAAAGTCGGAGAATAACACTGTATAGGCAGGGTACGCTCTCAACTAGCGACCGAATAGACACTCCGTGGTCATAAGATTAATCGCGGGATGCAAGAAGAGGCTCGGAAGGCTTGCAACAACGGCACCAGAGCGCAACACAGCTGTTTGCTGCCTCGCCCCAAACCTTGTATTAACTTCTGACTCGAATCATCCCGTTTGATGCTGTCACTCACTCTGTTCCGTAACAAGACGTGATACCTAGTCTATTTCTCCTAGCTCCCTTCGCTTCACTCCTAGAGCAAAGAAAAGGGTAGTTAAAAGATCTCAATCTTCGCGACAACAAGAACCACAGGTTATCCAAGCTTCGCTCTCAACGTGCACCGGCTAGATGCAAGGCGTTGACGCTAACCCATGCAAAGCTTAGATCGACCCGATGTCGCTGAAGGGAGGGACCGTTCGGAGCATCGCGGAACCTAGGCGTAGACACTACAACTGCAGCACAAAAACATCACATCTAGACTCAGTTGCAAAGTAGATCGACAAAGCAAAAAATCAAGAGGGACGAGGATGAGCCGCAAAACGTCACGTTGTGGCATGTCAGGAACACTGGGTGTACAGGTATAGCGAGAGTATTCGTCTCCGTCATTAACAAGCTACGAAAGACAAATAGGTATCATCGACATTCCTCATTCATGGCTGCCGACGCATCAACATCCATTGCTCGATGTCGCATTTACGTGGCAAGCCTACCCAACATTAGACATCTCACGCATTCTCCGTTCGACATGGATTCCATGACGAATGAGTCATAACCAACCGCGCCTAAGCGTGGTGCGCAGGCTCCTCGACAGCGCTGTGGTTCTTATCGCGACCGACGTACTTGGAATCAGCCAACATGTTGAGGCTATCCTCTTGCGCATCCGTCTTGCGCTGATGGAACCAGAAGAGGATGCCACCGACAAAAGCGAGAATCGCAACCGCCGTGTAATTCCACACAAGCAGCGGGTCCTCGGACAGCGAGACGAACGCCTGGCCCAGCGCGTTGGAGAAGGCAGACATGAAGTGCCAGTAAGAAGTCACGAGCGACCGCATGTTCTTTGGTGCTTTGGTAAAGGCGAACTCTAGACCAGTGATGGATGTGAAGATCTCGGAGAAACCAACGAGGACATAGGGCACGGATTGCGTCCAGACGTTGATTGGAGCCGGGTCGTCGCAGCTGTTCATGGCTGTGCCGCAGGGACCTTCCGCGTAGATGTAGTGCTGGATGACGGCGGCGGACACCATGGCGAAAGAAGCGAGCACGAAGCCGAAGGCAATGCGCTTGATGGGCGTGAACTTGATGTTGGCCTTGCGCAGAGCCGGATAGAGGAATTTATCCACAATAGGAATGAAGATGACGAGGGAGATGGGGTTGAGGTTCGTGATAACGTCGTTGGGGACACCGTTGCGCGTCATGGTTGCAGCCTGCGAGGTGAGATTGTTGTTCATCTGGTTGTAGGAGAGCCCTGGCAGATACATTAGTACTGAGCGAAGAGGAAGAGCAGGAACAAGAGCTTACAGTAAAGTGGGATCCAAGTGAAGCAAGAGCAGGCCCTCAGACCACGAGCAACCTGGTCAACCCAAGCATCATCGAACTGCATCCAGCTCGGCTTGTTGGCACCAAGATGGCTAGGCTTGACATCTTCCCAGAAACGCTCGCCCTTGAAGTTCTTGCGCGTCTGGATTGGGTTGACAGACCATTTGCCCTTCATCGCGAGACCCAGGAGCTTGACAGCGCGGATCAAGACAGAGCCCGTAGGCGGGCTGCGGTGATACTTGTTGCGGCAGAACCAAAGGACAACGGGGCAACAGCAGAACATGATCGTGGGCAGCAAATAGGCGCACCAGAAACCGACGTATTTTTCCACGTACACCATACTCAGCTGGCCGGTGAGCGAGCCGATGTTGATGAACATGTAGAAGTAGAGGAAGATTCTGGAGAGCGTGATGTTGGGGTCTGAGATGACGCGCTCGCCAGTCTTGGGGTCCTTGATGACGCGCGGCTTGGTTTGGTGGTACTGAAAGGAGCGACATGATTAGCAATATTCAAAACGGAGAAGGCGAGTTGAAGCAGCGGCTTACCTGTTCAGCGATCAAGGGGGAAATGTTCGCCTTGAAGGCACCGGTTCCGAACCCAAGGGTGATGACGCCGAGGATGAAGGGAGCGATGGCCTTGCCGCTGGTCAGGACTGCTGGAATGGCCGAGATGATGAGTAGGATGTGGCCGATAATGGAGAAGGCAATGGCGATGAAGATGGTGTTGAAGCGGCCGAGGTACTCGTCGGCGATGATGGCGCCAATGATGGGCGTGGTATAGGACCAGAAAGAGTTGAATTGACCGATACCGAACGAAGCCCTTTGGCCCATTCCCAACGCGCCAGGCTGGCCTTCTGAACGTGGGTCACGACCGGTGGTCTGGGGGACACCATCGATGACAGGAAGGTCCTGCTGGATAAAGTTGGTGTAGAGCACCTGGCAGCCATAGTAGCCGAAGCGCTCGCACAGCTCGACAAAGGCGATGGTGAAAGCAACCCAAGGGATCTTGCCAGAGACACGGCGAAGCGTCTTAAGTTCCTCGGCGGTGGGCTCCTCGCCCTCCAGATCGGCCTCGAATTCGACGAGCGTTGGGTCGTGGTGGCTATCCGTGGTGTTGGAGCGGGCAAGGGCCTGCTTTTCGCCAACCTCATAGAGGGGCGTCACGACTTTGGGCTCGTGGCTAAGCGCCATGTCGACGGCATTGGAAGCTGAATTGGCAGCCATTGTTGGCAGACGTCTTCAGGTGTGGCGGTTGAACAGCGGAAGACTGAAGCTCTGGGTCAATACACGAGCCGAGGGAACGAGCTGCCTGCTGGAGGACCAGGGAGGGCAGGGCATCGCGTGAAATTAATAGTCGCGTGCTGCATGGCGGCGGCAAACGAGCTCGTTCAAGCGTGTCTTGGTCTTCCTTGTCGTACTCTGTTTCGAGCAGGTGAGTTTGCGCTACAAGATTGCAACCAGACCAGTCAGGCTAGCAGCCGGTGGCACCCTCGTGAACATGTCGAGGGCGCTATCAGTCGAATCGAATCGTCGACAGCGACTCCGGTCCCAGCTTCGGCAGAGCCAAGGCCAGGGAAGAATTAAGGCCCACCCATACCAACACTCGAAGACATTGCTTCTCGACTTGGCACCGCCGCTGATCACACGCCGCAGGGACGCCAGCCATTCACGCCAGCCGCCTCCTAGCCCCCTCTTATCTGGACGACATGCTGTGGTATCACCCCGGTTAAATGCGGGGACTCGGTGTCGAGGACCCCTCTTCTGGAGCGTGATCACACAGTACTGGAGGGGAGCTTGTTGTATATAAAGCCCTTTTTGAGAGACGACTTCGAAGCCTCCAGCATCACCTCATCTCCAGCGCACTCAAGAGGTGGTCCAAATTCACTGCCACTCCGACTTGGCGCCCAGCTCTCCGCCGGGCTGGGCGTTTCCAGTTAGCTCCTCGGCTGTTCCCCACATTCGCCGTGAAGAGCACGCATCACACCTAAACAGGCAGCTACAAGACCTTTGACAACAGATAACCGTTCCCTCCAATCCACTCTTTCCAACCGTCTATTTTTTGCCATCTCTCTTGCGATGTAGATCGGGGCTAGCAGCCCGTTTGCCGGCTCCCGTTGTTTCTGGTCGACTTCTCGAAGACTCAGCGCGCATGTGCCTATCCCCTCCATCTTCAAGTCGACACCAACAAAGTCCTGCCAGCACTGGTTGGCGAGATTTGAACCAAGCGGAAGTTGTTCTGTTGTTAGAAGAGTCCCATTTGCGGCACAGCCTTTCATGTAAAGGGGATACCCAAAATTTGCTATAGCGCTGTTTCCGCCCTCTTGGCATCCTTGGAACATCCTTTAGAAATCTCATACGAGCAGGCGCGTGAGCGTGAAGTGAGCGCAATACGACACACTACTTGGCGTGAGTGGCACCAACAGCTTAGCCCAGGCGCTCATCGCCGAGATGGACAAGGGAAACGGTTCTGGAATCTTGAGTAAAGTCTTTTTTGCTCACCAAGACGACCCACTATCGCGCGCCCAGACATGGTGTTTGATACCACACGCTAGGAATCCAGATATTAGTGGAGCCTCAGCAATTCTAGTGTTGTCTGAAGCATGTGGAGCAGATGCATGTAACATATGTCTTCTCCCGAACACCTGGTTGTAAATATCTGTAGACTATGTATCAAACGTAAGTAGTTAACCATATCCCAATGTTGTAAACAGGGATAACCCTATCCGTGCTCGTCGCTATTCGCACAGGCTAGTTTCACAGATCATTCGTTGCTTTGCTCAAAGTACGCACGTCAGTAGCAGGTACACGAAACGCCTCAGGCATTGCTCAGATTGAATAAGCATTATCATTATTTCATGCTAAATCGCATTCGCGTGATCACTAGTCATGCTACCCTATACCAGGCGCAACTGATTCGTCACCATGCAGCTTTAATGGCCGATCGGCTCATCATCCAAAGGCTGGCCCTTGGAGTAATGGTTGATCCAGTTGAAAATCTCCTTGTGCCAGAACAAGCTGTTCTTCTGCTTGAGGACCCAGTGGTTTTCATCAGGGAAGCTCAAGAAGCGCGATGGCACACCGCGTGCCTGGAGGATGTTGAAAAGCCCAAGGCCGTCGGACTCGGGCAGACGGTAGTCGAGCGAGTTGTGGACGACGAATTGGGGTGTCGACCAGTTCGCAATGTGGTTCTGCGGGTTCCACTTCTTGTACGCATCAGAGTTCCAGATCGAGCCGTTGTAGTCGTGGCGGATGAACCAAAGCTCCTCAGTTGCCCAGGCGGCCTCGGTGTTGGAGATACCGTCGTGGGTAACGAGGGCCTTGAACTTCTTGCCTAGGTCGTTTGACTGGATCCAGTTCGTCATGTAACCTCCGTAAGAGGCACCAGCTGCAATGCCGTTCTTGGTGTCAACATCGGCAAGGTTCTTGTTGATGTATTCCCAGGCATTGACGAGATCATAGTATGGCCAGCCGCCCCACTGGCCCTGGATAGAATCAGTGAGGAATTGACCGAAACCAGTGGATCCAGTTGGGTTGGGCGCAACGACGATATAACCCTGATCAGCCCAGACTTGGGGGTTCCAGCGGTTTGACCAGCTGTTCATGTTCGCACCTTGAGGACCGCCGTGGATAATGAAAGCAAGAGGGTAGGTTTGGTTCTTGACGTAGAATGTGGGCTTGACGACGACGGCGTGCAATTGCTGGTTGAGCTTGGGGTTGGAGCCATTGAAGAAGACCTCAGAGACGGTGTGCGAGCCGAGACCAGCGAGGTTCTTGTCCACGGTGGATGCGTCGAACAAAGTCTTCTTGGTTCCATTGGTGACGGTGTAGTACTCGGTAGGGGTCCAAATAGCGGTGCCTGTCACGAAGAGAGAAGAGTCGGGCAGAAGCGAGAACGAGCTGACCGTAGTGTTCGATGTCAATGGCTTAGGCACGAAGTTCTTGTCGGCCGTGATAGGGAAGTTGAAAATCTTCACACGAGCGTAGTCCTCGGCAGTAACGTAGATGGACTTGCTGTCCGCATCCCAGGTCAGAGGTCCTTGGACCCAGCGATCGAAGCCAGCACTCAAACTCTTCCAGTTGGTGACGGCGACCTTGCTACCCTTAACGGCAACATCGACAGTGTAAAGGATCCATCTGTCCGACTCATAGTAATCTTCATCCTGTTGGACGTAGGCGAGCTTGGAGCTATCGGTGGAGAACGACGGCAATCCAGACGCGCCCTGGTGACCAGCCTTGAAAGCCTTGGAGTCGGGGCCGTTGAACGCGACCGGAACCTCTGAGCTGGCGAATGCGCCAACGTAGGTGTAGCTGGCAGTGTAGTTGGCCTTGTTCAGTTGAGGGGCCTTGCTGACGAAAGCGTACAGGGAACCATCGGGGCTGAGGTCATAGTCGCCAGAATCGCCGAATGGCTGAATGGGCGTCTCGGACTGCGTAGCAGTGAAGTTGACTCCGTGGTTGAGGTTGCGGAGACCTTTGCCTGCCAATGCATAACTGCTGTTCTTCGACAGAGTCCCAGCGAAGACCGCATAGCGGTTCTTGTTCAGCCACGTATCCCAGTGGCGTGCATATACGTTGGAGTACAGACGTCCAGTGTGTGATGGTGTGACCTCAGTCTCGGGGTTCACTGCGGTACCATTGGGGTAGGCCAGGGTGTTGACCAAGAAATGCAGGTCACCAGAAGAGGTGTTGGCAACCTTCAAGCCGCTGTATGGCGCGTCCAAAGAAGCGACCAATGTGCTGATACTAGTTAGCTCTCAACTCCAACGAAATGGATAGCCAACAGCACGTACCTAGTGTTGGGGGTCTTGATGTCTCCAATCCACAACGTAACACCTCCAGGGACCTCCTCGTTGGTACCATTGATGTAGATGATACCAGTCTCGGTGCCCGGAAGCCAGGCGACTTCGTTGACTTCTGACGCATTCAAGCCAGATTCGCTGATTTTACCCGACTTGAGGTCGATGAGATTCAAGCCCGACGCGCTCTTCTTCTTTTCAAAGGAGTACTGCGACCAGGTAAAGAGCGCGACTGTGCCATCAGGGCTAGGATCAGCTGCGCCGCGACGGACGGTGCTCAGGAGCTGCCTGTCTTTGTGTCAATTGCATGCATCGCTTGAGTTGTTAGGGTTATACGCACTCTGGAGTGAACGCGAGGGCGCTCGTGGCAGCCAACGCTGTTGCGAGTCCCAGGTAACGAGCCATTATTCACACGACTAGCTTCGTAAGAGCTCAATTGGACGAGGTCGATGGTCAAGCAAGAGCTCCAGGAACGGCAGCGAGCTTATTTGAATGACGAGCTGCCGGGTTCACACTGCAAGCGACCAGGCACCATTATCCAGCGAGGTCCATGTCGCACCGGTTCCCGGGCTCCCATGTCGTAGCCATTTGCATGTTCAACCGGTCCGATGGCATCATTCGCCCTGTTCCCGGTCGTTGCTATCCCAAAGATGTCAAAAGATGAACACATCTTGCGATGTCTCCTTCCTGTTCATGTCTAGTGTAGCGGGCGAGCAAACAAGCTCGGCCTAGGTGGGCCGCCGAAAAGCATGTTCCTCTTCCTCCTATCGCAATTTGCTCCATCTCTCCCGCAATTAGAGCCCCGCAATCAGAGCGACTTGGCGGTGTGGGACTAGCAGCGTTCACGTGCATGCATGTAAGCTTGCGCCGAGATTGGTGGCACTGTTGGCCAAGTCGCGCCAGTCATCCTCAATCCCGTAGCGGCAAAACGGCGTGCCGAGAGAGGCAGGTCAGATATCTGCGATGGTGAGGCCACCGGGGTTCGCCATCGCAAATCGGCTCTTACAAATCGATACATACCATCTGCAGGATTCGCGTTCAGCGCGTGCAGCTCGGTCTGGTGAGGCGCAATCGATGATGAATATCGTATTATGAGCAGCCTCGGCACACTCCGGTCCCAGCAAGCCGCAGGCACATCCTCCTCTGGGTGGGTGCAACCAACATCCAATTATTCGCTTATGCGTCAGCAAATGGCGAATTAAACACCTTCCTCGCCTGGCATCAATAATCGAGGAGCTTTGATCACATTGATCAAGGTCAGGATTCTTACCGGCCATAAAGCGGGGGCTAGAAGGATTTCCAGAGAACTTGCGAATCAATTGACTGCACGGTTCGTATCAACCAACCGTGCTCGTGCGCAACTGATAAGGGTGGGTTCCATGCATCCAGGTTCATCCAGGTTCTAGGCGGAGTGTTGGTCCATCGTCAGGCCCGTTGTAATTTTGGATCCTCGAGGATTTGGAGGCGTTCGCGCAAGGTCACACTGTGATAGCGTCATATCGAAAGCTAAAGATGAATTACCGCTTGCGTTTCTGATAGTCTTTCATCCGACTTTTCCAGTACTGAAACCCTGACTGCACTTCTACGTGCACCTCATGACCCGGCTCTTCCGACGTTGCCGGTAGAGTTGCACCAAGCCTGTCCCATGGATCTTGTGCGTTCTTCTGAGTTGCTTTATTTCGAAGGGGTCGATACTCTTCCCAGGATTTCCCTCTCAACTTCTTTTCCGCCTGTACCCTGCTTTTTTCCATGTACCTTCATATTCAGCCATTAATAGATCCTCTGCTCTTCGTGTTGGCTCTACGCATTCCTTTATTCCCGCATCGACGGCTCTGTGCGTCATCCTTGTCGTACGAATTTCTTGCCGTGGGAAGACGGAGTAAATCTCAAACTACGGCAAACACCAACTCCTGGACTCTATAAGGGCATTCCGCTCCGACGTCGGGGTGCGCCACGCACTTGGCGCTGCTTACGACTTTCCTCGTCTAGTATTGTTCACCCTCAAAGGTTTTTGTCTCCTTGGGCAATAAAATGACTCTTGCGTTTTGGTCAACACTGCGCTTAGTTAAAGACCTCGAGCCGTGAGTCCTGTTGTAGCCCGTTTGGACCCTTCGAAGGGCCGCCGAGGAATGTCGGATGCGAAGCTTCATGGCTACTAAAGATGTGAGTCGTAGAGCTTGGCCGGGCCCCAGGTCAGGTCGTGTTGAGCGACACTATATGTGAGGTCATCCCAGACGCTGGTGTGCCGGTATCGTCACGCTTATGAACAACGCGCTATCACGTGGACGCCAGTCTGCGAGGCAGGAGCGACACCGCAATGATTCAACGCTGCTCATCATCGCTGCAGTAGAGAAAGCTCTTGTTTCTGCCATAGTGCTAGCATATATAGTGTCAACCCCTAATCTACTTAGTTGGGTATAATTTTTCACCATTCACGAGGGCTACATGCATCAGCTGTCGACCTAGGCTACTTGAGCAGGGCGCATCATAAACTTTTATTGCCGTGCTATGCCACAATTCTTTGTTTCTCATTGATTCGAAAGCGGAATAGCATAACAATTCGTATACAGAAATCGTACAAAATATCATACAAGAAGGGAGAGGAGAGCAACCGACTAGAAGACCCAGGGTATAAACACCATAGTTACTCCAATACTTTTGTGAACATGACTTCCTCAATAACGCCAGTGATTGTGCGTCTCATGAAGTGTTCTTACAAAGCCCACTAGATAGGATATAAGTGGTCCTTAGTACGGTGCTTACTGAAAGCACGCGCCCATTTCCTTAGGCGACAATGATAAACCAAATAAGAGTTACGAAGAGCTCTCTGTAGTGCTGGGATCACTGCCCAGCTCGGCAGTCTCGGGTTCATCTTTTGGTTCCAGCACCAATCCCCAGCACCACTGGCAGACAACGCGATCTGAGCTGCGTCCACAAGCATGGTGATCACGATGTGTGGAGTATGTTTTCGAGATGGCCGCTTCTTCCGTCTCATAACATCGCAGACACAACCAACGATCGAGGAACCTGCCTCTAAGAGTACAGTGGCATAGCTTAGGCTGGATGCCTTCGGAACATTTCAGAAGAGTGGGTGGGAGGCAAAGGTCGCAAAAAAAGCGCTTTCGCTGCTCAGTGACTTGATAGAAGGCCTGGAGGACCGGGGACGGGTCAGGTACATTCGAAGAGACGGAGAGAGCCAATGAATGTTGTCCGAGATTCAAGTTCAGGATATCTTCCACGAACTCTGGTGGGCCAAAAGTGTCATCGTCGAAGGGAACGTCGATGAAACCTTGGTCATGATACGGGCCACCTTGACCGTTTGCTGGATTCTGCCAGAGTGGCCCCGGGAGCTGGTGATCAAGCGTCAAGTGTTGTGGGCTCATGATAGGTACCTCGAGAGGGGAAAGTAAGACGAAGCCGCTGAAATTGGGCAGCTCATCGGGGTCACTGGGCTTTTCGTAGTGACTTTGATACACGCAATGGACGCGACACTCATCGCAAGTGGTAACCTTGCAATTGAGGCACGGACGTGATTCTATTCGACCGCTTGTTGCGCCGCACTGGACGTACTCGTTGCAATCGTAGGCGTAGAAGAAACTAGATTTCTTATGGTGCTTTTGCCGAATCTGAATACCTTTGCCTGGGCAGCTTAGCTTCCCTAGCAGGTTCTCTAGACTGCATGGTCGTGGAAAGATCGCATGATAGATAGCCTTCGAAGATAGCGCTAGAGCTAGGAGGTCCTCTGGAAATAGACTAGACGCGACTGATGCGAGTAATTCGTACTGTTGGAGGATCCGGACAAATAGGCATGATATTGACACATCATTTAGCGAGTGCTGCGATGCTTTCTTGCGGCTTTCGACCGAGGCCAGCTCCGGCGACCGCTTGCGCTTCATCCTAGGACTTTTTCAACACCACGGTAATTGTTTGACTGGTTTTATGGGCGCTTGGCTGATCCTTTCGATAAGCGATCAGAGTTGGTTGCCGCGCTTCTGGAAATGAAGAACAAGTTTAGCGCAGGTTGAGCAAAGATCAAAAGACAAGGCATGGTGAAAGATGGAGGGGTGAGCGTGTGACAATTAGTGCTATGACCTTGTGCATCTTCAAAAAACGGATCATCTAGGAGGTGTCGCATAATAGCAGATGTCGGCGTGTGATAGCTATATACTCCGGTTACAGAACACGATGGTAGGTCTCTGGGCGTGGACAAAATAATCGCACAACGTACATCGAAAATTGTCTCCGACGCGTCGCTGACGTTATCGTGGTGCTCACAACGTCAGACGCGATTTCCTCATTGGATCTGGATCCATCATGTGGCTTGTTAAAATTGTTTCAATTGTAGACTTTGTTTCGGGCAGCTTCGGAACAAAATGCTCGTGACAGGTGTCAGTCGGTGAAAGAAAAGCGCGCCGGCGCAAATACAGCGATGCCCGGTGCTGCGATGAAGTTATTCAGAGATGAAGAGGTGGATTCAGAGTGTTTCTGCATTTGCGGAGTCGACAGTCATGAAGCCGAAAATTATTCCGGAGGAATGCGGAGTCTTTTCCGATGACGTCCGAAGGCCTGCCGAGAGCCACGCTTACATAACTAGCCTCGGATCTGTCCCTCCCTTCACCCATTCCTTACTTCGAAAACATACGTCTTGAATGATGAGTCCTTTTGAAGATATAGACAATACATCACACCGAGGATAGTGCCGTGCTTGAGTGATACGCTGCACGGAGTAGCTGAACCTCTGCGGAGTAACGTGTATAGTTCACGGGTTACGTCACTGTCATCACACATTAACCTGCTTCGACGTGCAAGGCCCCTTTGATGGCTACGATAGTTGGTAAAAGCTTCTTATTGTGCAGTATCTGTAAAGATATTCCTCTGTTTCTTCGCGGCTCATGCTATGTCCTCCATAATCTACTTCTACTGCTTCTTCTCGGGGATGTCATAGCAGCATCCGATGTCCAGGACGTTGTAGACTAATGTGCAGACGCGAAGTCAGTGTAAGTCTCACAAACGAATTTCACCAAAAACGTACACGTGCAATCTCTCTGAACGTAGAAACCCCCCTTCTTATTGCAGGTCGGCTTCGTTGTGCATATACCGGACGGATCAGATCGTCCACAGGGAGCTGGGTAAGGATCTTTGGGGGCTCCGAGGACGAGCGAAGTAATCGCGGCGACGACGACGAGGAGCTTCATATCGACGACTAACGGTCGGACTGAATATTTGGAGGGGTTTGATATGGAGAGGGATTGAAGGGATGTTGTTGTGTCTTGGTGTCTGATCAAGCAGCGACGATCCGAGCATTTATATATTCACCACGCCCCGTATCTAGAACGCCGCTGACATCTTCGCAGTATCTATCAGTGTTTAGAGTATGGACACTGCGAGTTATAGATAGATCAAGCCATTGTACATCTAGCTAGACCAAGAATTTGACCAATCCACATCCTAGGACTAGCAGTAAAAAAGTACGAACCGTTCTGGATGTTTGCCAGGACATTATCTTCTTTTCACAAGATTGGCCAATGCAATACCTTGCGAATGGCCTTTAGAGATGAGCGTTCATATGCATATATTGGGTGGCGGTTATTAGCGAGGTGTTTAATATATCTTCCCCGGATTTTCGTATCTCCTGAACTCATAGCGAGGCTCGACGTCCCGCTAATGATTCTACCAGATTAAAAATCTCGTACTGTTCTTTGCACCTCGGGTTCGAGTTGCTTGTGATGTTGCGTTGTTGCCGTTTCAATATCTATGAGGAGGGTGTTTTTGCATGTGGTCTTGCTGTTGAGGTTATTTCTTACATTCACAGTCATCGTGCTGAGTTTATATGCGCTCTAAGGAGTCGTGCCGAATCGAGTCCTGGCGATACACTTAATTACTGGGCGTTAGCTAGACAGGCTTCAAAGTTCCTCGAATACTCTTATGCGTTTCCCAACAGATTTCCAAATGGAGCACACGTCTATAGTACTCAAACCTAAGCCTCTACGAAGGGCCCCAAAGCTCTTCGTATTGCACTTCCATTTTTGTTTGTACACCTTCCTTTACCGAAGACTGTATAGTTAGGACAGTCGATGGCACGGTCATTCTCGAGTATTGCTTTGCCTTCTGGCGCTGCTCTTTGCACAGGCCTCGTCCCCTCCTTTATCTATAAATTTCGCAACTCACTTCGTCGCCGAATGAATTATCGACCTTGCACTTTGACATGTTTGTGTAGAAGATAGTGCCATTCTTGACGTTTGGTGCGTCGTCCAAAAGCGGCTAGGGCGACGATGATTACGTCCACGCCACCCCGCCTCATCTTCTCGCCAATGTGGTGCAGCTTCATCCATCTCTCCACTTCACATACGCCCGAACCCCAAACATGCGTCGAAGAGACTTGGAAACGACCGTAGTTCCCTTGCAGAACCCATGATCAAACATGCTTTTGCCACGCGTTGGAACTACACTAATAAACTGCTCATTCCCACCCCGCCAGTCGTTCATTGCATCTGCGCCGGAGCTAGATCCAGCCTTCAACACCACACACCTTCTGGCCTCATGCGCCTCAAGCCCAATACTATCGGCTGATCGTCCGTGCGCTTCTTCTCCAGCACGACATATCGGGTGTCGCCGGTGAGCAACGACAAAAAGTGTTCCTTACATGTCCGCATCCAAGAGGAAAGAGTTTTTTTCTCGCATCCAGACTGACCCATTTTTTTCCCAACATGGGGTTTAGAGGAAATGTGTGCGGTGGCCAGCTGATTGGTTGGCGTATACATTCTCAAACGGGGAAGGATCCACCGAAAAGCAGCCGCATCTCCACCTTTTGTTTCCAACATCAGTCGCAAAGCTTTTCGCACAACTACTGTTCGGCAGGTCAACGCTGTTGTGCCTGACTCGTCTCTTAATCGTTTGCGAAATCCCCCCCTGGTGCATCTACGTTTAGCCTTCTCCATCCTCTTCTGCTGGTGCGCCAAGTGAGCTGTGCGATGACGAGTTAAGTAAGACTTCCCGGTGCCTCACGTGCCTCACGAGCACTCTCTGCTCGTACGTCACTACCGCAAGCGTGGTTGTTGGCTCTGAAAATGACTACGGCTCCACGGAAGGGTACACGACGAGCATGTGACCCTTGTGCTGTTCGGAAAATACGATGCGACGGCAACCAGCCCTGTTCACGATGTGAGGCTGCAAGTTGGGAATGCACCTATCTCAAGACCCATGGCAAGTCTGGACCCAAGGGGCCTCGTCGAACGACAGAAGCCGCTATCAGGAGACTACAGCAGCGCAGCAAAAGCAGCCAGGACGAATCGAGAAGCAACAGCGAAACAAGCCTCGATGCTGGAAGCCCAGTGACGACCGAATTCCCTTACATCGACCCATTTGTTCCTGTTGCCGAGCTAGACATTGATGGCAAGGCATGGCCAGATATGCTCAGTCCGCCTCTTACGGCGGGGCAAAGAGAGCCCCAGAGAATATCGACATCGTGTATCTCGCACTACTTGGACATCTATCAGGCCCGGGGATACGGTATATGGCCTGTTGTAGACGCCGAAGCATTGACTGCTCGCCTTCTCACTCAACCGGACGACGTAGAAGCCTATGCACTTGCGACGGCCATCTGCGCTGCCATAGTGAGCCAGTTCTCCATCGACGCCGAGTTGGGAGATCCTGTTGAAGGTCACTACCGGGTCTCAAGCGCTGCATTCGAAGGAGAGGCCAAGAAGGCGCGGAACGAGTCGGACCATATGGAGAATGTTACCATGTTCTCTTTACTGAGCAGCTTCTTTCTACACGTCTATTTCGCAAACATCGGCCGCATGAACGTTTCGACTGTTCTGTTAGGAGAAGCCATCGTGAAGGCACATATCCTTGGTTTGCACAAGACTACGCACTACCAAGCTATGGCCGCCGGCGAAATGCAACACATTCTGAGGGTGTACTGGTTGCTTTTCATCACTGAAAGGGCACATTCTCTCCAGCACGATGTGCCGACCATACTGAAGCGAGCACCCGACCTCCCACCACTGGAGAACCTGAACGATGGTTCAGTCACGCCTGCCTTTGTCCAGCTCTGCCGTCTTTTCAATATCCTGGATGCCACCATTACAGCGGACCCGGCCACCGTTCGAAGCGCTCTTGCCCTGGCTCAACAGCAGCTTAGTAGTGATGATAGCCCTCTCAGTCTAGAGAACGAACTTCAGCGCGCCGATATTACAATGACGCAGCAATGGATGCGCATATTTTTGTGGCAACATGCACTCAATGTGACCAACCTGAGTAGCGCAGACCAGAACGAGGGATTCTCCTTCTCTTTTCCGGCGAAAGTCGCGCAAAATGTGCTCAGTAACCTGAGCAGTCTTTCGCGGCAGAGCATAGAAGCACATGGACCTGGCATGGTAAGATCACCAGACCAGACTAATAGGAAGCTATACTAACGAGCGATGCAGGAGTCTAAGCTCTTCGACGTTGCCAACTCGCTCGCGGACGTTATGATGATCATGCCTTCGATGAATCATGAATCGCAGTTCTGCCTAGGACCTCGAGACCTCATCCACTCGCTATCTCAAGTACTCTCTTCTTTTCGCGGTGGAAACCCTGCGGTCATGAACATCCTGCAGAGCAAGTTAAGCACGCTTGGTCTTGCTACCGGTTCGCCCCAGAAAATGCTCGATGTTTCTTCACCCGAGGAGGATCATGAGGAATGGCATGACAGATCCATGTCCGCACCGTCCAGCTATCCGAAATTCACAGCTATTGCGCCCCTGTCGCCTACCCTTCCGACGAGTATGAGCATGGATGGCACCTATTGAAGAGACTGGAGACTTTTATTTGGTGCACATCACTCCCGTCACATGTCATGGGCGTTTTGTCTGGACAGTATTCGTCCTCTTGTCGAGCTTCCTTCTTCGATCGATCAAATCTCGACACAACCTGCGCCGTTGATTGGTGGTGAGGTACAGTTTCTCGACTGTGTGAAAGTACCTGAACCTTAGGGTCGTCCCTTTCTGGATAAGATGGCCGGACAGACGCGCAAGCGCCGTGGACCGATATGATAACGACCTCAAGTAGGATCAGTGCCCAGACAGCGAGTGTGATTTCGCGTATGAGTCGAAGAAGACATAAGGAAGATGGATTACAGGACTCAGAGCAGACTTAGCGAGGCTGGGATGATAATAGAGGATAAGATCAGAAGCCACTTGGATGGCGAAGACGGGAACGGCGATTCCCAGTCGCATGGGAGCTCATATGATGACACACTACAGCAGAAGACAGATTTGGTCCCTGCTTCGAGATACTGCAGAATCTGCCTGGATGGGCTAAAGGTGTTCATGTTAAATTGAGGAAGCAGTATCGATATTATGGAAGAAGGCATGACTATGCCCGGATCACAATTTAAACGAGCTGAGATACATATTGGCAATTGAAACAATAGAAGGAAGCGAGTCGATGCACGAAGGTTGCTATGATATATGATTTGAGAGGAAATATCAGCCCAGTATTGCTATCCTGTGTAAAGAAGGGGTAAGCCTTTCTCTCAATTATCGTGTATTCTGTTCGTAGCGTGTTTCCTGCCCAGGCTATCTTTCCATCGTCGGAAAATGAACATATTCTAATTCCCACTTTCAAGAAGTCATGCCTCACTTCGGTTCTATCACGGCCAAGATACATATCAGCCCATCCTTCTACGTCTCGGGTACTGCCATGACCTTCGACTACTTCGCCCTGCACACCGTCTCATCGAACACGATCTCCTTCTGCACGTACACGACCTCCCAATACGCCTCGTCTTCGTATAGAAACTCGCCGTCGCCTCGGGCCCTAACACATGCTGCCCCACACCTGCCGGGACTGCCCCTGTGAACAAGAATGCCACGAGGGCAGAGGTACATCTTCCTAACGCGCGGGACGAAATGCATATCGTTGCACTTGTTGGCTGGGAGCTGCGTCGAAGGCATGTCACTGAAATCGCACATGATCGGGGCGCTTGATCTCACCGTTACAGCGCAGGCATAGGTCTGTAGCGTGAATGCTGTTAGCGGATTTTTCATGTGCGACGAGTGAGGATGGGCCCCATCGTGTTCGCATGCTCACCAACTCAAGCACGCCATACCTTTGCTTTAATCCACTCGTGTAGTGCATCAAGCTGGAAGTACTCTGCCTCAACTGCAAGCCGATTATAGAGATCGTAGTCGAAGCCTGACGCCTTGTCATAGAACAGCGGGAACACGGGAGGCCGGCGCATAAAGCGAACGAGGTGCTCGAAGAGTTCAGGGTCAGCGTCAAGAAAGTAACTGCCATCGGGTTCAGGAAGCCAGGTGAAGCTATCGGAAAACTGGAAACGGAAGAGGCCGGCCTCGAGGAGGACGTCGCGAGAGACTTTGAACTTTCGGCCTCCGACGTCAAGAGTAAGGACTTTGGGGTAGGTCGTGTTGGTGCTTGAAGACCCTGCGGGATGGTCGTTGACGATGGGTTGAGGGAGCGGGAGGGTGCCTTCGTGTTCGTCCATAGCATCATTGGGATCTGCAGTATCGCCGACAACTTTCTCGTACTTGACGTTCAGCTTAGCAAGTTCGGCGGAGAAGTCGAAAGGCGAAGCCATTGTTTCGTTGTGTAGGTTTCTGCTAGAGCTGTGTTGTTGTTCGTACGTGTGGCCTTCTGTGGGCGAGCTATTCGCAGCTTATATGTTACCAAAAGCTTGTAGGTCTACGTGAAGTATCACCATGTGACTTTGTCCTCACCGTGAACTGATGAGAAGATGGATTGCTATCAAACGATCTAGATTGCTAACAAAAGAAATTCGACTATTACCACAAGACTTGAGATGATTGTCATCAAAGCCCAGCCCTGACTCGCGAGACATCTATCGCGAAGATCCTACTCGTCCGGTGCCACCTCATGTACCTCTGTCTCGGACTCATCTACATCAGCCTTTCTCTTACACACATTTGGATCGTACACCAGCCTCTTCGTCACCGTCACCACCTCCACATATGGTACCTCCTCGAAATGGCCGGGATCGTAGTCTGACCTGTTGGTGCACTTGTGACCGCACAAGATCGGTATGCCCCTCTGCGTCCGATGCGTTATAGTCCCACGTGGACAAACATGGAAGTATCGCACCTTTGTCACGATATGTTGCTGCAGTTCAACATCGCCTTGTCGCTCCACTGACCTCGCTGGCTGGCCGGGTCGGATCTCCTCGATAACCTCCTCCGTAATCGTCTTGATGGCACCGATGTACTTCTGATCCTGAATCCAATCCGTCAGGTCCCAGATCTCCAGAACTTCGGCCTGTTGATGCACCCGATGATAAAGCGCGTAGTCGAATCCGGTTGCTTTGGTCCAGAAGAAAGGATAGACCATATCATTCTGTAAATATTGCAGTACATGTCCGAGGGCAACTTCATCTACATCTCCGAATATCTTCATGTGCCGAGCTGCGGGGTTGCTCGCGAAGAATCGCGCGAACACAGGGGATCTTGCGAGGTAGAAACGAGAAGTCGCTATCTGTCTGGTCCCATAGTTTAGGGTTACGAAGTCCGGAGAGGCGTCCATAGCACCATCGATACTGGCTGCAGGACTATCAGGCGCCGCGAAGATATAGTCAGGCGATGGTGTGGAGTCGTTGGGCTCCAAGTCTGGACCGATTGAAGGGGTCGGAGTTCGTTTGGATAGATAGTTTCCCATAGCGACTGCTGGTTACTATGTTGCGAGTTGTAATCATCGAGAAGTTGTGTACGTGATATGCTTTTATAGAAAGAAATGTAAAACATTCCAGGTAAATTCTGTTTGCTATAGAAGAGACGTGATGTTTCTTCAAACATCTGTCTTACTCTCTAAGCTGTCTGGAAGTTCCACAGTCATTTCTGATCCAAAATCCAACGCAGTCCTTTCATGATCTGATGCATAAAAGTCAATCATGTACCAGACGAAAGACTACTTGTCCATAAACTCAGCGTTTGTACTCCAACGCCAGATGCTGCTGTGCCTTCAAGTACCGCTCTAATTTCAACTCCGCATTTTGTCTCAGATTGGACTCCTTCTGTTGCATACTTCTAGCGTTCTCAAGATCCATCTTCGCTTTCCCAATTTCTTGGATGGACCTTGCGTATCGGCTTCTACTGTTCTGAAGTTCCAACTCTTTCTGGTCCATTTCCGAGCGAAGGTCCACATTTTCTGTACTGACCTCCGTGTTCGTCTTCTGGAGCTGAGAAATCGTGATTTCAAGTGTGTCATTTCCTTCGGTCATCTCTTTGAGTGTTTTTGTGAGTTTTTCGATCTCGGTAGCTTGCCGTTTGATAGTGTCTTCGAAGATCGAGCACCCGGTTGCCCTCTTCTTGAGAGTGGACAGCTCCGATTGCAGTGTGATGAATTCGACTTCAATCTCCTCATGTTTGCGTTTAATTCTTGTTACCTGCTTGTATTAGTATCCTAGTAATGTGTTGGAATCCCTAGAAACCAAGGGTATACTCACGACTTCGTCTGACATGGTGCCGTGGTCTGGAGTGCGCTGTACTTGCATGCTAGCACATTGCGTTTCAAGAACATCGTCCGAGTGAGAAGAAATGGAATGACTGTCTCCAGTGAGTCCTAGCTCCGCAGCCGGTATCAAAGGTTCTTCTATGAATCTCAAGCTCTGTGTTTGTGTTTTTGGATAATTCCCTTTGTTCGCTATCCAGGCGCATGCCTTAAGGAGGTCAGCCTCTAAGGTGTCGTACTTGCCTACAATCTTGATGTGACCCGCGGCTAGGAACAGAAAACACGCGAGTGCTCTGAGTTTCCTTTTCGCTCGATCGCTTGAGATGTGGGAATCAAGGTAGTGGAATGGGGCTATGAGCTCAACCTCCGCCAGCCTATGAATGCTGAATCCGGTCTTGATGCTTTGTCCTTCCGAGAGTGCTATCCTGTTGTTCTTCCCGCCGATAATCTGTACATAAATATGGTTCTCATGTCCCCAATTCAGTCGGCCTATGCGTAAGAACGCCGTCGGGGAAGACTGACGACACTTAACCCCGTATTTATTGGAGAAAGCGAGGTCGTTGATGTCTGGTATTGCTCTGAAGTCATCGGGAAATCGTGCTATGAGAAATTTCCTGAGCCCAGCGTGGGTGTATGATGGTGGAAACTCTCTCGAAATACTTGTGCTTCCGGGATTGGACATTTCTCGTAGTGGCGCTCGTGGAAATGGATTGAATTTCAGCAATTTGAGATCTGACCTAGCGAGTACTGTCTAGTTCAAACACTGTAGGGTCTAAGAATGCGGACGTTCCGAGTGAGAAGTAAGTATGGAGTGAGAGACCACTTTCAGTAAGGTAGCTAACCTTCAAGATAGGGCAAGAGAACTCAGATGAGAGATCAAGAAACACGTTTCATGACCTCAAAAAGTTGATAAAGAGACTACCGAATGACAGTATGTAATGTTGTTAACATTGTCGCGTGAAATTGGGAGATATCCACCGACAGTTGGTGAGCTCACTTCCGAGCATGCGTCTGGCAGCACCGCCTTGCTCCCTCTGAACTTTTACCTCCTCATGACTCTCATGTCCAAATAGCATAGATTTGGTTCCTGCCATACTTCTCAGTTAATCGCTAGCAACGTTCTTGCGACACGAGCCAAATGGGTTGCCTACACATCAATAGAGTTTGCTTCTTATTGCGGCCTTTAGCCCTTCCTCGTCATTTCCCTCTTCCTAGAAGTCTGTATAATCACCAGGATGGCCGGGATCAAGATGACCGTCAGAGAGATAACTGTTGCGAAACCAGCAGACATCCGTCGGACTCGGCTTGGACAACCTGTGATCTGTTATATTCTAGCGCTTCTATCACCAGGCACCCTTAGCTCTGCTAGCGCAAACTGATTAAGCACCACTTGCAAGGAAAGCCTGTATGGAGGAGTTGAGAAGTCTTGAAGCTCACCTGAAACTCTTAGCAAATCGAAAGGTCGGTGTTTGCAATAGTACCGGTACTGAGCCACTGGTTCTACTGATAGCATCCGACGGAACATTCAAAAGGCACGGCATGGATGTGAGAACCGGAAGGTACCCACAACTAGCTCGCCTTGGCATGGCTACGAATGCAGGTACAAAAGGTATAGTCGAAGTTTCGAAAACGGAAAAGTTTCGAGATGAGGTAAGAGCCTCAACTTCAAGTGAATTTGGACGATAGCGCTCAACGCGAGGTTTTGGCTGAAGTAGTCGTTCAATGAACGATGAGAGGCTTGACCAAAGCACTAGGAGAGAGACAGTTTGTAGTTTACCTAGAAAAGCCTTGAAGGGTTGTAAAGAAGCCTCCTCCACTAACCCCATTTCACCAAAAGCCTCGTATTCTTGCCATCTATGACGTCTAGTAGTACTTTTAGTCAACAGCCTCACAGTCTCGCACTCCTCCTCTACGTCAGTGATTGATCCGGTGCAACGAGTAGGTGAAGATCCAGTCTACGCCAGGGAAAGTCAGCGATTGGCGATATGAAATAAGCCAACAAATGGCTGCGGGGCCCATATGACATATTAGTTATTCACCGCCGCCGGTTCGCCTCGCGAGTTGCCTTCACCGTCGCCATGGTACCGGCATCCACACTTTTCGCGTAATATTCTTGTTCTTGACCTTTCCCATTCGCTCAAAGCTAGCGGATATATTTGCGACTCAACGCTGCACTGTCAGGTCATGCAACTTACGTCCACTTCGACCAAAGCGCAAGATGCCGGATTCACATCCTAGCTTGAATATGAGCAATCTGCGAGACTTCTTCTCGCGCAGCGACAAGGAAAAGCTCTCACCGGATCTAAAGCGCGCACTCGCGCTTCTCGGACTCTCTGGGTTTGAGGCCCTTGAGGAGCGCTTCCTCTCTGCGGACGCTTTCCTCAGGCCATGGGCTGTTTTCCGCGACTCGATCCTCCTCTTACAGCCAGATGCGATGCCGCGCCCCAATTCGGTCGAACCTTCGGACGTCACTAACAATATATCGCGTTCGGATATCTTGTGGTTCTACACACAATTCGACGAAGACATGCTCCGATACGACCCGCGCGCGGACAAGTACAGCCTCGAATATACCCCGGACAGCAGCGTGTACGGGATGATTGACAAGAACGTGTGGAGTATCCAAGAGTACGAGAAGCACTTGTATGCATGGTTGTTGCAAGAGTTCAAGGTCGGCAAGTCGCAGAACCCGCAGGCCTTCCGATACTTCGAGCTCAAGAACATTTGCTCCGCATGGCAAGAGGTGCTTGTCCCTATTGTCAACGCCGTGCGCGCTTCGTACAATGTGAAGGGACGTCAGTACTACGGGCGGCTGGCGCTATTCGTCGAGAGCAGGTGTCCGTCTCGCTTAGCATTTCCAGAGGGCAATGTAGGCATTCCTGAGGGAGGTATGATGTCGCCCACGCCGTATCGTGTTGTTTCTGTGCCAAAGAAGATGGTCACTAGCGGTGTCGCGACTTTCCACACGCGCGGTAACAGCTTCGGCATGCTGACGAAGAAGCACTACGATGAAGCAGAGAAGGAGCTTCGCGATGTATATCCGCAGTACGGTGGCCTGGTCGAGCGACCAAAGTTCAAGCACAAGATGGAGGATTGGCTCGCTGAGCAGCGCGCGCGTGCAAATCTTAGGAAGGCCGTACAGCAACATGGAGAGGTCAATAGCTTCCAGCCTCAGCTCGTCCAGCGTGATGGCAGTCGCAGTCCGTCTAGGAAGGCTCCAACGGTAAGCTACCCCAAACGACAAAGCTCACACAATGGAAGTCCGAGCCCTATCAAGCGGTACTCGGATAGCATCCGTCGCTCCTTGTCGCTGACAATATCCAAGAGGATGTCAAGGGAGGAGCCGAAGAGTCCGCTCCACGGTGTGACGCGGCAGGTCAATATTCCTGATGATGCACCACGCCGTTCTCCATCACCGATGCAGAAGCCTATGCACAAGGCTAGAGAGCAGAGCTTCTCCAGGCTGGGCTCAACTGACACGGTCGTGATGCACATGCCCCGTCCGGATCTGCAGCAACGAAATGCCTCCGAGCAGAGTGTGTATAGCTCCATCCGTAACTCGAACCCGTTCACCGAGGATCTTCATGACGAGTTGGAGACGCCCCAGTCGCGTGCTGTGAGAACTGGCCCCGTGTTTTCGCCGATGGGGCCGCCGAGTGCTATCCCGCGTGCTTTGCACCACGACAAAGTGCGTGATCGATCTGTTGAGGGTATACCGTTTGTTCAACTGAAGAAGTCTTTCGCCGACATCCGCATCCCGAGCTATGAAGGTACCGGCTATGCAGACGAGATCTCGCTCACAAACCTGCACACCGAACGCAGCAAGTCAGTTCGAACACCTGAGCCTGTTCGTCAAGCAAAGCAACCCACACGCCTACCCGTTCCTATCCAGCCCGTTCCGTATGCTGGCCATCTTCGGGCTGTGTCGAAAGATGCGAATGGGAACGCGCCACCACCCAAGCCCATTGCATGGCCTAGTCCCTCACCGCCCAAGGCAACCGCATGGCCCGGCTTTGACGACGGTTTCGCGCCACCCATTCCACCCAAGAGCCCGAGTCGCTTGAACTCCACTCGCGGTCCCTACCCAAAGCAGCTCGTACGTGACGAGGCGCACACTATGACACGCATCGTCTCCAAGGAGAACATTCGTGCTGCACTTGACGGTATCTCGCGGGAGAGCTCGACGGAAAACTTGGCACCTCCTGTGCCAAAATTGCCGAATGTTGAAGGTCTCACGAGAACCATGAGCCCAAACGGCATCAAACTACACACCTACAACACGCATCTCTTTCCGCGCAAGGGAACGCCAGTTGGTGGCATAGGACCTGATAACAGGAGAGCGTATGAGGCTCGTGGAGCGTATGAGATGGAGGTACTCTCGGGTGAAAAGAAGAGGGATCAGACGGGACAGGAAAGCTAGACGCTATGCATTGGAGGAAATGGCTGTAAAGGCAGGACGAAAACGATGAACCGGGGTTAATAATGAATGACTCGAGACGACCCCGGGTATATATCACAGTAGAATGGCTTGCTCTAAATCGGTGCGCGTTGTGAAGGATGAAATGTCAAAGCTTGACGCGTCAGCAGGTGAGACGCATTCGTGTAGTTAGGCGCATCCGCTACGTCATCAGCTTACCACCATGTCAGCGAGACGGATTCTTAGAGCACAACTTCACGTCCACGACCGTACACACACAGAGTAGCCATAGATTAATAAGTATTGCGGAAGCGTAGACGCGTCTTATCCTCCACTCTTTATCTTTTTGCTTTGAACGGTTCATTGGTGTATCATGACATCCAAGTCGCCGCTACTCCGGCTTCCGCGTGAGCTTCGCGACAAAATCATCGCAAACGTTTTCAACGATTCAAGGCCGCAGACAACAGTCGACTTCAAGCGTTATAGCGTCGCTGATGGAAAAGAAATAACACCACCCTACCTCTCCCTCCCAGCTCTCTGCAAAACCTCGCAACAGTTGTACTATGAAGCGACGCCCGACTTCCTGAGTCGTATCACGCCAGCCCTTTACAATATCGAAACCATATGCTGGTTCCAGAATTGGCTCGCAAGCTTTCCGTCCAACTCCGGGTTCCGAGCGATACGCCAGCTCGCCTTCCGCAACTTCCATGGACCCGAGCAGATCAAGGGCTACGAGCTGATTGCTCTGTGCACGAACCTACGCTCTCTCAATATCAAGTTTGGCGACGAGTATGCCAGTCCAGGAACCATTCCCTCCTTGGCCATTACGTCGCTCAGCAGCTCGGTGAACGCGTACGAGAACCTCGATAACATCATTTACATACATCAGCTGTACAGACTTTTAGATATTTCCAGGCTTGAGCGATTGGAATTTGGCTTCCATGACTGGGAGCAGCCAATCAGTGTCGATCGAGCGCGAGAGGTGATGGAATGGCTACGCGACAAGTTTCAGGCGATCGGAAGAACCGTGTACATTGAGTGCAAACAAATGATGTATGTTGAGGACTCGGACGGCGAATTTGGTTGCTCGTTTGATCCTAATGATTAAAAGGAGGAAAGGGAATGGGGAAAGGCCTAGCACGATACAATCCACTGTCAACAGCATAGAAGAATGCGAATACGACTGGAAAGACGAAGCAAAGGGTTGCAACGATACATGACTCCTCTAGTCTCTAGAATGACACTGTACCTGTTAGCCCAAATTGTAAGATGCACGCCCTTCACTTCCGTTGTCCGGATACCCTCCGACAATTGAGTATTTAGCCTAGAAGAATAAATTGCTATACGCTGCTCAAGGCTGCACAGCTGGCTCACCTCGTCTCACAGCATGTGGTTCTTCTCCTGCAGCACTGATTCACGCTTCCAAGCCAATTATACTATTCTGTATACGCTTTGAGCTCGAGGTGCTGCACATACTTTGCAAGTCCAGGCTCTTGTACGAGTCGCAATACGAAGAACCTAAGGCTTTGAGGATTGGAATAGGACATGCCAATGTACTAACGGTAAAATTCTAGCTTCATCGTTGGATGGAGGCGGTGGCACGTAAGCGAGAGATCTAGAACGCCTGCCTATCTCATGAAGGATGCGGTGTTGAGCAGAATCTCCGCGGAAAGTGGGATAGCGCGCCATCGATACAAGTTTTAAATAGGCAAGTTCAAAATGTGATGAGATGAAACCGTCCGTAGTTTGCCGCTTAGTCGAGGTGTGGGTCGGATTATAGCTCAATCGAGATCGTATTTCCTAGGTAGGGTTAGTAAAGCTGGACACGCTCCACGAGGATAACGATGGGTACCGGACTGCTCATAAGGAGACATAGAGCTATTCAGTGGTTTTCAGTTGTTGTTCCTATAGAGGCCTTTGAGGTTTAGAATTCATTCGGACTGAAGTCTTGCTGAGAGAAAGGGGCGCAGCCGGATGCTCAGGGCTGCCAATCCGGGAACTAGCGCATCGGAATCACCTGCAGCCCGTTTCAGGCCCCCGCCTCTTGAAACGAAACTTAAATTCTTGATACAAAATCACCGCCTGCCCAATCCTTGACAACAACAACAACATTCTCTTACCTTTCCGCTCGTCGTGCACGCGTCTAAACTTCACTTACAAATATGGCTCTGCTAGATCTGAGCGCAGAGCTGCTCCTTTCCATCGCAGCTGACCTCCGCCAAGTCGATCTCCTGAACATCTCCCTCACCTGCAAACGTCTCCGACACGTTACGGAGCCAGAGTTGTATCGCGAGTACAACAACTTACGCCCTGGTTGTCATCCGTTCCTACCATTCATCAAGAAGATCATTGAACGCCCCGAGCTCGCCAAACACGTCCGTCGAGTCGACTTGAGATCCTGGCAAACTGTTGACATATTCCACCCTGTATTTGGCCTGACCGACCTGGCTTTCGAAAAGGTTCAGGCTAATGCGCTAACCGAGTCCGACTATACCCTCCTAGCAGAAGCCTCAAAGGCTGCTGGGGTCATCACTGCGGTTGACCGATACAACTCAAAAAGTCGCGTGGTTGAAAAATGTGGCCTCACGCGTCACAAGCCCCTTCTCGTTGACCCCTGGTACATACACTTGTTTGACGATAAGGTCCCCTTCGACGAGATCCCATACGATCGCAAATACTGCCAACTGCTTCGCAGTGGTATCGAGGACCCTTTGGTTGTACTTCTTCTGGCCCTACTACCCAACGTCAATGAGATTTTCCTAAGAGGTGGTCCTCGCGATGGTAAGTCAAGTTGCAGTATATATATTTATGGAGCTTCTGGGGTGCCTTTCAAGAACATAGAACGCGTTCGGCTGTTGAGTCCTCCATGTTACAGCGCTAACCGAACAACCAACTCTAGTGAACATGCTGGCTTGGAGGGCACATCACAGATTCGCCTCATTACGCCGTCTCATAGTATGCGGGCAGGGCGACCCATTAATATGGCCGGTCGAATTCTTCAGCACGATATTGGTTACAACCCGGCTTGAGAGCTTTGAGGTTCAAGGGGGGAGCTCCTGGTATTGTAATATTGGAGATCCTGAACCCGATGGAGAACAAGTGATGCCACTGGCATTGCAACCTGGATCTCTGAATCACGTGAGAAGTCTCCATATGGAGCTCTGCTGTCTCAATATTTCAGACATGCAAAATCTTCTATTGGCGTGTACTGGGCTGAAGTTGTTCTACTATTCCGCGGGAAATGCTGATGTTGCGCTTCGTAGCCCCTCGCCGGCTAAGATGATCGAACTTCTCCAACCACTCAAAGATAGCTTAGAAGTGCTTTCCCTAGATCTAAGCCCATTGTGGTACGAGGACTACCGGGGTGGCGGCGATAAAAGGCTACGCTCGCTCACCCACATGACGGCTCTAAAGTTGCTCGACATATCTGCTGAGATGTGGCGTCCTGTGGAAAAGAATGACGAGGTCAACGGCGATATCTATCCCTGGTATGAGGATTTGACCCTGCATGAGATCAGCGACCTGCACTTACGTTTGCCGCCGAATCTACATACGCTTATATTCCACGTAAAGCGCAAACAGCTAGAGCCAAAGATAGGCCAACTCGAAGATCTCATCCAGAAGCAACCAGCATTTCTTCCCAATCTTCAACATTTACACGTGGGATCGAACAAATACAGATACTGTACGGAGGTCAATAACCTAAACCGTCGATTGGAAGGCCCGCTACGCCCTGAATCTCGCCGTTTAAGCGTCGGTGTTGGAACTGACCGCTTGGAAACAATTTTTGACAAAGTAATCCCGTCGGATTCTATTCCTGACACGAAATGGTTCGGCAACAAGTATGCGACCCGCCATGTAGAGGATTTTACTTCCGGTGAAGAGGACTACTTTATTTCCGGTGAAGAGGACGATAGTTCAGATGAAAATGATTATGGTTCAGATGAAGATGATGAAGTGTCTGATGACGAGTATGAACATTCCGATGGAGTGTGATCTAGTATAGAACCCGAGAATTGAAGGAGTAGTGCAAAGAGCCTCTAGCGCTAATAAGTACTTACCTAAAGATTATCTAGACACCAACAAGAGGCCTAGAAAGATCCGAATGTTTCCGCGCTGCGTTAAAAGATCACTTTTGAGTCCGATAGGTTCCTCGATATATGTGATATTGACCTGGAATGATCTGCAGGGTCATCATCCACCTAGCAAGTACATTGCACTAACTCAACCGCCAGCCTACCTTCCTCTTACATCTTGTATAGCGGATATAGAGGTGCCTTTCCAACAAGACCTTGAGATCTCATTCATCTCTCCAGATTCTTAAGCGATAGAAGCCTCACGCGTGATCGTGATATCCTCCCCACTTCGAGGACAGTCAGAGTGTAAAGCGTTTGATAAATTGTGTAGATTGCCTTCCGAGTTATGCAAGACAACGAAGTGAGTGTTTCATGATTACACGATTTTGAATTCGAGCCACAATATCTCGGAAATATTGATTGAAAGCCATAATTCTCCTTTCTAGCATGGAAGAGGAGGTTGTACAGCATCTACCAAGCCTCATCGGGTTACGCAGGAACGTCACTATAGAGTATCCAATTAGCGACGCACCATCAAAATGCACTACCGTCATCGGTCGAAACCAGCCTATCCAGTGTCACCTAGATCGCGATGGCGTTGATATCTCTGTCGCTAATCGCCTTCAATTTGAGTCTGGAAGCATCTTGGCTGCGTAGTCGTGTCGGAGTCGAGGTGGTTGCGCTGTGGCGGGCTGCGTGAGGGGCTTGCGTGACAGCATTTGAGGCGAGCTTCCCCACGAACCTAGCCCCGCATCTCCAGTAACATCATGGGTAGCTTTCTTTCCTCGCGAATTGACGACGCAGACTGGAAATCAGATGCCCGATATGCGATGGAGTCTGGAACATTTTGTGTAATATGTGGCGGCCCGTTCGATGTGGAAGGGGATGTGTATAATATCGACCCGAAGGAGATGCGCTATCGGGTTTGTTAGCCCGTCTCGTATTCATCCAGTATCTTCGTGCTTTCAACCTAACAACTACTAGTGGCTGTTCGAATTCCGTCTCCTTGGTAGTCCTTCGCATGTTCTTACTCATAAGGTGACTAGCGAAGAAGCAGAGTAAGCTCCCTTCCCCTCTTCTTATAGTCCATGCTCATTTTGTTCTAGACCGATGAATGCCTCTGAGAGTAATGATGTATTCCTCTCAGAAGAAGCTTGGTTCAGCATGACGGGTTCTGGCTACTTTCGAGTCGGTGATGCTGCCTTTGGAGGAGACACATGGTTTGACGCTCTCCGCGATGTTTCGGACACTGACACCTTGCTTCCTTTGCACGAAGCGTGCATGGACATCAGCTGTCGTGTAATCGAACACTGTCATGCGAAACGAATGCATACCGAGCCCATTTCAGCGCTTGCTGTTCTCAATTGCCTCCTACAAGAACGCTTTCGTAGCAACGCCCACGCCTCCTTCGAGATGAGAAACGATCTTCTTGACCTATGCACGGCTTCTGAAAAATATGGGCCTCGTAGTGTGATGGCTTTGACCAAGTTAGAGTGGTGGGGAGGCGAATACGAGGTACATACTCCTGAACGCTGCGCTACGGGGACTAACGCAATCCTAGAAATTCTATACTGACCCTCTCAATGTATCCACAATCACATCATTTGCCCTCAGTGTCCTGAAAGCTTCGCCAAATAGGAAGTTCGGTCATGATTACACACCACCCATAACACGAGAGCCTCATGGTATTGAGCTTTTACCGACTGAGCTGTTGGACCAGGTATGCAGTTATCTACCAGCGACATCAGTCATCAAAATGCACCGAGTATCGAAGACGCTCGCTCTGAAGGTGTCCTTAGATAACAGCTTTTGGCGTAATAGCCTCCTGGACGGGAGTTTACTCCCACATGTTTGGGATCTTGACAGAGAACAGCTCGGCACGCCCTTCTATGAAACCTCCAGCGATTGGAAAAGCGTAGCGCAGCTGCTAGCTAAGAGGAGGCTTCCTATCAGCGTACGAGACCGCAGATTAGATGGCTTGCCGAATGGTCTTTGGAATAGATGCAGGATCTGGAGCATCATGGAAGAAGCCGTCGAGCTTTATCTCTCTCGGTCAGATCCCAGAAGTCCAACTAATAGCGCTGTGGACGTCTGCAAGAGCCTCGAGCCTGTTGAAGCATGGCAATTGGAAGAAATGTTGGAAGAGTTTGAATACTAAGAACGGTACGCTTAAAAACTGGGCTTTCACAGCGATAGTAGGGAGGATAGTCCATCGATTGTAGTCAGACATACTACATTACGAGGAGACACCAATGCCGTCTACAATCACCAAACTCTCCAGGAGACACCCTAGTAGGTATCGAATACTACCTCCGTCCTAACGGCTTCTCCATCGCGGCAACAAACCTGTCCCAGCTCGGCCCAAACCCCTCGTAAAACCTCTCGCACGCGCTCGTCACGAAAAGATACTCCGCCCGCTCACGCAACTTCATCGTAACATTCTCGACCTCTTCTTCTGGAACAGAATGAACCATGTAACTAGTTCGAGAGCGATCATATGGCGAAGTCGCTAGCCAATTTTGGTATTCATCAGTCACATAGTATCCATATGATGTCTCGACCACGACCGTAATGTCCGGGCCTGGACTTGCGAGTTGAGCATGCACAGCTGTGCCAGGGTTATGGACCATCTGTATCGGTATCAGCAGGGATACATGTTGTACAAAAAAGAGATGGGCAACGCACGATCCTATCGCCATGAATACCATCGCACTCTTTCACTTTTCGGTCGATTGCGTCCAGATAGCGCTTTGCTTCCTTAGAATAGTGGTTCACCGTTTCATCGACAAAGATGCCTTCCATTCCCAGACCGGGATGCTCGTCACTTCTTGAACGTGCCGCATATGCGTCGATCTCTCCAGCGACATCCTGTTCAGGTCTTTTGCAATACCCCACCCGTACATAACCCACCGTCTTGACGTTCTTGTAGGCATTTAAGCGTGGGATTTCTCGGATATAATCTGCATTAGGCCACCACGGCGCAACACCAGGACCACTGCTCGGGTTGACGATAACCAGGAATTCGAGATTTGGATATGCAGAGACGCTAGTGCTTGTCAGTCCAACCGAGATAGGAATGTGGCCGGAGGAAATTTACGCGGCGTATAGTGGCTCCCATGCTCCTGGCTGGGGGTAGATGTATAGCGGCAGAATGATTTTTGACTCCATGTTTGGTGACGCCTATTCCGAAAATGGGGTTCACGAACAAAGATTTGTGTATGTGTTCACTTAGCTTGACAACAAGATGCTGACTAATCTGTCAACAACGACTCGTTAGCGCCAATCGTATACATGAACATTTTGCCTCCTTGCATAGTCAGTCTCATCATCTGTTTTTAGTTTCTCTCGTAAAAGAAAGTCCAACAGTGCTTTGATTTTCTACCACATCACATTCAGCCACTGCTCCCAAACCGACCCGTATCCAGCATATACATCCTCACTCAGATCAGTCACATGCAACCACTCCACATCTCTCCTCACGTCATCAACGATCTTCCTCAATCCCCCCGTCCCAAGGTCCTTCGGCACCGAATGAACCAACATCGCCCGGTCTTTCCTGTGACTCGTAACCCCATCCAACATATTGTGTAACCTAGTCTTCCTAGGCAGATCCTCATACGCACCTTCAAACACCACGGTCAGATCCGGTTTATACGCCATCAAGCCCTCATCAGGCACGCGGCCGGGATTCTGCACCACCATGGCCTTGTTGCCAAAACCCTGCGAGTGCCGCACTGTCGCGCTAATATTCTTCATGTACGCTCGTGCGTCGTCTGAGTATTGCCACGGCGTCTCGTCGAAGTATATACCTTGCATACCGAGGTCTGCGCTAACATCCGCCCACCCGGCATACTTCGCGATATCAGCACGGACAGTGGCATTATCCCTGGTTCCGCCTGTTGTGTTGACGTAGCCCAGTGTTTGCACGTTGGTGTGTGCGTTGAGGTTTTTGATGGCTTCGATGTAGACCCCCGGGGGCCAGACGTCGCTGCCGGGCCCGTTGTCGGGATTTATGATTACAGTAAAATTGGTGTCGGAGTATTTAAGTATCCTGCAGCTGTTTGTCAACGGTGCAATCTTTTTTGCTGGCGATGTGCGGGCGAGACTTACGCTGCATACATTTTATCCCAACCTCCTAGCTCCGGCTTCATATACAATGGTACCAAGACATTAACTGGCAGTGGTTTGATCAGTTTCTGGGGCAGGATGATACCGAGAGGTATGATGATCGCGAGAAGAAGCACGATTCCTAATGTTACTGCTAGTGCGAGCACACGGTCATCGACATCTTCTCCGAATCTTGCCTTCTTTGGCCTCGATGGGTATGGGCTCGCCTGTTTATATTGCGAAGACGTTGTTGATGTCGACCTGTCGTTAGAAGCGCACGGCTGAATTGGCTTCTCGGAGACAAGGACGGCTTTTTTGGGCGGGGTGGGCACTCGTAGGGTATTAACGCTTTTCCGGGCTGGATTTGCGCGCTCTGTCGGTGTCTCTGAAATCGTGGAAATGTTTGTAGACCGTCGTTTATTCGTTGGAGGGATCGCCAGGCCATATGGACTCGATACGTTGCGTAGTTGGGATGACGGCGCGCGCAAGTGCGTTTTGTACGTTGACAGGGCCTGGATGTGTGGGGTTGGTAGAGACATTGTTCCATTCAATCTCAGTTGATGTTCATGTACGATAGGTTCGAACATGTTGTGGTGCTAGAGGGTTGAGAGAGTGGCATGTTTGCATTCCTCGCTTCTAGGGTAACGTTACGCTGCGCTTTTGATAAGGGGCATTCCAAGGGAGGCGAACTATAATCAGGGTATGTAGTCAAAGTACAAAATAACCTGGAAATAACCTTATCTTTGATTTAAATACGTTGGACAACCGAAGCCAACAAGAAGGCACACGGTAAGCTATAGAAATGCCCTACCCTAGATCGTTCCAGCAAAAGATGTTCCAAAGAACTTGAGTATCACCCGACTTGTTCCAGCGATCTAACGATCTGCCAATCTTAAGAGTGCGGGTTTAGTATACAACCGTAAATCGGTGTTCGCGACTTCTATACCGCGACAGATAGGCTAACCACTGCTCACTGGTAGCAGTCAACATATCCTTCGCCGCCTGGCCCTCGAGAAGGTGGTACATTAATGGTCGAGGAGTTTCCATCGAAAGCGATCGATAGGGTGGTACCTGCTCGAACTCGAATTGAAACATGACGTTGCAATTCTTGCGCGCAAAGTCCAGCATTTCATTCTTGAACAGGACACAGAGAACCGCCAAATCGTGAACATTGAGCTTCTTGTCAAAGCTGGCGTGGATATGAATAGTCAGGGTGAAACCGTTCATTAGATCGAGCTGCCAGAGGGGGGTGAGTTGCGACCTTATGGCTATAGCTGAAGCGAGTGTCCATTCATAGCCCTCAGGGTAGGCAATGCTGACGCTCAATGACCGCATTGTACCCGTCGCAGGCGTCATCTCCACACTAAAGTGGTCGGTGCAAAGGAACGTTTCGAGGTCCGGTAATTTCACCCTACGTCCTACACAGCCGTGTTCGTAATACCACTCCACGGCTTCCTTCCAGAAGTCTTTATTGGCGATTTTCGAAAGATCTGTTATGAACCTCCATTCGTCACCGAAGTAGTTGGTGGCAGCTTCATGCGACGCTATGGGAGGGTGGTCGTCCAACCACAGGCTCTGGTATACCAGATCGCGTAGCTCACGTGGAAGTCGCTCGTAAGTAGCATTTGTGTAGTCGACCATTTGTTCGTTTTGGCGCGCACTATAGTAGTCAGTACAAAAATCTGGTAGGGAGGAGCTACTTACACCGTAGACAGGTATGAAGTCCAAGCATCATTTTGATAGGGGTCCGTTGCACTTGGTAGTCCACTCATCTTTCCGTTGTGTATGAAACTCGAAAAAAAGTTCGTTGTACGAGTTGATGCTGAGTCGAGGGCGAAAGAAATGTTGTAGTGATCAAAGTCTAAGCGGAGGGGCGTTTTGTGTCCTAGGGGCAACACTACCGCACAGGCCAAGACAAACGGAAAGTCCAGACATTTCACTCGTAGGACTTTTTCTGTTGCTTGGCCGACGTAACGCGCAGATGCATTTTCGTGTTTTGAGTAGACTCGGTCGCACCCTCGAGGTGTATCGAGTCCAGGCTGGCACAGCCCAGGCACCACCCGAGCGGAGAGATTGAAGAATATAATAGAAAGAACTTTTTCGGATGAAACGAATGTAAATGCAGTCTGCTTTGCCGCGGTTAAGATGTTTCGGACAGGAACGAGGTCGACGTGGAGTTACTTCGGAAGATATCTCTGCGGCATCACCGACTCCTGATATAGGTGTATATGTTAGAATGATGAAGATGAAGATGGGTGTGGGCTGTACACTTGATATAGACAACGGGGGACTGACTTGAACAACTGTCGATCGACAAACCCATGTATTCATGAACTCCAAGCTGCTTTACATGGCAACACGTCTAGTTTCCAGCAGCCTGATTCCCGTCAAGGACGTACCCTTTCAATGCTGTCACTGTCTTCTCTCCTAGTCGAAGAGATGACTATATCCTTTTGTACTCGTATCTCCCTTATTTGCGACGCCATTGCGAACATCTCGACATCGCTATCCTGACTTCCTTGCTGACGCGCATCTTGATTCGCCCTTGGCAGGTGCCTGCTTCCAGATACATAATCTGATCCATGTGTGGATGCGCCAGGTAGGGAGGACCGAAGCTGGTTCAAGATTGTGAACTCTGTGCGCAACTTGATCGCGTACACCGCGACTTTGTAAAAGCCTTGTAGGAAGAAGAACCCTGAGTAGCAAAGGCCCATCAAGCTGCAGTCGAGGATGATGATGAAGATGTTGACAGAGATCAAGTGCCGGAGGTGGCGGCGGGTTGTTTTGCGATTGGTGCCCAGGAGCGTCATATTCTTGAGGTGTGTCGCGGTCTCGCGGATGTAGAGTAGGCCGATCAATGTCTCTTGGACGAAGAAAGCGGCGAGCTGAACTCTATCCCAGATAATGTTCGCTCTTGAGAGCTTTGTGATCATTCCGGGGTGTCGCTTTCAAAGTCAGTAAAGGTGAGGATGTTCCTGTACCTGTACACTCACAGCGACCAGCCCGAAAATAACTGTACCGAGCCCGAAAATGAACGAGTTGACAACGATCATATAAAGTACGTAGTAACCGATTCGTTCACTCTTCAAGACCAAGTTCAGGCGCGAGTAGAGCACGACCGACTGTGCAACCACATAGGAACACCATGTGAGGTGGATGATAACGATGGAGCCATAAGTTTCCCAGACCTTGAAGTCGTTCAAAGTGATGGTGATGGAATGGATGATTATACCCCAGGAACACACAAGGCAGGCCCAAAAGTAAAGGCTGCGACGCCGCGACGCCCGAATACTGAGGCGGACGTTGAGTTCAGCGCAAAGGTACCATGCAATTCCCAGGAAAGCGGCAGCGGACATTGCCGTAGGCAGTGTAGTAATTTCGACTGTTGGGAGGTCCGCATTGTCGATACCAGAAGTCGTAGCGTCGGTCATTGTGAAGGTTGAGGCATGTCCATCAGAGTTTGGAAGGTCCCGAAGCGTTGGGATATGATATATTTCCCGTCTACCCCTTGAACAGACTGTCGCAGAAAACAGCAGTCCCTTTAAACATGGTTTCTGATAATGACCAATCTGTGGACTGAAGCGTATCAGTGTTAATGGCGAGATCCCAGGTGACCCTGTAGACCACGATACGGATGTCGTCGGCCCATTCCCCATTAGGGCCTCTCCATGGTTCTAGCACCTCCCAAGACGGGTAGAGAGCACATGAGCAGTAATCCTTCGCGATGGCTGAGCTAGTGGTCAAGGTGCAGGAACGTAGGATTTGTCGCAATAAGCGAATAGTGACATTCCGTTCCGCGCCCTGCGGCACTCGATCACGGATATGTACAGCTATGAGCCGTGTCACACATGAATGGCTGCCTATACTTGCCATGGTCGCTTTATGCTCCAGGCTCCCAGTCGAACGATGTTAGCTCAACGATTCCGCGTGACTTTGGATGTATTGCCACATCGAGTGTTGATTTCGAGAGCCGGATTCAAAACGCCTACAGTTATTAAACTTTTCTAGCATGGAAAACCCCAGCTGCAAATGCCTGAAATTGAGCATTAACTGTCCAATGAGACGTGAGGGGTCTGAGATTGCAGGCGCATATTCCTAGCGGCACGGCTGCTGGGAGGCGCTCCAAGGGTATTGTCAACCATTTGATAGTTTTGCTGTGCCATACAATAAGAGATTAGAGCAGAAGATGGCCTAGAACAGGGTCTTCCAATGCTCCCTATTGAGGTCGTGGGATAAGAAGTTGAAAGATAGACCTCGTTATGGAGGGGCTAACAATATTCTGTGAGGTTATATCGCCAGTCTAGCGCCAGTCTAGCGCCAGCGCTAACTTCTGGTGGTTCTGTCGGAGTTCCCCGCTGCTTCGTCCTCATCAATATCCTCGTCACCCTCCTCCGTGGGTGCATAGATACTCCCGACAGTGGCGTTAATCCCTGAGGCGTGTCGCATAGGGATGCGGCTTCTCAATAAATTCCGTGGTCTCTCGGCATTGCTGGGCATGTGACAGCGGCGAGGGCCAAGCACGTATTCGCGAAAAAGCAACAAGATTAGTGTGTAACTCTGTTCACAGAAAAGGAGTCGTGAAAAGGAGCTTCAATATCACTCTGAGCGTTGGAGCCTACACCTGGAGTTGGGTAAGAGCCAAAGTTTCCATCTACAAATTGGAGACTTTGCAGGTTCCTCACTATCTACTTTCACAGCTTTGGTACTATTTGCATACTGATCTTATCAAGCATATGCTCACGCAAGATCATTGATCTGAAATTCGTAGAATGTATACAGGATATCGAGTTGCTCAACCAGCTTCCACACCTTGCCAGATCACGCTTTTGTGGGGATTGGAAAAGAACTCATGCAGCCTGTCTACACTTTCGGCAACTCAGTGCATGTGTTTGAGCCTCCCAGGGTCATCTCTCCTCTTTCAGCTCTCACTTCTAGGTGGCGCCATTCACGCCTCCACCGCCATTAACACTACCACCGATACTCTCATTCTCCTTCCGACTGAGAATCTTCTTCGGGCCCCAAATCCCCGCCCTGCCGCCAGGATCCATGCTGCGCTCCTTCTTCGGGCTATTTTCCTTCCTGTCCTTCAGCCCAGCAACAGTCTTCAGGACTGGCAGGGCAGAAACAGGTGTCGTCAGACTACCCTTACTGCCACTCTTCCTTCCCTTCCCCTTCTTCCCATTGCCAGTCTCAATCCACAATCCGCCTTCTTTCCTCGCCTTACGCTCCTCTTCTTCCTTCTCCCTCTTGATCCTGAGTTCTTCCTCGCGCTCCTTAATCGCTTTCTCCTTTGCCTCTCGTCTAACCCTCTCTTCTTTAGCTTTCAACTCGACTGCCTGCCTCTCCTTGATCGCTTTCTCCTTTGCTTCGCAGGCCTTCGCAACCGCCTCCTGTTCAAGACAGGCTTGAGCTTCGATATCCGAGCGTGCTTCCGCTTTGATGCAGGACCAGCAGGGGAAGTAGGACTTGCGGGGTGAGGGGTCTTCGCTGATATCGGGGCACACGGTGTTGGAGAGGTAGCCCGGACGGCACATTTCGATGTAGAGTCGGTCGGAGACGTGCTTGCACGTGTGGTATTTCTTCCAGTAGAGACACATGTTGGCTCTGTGTGTGGTTAGGCCTTGTGCGTGGAGCTACGTAACGTGAGCTTCTACCTCGTAGAAGACTTTTGACAAATAAGTAGTGGCGTGGGATGAACAGGGCGAGGGGGATTGAGGTTTGAATGTGAAGCGCCTCGAGGTGAAGGTGAGAGGTTTGCTGCTCAAACCGGGTAGTTAGGGCAGGCGCATTGGAGGTGAGACAACAACCGCTGAGGGAGGAAAGAGCGCTCGACGTTGTGAGCAAGAACGCCGTCCTCACACCAACGTCATATCTTTCCTGTGTATGTATTGCAGCAGGGATTGTCTACAAGATTGGAAGGGTTGGTGACCATCTGTCCTGGCCCAGTCGAGATGTCGACTCCATTTTGCGACGAGAGGAGGGAACTCGCAAAAGACACTACTTGGTAGGATTTTCTTGAATAAAATACGAAATGTTATGGAAATATGAAAGGGTATATCCATCGCCTGTACGACGACCACTTGTAAAACAAAGAGGAACAGTCAAGGGTATCCAAACAAACCACACCCTGAGCGATGCCCATTTCAACGCGAACCACCCCAGGAAGCGCTGCGTAAACGATGCCTATTCGAATGTATATGAGGGGAGAGCATGTGGAAAGTCACCTCGAATTGGTCTATGACCTCCTCGCCTGTCGATGTGATGTCTCTGGGCGCGCTCCGCGATGTTCAACCTCGGTGATGCGACTGCCGCCCATCTCCTTGATCTTGGCCACCAACGTTTCGGTCTCATCGAGCTCTTCCATATCATCACCGCCCCCAAGGCTCTTCCCAAGGAGCAAGATGTTCGGTACTGTTCTCCGGCCAGTCGATTTGGCCAGTAGCGCTTGCAGCTTCTCGCCGAGGGGGTGGAGGTCGAGCTCGACCACGTACGGCTCGGGTAGGATGCGGTACTTCTCGAGGAGGATGTGCTTCGCTTTCTTTGAGTATGGGCAGTAAGATTTGGAGAAGATGATCACTAGATAGATGTTAGCGTTCGTGCGGCGAAGAGCGCTCAATTGTAGCGGACGTACTTGGGCTCTTCTTCAATATCAAGTTCAGCTCCGTCTCGACCTCGTGAGCTTCTGGTGTCTCGTCTTCTTTTACGATGGCCTGATCTCGCGATCTGCCCCCCTGTGCAGCGACGCCAGGGACCTTGTCTCCACCTAGCTTGACTCTGCCTGCAACACCCTTCTGATCATCCCCCTCAATGGCTACCTTCTTTGAGTCGTACTTCTCATCTGCTGCCTTCTTCGCTTGATCCTCTGCTGCCTTCAGTCGCGAGCCCACGCCGTCTGCGTCGCGTTGCTTCGCCGCTTCCTGGAATTGCGACTCTTGTAGGGCTTGTTGTGTTTTGGTGTAGAAATCCGACCCATGTGTTTGATGAGCTCCTCTCGATATGTAGACTATGACAATGATTGTGATAAGCGCGAGGACAGCAATGAGCCTCATGCGACGTTGCGAGGGCATCATGGCAGCTCGATGTGGGTCGTGTGATCGTGGGCGAGCGCAGTGCGAGTACTCGTAGATATATGCGTATTGATCTCGTCAAGCTGTAACGTAGCCTGAAGTTGCTGGAAACGATATGAATTTGACTTATTTGGCTTCGTGCTTGTCGCCCAAATGCGTGGAATTGGTCAGGTTTCTGTTTGACGTGGATTGTCGGGGAGTAGCAGAAGCGAACGGCAGGTAGATGAGCGTACGCAGCGTATTAGAAGGATTTGTGTGTGTATCCCTGCGACTAGAAAATGGACACGACTGCTTCTGTAATATTGAGGCAGTGCGACGGTGTGCCTGAGTTGGTCGGTTTGTTAGAGCTTTTGAGGAGGAATGTGGTGATCCTGACGACCGGCGTCATGCCGCCTTCTGCGGCCTCTCCACTTTATCCCTGTCACTTGACCGCAAGGCCTCCACTCTGAACCGCGATATCGTGCCTGCCAAGCATTGAACAGCCCGCCTTATGTGGGCTGGGCTCGACTGGCCTTATTCACATTTCTTCACATCTATTCACATTGTCTGCATCATTGCGGCTGTGCAGCGGAGCGCCTTGCGTCTTCGACAAAGAGCCCCTCGATTTGATCGACTCCCTCTTGTCCTCGATATGTGACCTAGTCCCACCATGCCGGAAGCGAGGGGCAATACACCCTACGACACCATTACCTCCCGTACTTGATAACTACGCAAAATTAACCCGGTTCTAGGCATTATTCTTGTGACTTGCGTGCTCGACTAGAGCACAAACAGTCCACGGCATAGACCTAATTCCAGTAGGACTATGAGGTGGACCATCCCTACCAACTCTTTACAAATACTCCTCCTCGTCAAAGTCGTCAAATATCCAATGCTCGTGCAACCTCTGTCGTTCCTCCTCGGACTCAGCTGCCTCAAGCGCATCGGCTTTCAGCTTACGTTCCCGTTGCTTAATCTCATCATACAGCTCTGCAGGCACCCATCCCTCAGACCCGATACCGACCGCATCTTCACAAGCCTTGAGCTGCTCATCTGCCTCGACCTGTGCAGCATCTAAGCGCAAACATTCGCTCACCTCATCTTCCGAGAAGAAGATCGGGCAAGGGGGCTTCGTAGCGTTTCTCGAGCATGAATTGACGATATTGGACCATTTCTTCGTCAAATTAACCAGATCGGCTTTGAGAGTCACGTTATCGCCTTCCCAGTAGGAACCCGAGTGATCAAAGAGTTTGCGCCTCAACGTGCTGAACTCGTAGTTTAGGGCGTCATAGTGCGTCGGGTTAAGCTTTGCCGTCATAGCGACATAGAAGTAATGAATTTGACGCCGGCGTAGAAGTTCGACTTGCTCGGACTGCTTCCTTTCACTTAGCTCGTTGAAATCATGTGGTATTTCAGGGAGTGTCAGCGATTCTGAGACGCTGTCGCCGTAGTTCTGAAGACTGTTTGGAATACCGCATTGCAGAAAGAGCGGGAGTATTGCGCTGTTTTGCCAGTCGATTAGGCCGGTAATCTCAAGATCGTCGGAGATGAATATATTACCGGGGTTGAGATCAGGATGTCTCAGCGTTGGGCGAGTAAGAGTTTCGTTCCCGTTCGGTGTGAGATAAGGCACGATTTGCAAGTATTTCTCCAGACTGTCCATATGCTCAAAGGGTGACTGCTTCTCATAATTGTATATCTCTCGGTGCAGACGTTGGAAGGGGTGAAGCGGTCGGCCAAACTCTTTCAAATATGCAATCTCCTTCTTAGCCCCAGCCGTAAGAACCGCAGCTGAATCCATGTCTTTATGGTATTTAGTAAAAGTTACTGACTGAAAATGAAGTAATTCAGAGCAGGAGGAGAAAGTGAAATACAAGTGCAGGGTTAATACGTACATGGTCCACGATCAGTCTGGATGTCGAGTCTTTTCCCATACCAGAGGCGGAGTCTTGTGTCAGGACCAACGCAAAAGCCACTGGCGCATCCAGAATCGACGACTGGAATATCAACCTTGTTGCACTCTACTTTCAGGTCCTTGTTATAGTATATACTACCGCTTGCCGGAAACGGGAGAGCAAACAGTCGTGATTCTAACTCCACAAGTTTGGTGACGACGGTAATTCTAGCCTTTTCAGGCAGGTCAAACCAGATGTCGCCCAACTTCGTTCCGCGAATACGCTCCATAAAAATGTATTCGGTACCAGCAGGGTTCTCTGATGTGGTCGAGTAACTGTAGACCTTAGGTACAGGTAGGCCATGTGAGCGTAGAAAATCCATCGTCGCGACTTCGCTAGCTACGACCAAATGCTTCGGCTCGGTAACCAGATAAGGGATGCGTCCGACGAACTGATAGCCATCATGCATAGTAACTAGGAAAGTTCGGTTGAAACCCCCTTCAGCAAGCTTTTCAAACCGAACCACATCTTGCACGTTCCGATTGACGGCTGCGGCCGCGATGCGCTTGAGTTCCGATACATTGAAGACACGTCTTCTTTCAGAACGCTTCTGGGCGTCATTCCAACTGCAGGTCATGGTCAGTAGTAGGGATTGACTGAGGAATAAAGGGTCACACACAGCCATCGCCCCGACGTGTATTCAAACAGCTCAGAAAGTTGTTCCCTTGAGTGGCCAGCCAAGGAACGAGCTGATTCTGTGAAGGGTTTCCTAGCTCTTAGGGGTGTAATCGTTCGTGGAAAGGGACGGTAGGAGGAACGAATAACCAACTGGCTATTTAATTTTCGAAAAAGCGCCATAATATGGTCGCGCAGGACCACGGTAGGAGGGTAGCGCAGAAAGGAGGATCGATTCGCTGCGGCGGATCGAAGGGCCTGTTGGCTTACTAGTACGCCAATCTCAGTAAATACAGGTACTCTTTCAGTCCCCTAAGCCTTGAGGTAGTAAGAATAGTAGCTTACCTAGTTACGTTCGCTGAGTGAAGCTCTACCTGGGCAGGGGCTATACCCCAGAATTAGGCTCCCCAAACGGGCATAGTGCTAGCTTAGTCAGAAAGTTGCCCTAGCGATTTCCAAGGTTAGCACGACCTGTCCCTTGGTTAGTTACCTAGTAGCAATGCAGCGCATTAACACATATAGAATCTATAAAGTCCCTATGATCTGAATTGTTGCCATCTACTGACTTCACTCATCGGCCCAATTTAGTACGCCATGTCAGGAAAGAGCGGCGGGCTCAGTGTGCTCCTCGAACGACCACGACCGAGTACATTGCAACAATTCATCAAAGAGCCCTGCATATTCCTAGCAAAGAAACTGTATAAGTGGCGTTGGATTATTGGTTTCGATCCTATCAAACCCATCGCTATTGTCTGCATCTCAGATACGCACAACAGTCAGCCATCCGACATCCCTCCTGGTGAAGTCTTGATACACGCGGGCGACATAACGCAAACCGGCACCCTAAAAGAGATACAGACGTCTCTCGATTGGATCAACTCATTACCACACCCCCACAAAGTACTCATCGCCGGTAACCATGACATCCTTCTTGACCATACCGATCCACGCGCCGATCCGGTCGCAAACGCGTCCATCAACTGGGGTAACATAACCTACCTTGACTCTGAGTCAACGACGATTTCCTGCACCAACGGTCGCGAACTCAAAATCTACGGCAGTCCTCTCACCCCACGCCATGGCAACTGGGCGTTCCAATATCCGCGCAACCAAAATGTGTGGCACCATAAAATCCCAGCAGGCACAGACATACTTATCACGCACGGTCCGCCAAAAGGCCATCTCGACGCAGGTTACTTTGGATGCAAACACCTACTTGATGAAGTTTGGCGGGCGAAGCCTAGGTTGCATGTGTTTGGACATGTGCATGATGGGCATGGGATGGAGTGGATACAATTTGACGGGTTGCAAAGAGCATACGAGAATATAGTCATAGCCGGTGGAGGACTCTGGAATCTTAGCCGAGTCGTCTTTGAATTCCTTCGTGCTCACTCCACCCCCATAAAGGAATCTAGGGTGCTTTTTGTTAATCCCGCTATCGCCGGAGGCCTCCGAGATGAGCAGAGACGACCTCCAATAACTGTACATGTGTAAGTTCAATGTAGTATTAACATACTTCAAGCCTTAGAACCATATATGAGGATTGTTCTTCGGTATCTGCGAGCAGAGTGCATCCATTTGTGTGCATCCTCGCTAAACAAAAATAAAAATTAAACAAGTCTATACTTCATGGGCTTGCCGTAAACCTCTAAACTATCTATAACGGTTAGATCACTATATTAGGCCTGGATTCATTTTACCCCGGGCCCCTTCAAATTTCCAAGCTTATTTGTTAGGCTAATTCGCTTTCCAGGACACTGTCTCAGCAATTTCTTGCCCGGGAATTTGAACGGTCGGGCTACAGTCTTAGGCCTAGTTTAATTCTAGTCCTCATTTTTCAACTCCGCTCGACTTTCACTTGCATTTGACTCCAGATGTGGTGCTGACGGTTAGGCTGCTACAACGGGCCTAGTTTAACCCCAGTCCTCTTGGCCACTCCGCTCTCAATGTCGACCATCACCAGCATTTCCCAATGTGGTAGACGTGTATAAAGTCGAGTGATCTGAAGCGTATCGTTGAATAGCAGAAAGAAGTTCCACAATACAGTCCAACAGTGCTTAACCCTTGCGGCCCTTCCCAAATTCCAAACCTCACGTCATCGATCATTCTTCCTTGACCGATACTCACCATGTCCTCATCGACCCCCATTTCAATTGTGCCTTCTCCCACCGAACTGAAACACGGCAGAATCAGTCAACGCAACCTCGAGATCGCTATCCGAGCGCTTGCCCGCGATGGACTCGTTGTAATTGAGGCGATGGTTGATCATTCCATTCTGGATCGGCTGAACGCGAAGATGGTGCACGACGCGTATAAGCTGCAAGCGAGCAAGGATAGTCCTTTCAATTACAATAAAGGGAACATTCAGCAGGATCCTCCGCTGACAGAAGAGTGGTTCAGCGATGATATTTTCATCAGTAAGTGTTTTGGTTCTTTCCCGATCCACTATCTCCCGACGTCCTTCAATCCGAAAAATGGCTCGTCTGAACAGCCACAGATCCCATGGTCACTCAAGTTACATCAACTGCATTGGGTCCTAAGCCTTCTTTGCGCTTTGTATCCGGAAATACTGCGCTACCTCCGACCGAGACGACGCCGCCCACCTCTCAGCCGACTCACAATGACGCGGACTTTGACCACCCCAACATCCCATTTGCTCTGGTGGTCAACGTTCCTTTAGTGACAATGACGCCCGAAAACGGCTCTACAGAGATCTGGCTTGGTACCCATAACGGTACCACCATCGCTGACCAAGAGGGTGAACACGGCGATCGTGCTAGTGGCAGGATCAAGAAGCACCTGCTTGAGGCTAGAAAGGAGGTCAGACCGCCTTCTCAGCCAGTCGTAAAGAAGGGCAGCATTATCATTCGCGACTTGAGACTTTGGCATGGAGGCAAACCGAACCTTTCCACAGAGCCAAGAGTGATGCTTGCAATGAGTAAGTCCTCCGCATTCGAACAAGCCATCAATCTGATCCAATTTCAGTTCATTTCGCACCATGGTACCGCAACTCCATGGACGTAGAGTTTGCGGAAGAGCTTGCCGATCGACTAACTCCGGAGAAGACCGGATTGCACATTGCTGCGACGTTTGTTACGAACGAGCAGCTGCTGAAGAATTACCTTCACCGGCCGTTTGGAAATGCATACGACTTCAACCAAACTGATAGAATCGAGGGCATGTTTTGATCGCGATAGGCAGTATAGTCGCTCAATTCAGAATGCAGGATCTCTGTGCGCATCCAATATTTCGCTCTTTCGCGCGGTGTCTTCTGCCTTTTACGTCAATGTCATTCTAAGGAGTCAAGTCAAACTTTTTGTCACATCCTTACTACTTATGCCCAATCCAATCTTAGTAATTACCGGTAGAAGCGAGCATCGTGCCGATCATCAGATTTTGCTATGGTAATCCATACCTTTTAGGCAATATCCAGCAATAGCTCAGCAACAAAAACCAGGTATTCCACGAGCTCTGACTCGCTTCGCGAGCTCCACATGATTTATGCGTGGGGCTCAGTAAGCCTCATTAAGCAAATGAACGTCGCTTGGCGCTTGGCTACAATCCTACGCACTTCAACATCCGCATATCCGATGTTTCTCTTCTCGATTACGGGTCTTTTCGATGTGAGACCTCTGCTCCACTCTCCTGGGGTTAGTGTAAATTGACCTGGTCGATTCACGTTCGGCTAACCGACAACCTCGATAACGTTCGGCCATGCACGCAATACCGGAAAGAGTAGAACTTTACGCGAAGAGAACACAAACCCTCGCCACAGTGGAATATGGGGATGATATCGGTCGATACAGGACGGCGCTAGCGGTTGAGATCCCGCTGATGGTTTTGGCGCTTAGCACAGTTGTTGCGAGGGTGTACTCCAGACTAGCTATCAAGAGAAAGCTAGCCCCTGACGATATCTTGATCATGCTTGGAGCGGTATGTTGAGATCGATACAGGCCCAACTGTAGTGATGAGGCTAATAGATACAGGGTGCTGCGTTTGCACGGGTTGTCATCTCTTGCATGAGCTCGGAGGATGGCTGGGGGTACGATAGGAAAGGGTAAGTGCTAAAAAGTCAACATTGTCGAGCATTGATATTGACTACCAAATCTGTAGTCCGGACCGGCAAACCGAAGTTCCGTATTACCAGGTCGGCCCCTTTTTTCCCCGTGTTGAGCAGTCCTGACCCCCAACAGCACATCTTCGAACGCCGGATAGCCTATCTTTTCGCTGTAACGTTCACTCGATTCTCCGTGTTAGCATATTACCTGCGGATCTTTCCCTCGGGATTAGTATCGCTACGAAGATGCTGCTACGTCCTCATCTTTTTGGCCCTAGCCCACTTCGTCGAAGTTCTTGTAGTCCTCATGGTCTATTGCAAAGATATCAGTAAACTATGGACTAAACATTGGCGTGGTTTCCAGGGGTCGCAATGCTTTAGCTCCGCAGTCTACAGCTACTCCGCAGCCATAGGTGATGCTGTTGTCGACAGCATGATCTTTGCCCTCCCGATCCCGTACGTGTGGAAACTTTCCAAGCTAAGAGCCCGTCAGCGATTTGGCCTGATCCTCGTCTTCGGCCTTGGATTCATTGTTTGTGTCGTCGCACTCCTGCAAATCCCATTTATCAGGCGGCGTGAGGGCAATACGACCTACTTCGGCAGCGCTGTCAACGTGCTCGTCTCAATTCAGATCTCGCTCGCCATCGTCGTCGCATCACTGCCAGATTTGCGCGCCTTGTTTGCTCGCAGTTTTCCAAAATTCTCTCCCCTGCGCCACAGGAGCCTCGCCACAGCTGCTGGGAACGCCGCGGGTGGTGGTGGACGAGCTGAGGCTATCTATCCGGATCAGGGAGCGTCCAGTGGAGAGATGATGGAGAATCGGCGTGGTGCCATCAATGGCAAGAGGTTGTTCAGAAAGCCGGATTGGTTGAGGAGTAGCATACCTGCGAGCCTGATGTCAACAAGGGTGACACATGATGAGGTTTCTCGCCCAAGCAGGGGGGATTCAGATGAACACGTACCGCAACTTCCTCATCTACCTCAACAGCCGGAGACATCTGCTGGGTGAGAATATGAATAGATGGCCAAAAAGAAATACTCATCAAGGTACTACTCCATCGGCAAACACACGCTACAAATTGTGGGAACATCGTAACCGGCTTTAAAAGAGTTGAATCTTCGTAAAAAACCGCAAGAGCTCTACTGCAGAGATTGATTTAGGCCGCGACTGTCATTCAACGTAGGTATAGTCGACACCAGACGCAAACCCGAGCCTAAAGCAGAAGAGTCTACTACAGTTTTCAACACACTGGATCGACGGGCTTTGGAGATGTCAACGGTAGTTTACTAAGTCAACTTGAGAGAACACAAAAACTGGAAAGCATCGAGTAGTGAAAGGGCTGCGCGTCAAGGAAGTACATCTACGAAATGATATTGAAGGCGGAAAAGAAAAGTCCAAGAACAACCCGATATTTCCGAGGGACGCAAGCGGGTTGAGAAGATAAATCTGTGCTCAATTGCACGACGGTTAGCTAGAGGTCTATTTGACCTAAAATCCAGGAACAGAAAGACAATGAAAACTATGTCAGCGCACCTCGTCCCTTTGGTATGTCATTGCAGCCATGCATCACCGGATGGGGAAAGTAGTAAGACACGGAATCAGTATAAAGCCAAGCCAGCCTTATCGCCAAACTGCCGCTTACTCAGGCCGAGGTCAGCGCTGACGGCTGAAAGCTTCCCACATCCGACGCGACGAGAGAGTGTTGTGGTTAGTTACTTGTCTAATATAGTTTAGATCTCCCGCTAGTAGAACTCGTGGACCCCGTGGACCCATCGACTAAGATACCCCACTCGAGCTTTCTCAATCCGCTAGGCCCAATCACGAGCACTTGGGTTGATCAGGTACGCATCAGAGTTCTGGGGCGTCTTACGTGTGGCGTAGATCTGCGGGAGTATGGGCTTGACATAAATACTATGGTAGCTCGCTCAGCTGGGGAGGGGGAAGCGGGCAACACTACGCTATCCCGCTTACCACGCCCAGGACGACCGTGACCGATCGAGCGCGAGGCTATCTTGACGAAGAAACTGAAGTATGGCCAAAACCTTCGACTTCGTCATCGTTGGAGGTATTGATCCAACTCACCTCTTGCAAGGCTATGCATTGCTTACATCCTCACAGGCGGAACAGCAGGATGTCTCCTCGCCCATCGCCTCTCCCACTCACCCGCCAAACCGTCGGTGCTCGTCCTCGAAGCCGGCTCCAACCCCGAAGGCGAATACCTGCGCGCTCCATTCCATCGCTACCTACCCGCCGCTCTGCGGCCCGACCTCGATCATGGCTACGTCTCGGAGCCCGAAGCAGCACTTGACGGTAGAAGAATTCCGTACACGAGGGGCAAGGGCCTTGGCGGTAGTAGTATTATGAACTTTGGCGTGTATCTGTACGGTTCGGGGGAGGACTACAATCGGTGGGGGGAGCTGGTGGGCGATGAGAGTTGGAGGTGGGATAGTGTGAAGGAGTCGTTTCGGGCTATTGAGAACTACGAGTTTGACGGTGCTGCTCAATACGCGCATCTAGCTGATCCGAGCGCAAACAATCATGGCACATCGGGTGTTTTGAAGGTCGGGCTTCCTCCCCTTCTGGAGAAGGGCGTCGTGCCGCAGATGGAAGCTGTCTTGGCTGCGGGAGATAAAGTGTGCTTGGATCCTAACTCTGGGAATCCAGTTGGTGTGAGTATCTTCCCGAGTAGTTATAGCAATGAAGGGAGAAGCACGAGCGCGATTGCACATCTGTTGAATCCACCGGAGAACCTAGAAATCTGGACGAATGCAAAGGTCCAGAGGTTGATCTGGGAGGGGACGAGAGTGGTTGGTGTTGTTACAAGCGATGGGCGGGAAGGTGAGATTTACCAGTTTTCCTACACCTCGAGATTTGACACTAAGACATGCTCAGCGGCGGCGACTAAAGAGGTCATTCTGTGCGGCGGCGCAATCGACACTCCCAAATTACTCCTACTGAACGGTATTGGCCCGAAAGCCGAGCTTGAGACGCTGGGTATCGAGGTTAAACAGCACCTCCCAGGCGTAGGAAAACATCTGCAAGACCATGTGCTGGCCTTCATGAGCGTAGAAGTCGACGGCTCCTCAAACGACCGCTACACGTTCGAGTCCAACGAAAACCTCGTCGCCGAAGCCGACAAAGCCTGGAAGCAAGATCAATCAGGTGCCTTTGCACTGCAGCAAAGCGTGCTATGGGGCGGCTTCCTCAAACTCACCGGCCTCGATAATCTACCCGAGTACCGTGACTTACCTCCGGATCGAAAAGAGTTCATTGCCAGAGACGCGGTGCCAACGTACGAGTTTATCAATAATTCGCTCCTCTGGCCCCCGGGCACCCAGCTTACACCGGGCAACAGCTACATGACATGCATCGCCTTCCTCATGAACCCGCAATCTGAAGGCTCTGTTACGCTAAAGTCCACCGATGCTGATGATAACCCGAAGATTATGTTGAATTACCTAACACATCCGTACGACGCGCGCATCATGCGTGAAGCCATCCGTTCCACCTGGACGAAGATCATAGAGAACCCAACATTGAAGAACAGTGTCAGGAAGACGCTGTGTGGGCCAGCATCCCTGTCCGATGACGACGTCGACGCCTTCATGCGGGCTAACTCAGGTACCGTGTGGCATGCGAATGGGACTGTAAAGATGGGCAAAGCGGGCGACGAGGGGGCGTGCGTGGACAGCGCGTTCAAGGTGTTCGGTGTGCAGGGGCTACGAGTTGCGGATCTGAGCGTGTGCCCGCTTACGACGAACAATCATTCCCAGGCTACTGCGTATCTTGTGGGGCAGAAAGCGGCCGAGAAGCTGCTTGTCGAGTATGGACTAAGAAATGGTGATGAAGGGCGGTCGAAGCTGTGAGCTGTATTGTAGAGTTGTGGAGCCGCTTGTGTGACTGGTGTCATGGAGACTTGGCACTAGTATTGGAAACAATCAAGGCCCTTAGCGGCCTCTCCCAAGATTCTTCCGTGTGTAAATTAAAATTGCCTATGATGAATGCTGGCGGAAGTCCAAAAATACTCGGAAGACAGCCAGCTCGTGGCGTTTTGGTTGCTGGGTGAACCACGGCTGAGCGTCGATGTGGTAAACGAAGCGGTATGCGCTGTTGGGTGCGGAGTAGCAACACCAGGCCCCACGAAATAGCTAGCTATCCAGACGAACCACCAAGCTGCAGATTGAATCCAGGAACGCACGCCAACAATTAATCCCCGTCGTTACAGGTTTCGCATTTGATCCGCGCAAAAAAGCCGGACTACTCGGTGTTGCGGTGGGCCCTTTCCTGCCCAACCTCTCCCAGCCACCACGACCAACCTCACGATAATTGCTAAGTGTACCCTTTTTCTTTTCCAGCGCTGCACAATACTCTCCTGCACAATTACACCATTCACTTTTTCTACATTCCGACCTCCTTCTGAATATACCTTCGCTGACTCTATTTGCGACATCACATTCCATCAGAAGACAGTACAACCACACCTGGACGGACGCTAGCGTAGTAATCGACCCCGCATAGCTTTCCCCCCTCACCGCCGTTGGTCCAACAACGAGCGCTTGCTTCCAAACGAAACGAACAAACGAACGCTCCATCCGGCTGCGATGCGTTTATTCAGCGCTCCCTCGGCCGTCCTCGGCCTGGTCGGCATCGCATTCCTGCCGTCCGTCGTCGCAAAGCCATATCCTGTACACATCGAAGGATTAGAAGCCTACCACAACGGCTCGCAGATCGAGAGGCGCGCCTGCGACAATGGCGGCACACCATGTGGCTACTACGGCAAGATCTGCTGCGTTGCGGGATCCCAGTGCTTCACAGATGCCAACGGCCAGGCGCAATGCGGTGACGTTGGTGTGCAAGTAACACAGACGGGAGCGGGCAACTGGCAGTACAGCACGACGACATGGGTCGAGACGGTTGGCCTTGTCACCAAGACGTCTGTCGCCAGCAACTTCATCCCTGCGGTAGCGACGTCTACCTGTAAAGACTCGCAGTCGCCTTGCGGCTCCAAGTGCTGCGACTCGGGCTACTACTGCCTCACCTCGGGCACGTGTTCACTGATTGGGGGTGGCTCTTCGGGCGGCATCTTGCCCACGCCTTCTGGTACTTTGACCCCCTCTGCTCCCCTCCGGCCCACAAGCTCAGGCGTTGTGATAGTCACGTACACGGGCACGCCTACGGCGACAGTACCGTTCTCTACCCCCGTCCCGACGGGCGCAAACGGTGCCCTCGTCCCCGTGGGCGCGAGCGGCGGCGGCGGCCTCTCGGGCGGCGCCATCGCGGGCATCGTCATCGGCGTCATCCTCGGTATCCTCCTGCTGCTCCTGCTCTGCCTGTTCTGCTGCGCGCGAGCCCTCTTCGACACCATCCTGGCCATCTTCGGCTTCGGCAAGAAGCGCAAGCACACGCATGAGGAAACCTACGTTGAGGAGCACCACCACTCGGGAGGCGGCGGGGCCGCCGCTGGTGGCCGCTGGTACGGACAAAATAGGCCTGCCCGCCCGTCGCGGCCCATGTCTGAGAAGAAGACTGGAGTAGGCAAGGGCTTGGGTATGGCGGCTGCGCTAGGAGGGCTCGCCTTGGCATTGGGCCTGAAGAGGAAGCACGACAAGAAGGATGATAAGAGCACAACCGTCAGTGGCTCAAGCTACTATTACAGCGATTACACGAGTTCAAGTAAGTTTACCCAGAAAGTATATTCAAATACAGCTCGCTAACAGTTTCTTCTAGGCAGCGCAAGCTCTTCCGATCGCCATACCCGCCGCACACGACACTCGTCAAGACGATGATTAATCGCCAAACAATGCTTTCAACTGTACAAACCTCTTTTTCTCACTTCTCTCTATTTAAACTTTTCTGCGGCATAGTTACGGTATGGGTGGCTTATTGAAGGCAATTCTGAGCCTTATGTGGGGTGAATTCCCACGAATATTCAGACGGCGTTTCTTTTGGCGTTTACGACAGACATGTACAGGAGCTGCGACGCTCGCTCACGTTGCAGCGGTAATGAGGTATGCAAAATATGAGATATGGGATATTGGCTATGTAGATGAAGGCATGCATGGCCGAGAGGCTGTAAATATGAACCATTACACACTTGATTGTCTCTTTAGAGGGGTTTCCCTGTGTGAAAGTGAAATCGGATGTGTTCATTCTATCTATGGCGAAGCTCCTCTGACTCGCGTTTATGAGTAGGTTACACATTGAACTAGAACTTGCAGCGATACAATACCGTTGGTGATCCACCGGCAGTTTAAAAAGATAGTTGGCCTTTTTAGAGGACTAGAACAGGATTTTGATAACCACTTGGTTCCAGCAAGATGTAGCGAACGAAAGAGGCGAGGGAAATCATGCCATCCTCATGTGTTGAATGTAATCGCAAATATCCCCGCACTTGAAGTACCGTTACAGAACTAGCAATAGATTGACTAGGGCGTAGGAGCTCTGGAAACCGTCAACCATAGTAAACTGTGTGTCGCTCCCGCAAATCCCTATTATGGCTGATGGTGACGACAAGTGGAGCCTTCACTGCGGGTCGATATCGTAGCTCGGGTGTAGCTATAGGTTTTTTTGACTGGCTGAGACTAGGCGCCGTACGCCGTGGCTGAATCACCTTCCTGGCAGAAAAAGACTGCATAGCGCCCCGAACCTTACTCTCAACCCCAACCTGACATCTACCAAGAAAGCTTTGGCTCAACATTATGAACAAACAATACGACATTATCATTGTCGGCGCCGGTATTGCCGGATCTGCCGCTGCGACCACTTTCGCTCGCCAAGGACACGAGGTCCTTCTTCTTGAGCGTAGTCTCAAAGAGCCTGATCGTATTGTTGGAGAGCTTTTGCAGCCTGGTGGAGTGGTAGCACTGGAGAAACTGGGTTTGGCAGCAGCGGTGGAAGAAATCGATGCTGTTCCTGTGCGAGGCTACCACATCTATTGGAAAAGCGAAGAAGTAACCTTTTATTATCCCTCTCTCCGTCATGACAGCAGCGAGAACAACCCTTCTTTGCTATCCAGTGGCTCCTCCGGTATCGCAAAAGGGAGTGAGAGGCCAGAAGGACGGAGCTTTCATCACGGCAGATTCGTCTCTCGCCTGCGAGAGCTTGCAAAGTGTGAGAAGAAGGTCACTGTCATTGAGAACACGGTCACCAGCCTCGTAACCGACAAACACTCAGGCAGAGTTATTGGCGTGGACTGCACGAACAACGAAAAGCAAGGCAAGACGGTGAGGTCGGACCTGATCGTGTGCAGACGCGTTCATTAACTAGACAGCAGTACTACTCCAAGTTAACCATTGTTGCGGATGGAGCAAGCTCCAGTCTTCGGCCTCAACTACGGGAGCAGAAACCTCTTGCCACGTCAAGATTCTGGGGCCTAGAGTTGACCGATGTGCCACTCCCGCACTATGGGCTCGCGTACGGACTGATCGGAAACGGCCCTCCAATTCTGATCTACCAAATCAGTACACACAACACTCGCATTCTTGTTGACATTCCAATCTCTGTTTATAAAGCAGTCATGTCGAAAGGAGATATTCGAACTTATATTGGGAACACTGTTGTTCCCACACTTCCAAAGGATATCCAATCCAACGTCATGTCTGCACTGGGTTCTGGGCGATTGCGGAGCATGCCGAATGAATGGTTGCCAGCTCAAGCCGACAAGATACCGGGAGTTCTAACCATGGGCGATGCAAGCAATATTCGGCATCCTTTGACAGGCGGTGGGATGACAGTCGCTCTGAACGATGTCGTCCTCCTGCGTGATCTCTTGGATCCTGCAGGCGTTGCTTTGGACGACATTGATGCTGTGCACAAGAAGCTCCAGCAGTTTCACTGGAAGCGCAAAGTACACAGTAGCTCGTTGAACATACTGGCGCAAGCACTGTATACTCTGTTCGTCGCTGCTGGTAAGGTCTTACCACTCCAATTGTTTCGTCAACACTGTTCAGACGGCTGTGGTTAATATATTTTAGATCCCCAGCTCGAGGTCATGCAGCGTGGATTTATCCGCTACATTCAATCTGGCGGTAAGTGTGCCGAAGAGCCATCCGGGTTGATGGGCGGTATATATCACAGTCCCCTGCTTCTGTTCCGACATTTCTTTGCTATTGCACTCTACAGTATGTGGCTGCTTATTCAAGAGTCTCCCTTCTGGATGCTGCCCGTAACCTTGGTCAGATGCGGTCGAGTCTTTGGTAGAGCTGTCAGCGTTATCTTGCCTTTCATTCTGAGCGAATTATGAGCTTACACACTCGCCTCAAGGCACCAAATCCGGCCAACACAACACCAGACCTGTGCTTCAGCACAGACACCCTGGGCTGTTCTCGTGGTAGATGTGATGTTTTGTGAGTCGCTGATTGGCCGAGTAATGACACTGCAGCTGCATTGCCACCACCACCACCGCACAGCTCGCATACAGGTGGTCGAATGATACACAATACCACAATTAAATATCATATCAGGAGTGTCCAGACTACCATGTATGGATTCTTGGCGGCGTAGAGAGAATAAGGGGCGCCCAATCGATCGTACTATTTGCAACGCTCGCTGCTGTTCTTCTGTCGAGTTGCAGTACGCTTTTCGAAGTTGGCCCCCGGCTGAAGAGGTACGCCGCATCCAAATGGGGGACCGTAATTCACTACAAGAAGCTAGAAGACCAGCTCTACCGACTGTTCCATCTAAACGTACGACCATCGAAGACCAAGACGAGATTCCTCTTCTGCATCTATGTTTTATTGGTGAACAGAGATTGTAAAGACGACGAAGGTGAGTTTCAACACCCATAGCCTTCCACCGAAACCGTTGTCTCACAATGTGTAGATTTATCAAAACCCTAGGAATGACGTGTAAATACAACGCGTCCTACCTCGCTCTTAGTCCCCGTGTGGGCTTCGTTTCTGAATCCAACGATCGCGGAACACTCGGGATTATATGGTCCTGCCTACTTGTCCTCATCGTATGCGTTTGGAATGTTCTACATCATAATCTTCCTAGTGATGAAGAAGGCTTCTGGGAAGTCTTTTGGCGCAAGATGCGGTGGGCAACACTAGCTGTGACTGCGCCAGAACTGCTGTCGCTCTTTGCTGTCATGCAGTGGAATGCAGCCAACATCTCCGTGCACCAGATGAAGACCTTAGGCAGTCACCATTGGACCATGATCCATGCTTTCTATGCCAACTCTGGGGGCTTTGTGTTGCAGACACCGGGGTTTCCACCGTTTCCTATCAACGCGACATCATTGTTCTATCTCGTGTCGCAGGGCCGACTCGGGATTCCAACAGTCACTGAGAAGAACATATGGGACCGGAGCAAGGCCGACCTATTCGCAAAGTACGTAGCATTCGTCCAGACAGGGTGGCTACTATGTACTACCATCGCCAGAGCTATACAAAAACTTCCCATCACACCTATTGAGCTCTTCACGGTGGCTTTCATAGTCCCCACACTAGCGACACAGTTTTTCTGGGCTAACAAGCCTCAAAACGTTGAAGTACCAGTCATACTTACCGTCGACTGGGAGATTGGGGAGCTACTTAAAGAAGCTGGCCCGGCTGCCACACTGCCGTACGTCGACACTCCTATGGACTTTATTGAAAAGCCTATTTGGGATGGCTGGAAACGCCGCCCTAGCCTCCTTCATTATGGAGGCCTCAAGAGAAGGCCACTCACACGAATCCCGAACGACTACTCCCCACCTCCTCCGACTGGCAAAGAGGCCATGTTCATATGGATCATCTCCGTAACTCATGCTGGCATCCACTGCGCTGGATGGAACTTCGACTTTCCCACCTCAATCGAACTGCTTCTTTGGCGTATTAGTAGCCTTACACTGCTTGTGGTCATGGCTGTTGGCGGTATTGTACCTGTGCTTTCAACGTATCCGTGGTTTGACTTTAGTTTCAATCTGCTTTGGATATGGGTGCGAGATGCCCAGAAGAAGACCTGGATTAGGGAGTGGGCATTCGCATCGCTTGTAAACTGTGCCTACGCAGCATATATCCTGGCTAGATTAGTGACTTTTGCGGAGCAGTTCAGTGTATTCAGGAGCCTACCGCGGGCGGCTTATCAAGATGTCAACTGGTCAGCTTTCTGGCCGCATGCGAGATAACAGATCTCTGACGTGATAATCATATTAACGAGTTAGTAGTTATAGATTCCTTGACGTCTTATAAATGTTGCTACACAGTTAATTAGAGTAAAGATTTAACACGTATGTGCCTTGTACAGTTCCCAGTCTTTGGTTTTCGCGACCAAGCTGGTGGTCTATAGAAACAGTCAAATCGAGTTTCGGTAGGCGCTTGACCTTCGGCGTAGTGAGCAACTATGGCCTTGTAAAGTGGTGAACGTCCCTAGACGGGCGCCACGTACGAAAGTCCTATTTCTGACGCTTGAGCAAGTGGCACGCAGGTGAATCCAACGAACAATGGTAGCCTAGTCTTACTGAAGGGGTTTGTGAAGCAAAAGTAAAGCCTTGCGAAACGATTCTGGAGGCCGTGGCGGCTGTTATTTCGGCTTGGATTAAATCACAATCAGCCTGGTCTCTCTATGACAGCAGCACCAACTTCGTTGAGCGTACCGTGAGCCGTACACCGAAATACAAGCTGCTGATGGTACTGATGAGCACGGTGCGACCAGAGTTCGCACGCGAAGGTTCAGAATAGGTGTGATATGCGGCCTGTTCGAGCGCAAGGCTAGAGAAATTGGCGGAGACAGTCGATAAAAGGGTTCTGACAATACGTGATAGATCAACTAGTGTGGCAAGGATTAGTGATGGGTAGATGTGAAGCTTCTGCCCCGCGATGAGTCAGCAGCCGTGGTTTCTATGGTGTCATGAACATGTATGCGAAAGTATCCAGGACGAACATGCAACGAAAAGGAAAGTAGGTGATGGTACCTAGGTAACCCCATAGAAAGTTTTTGCACGAGTGGAAAGGTGGAGTGCCGCTAGAGTTGCCTGCTGCGACATCCGTCAAGGTAGACATACGCACGCCAAGACATTTGAATGGGGCTACTTTGCATGTCGGAGCTTCCAGCGTGCACCTTCGCTCCATTGCAAGCCATCGCATAACATCCTTTGCCTCTGCTGCCTCCACCTCTCCACACCCCTTCGTTTACACCTCATTCAACCTCAAAGCAGCAGCGAATCCCAGAGCGTGTGCTTCCTGCGCTGTGAAGACCAAAGCTACCCCGCGGTATCGATCCACCGCCACACTTGACAGCTCACACTCCGCAACAGCCGGCAAACTGGGGAAGCGGAAGTTCTCCGGAGAGGACGAAGGTCCCAATAAGAAAGTCATGGCAGTAAGTCTTATTCCCGTTGGACCCATTGCAGGCAGACGCCGTTGGTTGCGCTGTGGTTGTGGCTGTGTACTGTTGTATTTGTAAACCACAGAACATCTTAAGCACCCCCTCTACACCTTTGCCGCCTACACCAAGGTCTGAATAACATCTAACGTGACCAAGGAAAATATGCAGGTCGACAGTCCTGCTACAGCTGTCGAGCAGCTCAAAGAAGCCTCCGGCGGCGATGGCGAGATCGACGAGTCCCTCTACAGCAGGCAGCTATACGTGCTAGGCCACGAGGCTATGAAGCGCATGGGCTCCTCCAACGTCCTCGTCGCCGGTCTGCGGGGTCTTGGTGTTGAGATTGCGAAGAACATTGCCCTCGCCGGTGTCAAGTCGTTGACACTCTACGACCCCAAGCCCGCCGCTCTCGCCGACCTGTCATCGCAGTTCTTCCTGCGCCCCGAAGATGTTGGAAAGCCGCGCGCCTCCGTTACCGTACCTCGCGTCTCCGAACTCAACCCTTATACACCCGTGCAAGAATACAGTGGTAGCGACCTAACGTCGAACTTGTCGCAGTTGAAACAGTTCCAGGTCATCGTTCTCACAGACACCTCGCTGGATGACCAAGTCAAGATTGCAGACTACTGCCACGAGAATGGCATCTACATCGTCATCACAGACACTTACGGCCTGTTTGGAACCATCTTCACAGACTTTGGCAAGAACTTCACCATCGGCGACCCGACTGGCGAGAACGTCACCAACGGTATCATCGCCAGTATCGATGAGACCGGTCTGGTGTCTGCTCTGGATGAGACACGACACGGACTTGAGGATGGCGACTGGGTTACCTTCTCTGAAGTGGAGGGCATGGAGGCTCTGAATGGCTGCGCGCCTCGCAAGATTGAGGTCAAGGGCCCGTACACCTTCTCCATTGGCGATGTCTCCGGACTAGGGACGTACCGAAAAGGAGGACAGTACATTCAGGTCAAGATGCCCAAGATCATCGATTTCGAGCCGCTCAGCAAGCAGCTCAAGAAGCCCGAACTCCTCATTTCCGACTTCGCCAAGTTTGACCGCCCACAACAGCTCCACGTTGGTATTCAGGCCCTCCACCAGTTCGCCAACATCCACAAGGGCGATCTTCCGCGTCCACATCACGAGTATGATGCCGCAGAGCTTTTCAAGATTGCACAAGAGATTGCTAGCCAAGGGGAAGAGAAGGTCGAGCTAGACGAGAAACTGATCAAGGAACTGAGTTATCAAGCGCGTGGTGACCTCAGCCCTGTTGCTGCCTTCTTTGGTGGCATGGCTGCTCAAGAGGTTCTAAAGTCCGTGTCTGGAAAGTTCCATCCAATCGTACAATTCTTGTACTTCGATTCCTTGGAGTCGATTCCAACTTCAACGGCCCGCTCAGAGGAGCAATGTGCTCCGATTGGTTCGCGCTACGATGGACAGATCGCGGTACTAGGTCAGGAATACCAGAAGAAGCTCGGCAACGTCAAGGAATTCCTCGTTGGTGCTGGTGCTATCGGCTGCGAGATGCTGAAGAACTGGGCCTTGATGGGCTTGGGCGCTGGACCTGAGGGCAAGATTACAGTGACGGACAATGATCAAATTGAGAAGAGCAATTTGAACCGACAATTCTTGTTCCGGCCTGCAGACGTTGGCAAGCTAAAGAGCGATGCCGCAGCCAAGGCGGTACAGGCCATGAACCCCGATCTTAGCGGCAAGATCGTCATATTGCAGGACAAGGTCGGCCCCGAGACCGAGCATATCTTCAACGAGACGTTCTGGAATAACTTGGATGGTGTCACAAACGCGCTGGATAACGTAGAAGCACGTACTTACGTTGACCGGCGATGTGTGTTCTTCCGCAAGCCACTGCTGGACAGCGGTACTCTCGGCACAAAGGGCAACACCCAGGTCGTTCTACCCTTCATTACCGAGTCATACTCCTCATCACAAGATCCACCGGAGAAGTCATTCCCGATGTGCACATTGAGGAGTTTCCCGAACAGGATCGAGCACACTATTGCGTGGGCGCGAGAGTCGTTCGATTCACTGTTCGTGAAAGGACCCGAAGTAGTCAACCTATACCTCACACAGCCGGATTACCTTGGTGCGTCGTTGAAGCAGTCAGGAAACGAGAAGCAGACTTTGGAAACTCTACGAGAATTTCTGGTAACCGAGAAGCCGCTTTCCTTTGATGATTGTATCATCTGGGCACGCCACCAATTTGAGAAGAGCTACAACCACCAAATCGCGCAGCTACTCTACAACTTTCCCAAGGATTCCACAACCGGCTCTGGCCAGCAATTCTGGTCGGGACCGAAGCGCGCGCCGGATCCACTGAAGTTTGACACTTCAAATTCCACGCACTTCACCTTTGTGGAAGCCGCCGCTATCCTCCATGCTTTCAACTATGGCATCAAGCCCAATGCCACGCGGGAACACTACCTTGAGGTCCTTAACGACATGATCGTCCCAGACTTCAGGCCCGATCCCACAGTGAAGATTCAGGCAAGCGATAACGATCCGGATCCAAACTCGAACCAAGCTGGAGGTGATGAGAACGATTCTCTGGATACTATCATCAACCAGCTGCCGGCGCCAAAGTCGCTCGCTGGCTACAAGCTTGAGCCCGTCGAGTTCGAGAAAGACGACGATACCAACCACCACATTGACTTCATCACAGCCGCCAGCAATCTGCGCGCGGAGAACTACAAGATCGAGGTGGCTGACCGACACAAGACAAAGTTCATCGCAGGCAAGATTATCCCAGCCATTGCCACCACTACTGCGTTGGTCACTGGTCTAGTCAACCTGGAGCTGTACAAGGTCATCGATGGCAAGACGGACATTGAGCAATACAAGAACGGGTTCATCAATCTGGCGCTACCTTTCTTTGGCTTCAGCGAGCCGATTGCTAGCCCCAAGGGCACATACCAAGGGCACAATGGCGAGGTTACGATCGACAAGCTGTGGGATCGATTCGAGGTGGAAGACATCACGCTGAGGGAGTTTGTTGACCATTTTGAGAAGAAGGGTCTTTCGGTCCAGATGATCAGCTCTGGTGTTAGCTTGCTATACGCTTCCTTCTATCCGCCAGCCAAGCTGAAGGATAGGATGGGATTGACGTGAGTACCTATACGCCTGATTTCGAAACATTACACTAATACCTTGTAGCATGAGCAAGCTCGTTGAGCACGTCAGCAAGAAGCCGGTACCCGACCACCAGAAGAACGTCATCTTCGAGATTACCGCGGAAGACCAGAAGGAGGAGGATGTGGAGATTCCGTACGTGATGGTCAAGTTGCAGTAAGCAAGGTTTTGAAGTAAGAGGATTGGCGCACGAGACTGGATCATGATGATCAGACATGATCACATATATAGATGAGCATGGCTTGCATGAATAGAAATTTCACTCCCATAGTAACATTTCCACGATTGGGTGACGGCTGGTGTCTTGTCAACTGGACCCTTGCGGACATCCGTCCGAAAGTCGGCAAACGGTGGGGCAAATGCCAAGCCTTGACAGCCCTATGGCGGATGTTGATTATCAAGCTTCCATGACTTTTCCTTTCAACATGCGACCATGTAGTCAAGACTGACCTCTATACATATCACCATGGCACCCTCATTAGAAGAGCCGACACAAGTCGACTTCGACGCGCCCCTCAAGGCTGCGCCGAAGCTCGTTGCGCCTGAGCCAGGTTCGTCCACGCCACCCCGCCTGCACACATCCATACTCGCTTTACACCTACTAATATTTGTCTGAATAGAGCACTGTCCTGGCCCCGAGTCGCAGCAAGCTGGACAAGCAGATTCGTGCGCCGGCTGCCCAAACCAAGCCATATGCGCCTCCGCGCCCAAAGGCCCCGATCCCGACATCCCCCTCATTACCGCCCGACTCTCCTCCGTAAAGCACAAGATCCTCGTCCTCAGCGGCAAAGGCGGCGTCGGTAAATCTACGTTCAGCACTATGCTGTCCCACGGGTTTGCTAGTCATCCAGACAACATGGTAGGACTCATGGACACGGATATCTGCGGGCCGAGCATACCCAAGATGATGGGCGTGGAAGACGAGACGATTCATGTTAGCGGGGAGGGGTGGGAGCCTGTGTGGGTCAAGGAGAACCTAGGCGTGATGAGCGTGCAATTCATGTTACCAGGGCGGGACGATGCGGTGATTTGGCGGGGACCAAAGAAGAACGGGTTGATCAAGAAATTCCTGATGGATGTGTGCTGGGGCGAACTCGACTTTCTCGTCGTGGACACTCCGCCAGGCACGTCGGACGAACATCTCTCAGTCAACAGCTTCCTGAAAGCGAGTGGCGTGGATGGTGCCGTCGTCGTCACCACCCCTCAAGAAGTGTCCTTGCTCGATGTCCGGAAAGAAATCGACTTTTGCCGTAAAGCCAGCATACCGATACTGGGCATTGTGGAGAACATGTCTGGCTTCGTCTGCCCGGGGTGCAAGCACGAGAGCCAGATTTTCAGACCCAGTACGGGCGGCGCGAGACGGCTGGCGGAAGACGAGAATATACCGTTCCTGGGCGCTGTACCGCTGGACCCACGGATAGGCATGGCTTGCGACTTTGGAGAGTCTTTTTTGACGGCGTATCCGGACAGTCCGGCGTGCGCTGCGATCAAGGAGGTGGTGAGGAGAGTGGGGGAGGAGATGGGGCTGACGAGCGAGGAGGTGCTGCCTGAGGATGATGATGAGGTTGAGGAGTAGGGGTCACGCGTGTATGCGAAATGATTACCAAGATGATGGAGTTGGAGTCTTTGGATTAAGCTTACGTGCATTTGGGCGGCGTTAAGATAACGGATACTTCCTACTTGTATATGTTGGTGTTTATGAGTATATCCACATTGATACATTCGAATACACGAACACCTTGGGATATAATCCCAATTGCCTGCCTACGACTTCATGATGCTCCAATCAAGTAGTCTGCACTCTCGACTGCAATATCTTACGCGTCACTTTCCAACAGCCATCGAACTACCCTGTTATCCAGCTTCCTTGACCAGACGTTCACGTTCCTTGCTTTCAGCGTGCTTTGAAATCTAGTCGAATAAGTGGACGAGCAGCCACACTCCACCGGGAACACTGCCACTGATCGTCGTCATTCTGGTCCCACACAAGCAAAAAGCAGAGGCTTGGCTTGCGTTACGGAACGCTTGGCTTTGTGGCGCGTCCGGGAGGGTGAGGCAACGGCCGCCTCGACGCCGCTGAAGACTCTCCGACGCGTGGAGAATTTGGTCGTAGATGGCGTATATTACATTGTAGCGTGTCTGGGTCGTCGTCGTTACACGTCGTCCACAGATTGCGATGGTCGTGTTGGTTGTGGTGGATACCGTGGGTGCGTAAAGCCGTAGATGTCATTAGGCCGGCTAGCGGCGCGCACCCCTGCAGGTAATCACAGCACAACAACTTTCCTGGCTGGGGGGGAGAGGAGACGGGCGCATTCAAGCTTGCTTGGCTCCTACTTACGCCCTTTCTTTGCTCTTTACGACCCTCGTTCCCGCTGTGATTGATACCCGTTGCCGCTCGTCTGGTTCTTCCAATTGTTGCGATTGAAGTGCGAGGATTCGAGAGCGCGTTGCATCTGCTTCTACATCTGCGCCCACGCTGACCTTACGGACGCCCGGCGCATTGCAATTGTGAGTCTTGCTGGGATTGACTCGAGGCGCTGGACTAACTGGTTCCGAAGGTCATAGATATCTTCTTATCCCTACGAATAGCTTCCTGCATCCCTCGTTACCCTACCCTGCTCTATTCTACCCTCGACCAACCAACACCATGGACGGCCAGCTCGACAAACACCAAGATCCCAGCGGTGTTGTAGGGGTTGGACAAGGGCCACAGGTCATCAGCACATCAAGTGGCCTGGACGTCATCTTGGGGCCGCTCCTGAACTACAGGCGCACCAGCAACCAGCAGACGGGACAGCCCATCTGGCACGGCAGTGTTTTGATTGTCGCTACGCCCGGACAGCAGAGCCCACACCTTGTCTTGTCACCGGCTGGCGCAGTTGATCCCAATGTCGCCAATGCGAGGTTCACCGCAGATAGCAGGAGTTTCCACGGAGAGAAGCTGTACGAGGACACAGACAAGGCCTTCTGGCGCTTCCTCCTCGAAGTTCCCTTCCAACAGTTCGAGTCGCGATGGAGATACGACATCGAGGGCTTGGTCTACGTCGACCGCAAGGCAGCCGAGAAACCCCAGATCTTTGCTATACCCTCCATCTCCCAGTCCATGCGCATCATGTTCCACTCCTGCAACGGTTTCAGCGTTGGTACTGATGTCGACGCCTGGTCGGGACCCGCGCTTTGGAACGATGTCTTGCGCATGCACGAGCAGAGGCCCTTTCACGTCATGATTGGCGGCGGTGACCAGATCTACAATGACGGAGTGCGAGTCGACGGCCCGCTGAAGCCGTGGACTGCTATCCATAATCCCCACCACCGACGCGAGTATCCGTTTGGCGAGCAGATGCGCGCCGACTGCGACGAGTACTACTTCAAGAACTACGTTAGGTGGTATGGCCAGAAGCCTTTCTCTACTGCGAACAGCCAGATCCCGCAAGTCAACATCTGGGATGACCACGACATCATCGACGGCTTCGGCTCGTATACCGACCACTTCATGCAATGCCCTGTGTTCAGAGGCATTGGTGGTGTTGCGCACAAGTACTATCTCCTTTTCCAGCATCACCTAGCTCCGCCGAAGAGCACCTTCACCACAGATGCGCCCAAGACGACGGACGTGGCGCCGCTCAAGACAACGCCTGCGGATCCCGTACAGCTAGAAAAGACTTTCGTTATGACGGATGATGTGGGCGACCCGTCGTACCTCATTGGACATAAGCCAGGACCATATGTTGAAGAGCGCAGCCGGAGCATATACTGCCAGCTTGGCGCGCGCATCGCCTTTGCCGGTATTGATGCGCGAACGGAGCGCACAAGGCATGAGATCAACTACCCAGAAACGTACAAGATGCTATTTGATCGCCTGGACAAGGAGTTTTCGGCCAACAAAGACCTCAAGCACTTGATCCTGTTGCTCGGTGTACCCATTGCCTATCCTCGTCTCATCTGGCTCGAGAATATCCTGCAATCTCCCCTCATCGCACCAATCAAGTTCCTGAACAAGCGCTTTGGCTGGGCGGGTGGCTTCTTCAACCAGTTCGACGGCAAGGTCGATTTGCTCGATGACCTGGACGACCATTACACGGCGCGCCAGCACAAGACGGAGCGCCGCGAGCTTGTCCAAATGTTGCAGAATTTCTCCAAGAAGTTCTCAGCGCGTGTCACTATCCTAGGCGGCGACGTGCATCTCGCAGCCATTGGACGTTTCTACTCGAACCCGAAATTGGCGATTCCAGCCGAGCAGGACTGGCGGTACATTCCGAACATTGTCAGCTCTGCCATCACGAACAAGCCGCCGCCACAGGCCGTTGCAAACCTGCTAGCAAGGAGGAACAAGATCCACCATCTAGACCACGACACAGACGAGACGCTCCTCGAGATCTTCGACCGCGACCCACAGCTCCCAGGTTCCGCAAACGACGCCAATCCCGCTGCCAACGGCGTGACCCACACCCCGACCAACGTCACCTTGGGCGGCACAAAAGTAGAGAAGAAGACTTCTGATAAAAACCACGCGACAATGCCGTCCCGCAACTACGCCATCATCTGCGAATCCACCGCACCGCCTTCCGCGACGCTTTCCGCGCCCGGTCCCGCGCCTGGCCAAGCGCCCTCGCTGCACACCAATGGCGACGCAGCGAGTACGCTCTCTGCGCCCCCTGGCAAAAAGGACAATCCCCGCCACCCCATTCATGTCGGCGAGCAGGGTGCTGGCACACAGCATCCAGCTGCGAATGGCCTGCAGTCCACGGGCTTGTGTGGACCGTATGGCTTGGATGTCACGCTTCGAGTCGAGGTTAGCAACCAGGATCGCGAGGGCAAGACGGATGGGTATGGGTTTAGTATTCCGGCGCTTAGTGTCAGTGAGGGGTTGAGGGATCAGGGGACGAAGTGGTGAGAAGGAGATGGAGAA